CGTGCCCCGCAGTCAAATTTCCACTGGACGACCGATTTTTCTTCATCTCTGCTGTGTTGCCTAATGAGGACTGACAGGACTGAAATTTTTCTGTTGGCAGCTCCACTTCGACCAGAAAGCAACCAACCCGCGCCCCACCGAACCGAAAACGACCGGCGCGCGCGAACGTCTCTTCACGACGACGGAGTTTTCACCAAGGAGACGAACCATTGTTTGCGATCCCTGCTGTCGCATCAATGCACGCCGCCGCCCTGCCCCTCCGCCGCCTCGAGGCCGCCCTTCCAGAACGCTGACCGCACGTTAGGGCGCCCAGCGTCTCGGGAGGATTCATCGGCTTTCCAACCTTTTGGCGCGAACGCACGCCCAAGGCGCTCAGCTAGCCTTACGCAACATCTCCTCGGGCGGCGACGTGGTATGGGCGGCCTGCTGGGCACACGTCAGGGCGAGGCGATAAGGCCACCATGTTCATGCCTGTCTTTTCAGGCTCGCACTTATCGTCAGCCGAGCGGCTTTTGCATGAGTCTGTTGGTTTCGTCATACACCGACCTGGGGGATGTGGATAACGTGGAGAATTCTTCTTCGCTTCGGTATCGGCACCTTGAAACAGGGGGACCGCAGCAATAACACTGTTGCTATCTCCGTCAACCATGGTAAGTTCCGCTCGGTCAGGCTTGCGTGCAAGGCGAAGACTTTTTTTTCTCTCTTCTGTTTGATGAGAGAGGCGTTTTTCTCGGGTTTGGCTCGCTGGCAACTGCCGATGGCCATGTACCGTCCATATGCCGAAGCGGGCCCCTCTCCGCAGTGTTTCACGCGTGAACAGATGGCCGTCCTTTCCAGCCTACGATTTACAGGGCGAACGGTGTTGCGATCCTCGCGATCCACGGGCGCCAGCCATTGCATGCAGGAAGGATTGGTCTGCAGCAGCAGGCAATGGTGGGGGGTGTATATGACGCTGCACCAATTGCATTCTTCACGCGGATACGGCGGGCGACGGATGTCATCATAACTTTCGGTGAGTCTATTGTCGTTCGCGGATGTGCGGATGCGGCTGTGAGGCAGGAATTCGTCAGCTCGGTCCGTTCTCCATCTCTTCCTTTGCCCCCTATTGTATCATCGCACAGCCTGGAGTCAGGACGTGGAGAGCTCCCCCAGCTCTTTTTTTGGGGTATGACGAAGGGGGACGTCGATCCTGGACGATCAGCACGCGGAAGCTGGCCTCGCTGCCGAACGCAACAAGAAAAATGTCTCGACGGAGAGCGCTCCGCTCACATGAAAAGCAGGGGGCGAGGCTGTTTACGTGTGGTTCTCGACTGCAGCGCTATCGGCGCGTTCCAGAAGGTTACCACGGTGGAAGCTGCTGACGACTGTCCCTCTGCAACCATGACTCGACGAGTGGCTGTTTCAGTGTGACGACACTTCCGTATACCCTAGTGTCCCAACAAAGCAGCTACCTTTGGTCCTGTTTCAACTTTTGGGTGCAGGCGGGGGAGCAGCATCCTCTGTCACCGGTAAACATGTGGGCAGCCTCTAGTGTGACATGTGCTGCCGAGTGTGGAGTAGGAGGAAGGAGGAATGCGGGGACCCCACACTTTTGGCCCGAAGTATACTTTCGTCCTACTTTCCTTCCCTGAATCGTGCCTTTCCCCACGCTCTTTATTCAGCCAAGGCAGTGCTTATCTTAATTCCAGAATCTGCGGTACGTGGCTTGCAGGCCAAGAGCGCATCACTCGAGTCCAAGAGCTCGTCAGTGACCGGTTCAATGCAAGGCGCCGAGTAAGCGTCCTGAAACTGCTGCTCTGTGTTGACGTTGCCTTGGTAGCAAGGCATGTGACAGCACTGACCCGGCTCAAACCAACCTCCCCGGGCGGATGAGGATTTAATGCGGCGCCACGGAGGGGGCTCCTATCTCTCACCTCTGGCATCCAAGAAGATCGGCATGGGGGCACGCGCCGTGACTCAGGCTAGGTCGTCGGCGCTGTTAGTTTGCTGTACGGGCAGTGAAATTGAGATATCTTCTTGTTTGAGGGACGAGAGGGAGAGCACAGGCACTTTGCACGGCAAGTGGTGACAACGCATGCTCCGGCGGCACCCGATGTGCTCTCGCAATAACCTAAATTCCCTCGTCATCTTCTTGTCTCCGGCGGAATTGAAGCTTTGTATTGTACCTTGGAACTCGGCTATACCTTCGGTTACGGCAGTTACACAAACGTAGCCTTCCGCATCTGTGGCCGCGCGTATGTTCCGATGCAGCCGGCTGGTCATCGACAGACGATGAGTAACAGCAGCTGATCTAGACACTGCATTATAATGTATGCTTTACTTTTTCCTTTCGCGATCTTTGCCCAGTTTGGGCATGTGGACGAGTAAAAGGAACGTATGGAAAGAAAAGGAAACACCGGATATCACAGGACTTACCCCATCGTCACACCATCATCTCTCCACCATCATCTCCACAAAGTTCCGAGAGGAAAAAGAAACAATATACCCTTATCGCGCCTGACCAACCCTTTTTTTCTCCGGACCCGTGGAGTCGATCCACTTTTCGATCTTCTTCATCGGCATCCCCATCATCATGCCACAAACAAAACACAAAAAGAAAACAAAAACTCCCTTGCCCGAGAGATACCTGGTCGTACCTAGCTCTTAGAACCCCAACACACCCCCCCGTCCATGCATCATCTTACCTAGCTATCTTGTTTCTTGTTGTCCCTCACTGACCGGTCAACAACCCTCACTCCACCCACACACCCACACCCCACAATGCCGCCGCCCTTCCCTATCCAATAACTCTCTCTCTCGGCGCGCGCAGGCGCCAGCCGCATCATGCTGTGTAACCACCCGCCGCCTCCATCACCGCCGCTACCCCCGGCACATTCCCCGTTCATGCATCAAGGGAGGTTTTCGCGATGTCATGCATAACGCGCGCGCGCGCGCGCGCGCCCTCCGCGGCGGTGTTTGTTCCACACGGAACGCCCGTTCCGCCTCGCCTCGCCCTGGTCGGCGGCCCAAAGGGAAATCAGGCCGCGCGCGCGCGCTTCGCTCCCTGTCATGCAGTGAATCTATCTAGCGGGGTGGCTACATGCTGATGTACGGGGTGCTGTGCCACGGTGGGTTGAGTGATGCGGGTGTGGTGTGGTGTGGTTGTTGTGGGTGTGGGTGGAGGTGGGTGGGCGGTATGCATTGCAGATCTGCCGCACACACACCGCCGCCCGCCGCCCGTCCCGTATTGAGGGGAGGGGCTCGGAGAGAGACAGAGAGAGAGGGAGGGAGGGGCTATTATTTTTTTTTTGTGGGGGGATGGGGAAGGTGTGGCGGGGCAGGGTGGAGTGTGATATGTCACATTTTGGTCCCTTGATTTTTTTGGGTTGTCCTTATCTCGATTTTAATGGAGACTTTGGTTCTGGATTTCTGCGGTGTTGTGGAGTGGGCGCGAAAGATGTGCGTTCTGCTGCCCTTGGTGTTGTACGGTACTTTTGCTTGCCCGCAGAATGGGTATATCATGCTGGTGTGAAGGTGGTTAAGAGCAGCGGTAGCAGAACATGGATTTGGATGCCCCTTCTCTGTCTTTCTTTCGTTTCTCTGTAATTTTCTTGCTCGGTTGGACGTAATGTTCGAATTTAACGTCACTCGCGAAAGTATCTGTCAACGCCCAACAAGTCGTCTCTACGTCTTTGTGTCTGCATTTACATGCGTTTAACTATTCAAGTATCGGAAGCGTAGCGTCCTCTACAGGGTACAAAATGTTACTAACCTTTGCTGTCTTCTTTAGGGCTATACTCATGATATGAGTACTGAAAAGCGAATGCACTGCTACCTCATCGGCGCCCGCCCAAGATTAAAACTATATGAAAGGTCTCGCTCGTACCGCTTCAAACTCTTCAAATCAATAGGCTCTACTGAGGTTTATTATAACTGCAACAGCCGAGTTTGTTCGCTCATTACCTACGGAGAGCGTACCGAGGAAGCGCAAAATCACTTTACAGCCGTTGGCAAAAACAAACAGTACTATACGGCAATCAACTTCGATTACCAACAGGCCTGCCTCCCAAAAAATTATTGAGGCTTAAACTTGCTTCGTTGTGTTGTAGATCGTACTTGTAGAGTTTATAGCGCTTCAAGCGTAGAGTGTCTTGAGTCCATCTCGTGAATAGGTTGAGAGTCCATCATCAACCCATGCATCTGATTGGCAACCTGTACATCGCCATTTCGACTTGACTCTGACTGGACTGCTTGAACAATTTCCAAACTGTCTTGGGGTATACGCGTGACGGACCAGTTACTTTGCCACAGAGCATGTTTCTTCTGCCAGGGAAGCCTTGTCCAATCGGACTCCCGGTCTTCCTCTCCCACTTTGATTTTTCTGTTGACAATCATTCTGAAAAGAGAAAGCAAGGTCCAGTCTGGCACTGTCCGTGAGATATGGTACAGCACTTTCACCGGGACAGTGAAGGAGACTTGACGTTGAAAGAAGTACAAGATGTCTGACACGATCTGGAGACTGCCACCCTGCACAGCACGGCTGAGGACATTGTGATCCACGGCATCAGCCTGTATCTCGAATGAAATGCATGCTTCATTCTCCCATCCATCATCTGTGGATCTCTTGTGCATGCCGGAATCGAAGGCGTATAGAAAAGAGGCGCCGGTTTCTATAGCCCAGCGGAACAAGGGTAACCTGACTGGAGGTGATGTGTGTTTCGCAGAAGGGTATTTGTCTAGATCAATACTCGTGTATCTCGCATCTTCCCATGGCCGAACTTTGAAGAGAAAGGATTTGTCCACAGCAATACGACGTATAAGTTGCTCTTCAGTCTGCTTCAAGGACGCTGCGGACGTTCCAAAGTAATCTAGGTGAAAGGGCCAGTAAGTTGATATGTATTCCAGCAGAGGATATTGGGAAAATATGGGTCCGCATTCCTTATCACTCTGCCTGAGTTTGGGAAGGACAAGATTGACATCCCTGGAATCCTTGAGCTCAGTAGCACCGCCAGTGATGTAAGCTAACGACTTGCCCAGAAGGCTAGAAGTAGGAAGCAAGCCGTGAAGCATGTTATGGATCAGCTGACCGGAAGTTGGATACGTCATTTCGTTGGAACCTCGGAGTTTAATCTGGGTCTCGAAGTCGCTGAAGTCGAGAAAGGTCAAGCACAACTGGCCAACCTTGCGGTCCGCATCGGGCAGGCTGAAATGCACCTGCTTATGCAAGGCTGAGGCACCGGGTTGCTCCATTTGCTTCTCATCAAGCATGAGAATGAAATTCCGGACAGTGTGATGTGCAAGTCGCACGGTTTGGTTGGCCTTACTGCGGACTACAAGATTTCCGCATGCACGGAGGATCTTCGTTCCGTCATCGGTTGGTATTCGAGCCGTTTGGAGAGAGGTATCACTCTTGTGTAAGGAAATGGCGATCTTCAGCTCTTCCATTGTTAAAGGCCGCTTTGCGCATATCAACCACCGGAAGACCTTTCCAGCAATGGTGAGTTTATCCAGACCGCCCGGCGAGGCTGCGATTCTCTGGAAGATCCTGGTATACGTCGAGGAAAGGTCTCTGGGGAGGTCCTCGAGTGTCTTACGGATTGCATCATCACTGACGGCCTCGCAGATCTCATCAATCTGGAATCTGACCCAAAGGAACCTGGGAACTCAGTCAACATCCCGCTCAGATGGAGTCCATATTCTGGGTGTCTTACATCTCTCCGGCGTCTTGAGTCAATCGGTCGATCACCTCGTCCTTCAGGTCAGGGTCACGAAGCTTCAGTTCGCCCCCTTTGAACCGCTCCTCAATTTCCGATTCCACGAAGCTTTTGATGTCTGAGACTATGTCTTGTGGAGATATGGTAATTGAGAGCCAAGGTCGGAAGACATCCTTCTCTATGATAGCTTCAGGTCTACATGAAATGAATATCTTGACCGCGCAATGGAGGGTTTGTGTCAATGCCGTCTCAATGAAGGTAGCAACCTCAGACTGCTCAGAACGTGGTAGCTCATCCAGCCCATCCAGAATGAGGAAGTAAGTGTGATCAGTCTTGAAATACTTGGACAGAATCGAATAAAGAGTGTCGGATCTTGGAAAGTCCAAGCTGTCTTGAAGATCTTGGAGGAGGTTTTCTTCGACTGTGTCGGACAGCGCCTGCCTCTCTAAAATCTGCTGCAGGAATGTCCCCAAAATGGCTGTAGCTTTCAGAGATGACGCATAGTCGTAGCTACAGTAATGATAGCAGATAGGGTTTCTTGGCTGCGTCAATGCCAAGTGGTCGATTACTGCGCATGTGAGGATGGTCTTTCCAGAGCCCGGAATTCCAAAGCATCCGAACGGCGATGAGAAAGGCGAAAGTAGCCAGTCTTGGAAAGGTTGGTAGTCAAATAGCCAGTTGGCGGTACCCGTGTGCCGTTGCTCTTGCATTATGCGATGATGGCCCTTGTAGTCATACGAAGAAATTCTACGTAAGGCATTGTGAAGCTTCTCCTTCCTATTCATGCGGACAAGCTCCATCCTGTGAGCTTCTTGGCGTTGTCTTTCTCGTTTCGATTCTATCATGTCGGCCTGTCTGGCTTCGGCATCAATGCGTTTTCGAATTTCCTTGAAATCTTTCAAATATTGATAGTGCTTTTGTGCGAGAGGTTTCCAGACGGACTTGCAAGCCAATGTGAGACTAACTATGCTCTCTGCGGTGCGCGTAAGCTCACCAGCGTTGTAGATAACCAATAGTGAACTTACTCTTTGACCTTTTCGCATTGCTAAACATATTCTTGACGTCAGTGCAAAAGTAGACGATGATCAAGTATGCTTCCGAAATTGCGACGAGCAAGCGCTCGTGATTAGGAAACAGGCGTTCATAGTCGCGCAGATGGGGAAGCGCATCGCCAATCTTGATCAACATGTCGATGATGTTCTCGAACATTTCGGTAGAGTCCTGCGCGATCTGTAGTGCAACCCGCATGCTACCCCATAGCGGAGCCATGACCGTCGAAACAGCTCCTGTGTTGCTGATGACATCCAGGCCCTTTCCGTAGGCATCAAGCGTATCCAAAAGTGGTCTTAGCTTCAGGCGGCATGCATGCAGCTTGCTTGTCTGTTGATGGCCGCGATGAATCACATCCGCCTGGTAGTAAATGGTTTCCAGGGTCGCCAACTGAAAACTCGATCGCTGGGCATCGCTTAGCCCTTCAATGAAACGGGCTTTCGCACGTTCCCATGGTTCCGTGGGTATCGATAGATTTGTTCGAATGTCGGTCATTTTTGTTTCATAGTAACATGTGACTAGTTGAACAGGGTTGTTTTGTGCTTAGCGGAGGGTGGTCGGTCGAGTGGATAGCGGAGACCGAGATGTCTGTTGCGTGCTTGCTGCGCGGGGTACACGACTCGACGTGGCGATCAGGGGTCATACAAAATATGCGATTGGCTGACACCCTTGATGATAGTGAGTAATTGTTCTCCACGATCTTCACGAAAATCACGAAAAACCAACACATAACCAAATCCTTTGAGTCATTGATCAGGCTACCTCTACGTCAGTATGCGGGTTTATTAATCGTTCTTACAAGATAGAACGATAGCAGCGTTAACAGCGGTAAGATGCTGCAAATACTATCACTGTGCCGTCGCGGAGTTACGACTTCGCCCGTAGACTTGATAACCGCTATCTTATCTACCGATTTCCTTCCGAAAACTTACCCGGCATTTTCTAGAAACTGGGAGCTATGCTACATGATTCCTGCAGTAGGATTACTTAGGTGATCATCCGTGGCGATAGATTCTAACAAACAGGTCTTGGTAAGTGCTCTTATATTACAAGGTGAATTTCGATTTGCTTTCCGTTATGTTACGCAAAATATTCAATCTTGAGAACAAAGTTTACAACTATATGTAGCCTATATTCATAAGCTTGCACGAAAAGAAGTATGTAAGCATCCTTACAAGTTGATATATAAGCGGGAAATACAACTTTCTACACCTATCAAGACTTAACAACTTAGAGTATCTGCTCACGCAGCCTGTTGGTTTTATTATGCTTACTTGCATTGGCTTCTCTACTTAATATAGGCGAGGTCATCCACATTACGCTACAGCAATGGTACTTTGTTAAGAAGGTGCTATGTAGATGGGCTATTTTGATTGGAGAAGGTTCATCTCCGATCTTCGGGCCGGAAGCATCACTGAACGTTCCAGATTTCCAGCCTCAATAAGTAGGAACTCGTTCCTGCATAGATCCTCTTTTCCTATTAACGCAATGGAACTCTTGAGTTCACTCCCTGAGGGATCGAGGCGAATTTGAAAGTACATATACCTCTGATCATGTATATGATTGATGACGTTACGATGACCTCTTCTGGAAAGTATACTCCTTACTCCCTGAGGTAGTCGAGTTGAAACATGAGTAGAGTTCGGAGAATAAATTTTAAATTTGTTTAGTACGCTGCAGGTTGTCTGACCGTCTATGGATATTGTATATCGAAATGAAATAGGATTCAAGTTGGACTCATTCCAGCACGAGGCTCACTGTTCTAAAGAACTGGTGTTTCATTCTTGCTCCAACCATAACTTTGTTCAAGACTCGGAAGTTCGTTCATGGACTTGATAGATGTCTTGCATCTTTTCTGGCCATCTATCGCGTGCCATCTACGTAATAGGTCGGTCTGATCTTAATCTACTCACCCATCTATTTTTTGGGGCTGATCCAACTAGCATTTTCGCGATGGCATGCACAATGTCGCACATAGCCCGCCTCCGCCACTTTCCCATGACGTCCAGGCTGATGTCGACAGCCGGACCAGAGTTGGAGGAAATGACGGAGGTGTGCCATCTGATGACGAGGCTGATTCTGGGAGGTTCGGTAGCAAGATCTGGGGGTGGAGGAAAGCCACCTCCAACGCAATCCTCGAGGATGGGGTAGATGAGATCACGAAGTGCAAGCCGATCGGATAAACGCTTGTGCATCGAAATCCTCCAGAGATCTGGCCAGACCTCGATGGATGTGGGTCGAACTAGGGCCGGTCCCGGTTAGACTAGATTACCACGGGCCGAGCCATGTGGCAACCCTGAGCTCATCAGTGCAAGACGTGAGCGTGCATGGAACCACCTTGGGTGCCATTGTTTTAGCGCGCGCGATGATGTGAGAAGGTACGTACACATAAGACTGCAAGTGGGACGTTCACACAGCAGATTCTAAGCCTGTTGCCGGTCAGTAAAAAACGACATTCCATATTTCGACTACCGAACAGAGGTAGAAGTGCAGTAAAAACCCATGTACAACACCGAAGACATGCAGGAGTTTGAATCCTTCTTGGGGTATTTCTACAAAACAAGACGCCGTAGAGGAACCGCCCAGAAACCCGATAACCAATAACGCAGTCTATTATGGAACCACATCTTGCTTCAATTTTTCTGCCCTCTTCTGTTCCTTCGCATACTTCACTAGGAACGATATTAGCGCCGGATGAGCTAGTTACACACAAACACGAAATCTTACGGCCACAAGCGTTACAAAGAGTTTTCGGTCCGTCGGGGCCAGCCCGCCACTCTGGACTCTCCACAGTCCCACACCTGGAGCAACAATAGTCCTTGGCCACAAACTTGCGTTTGGGCTGCCTCGGAACATCGCTCGTCTTCCTCTCATATCCCTCCGGTCTGATGAAGAACGGGATGCCGGCATCTCCCAGCTTGACCTTTGGCGAGGCGTCACCGGGCGAGGCGTCGCCGTTGGATTGTGTGTTCCAGGGCGAGCTGATGGGCTCTGGTTCGGTTTGTTGTTCCGGTTGCTGCTGCTGCTGCTCGGCGGTCGAAGCCATCCAGGTCAGTCGCGGCGGGCTGCTGCGGGAGCGCTTCGACGCGCCGCCAGGAGTCGAGGGGCGGCGGGTGGACTTCAACAACACCCGTTCCTCGACTTGCTGGAACGAGTGATGGTGGTGCATCGGCGCGGGGGTCGCGGCAATGGTCAACACGGCCTCTTCTTCTTCGTCGTCGCCCTCGTAGTGGCCTTCCTCGGCCTCGCGGCGCATCTTGCGGATCAGGCGCACGAGGCGGATCTGCTCCATCTTCAACTCGAGCATGCCGTCCATCAGGCGGCCCTTGCGCGAGAAGGCGGGGCGGGCGGTGATGGAGATGATGCCGGGCGGGGGCATCATCAGCTGCAGCGGTGACAGCGAGGCGGGCATCTTGACCTGGTAGTGGCCGACCAGCTCGAAGGCCGAGTAGTCGCTGCCGAGGTGCACGACGCTGCGGATGCGGCAGTAGAAGCGGAAGGGTGGGCGGCGTGGGGCCACGGTGGAGAGGGAGGCGTCAAAGGCGCCGCTGTCGATGAGGACACTGTTGCTGGGCCGCAGCAGAGCGTCGTCGATCTCGGAGGAGAAGACGTGGGCGTCATCCTTGTGGACCAGGGCAGCCAGGCGCTGGCCCAGCAGCAGGTTCGGCTCGCAGCCGAGCAGGTTGAGGCAGTTGGCCGAGACGCGCAGGATGGTGGTGCTCGGCGAGAGGATGAAGTGCAGGTCGTGCAGCGAGGAGAGTAGGATGTCATCGAGGGCGTCGACGTGGCTCTGCGGGGCGAGCTGGCTGTCGGCAATGGCGGTGGGTGTTGAGGGGTCGACGACGGCATCGTCGAGTAAAGAGCGGTCGGGGGTGGTCATGGTGGCCGCAATGGCACAAGCATGGAGAAGTGAGGGAGTTGCAGTGCAACTGGCAGTCGAGGCATAGTGGTTCGCGAGGTTGAATCAGCGCTCACGATATGTTTATGGATAGCGACGTCATATGCGTGGCGAGCATCTCAAGGGTCCAAGGGACGTTGGAGCTTGCCGGGGCGGAAGAGTCGCGCGCGGTGCATCACGACGTCATCAGGCTGTGGCTTGTGGGGGTGGACGGCGGGCGTGTCGCGCGGGTGGCAAAGTGGCGCCACTCGAGCCACGAATTTCCGGATTGGTATAAAAGCAGATCGTTTCGTCGGTGCAAATCGAAGGCCGTCGGGATCGAAGATTATTTTCCTCGATGCTCCCGTTGCAGGGGGTTCTGCCGACTGGGCCGGAGCCTAGTCCGACTCCGTCCAGGCGCACTGCCGCCGCAATTCGATGCCTTCTTAATCCTCGATCACCAGCAAGCTCACCCTCCACATTATTCGTACACCCCACGCCGAGAAGTCCTCGCTGCGAAATGCGCGTCGCCTGCTTTCTGCTCCGGCCCAACTCCGGCTCGCCCGGTCCACGCCTGCCCATACCTGCCCGTCTCCCTGACGCTGCTCCATACCACACCTCCGCTTCCCATGCCTTTCCCACGACACCCGCCCGACCTCGATGCAGAGCGCGCGCGCGTTAAGAAGCTGGCCAGGTGAGCCCTGCCCGACTCGCGCTCAGTTCCGCCCCGCGCTGACCGCCCGCGACAATCACAGCTACTTCGGGTCGCTCGGCATAGAGCCTGAAGACTCTTCTGGAAATCCAGCCTGCGATCCCGTTTCCACCGAGCCCACCCTCGCCCGGGATGCCGCTCTCACCGCGCTCGCCCAGCTAGGCCCGCTGCGCCTGCAGTGTGACCGCGCCTTCGTCTCGCTCACTGACCGCACCCACCAGTATATCATCGCCGAGTCCACCCGCGAGCTGTCTTACTTCGACCTGACCTCCAGCTCACAAGACCCCCTCTACCTGGGCGTCGTTGCTTTGGATGTGGCTTGGAGCCCGGACACCATCCATGTCTTCTCTGACCCCTCGGGGCACTCAGACATCTGCACCCCCAACGTGCAGGCTGACCACTCCAAGTACCGCATCTGTGACTTGCACGCCGAGCCGAACTATGTCAACCGCCCCTATGTCGCCGGCTGGCCGCACATCCGCGCCTTCTTGGACGTGCCTCTGCGCACTTCGACCGGTGAAGTCATCGGTTCCTACTGTGTCGTCGACAACCGTCCGCGCGATGACTGGGCTGACGACTCTACCGTGCACATTTTGACCGACATTGCCCAGACCATCATGGACCACATCGAGCTCGTCAAGATGCGTGAGCAGCACCATCGCTTGGAGAGACTTGTCAACAACCTGTGTGTGTATGTCGAAGAAAACACTAGCATGCAGGCTTTCGAGACCAACCACGCCGGCCGACGCTCGTCGTCAGACAGTTCGTGCGAGGACAGCCCCGAGTCAAGCCCTGCCTCCAGACCTGTGTCGTCATCTTTCAATTCGCACTCAGCTTGCAACTCTGACGAGTCCTTGGAGACGCACATGACCATCCCCAGCCCAACGCCGCAACTGAATCCTTTCGAGGACCAGGAGTTTTCTTCCTCCCGCCCAACCCATACCTTGAGCCAGAGGTCTTCTTCATCAACTCAAAGAGCTCCACCAGCCCAGCGGCCCAGGGACATTCCCGACACTTTCTCCCGCGCAGCAAATCTCATCCAAGAGGCCACAGACATCGAGGGCATCGTCTTCCTGGACGCATCGCCAAATGGTTTTGGAACTCGCCTGGACGTAAAACGGGGGGACGTATCCAATAACTTAGCATCGGTGCATTCCCCAGTTGCTGCTACCGCAGATTCTTCGCGGATGAAGCTGTGCGAGACACTCGGTCTGTCCGTCAGCCGCGACAACAACTCCTCAGAGGGTCAGCTGTCGATTCCTGAATCGCTCTTGCAAAGACTTCTCGAAACTCATCCGCGAGGTACCAGCTTTTTCGCCGACGAGCTCGACGAATTGGATGGGCTTGAAGGCAGCGATGCGAAACGCCTGTTCCAAATCTTCAGCTCAGCGCGCTCCATCTTGTTTATGCCACTCTGGGATTACCAGAAAGAGGGCTGGTATGCGGCTGCCATTGGCTGGTCCACAAAGGCTAACCGTATCTTTGCCTCCGAAGATCTGGTGTATATCTCTGCGTTCGGTAATTCCATCATGAACGAGGTTTCTCGGATAGAAGCCATGTCGGTCAGCCACGCCAAGTCCAACTTCATTTCGTCCATTTCGCATGAACTCCGCTCGCCGCTCCATGGAATTCTCGCAAGCACAGAGTTGCTCAAGCAGACAGACCTTGATCCTGAACGCATGGCTCTGGCCGACATGGTTGAAGTTTGCGGCGTCACCTTGCTGGAAACAATGGACCATCTCCTTGATTTCGCTAAGATCAACCACCTCTACAGGAAAGGTCGTCGTAAATCATCGGATGGTCGTGGAGGAGGAAGCAGACACAGGAAAGATTACTTGAATCTGTGCAAAACGGCAGACTTGGGCCTTCTTGTTCAAGAAGTCGTGGAAGGAGCCTATCTGGGTCACACCGCTCAGACTACGACGCACTTTGAATCTGGAGTCACCCCGCTGGACGACGGCAGATCACCGCATCCGAATTCGGATAATCTTCGCCCACCGGGGACAAAGCCTGTCATGCTGACCATGTCCATCGAAAAACGCAACGACTGGCAATTGCACACCGAACCTGGCGCGTGGAGGAGGATCGTCCTGAATCTCATCGGAAATGCGCTCAAGTATACTGATCGCGGATCCATTCAAGTTAGCTTGAAGTGCATTGACCCAGAGAAAGGGCAGCCCTCACCATTCGCCGAGGACAATTCCGGAAAACGTTACATTTGTCTCTCCGTCAAAGATACTGGCCGTGGCATCAGCGAGGAATATTTGAAGTATCGCTTGTTCACCCCATATGCGCAAGAAGATCCGTTGGTCAGCGGCACGGGGCTGGGCCTGTCGATCGTGCATCATTTGGTGACACATTTGGATGGAAAGGTCGGCATACACAGTGAGGTCGGTGTTGGAACGCAAGTGCAGGTCATGATACCCGTTCCTATCGAAGCGACCAATATTACGCCGAAAATCGAGCGCGTACCAGATCCTTTCGAGGATGCAGAGTTGTTTCACGGCAAGACTGTGCTGGCCCTCACAGGCGATGACTCACCAGACCCGGACGCAGAAGGGGCGATGCTCCTTTCGAACGCCCTCGATACCGCGAAATCGTGGTGGGGCATGAAAATTGTCTCCCCGATCAGCGCTGGTGCGGACGCCGACTTCTGCATGCTCCACGTCTCACAGCTCGAAACTGCGCATGACCGTAACATTCTGAAGGACGTTAGAGCCGCCATTATAGTCGTTTGTACACGCCAACCTACTCAGCAGCAGTTACTCATAGCAGGCCTTTATAACGCAACCTTTCTTCAACAACCTTTCGGTCCCAAAAAGGTGAAAAACTCGTTCAACGCGGCTCTCTCTCGCTTCCTTCAGGATTCGCTCCCTCCGGGTCAACCGCAGCGACAGTCATCATATATTAGCGCTAAAAGCAACCTCCCGTACCGTGACTCGGGCGCTGGCGCCCTCGCCATTGGTGCTCCCATTATCGCCACCAGTCCGCAACCCTCGACGCCAAACCCCGCTTCCCCCGCACCGTCAGCTCCACAATCAACTGCACAGACCCCCGCCACGACGCCGCCTGCTCTCGCTTCTCCCATCCCGACGCCGGTAACAGCAGATGTCCGCAAAGACCGACCACTCCACCTCCTACTAGTAGAAGACAACGAGATCAACCTTAAGATCTTAACGACATACGCGCGCCGCCTCGGCTGCACCTTTGCAACGGCAAGCAACGGACAAGAGGCCGTTGATGCGTTCAAGGCCGCCACCAAGCCGCCGTTCGACGTCGTTCTTATGGACGTAAGCATGCCGATCATGAACGGATTCGAAGCGACGAGGGCGATTCGGGCGTGGGAGAGGGAGAAGAGAGGAGTCGGGGGAAGGGGAGAGGGGAATTGCAATGGCGACGGTGCAGCTCCCGGGAAGGAACGGGAAAGAGGAAGGGGAAGGAAGAGGAGGGGATGCCGGATCCTGGCGCTCACAGGCCTGGGTGCGGCGGAGAGTCAGAGGGAGGCGTTCAGTAGCGGGATGGATGAATTTTTGATCAAGCCAGTGCCGTTGAAGAGGTTGAAGGGAGTATTATTCGGAGACGACAGAAGCGAATCGGAAGACAAGAAAGAGAAAGAGAAAGATGACAACGAGAAAGCATCGACGCGATGAGAAATCTGAGTACTTGAGACTTGGGGAATTTAGGATGCATGGCGCATGAGTGGGCGTTTGGGTGTTTGAGATCCCTTTGGGATCACTTGGGGCGATCAACGAGCGAGATTTAAAGTTCTCATATTGTATTTCTTAGCTCCTTTTTGTTGTCTTTATTATTTTGGGCGGGAGGATTTGGGTAAGGAATCGTGTTTCCTTGCATTCTGTTTGGTGAGGCTATTTGATGGATGTTTTACTGCATGCGGATTCATACAACATGATCCGCCATACGATGTTACGACGACTTGTACCAACAATATCAGATAGAGAGTGCATGTCTGGGAGAGTGAATATCGTTGGTTCTTAGTCAAGCGGCATGAAGAAAAGCAGGGGGGCTGGGGGGCTGTCGGCCAAGGCATCAATGCGATCACCAGGTCAGCGCCAACGAGCAGCTAAATCATTCAACCGATGCATTTCGCATAATCGACCGATCTTTTCGATGGTGGCTGGAGCTTCCTCCCCCTGCCTGCATGTCATCAGCACAGGCGAGCGGAGCAATTCCCGAGAGGAACAGGATCTCACCGCCTTCTGAATTGCCATGGGCCTGTTGTTTTCTTTTTCTTCCTTCGCGGGGTTTGCTTTTTGGGGAGCCTTACGCAGTAGGGTAAGGTCGGATCTCGGGTTCGGTTGAGGCTTGTCGATGCTGTGGCTGAAGCGTTTGGGTAGATCGACTGATGGATTGCGGGTACCTGGCGCGGAGCTGTTCCGCAGACGAACATGGCGCGGTCGAGTTACGTCATGCTGGAAAGGGAGCTTCATGGCTCGATACATAGCGGCGACCATCGTCATCCTTCCTCAGCTCTTTCTGACATCAAGCCTGCACAGGCGTTCCTTGTGCCATGGTTTCGGCGCTTGTCCAGCACCCTGATCCTGGCGGCTGGTATCAAAGAGCAGGGAAAACAACGTCCTCGTAAGCGAAGCACGCTGTTGTCTGTGAACAGTGGTCGTGTCGTCGAAAAGTCATGAATCTTCGCTTCGGCCGGCAGATGCAATCTCTGGAACTCATACGTAGCTGAGGACCTTTTTTCTTTTTTAAGATTAACCTCCTGGAGTAGCGACCCATCGTACGGACAGTTCCGAACATTCTGGATTTCGTAGATCGTGACGTATGGAAACGGTAATGGGGGATGTCGCTAAGTGTGCCGCAACGATCATCATCATCTGCATCACAGCTTACATGCTAGTCCGAGTTCCTGGATGGCAAAAAGAAAAGGGAAGAAGAGGATGATGATGATGAAACTACGTGCGTGATAATTCCTGCAAAGAAAGTTCTAGGGCATGGATCTATTTCAAGGGTGGTTTGATATCACCTGATTTGTTTCACATTGAAGGCAGCAATGAGCAATCGTTGTCTACCATTAGCGGTAAAGTCCTCCTCTTTTTCAATAATATCCTGTCTAAATACGAGATCAATGACACTTTTACTAAAGCGTTTGCATTGAATGCAGCTGAAGAAGTTAGCTGGGCACGGGGTGTTTAGCATGTGGCTCGCCATTTGGCACCCACTTGGCTTTAATTGTGTCTATAACACGTGTTTGAGAAGGGATTTGGTGTTTAGTAGTTTAGAAATGGCGACCACAAGCTGGAATGTGCTCGAAAGTAAATCTCTTAGAGCTCCTCATTTACGCAGTGAGCATACGTAGATTTATGTCAAGGATCGGCCTACTTTTGACCGAAAAGATTGGTCCCTAAATCCTTGAAATGCAAGATAATGTTAGCTAGAGTTTTGAAGAAGATGCGAAAGATGATTCATAGAATATCCAAAGGAAGCGTAGAATACATATGCGCTAATATCTAACAAACAGCAAACAACAAACGAAGAGAGGCGAATATTATGAAATCCACCACATATCGTCAAGTTTCAATGCGATGGCACGTTATCGTACTTTCGAGCGCTTCCTTCCGTCCTGATCATCTTGAGAATGCGCCCCACATGATTCCAGTGCAATCTTCGGCGGGTAAATAGAACAGATGTGGAAAGCTGTGCCGCAATTTCTCCCATCAAGTACCCCTCACTGCATCACACCACACAATGTTCTCCATTGAAGCCTGATGCTAGTGCTTATGCTAAGTGATCCTTCGGGACTTTCTTTGCGAAGAACGAAAATTGACGCATGTCGTCAATGGAAGTGATCGTCTGAAAGCTGATTACAATTCAACATTTATATTCGGTCTATCGCTTTGACTCATAAGATGCCCAGATAGGTATATGATACACAGAAAAACAAACCCATGCCGGCTCTAAACTGCAATACCCCTCTTTGTAATCCTTCGATCCTCTCGGCAATTTTTCCAAAAGCAAAATTTCGAGACTCGTTATGCATCACATGGCGGTGTTGCGGTGTCCACATTGGTTGAGCGAGACGGCGCAACTTCTTCAAAAAGTCTTGGCTGCTTACGGGCTTGGTCAGCAAGTTCAACCACAACAGATGTGAGATAGCAACAGTCCCAAATCCGCTGCGGGGATATAAATTCGTAGCCCCGTTGCAGATGGTTGGCCCGTCTCTGGCAGGCAACAGAACCTCCAGCACATCCGTCGCCCCCCCTCCACGCCAAAAACAAAAAAACCAGAACAAACATGGCGAACCACACCACCTCCAAGCAGAACCTCATCCACGCCATCTCCAAGCAAGACAACTCCCACCATGCCGTCTTCCCCGTCACCTCCCCCCTTTCCACCCCCCTCGCCCCCAACTCGATCCGCATCCGCACAACCCTAATCTTCCTCTCCTCCAACAACCTCACCTACGCCTGCCTCGGCGACGCCCTGGGCTGGTGGTCCACCTACCCCATGCCGCCCTCCCCCATCGCACCGCCCCCTTACAACGACAGCAGCGCGTGGGGCATCGTGCCGGCATGGGGCTACGCGACCGTCGAAGCCAGCACCATCGACGCGCTGCCCGCCGGCACAGAGCTGTACGGCTACTGGCCCACGACATCCACCGCGACCGACCTGCAGCTCGTCCCGGCCCCCGACGGCGCCGCAGGTCACTGGGTCGAGACGTCGCCGCACCGCCAGGGGCTGATGCGCATGTACAACCGGTACATCGAGCAGCCCATCGCGCGCGGCAAGGACTGCGACGACGTCGCGGCCGCGCAGGTCCTCGCGCTGCGGACGGCGTTCAAGCCGCTGTGGGAGTGCGGGTATCTGAATTCGCGGTACGTCTACCCGGATCCTTCGTCAAGTACGATCACGGCCCCGCCGGTTCACCCGTTCGGCGTCCCAGGCTTGCCGTGGACGGCGCAAGACGCGGACTTGCGCAAGGCGGTCGCGGTTAGCTTGTCGGCGACGAGCAAGACGGGGCGCGGCTTCGCGTGGAATTTGCTGCGTGACCGCGCGCCGGGGAGCGGGCCGCTGGCGCTGCTGCAGGCGACGTCGGCGCCCGGCGTGGTCAAGACGTTTGCGGAGGGTGAGGGTGATGATGGGACGCCGCCGAATAAGGCGGTGGGGTACGAGGAGTTGGGCGGTGCGGCGGGGGTGGGGTGGGTGCTCGGGTTCCGGCCGGAGAAGGTGGTCGTGTTTGATTTTGGGACGAGGCCGGGGGTGCTGGAGGGGTTCTTGGAGGCGCTGAAGAAGGAGAAGGGGGGAGAGGCGGTGCAGGTGTCGGTCGTGGCGGTGGGGCACGAGATGAAGGTGTACTCGGAGGCGGACATGAAGGCGGGCATGGAGAGCATGGAGAAGTTCCAGAAGGTGCAGTTCAATACCAGCCCCGTGAGGGACAGGGCGATCGAGATCGAGGGCGGGGATGCGTATTTCGCGAAGATGAACGAGGCGTGGAAGAGGTGCGAGGAGGAAGGCGGGTTGGGCGAGTTTGAGACTGTTTGGCTTGATGGTGTGGAGGGAATTGAAAAGGTCTGGCAGGATCTGTGCGAGCAGAAGGTCAAGCCGAGTGAGACCGTTATCGTGAGGGTTTGAGGGCTGTGGGATGATCATCTCCTAACTTCCTGGTCTTGCGGGAATAGCCCCTGAAGGAGAATGAACAGTGACCTATTTGCTAAGTAATCTATCAATGAAATGTTCTTTTCTTCCCAAGATTTAGAAATGTGAATATGAACTCCCGGTTTCGAATATTGAAAGCGAAAAGGGATGCAAAAGAGGAAAGATAAAACATATACCTGCCCTCCACCCAGCTACACTTCAACTACGCGAGCCACCAGCCTACTGCATACACCGTTCAATCTCCCCATCCGACACCCAATGTGAGCCACCCGCGCATCTATACCCACCTGCCTGCTTAATCCACCTGTAGCCCACGGGGCAAACACCAATCCTCCTCAAGCACTCCTGCTTCTTCGCCTCCACCCTCCTCTCCTCTCGCTTCCGTTCGATCTTCGCCCGTTCCTCATCACGCTTCCTCTGCGCCGCAATCTTCTCCAGCCGCCTGCGCTCGCGTTCCGCCTTCTCCCGTTCGTCATCACTGTCACCACCATCTGGCTCGTCCTTCGCCGCCTGCTCTCTATCCCGAGCTTCCTGCTCTTTCTTTTCCTTCTCGAGCTCCGCCGCCCGCTCCTCCAAGAGGCGATGCTCGCGCTCCTCCGCTTCAGCCTTCGCCTTATCTCGCTGCAGCTGCTCCCACACGGCGTCGCTGACTCCAGCGTCCCGGGCCTCCGTGCCGCTTGAGGGCTGCGCGTCAGCCGCCTTCTCATCTTCTTCCGGCGGAGGAGGAGCTGACTTTTGCGCCGTGTCCGTGCCGGTAGCATGACGCGGCGCATCACGGCCAGCCGCCTGCGGGACAGGGCCCATGGTGGCAGGGCCGGCAGCTTGCAGCAGCGGCAGCCCCCTGTGCTCGCGCTCCTGCACCATGCGCTCCATCTCCTCGACGACGCAGCTCTCGCTCACCAGACGCGCGGCGCGCGCAGTCGGCAGGGGGCCACCCGTCCGCATAACCCGGCCGAAGACGTTTTTCGCGAGCGTGCCGACGTCGCGGGCGCTGGCCCAGTTGGGCAGCGCCGCAAGCCTAGCAAACAAACCTACGAGCTTCTCGCGCAGCGCGGGCGTCGGGGGATCCAGGATACCAGACGCGTCAACGCCCTTCTTCTTCTTCGCCAGCAGCGTCTGCGCGAACAGATCCAAACACTCCTCTGGCCTCAGCGCGCGGAACGACACGGTCTCCGGGAAGCGCGACGTCAGGCCCGGGTTGACGGCCATGAGGCGGTTGATGTCCTCGTCGTAGCCCGCCAGGATGACGACGAGGCGCCCCGCGAAGCGCGGCTTCGTGATGCAGTCGACGATCTCGTCCATGGCCTCCTTGGCGAAGTGGCCCTCGGCGAGGCGGTACGCCTCGTCGATGAAGAGAACCTTGCCGAGGGCTTTCTCGAACAGCTTCTGCGTCTTCGGCCCCGTCTGCCCGAGGTACTCGCCGACCAGGTCGGTGACGGAGCACTCGAGCACCTCGGCGGTCGCGAGGAAGCCCATGTCGTAGTAGACCTTGCCCATGCGCCGCGCCGTCGACGTCTTGCCCGTTCCGGGGGGCCCGCGGAAGAGGAAGGCGAAGGGGATTTGCTCTTTCGGGTCGAGTCCTAGCTCGCGCATATTGGCTGCTGTGGTTTGGTAGCCTTTGAGTTGGTTCACGATGTCGTCGCAGCCGACGACGCCCTCGAAGAGCTTGGCTACGTTTGTTGTCGCCTTCTGCCCGCGGTCGAAGTCCGGGTCGAAGTCTTGCGGTTCGAATGATGCCGACGCCGTTTGCTTGCCCTTCGAGATGCGTTGCTGGTGCTTGAGTTTCGCGGCGTTCAATATGATGTCGATCTCGCCTGCGTTGCCAAAGTGTGGCCGGTTGCGGGCGCGGCTGAGCATGTCTGAGGCCGCTTTCTTGGCTTGATCCGTGGCGGAGAAGCCTTGCTGCTTCAGCTTCAGTTCGAATATGGCGGCCAGCTCGGCGTCTGAGAAGTCCTCGAACGTAAAGGCCGAGTCGAGAGGGAACCGCCGCGTCAGGCCTGGGTTGACGTTCTGGAACATCTCTTCCATTTGCTCCTTGTAGCCAAGCAGTAGCACGCACCGGTCGTCTCCCGGCACGCTCTGGACTTCAGCGACGATGGTGTCGATGACTGCGGTTTTGTACGGGTCGGCAGCACCGCCAGTGTTGCCTCCGTATAGGCCGTATGCTTCGTCGATGACCAGGACCTTGCCGACTGTGGCGGCGAGAATGCCCTTGGTGTTTGCTTCGGATGCTCCGATGACGCTTCCGACGAAGTCTGCGGGCGTTTTGACCACCACTTCACCGCTTGAAAGAAGACCAATGTCGGCAAGTATTTGCCCGTAGAGCTTCGCGACGGTAGTCTTGCCCGTTCCGGGATTGCCAAGGAACACCTTGTTCAGCGTAAAATCAACCAGCGGCTCCTCGTCCAGCTCGCGCGAATAGTTGTATTGAATGCTGTCGAAAAGGGCCTTGACCGAGTCTTTGACGGACGACAGACCGATCAGTTGCTGAAGCTTGTTCCACGACGCGTTATCCTTGAGCACATCAGCCGGCTCCGGGCCTAACAGGTCTTCCTGGGTCAGCAGCAAGTCATCGGCCGCGATGCCTGACTTTCGTTCGCGCCGAAGCCGCTTCGCCTGGCGATCCGTTATCCCAGCCAGGGCGTTCTCAACAGCTCGCGCGTTGCCGAACCCGTCGCGGCCGCGGCCACGGCCGATACGGCGCGCGACGATGCGGGCGTAAAGCCCATCGACGCCGAGCTCGACTTTCATGCGGCCGCCGTACCTCTTGACAAGACCATATTTCAGGATCTCCAGCAGCTCCTCGTCTTCGTAGTCCTTGAACTGCATTTCGCGGGGGAAGCGGCTAGGGATTCCGGGATTGTGCGCGAAGAAGGCCTCCATCTGTTTGTTGTAGCCGGCCAGGATGAAGACTATCTTGCCGGTGCGATTTTCCACCTCGGCCAGAAGGAAGTCGAGAACTTGCGACCCGCCTGCGCTGGTTCCCGAAACGAGCTGGTACGCTTCGTCGATGAACATGGCGCCGCCGCCGTTGTTCATAATCTCCTCGATGTGCTTCTTGCAGCCGGACACTCCGTCATTTGCAAGTCGTGAGCCTGTCGTTTCGACGAAGAAGTTTCCTGGCAAAGCTCCCACCGAGGAGAGAAATTTTGCATACAGGCGGGCTACCGTTGTTTTTCCTGTACCCGGGTTACCCAGCAATGCGGCACCGAAGCGCTCGTTCTTCATGTCGAGGCCCTGACGGACGGCAACATCGATCTTTCCTTTGATGGAGAGGAACTGCTCTTTGACATTTTCCAGGCCAATCATGCCCATCAAGTCATCCAGAGCGGAATTAGATGCACCCTCAAACTGCTTTTGGTCCTTCCAGTCCTGTGCTGCAGAAGACTCAGGCAATTTCCAAGGCCCCTTTCCTTTCTGCTGGTGGCTGTCTCTCCGGGGTGCAGGACGATTTGGTAGTGATGTGGAAGAAGGCACTGACGTCGGTGTAGGAGAAGAATTCGATGGCTTTGGTTGGCTTGCGGTTTGGGGCGTTGAAGCATTATTCACGCTTGCGACTCCAGAGATGCCCGCTTGCTTGAGCTCAGCAAGATCTCTCCGGCGCTGGCGGAGAACCCTTTCCCGCTCTTGCTGATCGGCCATGTCTCGACGTAGCCTGCGCTCATGATCAAGCTCATCGTCTATCTCAGCGAGCTCCCGTGCGTAAGCCCTCTGCTTAGCCTGCCGACTTTCCTCGAGATCGAGGTCTCTTTGGACCTTCTTCGCCTGTTCTCGCGCCTCGTCATCGCAAGCTCGGCAGAAGGACGGACGGCCGGAGGCACACCGCCAGGTCCGTTTGTGCTTCTGCGCGCACGTGTCGCTCATTATAACGTCGCATCGGATTTTGGAATGATCTGAGAGTTGATGGCATCTCGAAGGGCAAGCATGGAGCCCGCAGTTGAGTGTGGCCCCACAAGGAGCTGAACATCCACCATCAGGGCAATGTTCATCAAAGTCAGTCTTCTGCTTCAGGATCATCTTCTTGCCCGGATGCTGCTGGCACTTGACGGGAAGTCCCTCGTAGATGTGTCCCTTCTTACTCAAGTAGTCCATGAAGGGACCCCACGTGGCTTTGCCTTTTCTGCTCTGTTGGAATGTCTGCGAGTTTCCAATGATGATGAGACCGATGCGTGCTCGGGAAAGCAAGACGTTGAGTCTCTCCGGAGATGACATAAAACCGATGTCGCCAGCAGCATTGCCTCGAGTAAGCGATACAATGACGATATCGCTTTCCTCGCCCTGGTAGTTGTCTAAACTTTTTGTTAGCCGGCATTATATCATTTCTATGACTGATCGATTAATCTTACCGATCGTGGAGATTTTGATTTGGCGTTTGTTCTGTTTCGCGGTAGCCGGAGACAAGAGCCCTGCCTTCACGAGATCAAACGAATCTAGGTCGTTCAAGACCGGATCATTCTCCTCGCTCAACCGTCGCCGTAGCAGACTTAGCTGGCCAAGATACGGCGTCAAGACTACTTGATCTGATGTGCCATAACCCTGTTGCGCCATGTACCGGACAATCTGGAGGACCATCTCTGCCTCAAAGTGATTCTTTTTGCTGACACCAGAGCCTTGGTCACGCCGGTCCGCGATGGCATCCTCCGAGAATTCGGGATGATGATGGTTGAAGAAGACCACCCGGTCTTGCATGCCTCGAAGTGATGGTTTGTTTTGTGTTGATGGCGCGTCCAGCAACTTCGGATACGTGAGATGACGTACAAGGGCAGAAATTTCCGGGCACATGCGGTGCTGCTGAGCCAAGGTGGTATGCGGGAACCCTGCAAGGATGAGGCGTTCGAATAGAGAGCGGTTCAGATCATATCCGTTGCCTTTCTCTACAGTGAGATCGTAATTGTTGACCTTTGGCCGGAGCTGCTGGTGATCGCCGATGAGGATCAATTGCTTCGTTTCGGGTGTCATTGCTGTAAGGACGTGGCTCTCAAGGATTTCTCCAGCCTCTTCCACCAGAATGATGTCCGGAGAGGCATTTCGTAACTGCTGGGTGTACTTGGCGGCGGCTGTTGTGGTACATGCGATGATACGCTTGTTCCGAAGTATCTCAAGCTTTTGCTGATCAAGTGTGGTCTGAAGTTGTTTCTGGGAAGCATCAAAAGCTTCCACTAAGCTTGAAATGCTTGCCACTCTCTCCTCAAGAAGGTGTTGTGTCCACTGCTCGTTCAATGCTTTTCTTTGATCAGGGCTAAGCTCCCATACTTCTGAATGGGTTGAAGCAATGCGGTTTTTGAAGACCCCTGGGTCTTCTCCCTTACGCCACCTGTCATAAAGGTATGTTTCATCCACAGCAGACCCATCTTTTCCTGCAATTGCGAACCCATCAGCTTGTTCAGGAAGCTGGAAAGCATCGAAAAAGCTTGAATAGTCGTCGGAGAATTCCAAGTACTCCATGATCTCGGTCTTCCTGAGCTGAAAGTTGACGTACGAAGCGACAAGCGCTTTCAGGTTTGTTTCCGAACTGGAAACTTCATCGTTCAATTTGTGGATGACATCCCAGGTGGCTTGGGTTCGTCGGTAATTGCTTGATTGCTCGAACAAGCTAAGGTGTTCTGTCCTCGGTCGGGACTGCGCTCCTAAGCGTACCATGCTGCTGTCTGGTATGCTGATATCAAGGAGATCTTCCAAGAACTGATCGAGGGCATGATTCGTGTAACATATAACCAAGATCTTTTGAGAAGTGTGATCGTGGAGAGCCTTTGCGAGCAGGGCACCAATGAAGGACTTTCCGGTACCTGATAAAGTCAGTCAAAATTGCAATTCCAATTGAGTAAATAATCGTTAAACTCACCGGGTGGGCCCTGAATTAGACTGACGGTCTGCCTCAACCCCGAGAGCAGAGATTTCGTCTGCGACTCGTCGAGATTTACAGGCTTCGGCAAGCTCAAGATATCATCCAGTCCTTGGCCGCCAGCCTCAGCGATACGATCAGCAACATCATCTGGGCAAATACGTGAAGAACGGCATCGCGTCCCAGCCTCTTCACTCAAAGAAAGAAGTTCTTCGGCAAGAGGCAGCTCCACTTTGGCCTGTAAACACTCCAGAATAGGCTCGTACGCAAACATCGCTGTGTTTATAAGTACAAAATCCACTTTGTTGGACACCTTCAGAGTGAGCAGCGCCCTTTCTAGAGCTCTGGTATCAGGAATGCGCAAAGTGACGATTGGGGGATCCCGGAGAAGATTGTCCTGGACTCTTTCCAGAGTAGCGAATGCGACCACCTGATCATTGTTCATCAGGCAGCCGAAGGATTGGTGCTTCAAGAATTTTTTGTCTTCGTTGAGGAAGCTTTTGCGCTTACTCAGTGGAACCTCTGTGAGTCGCTCTAGCCCAGAGGTGCATCTGACGGTGATTGCAAAGGCCTGGCGACGTCTCTCAGCGCCGCAGTGAGACCCGGCAAGTGACAGTCCGCGTAGTCTGAGATTCTTGCGCCTCCCTTTCTTCGACTGTGAGATCTTCAGATCTTCTCGGAGCTCGGCAAGCATGTCCTCTCTGAGAAGCCTGAATTGATTATCGAGATGAATTCCCGTTCGCTGGTCTGGCGGCGCTTCATCCACAGCGTCTGCCCGACGGTAGAAAGGCCTCTCTTTCGAGACAAGCTCGTGCTCGGTGGGATAGATAGCGATCTGGCGGAAGTCGGTGAAGTCATTGTCGTGCCGTCCGCCGGGCCCGGATGAAGCCGGTGTGGACCCGACTGATTTGGTGTGGAGGACATGCTTGATGCGATACCCGAGGGAGCGTAGATCGCCGTTGTCTGACTTGGTGAAACGCTCGCTGGCAACCGCATGCTGTGCGACACTTTGCAAATTAAGTGGGGCATTCGAATTCCAGGACAAAAGCTCCAGCAGAAGCCATGCGAAGCTCTGTTCCGTCTTGGGAGACAGGCGGTTTCCTTTGAATGCTTCGACCACGGCATGCCACAGAGATGGTGGATCCACAACGAGGACCAGCAGTCTGCGTAGGAAGTCTCCATTGCACAGGTGCTTGAGCAACGGATCGCTGAGGTAGGACAACAGATTTTGCAGTTCGTTGTTGATGAAGGCATCCGAAATGTCGAACCGTAAACCTGCACGGAGTGAATCGGAGGCGGCATCGCTTGCAACCAATTTCTCGACGCAAGCTGTATGGTCTGGTTGATCGCAAATGGCCTCAATCAAGAGGGTTGCGTCACGAGCCTTGGTGACGGCTCGTTTGCCTTTGATGACTGAGTGTAAAAAGGCAGACAAACGAGAAGTACGGGCGTTAGCTGGCGATGCAGAAGCCGCCATGATGAGTCGAGGGTCGCTTTGGAGCAGAAGCAAGCAATGAAGATTACTGGCGTGATAATTGATAGCTTCTTATGTGCGTGAATAGTTTTGCTGATAAGGTTGCGGGGTGGGGGTGTAGAGGCCGTCGACAAGGCTGATGGTGCAAACGCACGCGTTTCACCGCAGGTGACCGCAGCAAGTGGGACCAATAAGTATACCACTGACTCAATGACGAAGCAAGGGTATACTTCGCTGCAGAAGCACAGATCCTCTGTGTTGTTGCTAGGCAGCATTGCAGACTTGACCAGGTAAAGCGAATATCGATTGACTGCCGGGATCCCAGTCTGCAACGATGGAGGCGCGGGTTACGGCGAAAAGGTGCTTGTTCTGTTCGTAATAGAATCGTTGCCTGAGACAAAGTGGGCGATTGGTGCACAGCCTGCATGGTTCCGGATTGTCTACGCCGCGCCAGGCAACAAGGCGGACAGCCAATGTGCTGTCTTCTGCTGTGCCCCGCCTTCGCCGCTTAGAGAACGACACAGCCGTCGCTACAAATACAGCTTCTCGAACGCATTAGTTTGACCGGTTGAAATTCTTTAACGGGACCGAATATGGAATATCGACGTGGCAGTTGGCGAGGCAGCTATCGCGGTCGTGGCCGTGGCCGTGGCCAGAGCTCCTGGAGGATGGACCGATTCAGCAACGCCCCAGCATTCGTACAGCCTAGAACTCCGTCTCCACCGGTCGGAAAATCTCTGAAAGAACTAACGGCAAAGGACTTGGTGACGTCAGAAGAGAGGGAGAGCAATATTCCGACCATCAACAATTGCCAGTTCGTTGGCTCGTACAACTGGCTCGGTGGCATCGAAAATCCGGTAGCCCTTATTCCAGGTAAGTGAACCGCTTTGGGATTTATAGCTCAATGTGAGTTGACGAGGAAATGCAGGAGCACCACCCGCATGGACGCCTCTCGAGAACCCTAAACAGCTGGAAGAGGATTCGGGCGTGTACTATCGCGATGTGAATGCCGCAAGATGCCCTGAGCATCCAATGGAACTTGCGGTACGCACTTTCGCCGCACGAACCACCAAGCCATCCACCCAAGATGTGGATATCTTCGCCTGTGGTAGCACTCTCGGAAACCTCCTTCGTTTCGTCCGCAAGGTCGACAAGCCATTCCGGTTCACGGTCGAGGCAGTCGGAAACACGGTCTTCTTCGTCAGGAAGGAGAACTCGCCCACCGAGACAATGGAAGGAGTCCGAGGCTATGGGCATACTTTCCCGGACGCTTACACCACATGGGGGGATGGGACTGCAGGGTCGCAATCGCACCAGCGCCTCATCAATTACGATTTCGCGGGCCTGAATTGCGTTGTGCGGTTCGAGGGGGACGGATACCTCAAACACCTCGACTCCGATCCCAAGAGCGAAGGTGACTCTCCCGACGTGGTGCCGTCGACAACGAAGGTAGACATCCGGCAGGGTGGACGTCTGGTGAGCCAAGATGCCATCTTCGACTTGAAGACCCGGTCAGTCAAAAGAATGGACCACGACATCCTGGCTGAAGAGATTCCTCGGCTTTGGGTGGCACAGATACCCAATTTTGTACTTGCCTTCCACACTCGCGGCACATTCGAAGACATTCGCGTCCAGAACGTCCGCAGGGACATTGAGAAATGGGAAAATGAGAATGAGGATACTCTCCGTCAGCTCGCGAAGCTGATTAGGGAGATTGCAGCCGTGGCGAAGAGCAGGACAGATGGCCGGTTAGAGATACGGCGGAAAGCTGTGGATGTCCTGGAAATTCGCGAGCAATTGCCGCACACTCCAGGAGTGCTTCCAGATGACTTGAAGACATGGTGGATTGAGGGATCTTGCAGCGACCATCGAAGCAGTTCTGAGGATGAGTTGAATGATAGCGGTGAAGAGCGATATTTCTCTGCGGGCTCGGACAGTGGTTACGGCGGTGTGTCGTTCGACAGCGATGACGAGTCGGAGAAAGACTTCACGGCGTGCTCGGCGGATGACTGTGGGTACTGCGGACACTGTCGCTACTGATGCGTGAGAAGATTTGGGCACAAATTGAAGTACTGGGGAAATTGTCGCTGGCCGGGTAGGTAGCTTGTGGTTTAAGTAAAGATTGGACTGTGTGCGTGTCGGCAGCGCTAAACCTGAATCCACTAGCGCACATGCTGGACCAATCAAGCTGTCACTCCTTTAGCTTTATCATTTCAATGGATGCAATTACTCGTAACTTTGAAAAGTGAAAATCATTGCGGGAAGTGAAAGGCAATATTTTGCGTAGGTTTCTGCGGTGTTTTCCAATGATTCAGAAGAGATCTCCTAGAGTGAAGCATAGTTCAAAGTGAGGAGGCAGTGATGGGCACAATGCACCCTGAACACATGCAACTGTTTTCATGAGAAGGAAGTAGAAATGAAGTCTCACACCGAAGAAGAAAGAGTTGCGAGTAAGCCCAAGTTGCGCCCCAGTGAGTTACCGCGGGGCTCCAAAGTGCATCAGTACCAAATTACAAGTCGGCAAATAGGAATCATGGGGTCCAAGCAGCACATTCAGCTGTGTGCGCTACAAAGGAATACAGTGCGTTCAACGTCTATGTACTTCTCAAAAACATATGGGCGATCTGAGTAAATACACCAACTTACATAATTGTACAAACCAAGCAGGAGCCCTCACCACACCGTGCTCCTCCTCTACCAGGCGCTGAACCACCCGGTTTCAATCCCTCCATACCCAACCCCGTAGCCCACCCCATACTGCGTCGGTCGCAGTGCGTCGCCCAGCTGATAACCAGTGCTCCTGAAGTAATCCTGCATCTTCCCCATTAGAACCGGATTTCCTGATGGCGCACCGCCCTCATACGTCGACGGCGTTGTGATATCCGTCGCCGCAGCGCTAGAGCGCCTACTGCTCGTACTAGACAGGTAGGAAGAATAATTGGAAGACGGGAAGGTGCCTGTGTCGGAGTAGGAAGAGGTGACGGAGTGCCGCTTGCGCGACGACGAGGACGGTGACCGACGTACCCGAGGAGGCGGGTCCGTCTGGACGGCGGTGTCGACGTATTTCGGCCGTGGTGGTGGTGGCGGCGGCGGATCGGCAGGCTCCACCTTTGCCTGCACGCTCGCAGTCGCATAGCTCGGTCGCTGCTCTCTCACACCGGTTGTAGTTTGCATAGCAGCAGCAGCAGAAGAAGAAGATGTCTGTGCAGTGGCGTGGCACCCGCACTGGCAGCACGCTGCCCCTCCTCCTCCACTTCCTCCTCCCCCTCCTCCCACCTCTCCCCTCCCCATCCCCAGCGGCGGCTGCGGCGGCGACGACGCACCCCTCGCTCTGAGCGGCACCTGCTCCCTCGCACGCAGCCCCCCTTCAGGTATACGCAGCTGCTCCTCGCCAAGCGCGATAGTCCTCGGCCGCGTCCGCCAGTCCGCATTCGTCCGGGCGACAGCCAAGGGCCTCGCCACCGCCTTCACGCCGCTGCCACTCAACCTCTGCCCGGCGCCGATGCTGCTCATGCTGATGCTGCTGCCGCGAGCGCCATGACCACCACGGCTGGGATCGCCAGGGAACTCGCTGATCGGACTGACCGCCTGGCTGAGGCGGAAGCTGGAGGCGGGCGGGCCGATCAGCGACATGGTTCGAGACCTGCGTCGTGCGGCGCGGTCCAGCGGTCTGTTGCTCATGGGCGAGGGGGAGAGGTATTGGCGGTCGTTGTTGGGTTGCGGCGAGGCCGTGCGGTCTGGCGTCGACGCTGCGGATGATGATGCGGCTTTGCGCTCGATCTTGCCGTCGCGGTCGGCGGCGAAGAAGTCGTCGCCGTGGCCGAGGACTACTTGCAGCGTCGCGAAGTCGCGCGTGCGCTGTTGCCCTTCTTCGCTGGGGAAGAGCCATTCTTGTAAGGGAGCGGGAAGGCCGGAGCTTTCTGTGTTGTGGTTTCAGTGTATAGGTCATTGATGAAGATGAGGGGGGCGCTGGTGGTGAATTGGAAGCACACTGACCTTGCCTATACTCCCCAGATTGTGTCTTCCAGCAAATGTAGTACCGCCCGAAAGAACCCAGTGCTGCGACAACCAGCTCCGTCATGCTATCCGGGCTGCTTGGGTCCGAGCTGATAGCGCTCAAGCGCTCATAGAAACCACCAGACATTGCCCCGCACTTCGCAGTAGCAGTTCACAGAACGCTACTTTGATTTCGGTCCGAAGGGGAGTGTAGGCGAAAAGAGCCAGGATAACTCGTCCACGAGTTCTTCCATTTCGAAGTAAGACGGAAACGTAAGGGAGTAGAGCTGTTGCGAAGTGTTTAACTCTCGGTTGGCTCACGTGTAATCGCCTCTGTTGTGGGTAAGCGGCACAACATTGTGTTTGAGGCGTGCGGTGAGACGGCGCCGAGAAAAATGCATAGGTCGGCTCAGCTGACCGTCAGGCTGGGTTTCACATTTTCCCATACACTCCCTCAGGACGAGGCACATCTTGTCAAGGAGGTGCGGGTGATCGCCAAATAGAGTATTGCCGTTGCGGGGGCTGGACCCGCTTTGTCCAGCCAATCGCTGAAGCGGACAAATGGGTAATCGGCATGCCATGACTAAAAAAGACTCGGATGAAAGGAAGTCAACTGCTTCGGGTTCCTCCAGAGCAGACGGTCTTTGACGTGCAAATCAAAAATGCAGAAGTGTAGACTTGTACCAGAAAACATACAAGATCGTGAATTAGAAAGTGACCAGACGTATATTCTACGAGGAATGTAATTTGAAGACGCAGCTGCCACCTCACTCTTCGTCCTCAACATAAGGCTTTCTGTACTTCTGCGAGAACAGTGGTGACGGGGCGCCTATTGCATCGTTTTGCCTGAAAACGGCTTCCGCAGCAGCCACCTCATCGTCGCCCTGGACAGAGCTGTCTGGAGTAGCGTGAGAAATGACTGAGCCATTTCTCACGGATTTTGAGGTCTCTTCTGGCGCGGACCAGATGGATGCACCGCAATTTGTATCGGTGGGAGTGCCAACTGTTCCTTCTGCTTGCTCTGCGAGCGAGCCTGAATCTGCACCGGTACTGATCCTGAGCCGGGAAAAGTCTGTTTCGTTGATGTGGCGGGGAGATTCATTGCCAGGATGTCCGCTCTCTTCGTCCTGGTATTTTCGCTCGCGGTGGTCCAGCACATGCGGGTAGCTTTCAGTTTCCTCTGCATGAGCGACAATCTGAGGAACTGCTGATGAATCTTTCGAGGTCTCGATACCCGGAGATTCGTCGTCTGCATCTTCTTCTGGCCTCTGTCGTTGCGCCTCCTCTTGCTGTTGCGCTGCTTCCTGTCGTTGTCTTTGCTGCTCCATCTGCATTTTCAAAATCTCCTGCTCCTTCGCAGCCTCGCGTTTGACATCGACAGTGACTTTCTTCTCTCTCCTCTGCAGCTCGACTTCTAGTACCCTTGTGCCAAAGGGTATCTTCCCCCGCAACCCATCGTCATCTAGGTCGAAATATAGCGCCCAGACGGCTGGATATTCCTCGACTGCAACGAAGCCCTCCCACCCATCGAGAGTCAAGCGACGATCCAGGCGCGTGCAGTCAAACGGCCCCGTGACGTTCGGTTGTGCATCAGCGCGCACGCCGTACTTGACCTCGCCGGTGTCTCTGTCAACGTAGATCCAATTCAGAATTGGCGCGACATCGGTAATGGTGCTAACGAGACCCTCAAACTCAGCATCTGGATACTGGAGGAAGTAGCCGGCGAAGGGGTGACCGTGGCGGCGCTCGTTTTCTTCTGTCGGGTTGAAATGGTCGTTTGTGGCGGGGTTTTCTTCATCTTCAGGGGCGGTGCCGGTGTCGATGTAAAGCTTGTTGTCGCGCAGGATGACCTGGCGCCCGTTGATTTCGCGACTGCGGATGGACGGCTTGACGCATGTCGCGATCAAGTTGCAGCGCCGGGCGCGGTGTTCTTCGCGTCGCTCTTTGGATTGCGATTGCCGGATCGCTTCTTGCGTGCCCAACATGGCAGGGCATGTGGTGAGGGCCAAGAGCATAGAGAGAACCATGTTGTGTGATTGTTGTTGGTATTGGTAGCGCTGGCGCTGTGGCGTATGGGATTGGTGGTGTCATTGTCGTGGACAGTTGTTGCATGAATTTTTGTGTTGAGAGAAAGTATGCCAGATGTGCAAATCTCAGGCCAGAAAACAAAAATGTGTAACTCTGCGACAGATGCACGGCTGGAATGGAGGTTGGCTAGGATGGAGTTGTCGCGGAGCTGTCTTGGGTGTGGCAGATCTTAGTTTGGACCCATTAAGGCGAACAAAACCAGCAACGTGCGTCGCGAAGACATTCCCGCCGAGACTCCAGGTCCGGCAAGAGTAGAGAATATCGCGTGATGCTCAGATCAGAAGTAAGCGACGGGTCAACGTGCGAGACCCTTTTGGTTTCAGAATCCCAGGGCGGCTTCGTGGTCCAAGCTCCTTTCCCGTTAGAGGACTCGCTACACTGCTTCAGCCTACGCATGAGCTGCAAAACCTTAGGAAGATCTGTCTTTGCGGCGCGTTTACTGATGCGCCGCGGGCGACTCCGTCGAACGATCCGGCCCCAGACGAGGGGGAAGGGAATTCATGCGTGCCGAATTTGGCATCTGGAGCTCGAAAGGCGCAAATCAACCCAGAGGCCTCAACACCGAAAGCGCTGTGAAGTCTGTATATAAGCTCAGTGGAAGTTCGATGTGAAAGGACCATCAGCAAGCAGCCTTCTCTACCAACAACTCCTCTACTCAACTCCTCACTGAACAAGCCGGCCGGTTCCGACTTTCCACTCCACCCAAACTTAATATTAATCCAGTCCTTTTCGACAAGACACCACCGCAAACATGTCTGCTGCCAAGTATGCTTGATCCCACTGCAGTACCCGTTGGTCATTGACTTACCATCAATTTCCCACAGCACCAAGCCCACCACCACTGCCCCCTTCGGCAACCCCAGCAGCCCCGCCTACAACAGCGACTCGGACTCGGACGGCCAGGCTCGCGGCGGCCGTCGTGCCCTGGTCAACAGCAATGACAGCAAGCAGCCTGGCTCGCACCTGCCTCCCCCGCCATCCTCTGCCAACCTTGCACAGCCTGCTGGTAAGACCTTCTCCGAGAGCCCAATGAAGAGGGAAAAGGAAAAAGCCATACTAACGCGAAAAATAGGCCAACTGCTTAAGGGCGCAACGGATGAGAACGGCAACCAGAAATCGGCAGCGCTGCTCGTCGGTATCAAGCTCGACTTGGAGGCGGAGATTCACCTCACTGCGCGGGTGAGGGGTGACATTTGCATTGGCCTGTACTAGCTGGCCGATGAGTCTCCAGGAGTGAATGGTGAAGGCCCTGGTGGCCATGAAGAACAGCCATTGGGAGAGATTACGTGCGCTTTGCTATGATTTTACTTTCAATCCAGAAGCTGGCTTTGGATGAAGAAAAAAGTTAGTAGAGTTGTTGGGAGGCGAATAGCGCCCCTTGATGAATACCCAGTTTTTTTGAGCACTGCATTTGACACAGCCGTGATCCGAGGAGCGAATAATCTAACAGTTTGGCGCTTTTATCAAACGCGCTTTGCTAATCATTGGATCAGAGTCAGCCAGTGAAGTCAAGAAGAAAGTGGCGCAACTTTGCGATGAATAGCAAACAACATGCGCGCGAATCGATTGGCAGCTTGACCGCGGCTGACAGGCTGTCAACTGTCGCGCATCGCAAGCATTGTCGAAGGGCTTGAATGTCGGCTCGAGGTTTGATCGCAATGAAGGTGGGGAATATTTGAGAAGCCGTCGGCAATGGTGTTGAGGCTAGACTGATAAGCTCATGATTTAAGATTGCGGGGCGGAGATTTGGTGGAGGCTGCGAACCATGTTCCTGAGCGCGACTCGCTCTGGCCCTGCCACCCCCCAGCACGCTCGCGCGCGCTTCGCGCAGAACCAAGGCAGACCCGCGCCGCTTTCCCTGTTCCACTCTCACTCGTTCTGCAACCCCAATTGAGTCCTCCACGTGTTCGCCATCTTCTTAACGCCATGTTCTCCCGCTCGTAACCTGCCGCTGCCATCTTACTCGTCGCCAGCCGTTTCCCACAATCCGCGTCAAGTCCACCCAGCGATCACGAGAGGATACGAACAACCATGAAGGACGAAGCAGCACTACCCACCACCGAACCCACGCGCTCCACGCAGGTCCCCGAATGGGAGCCTGCAGCACAGGCGCATGGCGGAAGCACCAAGCCCTCGCTGGGTGAGGCGTTACGCCAGAAGTTCGACGCCGCATGTCCGCCGCATCGCAAGTACTTGGGGCTCACGCGCCGCATGTTCCTACTCGTCCTGCTGGGCGTCATCCTCGCGATAATCGCATTGGCCGTGGGATTGGGCGTAGGCCTGTCGAAGAAGAGGTGCGCATCTCTCTGCGCCGCACCATTCGGTTGTATCGCGATTCTGACGGCTACAGCAGCGGAAGCGAGAACCTGCCCCTTCCTGATAATTCCGAAGCGCATTCCGGCGATCTCACATTCTACAACCCCGGCCTCGGCGCCTGCGGCGAGACGTCCACGGACGACGACGATATCGTGTCGCTGTCGTACAAGATCTGGGATGAGGTGCAGACCGGCTCGGATCCGAACCAGGTGGTGCTGTGCGGGATGAAGATTAGGGCGCGAAGGTTCAATGAGGATGTCAATGCGGAGCGCAGCGTGGACCTGACGGTCGTGGACAGATGTAAGTGGACAATGCGTATCGTTCTTGCAAGCTGAAACCGGACTAATCCGAGAAACGCAGGTACTGGCTGCGAACCCACTGATCTTGATGTCAGTCCTGGCGCATTCGAGAAACTGGCGCCAATTGCCAGCGGTAGAGTGACAGTCACCTGGGCGTGGCTAGATGCTGCGCCGACGGCCAAGTAGAAGCTTTGCTATGCTCTGCTGTTATTCTTCCCGCGTCCATTTTAAGATACCCATGCCAATTGGCCTTACCTCCTGTCAAATACCCACGAAATGTTGATTTTTCATCGATTTAGTAATCCGATCGACTCGGGTGTTCAATTCAATTCTTAGCTCTACAGGAGGGTATTGCAGCCGGAGGCTAGCGTGAATTTATTTTTCTCTCATACTATGGGTAGTTGAAGCTATCGTCCGGACGTGAATGTACAATTTTTAATCCTACATTTACATTCGGATGATAGCTTCAACTACCCATACATGTTCTTTTTGATTTTTTTTTTAAGAAAAAAGGAAGAGCAGAGGCATACTCACGTTATGTTCTAAGGCCTTGCCATTCTTCGCGCTAGCCATCTGCTGCAGCACTCCCCGTGCGTTCTTTTGCTGTCCTCAAGCTTCCCTAAACTCTTCAGGCGTATCCTCCTGCCTCCTCCAATGCGCTGCCTTCACCTCATCCAACGATTCCATGTGCCGGAACACACCCATAATCTTCGGCCACCTCTCCATGTCACAGCCCCATCTCTGCGCCGCCCACCTGTACCCATCATCAGCTCTTTCCCCGAGAAAATGACGACGAATAGAAGGGCAAGGGAACAGAAGCAGTAACAATAAAAAAGAAGGGACAAATCAATACTCACACCGCAGGCACCAAACACACATCCGCCGCCGTAACCCCCGTTCCAACACACCACTTACCCTGGCCCGCCTCGACCATCGTCCGCGCCAAGTACCCCTCGAACGCATCCAGCCCCCTCACCGTCCAGTCCCTTGCCCACGCCTGCCCGTCCTGGCCCATCTCGTTGACCGCCTTGATCGGCTTGCTGTTGGTCAGCGGCTGCGTGTCGCACGCAATAATCGCAACCAGCGTGCGCACGTGCGCGCGCTGCTCGATGGCGTCCGGCGTCGAGCCTTTTGGGAAGAGCGCGGGCGTCGAGGAGGGGAAGGCTTCGTCGAGGTACTCGAGCGCGGCCGTGGATTGCGTTATCGTGACCGTTTTGCGGATCCCGCCGTTGTCGCCTGTGGTCGTGTAGGTGTGCGTGAGCGTCGGCACCGTGCCGGACGGGTTGAGCGACTTGTAGTCCGCGGCAGATTGCTCGTTTTTGAGCAGGTGCACGGCCGTCGTGGTGAAGGGGAGCTGCTTGAGGCGGAGGGCGATGCGCAGGCGGCCGGAGCAGGAGGAGCGGAAGTAGGTGTGGAGGTGGAGGGGAGGCTGTTGGGAGGCGGTGCTGGAGGTTGACATTGTGGTAAATTAATTTATTGTGATATCAGGTGGTGGAAAGGAGAGAGAGAGGCGTTGTCTTTCTTTTCTCTTTCTCTTGGGTAACGCTAGGGCGAGTAGATCGAATTGAAGAGAGTCCTGCTTGCATGCTGACAGATGGAGCTCGCAGGCTTCATTTATTATAGTGGTAGAGTTGCACCGTGGTTCAGGTTACCTAGCCGTATGCCGCTGCCAACCGCGGAATGCGGTCCGCGATGGTTTGCGGGTGCGGGTGCGGGGCGCGGGGTCGCCGCGTAGACGCGGATATTTAAGGAGGGGTTGTGAGCATCACCAGATTCGGTACAGGAGATAATTGAGCTGTGGTGCCGAGGATATAGGTGCTAGTGTCGACTTGCAGTATTCTCGTTGTTGTCGACAGGAAAGAAGCAGAGTGCGAACAGCTCTAAGTGATAGCCCTCTTTTGAAAGCCCCCAGCTAGATTCCAAACAGGCCTTCTGCGATTATGCAGAGCGCTCTGGTCTTTGCCACTCCTCAACAGGCCTAGTGGTATTATTATTCACTCTCAAAGGAATAATAAAGCCTGATTGTAAAAGGCGAGCTATATATTCGGGCGTAGCAGCTTACCCGATTTCTAGAGCAACTTTTTTTTTTTTAGAAAAAAAAATTGAGGCAATAATTCATGGGGAGCTGAAGCGCATATCCGGAAGCAGATGTGCATTAAAAAATAGAACAAATACATCCGGACATCAGCTTGAACTCCTCGCCTTAAGTTACATATACTATTAGCTGCTGGAGGGTGGGCCGCGTTAGCCTGGGAGGTGGATTTCTAAACCAAGTGCAGGCTACCTGATTCGATTTGACATGATCACCACCTCCCCCCTTTACCTGGAACAACTTATGCTTCAACACAAATAGCAGTCTAAAATTGAATTCATCATTCATTCATGCCTGGAGCGTAGCGGTCTCCTGGAAAATGGGAGAAAGTGATTATTTACAATTAAATCACCAGTAAGTCGCCCACTTGCTGGTACCCTTAACCACATCGACGAACTCGCGCGCAATGACACGGTCAGCCTGCTCGCTCGGGTGCAGTGCGTCGTACCACAAGTAGCTATCCCGGTCGCTGAGCGATAGCGACTCATTGGCCGTAATGTAACCCTGCACATTCAGCGGTGCGGTGCCATTGAGGTACTCGGCCGGGTTCTCGTACATGTCGGTGAACTGTGATCATAATCAGCAAGTTGCCTTGTTGAAGATTGGTTTGAAGCTGATCCAAGATAGCCGAAGGCGATAGACTAGGCTGTAGCGGGGTTAAATCTCACCAAGCTATACATGTCAAAGATGGCGAAGTGCGCGCCAGGATAGCGGTTGGCGACGAGCTGCTCGTACGGCGTCTGATACTTGTACACGGCATTGGCAAGATTCACTTGCTCCTTCATGCGGTAGCTGGTCTCGGTCTGATTCTGTACTTGGCCAACACCGCCATTCTCAGGAGTTGCGTAGACGGGAGCGAGTTGCAGTGGTGCAAGGTTCATGAGCACGAAGTAGCGGGCGCCGTTCTCATAGAGCTACGCTTGGGAGTCAGCTGTGCTCCCATGTTCAAATTGAAATCATATGCGTACGGTGTCAAATTGATTGTACACGCAGTTGATGTAGTCAACGATGGTCAGACCAGGAGTTTGAGACTCAGTCAGGAAGGCGTTACTGCCAATGTCGTTCGTGCCGATCCACATGCTGTAGACGGTCTCGGTGTCCGGGACGATGAACGCAGATGTGCCATTTGCGGGAGTGTATGACCTGTCTGCAAGGAACTTTGGGATCTCATAGCCTTCAACGTCGGGGAAGGAGGCATTGATCAAGCTCAGGTAGCGGTCCACCTGCTTGTTGGAGCAGACGGCACCTGAAACAGCATAATCGTATAGGTTTGCTCCGGTATAGTCTGCCACGTATCGAGGCCAGATACGGCCACCGGTGGAGGTTGAATTGCTCTGCCGAGAGAATGTGAGCGAATTTTTGACTCAGAGACAGGCTCGGATAACTAGTACCTCAGGACCAATCCAGCCGAGCGGTGGGGCCAGGCCTCCAGTCGAAATGAAGTAGGCTAGCTGGGACTCGTCTGTATAGCTGTCTCCGAATGCAACCAAGCTAGTGAACTTTTGCAAATCCCAGGACCCATAGCTGGGGGCTGATGAGTAGTGTTGCGGAGTGGGGCTAGCGGAAGCAGCGCCCACTAGGAGAGCGAGCAGCAGATTGACAAAAGACGAGGATACCATGGCGATCAAGCGAGCAAAACGGAGAATTTTGTACGAGAAGCTATGACAAGCTTTCGATCATGTAGGCAAGGAACCAACGGGTCGTCGCGAGATCTCACTCCCATTTATACAATACGTCTGCCCCTCCTCACCCCCGCAATTGAGCCTTGCTAGTCGCGGAGCCTCGACGGCATGACATTGCAGCGTTGCTTGACATGACGTGAACGGAACGGATGGCACGCTCCGGTCATACATGACGCAGTTTGAGGCCTAGAGGCTTTGGCAGCGGGTATTCTGACCCCGTGTTGACTTGCGCAAGCGTCCCGCGGCGGAGAAACATACGAGAAATGCACGCAACAATAGGTACCGAGGCGGCTCTAAGCGGGTTTGGCGGTACGGCCGGAGGTGGCGGCGCACAACAGGCTAAAAGGGAAGATCAGGAACCCCGAGGAGAGGGGTTACCAACGGCGCGGTGCTGGGGGTGGTGTGCTGCCGGAAGGCTATTTAGAGTTGTAAACGTCGATCCCCGCTGGGTGGCGGCTGTCAAAACCAGAGAAGGAAGCGGTGGCTGACGGCGGACGCTCGGAGTGCGGGGAGGAGGGGACGGAGGCTCGGATGCAGGCGGTCCGCATCGGAGAGACGAAGCGGTGTCGAGATGTGGTTCTACGACGGCGATGGTAGCTGCGCAGGCCTGATAAGGACAGGCGTTGCGGACACGTCAGGGTGCGTCGCGAAGCCTAATGCGCGCGTTGCAGGGCTCACCACCTGATGATATGCATCCCGATCTGGCGCAGCGGCTGCGTGCCCGGCGCGCGTTTTCACGTGACAGCGCCAGGCGTCCGCAAAGGACTTCGTTCGAGAAAAAAGGACGATGGCTTGCAGCCCCTGCAGCCCTGGCGACGGGGAAGCGCGCGGATTTACCGCGGACTTGCGATTCCTCGACGACGGCGCGAGTCAGGGGCGGCTGCAAAGTTGCCAGTGCGAGCGCGGGAATAATAATCTTCAGTCAGCGTCTTGGGATGCGGTGCTTCCTGAGTAGGCAGTCTGATGATGGATCGTCGTTGGGCTGCTGTTTCGGCTGACGTTGGGCAGGGCGGTGTCCAGGTCGTGCGAGGAGGGTGCTGCGCTGTGCGGCACAGGCTCACCGTGATGTCGCTCGATACAGCGAGCTGCGGCGCCTTGCGGGGCGCAAAGCTGGAGCAGACGGCGGGCCAGGCCCTGACACGTTGGAGCTGGCGGCTGCGGCAGCAACAGCAGGCGCGCGGCGAGTGAGCCGGCGGCGGCTGCGGCAAGCCCGCACGTGCTTGTAGGCGCATGCGGCCCTAACAGCGCGCCGTCTTCCGCGAAAGCTAGGATCCCGAGTCGATAGTTCCGTGGGTGCTTTGAGGTCGGATCAACCGGGATGTGGATCCACGGCTGCAGCTGGACAGGCCATGTTTCTGTGCTTCTGGACGTCGTGTGCAGCGAAGCCGGCCCACGCCTGCGCGATGCGGTGAGGACTCGATCCTCCGCATCCCCAGAAGGCTGCCAGACGCTGCAGCAGATCGATCTCCGGCCCGTTCTGCGTTGTTCCTCCGACGATGCCCGAGTCATGGCGCTGGGACGACGGGCGTGGATGCGCCTTGAAATTGAGCCGACCCAGGTGCCACATCTCCTCCAGCCATTGCTCAATGACATGTCGGAACCACTCTGCTGGGTGGCCCACCGCTGCCGTCCTCCTTTTCCTGCCGTGCCCTGGGACCGTCAGACGGGAGCCTCCATCGCCCAGGGCTGCGCGTTTCAAGATGGCTTCCCGCGTGCTGCTGTTCCTGCTCTTGCCCTGTGTCATCACTTTCTGCAACTCGCCAGCCTCCTCGCCAGTGACGCCTTGCCGCCGTGCACGGCCAGACGGCCTCAGCTCTTCTGGATCCTGCCTTCCCTTCCCGAACCCGCGTCCTTGGCGGCCCGGTACACTATCTTCTCCCTAAACTTTAACTCCACTCCACCCTTTACCCACCCTCGCCAGACTCGCCTGCTCTTACTCCTCGCCGGGAGACGCCGTGGCTGCCGTGCTTCACCTCTCCTCTCCCGGCTGGCCATCCTGGTCGGAGCTGTCCCTGTTCGAAGTCGGGCCGCCGCTGTACCTCACTGCTGCACTCGTCATTTCCTTGCGCTCTTCCTCATCAACTCACTCGTCCTCAACCTGCTCGCTGCGTGACGCTGCATCCGCACCCCGCCAGGCCCGCGTCGCGCTCTCACGCACACTCACACCCCGCCCGTTGGCAACGCAGCAAGCGAAAAAGGTTTCATTCTGGTTGCTAGGAAGAACGCCAAGCCACATATGCCGCGCCAAAACAATCTGCTTTATGCTCGTTCAGCCGTCTTCTGGTTGGTCCAATCTCGCACCTCACTCCCGCGCGTCTGACGCGCAGTGCCTGGCCTATCTGGTGGCTAACCGCCGGCGCAGGAGACCCACTTCTTCCCCGCAGAAGATTTACGCTCGCTTCCGTCCCCAAGCCACGGTTCTGTGTCAGACGTCAATGCTTGTCGCACCTGGGGGGTGAAGCCATCTTACAGCGGGATGTACAGCTTCAGGAGCGGATCGGCAGCCTCTTGCCGCGCCCGCTCCGTCAACGTAGCCACCTGCTCCTTGGTCCAGCCCATGCGCGCCGTAAAGGGCCATATCGCGAGCGAGTCGAGCATGGCGCCGATGTTCTCGAGATTCTGTTGACCTACCCACTGCAGTCTCGGATCTACGACGAGGATGCCTGTTAGCCGAGTGTTACACGAACCAGGCATCAAGGCGGAAGGTCGATTCCGCATGCCCTGAAGGCCCGTTCCGAACGAAGCACCTTACCCGTCGGCCATCCTCCAATCGGCATTCGGTACGTGACCTCCTGCACGTCTGTTAACCCTGCCGAGCGCATCAACTGTCCCAGATGTCGACCTATGCGGGGATCCCGGTCTCGCTCCATCGTGTGCCGGTACCCGTTGGACCATTGCATCAACGCGTGCTCGTCCGTCAGTCTTCCGCTGTCTGACTGGATGATGTAGTAGAACTCGGCCATTTGGACCCAGCCACCGCGCTTGAGCAGCTTGACGATGTCTCGGATGTATCGTGGCCACCGGTCTCGCTTTATGCCAGGCGCCACAAGCCTCGAGTGGATCAAGTCGTACTCGTTTGGTTTGTACGTCGGCGTGAGCGTCTGGTTGAGGTCCCATGCCTCAATCCACAGGTTGTCCGGTTGGTCGTCAGGAAGCTCGTTGGTTGGATAAACATCGACGGCTGTTATCTATGGCATCGTCTGTCAGCAAAGAATTTTCGCAGCCCTGTAGCATCACTGCCGCCTCCCCAACAAAAGGATCTCGGACCCGCAGCTCTTCCTGGGCTTGGATGGATAGAAAATTTGCATATTTGTTTCTTCTTCTGTCCCCTCTCGGCCGTCCCTGATTCGAGTCGGGAGGACATCTAGAAATGAAGGACCTACCTCGCTGTCTGGATAGGTCTGCGCCATCTCCAGCGCCCAGTTGCCTCGGCCATACCCGCAGTCGAGGACTTTTTTCGGGTGCTGGATGGGCGGGAAAAATAACCGGCCTTCGAAAAGATATTGCAAGATCTGGTGCTGGTTTTCGAGCCGCTGCTCTTCGCCCTGTTGTTTCTGCCTCAGCACACTCTACTCGACCGAACCAACATGTCTTGGCCGCCGTGGTTCCAGCCGGGCCCTCGAGAGGAGACCAAAAAACCACAGGCTGCACCCCATTTGCGAGGGTCGAAGGAATACGCCGCACTTACCTCATCTACCGGGACGCAGTATATTTGGTTGTCGATGGAGAATTTCTGGAATTCTCGGTCGTGCAGCTCCACAATCTCCTTGTACTCTTCAGACACAGACTCGGACATCCTGTCGCCCTCGGTTTACGATGCGCTGTTCGTTTGTTCGACTGCTGTGGCTTGTTCTTGTACGACGTGGATGACGTGAATCACCATGGGCAAGGTTGGATGCTTGGGGCTCTACCAGCTGCCCGGGATAGCGTGGGTGCGCGCAGCGTGGGCACACGATGCCTGACGCAGCGGGAGCCGGATAGCCCCGCAAGAGCGCCAGTACGGCCCCCTTCCGCCAAACAAGCACGTCTCTCTGGATCATGTGCGTCACGTCACAGGAGCAGCAGCAAGAAGGGACCTGCGCGAGCCTCAGGATCTTCTTCATTTCATCCGGAGCTTTCTCCTCGCGCAATATGGACGAGACAAGACCCGAAAGCGCGGACACACGAGCGAGCCTGCTGGTGCTGCCGCATGGGGCCAAGAACACCCGCGCCGTCGACGGACACAGCCGCAAATTCGTGAAACATGATACGCACACCAGTCCTCACCTGACGAGCGATCAATACGCACACCAGCCTCGACTGCAAGTGGCGGGTAAGGGCCACGAGGCTCAGAGGGCCTCCTGCTGCCTCCAAGGAACCGATTATCCTCCAAAAGACGGTGAAGCGGCGGCAACCACTGCAACGGCAGATGACTACGCAAGCAGCACGTAAAGCACGCCGCGAGTTCTAGACTCCGTGTGCCGCGGAGCCACGGGCAAGGCTTGATGCGGGCGCCCGTCATTACGAAATCCCGCTTGATCTAGGCTTCACCACTCGGTCATTATCTGCCGCCTGCGTGGGGAGCGCATTGAGACGTGCAGGCTGGTCGAGGAGCAGTACGACTACCTACGGCTCCTTAACCAAGCTTCCCCTTCCCTGGCACATCCTCACCCGTGCCGAATGATGCCAGTTTCGTCACGGCAACGCGCCTTCCACGCGAGCTCGGGCGATTGGATCACATTGGCTTGTTGGCCGTCTCCACCGGTTTAGCACCGGTGGGCCCCCGCTCGGCAGCGGCGGGCTGGGGATCTTCTGGCAAGGCGGCGTCATTTGGTCACAGGTCGTGGCGATTCCCAATCACACTGCGGAAGCGCCCAACACGCTGCAGGTTTTGGGGTACGCCCCAAAGCTGCTGAAAGGCTGCATTAGGCCGCCATGATCGAACAAGGTGAGCTCATCGCACATTCCTCCACACAAGCTCTGAACCACTCCCTATCGCCGTCCAATTGATCACCACTATTGGCTCGGTGTTGCTGTTTGTCATTCCCATCTAGAATGAGGCTGTTCCCAATTACCGAGAGCACCGCGATGCGAAATGATGCGGTGACGGCCGAAGGGCAGGGCAACATCCGCCACCGGCAGGGCCCGATAAGGCTTGGTGACGGGAATTTTCCCGAGGACATGGCCTTGGGACGGACAACCGTGTGCCCTCTCTCTCGCTTTCTCTCCGGACGATATTCAGGGTCAAGAACTTTGGGAGGTGTCCTCGGAAGCTACAAGATTGAAGGGCCGCACTTTGCAGGGCCGTGGTTAGCCCGTGGGCCAAGTGTGTTTGGGGCGAAGACAAGGCTCCTGGCTTGCGCTCTCCTTTCGCTTATTTGGGCGGTGGCCACGTGGGCGCCAGTCCGGGCTACGGCCTGGCTCCTGTACGAAACCAACTCCGTGTCACTCAGTCCTAACCCCCATTCTCGCATTCAAGCGAGCCATGAGAAAGACGTCTCTACCTGGGACGCAGGCCTGAGGTGTGAATGCGATAGGTCTTATGTCGGGTTTCGAACGCTTGGTGCGCAGCCTGTCGGATCCGCCTCCGCTTCTTACCCGGCGTTCATCAAATCATCAACCACGAGGTACGGACAGCTCGGTCTGCACGAAGCAAACGAAGAATCGCCAGATTGTGGTGGCCGGCTGCTTTCATGGATCTCTCTCTTCGCTGGGATCGGAACCGAGCCGTTTCGCTTGATTGAGAGAGTATGCAGGCCTGGACGAATCAATGCAATGCCCCATAGCATCACATTTTTCCTGCCTGGGAAAACATTGCAGCTGACCTGCGTCGGCTCGAGAGACGGCTTTTCGGGCACGCACAAGGTACCTGTTCAGGAAGTTCCAGGGCTTTCCAGAAGACGGCTCCGCCGAGGGATCAGGCGGAGGAGTCAGGGAAGATTGCACCCGGGGCCCTTGCGACGCAGCACGTCCTGGCCTGTCCGGTATCCACGCGTTCCCTTACCGCAAATAACTCTCCCCATGATGCTGCAGCTCTCTGGGCTCGGCTGCCGTCAGGCTGACCTGCCCCTGGTCCGGTTTGGCCGACCTCACGAAGATCACGCCGTGTGAATGACACCCATGCCATATACATCTATATTGGTGATCATATCCGGGTAGAGGAACAATAGCTAAAGACGCCCCTTTGATTCGTTCCCCAGACAGAGGCGCTACTGTCGTTTCCAATGCACCAAGGCCGGCAGGAGGAAAACGATGGGACAGACCACTTCCAACTCGTGTCACATCCTTCAACTAATGGCGTAGCAGGGGGTTGGAGGTAACGGTACCTCATGATCACTTCTTCATTAGGCAGCAGTCGTGCACATCCTCGTCCGCTGCTAGTGAAGACGGCCTGGCCCCCTCATCTTCTCCTCTTCCGCCTCCACCAACGGGCCTTTCTCTTGGCCCTCATCGCAACACGCACGCCGAGAGAGGGCATAGCTGCTTCACCGGTGAAGAAAATATTTTCTGCAGACTATTGTTAGTGCGGGATCCGCGGAGCCTTCTGATAACCCGCATCGCGCGATTCAGTCGTACTCGGCAAATCGATCCACAAGAGCCAAATTGAGCGCACATAGCCTTCGGTGATAACGCGAGAACTGAGAGCTAGTCGGATGTCCACTCAGTGGCTTTGGTAAGCAGGTAAGACACTTGTTTGGGAGAAGTCGATAAGTGGAGGAAGCATGCCATGAGTCTACACTCACAGCCATACAGCTTTCCCCTGTGTGCTTCCTCACCACGCGCGGCTGCATTGACTAGTTCTCTTCTCAGTCATGTTAATGGTCATACTAAGGCTGGTGTTTTCAGGTGCAACTGCCGGGGCGCTTCCCCTCCCTATCAGTAATCGAACCTTGAAACCGCACACCAGCGACGCCCCTATTCACCTCAACCATCACTCAAACAACCATCAAACCTTACCCACAGGCTTTTCTAATGAGCGCAGCAGATTCGTACGAACCGAAGTGCCCGGCGAAAACCTTGACTGATACACACGCTCAACCCCGCTTTGTGCGAACGTTCGTTCCGATACAGTGCGACACTGTCACAATACTCCATCATCTGGCCCTCCCAACCATCGATACAGACCGAGGTATGCGCTTGCTGAAGGGCACAGTCTGCATGCAGTCCGATGGTTAGTGCAGGAACTGCCGGTATCGAGACAGGACTGGCACAATACGACATCCGCTCATCGGCGATTCCACACCCCACACGCAACAAACGCATGGCCGTTCCGGCATTCATCATGGAAGATCAGAAGGGTGATTGATCTCATGCAAGTGGCGGTAAGAAGGTTTCGATCAGGAGACGGCGAAGCGGCTGCGGGCCGACCCGTGCCTCGTTGCGAAGCAAGCAGGTGGCGCTACGAATGCCGAATCCTCCTCGCACGTCCGCCTTTACCTACGCTATGGAGCCTAGAGAACGACTAAGGCTTCGCCTATCGTGGCGTCATAGCGATGTAGGCGAGAGATGGTGCAAAAGGGGCACGCGGCGGTCGCCACGAGCTACTAACTGTATAGGACCGACAACAAACACCACAACAACATCGAGATCTACCTTTCCATCGCAGCACGAATTCTTTCACAATGAAACGTCGCCATCACGAGTATCCAGCCTTTACAGCGAAACTCGGAAATGAAAACCGTTCGATAACTGCGAAGCCGGACCGCTCAGCTGTAGATCCTCTTCCTCGTCGCCTCCCGCGAAGCCGCATCGCTCATACACACCCGAACGCAAAACACCATGACGATTTCATCGACACATAAAATCGTTGATATCGACTCGGATCGTTGGAAATCCCTACATCAAAACCCGATGCTTTGTCCGGCGATAGTAGTCGTTTTGCTCGTCTAGCGTCTGTCTGCACGAGGTTCTCATAAACGAGCTGCTAAGCGGTGGGCTAAGCGGTAGGCTAAGCGTCAAACTTCGCGAGCGGATGTTAATATAAGGTATAACATCTCTATACCCGAAAGGTAGGTTACGCAACAACGGTAATGTGTAAAGCGCTATCGTGTCGTAACATCCCACGCGGTATAGTACGCATCCTGGTGCGGTTACGGTACGCTGCGCGAGTTTGTTTGTTCACCCGGTAGTGTTACAACGGGTGTGGTTGCGCTTGAAAGTTCATCCACCTCTCTATTCGCATTTCGGGCGTTGGTGACGAACAAGACTGATGGGCTAAGCACCGGTGGTGTGTTGTGTTGAAACATTGGCCGTTTCCTGCCCTCGCTTCAAATATCACCCGATAAGGAATATTGAGGCTCTTTGACCGTCTTGGTGGTATTTTTAGACATGATATCATTCAAATCAAACCTACGGAAAATCTATCTACCTACTCACCTCTCTGCGAACCCGGCTAGCTCGTGATGACTACGTATTGTCGGATGACAGCACCGGAAACGAGCAGTGACTCGCGTCCGCATCAGTGCATGCCACGGACCGACCGAACAGCTGAGCTGCCATTATCGAGTCTGAGCTCTTGTCAAAGCTTCGGTTCGCCTCATTCATGTGTGCGTGGGATGATTATCTTGCGTGAGGCGGACGTAAGGCGTTGCAAAGACCTTGTCCACCGACTTTTTGTCGTTTATCTCTCGCTCTCTTACTAGTTCCATCCCTGCGCATGAATGCCCCTGACGATGCTAATTCACAGCGGAGTATTGATGACCATTCACACTATGCACAGTGCTGGTTCCTTACCTTGGCAACGTTTGCTCTTTCTTTGCGCTTTCACTGCGCCTACAGCTTCTGGACGGACTTGACGCGACGGTCCTTGCCAACGACGAGACGGAGCTGCTTGCCCTTTTCGCCCTTGAAAATGCCGGAACGGAGAGTCTCAGTATAGAGCTCGTACGCGGGATAGTCTTTCGTGAGGTATGCTATCAGCCCCGGTTCATTCCAGACTTATTGCTTCCTCTTGCAGTAGAGCAAAGTACCAGGAAGAATAAAAGTAGAGGGGAAGTTGCGGAGCCTGCAAAACTTACAGCCGTTCACGAAGTTCATGACCTGCGCATCCGTCATGCCAGTACCCTTGGCAGCGCGCATAGCAGCTTCCTGCTGCAGGCGCCAGTCGTAGACGTACTGCGTGTTCTCGGCATCGATATGCACAAAGGCGTCAAGCATGCTGTATTTCCGTTTTCCGCGGGCAAGGCGCGGAAGCCATCAGCACAAAAACACAAGGAAATCAACAGCGCCTCAACTTTCAGCCGAGTCGCGGCCTAGGGGCCCTCAACACCACAAAGCGGCCCGAAAGTGGGATTTTGCTCACTGAGCGCGGAATTAGGGAGGACGGAGAGAGGGACTGGCACTCACTCAGTCAGCGCGTCGTACTCGCGCAGCTTGTCGTTCACGAAGCGCAAGTGCGCAAGCTCGTGGCGCGCCAGCTGGCCATCGTAGCTCTCGCCGGCGTCCACGCGCTTCTTCGCATCGGCCCAGCGCGCCTCCAGCACGTCGTCCGGCAGCGCGCGGAAGCCGACGCACCAGCCCTCGAAGACAACGACCTCGACGGGCGGCTGCCCGGGAGCGTTGACCTCCTCCCACGTCTCGGCCGGCGCGCGGTCGCCAGCGCCCGCGAAGCGCGACTTGTCATAGACGGGGATCTTGGTCGGCTGTTTGTGCAAGAGCGAGGCGAAGACGGATCGGCCGAGGTCGAGGTCGTGCGTGCTGGGCTCGCCGCGGTGCTGGATGAGCGGGTTGGTCGGGTCGGTCGAGGCGAGGGCGATTTGGTCGTCGTGGGTCAGGTAGAGGTCGTCGATGCTGAGGACGGCGGTGGGGAGCGAGTAGGGCGGGGAACGGAGCGTGCTGCAGAGGGTGGTGACCTGCGCGAGGAATGAGGGCTGTTAGCAGCTGCCAATGGCTCGCTCTGTGTCGCGTGGATTGCATTCTCACCAGGGTCGTCTTGCCAGCGCCCTGCACGCCATTCAGGCCCAGGAAGAAGGGCCGCGCATTCTCGCCATGCAGAGCGCGGTGGGCCTTGATGCGGTCGAGGATGAAGGGAATGCAGTGCTCTGACTTGTCGTCGATGATGGCGGACATGGCTGCGATTCCTGAGTGGTGACGGTTTCGTGCTTGTGCTTAGGCCGAGAGTCAGGTGGACTGGTGAGAGCCAGAGTTTACGGGCGGTAGCGTCATCATCTTGGGCGAACATGTGAAGACAGCCGCCTCTGGATTCGTGGGGTCCTGGTTAGCGCCCCCACAAAAAGGTCCTGGGCTGCTCCCCCGCCAATGGCGGCGTCGGTTCCAACACAGCCGAGGCTGTGACGACGATTGCCGTGAGCAGCTCGGCTTCGTCCACGCGCGCGTTCCCTGTGCAGCTACTTTATACCTATCCCGCACCGAGACGGCCCCTTCTCCTCCGCACTTTCATCCCTTCTCCAGCTTTTCCCTTCTCCTCCTCCACACTTCTCCACACGAGAGCTGCGCAGAGCTTCCGTCGATCGGCTCCTTGTTTTCTCTATTCTTTGTGTTGCCCCTCCACACTATATCCATTATGGCCGAACAACTGCGCTTCGATGGCCAAACCGTCGTCGTGACGGGTGCCGGTGGTGGCCTGGGCAAGGCCTATGCCACCTTCTTCGGCTCGCGGGGTGCTAACGTCGTCGTCAACGACCTGGGTGGCTCCTTCAAGGGTGAGGGCAACTCGACAAAGGTGCGTTCCCTGAGCTCAGCTTCCCCCGGAAAGCTCCCCGAAGCTGACTTTCACGTGAAAATCGATAGGCAGCGGACGTGGTCGTCGACGAGATCAAAAAGGCCGGCGGTAAGGCCGTCGCCAATTACGACAGCGTCGAGAACGGCGACCGCATCATCGACACTGCGATCAAGGCCTTTGGCCGCATTGATATCCTTATCAACAACGCCGGTATCCTCCGCGATGTGAGCTTCAAGAACATGAAGGATGCGGACTGGGACTTGATCAACAGCGTCCACGTCAAGGGTGCATACAAGGTGTGTATATCCGAAACACATGGATTGGTAAAGAGAACGGATGATGCTGATACTGGATGTAGTGCGCAAGAGCAGCGTGGCCGCACTTCAGAAAACAAAAGTATGGCCGCGTTATCAACACTGCGTCTGCAGCAGGCCTCTTTGGCAACTTTGGCCAGTGCAATTACTCTGGTAAGCAACATGTTAGTTATGCAGAGACTAGCTGCTAACAGGAGAGTAGCCGCCAAATTGGCCCAGGTTGGCTTCACCGAGACTCTCGCAAAGGAGGGTCTTAAGTACAACATCCTCGCCAACGTCATTGCTCCTATTGCAGCAAGCCGCATGACCGAGACCATCATGCCCCCGGATGTTCTCGAGAACCTGAAGCCTGACTGGATCGTCCCGCTCGTCGCCGTTCTGGTCCACCCCTCCAACACCGAGGAGACTGGATCTATCTTTGAGGTTGGCGGTGGCCACGTTGCGAAGCTGAGGTGGGAGCGTGCCAAGGGTGGCCTCCTCAAGGCCGACAGCACCATGACCCCTGGTGCTGTTCTGGCCAAGTGGAGCGATATCACCGACTTCTCCAAGCCCGAGTACCCGACCGGTCCGGCGAACTTTGTCGAGCTGCTCGAGGAAGCACAGAAGATTCCTTCCAACCCGCCTGCACAGAACCCTGACTTCACGGGCAAGGTTGCACTCATCACTGGCGGTGGTGCTGGTCTTGGTCGTGCATATGCTCTGCTTTTTGCAAAGTATGGCGCGAAGATTGTCATCAACGATCTGGCCGACCCGGACACTGTTGTCCAGGAGATCCAGAAGCTTGGCGGTCAGGCAGTCGGTGTCAAGGCATCCGCAGAGGAGGGTGATGTTGTCGTTAAGGCCGCCATTGACGCTTACGGCCGGATTGACATTATCATCAACAATGCAGGTATCCTCCGTGATAAGGCCTTCGCCAACATGGACGACAGCCAGTGGGATTCGGTCATGAACGTCCATCTCCGTGGCACTTACAAGGTTACCAAGGCGGCCTGGCCTTACATGCTCAAGCAGAAGTACGGCCGCATTGTCAACACCACCTCTACCAGCGGTATCTACGGTAACTTCGGTCAGGCCAACTACGCTGCGGCCAAGTGCGGTATCCTGGGCTTCTCTCGTGCCCTTGCTCGCGAAGGTGCCAAGAACAACATTTTCGTGAACACCATCGCCCCCAATGCTGGTACCAACATGACCCGTACCATCCTGCCTGAGGAGCTCGTGCAGGCATTCAAGCCTGACTACGTTGCTCCCCTCGTCGTCGCTCTCTGCTCCGACAGCGTTCCCGACCCCACAGGCGGTCTTTACGAGGTCGGCAGTGGCTGGCAGGGCGCTACCAGGTGGCAGCGTTCTGGCGGCCACGGCTTCCCTATCGACGTCAAGCTTACTCCCGAGGCCGTCAAGCAGGTGTGGCCCAAGATCATCAACTTCGACGACGGCCGTGCCGACCACCCCACCGAGCCCAACGACAGTGCTGGCAAGATCATGGCCAACTTCTCAAACAGAAGTGGTTCGGCGGGCGGTAAGTCCAAGCTCTAGATTAGCCACTCAATGTGTTTCTATTGTAAAATCTCGCATCGAGAAATTTTGTATAATGAAAGAATTGTATACCCTCTTCATCATCCAACCCTGAATCTACCCATCACCATTTTGTGAAAACTTTGCCCTGACCTATTCTACCTTCTCATTTTCGTTTCACTGACCAACCCATGCAGAATCCTCCGGCGGCGATAACGAAATTCTCCAAGCAATTGAGGAGGCAAAGAAGGCGAAGGCTGAAGGAACCGACTTCGTCTATGATGACCGTGATGTCATTCTATACAGTAAGTGGTGTTGAAACACATGAATTGACTCGTAGCTAATGTTCTTCACCAGACCTTGGTATTGGCGCGAAGCGTACCGACCTGCCTCTCGTTTTCGAAAACGACGAGAACTTCCAGGTCGTCCCGACTTTCGGTGTCATCCCGCCCTTCAATGCCACTGCCCCCTTCAGCATGGCTGATGTGGTGCCCAACTTCTCTCCGATGATGCTTCTGCACGGCGAGCAATATCTCGAGATCCGCAAATTCCCCATTCCGACATCGGCCACGCTCGTGTCATACCCGTCGCTGGTCGAGGTCGTCGATAAGGGCAAATCGGGCATCATCGTGACAGGTACCGTGACGAAGGATAAGGCAACTGGCGAGGACCTCTTCTACAACGAGGCCACCGTCTTCATTCGCGGCTCGGGTGGTTTCGGTGGACCCAAGAAGGGTGCAGACCGCGGCCCTGCGACCAAGGTGCACGTGCCGCCCAAGCGTGCGCCCGACGCCGTTGTTGAGGAGAAGACGACCGAGGAGCAGGCAGCCATCTATCGTCTCAGCGGTGACCGCAACCCGCTGCACATCGACCCCGAATTCAGCAAGGTGGGCGGCTTCGAGACTCCGATCCTGCACGGCTTGTGCTTCTTCGGCATCGCGGGCAAGCACATCTTGAAGACGTTCGGCATGTTCAGGAACATCAAGGTTAGGTTCGCCGGCACGGTTTTGCCGGGTCAGACGCTCAGGACGGAGATGTGGAAGGCAGGAAACACTGTCATCTTCCAGGTTGTGGTGAAGGAGACTGGAAAGTTGGCTATTGCGGGTGCGGGTGCTGAGTTGGTGGGTGCGGAGAAGGCCAAGCTGTGAATAAGAGGCGGAAGCTGAATGTTGGGAATTTGGATGAAGGGAGTTCGTTGGAAAAGTGGATGAGCATATGTAACTTTTACGTCTTACTTCATATGGGTTCCGTGTAGGATTTGCATAAACATTTGTTCTCGGATATACTTTCTTGCATCTGTCAGCTGCTGCTCGGTTCTCGTGTACATGCATGTAAAACTTAGCTGGGACTTTAAACTGCGGCACTATGTGCTGGGGGCTGAACGACATCATTACCAGCACATACAAGTTCAATTTCGCTGCTTGTGTTTTTGTTTTACTTTACAAGAAATAGGATGGTGTATGGCCAATAGCCAATCCGAACCAGCACTTTAGCGTTTTGTTCATCATTTTTCGAGTGGTTTTTAGTCGGTCGGTGGGTAGAGGTGGACAGATAATTTTTAGACAAACAAAATATATGTGGGTAGTCAAAGCTATCGTCCGGACGTGTATGTAAAATTAAAAGTTTGACGTACCGAACGCGGACAGAATTCTAACAGCATGTTATCAAACTACTAGGCGTAAGATAAAAGAAGTAGAAGCGACCGGCTTCTGATGAATTGCCTTGTCGGGCGCCTAACACGTAGCAGTCGCAAGTGGTGCACCTACACTTATTAAAAGCTCGTCCTTCCCCAACCCTACTGAAATTAACTAGACTACGATAACTCTACTCCTATCTTAGTATACGAGAAAACTTCCTCTAGTCTAACAGTCCCTGCTTTAGTCAACAACTAGTCATTATGTCTAGCACCGACCTGAGAGTAACGAAGACGGAATAAAGACTTTCGAAGAACGGCTGACTGCCAGCCGGACCTCATCCGCAGAACTAGGCTGACAGTTGGAAGCGCTCTACGAAGCGAATGATATCCTAGGCTTAGTCGAGAATAAACTCCGCCAGTACGCCGAAGCGGACAACTATACAAACCTACAACAATAAGCCAATCAAGAGCAATTTCGCAAGCGTAGAGCTTGATGTTCATTCCTCGTCCCAATTAAGTAGTATGCAGTCGACGAGCTCCCTGAATACCAGGTACGAGTTCTGAACCATGGATCACTCAAGGAAAAGGGCGGAAAAAAGAAGATGACTACCATAGTCGATGACAAGCCCGTCTTTTTCGATGAGATCAACGCAAGGGAATTAGTGTTATAGAACACCATTCGCCCGGCCAGGGGGTGCCTTTTCCATCATGCGATTACATCCATGGTATGGGCCAAACAAATGCAATGGACGGGCTGGGAATAGGAGATGGGGAGTCTAGTCGCACTCAAGAACTGGATGACGCTGGCGAATATCTCAGCGATACCTTGTTGGATGCCCTATGGACCCATTTCATGGATAGGGACATGCCTGATAGCCTGCTCAAGGCTACCTTTGTTGATTCGGCCACCTCAGATATCCGTAGCGGGTTGCTACAATGGCGTGCAGCTTCAGAAGATACCAAGATGAACGATACTAGTAGAGATGAGGACAGCGTGGAAGATGAAGAGAATGAGGAGAGTGAGGGAATGGAAGCGTAATCTTGGCAGTTTCCGTTTCGGCGAATAGTTGGAAGGCGTCTGTTACACTGTATTAATTCTAGCCGCCTCGATCAGTGAACTCAGGCACAAAACTCAGAGAAATGATAAATGGGAGCAGCTCTTTTCGTAGTAGTACGATCATGGTACACATGAACCTCATCCGAAGGTATCATCTGGACTTGAACGTACAATTAATAATCATACATTCATATCCGGAAGATAGCTTCAAATGCCCCCTCAAGTTGGATAATTCCTCGCAAATAGTGCAAAAATGTGACCGTGGTCAATATCATTGTTTGTACACACGTTATGTTTCTATCTCACTTCTTCAATACATCTGCTCTATACTCCACATCGACATCATCACTGGCGTCGACTTCGACACCCTCGAAGACCTGGTTCTGCTGCCGTTTCTGCCGGGAATGGAGGAACACAATACCAAGCACAAGCATGACTTGAACCAAGTTATTTGCCATGACCCACCACCAACCGAACTGCACTCACAATTAGCAACCATTGATAAAATCTGCACGGGGCAACACATACCTTGAACCTCGGGGCCTGCGGAGTTGGGAAAGTCACAATGTTCAATCCCGCCAGCAAGGCCTGGCCAAAAGCGTTCATGCTTGCCACAACAACCGTCCGCTCTTCGGCAGAGTGCATTGTCTACACGGTTCTCCAATTAGAATTCCCCATCACTGACAGGTTTGCGGGCGAGACTTACCACTTCAGACGCCCAGCTCATGAAGAGAGGGTTCAGAGCGCCTCCCAAGCCAGCGATGTAAAACGCAAACAACTTCAGGCCGACAGGGATATACCATATGGCCATGCAGATGCTTCCAAACACCATGCAAAGGCAGATGCACAGCGACGGCAGCCACCTATTGCCCTTGGCGTCAGCCCAGTAGCAGAAGCCGAGGGCGGCGACGATGGACACTGCGCTCTGGCCGGTCGGGATGTTGTTGATCTCGCTCGGCGAGTACCTGTCGGCGTGGGCCTTGAGGTACAGGCTGAAGGGCTGGCCGTTGGTGATCATGGCCTGGTTGAAGACGATGTAGAGCAGCACGAAGCAGTACCAGCGCCAGGACTTGAAGACGTTGGCGATGACGCCCTTGGTCAGCTTGACTTTGGGCGCTTCGTTGCCGTCGGAGGAGAGGCGCGCGCGCGCGAGGGCGATCTCGGCGTCGGTGAGCCAGCGGCTGGGCTTGCGCGAGTCCGGGCGTGCGGGGAAGGCAATGGCGCCGAAGATGGCGATGGGGATGGTCAGGCAACCACAACTGCGGGTGCCATTGTGATCAGTACCAGAAAAGGGCAGTACTGGGGAGATAAATCACTTACACGATGAACAGCCATCGCCATCCGGCCATGCCGTGCACGCCGTTCAGATTGGTGTAGCAGGCGGACTGAAAGTAGCCAGCGAACATGGTTCCTAATGGACCGGCGATGTAGAATAGGGACAGCCGGCGGGAGATTTCGGATTTCTTGTACCAACAGCCGATGCAGTAGATGACTCCCGGGTACGCAACGGTTTCGAAGACACCGCTGAAGAAACGGATCACGTAAACGTGGCCAACCGTGTCCACGAAAGCAGTCGCCAGAGTTAGGCAGCCCCAGACGACCTCGCAGAAAGGAATGAAAATGTTCGGCCTGTTCATCTCACTGATTAGTTTTTTCGTTTTATCATCAATCCTCCGGAATACTTACGCAACGCGGGTGAGGAGCAAATTGGCGGGAATCATCATGGCGCAGTATCCGGCCTGGAATACACCAGTGGTGTATTGAAGGTCATTTCCTTCCATACCCACATCTTCTTTCATCCCGGTAACGTAGGCATTTTGGAATGCTTGAAGGTCAAGGAACTGTAGGAACCGTCAGCTCGATTGACAATGGAATCAGGTAAGAGGAGTGTTACTTTGGTGAAGAATGTGAGGCATCCGAAAGTCAGGATCATGAAGTCCTGCTTCAGGAGCAGCTTCTTCTCCGCTTTGGTTGCGTCCACATCAAACCATGACCATTTGTGGTACCACTTCTCAGAAGAGGGGAGCATTTTGGCACGATGATCAGGAGATGGAGGATGATTGCGACATCGGGACCAAGTTCGTGGAGAGATGGTTGAATATTTGACTCATTTCGGTTATCTCTGGGTGGACTGTATCGGGGGTGCAATCAACTCGGCCTTGCTAGTACGACGCGTACTATCGTTATCGGGCAAGGGTTCCCCGCTCTAGCCGTCGGGAGCTCCACTTCCAACGTCCACCCTATCAAAACCGGGTAATTAGTCGCTGGAGCGTCCGCTCTGCATCAACATGGTGGACGCGATGATGTGGAGTGCGGGGAAGGAGCAGTCTGGCATTGTCGTTCCCACTCCTCCTCCACTCCACCGTGAAACTCTGGAGTTGAAGTATTAAAATACGCTTGCTGAAGCTCAAAAGATCACAACAACAACCTGAATCTTAACACAACAACACTGAGCATCATTTTCTCAGGAAGTTTAATCAACATGTCTTCCACAACATCTCGTCCCACTATCCCCAAGTTCGTTCCCGCAGAGCCTACTAAGGAGCAACGTACGTCCACTACTATCGCACAAAGTTATCTATGCATGAGCTGATAAGTGAGATAGTCGACTGGATAGAACTGGTCAACATCGATTTCGCCAAGTATGACGACCCGAAGACCAGAAAGGAGCTAGCACAAGATCTCCTCAAGGCTGTGACCGAGCACGGCTTCCTCACAATCTCCAACCATGGCATCTCAGAGGAGCTCTACGAGTCTCAGATGAGTCTTGCACACGCCGTCATGACTCTGCCGCCTGAGGAGAAGCTTCCATTTGAGGCTACGCCGGAGGAGGATGCCAGTGGTCTGTACGTCGGCTTCAAGCCGTCCGACGAGCGCGGTATCAAGGGTGGTTTCCACAAGACTGTACGGCTTCGCAAATAGAGATTCTCATGAGCTTGCTGCTGACAGAACTCACAGCTGGATCACTACAACATTCTCGTGCACGACCCGGAGAACCACAAGCACCCAGCCATCCTCGAGCCTCACATGGATGAAGTGAATCAGACCATGCACATCATCCGTGAAAACGTCCTGAAGAAGCTCCTCGTGCTGGTGGCCATGATCTTGGAGGTTCCCGAGGAAGTGGTGCTCCGCACCCACGCTTTCGGCAAGGAGAGCACCGAGTACCTCCGCTACGTACTGCTCCCCCTGCTTGTCTTCTGCCATCCGTACATCCGCTAACATCCGCAGATGATCTACAACCCCCGCACGGACGAAGACAACCAGCGCTACCGCGACCTCTACCTGGCGGGCCACACGGACTGGGGCACCTTCACGTTCCTCTTCTCGCAGCCCATCTCGGCGCTGCAGATCCTCGACAACCACGGGGCGTGGAAGTGGGTGCAGTACCTGCCGAACGCACTGGTCGTCAACGTCGGCGAGGCGCTCGAGCTACTGACGGGCGGCTTCTTCAAGGCCACCGTCCACCGCGTCGTCAAGCCGCCGCAGGACCAGGTCACCAAGAAGCGCGTCGGCGTCATCTACTTTACCCGCCCCGTCAACGAGGTGCCCCTGCGGCCTATCGACTCGCCGCTGCTGAAGCGTGTTGGCAGGAGCGAGCCGCTCGACCCCGTCGTGTACACCATGCCCGACTATCTGAACGCGAGGAAGCACGGGTACAAGAGGCTGGACTTTGATAACGATAAGCCGAGGGAGCAGGGCGTGCACGAGGACCCCTTCCACGGCGAGTACCATGATCCCCAGGGTTTCAAGGCGTTGGGAAAGGAGCCTATTCAGCCGCGGAGTGTGGCGGTTTGAAGTTTCGTCTGCAGTTTTTAGTAGTTGAGAAATACCATTTTGTTCATTGTCACACTTGATCACAAAAACGTCGGGTTTGTGCAGTGAGGGAATTGAGTTGGAGCCGGTAACAAAGGGCGTTTGACATTTCCCAAATTTGATGACTAGAAATAGCATGCTGACCATGTTTGTAGTTGAATCGAACATCCAGACATGCTCGTACGTTTACATCTATCTCAGGATATTTACTTCAACTGGGGATGTGAGAAGTAAAGCGTTCTCCATGGAACACAGGTTCAGCAACTCACAATTGAAGGAGTACGCAATGGCTTCCGACTACTGGGTCGCTCTACCTAGAATGACTTGTTGGGAGTCTGCATCTTCCATGCTTATCGGTGGACATAGTCCGTTGACGAGAGTCCACTTCGGCAAGTTTCGGTAGAGCCATTAAACGTGCAGTCTATCAATTCAGGTTTAAGACAGTTTCGATTCGTTGGCATAATAGCTGATGCCGTCGGCGCTTCTGACGTCCACGGCGACCATCCAGATGCAGTTTGATTTGCCTGCGGTGGCCAAGAGTGGCGGACGCAGGGCGGAGCTCCACCTCGACGCACGTCCGCCGCGTCCACCCCCGCATTCTCTCCATGCGGCTTGTCCACCTTCCGCCGCGAGCTTGAGTCCACCACACCGGTTCACTCCTCAACGGCTTCGCGAGCACAGGCCGAGAACTGCAGCACTCCGATCAGCCACAAAAGAGCATTCCAGTATTCACCCATCATGATGCGACACAGACTGCAAACCCCCGCTCCCTTCACCGACCCGACGAACACCACCTGACCAATTTCAATTTCCATCACCATGTCTTTCGGCAAGCTCTACAACTACCCCAAGGCGCCGCGGGCGACCATGTGCCTCTACGTCGCCGAGCTCAATAAGCTTGATGTCGAGATCGTCGAGGCCTGGCCTATCAAGGTCAACCCGTCCAAAGGTGGCGTCGGAGAGGCCTACCTCGCCAAGTTTCCCACCGGCAAGGTGCCCGCATTGGAGCGGCCGGATGGGTTCGTGCTGTACGAGTGCATAGCCGTGACATATTATCGTATGTAAACTTCCCTCCCCCTGTCCCGGACTTCGCTGTCAATTGTCGTGGACTGACGCACGATGTGTCAGTGGCCAAGCAAAACCCATCTACGACGCTGCTGGGCAAGACGCTTGAGGAAGAGGCGACGGTGCTGCGCTGGTCGTCATTCGCCAACAGCGAGCTCCTGCCGCCGATCATGGCATGGATCAACCCTGTCATCGGCAAGGCACCCTCCAGCCCGGAGATCCTTGCCGCGGCGGAGAAGGGCGCGGAGCCGATGGTCGACGTCGTTGCGCGGGAGCTGAAGGCGGGCAAGAAGTTTTTGGTTGGCGATTGCTTGACTATGGCGGACTTGTTTGTCGTCGCTGCGTTGGCAAGGGGGTACCAATTTGTAAGTTCTTTTTCTTTGCGTCGTTTTCAATGTCATTGCTAACCTGGTGAAAAGGTGTTTGCAAAGGGCTGGACGGAGAAGCACCCTGAAATCCATGAGTACTACTGGAGGATCAAGTCCGACCCGATCTATGTGAAGGTCGACGGAGAGCCTTATGTTCTTGCGAACGTTGGTGACAAGGCACCCTAAATAGAGAACCCAAAGACGCTAGTTTATGTTAAATGAAAAAAGTATATGCCATATACTTCACTATACGTGTTTTCGTGAACTGAAACTGCCAACGCCCCTCGAATATTAACTCCAGCTAAAGTAACACGTCACAACCCACCACCACCACACTCCCTCGCCATTGCCGCATACTCCGCCGCCTCTGCCGCCGCCTCTTGCACAATTGCCGCCTCCCACTTGCCCACCGGCCACACAGTCCGTTTCTGCAGCGCCTCCTGCACCCACCTCAGATACCTTACCTCAGCATCCATCATCCTCCCCCCATCAGCATCTCCACTCATCCCCGTATCCTCCCCAATCGCAGCCATGATACTCCTCAACACAAACCTCGACGGATCACACCTACCCAGCCCATCATACGCCGCCACCCCCTGATCATCCGCCATCGCCGTCATCGCCGTCAACCTCACAATCCTCCACCCAATCAACGAAATCTTAAACGCAAGCAGCGTCAAGAACGGATTCTCCAACTCCGGCACCCCCGCCACCGCAACACCACTAGTCCCACCACAACCCGGCCCCCTCCCTATCCCGACCAACGCCCTCTCCAAATCGACCAGGATGCGAAACACGTCCCTGTCCTCGTAGCGGTCGCGATACCGCTTGCGGCGCGGCCGCGCGAGGTGGCCGGCCGTGGCGATGGCGGCGGGCAGGTTCGTCTCGACGACGCCCGAGACGAGCAGCGCGTCCGAGTGCGAGAGCGTGAGGGAGGTGTAGCGCCACGTTAGCCAGAAGGAGTGCCAGAGGGGGTGGTTGCCTTCGGTCGTGGCGGAGGTGGAGAGCGGGGAGGAGAAGGAGAGGGGGTTGGAGGAGGTGGAGGACGAGGAGGAGGAGGCGGCGGGGTGGCGGTGGTGTTGGGGTTGGGGCGCTAGCTCGGCGATGTTGCGGAGGGCTTGCGAGATCTGGCCGTGCTGGGCTTCGGTGAGGATGGAGAGGGGGCGTTGTTGCTGGTGGCTGGCGTTGTCGTCGGAGGTGGCGGCGTTTCGGCTTAGTTTAGGGCGGAGGAGCAGGCACGAGGCGTGCGTCAGTTCGCGCGCTGTCATTTGGAGTTGCGTGACGAGGACGAGGGCGGCGAAGGGCGAGTACCAGAGGAGGCGGAGGGCGGGTGGGTGCGGGTCGGCGGGCCGGTTGAAGAGGAGGTCCTGCGTGCTGCCGTGGAGCGAGCCCTGCGAGGGTGTGACTTCGTCGGTGCCGAAGCGGTCGTCGTGCTCGTTGAAGGAGCGGAAGTGCTCTTTTTGCAGCTTGTCCCAGCTTTCGGCCGTGGGCGCCGCCCAGAGGTCGTCGGCGGACGGCAGCTGGTATTTGATCTCGAGCGCGGATAGTTGGGGCCGCAGGTTGCAGGCGATGGAGAGCTGCGAGTCCAGCAGGTAGACGGCGTATATGCATCTGCACCTCTCGTTAGCGCCGATAAAAGAGTCGTGGAAATTTGAAAATACCTCTTTCTCTCCTCTTCCGCGATGAACTCCCGCCACCGCTGCTGAAGAGTTGCTGAATTGTTTGCTGCTAATGACGGGATACATTCTGGCTCTTCCGGAGAGTCGAGACGAGACGCGTGGCCATCGTGCGTCATTTGCAACTCTCTGATAGCCCCAACAACGGCGTGATGGATCGCTTGAGCTTTTGACAAAAGAGTGTCGTCGCATACGTAGACTCCATAGAACTCGAGCAGTATGTAGGATTGGAGCACAGACGTCTCTTGGAATCTGCTGCAATCCTCTTTCGTCTGCGCGCCATAAATGCTCAGTAGCTTGCAAACGCCCAATGGGAGGTGAAATTAAAACTTACGTATTCTTCCAAAGAGCTGTAACACTTCTCGAACAGCTTTCTACTGGCCGCAAGCCTCGATTCTGCCTGGCCATATAATAGCCCTATGCACGTAACGGCTTTAACCAGAGACTCTGAAGCCTTCTCTAGATCGAAAGTCGGCTCATGCAACATTGGCATGGTCGGATGAAACTTTTCGAAGAAAGCTTTGCAGTGTTGGGACTCACTTAATTTTGTCAGCTGCGGTATCACGAGAAAGCAGAGGGGAGAACGTACGGTGTCACCTTTTTGACTGGCAGATTTGATAGTCCAGCAAAAATGTCCTGGTGAGTGAGGTATAGTCAGAAACACCTTTAAGAAAACTGAGGGCTTAAGTCATAACCAACATTATCGTCCATAGCATGGTCCTGAATCGAAGGCAAGCAATATTCATCCTCAATCGATTGCCATGGCACCGCTGGTAGTGCTATCTCAATCGATGGGTGACAGTTCCTTATGTGCCGCTTTCTAAGATCACTGCCGCATCTTTTAGCTCAATTTATCTTTCAAACATCTTCGCCGGTGAGCTGTACCTTCTGGAGAATCTTGCGTCGCATTGAGGACACGGGTAAGATCGCGAGACGGCGCTGGGGTGGTCTGCATTTTGGGTCATTAATTTTAGCCTAACATTATGTCAAGAGACGTACGTGTTTGAACATGACGCTTCAAGTTTTCCTATTGTAAGGCGTAAGTGTCGTCCTTGCCGTAAGTGTAAATAGGCTTCGAGGGTGCATTACTTGGCGAGTAAACGGTCTCTCACAGGACGAGCATTTGAACGGACGAACAAGAGATTTGGACATATTGGCAGAGTGTGTATAGCAAATGTTGTAGGTGTGATTGGAACATTGGGTACAATGTCTTCTTGGATGTTTGCGGGGTAACCATGCAATCTACATCTGCCTATCAGCCAGCCGATCGGACCCCCCACTTTTCGGACCTATCGCCCGTTTCCCACAAATGATAACACATGACTCCTCCAAGAACATATTGGAGAGGGATTCATCATCTATTACATAACTGATATATTTCAATTCCGAAGTAGAGAGACTACAATGTCTCCTACGATGCTCCCACGCGGAGGGTAAGAACTTAAGCAATCTACTGCGCAAGAAACCTCCGGGTATGTTCGAGACCAGATAAGACAAGACGACAAGGCTGCAACATAGGTAGCAAAGAGCATACAATATGCATCACGGAGGGGTATTGAAACGGAATGCTAACACGCAGAACCGCAGAACCCTACAATAAGATGTATTTGTACTGAGTTTGGTAAATTCCTATCCCAGGCATGTGATTTCACTCGCATCATTCCCCCCTGTCGAAATTATGGCAAAGTCCAATAGCATCGCGACTCGTCAGCCGGGCGCATTGACTCTTAGCTACCACGTATTTGCACAAAATTCTGGAACCCACCAATGATAGGCATATACCTCCAGCCTTGTGGGGCCGACTTGCTCAGCTTACGAGGACGTCTTTCCGCTCTGACAGCCTCGTCTTCTATCTCACTTCGCAAAGAACCCCATCACAACCTTCAAAGCTAAAGCAAGCTTTGCGGTTAATCATGGAAGACGTCTGGGAAAGCCACAAAGAAATCATCCGGCGGCTCTACATCGATGAAGACAAAACATGCCAGCAAGTGGCTGTGGAGATGAGGGCAGAATACGGCTTTGACGCAAAGTATGCTCACTGAATATTTTCTCGCTGTATTTCTGACTTCGTTTAGAATTAGCCAGTATCACCGACAGTTTGGGAAATGGAAATTCCGCAAAGGCCTCACAGAAAGCGAATGGAAGTTCGTTGGCCGACGAATCCAAAAGCGCAAGGCTGAGCAGAACAAGGAGAGCGAGCTCAGGATCAACGGGATCATTATGAACCAGACAAAGATCAAGAAGGCTATATCGCGGTACTCAGAGACCACGTTGGAAAAAGCACGACGACAGGCCATGTCCAGGCGCAGCTGTACTCCTGAGGGAATCGTCATTGCTACTCCACCACGAGAGGAGCCGCTTGTCGCACTTTCCTTTCCGGTATTCGTCGAGAATCTTCCCTCTCTTCAATTTCATCAAACAATGTCCAGCCATGGTGAGATATTCGTTAATCTGTATCTCGATGATTCACTAATAACTGGTCAATTAGCATCGGTGTTTACACAACTATTGTCTTCGTTCACACGACTCAATATCCACGATGACAATCTTCATGAATCAACTTTCTTGAACACTCTAGAAGGCAACGAAGCATCGGCATCCGCACCATTATCTGCTTTGGTAGACATGGTATGGAAAGGTTTGCCGCTGGCAAAATATCAGACTACTTCGCCTGACTTTCGGACGTTCATCATGACACTCCTCAAAGTAGTGAACAATGCCAAGGGGTTGAAACACATCGAACCACACATGGCGCGGATAGTATTGGACAGCCTCCAGTTGACTGAAAGCAGAATGGTGGTCATGAAACTTCTTGAAGAACACTCGCCATTTTTTGAGACTCTGACTGAGCTTCTATTCAAATATGCACTTGCGCGGAGCAACAGTGGGCTCACATCATTCCTTCTTCAACACTCTCATATCAGGCCAAACGACCGGTTGCAGTTTGAAGACGTCTGCATGTTCGTTCCAACTAAAACACCCTACAAATCTTGGGTTTCCTCTCCATGTCAAGATCTCCTGAGCTTTGGTCAAGCAGTTACGCCGATCGAATACGCCATACTCACACGCTCCAGCAGTCTATTGCACACACTTTGCATGTCTGGAGTCATACTTGATGTTCAGGGAAGACATGGGCCAGACGTGCTCCGCAGAATTGACAACAACAGCTCTTCATTCGGCGAGGTGTTATTGTTTATGCTCGATGAAGGACTCATGAGCATGACCGACGCCAGTAGCATCTTGGGAGAGAAATTCGACACTCTAATATTGAAACGAACTTTCGGAGAGACTATTCAACAAAACCTTATCTCACACCTCCCGGCAGAACAGCTGCTCCAGTGGTCAATCCAAAACGATCGCATGAGCTTAGCAGACGACCTTTTGGAACAGGGGACTACAATAACTGAGGCGGGCTTTTTCGAAGCAATTCAGCGTGGGCATCTAAGCATTGTCAACAGAGCCCTTCAAGCCGGAGCGGATGCGAACAGTGTTGACTCTCATGGTGCCTTCCCATTGAGGATTGCGGCAGAGAGAGGCGATTTTCTCATTGTACAGAGCCTTCTACGCCATGGTGCAGAGATTGAGCCTGCATCGGCCTGCAGCCCCATGTTCTGGTCCATTCCTTCGCATGAAATACTGAAACTCTTCTTAAAGAGAGGGGCAAACCATCAGGTGTGGGACGAGTACGGCTTCTCTCCACTCTGTCACTTCCTCCTTCGACGCGATCCGGATGCAGCAATGCTGCTCATAGACTGGGGAGCGTGCTTGGGCCGACACCCGAAACGCACGCCTTTATGGGTCCCAACACCACTACAGATAGCTGCCAACAAAGGCTATGATGCTGTGGTTGAGAAACTCCTGGATAGAAACATCGACGTCAACGAAGACCCTCCGTTGCATAACGGGTCCGAGCCTCAGGATCTCACCGGGGACACGGCCCTTGCTGGCGCCATCAGAAACTCGTGGGGACGTTGGACCCGTTTGATCGACCGTCTCATCAATGAAGGCGCCGATGTGAATGCCGTTGCCAGATATGGAGATACTCCTCTCTCTATCGCCCTTGATCACGACGATGAAGCTGTGGTCCAGTCTTTAGTCAAAGCAGGAGCATCTGTCGCTGATCCAGAGGCATTTAGAGCTGCAGCGACATCAGGAAATCTTGATTTTCTGCGTCAATCGCTTGAAGCTGGCTTGTGTATCGATGATGTCGGGGCATATGCGCTATCGAACGCCGTTTACTCTGGGAAAATGCACCTTGGAATGAAGATGAGAACAGTGTCTTTTCTAATCGATCTGGGAGCACGTACGGGCGACATGAAACTCATGCAATATTTCATTGAACAGAATTCTGAGCTCTCACAGCTTCTCCTGTCACATGGAGCCAGCCCGGCCGAGTATGAAGTTTCCGCGGTCCCTTTCGAGCGCTATCGTAGTGCTCAACTCCGCAATAACAGCGCCGAGGTCGCAACGGCCCTAAAAATAATTCGTTCAATGCCATCAATCGAAGGAGAGCTCTTGAAACGCTCCTTTCTCTATGGGGAACTAATCTTAGCAGCAATCTCGGGCGACGTCGACATGGTTAAAGCACATATCGATGCGGTAGTCAATGTGGCGTCCCTAAGAATTAGCCCGACGAGGCAAGCAACCTACAATGACCGCAGCGCTTTGGTGGTTGCCAGACTACTTCAACAAAATCGCCCTCCTTCTAACTGGCTTCCACCAGCGAGATTGTTCGACCATCCAGAGAAGCATGCTCCGGAGACCCCATCACAGTGTCTCATGACCACAGGTCCGCAGTCCTCAGAAACTGACTCATTACCGGAGCTCTCTGATGAAGGCTCCCAGACCAGCTTTTTATTGGGCCAGACCCCTGACACAGGCTCCTCAGAAAATGCCAATCAGTGTTCCCCGATCTATTTCGACCTGTCCTGGCCCGAGGTTTCGGATGCTGAGATTATCGAACTTGAATCTTCCGATCCTGATCATTGTCATCTACGGAAAGTAACGAGCGAGTGCCTGCTTGCCGCGGCTGTCAAGGGAGGTCCAGCAGTCATCGAGTTACTCCACGAGGTAGGTCTCGATGTCAATGGGGAGCTCTCTACTTTGGAAGGACGCGAGTTTAAGAAACTCCACAAAACCGCTTTTCGGTATGCAATCCAACTGGGACGATATGACTCGGCAGACGCCTTGATTCAAGCAGGGGCAGACGTCAACGCGCCCGCTGATGCTGATCGAAGGCTGACTGCGCTGCAAGCAGCTGCAATTCACGGTCACATCGGGATCGCTTGCAAGTTGTTGGAGAAAGGCGCCGAGGTCAACGCTCCAGGAGGCTCGTTTGGGGGACGTACAGCGCTTGAAGGGGCCGCAGAATGGGGCAGGCTGGATATGGTGCAGCTGCTTCTTGACAACGGTGCTGATATCACGGATTCTACTTTCGGAGAGACTCAGTACAGGAACTCGACCAAGTTTGCCAAGGATGAGGGATATCCTGCAATCGCACGGCTAATCAGGCGCCGTAGACTGAGCATGGGATATTCTGACCTCTCTTGCGATGATTCAGTGTAGTTTGTTTTTCATGTTGGAGTCAATGGAGTTCTGGTTATCCATGCAATAAATATATATCTCAAGGAAAATGTACGGGCTTGAACGATAACTCATGAGATCAAGGAATCAACACCATACGGTCCCCGCCTTTCTGTCCCCATGCTACCTCAATATCACTCAGCTTCACCTCCTGAAAACTATACGGTCTGACCTTCCCCGCCACAATCGCCTCCACCATCTTCGGCGCCTCCACCGCAAACATACCCATCTGCCACGCCCCCGGGCCCGCACCCCTAATCGTGATATCCTTGCTCCTCAAAATATCCCCGGGCAGCGCCATATCCCTCTGCACCACCGTCCCGATCTGCACATACTGCACCGGCTTCGACGGCTTCAGCGCCCTCAACAGCGCCAGCGTCGGCGGGCCGTACAGGAAATCCAGAATCACATCCGCGTCCAGCGCCTCGGCGTAATCCGTCTGCGCCGCATCCACCGCGTCCAGCTCGATCGCGGCGTCCAGCCCCAACCCCTCCATCTTCGCCTTGCTCCGCGCCACGCCCACGACTTTCGCCGCGCCGAACACGCGCGCCACTCCCGCCGCTGCGGCGCCGGCCAGCCCCGTGGCGCCGACGATGACGGCCGTAAACCCTTTCGGCAAGTCTTTGGTGCGCGCCGCCAGCGCCATCCACGACGCCATGACGGGGTTCATCTGGCCCGCGATCTGGACGGGGTCGGCCTTGCTAGAGCCAATTTGCTCGGGTACCGGCGTCGTGGCCTTGCGCGGGACGTTGACGAATTCGGCAAAGGAGCCGCCGGTGGGCGTGATAGTCGTAAAGTAGACGAGCTTGCCGTCGGGCACGGTGGTGCCGACGCCGTCGACTCCCGGGACGTGCGGGAGGACGTTGGCGCTGTAGTGCGTGCCCGCGGCGCGGCTGCGGACGAGCGTGGGCAGGCCGCTGGCGAGGACTTTGATTTGGACGAGGTCGCTGGAGGGGTCAGGCAGGGCAGGTGTGGGAGCGTCGAGGTATTGTGGGGTTTGGCCCCAGGTGGTGACTTGTGCTTGCTTCATTTGGAAGTTTGTGGTTGGGAAGGGGGGGATGAGCGGGGAATTTGTCGGGTGTTCTGATTGTTTTGTTTGCTTGAGTCGAGCGGGAGAGGAGGGGAGTAGTGGATAGGAAAGATGGCTGAGATGCTGTCTGTCTATTTGTATATTTATATCTCACATTTCCATGGACTTTCCGTGGACCATCCCAAATGCAATGCATGTGCATATCAGCCCCACTTTCCCAATCGGTGCTAGATGCAGGCAACACAGTCCCGCTGCAGGCTTCCAGATGAACAACTATCCTGCATCGTGTAATTTTACTAGTGAGTCACGTAGAACAAGTCCATACGGATAACCCATTTAATAATAATACTCGAGCAAGAAGAAGTGATTGCGTTGCCTTGTGCAAACTGCGAGATATCACCGAAACGTCTTTGGGGAGGACTTTAAGATTATCCAGCCGCCCCTCCTCATCAAGACCAAAGCCACATTGCTTCGTCAGGGCAAGAAGCTTACTAAATGGCTGACTCACCAAACAGTACTTTCTCCAACTATTCCTGCCTGCTTCGCTCTTCGGCGAAAATCGGCTCAAGATCGCTCGGCTCCGGTGCTGGCGAAAGCGCGAGACCGTTGCATAATTAATTTGTGCCATGGCTACACGCTAGTTGTGCAAAGGCTTTGCTGCAATGTTTCATACGCGTAACGGCGAATCTGACCTCTGCGAGTCAGTAGAGCAGCATGCGAGCTGTGTGAGATACAGAGGGGTGTTGCTGCCGAAGGTGACGGAAGTAATTATCCCTTTTTCTTTGCCAGGAAAAACATATGTGGGCAGCAAAAACTATCGCCCGGACAAGAATCTAAAATTATTAACATTACATTCATATCTAGGTAATATCTTTAACTAACCGCGATACGGGCTAAAAAAAAAATACGCTAGGGCTGCGATACCCTTCTGTAGTGTGAAATCCAGGTGTGCTGTCAAAGCGGATGAGAACTACCCGACGATTTGCCTATCCCAGACCACCTTTTTTGTCCTGCAACCTACACTCGTCAGCCAAGATCTCACAGCCTCGGGAGATAATGTGACCAAGCCACATATGTTGGCAATCTTGCCACTGAGATCTTCACCAATCAGGAAACAGCAGCTTTTGGAGCTGCCAGCTGCATCTTCTACCGCATCATCTACAGTTCCTAACGATGTTCCGGGACCAAGGTCCTTTCGACTCCAGATTGATTTGATGATATAGACTTCGGGCTCAAGATGGCCCGCGATCAGAAGGCTCTCACCTATCGCGTTCGTCAACTTCCGCCAAGCATCAACGAAGCTGGAGTGGTCCGGATGTTACAGGATCTACTGGCGACAGAAGAGAGCACTCCAACAATCACCGTTTTCTCGCTTGCCCAAAGTTTAGTTGCTCCAGAAGAAACTCGCTCAAAGGATGCGACCGTCTCCATTCATCCTCTTCCCCCAGCACTGAAAAATGGCCAACAGTGGCTGTTTTCGGCACTGTACAGCAACACCAAATATCGCATCATTGTTGACCTTCACTTCCTGGATTTCACAGTCCTGAATGACTTGAGTGATGATGAACATATACTCGAGTTAGTTTACCAAATATCCTCTACCATTCAATTATCTAACAAGACACCAGCTGCATAGCCATCAGCGGACTCGCAAGCCACCCTTTTGGATCTTGGCAGCAACGTGGGGATCAACAGAATTTCATGTGGCTCAGGGACGCTGTACCAAAGGACATCCCGGGCATCAGAACAATTACCTATGGTTACGACACCCACTTAAAAGACAGCAAGTCTTTCAAGTCTATCTATGACATTGCTCTCACTTTTGCCCAACGCCTGACGGCTGTATGGCTTCCCTCAAAGCCAATAGTGTTCATTGCACATAGTTTGGGTGGAATCATCTTGAAACAGGCATTGGTGATTTTGGCACGCAGCTCTGGCCAAGATCTGCCAATCTCGAGAATGAAGGGCCTATTGTTTTTCGGAGTCCCAAATGGCGGAATGGCAACCGAAGAGCTGATAGCAATGGTAGACGAGGATCCCACCAAGGAGCTGGTATCGAACTTATCCCCAGAGTCGCAATATCTTGAAACTCTCGACTCGTACTTCAACTCCCTCCAATACACCAGAAAGTTCCACGTAATGTCCTTTTACGAAACGAAGACCACGAACACTATCATCGTAAGTCATCCGATTTAAAAGCCGAGGTAGCGGCATTCTTACTCTACTTTTAGCGAGATATCGACGGCAAATGGAATCGAAGTGGCCCGAGGGTGATAATGGTATCGAGAGCTTCTGCTACACAAATTTGCTCTCGTGCTCCAGGAGAGGTGCGTTCTATTGACGAAGACCATTCGGCTATGGTCAAATTTGGTCCGGGCGATATCCACTACACTGGGGTTTTAGATGGCCTCAGGAAACTCCTTGACCGAAAGACTTCGTCCGAGTATGCGGAGCTCGCTCGAAAGGCAGCGAGCAAGAGAAGTGCCACGCATGAAACTCAAACTGTGAACGACAATGTTGAACCTTCAATGCCTTACGAATGGCCAAACCTTGTTGCGAAGCAAGCGAAGAACCATTCTTCTGACGGTAAGCATCCGTTTCTGAATGACCTCGCCAATGCTAACACACTTTTCTCAGACATTCTGAATTCACTTTGGTTGGATGTCTTTGATCACCGTCTGAAGGATATATCTCCTCATTTCCAATCGACCTTTGAGTGGATCTTCAATGACGAATCTCTCGGGTTCGTTCCTTGGTTGCTCCACGGAGACGGTGCATACTGGGTCGAAGGCAAACCTGGTGCCGGAAAATCAACACTTCTCAAATTCGTCTATGAGAGCCAGAAAACGATGGAGCTCTTGGAAAACTGGAACCAACCAGGAACTTTCATACCGGCCGGATTCTTCTTCCACCATCGAGGATCAAGATTCCAGAAATTCTTCGAAGGAATGCTGCGAAATCTTCTCTACCAAGTCATTAAGAAAGTCCCGAGCCTGTATCGAGACATACCCAAGTCTTGTTTGCTTGCGATAAGTGAGAACTTCAATTCAACATGGAATCTGGGTTATCTCCGAGAAGCGCTTTTTTCTATACTCCGGCAACGCCACACGGCGCTGAAGATATGCGTCTTCATCGACGCTCTTGATGAGCTTGATGGTCACCTTGAACTTATTTCAGAATTCATGACGAACTTGGTCGACCAAAAACCTGGATCAGCAGTGTGCTGTAAGGTTTTCTTTTCTAGCCGACCACGGCAGATAATTCGTAACCGTTTTGGACGCTACAGGCATCTCAAGATCCACGAAAGAACCGGGAAAGACATTCGAATCTACACAGAAGGGAAATTAACCGAATCTCCGCAGCTCATCTCGGTTTTGGAGTCATGCCCAGAAAGTAGAGAGCAGACTGCTCGCCTCGTTGAAGTTATATTCACTCAAGCTGATGGCGTCTTCCTCTGGGTAAAACTTGCCATAGAAGACATTACAAAGGCTCTGATCCAGCATGACATCCAATCAATCAACGAGCTGGAAGCTCTTCTACAAAAAGTACCTCCAGGCCTGGACGAGTTTTACGAGTCGATCATCGAGAGGATCCCTGCAGATTTCAAGTGGGAGGCTTACCTGACACTTGAAGTAATACTTCGCGCTGAGGAAACTATCAGACTTGGAGACATCTTCAACATTGTGAGATGCTTTGGCTGCAAAACTGTAAGGGAATGCCGTGAGCAGCTCAGCCATCCTGTCCCCACGGAAACAGAATCGAAATTTCTCCAGTCTCTACAAGACAACTGCGGCGGCCTCATTGAGCTGGATTTCAACGCAGATCGCATTCACCTTATGCATGAGACTGTACGAGCTTTCATGAGCCGACCGGGATTTGAGCATCTCTTCTTTCGCCAACCAATTCTATTTCGAGCTCAGAACGGATACACTGAGCTTGCAAAATTCATGCTCACCAAAACCCAGCATTACGACGCGCGTGAGTTGGATGACCCTGTTTGTGAGCTTGATTACTCCAAATTCTTCAGCAAAGGGATGGAGTACTGCTTCAAAGCCGAGTCAACCACATTGACTTGCCAGTATGAGATGGTAGACGAATTTCGACCCCTCGAAAACCCGCATAATCTACGCCAATATCTCTCAACGCGAAAGAGTAAAATGTGTTTTATTCCTGATTCTGGAATGTCTTTCGCCGTCATTGCCAATCTTTTGCTATACATGCGGCGGAAACTGGAATCTATCTCTGGAGATTCGGCCGTCAATTCGAATCTGGAGAAGCCCCTACTGGTTTGTCTTTCTCAGGCGGCAGCTTACGCTGACTGGATGTCGCCCATAAAAGGCCCCCGGCAGCTTATCGACTACACCTCAATGGCACAGCTCTTACTAGACAAAGGCGCTGATATAAACGCTCAATACATGGGTTTAACGCCTTTCCAATGGCTTTTCGTCACACCTTGGCATAAAAATCCTCTTTTTTACTTTGGCAACAGTGTTTCATCTATTGCATTGCTCGAACTCTTCTCGAAAATGGGCAAAGTCCCGACTGCAACATTTGGAAGCCTTCTATGAACATACACGCGCGGAAAAGGTTCACGAAGCCAATTCATTATTCGGACACAGCTATGACGACACTCCTGTTGGAATACAACGCAGATGTGAATGCAAGGGGCTCCAACGGTATCACAGCACTAGATTTAGCACTGGGAAGCAGAGGTATATTAGGACCGGTGGCCGACAATGCTATTCATAATATTTGTTACTATGGAAACGGACCACGGATAGCTACGCTTATGCTTCACGGTGGGCTTATTTCACGGGCCGGTCTAATATGGCTACCAGAGTGCATATCTTCTGCGACATTAGTGGGACTTGATGCTCAGCGTTTGAGTCATCTACCAGAAGTGTCTAGGCATTCGAATTTCTTGACTTCTAACGATTTTCGGGTAGTTCCACTGCTACGTATGAGGGAAAAGAGCTTGAACTTTTTTAGGAGGCCTTATTATGCTGTAAGATTTCGCATAGACATGTCAAAGGCGCTTTATGCGATGGAGAAACCTTGATTGTTTTTCTTAAAAGTGTTCTACTAGCTTTTTTTTTTTTTTTTTTTGATGGAGTGGAGGGAGCAATAGACAAGGCGAATAAATCACTGGTCTCTTTTGTGTGGACCTATCGAGAGATTACGATCCCATCAACATTTAACGCTATGCATTTCCTATGACGCCTTCAATCCAGTTTACTGTGAGATTTTTCACACCACTAAAAACTCCAGAATATCCCAACGCCTTTTAGAACTTTTCTGTCTCTCTTTCTCTCTCGCTCTCTGCTGCCGAAGCCGTTTATACCCTCTCAAAAGCTTTTAGAGCCTTTTAATAAAGGCCAGAGACTGGTCTTGCTAACTCTGCTTTTAGCGCTCGAGATAGCCCCTTGAAAGTTGAAGTTGAGATCCGCCGCGCTTCCCGATAAACGCCGTTTTGAAAGAAATCTCAGTTGGAATAATCATCCGATCTTCCTTTCCGTGAAAGAAGCCGAAGACTTGACTTAGTCATCGGTTAGGTCGATAGTTTCAACGGATCCAGAGATACGCGGACGCTTAATCCGTCTAACGGTAGTGATCTCCAGGTCAGACTGCGCATGATCCATGCCAGTCCTGCTGTCGTCACCAGTGTCCTCAGTCTTGAACTCCCGCTTCACCGCAGAAGCAGCGGCATCCCGTTCCTGTAGCATATCTCGTCAGATAATGCGCTTTGCAGAACTTGCAGAAAGGTAGCAATGCTACCACGACAAACGATGGACTTACCCTGTGACGACGCAGAAGCTCCCGAAGCTCTTCCGGTTTCAGCTCCTCCAGCGGGCGTTCTTCAAGCGGCGTGGGCGACGGCGTTCTTGGAATGATTCCTTCTGCCTGCAGTGCACTCTTGGAGCGGTATCGGAAGACGAAAGTAGCAATTTCCCCTTCGCTATCCGGCACGAAGCTGTACACGTCAGAATATGCTGCTGGCTCAGATGCTTGTAGTCTGTAACTTGTTAGTGATAGAAAAGATGCCGAGTATCAGGGGTTCAGGCTTACTTGACCTGGTGGGACAAAGATTTTCCTTTCAGAGCTTTCTCTGAAATCTTGCCAATCTCATCCATCGTGGTGGTCCTATCACGGCGAGCTTTCACCTTTGCTTGACCTCTTTCAATCTCAATGCGAATAGTTCCCACAGAGGTGACTTTCTCGTGAAGCTTGCGGCTTGGGATGTCTTTGTGATTCTCGTCTGGAGAAGGAAGGCTTCGTATTAATGTTTCATGCATGAAGAACGCCATTCTTCTCTCTTTGAAGTGTCTGTCCGGCGTGAACGAGGATATTGGAAGAAACTTACCGATATCGAGTTCAGAGAAAGCCATAGGCGCAATTGTTCCTTTCCCATCTTTGAATGACTTGACTCCTTTCACATTCATCTCGCCCTGCCTTTCTTCATGTTCGTCATGTGTAATGACACATCCTTTAATTCTCTTGCCATCCACCCAAACCCTAGCTCGAATGTCCTGTCCTTGAAGATCGTAGGGATGCCAGACTTTGCAGTGAATGGTGAACCTGGCACCTGAAACGGCCTCGATGTATCTCACCATGGAATCATCTTCATGGCACTCAGAGCTGTCGGCATACTCTTTAACTTGCTTTCCATTAACTTTCACATGGGCTTGGACTCCAGGGATCGATGGTATGATAGCCATGATGGGCGTTGGTATTTTATCCTGGATACTGAGGGTAGCTGGTCGGACGCACGAGCAGGTGAGGGCTCGGAGCCGCTATCAGTTTGAAATGGTGTCTGGGATCAAAGCTGACGAAATCGGCCTGCAACCATCGATAGAAACGTGCTGAAGTTGAGCTCTGAGTGATGTGAAACGACCGCAGCGGTGAGTCGTCAAGGACTTCTGTACGCGCGTTCCAGAGCAGCCTTAACCATCAAAAGGTGAAGCTGAGTGGGTGAGTTAATGCGCAATTGTCGCGTGGGAGGGAGTCGACACAGAATGCGAGGAGCGTCAATGCTAGCTCTCAGTAGTAGCAGACTCTGCAGCAGTAGCAGCGTTGGAGGACTTGCACCAATTGAATAGTTGCGGCGTCGGGTTCTGGTGTCGAAGTAAGGTATTTTGCAGAAAATTGGCGAGGTAGTACAGAATATAAGGCATTGACCAGTTGCATTAACCTCATTTGTCAAAGTCGGTAGCACCAGCGGTAGCCACGAAGTCATGTGCAGCTATTTAGACCGAAAGAGGAAACCGCCCGGTTGTCTCGATGACAAAACTCTTCATGTGATAGGAACGGGAGATACAGCGCGCAGATAAAGTTCATACAAGCAATATATAAGAAAATTGATAGAGCTTTGCTAGTGCTTAAACTTGCTGTATCTGCAAAACCCTCATGAAACCCGGATAGTTGAATGGTGAATCTCTCCTTTCGCCGGTTAATCTCCGACAAACCCCAGGCACCTCTTAACCAAAGACTACCCCACTGTAGAATCTTGCTGGTACAAACTCGAGAACCACGCCGAGAAAGAGTGACGGCTATACCCACCACATCTTACCATAAGCGGATAATCATAAGAAAACCATCGGACTGCTTTCTGCTACTGTGTATTCTTCCTCAATCGCTGCTCAAGTCGATGACTTCCGGGGGTCCGGATGTGCGCTGACGCTTTTTCGGACGCACATCGGTGATCTCGATTTCAGAGTCATCGCTTCCCAGATCGATGATATTGACGTCACTAAGACGCTTGTTCTGATCAGACTCCTGTTTGACTTCCTGCTTGACTTCCGGCTGCAGAGTCTGGCTTGATCTTCTCCGGTCCTGATTTTGGGCAATTAGCGACCACGGATAAACAAGACGCCAAAGGAGAGGCTTACTCTGAGGCGTCGAACGAGCTCGCGGGCTTCATCCGCTGTCAAAGCCTCGACTGGACGATCCTCAAGCGGCTCGGGCGAAACGGTCCTCGAGATGATGCACTCTGCCTTCAGTGCATTCCTGGAGCGGTAGCGGAATACGAATGTAGCGAAAGGCTTATCGTCAATCTTCGTAGAGGTGGACCAGCTGGTGCCGTGGTACTCGAGCGGTTGCGCCTCACCAAGACTGTGATGATTAGTATTGTTCAAAGCAATTCTCTGTGGTTTACACTCACTCCACCTGGTGGCTGATTGCCCGTCCTTTGAGCTTCTTCTCCGGAATGCTGTCCATAATGTTGAAGTTCTGGTAGTTCGACATTCTCTTTGAGCTGGGGTAAGATTCCGGCAGCACTTTGCTCCGCCGGAAAGTAACCTCAATCTCGCCCAGAGACCGAAATGCTTCAACTTGCGCAGTTGAAGACGGGATCTGATCATTGTCATCTACTGCAAGGTCACAAGTCCGGTTAGCTTGAGCTCTAGGAACATGCGATTACTTCGGAATTTCACAAGAAAGCAGTCAGATGTACCGATGTTGACTTGCGAAAAGGCCATCTTCCGGAGGCAATATTTTCCATTCTCAAAACCGCGCACTCCGGTGAAAGTGACCGTCGACTGTCCGTCGTGTCTCCATTTCTCTCTCCGGGTAGTACATTTGTCGGCTCGCTGGCCATCAAGGAAAAGAGCCGAAGAGATGTCCCAATCCTTGTACTTTGGATCAAGTGCTTCGTCGTAGGTGATTTGGACAGTGAAATTAGCGCCTGAAGTTGCCTCAACGTATCGTGTAACAGTGTTTGAAGTGTCTGGTTCATCCTCATTGCGAAACTCCTCGAGTGGCTCGCGGTTCACCTTTACCTCGACCTTCAGGCCGGGAATATCAGGTAGGATTGCCATGACGAAGCTTCTGCGACCGGTTACATGTAAGCGCCCGTTGGCACGGAAGATCAGCCGCGAATGCCCGAGGGTGGAAAGCTGGAGGTGATGTGGAGGCAAGGGAAAACGAGGTGCGAATGAAGCAGATTGCGGGTGAGCTCAGCCTTGCGCTGTGCCAGGAAATAAACCCTGTTGGCGAGGCTGCAAGGCTGCAAGGGAGGACGCTCCTGGGTTGCCTGTAGAAGAGGTGGGACGACGATAGCCGACGATGCGCTAGGTGCGCTGCGTAGGAGCCACGCAAGGGTTGGATAGCTATCGGCGTTTGCTGGGTTGTCTTCAAGTGGAGGAAAGAGGTAAGCGTGGTCGGCGCATCAGCGCGTCAAGGCGCCAGCGAATCAGGCGGACACGCGGAGTCATGCATTAGAACCTCAGGCAGTCACGCCAGGCAGAAACCAACATTCACAGGGTCATGCAATCCATAAAAACCACGTGGAGATACTACGATACTGTCTATTTTTCAATTGTTTCGTACTGCGCTCCTCACGTGACTACTTCTGGCTGGCAAGGATAGGTTCACCTGCATTCCTAGATGTGCAGCGCGGTCATCGAGCTTCGCGAAGTGACCAAAGCGGAAGAAGCTGCCGCGCGCTCTTTTTAAACAGCCTTTTCGACCTCGTCTCGGGGCCTTCTGCAACTTGGATGTTGCTGGCTTTTGCATGGTTGCGTTAGGGCTTGCTACTTCACCTCTCGATGAGATTAGTCTCCTAGCTTGTTTGTTACCTCGTCAGACGCTCCACCCGTCCTGCCTGCTTTTCCCAGAGAAGGCTACCGGCGGGTTTAGAGCAGCAGAGTGTGGAGGTGCCGTTTCGCTCGCCAGATGGCATGGCAAGTTTCTGCTCGAACAAGCCATTCATTTGCCGCCCTCTCCATACCCATGGCCTCTCATCAGTTCAGAAAGTCGAACGTCGTAGCCGGCGGAGCCGACTTTGGTAGGATTCCCTCCTCTTCCAACGCCTCCCAAGACCGATAGTTGAATGTAAACTCCGCCCATGGCTCATCCGTCGGGTCGATCTGCTCCGTTAAGACCCTTCCGCATCTGCCAAACGTCCTCTTGACATCCCCCGTCCTGTTCGCCGTCAGCCTTCCCACCCAGCAAAGCAACAGGGTCACCACTCACGTCGCTTGAAGATCAATCGCTTTCTCCTTCAATGCTTTCTCCGCCACGCGGTTGAACTTCACCAGGCCGTTCGGGCTGGTTGGGCTGGGACAATCCCGATGTGGAATCCTCCCCACCTCCTGCACACGATAGAACCTGGCCTTAATCTCGCCCAAGCACTGCAGCTTTTCAAATTGCCGGTGGTACAAGCTCTCCCGCGCATTCTTGTCTGCCTCGCGCATCAGCCCTGTCACCCTTGCGCTCGCAAAACAAACAAACAACACTTCGCAAGGCCACAAAAAAACGGGAAAGGAGCGGACCCCAGGAGCAAGCAAGCAAGCAAGCAAGCAAGCAAGAAGACGACTCACCAACATTCAGCCCCTCGAACCGCAAACTCCTCTGCACCCACCGCCCGCCCTCCCACCCCATCGCGCCGTCGCACACGTACCAGCACTCCCGCTGACTCGCATGGCCCTTCAAGTCGATCACGCTGCCCTGCACCCGGATGCCGTCCACGTAGATGCACAGACCCAAGCTGTATCCTTCGAGCTCCGCGTTCCGCGCCGTGAACTTGATGACGACGGAGAAGTCGGCGTCGGGGATGGCTTCGATGTAGCGCGTGATGGAGTTGGCGCGGTCCTTGTGCGACGGCGACGGGTACTCGAAGGCGTCTGGCGGCGGCGTGGGCGTCTTCGGACGGTTCGAGGAGACGGACATGAGCGAGTTCGGCGTGCTGGCCGGGTCGTGGATGCGGACGGTGACTTCGATGCCCGGGCGGTCGGGAAGGATGGCCATGGTTTCCTTTTTGGGGGCGCGTTTGGTGTTCCTGCTGTTCTGCGGGTTGCGGTTGGAGGTATCGGGAGTAATCGAAAACCCGGATTATCAATGAAAAGGAATAGAGAAAAGAAGGAACGATAACACGAAGGAGTGGACGAATGAATAAACGAACGGGATGAAGAAGAGAACGAAAGGCAGAGCAAAGAACAAAAAATCAAGAGGTTGGAGAAGAAAGGCGATAGAAATAAGCTCTCCGTCAAGGCTTCTGTTGACCGAGAAGGGGAAGAAGATCGTAGGCGAAAGGACGAATAACACGAAAATCACCTTTACTGGTAAAGGCAACCAAACGCACAGTGCGATGCACAAGGAGATACGAACGGAGTAACGAGCGACGGCAGAGCAAAAATGAGAGCAACGTTGACCAACTCGCGGGCAAAGAAAAATAAAAGGAAAAATAAAGAAAGGGAACGCGCGGCGAAGGTAATGAGTGGACGGGGATGTAAGACACCCGAAAGGAGTGAGGCAGTCGTTAATACCGAGGAGATTTTTCCAAACGCCAGGCCATGACTTTTAGTCGTCTTCTTTCTTGTCCAGCAATATGGGAACGGGAAAGAAGTCGAGAAAAAAGAGGATCGGAGATGCGACAATATTTAGAGTCCTAGCCACGATAGAAGCGCGGTCTCTTCGCTTGTGGGTCAGGGGGCGCAACCGCCCACGCGAGGCGCTCGCTATCATTGACATCTCACCTTAGTTAAATTATGTACCCCTAAACCCTATATTGGAGCCCATCCCGCTTGGCCAAGGATGGAGTTGCTGCAATTCCTGCGTCGGTAGCCTCGGGCCTGGCCGCCGCCGCCGGAACTTCCCCGGACGGTCTTTCGGGGGCGAGACTCCATGCGCGGGAGATAGGCGTAGCAAGCATCATTTAGCATAACGGCAGGAAGACACTAGCTGGGTTGAGAGGAGAATTTTCATTACACGTCATTGTGAATCCTACAGAACACTCACAAATCTCTTCCGTCTTTTCGGCGCAGCCATGCGCCCAAATGACCCAAAAAGCGAAGAAAGAACCATCACGACTTTTAGTCGCTCCCGAAGACCCAACCCTTACTCCACCCTCCTAACGTTCCCGAAAAGGTGAGGTTTTTTTGCCGGCGTCAACAGAGGATATGAGAGACTTAATACAGAACTGATGAAAGAGGATATTCTACATGAGGGCAGCGTCAAAAGCAAAACGCTTGCTCAAACCGACCCGAGGTATGCAAGATCGCTTTTTCTAGATGCAAACAGACAGCTAAAGGACAAGGAAAGAAGGCGGAAAACTGAGTAGGATTTTTACTCCTTCTTCTCGCCCTCACCCTGCTGCTGCTGCTGCTCACCCTGCTGCTCGGAGCGGGCCTTGTGCATCTGGTCGAAGAGGCTCAGGGAAGCGGACTGGAGCTCGTCGGTCTTCTCCTTGAGCTCCTGGGCGGTGGCGGTGCCCTCACCAGCCTGGGACTTGGTGACGAACTCACGGAGAGAGTCGATCTTCTCGCGGATCTTGCCAGCCTCGGTCTTGTCAAGGCGGTCCTCGAACTCCTTCAGGGCCTTCTCGGTGTCGTTCAGGACGGAGTCGGCGCGGTTGGCAGCCTCAATGGCGGCCTTGCGCTCCTTGTCCTGCTCCTGGTAGCGCTCAGCATCCTGCACCATGTTCTCGATCTCAGAGTCCGAAAGACCAGAGCCAGAGGCGATGGTGATGGACTGGTCCTTGTTGGTGGACTTGTCCTTGGCGTGGACGTGGACGATCGAGTCGGCATCAATATCGAAGGTGACCTCGATCTGAGGAACACCACGGTGGGCAGGAGGAATGCCAACGAGCTGGAAGTTGCCGAGGAGCTTGTTGTCGCGGACGAGCTCACGCTCACCCTGGTAGACCTTGATCTCGACAGCGGACTGGAAGTCGGCAGCGGTGGAGAAGACCTGGGACTTCTTGGTGGGGATGGTGGTGTTGCGGTTGATCAGACGGGTGAAAACACCGCCAAGGGTCTCGATACCGAGGGAGAGAGGAGTGACATCGAGCAGGAGAACATCAGTGACCTCACCGGAAAGGACGGCACCCTGGATAGCAGCACCAATGGCAACAGCCTCATCGGGGTTGACCGACTTGGCGGGATCACGGCCGAAGATGCTCTTGACAGACTCGGTAACCTTGGGCATACGGGTCATACCACCAACGAGGATGACCTCCTGGATGTCCTTGGACTGGAGGTTGGCGTCCTTGAGGGCCTTGCGAACGGGCTCGACAGTGCGGCTGATCAGAGGGTCGACGAGACCCTCGAGCTGAGCACGGGTGAGCTTGGTGTTGATGTGCTTGGGACCCGAAGCATCGGCAGTGATGAAGGGAAGGTTGATGTCGGTGGAGAGGGAAGAAGACAGCTCGATCTTAGCCTTCTCAGCGGCCTCACGGATACGCTGAATGGCCATGCGGTCGTTGGAGAGGTCGATGCTCTGCTCCTTCTTGAACTGCTGGACGAGGTGGCGGACGAGGGTGATATCGAAGTCCTCGCCACCAAGGTGAGTGTCACCGTTGGTGGACTTGACCTCAAAGACGCCGTTCTGGATCTCGAGGATGGAGATATCGAAGGTACCTCCACCGAGATCGTAGACAGCAATGACGCGGTCAGACTCCTTCTCGAGACCGTAGGCGAGGGCGGCAGCAGTAGGCTCGTTGACGACACGGAGGACGTTCAGGCCAGAGATCTGACCGGCGTCCTTGGTGGCCTGACGCTGAGAGTCGTTGAAGTAGGCAGGGACGGTAACAACGGCGTTCTTGACGTTCCTGCCGAGGTAGGCCTCAGCGGTCTCCTTCATCTTGCCGAGAACGAAGCCACCGATCTGAGCGGGCGAGTACTTCTCGCCCTGGGCCTCGAGCCAGGCGTCGCCGTTGGAGTGCTGAACAATCTTGTAGGGCACCTGACCGATGTCGCGCTGGACCTCGGCATCGGTGAACTTGCGGCCGATCAAACGCTTGGTGGCGAAGAGAGTGTTCTCGGGGTTGACAACAGCCTGGCGCTTGGCGGCGACACCAACCAGACGCTCGCCATCCTTGGTGAAAGCAACGACGGAGGGAGTGGTGCGGGTACCTGTGGCGCAATTGTCAGCGGAGTCGCGGCGCGCGAAGAAATTGATGACATACCCTCAGAGTTCTCAATGATGCGCGGCGTCTTGCCCTCCATCACGGCGACGGCAGAGTTGGTGGTACCAAGGTCAATACCGATGACCTGGCCCTTGACCTTCTCTTGAGCCTCCTCCGCATACCGTCTCACGAACGACGAGCCGAGAGGGGTCTTGGTGATGGGAGAGACGCGGCTGAGGGCGGAAGCCCGCGGCAGGAACTGGCGCAAGTGTTAGCATTTGGGCGCGCGCGTCATAGCCAGCGCAGACTTACAGTTCTGGATAGCCTCGAGGACAGCATTGTGGACGGGAGCGCTCAACGAAGAGGTCGTCGCAAGCAGCGGGCGGTGACGAAGGGAACACGGGGATGGAGGAGGAGGAATGGGGTATAAATGGGATGGTGGTGATGATGAGGGAAGGCGAGGACAAGAGAAAAAGTTGAGCATTCGAAGCTCTTCTACGCCGCGCTAGTCAGTGCGCCAATCCTTGTGCACGCGCAGCTCCGGGATGCCGAGTGGCCAATTGCCGCGGAACGGGACAAGCGACCAGCGGATGATGCAGAGAAGGCGGCCTGGCCGGCGCATGCGCCCGAGAAATCTTCGTTCGCAATTGGAAGCGCGCGCAGCCGTTCGCGACTGCGCAAAACATGTCGCCATCACGTGCGTCCACCGTGCGGGCGGCGCGACTCGTGCGGCGACAGAGCCCAGAGGCGCTCCCTTCACACCTCGCTCGCCCCGTCCGACTTGGAGCTCCCGTCCTGTGTGACACTGCAATACATCATCACTTTCTGCGCTGCTTGAACTCTATCCTGCCCTAGCTGCAACCACGCAGCCCGTGACTCGTCCCGCGCCTCTCATCCGATCTCTGCTTCTCGCTCGCCGAGCCGGGTGACGTATGAGCGTTCGCCGGCTCATGCGTGCCTGATGCAACTTCTGAATCTCAGCAACCTCCCATGACAATGTTGCACACCTGCATCGACTAATTCACCAGCAGTTGATAATGGCTGTTGACGACTATCTGTGAGTGGGCGCGTTGCTTCCGCGCGCTCAGAACCCCGCTGATAGCTCCTGGCACAGCTTCCGCGAGACAGATTCCCTTGTCCTCCCGCTCAAAACACTCTACCCTCTATCAATACCCGTCGCCCACTACCAGCTGCGCCACTACATCAGCTGCGAGGGCGAAGACGTCCTCTATTACGCCAGCGGCGCCGAACTATTCTCTCTCAACACTTCGACCCAGAAGCGCACCCACATCGCGACCCTCCCGTTCGACACGCGATGCACGGCATCCGGGCACGGCTGGCTATGTTGCGGCGGTGAGGACGAGGGGCACTTTGCCGCGGTCAAGCTCACCGGCGGCTCCTCCTTGGCTGCAGACGTCGACGCCCTCTTGCCACTGGATCTCGGAAACCGCCCCCTTGGTCGCCCGGCTACTTCAACCCCAACAGTGAAATTGGAGAGGATCGGAGAAGAAATTGTGAACTCAATATCAATCCATAAGCTGGCCAGCGCAGAGGAAGGAGGAGAGGATGAGGTAGTCGCAGTCCTCACCAACAACGACAAGACTGTCCGAGTCTACTGTCTAACACATGGATTAGAGGAGGCTGTACTGGACCTGCCCTTTCCCATGAACCATGCTTCAATTTCGCCGGATGGTAACCTAATGGTTGCTGTCGGTGACTACCATCAAGCCTTCTTCTTCGAGCGCTCCGGGTCGAGGCAAAGGACGCAATCTACCAAAACGGACACGGCAGCGGGGGGAGGCCACTCCGAATGGACGAAAATAAGCGTTGCAATGCTGCACATTCCGGCGAACTCGTCAACTACAGGCTATTTCACGACTGCGTGGTCTCCATCAGGGAAACTTTGTGCGGTTGGCTCTGAGTGTGGCTATATCTCAGTATTTGACACGGATCTCCTGAGAGCAAGCGAATTTGGCGAAGATGCGATCGTCCAGGTCATCCGCTCAACGCGCCCTGACACCTCGCACGGTCCTGGTGCAGTGCGCACCATGTGCTTCTCGCCTCAGCCATGGGATCTCTTGATCTGGGCCGAAGACCAGGCGAGAGTGTGTGTTGCAGATCTAAGAGAGGGGCTTCTGGCCAGGCAGGTTCTGTCTTTGGATCCCAAGGAGGACAGCGTCATCAAAATTGATACGCAGTTGATCGACGTGGAAGATGCCAGCGAGTCATCGAACAACGAGCGGAATCGCGAAATTGCGCGGCTGGAGTCAGAATTGAATCAGGAGCAAGATCTCATCAACAGGCACAGACGGGCATTGGCGTCGGCGGCAAATGATACTTCGGCAGCGCTCGAGGTTGTCGGTGAGTTCATGAGTGCGGTTCTCCAGCGAAGGCGACATGCTGGGGTCGTCGAGTCGGATAATGACCCGCACGGCTTGACAGCACAAGAGCGCTCCATTCTCGATGCGCTACGCACCAGAGAGCACCGGGACATAGTGCAGCGCGAACGTGAAAGGATTGCCTCGATCCCTCGCAGCATCAACTATCCAAGCACGACTGGCGAATCACGGGAACAGAGAGCAGAACTCTCGTCAGACAGCTTCCCGTCTTTGACCAGAAACCGCAGCAGCGAAGGCAGAAACATAGCTCTGCCGTCTCTCGGCTCCCTCAGAGATTTCCTCCGCGACCGCAGCGAACGTGAACGTGAGAGCGGCTCGTACGTCCCCCCACATCCGCCACGTCGGCAACCGTCCGTAATCCTCACCATTGGTAGTAGCACAAGCGACGATGCCAATCGGTCTTCGTCGAACACAGGTGCGCGAAGTTTTAGCTCGTCTGAGGCATGGCGCACAATTGAGGCGGCTCTAGCAACAGGCCCCGAGCCACCAGCAGCTGCTCGCCCGAGCAATGCCAACACCACGTCTGCTCCACGGTCTATGGATCCCCTGATCGAGATGGGGCGGTTGAGACAGCTGGCTCGAGCACGTGAACGCGTACGCAACATGCAGACTGCATCTCGTGGTTTCGATGATTATGGCGTGATTGGTCGGCGAGTCGGCATGTCTGGCCGCTTCAATCCAGCCTTTGGTGTGAGAACTGCAGGGCTGGCAATGAGTGAAGATGGGCGGAAGCTGTACGTTGGTACTGAGGAGGGCATCTTCGAGTTCGAGATTGACGTGCGGGGCCGCAAGGGATGGGGTGCGGTGCAACCGAGATGATTTCATGCGAATTTTGGCGTTTTCACCTTCATATCCTCCAGCCTACCGTATATGGCTCGGCATTTATCTTCTTCTACAGACGTTTTTTTGGGGGGTCAGCAGGATCGGCGCATTTGGGTACCTCGAACACAGGGGAATATGGAGTTTGTAGGAGCCATGTTGCAGCAAAGATGATTTCACGGTTTATCGAGCCATGCGGTGGACCTCCAAAAGCCTGGATTCGCGCGTATTTAACTGGAATCTTGGATACAATGGTCATGGGAACATAACTCTTGGGCAATGTGCAACTCGAATGTCGAGATAGTTCGCATGGTTGGCGGAGTCATGCGGCAACGACTTTAGCGCCGCAGAGTGAGCGACTTCGGAGCGAATGAGCGGCAAAGGATCTGACGCCATCGCGAAGAATGAGTCTTCGGCTTAGGACCCCACGGTTTGTGCTCCACCCCAGCCGGATACGTACCTGCAGCTTCCGAGACTCTCTCCAATCTGCTGCGCCCTATTTCTCTCTCACCTTCTCCAGTTCTCACCGCATCCCTCCGCTTCAACACAGTCCGGCCAATTTCCATCAATTGAGGCCCTCCGTCGTCGGCCTCGCCCACCGTCCCCTCTGCTGACGTCCGCCACCTTCGATTCGCCGCGAACCTTATTCCAGCACTCCCGCATTTCCGCACACCATGTCCGCCCCGAACGACGGCCCCAAGAAGACTGGCCCGCTGGGCAAGGCCATGCAGACGGTCGACCTGGATGGCCACAACCTGCCTCCCAGCCCGGCGCCCAGCAGCCCGCACACTGGTCGGAAGTACGCTCTCGCGACCGAGCTGGTCTACACCGAGAGCAGTGACCAGTACAATGCCTCCAGCACACCGATCTACCAGGTAAGGCTGCAATTCTGTATAGCCCGTCTCCATTGGCACTGCTCGTAGTTTCGGCTTTGCATATACTTACCGGTTTTCTGCAGACTGCGACGTTCAAGCAGGACTCCGGCAGCGGCGGCGGAGAGTATGACTACACGCGTTCCGGTAACCCCACGCGCACCCACCTCGAGCGCCATCTCGCCAAGATCATGAGCGCACGGCGCGCCCTCGTCGTCTCGTCTGGTATGGGCGCGCTGGATGTCATCACTCGCATGCTTCGACCTGGCGACGAGGTGGTGACGGGTGACGACTTGTACGGCGGCACCAACCGCCTGCTCAAGTACCTCTCGACCAACGGCGGCATCATCGTACACCACGTCGACACCACCGACCCGGCCGCGGTGCAAGCCGTCGTCGGCGCGAAGACGGCCATGGTGCTGCTCGAGACGCCGACGAACCCGCTCATCAAGATCGTCGACATCCCGACGATCGCATCGGCAACGCACGCCGCCAACCCGGCCGCCATCGTCGCCGTCGACAACACGATGCTGTCGCCGATGCTGCAGAACCCGCTCGAGCTGGGCGCCGACATTGTGTACGAATCGGGCACCAAGTACCTGTCAGGCCACCACGACGTCATGGCGGGTGTGTTGGCCGTCAACGACGCGGCGCTGGGCGACAAGCTGTTCTTCACCATCAACGCGTCGGGCTGCGGTCTGAGCCCCTTCGACTCGTGGCTGCTGATGCGCGGCATCAAGACTCTGGGTGTGCGCATGGAGAAGCAGCAGGCCAACGCCCAGCGCATCGCCGAGTTCCTGCAGAACGAGGCCGGCTTCCGCGTGCGCTACCCCGGCCTGAAGAGCCACCCGCAGTACGACCTGCACTGGAGCATGGCCCGCGGCGCCGGCGCCGTGCTCAGCTTCGAGACCGGCAACGTCGAGCTGAGCGAGCGCATCGTCGAGAGCGCCCGTCTGTGGGCTATCTCTGTGTCGTTCGGTTGCGTCAACTCGCTCATTTCCATGCCTTGCCGCATGAGCCACGCCAGTATCGATGCGAAGACGCGTGCTGAGAGGAACATGCCTGAGGATATCATCAGGCTGTGCGTCGGTATCGAGGATGCGGACGACCTCATCGATGACTTGAGGAGAGCGGTAAGTTACTCAAGCTCAATTCAAGTACTAGGTGCAATCATGCTAACACGGTATTCAGCTTGTCCAAGCTGGCGCCGTCAAGGTCACTATGAACGGCATCTCCTCTCTCGCATCGACCGACCCGGCCGCGTCGGGTACTGCTGAAGGCCAGCAGATCGCTGCTGACGGCTTCAAGGAGCCTGAAGCCGCGGGCACGGCTCCTGCGGAGCAGCAGTAGATTCATCATTTTTGTACCATGGAATTACGATATTTGTCTCATGTGGCGCTTGCCTTCTGGATTCCCTGATGGCAATATAAAAGCCACGACGGTGTTTGGCGTTTACGTTTCCTTCTAGTTACTGATGGTTGTATGGAGGCCGGCTGAAAACAATGTGTAAAAAGCGGGTATTGTTGAGGTGAGGATACTGAGAGATGGTTTGCAAGGAGATACCATAAACCATGAGATCAAGGAGATCTAGCCAAGTTTTGAGAGAGAATCGGAACAAAAGACTTTTCTTTGGCATTTTATGCTCAAGACCATATGTTATCTGTCCGAATATGAGTGATGAAGTTGGACGAGGATTGACGACGAAGACCAAGGTACCCAGCGCTGCAAATTGGGTGCCCACAAGACGGCTGACAAAACGAATTGAACTTTTCTAATGAGCCTTGCTCTACCAGTGTGGGTAATCCAGCCCAATATTCCGGGTGCATTCGTATAAGTTTGATCTTTACATTTACCAACGTAGAAAAGGTATGGCTTCATTTATGAGGGAGAGCTTAAACGTATGAAGCTCGTGACTACAGATGAGTTTGTCCAACCTTTACAATAAGATCTTGGCTTGAGCATGTGGATATTACGCAGCGGATTAGCCCAGTAACACCCTTAGCCTTCCTGTAATATGGGGGAGAGGCTTTGCCAATCGCTACAGCGAGCAATATAAATTGGAGCGCCCCTCCACAGAGCTTAGCCCAAGACAGGTGACAATGGTCAGCCTTTTCCGCCTACAGATAACTCCTCCGCACTTTCTTTCGCCTTCGTTTGTTCGCCGAGATGTGCAAGATGGCTACGTTCCCATTCACCAGCTACTGTTCTCCAAATGCTATGGAAGCATCACTTGCGTAAGTTGATACTGAAAAGCGGCATGAGCTAATAGCGTTGAGAATCATCATCTTATGATGATGGTGCAGGGCTTCTTATAGTACTGGCGGCGGCCAGTCAACTTTGATGACTTTCGGCATGCACCCGAAGCGGGCGACAAGAGAAGGGGCCAATCAGTTTTACGAGTTCTTTACCAGAACACAGTGTGTTGTTTCTCGATAGCTCACGCTAAGAGGCTTGCAGTAGATGGAAGCGTCCTCTCCGACCTCTCAATAGCAATAGATTACAAGCTTTATGTTTTCATTATAGTTCATCGCCGGACGCATATTATTCCCTAAAATTGAAAGTCATATTATCACCTGGTAAGGAGTGGCAACTGTTCTGTCACTTCAGTCCTGCTAGACTAGTATATATAAGTTGGCTTCTACAAAAAGATGGACGCGCTGACTTTCATGGAAGATTTAACCAGAAGAATAAAGTCTAGAGAGAATTCAGCAAACTCTGTGGTTGTTCGGGGGGGTGTGGTTTTAAGTCTTTCGGTCTATGGTCAAGTGCAAATGATCTAAGGAAGCTGGCACTTTAGTAGAAATTTAAGCTCTGTAAGGACAAAAGGCAGCGTTTACGATAGTTGATGTGCAGCACCGATTTTGATTAATATTAACAAATTCTAAGCATATTTGATTGAGCGTTTTTAGAGAACACAGTACAACCCAATAGTGAAGCGAATTCAAGAAGCAATATAGTAGTAGAACAGAATACTCTACCAGCAGACTCTAAAAAATCAAGATGGGTTGAAATACATGGTCCTCGAGTAGGTCACGTGCCATTTTAAAGGGAGGAATCGGGTGCTTAGCTTCGAGTTGCTTTTCTGAAGCGACCTGGAGGTGTTTATGCGATACTTGACGCACTTGAAGCCCTATAGATCTTTGATGCTGGGGACAACGTAGCTATTCTTCTTTAGTGATAGGTCCTGTGAAAGTTTTATCTAGATCTACCTTGCAGCCTCGAAATCTATTCGTATCTCGTATGTTATAGAAACACACTATTATGGTTGTTTATTCCACACCCTCATGCTCTTTTCGCCACTCTGCCAACATCTCCACCGATACATTACTTCCACCACAGACCACAATCACGACGGCCTCCTCTTTATCCAGCTTCCGCCCCACCGCTTTCTCCAGCCGCCCACCAAAGCAAGCCGTCGCAGACACTCCACACGCCAACTCAACCAACAACCTCTCCTCATCGGCCAGCCTCAGGCATCCCATCGCCGCCTCGCCATCAGTATACACCACACTCCTCGCGTAATCTTTCAACGCATTCGCGTAAGCCACCTTACTCACCCTCACCGCCCCCAAGCTCGTCGCCAAACTGGTGATGCCCGGCAGGGTCACCAACTTGCCCGCCTTCACACTCTCATTCAGACTCGCCGCGCCCTGCGTCTCGACCGCAACGACCTTCGTGCCCTGCACCCCCCACCCCGCCTCCTCGACGCCCCTACAAACGCCATTGAACAACCCCCCACCACCCACACTGCACACGACGGCCGCGGGCCTCCCGCCCTCGACCCCCACCTCCTCCAACTGCGCCCGCGCCTCCTGCACGATACCCTTATTCCCCTCCCAGATATCCTCGTGGTCGAACGGCGGCACGTACACGCCGACCTCACCCCTCGTCTCCGCCTCGGCCAGCACGACCTCGCGCAGGTGCGCGTCGGCGTCGGCCCAGGTGGCGCCGAACTGGACGACGTCGCGGGCGCCGGCGGCGCGCAGCTTGGCGATCATGAAGGGCTTGGTCGACAGCGGCACGACGATGGTGGCCGGGCGTCGCAGCGTGATGGCCGCCCGCACCGCGGCCAGCCCCGCATTGCCGCCCGACGACGAGTAGAAGTGCACGCTGGATGGCGAGGGAGAGCGCAGGAGCGCTTGCGTCATTAGGTTGCCGACGCCTCTGTTTTTTTCGGGTGTTAGTGGTCTGTCTGGGGTTTTCTCCTGCTGCTGATCCATTTTTCTTTTTTTTTAAATCCCATTTTATCGAGCTTCCCTTGTGGCTGGTGGAGTTGTTGGGAGATGGATGGGGCGAATGGCACGTGACAGGTGGCGTGGTGGGAGGTGTGGTCGGGTGGAAACGGTAATGGTAATGGCGTACGTGGCGTCGTTCTTTTCTTATTTTTTTTTTAAAAAAAAATGAACATCTTCTTGACCTACCTAGACTTGAAAGAGCCCGAGGGCTGGAGGTTCTCAAGTTTAAGAAACACTCTGCTTTTTGTGGGTCAGTCGTTTTTGACAACACGTTGCGAGGATTCAGGAAGGTCTACATACCATCCGGCCGCATTGGAGAGCGCGACAGATTCTACCAGCGGAGTGCTGCGCCATGGCCGCTGGTCGGTGGGAAGTTCGTGCAAATCGGAAACGGTCATTTTCTCTGATTTCTCTGGCGATTGAGGAAGCAGAATACGGGTGAATTGATACTTGGTCGATGGTTGTTAAGGATGAACAGAAGCTGCAGAGTTCTGCTTATTTTAGTGATGTTTCGGCTTGTCACTCATAGGGCGCAAGCTCGCTTTCGGTCCGAAGGATTTTACGTATCCACAATCACAAGGAAGGCTTTAAACTCAACAATCATTGGGAGTTACGGCCAGTTTGGACACAAAGCGGCTACTTTTATAGGCCCTCGTTATATTATTCTAACCATCTATGAAACCAAATTTTATACTTAAGTTATACACTTCAATTTACTATTAGTTACTTATACTAATACTCTATATCAGCTTGCAAACCCGCCTAAAATCGCCAGACCATTCGCCCTAATGCCGTGACCTTAGATATGTTTACATACATCTACTCTAGTAGGGCTGGTTCTATGTCGATTTAAGGGTGGCATTATTACAGCTGATTGACTCCTTGATCCGATTATTTTACCGTACCCAGCTTTTTCATCTGGGGAAGATCTTATAAGATATGATTGTCCAAAATTGTAACACTTTATTGGCCACCCAGCTGTGTCCCCGGGGCATATCACCCCATATTCATTTTCTCACTAAGGTCACATACAAAATACGGAGCACTGATTAACATGCTACACCATAGTAAACGTGTTCACTCGTGCACCTGACACTAGTACATTCGTATTATTGTAAAGCTACTTGCAAGGGCCAGTGCTACTAGCGCGTCGTCACTAGTGTTCCTCCAAATATTTTCTCGTATTGTTAGTGGTTGATTCCTTTAGCAGAATTAACTGGCGCGGTAACCACGAGCAGCGTGGGCAACCGCCAGAAGCATATAGTCGGTGTTCGCGAAGCTACCCAGAAAGTCTAAAGGAATTAGAATTTGACAGGTGGCGGAATCAAATTTGCAGAGATTTTCGCAAATTTCCAAGTCAGAACACACCTGACCGCTATTTTAGACAACCAAATGCTCTGCAAGTTCATCTCTTCTCCCCTAAGCTTTACAGCGATGAAAGCTTCGGCGCGAAACTGAAGAGGTAAACGGGTGGTGTCTTGAGCTACCCGAGAGAAAGCACTGGTACCACCTCTTCACGATCGCACCTACCAACAAAGGAAGTCAGCTGGGAAATGTATTACTACAGCTTCAGTTGAATCCCTTCCAGCCTTTTTCTCTTTCGTTTCCACATAGTCCTCTCCACTCGTTCAATAATTTCCCTCCATCTGTGAGCATCTTCGGACTGTGGCTTGATTGTCAAAAGTATATCCAAGCGATGAGGCCTCTGATTAGTCCTCTACTATTTATGGGGTGGCGGCCAGTGAATTTGAGTAAGACTCCTGTTGAACCGGGCAAATGAATGAACTGAACAGTGTTGCTCCTTGTAATACAGCAGCAAACTACCCGCTTATATACCAGATAGATGCAATGATGTAATGCTTTAAGATTGATGAATGACGTTATAGTGGTGAGATATACCAGGGGCTTGTCTTGGTGTTGAAGAAAAAGCAATAATACACGGCAAATATATTCGGCAGTAACAATGAACAATGATGAGATTTGACAACTCTATGAATCTTTCCAGTATCAAGATCCCTCCTTTAACCAAAAAGAAGATACGGAACGACCGAAAGTGAATCTCAGAACTGTAGGTGTTTGTGCCAGGCGGAAGCGGAAGACATTCTCTAATGCACGATTGTTCGCAAAGCAGGCACGCTCTTCGGTTCGATATTTATGCCCTCCAGGAATAATAGAAAATTTCTTTCTGAAGGCCCTCCAGCGGTAGTAATAGTAACGGATCTTCTTTTGTTCTCCACCTGTCGAATTTATTAGTGCTATTCCACCAGGGGCTGCAAACCCATCAGCTCAACTTAGAAGAATTGTATCAATGACCTCGGTAGGTTGTAGACGAGCAAGTAATCTTGAAATTCCCTCGATACCTGTAAATGCGGCGTGGCTATCACTGGGATAGTCCAAGTCTCACATATTCAAGAATCCACAGAGAACCCATTAGAAAAACGTCGAGCTCCATTCTTTAATTCTGGTGACACAATCACAGAATTACTCCTCGCTGCTCCAGCTCTTTCTTTTGTTGTGTGTCGTATTGACTCGATCAGGTCGTTGTCGGGTCGGCCACCCTGGCCTAGGGAGTTTTATTGGTTGCGTGCATATGTGGTGTAGGATTGGTAAACAACGAGGAGGTCATGGTGTTCAGTAATATTGTTGATCAAGGATGGTGAGCATTAGCGTCATTTCATATGTCTGCTGAGCATCGAATTCTTCTGAAAATGGAGTTCTGATTTCAGAATGTGAGGCTGTAAGGAATTGGATGAGCGAGTACAGCTGAAAGAGCTTGAGTAAAGTCCGGGGACTCTTCATCCCTTGTCCGTAGATGCCCGATCCCGGTGAGTGATTGGGATACTGAAGTATGGAAGATAAGGAGGAAGAAGCTTTCAAAGGAGGTATCTTTGTGGGCGAAGCCACGTGGATTCGCAAAGACAAGTGCGCAGTTACAATGAATTGGTTAGTGGGCAATTATGGTAGAAGGACTAGATAGAAGGTCTTAAAATTCAGAAACCATCAAATTGTGAACAATACGAAATACTTGTGAGGTCTGAGATTAGAAGTCGCCTCTCTCGCTGATGGAATGCCTCAACAGGCTGTGTGTCGGTTGTTTGCATTACCTCAACATTAACCATCTTTCAAATGACATTTAAGCCAAACACGCGAATGATTGAAAGGACCAAGCTTAAAGATGACCTGCAATCGATCTCGTTGCAACCTTACCTGAGTTGTCGACTCACCTATTGAATGCTATACCCACCATCAACGACGATCGGCTGACCGGTAATCCAACGAACATCATCGCTCGCCAGGAAGACAGCCGCCCTCGCCGCATCTTCTGGCTCGCCCATGCCGCCAAATGGATGTGCCTCGTCGACTTTAGCCTGCGCTGCGGGGCTGCTCTGGTGGTTCGCCGTCATTGCAGTGCGGAGGACTGGGCATCGGCTCTGTCAGACGGCTTCCCGGTGGGAAGATGTGGCAAGATGTGGCAAATCGAGAAGAGATAGTAACAGTGGGCGAAAGAGGCAAAGCGCACGGATAAATAGCAGCTAGAGTAGGCAGACCGGAATGATGTGGCGCCGGCGCAGATGAACAAGGAGGGTTTCGCTAAAGCACCACGAAGCCACGCAAAAGATATCGGGTAAGCACTTACAGCCGGGGCAGATGCAGTTGCAATGAATCCTGTCCTTCGCGTAGTCCAGCGCGATCTGCTTGGTCAGTTGCACGACGGCGCCTTTCGACGCGCAATAAGCGGCTATCGGCGCGATCAGCACATTCCCCATCCTTACCTTCCGCACATCGGCCTGCTCCTCTCATCAAACGGGAGGGAGAAACGCCGCAGGATGAGGGGGACTCACGCGTGCCGTGGTACGCCAACAGCCCCTGAATGCTCGCAGTGTTGACAATCCAGCCCTTGTCCCCGTTCTGCCCCTCCAATGGTTCCTGGTCGAGCATCTGCGCAAGCGCGTACTTGCAACCCAGGAACACCCCCTTGGTGTTGATGGCCATGGTCTTATCGTAATCAGCCTCGGGTGTCTCGTGACAGCGCAACACGCGAGGGTGGCTGCTTTCGACGCTGATGCCAGCATTGTTTACCATGATGTCAAGGCGACCGAAGACCTCGACGCACTGAGCGACGGCGTGCTCTACGTCGGCAGCGACAGTGAGGTCGGCCTGGACGAAAATGGCATCGCTGCCGGGATGAGCTTGGCGCAGCAGCTCGTGCGTGGGCACGGCAGCGGAAGAGGCCGCCAGTCGTTCGGTGACTAGCTTCGCCTTTCCGGTAGCGGGATCTTTCTCGTCGCGCAGAGTGGGAAATAAATCGACGCAGGCCACGCGTGCTCCCTCTTGAGCATAAGACAGCGCGATGGCGCGACCAAGGCCCGACGAGGCGCCGGTGATTAGGGCGGTCTTGCCTGCGAGGCGGTTGGGCATTTCGCAGAAGGGGTTGTTTCGAATTAGGCTCACGGCTATGCGGCAACTGGTAGACTCGGCACTTCCGGGGGTTGCAGGGAGTTTGGGCGATCGAAAAGGCGTTTCAGGAAGTATATCTCAGTTTCAAGAAGGGTCGAGGGCGATTTCGTGATCTCGAGCTGCGGTGTCGTGCTCGTTTCAAGTGGAGCTGGCATTCCTGCGGGACGACCCGACGTCACTTCTTGAGTGCGGGGCAACGACCCTGGCCATCTGCAGCTCGCGGTGCCTGAGGAGCGAGAGCGAGCTGATAGCAATCACAACTCTCTGCATGCGGACCGTTCCGGAAGCGGCCAAGAGACATGTGTGCAAGGTTAAGACGGAAAAGCTGCCGAAACACGTCGCACTGCCCAGCAGCTATGTATCCGCATACGGCGTATCCGTATCTTAATGTGTGGCGTTCACTGATAAGTCCGACTCGGCCGCGCGGGGGATAAAGTCATCTCCGAAGATGAAAAAAGGAGCCAGAGTTGAGAGTACGAGGTGTATGACACATAAGCATTCCATATTCGCGACTCCCCTTTCAGGGCGGTCAGGCTCCCAAGGAAACGAGAGAGTGTCGGAGATATGTAGCTGGCCAAAGATAGAAGCGTGCGATGGACCCTAACCGGGTCGCTGGCAAATTGAACGCAGGGCTGACATGCCATTCTGGGGAGAGCACTCCACAAGCGTTGAGCCCACGGGCCCGCGCCAAGCTCAGCAATAAGGCCGCCAAGCGTTGGAATTTCCAGCGAGCTCGTAGTGGCGCTCGGTTGCAGGAACCCGCCGATTAAGATCCGCGGCGGCGTCATGCCTACACAGAGCAGACCGCAGATAGGCGGATACGAGCGGTCAAACGCTCACCACCATCTGGTGAAGCAGCAGGTCAGGGACTGCGGGTGGTGATGTCGCAATTGCCTCGAGACAAGAAACGGGAAGGTCGCTAGGATGCGGGCCGCCTATCAGGTTGTGCGCTCGCCGGCGGGCTGGATCGAGTGCAATTTGAGCAGTAGAGATCGTCCGGCGTGCTTGTTGCGGCCAGGACGCGTCAGCGTGGGACTTCCCCAGGATTGGAGGATTGACTTTCTCGCGACCGCCCGGCGTTCGCTAGGCTGGAGGAAGAAGCTCGCTAGGCGGGCGAGATAGGGAGGCTTGATACCGTGAGGCGCGCCCCGGGGCACCCTGGCCGGCCGGCCCAGCGGGCGTTGCTGCTCAGCGAGCCGTTGCTGCTCAGCACTACTGTGCAGTGCGGCTCCCGGTCCCTGGCGATGGGCAGTGCGCACTGCCGGCGGCTGGTGACGGTGCTCACATGTAGCAATGCTGCTCTCGGGAATCCGGCAGCTTCCCTGTCAAAAAGCCAAGACTTTGGATGCACGGACGCTCCAAGCGCCCGCCGTGTGGCGGACCCGGGCGTCGAGCGGTGACATGCCCGGCGATCCCAACGACGCGGCGGTGCGGGAGGCATGCTGCCTCAGCATCCATGGCGGCGGCGGGCGGCGGCGAGTAAGAGCAGCGGCACCGCGGCCAGCGTGGGCAGCGCCTCTTCAAGGGAGCGCGTCGGGAGCCGCATTGGTGGGCTGCCACCCGGTGTCAATTACAAAACGGTCCGATGCCACACGCTGGCACCGCTCTGGATTCTTCTCCCCCACAGCGCCCGCCATCACACGACCTTGTTGGACCGCTCATGTCGTCACTGGCTGTTGCGCCACAGCTGTGCTCCGCGCCGCGTGCGCTGGGCCTGTGGCCGGCGGCGGCAGGCGGCGACCAGGCTGACGCCCCCTGCCCCGGCGCCTGTGTTGCTGCTGATCCGCGAATTTGGCTCTGGCACTGGTCCCCTGAGCTGGCGGAGGTGCAGCGCTTGGCCTCGTGGGTGCGGCGGACTGCGTCCCAGGGCAAAACGCCTCTGCACAGCCAAGCTCCAAGGCCGGCGAAGCTCTCAGAAAGCCTGTTGCAACAATCGCCGCCTTAGCTCCGCACGTTGGCGTTTCCTGCCTGCGCCGGCCGGAAACTGGGCTGGGCGCCCCTAGGGAGCAGGTCAAGCCACGGTTGAGCGTTTCGGGGCTAGTGGCTATGGCGTGTAATTCCCCCCAGCTTTGCGTGCTGCATCCCGCGCGCTCTCCTGCCCTGCCCGCGCGGGCGGCGGCGCGACGGCTCACTGTAAAAAGGAGACGGGCGGGCGCGGCTCTGCGTTCGCGCCTCTACGTGAAACACTACGCATTGAGGCGTTCTCACCCGCTGCCTGCCTGCTGTGCCGGTGAGCGCCACATCCGATCGCCGGCCGCTGCGCTCCGCCAACGATATCCAAGCACATCATCCCGCCGTCAGTGCGACACACGCGCCTCAGTAAGGGCAGCCCTCCGACCCCCAGCCAAGACCTGCCAAGAGAATAAGGAGCAGTCTCTGCGGCAGCACTGTGCCGACCCATCCTGACACGAGCCGCTGATCCCTTCGTCTCCATCCACCGCCAGCCTGTTCTTGCACTCCTACATAACTTAAGCTGACCTCGATTGCCGGTGGCTAGCCGTCCAGCATTCCTATCTTTGTTTGCGCCGCGCCCTCGCCCGCAAACACCACCACATCCTCTCGCTCTTTGTGCGATTGCTTCCGGACTCCACTCGGCCTTTCCTTATCTCCTCGATATCCCCGCCCGGCATCACTGGATGAGCTGTAGATTCTAATCATGGGAAACGAGAAGAACGTGAAGTGGGTTGAAGTGAGTCCACCCTCCAAATCGCCTCTTCTCCCACCCTCAAGCTGACCCTGCTGTAGGGCCTGCGAGGCATTGCCTCAGTCAGTGTCATCATGACCCATCTCACCCGCGCCTGGTACTTCAGAGCGTTTCTGGCCTCCGACGGCGAAGGCGTTGCGCCCATCCTATGGCAAATGCCCATCTTCCGCGTTATCCCCCAAGGCCGCATAGGCGTCACCATCTTCGGATTCCTCACCGGTTTCGTCTGCGCTCTGAAGCCGCTGCGTCAAGCCCGCGCCGGCCAGCACAGCGATGCGCTCACTTCCATCGCCAAGAGTGCCTTCCGCCGTATTCCCAGGCTCATCCTGCCCTCCACCATCGCTATGATCATCGCGTGGCTGCTTGCTCAGTTCGGTGCCTTCCACGTTGCTCACCGCACCGACGAGGTTTGGCTTCGCGAGGCCAGCCCCAAGGCATCCGACTCCCTCTTTGGTGCCTTTGTAGATCTCTGGAACGCCTTCCGTTCCGTCTGGACCAACGGCTACATGCCGTACGATGACCATCAATGGGCTATGTTGCCCCTGCTGAAGGAGTCGATGCTGGCCTACGTTGGTCTGGCTGCCACCATCTTCATGAAGTACAAGTATCGCGTGATCACCTACTTCGTCATGTTCTGCTACTTCTTCCAGGACAACCACCCTCTTGTTGGTAAGAAATTAGCCCCTCCGTCGACTTGGACTGTCGTGTGATGTTAACCAAAAAAAACAGAGACGTTCGCACAGCAGCTGTACTTCGCTATGCTCCTCTGCGACCTTTCGCTTCACCCCAGCGGCCAGGCTTTCATGGCCAGCAACCGCTTCGCTCTCAACATGGTCTCGCCCTTCCTCGTCATCTTCGGCCTCTACCTCGCCTCGTACCCCGCCGACGGCCCGGAGTGGCTCACCTGGTCCCGCCAGCTGATGGAGATGGGCCAGTGGCTCTTCCCCGAAGGCTCCGACGTTCCCCGTCGCTTCTCAGCGCTCGGCCTGGATATCATCATCATCGGACTGTTCTTCTCGTCTGGCGCGAAGGAGATTCTGTCCAACAAGTACTTCATGTGGCTCGGCCGCAACAGCTTCGCCGTCTACCTGATCCACGGCACGCTCCTGCGCACCGTGCTGATCTGGATGCTGTACGGCATCACTGGCGAGCCGTTCGAGGAGGTCCGTGACGAGGAGGGCAACATCATCGGCAACTGGCTGGAGCGTCCCGGCACGTTTGGCTTCGCCATCGCTATCCCCATCTGGCTCGTCATCGTGTACACTTGTGCACACTTCTGGACTACATACGTCGACAACTACTGCGCACAGCTGACGCAGCGCCTGGAGAAGTTCGTTTTCGAGGAGGAGGAGAAGTCGATTCCTCTTGTCTAGAAGAAAAAAAAAAAGACGATACGGATGAAAGACAGTATGGGTGACGGTCGTTTGGGTTATTATCATCTCTGCAAAGAGCATATGGTGCTAAGGCGTTTATGATGGTTCGTCGGGAACCTGCTGAGGATTTCATTTGTTAATTTCTTTCGAAAGCATCACCTGGAGTTTTGGGACATTTATTTGCATGCTGCGCGCGAGCGAGCGAGCATAGCGGAAAGTCATTTACGCAACGGTGGACTATCACCACCATCAACCACACAGCATCGGCCGGGACAGTTGAGAGAAGGGAAGGTCCACGGTATCGTTCATCGATTCCCAGCGCAAACGGAAAAGCAGATAAATCTCTTTTCGAGAGAGGGAAACACATGTTTCTTATCCCAGCTGTTATTACAGATACCCAAAGTAAAGTAAATCATTTTGTGGGATTCTTGCTCCTCCTTCCTACATTATGGTGGAAGATATGTATTCAAAGTAGCAAATGGGCACGATCGAGCACTGCTAGATCCAGCCTAACCCCGTAATTCTTAATCTTATACATACACCATTCACAACGGTTCAACGAGTGGCAACTAGACGCGCAGGTGAAACCGATGTCTGCAAGATGAATCTTCATCTGAGAAAGCTTGTGCTGACGATGACGCTGATCCCTTCTAGTTCGACTTTCTCGCCTTGGGACGTTACTGAGACGCAGTCGGTTCCCAGCCCCGCACCCGCCTCCGCAACTCCTGGAGATCACAGCTAGAGCGGGTCGGGTATTCCGAACTTTTCTGGGCGGCCCGGCACCTTTTGGGGGGAAAAAATGTCGCCAAGAATGTACAGGGGCCTATCATCAAGAATGACTAGTGTGGCAACCACGGAACGAGCGATGCGCTATACGCCTGCGCCTACATGCCTACGTATGTACAACACATACATCAACTACACCCTTCGCCACATTCCCATTGCCTACCACCGTTCCCGCGCATGTCTTTCCTTTCCCATTTAACAAAAAAAGTTTGGCGGCCTCACGTTAACTGCAGATCGTATCATCGCCGTCCGTTCCGCTGACTCTGATGTCTCAGCGTGGGCCGCTTGGGGGTTGGGTTGAGATCTGCACGACAGAGTCAGCCAAGGCTGAGACGAGATGCTGTGTGCATTGCGTCTTCTCGATGCCGACCCCGCTTCGACTTTCTCTTCATCTCTCCTCAGCCCCCCCGTTCTTGCGGGGCTTCGGGGCTGCAAGGCGTCGTGGCTTGTGGTATGTATGCATGGAGAGCTGAGGTCACGAAAATACGACGGGGCGCAGACGGGGGGATTTGCTAATTGGAACGGGGAAGGCTGGAGAAGACGCGCAAGTAAAAAAAAAAAAAAGGTCCCGTGGTAAAGAAAGGGAGAGCGAAGGCTAGCAAGGAATGCGTTCGTGTCTATGCTGTTCCCTCCGCTTGGGGATAGGTCTGGAGCGAAGGGAGGGGGGATTGGCGCGCGCGCGCGCGCACCCGCCGGAGGGGGATGGCCTACTCTCTCTGCCTATCTCCCTCGTGAACGCTTAGCTGGCAACGCGTAAGGTTACTCACGTCCCGGAGCGCAGCTTATCCTCGTTTCTACAAATAGCGTCCGGATTAGGAAATGTTGGGATACACGACAGCGGCTATGTAAATGCCGATTACTGCTGCGACTTGTGGCACAACGAAGGGGAAGGAGGCCGCGAATAAGATGCATTCCTTCCGGGAAGAACGGCAAGCACGGAAGGGACGGCAGCATGACGTTGCAGCTTGGCCCTGCATGGGGGCGAGCGGCGCATGCGCAGCTGAGTACAAAGTCGGGAACCTTTGGCGTTTGTTTGAGACAGGCCTGCATGCACAGCTGAATGATAGGGAAAAAACGTGGCGCAGTGCGCGAACCGACGTGTTCTTTTATCCCCGGCAAGCGAGTGGCTTTGCGGCCCATGCCGGACGGTTACGAGACTGTGGACGTTGTGGTGGAAATGGGGAGGCGTCGGCGTTGGCGGTGGTGGCGGTGGTGCATGATGCGTGAAACCGCCGGGGGGGCTGTGCGCGTGGGGCCAATGGGCTGGGAAGGCTGGTTGGCTGACTGACTATCGCGCTAAGAATAATAATGTCGTCGACATCTTGCGTTTCGTTTCTGCTGGATATTTCTCTGGTAGCGATGGGAGTCAGCTGGTCTTGACGGCTACCTATCACAACAGGCTAACCGCGCGCCTGCCTCAACCCCCTTGGGTGGCACAGCCAATCTATCCCAGTCGTGGAGACGTCATAGAAAGAAAGGCGGGAAGCGGAAAACGGTCAGACCAGTGTCCGCCAACCCTCGATACTAATAATTTACCTGACCAATCGTGCATCTACCGAGGGCGTGGACCACGTCGTATGTCTCACCTTCACGCGTATTATATTGCTGTTGCACCCGCCGGGCATACCACATCTTGGCGTACGACTTACCCCTGTGCCCCCGCTGCATCACGAAGCGCCACACCTTAAGTTATCCTTCGTCGTGCATTTTGAGTTCCACACGCTGCCTGGAATATTAAGTGTTGCCTTTTTCTCGTCCTGCTCACACAACATGTCCCTTGATATGTATGCTGCCTTATTTTCCCTGCTCGCCGTCACCAGGCGGAAAGGTTCACGCGGTCAATACCAAAAATCCCATTTTCTATGCTCTCACCAATATTCTGCCGACTTTTATGATCTTGAACGCCACTTTGGTGTGGTAAGGGCTTTCGCTACCTAATATTTGATCAATGGCCACGGATGCAGATCGCCGGCCGTTAAGTATCACCTTCATGGAAGAGGAGCTACTTCACATTAGTACATGCGGCCTCTCTTGGTTACCTTCGGAACTCTAACGAAGCAGAACAACGTTTCTCGGGCAAGAATAAACCCCCGATATCAAACGTGACTAAACCATGACAAATCACGAGAAGATAAAGTTAACCTTTAGGAATCTTTTCTTACCTCTCGCTACGCCGAATTTTGCCCTTGACGGAGAAATTCAAAGCAGACCAACCAGACATTTCCAGCTTTCGTTTTTCCCCCTCCCTCCGACCTCAGCACTGATATAGAGTTTAAGAGGTAGAGGCTATGTTGTTCTTATCGAAGTGAGCTAACATGTTAGCATGATCCGGTTGCTGCCTGCAATCCGTTCGAAGAAGCCTATCTCAGGAAAACTGACAAATCTTCGGATAGTGCTTCGCACTTCGGCCAATCTTCCGCTTACATCCGAAGGATTCTGTGTGGCACAGCAAATATTACTCTTCGTGAGGGTGTGGGTCTTACAAATCTTGACAACCTCGATGAGAGGCACTTGGCAGCGAAGAGAGAGGTACCGAACTTTGAAGAGTATCAGCAAAACGGTTGTTGATGTCAATGGAGAGTTATTCCCATATCGAATTACCCAGCGAATCGGGCAAAAAACATGTATATTCCCATGGGCTGATCTCTTCGCAGGATTCCATAGCGATCTCGGCCGCTATAGGGCTACCCGGCGGTCTGGGACGCCCCACTACGGCGAGCCGCAGCGGCGCACTCACGCTGAACTTCCGGCGCCACCAATTCGCCCTCGTCCATCGCCATGCCATCGCGGTAAACTTCTCCTGAGGCAGTCGCTTACTCAATGTTGGCATCAATGGCAATCCCAAGGTCCTTCCGTTCTACCGACATGCGCTCGGCCAGAAAAGGTGATCGGGAAGCTACATGCAGTAAGCTCCTACCCCGCAGGGCCAATTGCTCAGCCAGCCCCGCCCACGGTCATTCCACGGCGTACCCACCGCATCTCTTATCGGCGCCTTGATCTGATCTCTTCTGACTGTCGCCCGAGCTCTCGCGCCTCAATAAAACCCCGCCGCTGCCGCTGCCCCGCCTCAGCTCACTACCACATCTCTCTCTCTCTCACCCAACGCGAAAACCATCCAGCAAAACCCCCACCATGGCCGTCACCGTCACCGTCCTCTACCCCAACGTCTCTGACGCCACCTTCGATCTCGAATACTACCTCAAGACTCACATGCCGCTGGCGCATAAGAATTTCGGCCCCCACGGAATGAAGGGTTATAAAGTAGCCCGGTGAGTGCCCCTCCCGCTGCCATCCGCGCGCGCGACGAAACCCCGCTCTGTCTCAGATGCCCTTGATTCAACACCCCCGCTCCGTACCACCCATTGCCTGACCCGCCATTCGTACGTAGCGTCGTCGGCACCGCGTCGGGCGATCCCGCCCCCTACAGCATCCAGTGCACCCTCGAGTTCGACACCGTGGAGCAGGTCAAGACTGCCGTCTCGACCTCCGCTGGCCCTGTCATGGCCGATGTTCCCAACTTTTCGAACCAGCAGCCCATTTTCCTGATCGGCGAGATTGTCGGTACAAACTAAGACGCTCAATCGAGCGACTGGAGGGGGGGTGGAGCTGTAAATACACGTGTACAGAGGGAAGGAGAGATACTCCAGGTGTGCGTAAGGAATATCATGCCATTTCACGACTTGCATAATTCTCCTCGTTGCTTGAGCATGTTGTGCAGTATCCGCGCCTCGCGCCTGATGCCGTCATAATGCTTTGACCATCTGCAGCGCAGATCCCAGTAAACCCCCACCAAAGCACACAGCTTTTCACACCTCGTCCTGCCGCATTTAGAGCTCTTCGTACCGCGTGAGCTTCCATCTTCCTCACTTAGCGATCCAATTATACACGAAGGACTGCCGCGAACTGCATCAGGGAGGTTCCAGATTCGTAATTTCGCAACGCAAAGCGTCAATCTTTCCCGAGTCGGCATGGTGCAACAGATTCGATCCACCATATCTTTGGTACGGTGGACCATCTTCTTCTCTTGAATTTCCATCTGAACCGTGGAACCCTCCTTGTAACAATCCTAAAACTAACCATCCATGCATTCCCCTCACATTGCAATCGAACGCCCTCGCCTTTCATCCCTGTTTTGTGTGATTCCTCGCTGTAGTACAACACTCTTGGCAGCACGTGTATGAACCTACCATGAATATGCCAGGCAACACTATTCTCCAGTTTTAAAGAACTTAAACATGAGCTAACTGTTAAACAAGAAGAGTCATTCGTTTCAAATCTCGAACTCATCATCTGGCGGTGGTTACACTATTTACCATCATTCACCAACTACAGTTACCAGATTTACATCATGCATTTGAACTCCGTTGCTGCCTTACAATACCATCCCCAAATTGTTCAGCCAACGCAAAATGCCAGATTCTGACATATGAATTGAATGTTGTCCTTCTAATCTCCGTTTACCACATAACCTAGAGTTTCTCCTCCTGGAAGAGCTCCTCTCGCGTCATTCGGCCGCAATCAAGCCAAGCTTCGAGGTTTTGTCTTGTTCGTATATTTTGGACCTGGATGCCATGGGTTTCTTCCAGATGGGCCATGTAGGCTTCCCTGCTCGAAAACACATGGACGCCATTGTGCAGACAGTCGTCGAGGTGACAAACATTGGTAGCAGTGGCACCATCTTGTGGACTTGTCGGTATGTCGAGAACATAGCGATGAGCTTCGGTGGCATGGCGACGGAGATCTCTTCGCTCAGAGAATACCCTGCTATTTTGCGTGCAGCTGTCTTCCGGGCAACGATACACGAAGTTGCAGGCGTATGACTCCCACCTATCGGTCATGGCCCGCCCACGACGTATACGCACCAATTCTCTAGCGCATTCTCGAATGGATCGATCAACCTCAGGCCTTGCGAGGTACGCCAGAGTGTAAAACTTCATTATCTCCTTCGTCATCATTCCATTGTGCTTTGGTTGCCATTCGTCGAGCAAAATGGAATGGAGATGTTGGTCGACGCTGAGACGATGGTATATGAGCTTTTCGTCTGATTCCGGCATTTCAGACAGCTCCTGGGCCATGCGTTGGTGGGCCTCCTCTGACTCCCTGGACGGCCGTTGGAGCAGACTGGCAGCATCAAGCCATGCGAGTGCAGCACTGCGCACCTTACGTGGAAGATCCGAGTCTTCCGGTGGCTTTCCGGTGCCGACAGAAAGGAGAAGAAGTGGGCTCTGCTCGTGCATCTGGCGGACTTCAGTCAGAGCCACCTCGACTGGGTTGTTCGCTCCGATCCCGCCGTCCCTGTAGATTTTGTTTCCATCGACAGACCTTTGCGCGGAAAAGTAACCCGGAGCAGCAGTCGTAGCTCTTGCAACGAACCATATCGGTTCCTTGTTGGCATGGCCAGGATTTGCGGGCGGTGTATTGTCCTTGTTTCCCCAATAAGGATTGATATGGTCGTATGTTCGAAAGAGGTACGGATTGGAGACGTAGGGTTGTTTCAGGTGCTCTACATTTGACACCGCGACGCTGAAATGGTGTTAGCATTTCGTTCCCTATTGCCAATCGAAACATTTTACCATCTACAACGCTGAGGATCGGAGCTGAACGCTACATTCTCTGTCGTCTTCCTCTGTTGTCTCAGTTCGTCTTCGAGGTAGGTCTCGATAACCTCTTCTATTGCCTGCTGCATTCCGGTGGAAGAATACTTGCGGCACAGGAGGCAGGCGTACATTGTCATTTTCGGAAACATGCGTGGGCGGCCAAACACCTGGCTTCCTACTGAGTCATATATTTCAAAGCATGATTCAACGTCCAAATTCAGCCGCGCCAGCATGATCGCAGTCAACCTGAACAACCAATCAACTAGAGTTTGAATAGTCTTTGATACTGTGCTACTTACCCTCCTGTGCTGGTTCCCACGATGTAATCGAAATAGTGGCATGGCTTGAAGTTTGTACTTTTGTGTTCGAAAGTGTTCTTCAACTCATCCGCTAGCTTGTAGTATTGTCCTTGAACAGAGTCTGATGACTCGGACTTGTCGGATGCTTGGACAAATCTAGGATTATGCCACGGGTATTCCCAGCTACTATGCCGGCAAACGTACCGGTTCTCTTTCTCCACATCCAGGTCGTAGATATCGACGGGAGTTCTCATCGTTTCAGACTAGTGCCATTAGCTTGACTGGTTCCATGTTTCCAGGGACTTGACTCCATTTACCCAAGCGTCTATCTCGCCACATTCGATTTGCTCGATGACATACATGAGGCGTTTGAGTATCAGGACAGACGAGTACCCCCTGATGCCACCGCCGTCTATCATACGTTAGTATGGACAACACACTCTGAAAATACCAAAGTACATACCAAGAGAAAGAATGATCTTTCGAGACCATAGACTTCGTTTGTCTGAATCGGAACAATGCATCTGTGCCTCGCATGAAAGAGAAACATCTTTGGCCTGTTGGTTCATCGTTGAAACTAGCTTTACGTAGGCCGTTTTATTAGGAACAGGCAAAGCTTATATCTTGTTAGGGAGGAATTACTTGGCAGACACTAGTGGTGTATCGCTTGCAGACCCCACAGTCAATTTAGTAAATTCAGCTTAGGTCTGATAGAGTCCTGCGTTTGATAAGGCTAAAATATGCACGTTTCAAAAATTAAGTTAGCGTAGTTCTGGCGATGTGCAACCGGTAAATGCCGACTGGTACAAAATGTTAGTGCGTGTATGCAGCATTATCTCCCTGTTCATGGCTGAGTACAAAATCTGAGTAAAACATCTCGCATAATCGACTACCGGTGCAGTCAGAATTCCTTCCATCATTGCAAGAGGTGTGATGATGATCAAGTGGTTGCCTTGATCATGTGCGAGGGCGAGATCTTCTTGATAAACCCCCACGAAGCTGAAGATCATATTTCCAACCGAACTAAGATTGGAAAATGTAGAATTGGTTCTGTGTCTAGCCTGCATTAGTCGATTTAATCCTCCTCGTCTTCTTTGCTAGGTTGAAAAAAAGAACCCCTTTTCATGGTGGCAAACAGACTATATTCATAGTTGCGACACAGATGGAAATTTGGAAAACTGTATAAATTATCAATATGCTGCTACTATTTGGTTTGATAATATCTTCCCATTACTCGCCCTGGAAACCATGTGAGGCGTCACCAGGTAAGTGTAGGGTTTTGAGTATGCTTCACTTAAGCATTGATGGACAATCATGCTAACGGTTTGGGTCTGCACTGAGCCTAAAAGTCTCCATTGCGTTGATCTGTTTCGGCATACTAATCATCAAAAAAAAAAAAAAAGCCTCCTGAGTTGGCCGTGTATGCAGCGCTCGGTTGAATGACGTTATAATAGATGTATGCTATCTTCGCGCCGCGGTGTCCCGCTCGTCTAGACTTTTACCGGTTTCAAAGACGGGCTGATTAGCATTGCCATTTAAGCAGTGTATAAGCAGGATGTAAGCTGATAAATGTGCGTTGGTTGCGGCGTCCAATACAATGAGCGGGGCAAAAAGCATGGTCTATAACCCTACAAGTTTAATCGCTTTTGGTTTTAAAATCCTATCCATACTAACCGATTCATATGTAAATGATAATTTTGGGTAGGAGCACCGAGTAGCAGTAAGGCTGCGTAGATTACAGGTGAATGACGGGATTCTACATGTGATGATGTTACGGCTATGCAAGCAACCGGCTCGTGGGGCCGAATGCGCGCGTCTCGATAACTCTGGAATGAGACACTTTCCCCACCTCTTTCCGATCACTTTTCTGTGCGTCAAAACTTATCGTGCTCTTCAGATCAACATTCATGAAGCAACTAGCCCCCAACGACACAATAGCGCTTATCGTTCATCCATGTGGGTGTAGAAACACTCCGACCAACGTTGTTCCGTTGGGATAAGCCTCTTTATCTTCCCCGCATAGTGCTCGATGGGTGCGCTAGATATTAGAGTTTTCAGTGTACGAGGCCTTTTTCCGCCCCTTCTACTACTGCGACTCTTGCTGGAAGTCTCAGTTGCGCCTGCTTAAGCAAACTGGTGTCTCAAAATCGGGCTCTCGTGTGTGCTCTTCAGCAAGCCACCGAAACGCCAACAAAGCCTTTGCATATCATTATGCAGCGTACGAACTATGGCTCAGAAGTGGATTATTCCTTTTGTTCGTGCATCCAATTGTGGCGCTGCATTCTCACGTTGGTGAACCTTGAAGCAGCTTGAACCAACGCATGTGAAAAGTCGACGTCAAGCCCCCAAAGCATTACTGGCTGAAATTATTGATAGCTATGATCTCTCAGTGGAATGCAAGTCCTGTATGCGAAGGACCCGGTTTCCAGGAGCCCGCTCCGTCTACTTATACAGCGGGATGCTCGCGGATCCCAGAGATATAAAGGGCCCCAAAGCCCAACGAAAAAGGTGAAGATCGCTACAATTTCCCTGAGATCCAACTATTTTTAATATAACTTGCCCTGCCATTTACTCTGCCTCATCTTTGGCATGCAGCGCTCAGACATCATGAGTTCTGGTAGTACAGACGATGTATCGAAAGAAAACGTCACTGTGGTACAAGAGACACGTGAAAGGTCGATCGATGCTAACACCGATTGCGAGTCGGACGAGCGTCGCTACATTGGAGGGTGGAGGCTGTGGATTCTCTCTTTGAGGTTAGTCACAATTAACGGATGTAGTTGAGAAATTAACCCGGAAGGACAGTGTCGCACTTTGCCTATTCCTCGTCAATATTGAAGTGTCGGTTGTTGGAACTTCTCTTGTCTCAATCAGCGAAGACCTTAATGGATTCCACAACAGTACCTGGGTCATTACCGGCTACTTGATCACATATACTAGTAAGTATTGCATGTGAAAATGCTCACCCAGCTAACAACAAGATAGGCATGATCGTTCTTTGGGCAAAGCTCAGTGATCTCACGGGCCGTAAATTTGCAACAATTGCGACCGTTACCATATTTGTAGCATTCTCAGCCGGGTGTGGTGCTGCGCAATCGATGAATCAGCTGTGAGTATATATTTAAGAAGCGGCTATTTGAGAGAAACTAGCTGAACGAATATAGAATCGTTTGTCGCGTCTTCCAGGGCATTGGCGCAGCGGGGTGCGCATCGCTCTCCCTCACACTGGCATACGAGATGGTGCCCGAAGAGAAATATCCGCAGCAGGCTGCACAGCTTTCCGTGGCCATAGCATTCGGTAGTCTTGTCGGTCCGCTGATCGGTGGTGGGGCAAGCCAGAATTCTCAATGGCGATGGGTGTTTCTCTTCAAGTGCGTACTGTTTTACTGCTACATAACCCAGCGAATTAACCGCTCCTGATAGTGTACCCGCGGGCGCGGTTACGATAATTCTCCTTTGGATGACGCTCCCCAAGAACTTTCCAAATCAAGGCAATCCCAGCCATGTGGGCACTCTGGAAGGCCTGTTGGCAGCACGGTCTTCGCTTGCCCGCATTGATGGTCTCGGAGCATTTCTGCTACTGGGGGCTTCAATGCTACTTATTGCGGTGTTACTGGAAGGTGGAGTGTCTATTGAGTGGTCTTCAAAAACGTCTATTGCACTATTCACCACCTCAGGAATACTCTGGCTTGCTTTCGCTGGCAACGAATGGTATTTTACAAGCGACAAGCACAGGACCGAGCCAATATTCCCATGGCGCTTCGTGACAAACCGCGTCTGGATGGGGACACTCATGTAAGTGTCAATCGTCAACCTGTGCAAGCCAGGTACCTAAATATAAGACAGAATCTCCATGCTCTCAGGTATCCCCTACAACATACTCATCATAGACATCCCTCAACGCCTCCAGACAATTTCTGGCCTCTCGCCCTTCCAAGCTGGCGTTCGTCTGATTCCATTCAACTTTCTGATATCGTTTGGAACCGTGGTGATCAATATTGTCGCTAAAGTTACGGGTATCCTGCCAATCAACCTGATACTGTTCGGCTCCATCATCCAGCTGATCGGCCTCGCTCTATTCTGCACGCTTCCCACCGATGGAAGTATTCCGGCCGCCATGTACGGCTATCAATCCATCGCTGGATTTGGGATAGGATGTGTCATAGGGATTCTGCTGCAGATGCCGCCAAAAGTGGTATGAAAGAGAGATCTTGGTGAGCCATCCGCATTGATGTAAACATGATCATCACCGTAGTCCTGCTGACGGAACATTTTAGCAATCTCAGGTGGAGCATTGCTCCAACTTCGGGTCTTCGGCGGTGCTCTTGGGCTATCGATTGCGACGAGCGCCATGGACAATTATCTCTCAGCCAACTTACCCGCCGGAGTTAGCGGATTATCAGCCTCCTCTCCTCTTCAGTTCGTTGAAGCACTTCACAATTACCCACCCGATATCCAGGCTCAAATCTTGACTCGTGCTGCCGAAGGATACAATCTTCAATCAGAAATCATGGCAGGCTTTGCTGGCCTTCAGGTCCTGATAGTGGGGATGCTATGGCGCAAGAATCCGATTCGAATTGTCAAGAAGTGAAGGTGTAGCAATATATGGGGTTCATGGAATTTCAAAGGAATATATGGATGCAATCTATGAAATACGAACTGGCGCAATAAACATGGAATAATGTGATGGAGGTGAGAATAATGGAAACAGTAGGACAATGAAAGCGGTCTGGACAGTTTTAGCAACAGCGTTGACCACCGCAGGCCGTTACAGACGAATCATTTGTACTGCCGCCACTCTACTTCATAGCTCTTTGCAAGTCTAAGCTTTTGCACCTCGCGAATTACCCCGCCCATTCCGGCTTTGGTGATAGCCGAGGTCAATGTCGGGCCGCTCGAAGCATAGAAGAAGCGGAAAGAAGACGGAGTATAAAGTATATGTATGAGCAGTTCGGAAGCGGTGTGAAGGTCAAACTTCGGGAAAGGAAGGTTGAAGCCACCGAGGGGGGTCCGAGCATTTTTTGAACTTTTCAATATTACGTAGTACGTCACGTCGGCCGATCACGAGACACTCGGATTTACAAATATATACCGAAAGGTAAGATTTGACGCCTCACAGACATTCTTATACTAGTTTGCTGCCGTGTAACCATCTCTGTACAAAAAGACGATTCCCCGCAGTTCTACGGCTCCAAACAACAAAGTCGCGTCCAAAGTAATGGCATCTCTGATCACGCTTCCAAGGGAGCTATTCGATGCTATCATACAGCCCTTAAAGCGCGAGGATTTGCGTCAGCTCACACTTACAAGCCGCCGCCTACGCCAACTTGTTGAGCCACGACTGTACCATTGCGTGGCCTGGTCTCCGTGCAAATCACCATGCGCAAGCAACCCTTTCTCTTTTCTACTCGTGCGCTCAATCATAAACCGGCCAGAGTTGGCCAAGCATATCAGATTCTTTGTTATGCATGACGCCTGTACTTGCCAAATTGAGTCAAAAAGTCAACAACTGCTTCAAAACGACTCACTAGCTGTCTGGTCTCTGTTGCACAGGCTGAAGCTGCCTGTACCAGCTAACGGAGATGTATGCGACTCTGGAACAGCAGTCGCTCTAATTCTAGCGCACCTCAGCAATCTCGTATCGCTCTCCTTCAAGGTCCCCGAATACAGCCAGCACAATCAGTCAACCACGTACTTGACAGCCCTTGGAGCAGTCTTGCGGCAATCCGTCCTCCCCTCTCCTCCATCGGCATCATCATCACCGTTCACCCGCTTCCAGAATCTCAACTCGGCAACAATCACGCTCCCAACGTGGGAAAAAGACACAAGCCAAACCCAACACCACCACCTCACCGACATCCTCGCGATCCTCTACGCGCCCAACCTGAAAACCTTCGACTTCACCTTCCAAAGCCCTCCGGACGACGCTCTCGTCCCCGACTGGCCACACCCTTCTCACCACCCGCCCCGCGCCGCCAACCTGGCCGTCCTCAGGCTTCACTGCACGCGCACCCCGTCGACCTTCCTCGCGCACCTCCTATCCTGCACGCCCGCCCTCCGGACTTTCGAGCTCGAGGCCACGCTCCCGCTGCTGCTCTCCACGCCCCGCCGCGGCGACGTCGCGTGTTCTGACGACGACGGCACCCGCTTCCACGGCGGCATCCTCGCGACGGCGCTGGCTCGGCACTGCACGAAGCTGCGCAGCTTTCGCGTGTCGGTGCGCACCACGGAGCCGCCGCTCTACCTGGCCGAGCCGGTGCTTCCCTCGCGGACGGTGATAGCGACGCCGCTGCTGCTGTTGGATAACAACAGCTGCTGCGATGTCAGCAGAGAAGAAGAAGATGGCGGCACTCGGGATGATGATGATGATGACGATGACGACTACGAGACCGGGTTAGCCTCGATGCGCGGGTTGCGGGTGTTGAATGTGGCCATGCCGGTGCTGCTGGGGTGGTGGCCCAACGCCGCCGCGCGAGAGGAGGGGCTGGCACGCGTGCTGCCGTCGGGGCTGTGGGAGCTGTGGCTGAGGGAGGATATGAGCTGGTGGCAGGATTATGCCTGGCATGCGGTACATGTCGTGCGTGCGATAGAGGCGTTATTGGAAAGTGGGCGGGCGAGGGAGTTGGTCAAGATTGTCATTGTTATGCGCGGGGCGAAGGGCGGGCAGGGGTGGTGGTCGGAGGAGAGCATGGAATTACTTGTGAAATTTTGTGCGGCGAAGGGCATGGTGGCAGAGTTTAGAGAGAGGGATGCGGTTGAGGCGTGATTGTTCTGAAGAGCAGGTTTTGGATTGTGGTGTCTTGGGATAGACGGAGTTTAATGAAGCGAGGATGATAATTGTGATAGATCTTTTCCTTTTCACGCACTCCAGTTTTCGGTAGATAATACTGTCACATTTCTTAAGTTTTCGTAATAGATGCGTGGATACTTTCGCGCCGTCGTTTCACTGTTGCAGTAAGAGAGCCTCGGGAATGGGTACTTGTGACACTTTCAATCTGAACAAATACGGTATTCATGAGGTTCTTAACCTAGTCCAACCTACCGCAAGATTTTTTAGTTGGCGGTTTTGAGATCTAAGCTTCATATGGGTTGCCACATCATCTCCATCAACGATTCTTGTAAACAAACTGCAAACGTCCAAATCGAGACAGCTACTTAAGTGTTCGTAAGCTTCTATTCAATCTTCTCCTTCCTCCCTGGAAATTTCATCCAAGCCACGCAACTCACAACCGCTATCATGCCCAGAAGGTATCCTGGCACTCATCAGACAGAACGACCGACCTGGGGAGGCTCTTTGGTGGAACTGTGTCGAAGAATCAAACACCTCATCACAGGCCGCCGAAGAAGGCCGTACGGAGGAAGAGGACGTGATGATCGCTCCATGGGGTTTCGATCGCGGGTGGATAGATGGGACTTCGACCCTCCGCATCACTGAAAAGCGAGAAGCGCTCGACCGGACGGTAGAGGTGGGATGGTGATTCCCATTTGATACTGAATGGCAGAAGCGAGCTTATGTGAGAAAGCCACACTTCAGTTCTCACTAAGGATTACGTTACATCTCGATTGAGGTTGAATAAGTGACAAGCCTGTACGTAGAACAGCAGGGTTGCTCTCCAGCTTCTCTTGTTGTCTTGCGAGACAGCGAAGCTCATTTAAACCACATCTTAAGTCAGAGCAACCGTGAAGACCAAATACTTTCGTCACTACACAACTATTATCACCCCCACGACCAAAGCAACCACCCCACACGCCCCCATTATCTACATCCCTCTCTAATAAGCCCCATTCCCAACCAACAGCACCTCACCCCCCTCCACAAAATTCTCATTCTGCGCCAAAACCCCGCCGCCCCTCGCCAACGCCACCAACCTCTCCTTCGCCGCCGCAGGGCTGTCCGCCAACGCCGCAGCGTCATCTGCAGCCAGCACCGCCAGCAACCCCGCCACGTGCGGCGTGGCCATGCTTGTCCCGCTGTCGGAGACGTAGTCGGTCGGTCCGCCCGTAACTGCTGCCGACACGATCTCGGCGCCGGGGGCGTACACGTCGACGCAGGGCCCCGTCGAGGAGAACCAGAGGATGCTGTCGGCGATGGTGCTGGCGCCGACGACGAGCGCGGCGTTGGCGTTGGCGGCGCCGCCGAGGGAGGCGGGCGAGTACGTGCAGGCGTCGTTGTAGGTGTTGCCGGCGGCGATCTGTGGGGGCGTGATTGTGAGTATGAAGGGGGGGGTCAGCCGGGTGGTGGGTGATTAGGGTGGCTTACGGCGACGTGGAGACCGGCGGCTGTCAGCTCTTTGGTGGCTGTGTCGATGGTTTCGAAGACGCGGCTCCAGGAGAGGGAGATGGAGACGACCGAGGCGACGAAATCGGCTTCGGTGGAACGGTTCGCGTGGCGAGACAGGATCCAATCGATGCCGCCGAGGTACTGTGTTGAAGCAAACATTCAAGATCACAGTCAGCTTTTTCATGCGTTGTCATGGCTGGAGAAGCCTTGGGAAATTTTGGGGGATTGACGTACACCCGACGTGGAACCAAGCCCATCATCTGCGATGACTTTCACGGAGATGAGGCTCGCGTTGGTCGCGACGCCAACAGTTGATCCAGCAGCAGAGCCGGCACAGTGGCTTCCTGTATATCACAGTCAGTATCCGGAAAACGATATCTAGGGAGTGTTGAAAATCCTGGACTGATATATCACTCACCGTGGCCGAATTTGTCGCCCGGTTGGTCAGGGTAAAAGTTGTACCCCTCGATCGCACGTCCACCAAATTCTTCATGTTCCGTATAGATACCGGAATCCATGACGTAAATGTCCACACCTGCGCCGAGCGTGGACGTGTCCTTCCAGGTGTACGTGTATCTGGTCGTTTGTCAGCTTCCGTCGTATGCCACCAAACGCGCATCTCCACTGATTAACACCAGCCAAATAGCGGACAACGAACCCTCCTCCTCCTCCTCCTCCTCCTCCTCCTCGAAACCCCGGTTCAAGAACCATCCCCAAGAAAATCAAAGTAAAGGAAGAAAAAAAAAACTCACCCCCTCCCCGTCGTACTGCCCCCAACCACCTCCACCTTCCCCTCCTGACTAATCCTCTGCAACCCCCACGTCGCATCGTCCCTGCTCTCAACCCCTCCTCCGCTCTCCTGCCTCTTCTCCACGTCCACCTCCTCCCTCTTCTTCTTCCCTCCCATCCCCATCCGCCTCCGCCTCCGCATCTCCGGCACCACCATCTTCTCCTCGACCGCCTCCCGCACGCTGACCACCACGCCCTCAGCAGCCCTCAGCGTCGCCACTTCCTCGTCAGTGAAGGCGCCCGAGAAGCCGCGGAAACGGGGGTTGTCGAACGTGGCGGAAATGACATCGTCGTCGGCAGCGATGGACGAGGAGGCCAGCAGCGCGGCGATGTCGGCGTCCGGGGTGGTGAGGACGTCGTATTCTTTCGCGTTCTGGCGGCGGGCGTGCTGGTGGTGGGCTTGGGGGGCAGCAGCCGTGGTGGTGACGGCGGCTGCGAGGAAGAGGAGTGCTGTCGTCGTTGCCTTCATCGTGGGTTTCGTGGCAATGGTGCACGTGAAGCTGGGAAATTGGCTACAAGTGGTGGGAAGGATGTGGAAGGCCAGCGAGAGGAGCACGGCATGCTGGGCGAAGGCATTATATAAATTGGTGCGGTGCAGAAGGTACTAGCGGTGTGGAGAGGTGGATAGCTCTACCGCTATTGCGCTATCTGACCGGGGATCTGGCGACAGACCGGGGGTGCAGAGCATTGTGAACAATGCTAAACAGGCCTAAAAAAGGGGTGTTGATAAGTATACGAAGCGTTAAACAAGGCCAAGCATTTTGCCGACGCGGACCAAGAGTTCTTGAATAGGAAGGCCAGAAGGCTGGCGTGATCGTGGGGTTGACTTAGAGCGGGAAGACGGCAGCGGGCGGGAAGGAGACCCAATATTTCGCTGGAAAGGGATCTCATATTTTGAGTAGCCTATTTTCGCTGTTTTTATACGAGGAATGCGAGCACTGATACGACAACCACATAGCCGGGTCATTCGTTCCCTGCAGGTGGGACAGATGTTCCCCACCAACGGCGAAACTGATTTGACGTCGAAGAGATGCGCTTATGGCATAGATTATTCTGGTCGGACTGAGATGTTGTTTTTCACTCCTGTTCTGCAATAGAAAGTTGTGGGATATGTATTTGATTAGCAATACAACTGCAGGGGAGACACCACGGCTCACTTCTGAATGCGCGCCTCACGTTTCCTCATAGCGTAACCTCCTTATATTGAATGCAGGGTAGGTCTGGTCATGCTGTCATATATTGACATGATGTGACAAATTCCATGCTGGATTGATTGAGCGTCAGCGTGATGCACGGAGCAAATGATTAGCTTGAAAGAGCGAACTGACCTAGTAACAATTGCATTGATGCGCTTTTTCATTATCTTCGTATGTACGTACTAAAGTATTCATTTTTTTTTTTTCATTCATATCCGCCGTAAAGGCTGTGTGGTATCATTTCTTCTTTCTTCCCTCTTGTCCTCTTGAAATTACTTGTCTCCGGTTTCAAACCCTCAACGGGATGCTGAAAACATCCCTCTTCTTGAACTCGAAGACATCCGGCCTACAAATCGAAATGTTGCCGAAATACCATCCATGTGCATCAAAATCAACTCCCAGATTGCCAGTATTTCCCTTAAGGTTAACGCTCCCCTCGAGCGGCCCCTCGATACCATCGATCGTCACCTCCTCGTCGTTCGCGCCGGTGAGGTAGTACTCAGGGCTGACGTGCACGTAGCCGAGCACGATGGGCGGCAGCTTAGGAACAGGGTCCTTCTTGTGGGTGATGCGGTAGTTGTCGCCCTGGTTGGTGATGTAGTCGCTGATCTTGGAGCCGCCGATGCGCGGCTGGCCGAACGTGTACAGCGAGACGCTGTAGTTGGAGTTGCGCAGCTCCGCGGCGGCGAAGACGGCGACGGCGCCGCCCAGGCTGTGGCCGACGCTGACGATCTGGAACGACGGGTGCGCGGCGACCGCCTCCTTGACCGCTGCCAGCACGCCGGTGCGGGCCTCGGTCCACGAGATCCAGAAGCCGGAGAAAGCCAGGCAGCCGGTGCAAATCTCGGGTGCGGAGACGGTGGGGAAGTTGAAGTCGGCGAGGTAGTTTCGCACGGAGCCGGAGCCGCGGAAGGAGACGACGATGAGGGAGTTGGTAGTGTCGACTGCAACGTAGCCAGTGACATCGGTAATGAGAGAGCTATCATAAATCAGTATCGGTATTGCATTGTTTTGGTAGTGAGACACGGGGGTAAGGGGATTCGGTTTGATCGACACGTCAAATCGTCAAATATAGCACCAGGATGCCAAGAGATGAAAGGGAGATCAATCGATCGCCACCTCGGTTATTTGACATGTTGAGGGCACAGGACGAAATTGAGACAAGAGGAAAACGTAATGAGATGATAGTTGCAGAAACGGGTGAAAACGAAAGGGGAGGCTCACTTCTCAAACTCGCTGACGGTCGTGACATCCGCAGCCTCAACAAGCGGGCAGTTTCCGGTATCGCAGGTCAACTTGGTGTCAGGGCTATCGTTGTTGTCCGGGCTGATTGGGGTTTAATGTTAGCAAGGCCTGAAGTGGGTTCAATGGTTCAATATGTGGAAGTTACCAGTAGGCGGCGGCAGCGTATTGCTCCATCAGCTGAAAAGTGTCAAAAAGCTCCTGAGAGATGTCTGTTTCGAAGAGCAATCCGTCAGTGTTATTGCTCCAAATGTAAAGCGTTTCTTCTTAGTAGAGGAGAAAGTCAAAGGAACATACCTCTCCGCTCGATCCTGGACTGCTCAGCAAGAGCTGGAGCAGCATTTGCCAGGGACGCGGCACAAAGGCCAGCGGCAGCGAGACGAGTAAAGAAAGACAACATCTTGTCAAGGAAGTGGGAGAGTCCGGAAGCTCACGGATAACGAGCAGCCACGAGCCAGTCGAGGGAACAACCTGACGAGAAACCGGCGGGCAGAAGCGGGGATGAAGAAGCAGAAGAGGGTGGACCAACGAAGAGAAGAGCGGCGACTACTGCAGGAACCCGCAGCTATAACAGCAGCCGGATGTCGCGGTCACTCGCACACAGCTTGGACCCAGCGAGAGCGGGAGGCGCGCAGATCAGATCTTGTGTAGCCGTAACAGGAAGGCTCGCCGCCTCAGTTGGCCACTCCGGTGCCTCCGCCAATGTTGTACAAATAACTGCGAGTGGAGAGAAGGGAAGAGAAAGTGGGGAAATAAAAGAAAAAGGCACACATGGCACGCGACTTTGGTGGCATAGGCTGTGCAGACGGGTTAGGTAGTCGGGCCTTACCTCCGGAGCTAAGCAGAGAGTAAAAATCCACCTCACAGCCACGAGGAGGCCTCGTGAACAGCCGAGCGGCCAATGCTTCCATCTTTCTGCTTGCCCCCGGATTGAGGTGGCGTCCGAGGCTGAAGTCTGGGGGCCGAAAGCGGCAGTGATGGCCAGCGCGATGCTGAGCTGTTCCCGGTTATTCGAGGCGGTGCCAACCACTCAGCGCTCCGAAGCGCCGTCCTGCCCTCTCACAGGTCGAAAGGCGCATGAGGTTGGGCGGCGGGCGTTAAGCCTTGCGAACACCCGCCGTTAGCCTCGCACTAACAGCCGTTTTTGTCATGGAGGAGAAGTGGGCCGTGCTGCTCTCTTGCCCTGCAGGTACGAGCTCGTCTCCAGCGATGTCGGGAAAGAATGTATCATCGCATATCGCGACGCGCCCGCGGCGGCTCGCTCGGCCTCACCCGCCTTAGCTGCTCCTAACGGTTACACTTGTGCCCACTGGCACTCGGCGATGCCGGCTGTCCATGCGGAAGTCGACGGAGCCCGAAAGGCAGCATCGCTACCGAAGCTAATCGAAGATGGTTCTGTTGCTCAGCGACGATCCATTGACCGCTGCCTCGCGTCGGAGGCTCGGGACTGATGCCAGGCTCGTCATTTTTCGAAGTCCTCTCTCGGCTATCGTCGCCGCGGATCTGCCCGGTTAGACCACAAGCAAGGGTCTTCAGCCGAGCCGCCTGCTGCCCAGAGAGCCGTCATTCTAGATGACAAGACATCTCACATTATTTGTGCGTCCTCAACAAAACAACAAATGGTCGGAATTTGCCACTGTGGTTGAAGAAAGTGCGACGAGAAGTTGCGGAGCCGCACCGTAAAGTGACGACGTGATTAACCTTCGCATCTACAGCTACAAATGGAAATAGTAAGCCAACCGCGTTGCTTTTTTTCCAGCCCTTCCGGGATAAGCAGAAGCACAAAAACGGACGCCTGAAGAAAAAGTAAAAAGAACAGAATCTCTTCTCCGCATTCTCGTCGCCCTCGCGCCGGCGTCTTTGCGGGACAACGCGTGGAAAAAGCCGTCCATAGGCGGGGCTTACTCCTAGAAGGGGCAGGTCAATATAGCACCACCATCTCGCTATACACCTTTTTCACGCCTTAGTCTCTCGCCATGATGCGCCATCAACCAAATCTACAACTCTTTTGTTGGGACGCAGAATGAGTCCTTCGCCCGTCGAGAACACCAACAAAAATCATGTCCGAAAGATGGCGTCCGGATGGTTTGATGAGTCGGACTTGGAGCTCCGATTGCCTGTCGGTTCGGATCACTCTTACCGAGGTAGCAAGACGAAAACTATGCATCATCACGAAGTAGCTTCTTGAGAAACCATGTAGTGATACTGGTCATTGTTCATTCGCTGATGTGCGTCTTTCAGTGGCATTAGATCTGCTCCCACATTTCCTCCCTTCTACAGTAGAAGAAAACATAGTCTCCATGCAGTCTCTTTCTCGTATACCAAATCACTCAGAACGACAATCGCTATCTCGAATGGCCGTTATGCTCCATCAATTCCTCGCAAACGCCATGCGCTCACCAGAACTGCTGCAATTCTCATTTTCCCCATTCGTTATCCCTGATATTGCACGAGTGACGTTGCAATAGCCCCAACTGCCTCGCATAACTCCGACTGTGCTCTTCGACCAGTGGCTACCGTTGCGCATTCATTTACTGAGGGGGAATGTACGGCTTGACGAGCATTTCGCTGAACCTATAGCAAAAAGAAAGTCAGTCAGGTGTCCACAGCGAACAGAAAAGAACGGAGGCAACACTCACTTCTCCAGCTTGTCCTTGCCGCGCACCTCCTCGACCAGCAGCGGCATCTTGACCACATTGAACTCGTCGTACAGCTCCTCGATCTGATCCAAGTACTTCTTCTGCATCTTCCGCCGCGCGTTGCACTGCTCGCACGGGTTGTCGGACTTGGGGAAGAGCAGCTGGTTGACGACGATGGTGTGCGTGTCAATCTCGTAGCTGGTGAGCTCCTGGATCATGCGCTCCGTCTCGTACAGCGACAGGAACTCGGGGATGCACACGCACACGAACGTCGTCATGTCGGCGTTCTTGAACTGCGTGTTGACTTCAGAGATGGTCTCGCGCAGGCTCTCCATCTTGGCCAGCATGTCGTCCAGGTTCTGCCCTCCCGGCAGCCCGCCGCGCGCCCCCAGCACGCTGTTCAGCATGGGGCCGAACTGCGACGACAGCTGCGACAGCTTCGCCAGCGCCTTCTCCATGACCGTCGGGAACTGCAGGAACCGCAGCGTGTGGCCTGTCGGCGCCGTGTCGAAGATGATGACCTCGTACGACAGGCTCTTGACCTGCTTGAGCACCTCGGCGAACGACATGGCCTCGTCGACACCGGGAATCTAGTTATCCCCCAGATCTGTCAGCTCGCCGACGTCTACCCCCCGTCCCCGAATATCATGGCGGCGACGAAGAGAGAGAGACTCACGCTAAACGCCAAATCCTGCATCATGTTCCCCATACCGCCCAAGCCCTGCATCGCCTCCTCCGCGCCCTCGCCGCCCGCCGCCAGCAGGTCCTGGATGCTGCCGTTGGGGTCGATCTCCATGGCGCTGAGGTTGGTGAAGCCCTCGACCAGCCGCGCGTCCTTGCCGAACTTCTGGTTGAACGCATCGCTCAGGTTGTGCGCCGGGTCGGTGCTGATCAGCAGCACCGACTTGCGGTGCTTCGCCATCTGGATCGCCAGCGAGCACGACGTCGTCGTCTTGCCCACGCCGCCCTTGCCGCCCACGAAGATCCACCGCAGCGTCTTCTGGTCCAGCACCGATTGCAGCGTCGGCTCCATCGAGCCGTCGTCGGCCGAGATCACGGCGGTCGTGGCCATGTTTTGTTTTTCTTGTTCGTTGGTTGGGGTGGTGGTGTGGCGGGTTTGCGCGTGAAGGGCGTAGGCGGATGTTTATTTGCGCGAGTCGCGTTGGCGGGGTACTGCTGCGGAGAGTGTACACTGGATATGCCGGGTTCGTGTAATGCGCGTTCGAAGGACGGTCGAGGGGAGGAAATCTGGCTGAAAGTGTAAAGGGGCGGGTGCGGTCAGAAGTGCGGCGCGAGTTGTGTGGTGGACTCGAAAGTTCCGCGGGGGTGTCAACTTTCCAGCGTGTTCGGGGAATCTGGTTCGAGGAAACCCTTAGCGCGTCATCGTGCAGCGCGGCTGAGAGGCCTGCGTGGCCTCAACTCAAGGCAAAAGCCTCAAACACTAAAAAAGCGCAATCACGTTACAATCGCGACTTTTTTTCACTTTTCTAGATGTCTGAAATTTACCAGGCACTAGCGTGATACGTCATCGTCGCACGGCGACAGGCCGCCTGATGAATAAGGTCATGATTGGCCCCCATCGGCGAACCAAGAATGAACCATTCTTCTCTATAACGTACAGAGCCAGATAGCAAATCTACGATATACCCCCAGTGAAGAATGACCGCCCAGAGTACCGTCAGGAGCCGACCGGGCCCATAATACGTCTTGCCCTTTTACACCTTTAACGCCCGCCCGAATCCGAGTCATAAACAATGATAAAAAGATACAATAGCACGCTCATTTCTTCTTGCCCTTCGACTTGCTGCCCTTTGACGTGGTAGCAGAGCCGTTTGATACAACACTGCTAGCACGAGAGGCAGATGCAGAAGCTGACTTGCTGCCACCGCGGACACTGTCCAGCGCCTTATTCTGTGAAACGTTAGTTCAAGCTCGGTATATTATTTGACTTTGATCAACGCACCTTGACACCGTTCTTTGCCTTCTTCTTGGCCGGAGTATCATCCTCACTCTCCTCGTCGTCCTCATCCTCCGCACCCCTCTTGCCACCCTTGCCAGTGCCGTTTGTGGCCTTTGCACCATCACCGTCAAACTCCCTGACTACAGTCGTCAGAAGAGTGTTGCAACGACGGCTGATCTCGACAGGAGTACGACTGAGGAAGAACCAGTCGAAGCGGAACAGCGGAGATTCGCGGATCTCATCACGAATGCGGTCGTAAATGCCTTCGGAGTCAACGCCATACTTGTCCAGCATAACAAGTAGGAAACGATCCTCTTCCTCGGTGTAAACCTTCTTGTTGGTGGTCGAGACGGAGTAGTTGAGCTTGAGCTGCTGGAGAGGCGCGCGGTACATGCTCAACTTCTTACGGAGAAGCTGACGCTGGCGCTCGATCTTCTTGAGACGCTCTTCACCTTCCTCGATCGAAGTGATGTACTTCTCCCAATTGGCAATCTCCTTGTACTTCTTCCAGAAGACCTTCGCATAGGCCTCGATCTCAGCCGCAGTCTTACCGTCCACTTCGTCTTCAATCAAGGCGTAGTTCTTCCGACCATACTTGGCAGATCCGTTGATGAACTGCTGGAAGTCGCGTCTGTTCCAGTCGGCGAAACCCTCCGCTGCCAGACGATCCTTCTCCTCCTTCTCCTCCTCTGTCAGCGGCTCCGCGTCATCGATCTCCTTCTGATCCAACTCCTGCTCTGCCAGACGAGCCTCTAGATCAGCTTCTTCGCCCTCCGGAACGGGAGCTTTGATGTTGTTTTCCTTGCGGTACCATGCAGTCTCCTTGTCCTGAAGCTCCTGCAGACGAGGGTTGAAGAATTGGTAGTCATGGATCTGAATTTGCTTGGGCGCCCTGGGAATCTTCGGCTTCGTGTCTGCCGTCCGGCCGCCTGTCATCAAGGCCTGGCGGTAGTACTTGTCCATCGAGTAGGATTGCTCCTTTCTCTCACGCTTCGAGGGGTTGATCCAGTTGATGCCAATTTCCTTTCTCTTGTTGACGAAGTTTTCGCCATTCCACTCATACGCAGAGTCGCTGGTGAAGTTCTGCAGGTCATCGATACCGAGCTTCTCATATTTCGCGTTCAGCATTGCGGTGCGCTCCTCACCACGCTTCAGGATAGCGTCAATGTCGTCGTCAGTCGTACCCTCACCAAAAACGCCAGTGCCGCTGGTGCTCTGGAAAACCTTTTCAGCACCGTGTTGAATCATGTTCAGCAGCTCTTCCTTCGACTGGGCGTTCTTAGTGGGTTGCTGAGCACGACCCTGCTGAATAACGAGTTGGTCCAAACGGAGCTTCTGCGCAGCGCGCTCAAGAACCTTCTCCTCGATGGCGTTCTCCGTGACAAACCTGAATACCACGACCTGCTTGGTCTGTCCGATACGGTGGGCACGGTCCATGGCTTGGAGATCGGCCTGAGGGTTCCAGTCGCTGTCAAAGAGGACGACGATATCCGCAGTCGTAAGGTTGATACCGAGACCACCGGCGCGAGTGGTGAGCAGGAACAAGAACTTCTCCGAACCAGGCTTGTTGTATTCGTCAATGGCGGCGATACGATCCTCGTGGGCAGTCGAACCGTCAATGCGGCAGTACTGGTAACCTCTCATGACGGAATAATCCTCCAGGATGTCCAGCAGACGGCTCATCTGCGAAAAAATCAGGACACGGCTGCCCTGTGCCTGCATGCGCTTCAGCAGTTTATCGAGCATGACCATCTTCGCCGCGTTGTTGACCAGGTGCTCGTCGGTAGTGTAGGGAGGACCGGGCTCCGCTCCATCGAACAGGTACGGGTGGTTACAGCACTTTCTCAGCTGCATAACAATGTTCAACAAGCGAGTCTTGGACTCTTTCTTGCCGCCAGCACCGTTGACAGCATCGATATCCTTTTCCAAAATCTTCTTGTACCACTGGACTTGCATTTCTGACATGCCAATGTACAAGTTGATCTCCTTCTTGGGTAGCAAACTCTTCTCTACATCACTCTTGACACGACGGAGCAAGAAGGGACGCAGAACCTTGTGAAGCTGCTGTACAACGGTATCCTGATCTTCCTGAGAACCCGAGAACCACTGGTCGAAAGCTTCGGAGTCGCCGAAAATATCAGGCATCAAAAAGTTGAGAAGAGCCCAGAGTTCGTGCAAGTTGTTCTGTAGCGGGGTTCCAGTAATCAGTAACCTGTTGCGGGAGTTGAAGACACGGATAATCTGAGCGAGGGAAGACTCCTCGTTCTTGATGCGGTGAGCCTCGTCGATGATGATGTACTCCCAGGCGAACTTCTTCAGGTGCGACTTCTCCCTCAGAATCATCTCGTAACTGGTGATACAGACGTCGAAGCCCTCGTCCACGAGGCGCTCATTGATGAGCTGCTGACGCTCGTCCTTCTGGCCCTGCAAGACGAGAACATTGACCTCAGGGATCCACTTCTCGAACTCTCTCTTCCAGTTATCGAGGGTGGACTTGGGTACGGCGACGAGGTGGGGTCCGGTGATGCCGCGGACGAAGCGGAGATAGCCAATGAAAGAAATGGTCTGCAGCGTCTTTCCAAGACCCATCTCATCGGCCAGAATGCCGGAAATACCGTTCTCGTGCAGTGAGATGAGCCAATTTAGACCAGCGATTTGGTAATCCCTCATCAGACCCTGGATGTACGGAGGTGATTCGCGGAAGACGGTCAAGTCACTGGAACCACCGTGTTTCTCCTCGCGAAGCAGCTCCGCATCCTCCTCCTTCTCAGTTCTCCTGCGACGGTCACCGCCAGCGCCGCCCTTACGCGCGTGTCCCTTAGATGCCTTGTGGGCTTCCTCTTCGTTTTGGCGGTCAATTTCGGCCATGATCTCCTTGATGCGGGGGTTGGGGCTTGAATCGATGAAGTGGCGGAACAGGTCCGTGAGACCGAGCAGGTAGCGGAATCGGCGAATAGAGTCATCTTCCTGCGCCAATGTTAAATGCGAAGTTCAGGTATGAGACCGTGTCGCAGACTGAGACGCGAGGGACGTACCTTGGACTCGCCTAGACGGTCGTGTTTTTTGCCAAGCACGCTCTTACGGAGCTGCAAAGCCTCCGAGCGACGCCTGCGACCGTCCGAGGGTGCTGCATCGCCTGCTTCGCTAGGGGTGGCGGTGTTCAGGTTCGAGTCCGAATCCTAGCGCGACGTCAGTATCTGAACGCGTCGCATACACGGCGATGAACGCGTACTGTGTAGTCGGGAGTGTCCTGAGGGTCGGGAGTGTAGTCGTCAGTCGCGTCGGGAGCGTCCACCATGGACACGTCGGTCGAGGCGACCTCAGAGATGCGATTGCGCGAAGGCGCCATATTGCCCGTTTGGGCACGCGGACTATCGGTTTAAATAGTCGAAATGGTGTACGCGTCGAATGCGCTCGCCGATGCAGGGTTTAGGCGATGGGGGGATGGTGGTTGGGATCGACGCGTCGGGCGCGCAGAGTTTGTGGTTTCGCAGAAGGAGAGGGTGCGTCGGCGGAGGTGAACAGAGGATTGCTGTCGCGACTAGGGTCAAAACGCGGTTTATCTTACTGTGCCAGGCCGCCGATCTTCCCGTGACGCGACTGCAGCTCCACCGGCCAATCACCGTGCGCAAACCCTCACCGCCCGCACGCTTTTGGCTACCTCTTTGCCCCCTCATCAGACTCGCTTCTTCTCCCACGCGGCTGTGCGTATCTGCTGGAGAGCGATTGCCCTTCACCGTGCTGCCAACAGGCCTTCCAGAGTGCCGACGCACGCTTGACGCAACTTGCCAGAACGGGCATGCTGACGTCATTCGATTTTCCTTTTTGAGCGCAACGTCTGTTAGGGAGGCATTGCTTCACAGTCGGCGCGTTTCGTTGCGCAGCTGGCCGACCGCCCGGTTTCCATCTCTTCTAGAAACTATGAATGACTGTATATCAGTCGTAGAAAGTCTATCTGCCGCTGAGGGCCTCCCTGAGATAAAACTTTAAAATGCTTAAGGCCATGGGTTTAACTTAACAGCCGGCAAAGTGTTCAATCGCTAGTCAAGCCATTATATCTCCGCCTTGGCGAGTATATGAGAGTTGGAATCAGCTTGGACTGGTTCTGCTATGATATGAATGTTTGCAACGGTACATTGGGTCACACCAGGACTTTACCGCTAATGGCTTACAGTTGAAAATATGTTGTCGCCTTCCGTGTGTAGTCGAAGCAAATATCAAAGTGGAAAAGTGAGATTGAAAGAATAAATACAACTGCATCCAGATGGAGACTTCAGCTGCCCAAGCCCTTGTGGTGCAAAACACTTACGAAACGGGTCGAATTTATGTAACTCCTGGCTCGGGGAGTGAAGCTTCAACCATCGGCACAGTCATGGAAAGTTATACAGCTCAGTTTCTCTCCACAATGCCTTGTATTCGCAGGAAAATTCACATTTTTCCAGAAACAGGATAGATGTACTCGTATTTCTGGAATAAGCGTAACAGCAATCCGTGTGAAAACACTTTTGACAATAAATGCCGATACATCAGCAGAAAAATGAGGAATCAATCATATCCTCGTATGGAAATCGTCATAAACAGATCATGTGAGAAGATCTGGTGCAAGGAATAATAAGTGGGAGGCAAGACGAACCTTTTAACGCCTTACCATGCATGTTTCTCATACGCCGACCAAACCCGCCCAGCCCACCTATATACACTTATCCAGATCCGGTCCAAAGGCCTGGAGTGAAGTGGCGCCATGCTTTCTACGAATGCTGTAGGTCCTTCTTACATGCCCTCCTCGAGGCTATCCCTCACGCACTTCCTAACCTTCTTCTTAAATTCCTTGGGATCATCGCGCCAGAGTCTCCCAGCCTCCACATTAGCAGGGCTCTCATCATTTGGTGATGAGAGCATAGAGATAACGGAGAGGAGGATTGTTTCAGGCGTCTGAACAGGCGACCAACGCTCCGATGCAGATTCGTAGCCGTATTTGTCATCACCCGGAGGATGGAGAATCGAGATGCAAACCTCGCCGTTAGGGTAGACTGAAGACCCGTCAGTAATGGATAACGCAGGAACTATTTTCGGAAATATGTCCGGCACGGAAGCGCGGGTATGGCGTGCTTCGCGCAGGTCGCTGTATTCACGAAGAGCGGGGCGACGTACTGTTGGGGTGAAAAATGGGGGTTTCGAACTTCATCTTTGGAGGAAGCAGAGGGTACTCGGACGGGAAAGAAAGACGCGCTCTGAAGAAGCCGCCTATGAATGAGTTAGCACAGTGCCGTGTTTCAGGCGCTTCGGACAGGTGACGCGAAAAGCTGCCGCTGGGACTCTGAAGCCACAGTGGTAGCGTAACTGCTGCGAACCAAACCGGCCTTTTACATACCTCCGTAGAATTTGCAGTCGTCGTTAATCATGAGCATGACTTCCCACTCGAAGACGTTGTTATCCACGAGACCGACACTAATACCCGGAATGTCCTTATCCGTTTGCATGTGCTTGAGCTGGCGGCCCAGAAGACCGGCGGCAGCGGAGGTCGAGGCCATCTCGGTTCGAGGCTAGCGACGTGTGTCTCAGGTGGAGAGGCAGACTCGTGTGCAGCGTACAAGATGTGGCGATGGCGGGTTGTGCGAGGTGCTGTGGTGAGCTGAGCTCGTTGGTCGGACGGCGGGGTTGCAGGCGGGGACCGCAGCAGAGCTTGCGCTGGGCGTATGTGCGTCGGAGCTGGCAGCGGCGGGGTCACAGTGACACGAAGTGGAGTGCTGAGGCAGCGCGGCGCGAGGATTTGAGAAAAGCTGCGGGATAGGTGTGGAGGCGAGTGGACGTGAAAGTATGCGCCGGGATGCGGGCACCTGCATTTCCAGCAAAGGCCAGCGGGCCCGCCCTCCTCTGGCGCGCCCCGCCTTTCCGGCGCCGGAGGAGTCAGGCGTGAACGCCGACAAGCGTCATGGTGCCTCATCGCGAGCCGGCGCCGCTTGATACTTCTGACTTCTTTCCATGGAACCCGCGCTTCCCTGTTCTGCTAGCGTCTTACTTGCAGCGATGTGCTCGCCTCAAGTCACGCCCACCCGCTTCTTAACCCGGCCTGCATTGATCGAATTCTTCATCGCCAATGCGTGCATTGCAAAATTATGCCTGCTACGCCATGCGGGAACGGTCTGTGCTACCGCTGGTTCGCTCGCAGCAGACGCTGGATCTTGACACATGTCACTGCGGGAAACACCATCGCTCACGGTAGCTTAAAGTCTTGGCGAGCCGTCGCATCCAAGGGTGACGGGAGGCTGATAGCCTAGGAAAGCGCGTGGCGGCTCTAGCATCCGCGTTCCATGGCCGTCAAGAGCCATAGTCCCCCAATATGGCAAGAACAACAAAGGCGTCATGCGAGCTTTCCGCAAGTGTTTGCAAGCCGGACGTTTGCCTCTCCTTCTCTCCTTTCACTCCGCACCACTTTACACCGTCGCCATCCTATCGTCAGCTTGCCGCGGATACTTCTCCCAGAGCTGTTTATTCTTCTCCAATACCAGGTACGAGATAAACGGTTGGATAATTGAGCCGCACTCACGCGAATAAAGATTCCAGTCGCACCAATACTTCTGCCCGAGCGTCAATTCTGGGTCCCAGCAGCCAACGGAGGGTATCTTCGGCAGCCACCATTCTTCTCAGCATCTTCGACGGCGGTCCAAGCCATGTCCGACATCAATGACCGCGTGGCCTCCCGGTCCGAGTCTTCTCCCACTCTCCCAGACATTGAGCCTCAAGCTCCTCTGTCTTTGTTCCAGCACCCGTTCGGCTACGACGGTGACCATAGCCTTGGCTCAGAGCCTGAAGTCTACGCCGTTCCGGACGCTGTCAAGGATCCGGGTTCCACAGAGGTCCCGCGGGCAGTCCCAATCGTGGAAGAGCAACCGAGGGGCTCCGTCATTCACCATGAAGCTCCTGCGATTGGTAAAGGCCAACGTGCGAAGTCCAAGTCTTCCAATTCCTCCAGTTCATCGCAGTCGACTTCCCGACCCGCTAGAACTATGCCGGCCATTGCCGTTGCGCATCAGACTTCCACAGGCACTTTCCCAGGGGATGCGACACCCATCGGCAAACAGACGACTTTCGTGATGCGAGTCCCCGAGGAAGCAGCCGTGTATGAAGTACCTATCACCAGGCGCCGGTCAACCACCATCAAGATCACGGTTGATAACGGAAGTGATGAGTCAGCGCACATGCGCAAAGCTTCGAACTCCGAATTCAAGACCGGAACAGTGAGCCCTTCCAGACGACCAATTTCAAAGGCCAATTCTGCAGAGCCGCTGCAACCGGTCCCGATAATCAAAGAAGATGATACTTCTACCAAACGTTCGAAACGCAGTCGTATTCGAGCTCTGTGGCGCCGCCTTGTGGCGAAGATCATGATGATGAAGGCTCGGAAAGCTGCGAAAGCTTCTGCACCCCAGACTAATGTCTAATGGCCACTGTTGGGTGTCTGGGTTGTACGGATTTGCTAGGCGTGACGGCGTTTGCGGGTGGTATTTTGTCCTTTCAGGTGCATCGCAGAAGCGCGAAGCAGCGTTATCCTCTTTCAAACTCCAACAACCTTCGGCACGAAGACCCTCTAGTTCACTCCTCTGAAACGTCCTCTAGACGGCTCGCTCTGGCAGAAATACAGTAATATCTTCTCCTTTTGTTTGCGACGATGATCGTTTAGGCTTCAGCCACGGGGTCCATCAGGCAGTGCAAGGTAGGCGAGCTCTGACGCAGTTGTATGCGGTGACCAGCCCCGCAGAAGTCTATTGTATCATAGCGCGTGTGGAGATCGGCAAGTGTGTTTAGGGCTGTGTTCTTAGCAACGGCACTGCCAAGGCCAGTGCAACTTCGCCCCCAAAATCCTGCGCGCTTATTCGGCCAGTAAGACGGCGGGATTTTTGCAGAGCCCCGCTCGGCAAAAGAGCCCAAGCATGAGGGGCTTTCCTTGTTTGGGCAATCCGCATGCTATTTCCGTCGCGCTTCGATATTAGAGCACGGGAGCAGGGCAGACTGGTGCCTGACAGCCTGGCACATGAGAGGCGGAGCAACGAAGGATGGAGTAGTCGAGACAACTCAGCCGCAGCCACAAAGTAATTCCAGGCAGCGGTCAAGCACGATCACCATAGGTCCGGTGATTTATATGAACTGTGTCACACCCAGAAAATTTTCTTGTACTCAGTACATTGTTGAGCATCGCCATCCACGAGTATTTATACCGAACCACACCGCGCTTGCTTGTAACGCATACGTCCCGCGCAATCAGACTTCGACTTTTTGCTCAATATGGCACGCTACACGAGTGAGACTTCGCCTTGGAAGAAGCGCATTCTGCTGCCGATTTGGATCCTCCGCGATGGCCTCACATTAATCATCATCGCCCTCTACGCCTTCACGCTTTCGGTCTTGGTATCGGACCCGAACGACAAGCTGGATGAAGATTTTGATGACAGTACGATCAACGCGGCAAAGATGTAAGTTGCAGCACTCAATTAGCCAAACTCTCGGCCGCTAACCTGTCGCTCAGCGTCGTCGCCGTTTTCATGACCGCATTCGCCGTTTCCCTCCTCCTCGACGTTTGGTGCATGATCCAATACATTCGCCACTCTTTGAGCCCGCGCACCTTCCTGATCATCAACACGCTGCAAACTCTCTTCTGGGTCGCCATCGTGGTCCTGCAAATTGTCGGCAACGCTTCGTACGGCCGCGCCTACGTCAGCATCTTCGGCATCGCCGCATTGTACGTTTCCCTCAGAAAAATATACCACAGTCGATTTCATGGAAAACTAACGCTCGGTGCTGCAGCCTCCTCTATCTCAGCCTCTTCATCTACTCCGTCACCGTCTTCCGCCGCGACCGCCAGCTGCGCGCCTCCAAGTCGGGCCACTACGCGCCCACCGCCAACCCGACCAACAACAACTTGTCGGCGCAGGAGTACGGCCAGGCGAACTACGGCCAGGCAACCTACGGCCAGGCAACCTATGGCCAGACCAGCTACGGCGGCCCGTACGGCGACAGGTCGTCCTTCGCGCCGAGCGCCGACGAGGAGCTCAAGCCCGTGCAGAATGCGCAGTACCGCTAAGGCGAAGGGGGGAATGGAGGGTTTGTAGGAGGGTTGTGCAGCCGTCGTTGGGAAGAAGAATTGCGACGAGGGCAGCACGGAGCGAAGAGTAGAAGCTGGTCAGTGCTACAGTCGCACAGGGGAGGTGTGGGTTGAGAGATGTGCAGCATGAAATGAGTTGACGGGTGGATGCTGTTTTTATGATATCCCTGGAGTTTTCGCGTGGTTGTTAATGGGTTACGATACCTCTTTCCTTTTTGTTAGATACCATTCAGCAAGATATGTTTGATGCAATTGCTTTCGGCAGCTTTCCAAGTCTTTTGTGTGGCGTATCAAGGAGACGTCAGAGTATGCGGAAAAGATTATTCGCCAATGTTGATGTCTAAGTAAGATTGTGGGCTGCAACGTTGGCTGAGATTGTATTACTATGTGCTCGTCGCTCAGGTCACACAGGGGCGCTTCGGGTGGTTTGTACTGCGCTGTTCAGTCCCTTACTTAACCTGCCAACTGCAGATTCCCGTGCGAGTGGAATGCAAACTTGTAGAGGTGCTAATTAGCGATAAGGACAGACCGGGAAAGAGACACCCGGCCGATCGACAATCAATCACGTCAGATATCGCGCTACCAGGCATCAATTCTAAATAAAACAGAACATCGAGTCCAAGGATCCGGTCCGCTTCTTTTTTTTTTCGTGAGATGTATCAGTGTTTCGAGACACAGAAGGCAAGGATTCTACAAAAAGATGAAAAGGGCTTGACTTGGGAGCCACGAATTGGTTCTCGCCAGATCGTGGCAGGCACGCGGGTTACACGGGCGCGCTAACCCCGCACATAAACCCAGCGATGTTTGTGCTCAGTGGACTCTAAATCCCAAACCCCGATGCACAGAGGTCACCGACGAAAGCTAGGTCGCGCATGTTTGAAGGCTGCTGCCCGCAATTTTACAGACTCCAAGTTGTTGTTCCTGCATGAGACGCTGCACGCCCGGTTTTGCCATTCAATATTCACAACGAAAAAGGCGGAAAGCCCCGCACGCAATGATGTGCTTCAGGAGGTTCGTTACGCCGCCCGTAGGCAGGCAGATCCTCGAGCTTCTCTAAATCGACCGTATCTCCGGCTTCGCTTCTCGCACCGCCGGCCAAGGTGCCAAGCAAACAACCTGATGCAGCTTCCTATCCGGGACATGCAGACGGGGTGTACGACGCTGCTGCCAAGCAGACGGTCCATCTCTCGCCATCGTATGCAATCTTGTTAATATAAAATGTACACCACTGCACCTCGCCACCGCTATCTCTAGCGACCTGCACTCCTTTGACTCCCACTCCTTCGGTCGTTATGCAGCCATCTCTGCTGCTCGCTGCCCTTGCCGTCGGCATCGGTGTCGACGCCATCTACCCGCCGCGCGGCTCAACGGCACCCAAGACCAATGGCACCAGGTTGTTGACTTTCAATGAGACGGTGCCGACGAGTCTGTCTCCGTCTTCCGTCTCTCTCGCGTGGGTAGCCAGCGATGTCGACGGCCAGTACATCTACGCCGGAGACGACGGCGCTCTGATTCTCGCTAATGCCGTCACTGGCGAGAACGAGACGTTCGTGGCCGCTGACCAAGTGCCTGCCGACTACTGGGACTACTGGATCAGCGCCGACCTGGAACGCGTCTTGTGGGCCACCAACTACACCAAGCAGTACCGTCATTCCTACTTTGCCGACTACTTTGTCCTCGACATTGCCTCCGGAAGCTTGGACCCCCTCGTTGCTGATCAGGCCGGCGATATCCAGTACGCCGAGTGGGATCCCAATGGAGAGAAAATTGCCTTTGTCCGCGGAAACGACCTGTACATCTGGGCCGATGGTGAGATTACGCGCATTACTTCTGACGGTAACCCGGATACCTTTAACGCCGTCCCCGACTGGGTCATGGAAGAGGAAATTCTGGGTGACCGCTATGCGCTTTGGTGGAGCCCCGACGGCGAGAAGATTGCGTATCTCAGCTTCAATGAGACCGGCGTGCCAACATTCCGTGTACAATACTACCTCGACAAGTAAGCGCTTTCAAAATTTCTCACCCCCTGTAAATGTTTGCCAATACTGACACCCAAGCAGCACTGAATACGGCAATTCTTATCCGCGGGAGCTGGAACTCAGGTACCCCAAGGTCGATGCCACCAATCCAACAGTTAGCTTCAACCTGCTGGATATTGCTTCTTCTGAGATCACTCCCATTGCCATTGACGCATTCCCTGCGGATGATCTCATTATTGGCGAGGTCGCCTGGGTTACTGATGATCACTCCAACGTTCTGTTCCGCGCCTACAACAGAGTTCAGGACTCGGAGAAGGTGGTGAATGTTGACGTTGCTTCCACTTCGACCTCCGTGGTGCGTGAGCGCTCCGAAAGCGAGGGCTGGCTCGACAACAACCTTGCCATCACCTACGTCGGCGCCGCAGCCGGCAACGGCACCAACGGAACCTATTATCTCGATCTCTCGGACGTCTCTGGCTGGACGCACATCTACCTCTATCCTGTGAACGGCGGAGCTGCTATTCCACTGACCTCTGGCGAATGGGAAGTCCGTTCAATCCTCAAGGTCGACACCGCCCGAAGCCTGGTCTACTACACCTCCACAGAACACCACAGTACCGAGTCGCATCTCTACTCGGTTTCCTACAAAACCTTCAAGAAGACGCCTCTCGTCGATGACACCATTCCTGCCTACTGGAGCGCCTCGTTCTCCAGCAGCGGTGGCTACTACTCTCTCTACTACCAAGGACCCGACGTCCCCTACCAGGAACTCTACTCCATCAACAGCACGACGACGCCTCTGCGCACCCTGGTCGACAATGCCGACTTCTACGCCAAGATCAACGAGTACAAGCTTCCCGAAATCAGCTGGTTCGAGCTCGAGCACCCGTCAGGCGAGAAGCTCAACGTGATGCAGCGACTGCCCGCCAACTTTGACCCCTCCAAGAAGTACCCCGTGCTCTTCAACCCCTATGGCGGACCCGGCGCGCAGCAGATCCCGAAGACGTGGAAGGCGCTGTCATGGAACGCCTACATTTCGTCCGACCCCGAGCTGGAATACGCACAGTGGGTGGTTGACAACCGTGGCACTGGTTACAAGGGCCGTGCTTTCCGCTCGCTGGTGGCGGGCCAGCTGGGCAAGCTGGAGGCCGAGGACCAAGTCTGGGCGGCGCAGCAGATCCTCGACAAGTACGAGTGGGCCGACCCCGACCACGTCGCCATCTGGGGCTGGTCGTTCGGCGGCTACCTCAGCAGCAAGGTCGTCGAGCTCGACTCGGGCGTGTTCACGCTGGGCCTGATCACGGCGCCGGTCACCGACTGGCGCTTCTACGACTCCATGTACACGGAGCGCTACATGAAGACGTACACCGCCAACCCCGCCGGCTACAACGAGACGGCCGTGCGGAAGACGGAGGGCTTTAAGAACATCGAGGGCGGTTTCTTGATCACCCACGGCCTGGGCGACGATAATGTGCATTTCCAGCACTCGGCTGTGCTGGCGGATGTGCTGATGGCGGGCGGTGTCGGCCCTGATAAGTTCGATAGCCAGTGGTTCACGGATTCGGATCATAACATCAGGTACAACGGGGATAGTGCTTTCCTGTACAAGCTCCTGACGAAGCGGATTTACGAGGAGAAGAACAGAGTCCCCGGAGAGGGTGAAGAGAAGCACCAGTGGAGTAGAAGGGAGATTGTTGTTTAGGGTGGTGATTAGGGATACTGGTAGAGGGCTTCGTGTGATCTTTCAATGATATATATTCTTGTCTACTTTTTATTGCGGAGATGAATGCTGAATTCATGGTATCGACTGTCTGAATTTACACAAGTTTGGTTGTCAAACGCCCCAAACAATTCACGATCGGTCCCTTCAAGTCAACACAAGAATATTTTGATTTTTGATTTTCAAGATTGCGAAATATAATCTCTTCTAAAATCTACCGTGGGACAGGAACATGGCTAGTGTTATCCCTCTTTTAAAGCCATCTATCCTTCGGCTCTAATATCCATCTATACAGAGGGGGTACTGCAGCCGACGGCTAGAGCGAAAAACAGTAGGACCGTAAAACATAGCGTAAGTATGCTTCACTTCTTTCTTTTCTTTTTTCCAATGAAAAAGGAACATAATTGGGTCGTTGAAACTGCCATCCGGATCTGAATGTGGAATTAATAATTATACATTCACGTCCAGATGATAGCTTCAACTACCCATCGTATGAGCGAAAAAATAAATTCACGCTTGACGTTGGCTGCAATACCTCCCTGTATGATAACCATGGTGGGCGTTGGTGTTGTATTCTGAAAGCCAATAGCATGTGATCAAGGGATGAGTGGGTGATCATTCAGAGTATCTGTCAAGGTCAAATGACTTTCGCGATCACAGGGAGAGAACCAGTGTTGTTCATTGCTCAACGCGCGCTTGGAATGTTGCAAGGGGCCTTAAAGTACCACTAGTGGTTAATATACCCCGCTCCACATGCACAACCCCTCCTACACCGTATACCTCTATGCTCTGCGATCATGGACTACTCAGGCTTTCACAGTCCAAGCCGTAAGAAAGCCCGTACAGGGTGCGTATCCTGTGGTGGTTCCATCAGTTTAGAAGAGGAGTATGTGCCGGGCCATCTGCGCTTTTGCGAGCATCATAAGGAGGCCAAGTTTTCTACGTAAGCTATCAAACATCTTTCACAGTATCATTGGCTATATAGTATGTTAACATTACCAGCTTGCTCACAGCTCCGTGCATCGCGGTCACCGTCCAGGCGTTTAAACCGAAAACCTTCTACGTCCACGAATTGCTGCTTTGCCACGAGTCCAAGCGTTTCCTCAAACAACTCAACGGACATTCCAACAAGTCTGCCACACGCTCCACTGCCAACTGCGACGAGGATCCCGAGCTTTTCGGCTGCTTCGTGGAGTATCTCTACCGAGATGGATGGGTCTGTAGCCCTGGGATAAAAGACAGCTCGGAATACGTAACACTGGCTAGTTTGTATGCCATGAGTGAAAGGCTAGGTGCAGAAAAGTTCCAGCAGGCGGTACTGTGGAAGTTCTCCAGTCAATTCCCCTGCACGGGGGACATCCCGGACAAAAGCGTTTGCGATCTGTTGATTATCGTTTGCTCCGAACTACCAGAACGGTGTCCGGAAGATCCGCTAAGAGCGTTGGTATTATGGTATGCTTCAACCAGGCTGGAGAAGTTGAGGAAATACGAGCAGTTCAACCACCTGCTTTTTGACCTGCCGGATTTGGCGCGGCAGCTTTGCAAAAGGGCGGGGAACGCAATCACTCCTCAGCCGGAAAATAAGACTTCGGAACCACGTACCAGATTCAAAGCGGAAGATGTTTGAGAGTATTCCCTTACATTTACGAATAGGGCAACGGACTGGCTCTACTGTGACTACATTATCTGGTCCTTCTTTTGGCAAGGAAATCCTCACGTTACGGGAATTGAGGTCTATTGATATTCTGTATCAATGTTTTGGATTTGTAAATCTTAAATGCTATAGTTTGTTCTTCTCTCTCTACTGATGTGTACGGGGCCATGGTCTGAAAGCTTCAAACGGCCCCAGCTTACGGCGTGTTCTGCCTCGGGCCAAGTTCCTGACCCCTCTCGTTCATGAGCAAGAAGAAGAGCTCTGACCGGACTTCAGCCGCGCCACAAGACCAAAGTGGAGTCCTTCAACGGTCTGAGAGCTCCTCCCGTCCAGGGGTGATTACCTGAAGGGGTAAGGACCAAGGAGCCCCACCGTACCTAAATAAATTAAGCGAAATCCGTCTTGGCTGTTTCCGAGGACGCACCAATTGAAATCCCGCAGTTGCGAACCGGACGAGAGAAAGAATCCAGAAGCGTAGATCCTATGGAGGCTTCTGCTGTGGCTGCATGATGTCCATATCAAAGCGGCTGCCGCTGCCGCACGTCCAAAGTGCCCAGAAGCATCGTCTTGCCAGCGACAGCCTTTGCTACAACCGAAAACGAACAGCTACCTTGATATCCTTTCTTATATCCACGACTAGATGAGCGCGTATCGAGTAATAACGGTCTTAGGAAGCAAATGGAAACGTGTGAACACCGTCAAGATATGTTCAAAGATACGTAAGTAGTAAAACCCCACTGCAAGCGGCAAGCTCGGCACTCCCTAAATGGAGAGGCTTGTTCCTTAAAAGGACCGCCAAGCCTTGCGCCTGTTCGGCAATCGAGCTCTATGCTCCCAAGCGAGTTTCACCTGCATGTGTTTCGAAACAGCTTGGCTTTGCAGCACTCCATCGAGAAGGAGCACATACACGATCACGAGGTAAAGCATGGTCATGGTCACGGAAGTATACGCTTAAATTCAGCAGCCTCCCTGCTTGTTTTGAGAACTCCAGCTCAGCTCCATCAGCACTCTAATCATTCACTTCTTGTACATATTTCGGCCATGCATCTGAATTCCTTCTTCCTTGCCCTCGCGGCTGTCCCTGCCGCTACTCTTGCCCAGGTTGTCGGCACACCCTACGGCTTTGCCAAGGGTGTCACAGGAGGCGGAAATGCTACACCTGCCAAACCATCCAACATCGCCCAGTCAGTTTCTCCGTCAATCAAATGATCTGGTGCACTTTCTGACACTCCCCAACAGACTCAAGGAATGGCTCGCGGACGACACTCCCCGCGTGATCATGATTGACAAGACTTTCGATTTTGCCAACAGCGAGGGCACGGCCACGGGCACTGCATGCCGCCCCACCGGAACGTCCGCGTGCACGGGCAGCTTCCAGAAGCAGGACTGGATCCAGGACACCTGCGAGAGCTACCAGCAGAAGTACACGGCCACCTGGGATAAGGCGGCTGCCACGGGAATGCCCGTTGCTAGCAACAAGAGCATTGTCGGTGTTGGCTCAAAGGGTGTCCTGAACGGGAAGGGCCTGGTCCTTAAGGAGGGCGCCAAGAACATTATTGTTCAGAACATCCACATAACTGTAGGTTTTTTCCGGTTTCGATTAGCGCCTCCGAACTGACATTTATTTTCCAGAACCTGAACCCCAAGTACGTCTGGGGCGGCGATGCGATCAGTATCAACGGTGTCGATGGCGTCTGGATCGACCACTGCAAGGCAAGTGCCCATCTCAAGTCGAGCAGGAATCAAAGTAGCCTGTACTGACCTTCCTCTTCCACAACAGTTCAGCAAGGTTGGCCGCCAGATGATCGTGACCCAGTACGTCCTTCCCCCCTCCACCTCCAACCCAACCCGCTCACTAACTCTGCCTCCCTTTTCCCCAGCTACTCCCCCTCGCGTGTGACCATCTCCAACAACGAGTTCGACGGCGTCACGACGTACAGCAGCACGTGCAACAACGACCACTACTGGACGACGATGCTGGTGGGCGACTCGCTGCGGCTGACGCTGGACCGCAACTACTTCCACGACGTGTCCGGGCGGTCGCCCAAGATCGGCGGCTCGGGCACGCAGCTGGTGCAGGCGTCGAACAACTATTTCGCCAACTGCGCCGGCCACAACTTCGACGTCGCCCAGGGCGGCTCGGTGCTGATCGAGGGCAACCGCTTCGAGGGCTCCGACCAGCCCGTCACCTCGGGCAGCAAGTCCAACGGCGGCGCCACCTTCAACGTGCCCGACGCTAATGCGGCGAACACTTGCTCGTCGTACCTCGGCCGCAAGTGCCAGATCAACGCCCTGTCCAACTCCGGCGAGTGGTACTCGTTGACCAGCACCGCCCCTCTGCAGGCGCTGGGCAATGCGAAGGACTACCTTGTCACCCCTATCGCGTACGGCAACGTCAAGTCGACCGTGCTGGGCGCCGCCGGTATTGGTAAGATTGGAAACTGAGTTAGCGAGCTTTTGTGCGCAGGCCGAAGGAGGGTGGATTAGTTGAGGGTTTCAGCTTAATCGTGGATTTTTTTTTCCGCTGGACTGTAAATATTTGAATGCCTTGATATAATGGAGAATGCCCTCGATGAGTTTAAGGTCCACCATGGTGATCGGACAGATCGATGTTAGAGCTGAACGATAGTGCGGGGTAATAGCGCATTAAAACAGGAGAGGATTATGCCATACCACGGCAGATTTTAGAAGAAACATTCTTGCGAGCAACTATATTTAACTTATGGGGTTGGCTGGAGCTATCGTCCGGACGTAAATGTCGAATTAAGAATGCTACATTTACGTCCGGATGATGGCTTCAACTGCCCACCATTGTCAATTAACCCTTGCCATTACCATCAACTCTTCATCCGCCGCAGCAGGTTGCTTTGCCTATCGTCCTGCCGCATGATCAATTCCATCTCTTCCTCATCATCTGTAACCTCCCCTTCCGAGCTCGAATCCGTGTCGAATATCAACTCAGGTGACTGCTCATCTCCTGGTTGTTGGCCTTCCATCTCGCGCTTGAGTCGCGCCTCCATCTCATCGTTCGGCTTGAGCGGTAGGTCGTGCTTCGCTATGAAGCTGACCCACTCGCGGTACCATTTATGGCCCGTGGCTCGGATACTCTCGCTGGGTAATCGTCGGCTTTCGCGCAGAGGTTTCAGGAAGATGAATGCCGTGTGCTTGTTGGTAGAGTGCTTGAGACGGGTCCAAGCGTCGGAGAACTTTTCAATGTTGAAAGCGAGGAGGACGAATGGGATTGACACCGCAAATGATACACCAACTACCGTTACCCTCAGTAAGAGACCAGACTAGTCTATCAAGCTTAATATTGTACTCACAGAGCAAAGCCGAGACCCATCCAATGGGGAAATTGTTCTCGCCGTCCGATTTGGGGAAAATAGAGATACCGAGAGAGAAGAAGGATGCCATGAAGGAGAGAGGGAGCTAGAAGACATTAGTGCAGCCCAATATCTACAATGATTGCTACCTACGAAGATAATGGTGACGACAGTAAAGACGAGTATCGTCTATATTGTATTAGCGAAACATTGGTGTTGCCACAGAGGGATCATCATACCCGGCCTTGCTTAGCAGCCTCTTCCGCACCTTCACGAGATGACCGGGCTTCCCAAAGATTCGCTTGTTTCTGCTTGAGATCAAGAAGGTGCTCAAGCTTTAAAGATTAGATAGTGCTGCCAGATTTGGGTGAAGGGATTCACTCACCCCCTTCTCCACCTCCTTCGCATGTGCCTCCATGACATCAAAGCTTTCGTCCGTTTCGCGGATTAGCACCAGAACATCAGAGAACTTCTTCTCCGACTGAGTAAAATCCGGTGCGACAATCCTCTTGAGAGATCCGACAACCTTGAGCTGGTCTTTCAAAACAGACCTGATCATCTTGATCTCATCTAGAACATTTCTGATTTCTTTGAGCTGCTCCGATTCTTTCATGATATCAAGTAGTTTTCTTAGCAACATGCTTCTGTATTCTGAGTAGCCTCGGTGCATCTCTTGAAGGGAATTGAGCATTTTAGCCCGTCGTCGGAAATGTCGGAAAATACGTGTCTCTTCCTCTTCCTGCTTCTTCATCAGTTCTGAGACAAAATCATGCGGGGTATATATCACTTACCGCACGGCCTATAGCACCCTCAAAGAATTGTAGAAAGTTGATGGATTCCAGGTGTTGATGGCGGTCAAATGTGTTGCAACAAACGAACAGAATACGAGACACTAAATCGGCACTCTTGGAGATCGATCGTCGATTGGTAGGTCCCAGAACAGTACGCTGAAGGTCATCTGCTTCACGAGTTGACCGAGGAAAAGCGGCTCCTTCGCGCGATGGAAAACTGGTGATGATAGTGTCCGGTTTGCCATCTTCGCCCTTGATGAACCACAGCCAAAGTTGGTCTACCATGAGTATGTTGTGATCAGGTGGGTCTCGCCACTCCGACTTAGCCCAACGGGACACGACCTGTGTACGATCTCTGTAAGATGTATCCTTGAGCATGTTATAGTATGATTGGTCGAGTGTGCTGGAAACAACCAGTTAGCAACCTCCATAAATATTAGTACTTGAGGCCGTAATGACCAAGTTCTAGAGAAATGCTCCACAGTGACTCTACAAGAACTCTGCAGCATTCAGACAGCTGGTAGAGCCGAGATAGTGTTCAAGGAAAGTAGTGCATACCGTCTGATGTGCAACGTGAGATGCTGATCTTGATTGTGGTTGTGGTCGTTCAGATAACCTCTTATCGCCAGAGCTTCAGGATCTCTACCGGGAAGCATATGTGAAGCCATATCGTTCGTACTTCGTTTTGGGCCTTTAATACGAGGACGTGAGAGCGGAAGATAAGGTAGGGCGAACGGTTTGGTGGTTTCCGTTCCAACACTACGGGCTATGTTGGCAATTTGCCCTTGCTGGAGCGAACTTTCGTAGCTGACATAGGGCATCTACATTGTTAACCATGATGGTGTTTTCTTAGCACGACAGAAACTTACGAATACTACCCAGTTGTCATTGCGACTGTCATCATTGTTGGCAGTGATGGAAGAGCTTTGCAGACTAGGCAACCTAGTTACTTCAGGACTCATATAACGCTAAATAATTATAAGTACTTAGAATCAGTGGTTCTAAGTACGAGTACTGTACGATGTGACTTACACCATGGTGTATCTTGCTGCGCTTGTGCGGCTTTGGCCATGGCCAAAAGGATAACTCCAGTTTTGCGAAGAGGTCCTGCGCTATCAGCATAGACTAACGGGGATGGACGAGTGAAGCCTTACATGCACCCAAGCCATCTACTATTATTAGCAAAGTCGAGAAATGAGTTTCTGGTGTTCTTACGTTGTTCATTGGGATATGATACCATCTACATATGGCAGTAGGTGAGTTCTCAGTATATGCCGCCTGGAAGAATTGATCGATGTTTTCGTCTGTGTAAATGAAGTCGTGTACAGATTTGTACACAGGGAGATGTCTTTCAGGCCTAGACTCTGTGGGGCTGAAAATTTCTCGTGCAACCATACTAGTCTTACGACATGCCTCCTGGGCATTTGCATTGGCTGGCTTTCCCCTGACAAGTCTTCGTGGCCCAGAAGGGCCCTCAACGAGCGGCGGATTTCTGAAGAGGTCTTTGATATCTTGGTTGACTCCTTCCTCGAGCGCCATGTCCTCGGCTGACTTCCCAAGTATATTCGTAATACCCGTGTTCGCACCTGCTTTCAGTAAATCATGGACTATATCCGGACTGGAATAGGAGCGTGATTCAACAGCTACATTGAGGGCCGTGTCACCTTCTCCATCTTGTCGATCCAAATCAACTTTGCCACTGTTGACCAAGCACTGGACCAGCCTGGCCAGCCCACGCTCGGCGGCAAGATGTAGAACTGTCTGCATTTTTCTGTTCTGGGAATTGAAGTCAACCGAGGCATTAAGCAATTCATCAATCGCATCTTCGTTGAGAAATCTCCCAGCTCTGAGAAGCTGATGCACAGCTACGGACTCAGAGATGGCTTTCGTGAGGTTTCTAAAGCGAACGTCATTCTCCCGGGATATCCGAGCAAGGTCGTCTACAGCGAAGTCAGATGTCCAGCTACGATCAAACCTCTTGGAATGATTTGGAGTTTTTTTGGACTCTTTTTTCTGTTCCAGGTATCCGAAAGTGCCAATGTTTCGTTTTTCTGTGTTGTCGAAAAAGTTCTTCCATATCGTGTCCGGCGTCAGGTGATTGATTCCCTGCCGTGCTTCAAACAATTTCGTTGAAGTCTTAGAGATATTAAACTCCGTTGCCACCCAATTGATTAAATTCTCAAAGCTTTCCAGTGGCGGTGCAAACATGGCGACAGCGGCAGTGGATTCCACCAATCGATGCCTCGACCGCTCTTCAACTGTTTGCGACAGTTCTCCGAATAGTAAATGATCGATGACGATAGTTCCATAACCATGGCCGATGAAAACGATGGATGCTTGTCTAGTTTTGTCCCATCGCTGGCTTAGCTTCTGGAAAATCTCGGTCGCTGCTTGTTTCAGATCAATAGGAGTGTTGATATTTTTCGAGATGCTGTGATTGATGTCCAGACCAAAGCTCGTGATTCTTGCTGTGGGAAGAACTTTTGGTAGCATTTCCGGATCATCGAGCCAGGTGATAGAAGGGACGCTTGAGCCATCTTTCGAGCGCGCTTGGTGGTCTGCGGTATTACCCTTGTCCTTAATCTTCGATTCGACAAAGACCGACATGTCCCAGTCCGCATGCCTTTTGCGATTCCCACACATGTGCACAACGACGACATCGATGGGACATGTCTTGCTCTTGATCTTGGGTCCGCTTAATTCACGAACCGTGATTTCTGGAATCACATTGTGAGTAGCGGCATGTTGTGACGGTGATGAAGATCGAGCTCTTTTGATCATCAGAAGATTGTCATCACGGTCGCGAGCTACTTACTGTTGACCGCCCTTACTCTTTCTTCCTTCGACAGGATTTGGTCTTGCTAAGGTCTCTGGCAGAAATGAAGATAGGCGGTTTGATTTTTCTGCAAGTTTATTGGAGGTTGACAACCGCGGAGCTTCCTCCCTCCTCGCATGTGCACCATGAAAAGATGTCAAGCTTACACTGCGAGGAAGTTTAGGCCGCGATCGCGGAAGAGACTGAGGAGCTGCGGAGCCAATAGGGCCCGCTCCCTCTGTCGACGAAATATGATCACTGAGACGGGCATCTGAAGCCGGGCCATTGCCTATGTAGACGTCAGTTGTGAACATCGTTGCTTAATGCAAGTCTTACCGTTTTCCGAAGGAAGACCCATTCGGATGAGGGGTGTGTACAAAAGAAAGAATAAAGTCAGAGGCGAAGAAACAAGGACGAGGCGCCTACTTCATCCCCAGGGGCTGTGTTCGTCTGGTGGCACCATCATACAAGGGTACGGCTGACCCGCATGCGTTGGCCCCCAAAAGTCTGGGGCTTGCATGTGCCCCGCATTTTCGTGCGCCATTTAAAGGTTCAGGTGGCAGCCGTGACGCCAATTACCCTCGGGCTTGGTCGTGTTGGCAGTTTAGACGCTGGGGTCGGGATTCAATCAGCAGCTGAAACGAAAACAATGAGCTGAGTTGGAGGAATAAGATGAGGCTCACGGTCGGTCCGTGAGGTAACCGAAGAATTCCAGACCCTGATGACTGATAAGCAATTATGACGTGTCTCGCCAGAGATTTAAAAACTTTTTTGAGATATGCACTACGTAGTAATCGTGAGGATGCGGTGAGGAAAGTGCGTCGTGAGCCGCAGGCGGTGTTTTCGCAGGTCCCGCCCGAGCCAAGCAAGCCTGAGGTTTACCAGATGCCATACATGCGAAAATCCACTGCGAAGCTAAGGAAAAGGAAAGACAAAGTGGCAGACTTTGCTGAGCTGTGTAGGGATGGTCGCGCAGCAGGCAGGCGGGGTGCACCCTGCGACCGCTGTCGGGCCGAGCGAGCTCGACTTTCGCCGCCTGTCGCAGATGCAGCTCCGCTAACTTTACAACAACCCAGGCTGCATTTTCGCAAACACCACACGGCCACGCGCACCTCTTCAATTGCGTACAATCGCACCACCAAAGCAAGCGCCAGCCTCCACCATACCACCTCCGCGCGCTACATAAGCAAAACGCCCCGAAAAAACCAGCTCGCCGCACACCACAATTGCCATAGCGACCGCACACCCCCGCGGACTCACCTGAGCCTCCCACAAGCCTATCCAACCTAAACCCTCCCCCCGCCTCTACGCCTCGACATCCGCCAACCACCCACCATGTCGGGCCAAAAATCCGGCGCATACGGCGCCAACTCAGCGTCGGACACGTCCTTCCGCAAAACCTGGGACCGCGCCGAGTACGCGGCCAAAGCGGCCGAGCACGACGCGAAGATAAAGGAAGAAGGAAAGGCGCGCTACGAGGCGGCGCTGCAGGGCAAGAAGTACGTGCGGCGCGCGTCGACGCCGCCCGACGCCCGCGAGACCGAGGCCCGCAAGTCGCGCCTCGACGTGGGGTCTATGGTCGGCAAGACGATGCTCATCCCCGCCGGCTCTGCGGTCGGCAAGAAGGGCCGTGGCGCGGGATTCTACTGCGAGGCTTGCGACCTCACGTTTAAGGATAATTTGCAGTTTGTGGAGCATTTGAACAGCAAGCAGCATCTCGTGGCGACGGGGCAGAGCGGGGAGGTGAGGAGGGCGACGGTGCAGGAGGTGAGGGATAGGTTGGCGTGGTTGAAGAGGAAGAGGGAGGAGGAGAAGAAGGAGGAGGTGGTGGATTTGGGGTCGAGACTGGAGCAGGCTAAGGAGAGGGAGGATAGGGAGCGCGAGGAGAAGCGGAGGAAGAGGAATGAGAAGAGGCGGAAGACTGCTGGTGGAGTGGGCGTGAAGGAGGAGTATGATCCGAACGAGGGCATTATTGCCTGAGATGAAAGGAATGTGGTGATAGTATGGGTGGGCATGGCGCGTCGGATTCAAGAGTGGCATTTTAAAGGCGTTCCGGTGGAATTCAGTTGTTATGATTATTGGCATCATGGGATGCTGGCACGTTTGTATCAAGGTGATGAATATGTCTTGAGCCCAACCCTTTCAATGGTAGAGAAGACGCGTAATTTAGCTATTATACTACGCGTCGTGTCTGAATCGCGTTCCGCCTTGCGTTTTTTCTCGGCCGTTCGGCGGCTATCCGCTTTTCCGCGACATTATCACCAATGAACAAACAGTTCCAACAACATTCAAGCTGTCCTTATAGTACATTCGCCCGCTGATAAAATTTGTTGTGGGCCTGCTCTGCTTACAATGCTTGGCTGGTTGATTGGTGCAGTTTCAAATATATCCTACCTAGCACACTACTCTGCGATCGACAACTCTAAGGTTTCCTTGCCGAAAAGCTTGGCATCGCTAGCGGAGCTTCTACCACATTTAGAAAAGAAGACCTTCGAGAACCATCAAATTTTTGTTCTTGGGAAATCTGTGATACAGAGTAGTTTTTTCGCTGACTGCAATATCCAGAGAGGCGGCGTGGACATTAGAGAATCGTCTCCTCCCCTTCCCTTTTGTTACAACCTGGCCGATGCGAGAAACGAACGACTTTTCAACCAACAGCGTTCATTATTAGGCTCGTTTTTTGAAAGCTCCAAGAACTATCATCAGATGTGACAACAGATTCCCCATGTCCAATCATATGGTAGAGAAAAATAGTGGCTGTTGTCTACTGTTTATTCAACAGCGCCCGATAATTTGCCACGGGCTCGGAATGCCTTGCCTTGAGCAAGAGAAATGTGGCAAAAGGGTAGTAAGAATAGCTCATCACCTTCCGAGAACCGCGCGCTAAGGGGCCCGAACTCGAGTGGCTGGGGATGCAGCAGCCCCTTCGATGCCAGTGGCCCATTGAACACAACGAGCACGAAATTAAAGCCGATCTTGCCGTTTTCCGATGAGACACTCCAACGAAGAAAATTGCGGAAGCTCGCAGAAGGAAAGTTTGACTCAGACGCGAAGGAGAATACCGGCGCATCGTGTTTCTGGTCTGCAGGAGTAGCAACAGTTGCAGCAGAGACCCCTGAATATCGATCTCTCCTATGTACTCTGGTTCATCGACAGGCATGAGACCAAGTGACAGTTCCTACAACCGCCGTAGAACGGGCCACAGACACCGTGCAAAAGCCAGCAGTTGGTCAACAGCACCTTCGGCAGCCCCCGCACCGAGAACTTGCCCAGAAAGCGGGACACCTCTGACTCGTGAATGCGACCGCTTGGAGGTGTCGCATACAGGCGGGTTTGGGTGAACGGAAGTCTCCGACCCCTGGATTGAGAGGCACCCGGATAGGAAGCTCTGAAGATTTGGAGACGCTCATCGAGGAGGTAGCGCGAAAATGTTACAACAGTATGTGTCTCAGTCCAGATCAAGTGGGACAAGATGAAAGTAGAATTTGAGCATGCCACTGGTTAACCAGGTTGTAGCGTTGGATCACCCTCTAAGGTGTTCTGGAGCACATGGGTCCTACAAGGCTGATGACTTGGCACTGTGAGGCGCAGTTCGTTCCAGAGCTGAGACCAGGACTGGGTACCACTTAAACGCCCGGATGCTGTAGGTGTTGAAGGGGTCAACACTCAGCTTCGCTACTAAGTTACAGTCCTGGGAATTTTTGAAGCGGATTGTGCGGCCTCTCACCTAGTTCGAGGGGCAAGAAGATTGAAAGAGAGGAGTTGATGGCGGTGTGGTATCGATGAGACGGGGTTGCTTGCAACACCAATTTTCAACGGAAATTTTGGTGCAACATCAAAGTGGACCAATTTGAGGGAATGAATGAAGGCTTCGGGGCAGTCACACATTCAGTCACTTTTCGAGTTCTGAGGCTTGCGAACTCGAATCGGCCCCCTAATGCTCTCGGTTGGCACATCTTGGCCGATGACTGCGCCGCGCTGCAGGATCTGGACCTCGCCTGCAGCCCTCGCGTCGAAAACGAGGCCGCGGACGGCCGGCATCAGTTCGCGCCACCCATTCGCCCCTAGCTCGGCCAATTCTTGGGTGGATAGAGAGCGGGCAACCTCCGAAGGGCAAATGGTCTTCGGGTGTTGGCGTTGGTCTAGCAAGGCGCGAAGGCGCGAGCGCAGCAGGCCGTCTGTGGGATCCATGTGCACGTCGGGTGGAGAATGGAAGATGGAAGGGCGCTTGGAGATACGGTTTAGATTAAGTTTAACCGAGTGACGTCTTCTGAAGGAGGATGCATCGCACGTGAGCGGAAATAGCGTTGACCGACTCCCGAACGCCGGGACAGGACCGGCGAAGTGCAACCCGAAGTGGCCGGCGCAGAGGCCTCGACTCCGCCCGAACGGGCCTCCCAAAACACCATCACGAGATTTGCTGCCCGCTTTGGTGAAAACCGGCGTCGATTGTTGTTTCTGTTTACTGCTGCGGGCAGGCCGGTTTCACCGTTGGCTTGGCCGTCTCGACGGCAACCCCTGAGAGAAGTTCTGGTCGTCGGCATGAGATACGAGCTGCCACTGCCATCACCGGCTTCAAACATGCAGATGAAACGGGGGCCAACTCACATTCCGGGCGTGGCAAACGCCTGGAAAGAGTCTGGAAAGGCCGGTCACGCCAGACGAGATTTGCGGCTCAATGAAGCGAGCAGGGCGCCTCTCCTATCCACACCGCTGCGCTCCGTTCTCCGCTCCGCTGGCGTTGCAGGCGCTGCGGGCGTGGTGTAGTGCGTGCAGGATCATTCCGCATCATTTCGTTTGTCGGCACGGGAAAACTGGCAGTACAGGATGCGCCTCATGCGCGGCGGCCTGGGTTGTTTCACGTCCAAGCGATTGGTGTTCCTGAGGGCGCCCGAGCCAAGCGCCTCCACTTTGGGAAATACTGCCGCACGCCTGGTGGAGCAGCGCAACCGAATGCGCCGTGTAGATGAAACTCAACTCTTGGCACCGCCGTGGAGGCTGCTCTCTGAGGGCTGGACGCGCGGGCTGGCGAGGGGAACTTGGGGCTTGGCATTGCTTCAGCAGCCATCACTTCGCGGTGGATCCCCCAATTGCCTCAGTATAAGAGCGCCAGCCCTTCCGGAAGTGATGTGTTTTCTCCATCAAGCCTGGACAGCTTAGCATTCCTTCTCGCATTCTTCTGCTTTTAGCACACTTTCGTTCTTTTAGTCACTCTTTGACAACCACACTCTTTCGCCACCATGAAGACTCAAGTTTACAGCATGTTCGCTCTGGCAGCGGCCGCTAAGCTTGCCAACGCCCACGCCACTGTTTTCGCCGCGTGGATCAACGATGAGGACCAGGGCCTCGGCAACTCTGCCTCTGGCTACATCCGCAGCCCCCCCAACAACAACCCCATCACTGATGTCACCTCCTCCAACATGGCCTGCAACGTCGGCGGTACTACCGCTACCGCCAAGACCCTCGAGGTCAAGTCCGGCGACAAGTTCACCTTCGAGTGGCACCACAACAACCGCGACTCCGGCGACGACATCATTGCCTCTTCCCACAAGGGCCCCGTCATGGTCTACATGGCCCCCACCGAGAAGGGCTCCGCCGGCTCCGGCTGGGTCAAGATCGCCGAGGAGGGCTACAGCGGTGGCACCTGGGCCGTCGACACCCTGATCGCCAACAAGGGCAAGCACTCCATCACCATCCCCGACGTCCCCGCCGGCGAGTACCTGCTCCGCCCCGAGATCATCGCCCTCCACGAGGGTAACCGCGCGAACGGTGCCCAGCTCTACATGGAGTGCGTCCAGATCAAGGTCACCTCCGACGGCTCCAGCACCCTGCCCGAGGGTGTCTCCTTCCCCGGTGCCTACACCGCCACCGACAAGGGTATCCTGTTCGACATCTACAACAGCTTCGACAGCTACCCCATCCCCGGCCCCTCGGTCTGGGACGGTGCCTCCGGCTCCACTGCCGCCTCCACTGGCGCTGTCAAGGCCGAGACCTCCGCCGCTGCCTCCACCCCGGCTGCCACCTCGGCCGCCGCTCCCGTCGAGACCTCCGCTGCCGCTGAGACCCCCGCCACTTCTGCCCCGGCTACCACTGCCGCCCCCGTCGCTACCACCTCTGCTGCCGCTAACAACGGCGGCAACGTCGTCACTGAGACCGCCTACACCACTGAGGACGTCATTGCCACCACTTTCGCTACCGTTACCGCCGGCCAGGCTTCCGCTACCCAGGCCGCCTCCTCTGGCTCTTCCTCTGGCTCCTCCTCGGGCACCGCCGGCAAATACGCGCAGTGCGGGGGTACCAGCTACACCGGTCCTACCACCTGCGAAGATGGCTGGACCTGCAAGGAGTGGAACCAGTGGTACAGCCAATGCGTGGCTAGCGCTTAAGCGCTCTCTAGATGCATCTGTGGTGTTGGAAAGGGTAGAAAATAGATGAGGAGGGAGTTCACGATGTTGATGGGAAGTTTCGACATTTTTGGGCTGCTCTGGTCCAATTATTCATCAATATAGCCAGGAAAAGCGCCGTTTTCCTTTGAACAGGTAAAGCGATCAATTTTCTACCGTTGGCTTAATTGTCTTCATTGTAAATATCAAAACCAATATCAAATACACATGCCTGAAGGCGCGCTTTGCGTCCAAGGTTTTTGACAACATTATCATTGCCTCCACGCTTTTTCTCGTGATCTCCTGTAGATATCTGTAATTTCCTGAAAAATCTGAGCTTGAAAGTACAAGAGGAACCCAATCGACTAATGATAGGGTGGTCGGGCTTGGGGAGGGCGTCGGCCTGGGGTTAGACCAAGCCTCACGCTAACCATTTAAGGAAATCTTGGCAAACTTCTGCCTGAGGCACCCACCACCGCACACAGTATTCACACCAATCAACGAATTGTCATTTCTTTGCCCTGCCATCCCTTTATTTCGCAGTACAGTGCTTGATCTGCGATCGCAAAAAAAGCCCTGTGGGCCCTGTGGACATCGCCGAAGCCCTACAAGATCCGAAGTGCCAACTGTTAATCCGATGCCCCGTGCACGTTTTATACATGAAACGCCCATTGGCGAGGGCCTGGGTAAGCGATCGATCCCCCAGAAAAGGCGCGCCTCAGCACGCCAGCAACTGTCGGCCGTAGCTGCGTTATTTCGGGATTCTTCAGGCTGCAAATATTTCTAGTTTGCCACAAGATGTATGCCGACATCCGAATATTCGGCCCGCTCCAAATGCTGACAATAGCGTTGGGGACCTTGCGACGAGAAGACATTATGCAATCCAGGCTGAATAGTTCTTCGCAACCTGTTTCTATTTGAGATTCTATAGTGAGGTCATCCGTGACGGATGTTCAATGTTCGCGTGTTAGTTAATGCCGTGACGACCAGGAAAATCTTGGGTGAAACTCCCCAGCCATGTCCCACGGTTGGTATCAAAGACTTATTCAATGCGTAGGCAGTTGTATCACTTGCCTTGATAAAAATGAAGCTTTTTGAAAAATGTAGACACATCCGGATGAAGGCTTCAACTGGTAACGTTGACATTAAGTGGAATATATTCTTTCCTTCCCACCGATTCAAGCCAGAAAAGGTAATGGCGTTTGGATCCTGCGCAGATATCGCAACCCGAGGTCAACTTGAATTTGTTTTCCGTTCATATCATGGGTAGTCGAAGCTATCGTCCGTATGAGGATGTATAATTATTAATTGAACATTTACATCCGGACGATAGCTTCAACTACCCACATATGTTTTTTTTTTTTCGCGAAAAGAAAACAAGCTGAGATACAGTTACACGAAGGTCTAGGCCCTTCCATTATTCGCGCCAGCATTCAGCTGCAATACCCCTCTGTATTCCCTTCAGCTCTTATGTTTCACAAAGTATGTACACCTTTGGAACTAGGGCCCACGAGAGGTCTGCAAATTTATAATATAAACAAATCGCCCGCGCAAGGGTGACACGAGTTTCTGCTCTAGCCTGTGAGGACTGCAGCAGATGCGTTACGTTTTGACCGGCTTGCAAAAAGGACTACGAAGGACTTGACTTTCTTAGTTTTCCGGAACGAAAGGTACAGCAGTGATGAGCCCCAATATGCCAAAATTTGCAGAGATGTCAATCAATCAATATGTAAGTGTAGTTCTTATCTTTGTTTGAGAGGCATATCGAAATTGTACTATACCCTGAAGCTGGGATTCACTTCGACGGCCTAGTAAACGGTAGTATCCAGGAAATTTTTTCCTCAATGGATAATGGCGTGTTCTCTCTCGCATAGCACATGGCGAAAAACTAGCGTTGTGCTTAGGAAGCCTGCAGCGTTCTGACATGGATGTGTTAGTCAGGGTGTCACCGCAGGACGTGATGAAGCACGTTTGACCCAATGATCCCAAACCCCTCGAAGATCTCTCTCTGAGACAGGTCCACGGATGCAAGACCCGGGATTCCGGTGGGTCCCACGTACATGTCTCGGGTCCTCGAGGCCCCCACGGATCGACCCGCACGGGTCGACCCGCATTACAGAAACGCCAGGGTTACGCGTCTATGCTCGTTCGTGAAAGTACCTAAATAGTAGCTCAATAGGCTGATTGGCTGAGCAGTATCGATAAGTATGACATGTACTCTTGGCCTTTGATTGAACATCACGATGCCAAGCTGTTTACGGCGGGAAAGTATAGACGGCCTAAGCACTCAGTAGATCAGATGAATAAAGCCATCTTCTATATTTGCGCAGGTTATGGTGCTTTACGTGGATTCGCGAGTAGAGTTTGGACTATTCGGTACTCTCACATAGTCTACCATGGTTCTCTTCCATGGATAAGCTGATAGGGGGTTTCACTCTCCAGGGGGGTCCCGATCTTCTTCGATTTGGTTTAAAATACTATCAATACGTAGAGGCACAACAGTAACTTTGTGGACACCCAATGGAATAATTTTGAGGGTGCAGACCGAGACAGAAACATTGTGAAATTTTATGGCCAAAATGTGTACGGAGCTTTCTCCGTAGTGGCGCATGAGGGATAATGTATATGCAGAATTGACTGTACTGCGGCAGGAGTGGAGCCAAAGGTGCAGCCTGAACCTCCAGCAAATAAGCAAATGCCCGGGGTAAAAATTTTTATTACTCTATCAAGCGCTCCGCGTGTCTCGTACGAATCAACTCAGCCGCGAATCATGTCGACGGAAGGGCTACCCGCAACCAGAACTCACTGCATATTGCATCGGCCTAACGATCACGCGCATTTGAGCCCAAAGAAAATGGCGTCTGATAGGACATTCTCTCCTCAGCTGAGAGGCTGTGCAACCCCCGTGGCTCGCCACACCTGCCGTGTTTGTGCGTAAGCGCCCTGACGTGAAGCTGGCGTACATGAACCCGTTGAGTGTGCAGAATAGGCCACGCTTACGGACAAATCCTATTGGGTGCCGTAGCGTATGGCATGATCAGAAGCGTGAGATGGGAGGAGGGGGGAACCGGAATTCTGCGCCAATGCAGGCCGTGCAGCGCCACCCCCGCAAAACACCCTTCTCGGCCTTTGGATGTGGGGCTAATCGAGGTACGAGATGCGATACACTTAAAATTTTGCTGGGATAAAAATCCAATATTCTTGGCAGGCAAATGGTCGTCAACGTCGTGAATTGATGTAGCAATTTGACTCTCGCCAGTGCAAACCCAGAAACCACTGAAAGACGGACACGAAAGGAAACGAACCTACTCCGGACGCACATTCCCATGTCGCGCCTACGCTTGCCTCGTGATGGTGTATCGGAAACACTGTCAGAAAATAAGGCGTAAAGGAACCGATGACCGTTTACCAGGCAGTGTGGCCGCCATCGATGATGAGGTTGGAGCCAGTCTACAAGGTCAACACGGAACCACGTTTTGACGCAACGAGGGACATGAGGATGGTAAGAAGCACGCACCATGAAGCTGCTGGCCTTGCTGAGCAGGAACAACCCCGCACCCTTGAACTCTTCCGGTGTGGACAGCCGGCCCATCATGTTCTCGCGCTCCCACTTCTCACGAAGGCCGGGCACCTCTTCGAAGTTGCGCTTGACCATCGGCTGGACGAGAGAGTCAGTTCGGCTGTTTTCTCTGTAAAGTGACTGAACTCACCGTGAGAATATGCCCCGGGCTCAAGCTGTTCACCCTGATTCCACCCAGGCCGTTAGCATTCTCCTTCCCCTTAGCGCTCCACTCCATAGCCAAGTTCCTGGTCAACTGCAACAACGCCGCCTTACTCGAATTGTACACGGGACAGATCAACCCCTTATTCGCGACGCTGCCGGACATGCTCGCGATGATGACCATGGCGCCGTCGCGGCGTCCCGGGTTCCACTTGAACATGGCGCGGGCGGCGCTGGCGCACGTCATGAAGACGCCGCTGTAGTTGACGTCCATCATGTCGCGCACCTCCTCGATGGTGTAGTCGACGGCCGACTTGAGCTGCTGCACGCCCGCCGCCGCGATGACGCCGTCCAGCCGCTGGTGCTTGTCCGCGATGGCGCCCACCACCCGGTCCAGCGACCGCGCGTCGCGCACGTCGACCCGCGCGTACGACAGGCTGCCGCCGAAGGCATCGGGGATCCGCGTGCAGGCGTCGTAGAAGTCGGCGACCGGCTGCTCGAGGCGGTCGAGGCAGTAGACTGTTTTGGGCGGAAAGACACGGGAGCTGGTTAGCTTGGGTGCGGAGTTTGGGAGAGGGGTGGATGGAGATCTGGGTGTGATTGTGAAGGTTGTGGAGGTTCAGGAATGCTTTTTTCTCTCTTCTTATGCTAATGAGGTGATGGGGTGATGCTGTGAGAGACCGCTGTAGGTTGAGGTTCGGGTGTATTTCCGGAGCGATATGCCGCTACTGTCGACTACAACTCTAGGGTTCTGCAATGCTTCGGGATAGCTACTACGGTACCATGGAGAGTCTGGCCATTAGGTTGTTGCCCAAATATCCGAGGGATCCGGTCATAACAAATCTTTATACATGCAGAAGGTGATTGACGCCCGCCACGCCTCAACAAGTCTCCCAATGGCTCCCCTAGCGCTAGAGCAAATGTTGCAGGTAGCACCAAGACGGATGGACAAGTGTTGCTTTCATGGTGGTATTGTGTTGGCATTGAAAGACACAGTGAAGTGATGGTGTTGGACAAAGAATGATGGCCTTTTCAGAAACATTGAAACATATACTCAACCTTTTCCGCCAGCCTCAGCCAGTGCTTCGGCCATGCAAAGCCCAAGGCCTCTTGCACCACCGGTGACAATGTAGACACCGTCGGCGAGATCAAAGTCCCGGAACTGTTTGCTGCCAACTTGGTCTTCAATGTTGTATGCGTGGGACCTTCGTTGGGTGTACGAGTTGATAATTGGTCTTCTTGATAGTCCAGGCCTTGAAGACCTTGATGAAGACTGAGAGGGAAGGTGGAAGGGCGACGAGCTGGTACTGAGGGCTCTCAACCCGTCTGCGAAGGACGAGCTGGACGGAGCAGAGGCCAGGCGACACAGCCGTGCCTGAGCAAGCAACAAGTGACGAGATGAACGGGGAAGCGACATTTTAGGCACTGATGGGTAGAGACAAGTGGTTTTGGGGAAGAGTCGAAGTGGAGGGGGCGAGGTGGGAGGGGAGAAGAGTTACGCGGCAAGTCCACGATCGTGTTAGGGGCGGGCGGAGGAGGGGCGCCCAGAGAGACCCTTTATTCGGCGGCTACGTTTCTTGGGCCCGGCGAGTGCTACACGATCGTGGCATTTCACGATGGGGCCCAGGTGGCGACTCGGACGTGGCAGCGGGGAGGGGAACATTTCCCCGCGGCAGGCCGACCAGCTCGAGCCCGCGCGGCAGGCTGAGGCAGGATTGAGGCCGGCCAGCTGATGGAAAGCCACGCCCACGATGGTTCAATCGTGTTGGGCTTTCGTCGGTGGCCAGGGTCCAGCGCACCCGGAAGCATGCGGAAGGTTATGCGAAGGCTGTGGTATCGGAACCACGCATTGGCTCAACAGCCTGCCGTGTACACGAAGGATGGGATCTGGCCTGTATGATTGCACGCCACAGGGGGGACAAAGAGCCAGTCTACGGATGCAGCGACACCGTTTTCTTTTGGGCTGCATTCCTTCCCCCTCAGCCTTCCCTGGTGATCGCCTCCGCCTCCCGTCACCCCCGCGAATCACACATGCTGAGCAACCGAGTTCCCGGATCCCCCCATAGGCGGTTGGGAGCTTTTGCGTCGCCTAGCAACCATGACGTTGGATGCATGCAGCCTCAATACTACCATTGTACGGATGGGATTCCCGACAATACCGTCCCCACCTCTTGCATCTTCCATCATGTTGGCAGATCTCACAAATACCTGGAACACACGCCAGATTCTTGATTTCTGTGCAGTTCCTGCATCGAGCTAACCGGGGGGCTTTTGACATTACGTATAACAAGCGGTAGTACACGGTGCCGTGCGACGTCTCGCAACGATAACAAAACTAACTACTGATCGAACGTCTTCAGCTCGGGCATCCTTCCTAGACCACCACCACCAGTGCCTGCCTTTGCTGACTCGTTACCGACCTTTGCGTCACCGGGATGGACGCCGCCAGCACTGCGAGCCCTCACGTGTTCCCGCAGCTTCGTCAAGAGGGTCGAGTTCTTCCAACGCTGAGGCACTGGCCTGTAGGCAGGCTTGAAAGTGCCGACAGTTTGAGCCCATTCTCCAGACTTGGGCTGGCCGCTGCTCCAAGTCTCCTGCGATTTGCCCTGTGCGGTTGGCGTGGCCAAGTCCGCACCGGAACCCTCGGCAGTCTCCCTCGATGTCGGAGCGGGTTCTTGTGTAGCCCAGTAGTAGATGTCCCAGTCGTTCTCATCAAGGAACCGATCGTACTCGCGCAGCTCTTCGGCCGACATTGATCCCAGGTTGGCATCGGCAAAGGTGGACAGAAGAAGGTCACTTTCGAGGATGCCGCGCTTCCGACTCTGGTCTGTCACGCACAAACTGTTAGCTACCGCAGCACTCGATACAGGCACGCTCGGGACAGACAGATTAACCTTGCCCGCATGGTGTTGGAATCCTCGCCAACCCTTTGGATAGGCTCGATGCGGAACTTGGCACCTTCGAGCTCGCCGACCTGCAGCTCAGAATTCACACCGGCCTCGGGCGCGCCTTTCTGAGTGCCTCCGGTCATATGCTGCGTCTTCTCAGGCACCGCGTCCTTGGGCACGAAGTTGGGGTCGACCGAGCTGAGCATTTCGGGCGGCGGGCCGTCTTTGCCGATTGAGGGCAGCTCATTAGCAATGGTCGAGGTGGTGTTCGTCATGTGCGGGTTGAGCGGCTTCTCCATCTGTCTCTTGCGGTGCTCATCGACGTTGTCATTGCCGCGCTCATTGAGGTCCTTGAAGCGGAACGCGGAGGCGCTGAAGGGGCGCGCATATGAAAGCGCAGCGCGCGAAGAGCGCAGAACAAGGCGAGCGGCAGCCATGGTGTTGTGATGGGTGGGTGAGACCAATGGACTGCGCGAGGCGAGGGTTTCGCTGCGCTCGCAATCGTTGACATCATGGCTGCACTTTTCCGCACGTGCCCACTGGCCAATCCGCGCCCCCCCATTACCCGCTAACCTCACCACCACCATCACCACCATCCACCTACCCTGCATCGCCATCGCCGCGCTCAACATCCGCCCCCCTCGCCCTCCGTCGCTCCGCCAGGTGCTGGCCCCGCGCCTATCTACCCCGCCGCCTCCCTTTTCTCCCGCCGACGAGCGAGCGCGGGCCGCGCTTGCGCTCATCGCGTCGCAAATTGCCGCGCAAAATGGCCTGAGGATGTCGAGCATTGCCTTATTACACCTAATGCTAACCGTGGATCCCGCTCGTGGGCCTCTGATCCACCCTCCCTGTCCTCGGCGCGTGTTTCAGCATGTCGACTGATCTGATTGCTGCTGCGCTTGGCATAGACCGTCAGCTAGATGACGGCTGGGGAGCGCGTCCAAAGACTTCAGCTCGCCGATCCACACTGTCGGGACAGCAGCGACACTTTTTATTCCTTTGATCGAGTCTCGCCCGCTGGCCGTCGCGGAGCATTCTGCCACACTACCAGGCAAACGGGACTAGCTCGCATTCCCTTCTCCGCTGCCACGCCGTTTGCGGCATTCCTCGCCTGCCCGGCCGTCTGAAGAAAAAAGAGGTCGGCGCCAATGATTGCCGGCATGCTGGCGGGAGGATCAGTGGCAGCGGCCCGAAGCTGAACCTTCGACTGTGGCTAAACCTTCTGACATTGCGCCATCCGCACCCCAACCGCTGTTGGCCCCAGGCCTTTTCCGGACGAGAACGCCTCCTGGCGAACTAGGACCTGAGATCCGCATCCCCGTTGGGGTCCTCACGCCTTTGACAGCTTGGCGGCGCCCTGTGGCTGGTTTCTCCTACGCGTTGCGTGCCGCCGCGCCGTGGCTGCATGCGGAATGCCCGACCCCCACGACTCCACACACAATGTACGGCAAGAATGGCCCGCCTTTCAGCCTCTACCCCCGGCCCAGCATTGTTTGTCAGGTTTGAACCGTTGGTAAGGTTTGTGCGGCTGTCAAACCCCGAGATCCCCCACCACGGCAGTTCTTGATCCAACATTCCTGAGGGCTGTTCCTATCGCAGCGCCTCTACCCTCAGGAATGTCTGCCAGAATTCGGGGGCTGGCGCCCGAAAGACAGCTCTATATATCTTCTTTGCGTTTGATTCTGTTTGGCTCTTCACCAAAGTAGTTCTTCGCATGTTTGCACTGCTCCGCACGTTCTCCTGCAAGGTACCCTGCAAGGTACACCCCTCCCTCGTTGCTCCTTGTCGCCCCCTCGTCGATTCTCGCCCCGCCGGTTGATCCTGCCCCGCCGCCATGGCTCCCTCTCCACAGGTCCGCCAGGCTTCCAGTGCGGTCCCTCTGCATCACGTGCAAGGCCGATCCTGCCGTCCGCCAGGCGACATTGCCCTTTTGCGACAGCAATTCGACGATCTCCCAATCCGGCCCGCGGACAAAGATTCGAACTGGCCTGTTCCATACGACCAGCTCTTTGATCAGTACGTCGACGCCGAACTGCTGGATCTCAGCAGCGACAATACGGCCGAGGCCACCAGCTCTGATGACCTTGGGAACTTCTTTGACATCTCCTCGTCCTCGAATGGGAGCGCAGCGCCCAAAACCTCGCCTATGCCCAATTGGGACCCATCAAGGCACAGCGAACCAGAGGAAGCCTGGCAGCAGGCTTGGGGCTATATTGGCTCAAAAGTAGCCCCGGCCGCGCCCGAAGACGATCAAAGTTCGATCTTACCAGAGTCCCGTGGCAAGGCTGTAGCTGCCCACCCGGAGCTTTTCAGCTTGGACGCTCCGCCGCCTACCTGCTCCCCTCAAGTACCTAGCGAGCCCTTCGTTTTCTCTGCTCCTTCTTCCCCACGACCAATTGTTTCTTCCTGCGAGCCTAGGAAGTTCAACAGCCTCCCCATTCGCGGCAGCAAGAGACAGACACCTTCAGTCATCAGACGCTCTGCTTCCAAGGGCAGCTTCTCTCCCAAGATGATGCGCTCAACACCATATCGGACCGGATACCAGGAGATCTGGGCCAAGCGTGTCGGCGCCCCTCCGCTCTCTCCTCCTCCCTCCTCCAAGGTGTCCCAGGAAGAGTCCCACTATGGCTACGACTTTTCCCCGAACCTGCCCTACGCCACCTCTGGCGAGGTCGTCGACATTGAGCGCCAACTGTCGTTTCCAAACTACAACTCCAGCCGGTCACAAATACAGATGACGCCAGTTGCGTCCCCGACCACCCAAGATCCCACCAGCACAAGGTCGTCCTTCCACGCTTCAAACGACCATTCCAACAACCCATATCTCACACAAGACCTCAACGAAGCATTGCAGACACCCCCTCAATCCTCACGCATTCCATCGTCCTCGTGGAACCAAGGTGCGACCGCAGCCTTCGACTTTGCCAGCTTCTCAGCCTCGTCTGACTACTCGCAAGATCGAGAGCCTCAGCCTTGGTGGAGCAGCACTAGCGTTTCTCAGCCTTCTCAGCCCACAACCTATCACAATGGTCGACATGACTTCTTGGGCGTCAGCTCAGCCTCTGCTGACCTCGCCACCGGCGGACTGATGATTCAATGCGAACCATCATCGATGGCAAGCATGCTTGATGCACATGCGCCCGACGCATCTTCCTCTTTCCCCACGTCTTCACCGGTCGTGTACCCATCACAGATGTACACGTCGACGCCCATGGCTTCCACCCCGACCTTTGCCCAACACCAGCCTTCCGGCGCGCCTCACCCAGCGGCGCAACACCGGCAACACCATATGCATCACCAAATCACCCCTCCCTCGCGCAGCCCCACCTCATCGCCGCCCCACCCTCCTTCAATGATGCCACAGCAGGCTTTCATCGCCCGCTCGCGCCGGGACTCGTCGCAGCCATGTCCTCCCCCATCATCGCGTCCTCGGTCGCACCACCGGCGCAAGTCCAGCTCGCACTCGTCGACGGGTCCCTCATCGACGCCTCGTCCGGCTTCCGTCGGCTTTGTCAACTACACGCCTGACGATAGCCGAAAGATCCTGACGGGCGTGGCGCCTTCCGGGTCGAGCAAGACGAAAGCGCGACGCGAGAAGGAGGCGGCCGAGAAGCGCAGAAGGCTGAGCCAGGCGGCAGCGAGGGCCATCATCGAAGCAGGCGGAGACTTGGCGGCTCTGGAGAGGGAGGGCCTGCTGTACTTGCCCGAGACGAAAGAGATGCTCGCTACGAAGGGTAACGTGGTGTAAGGGATGTGAAACCTGGATCGACAGATGTGCTAAGCATTACTGAGCCGGCAAGTGCGACAAAGCAGTCCATCATCGGGTCCACCTCGTGCAGAACTCCCCTACCACGCCATGGCGCCTGTTCGCTGGCGTGGTTACGGGTCGAGACTGCTGTTGCCCCGTATGACGAGCATCAAAGTCGACACTTGGCCGGTCACACACTCAAACGGGGCGCAAGGCTGCATGGTCGAGTCATGCATGCTATTATTCTTTGGTCGCTAGAGGTGGCCTGGTAGGGTTTCAAGGTGATCTGTAACATATTAAGCTGGATTCGAAGTTTTCCTTCAGTTCTCTTAATTACAGGTTTTTGTTTGGCTGCGTGGACAGCACGCATATCCATGTTTAACTCTGTCTTGTTCTATCCAGCGCCTTCTACATGGGTTTCTTTACTGTCTTGGGAAGAAGGACAAACCGGCGCCTCAAAAAATCTAGAGGTTGGGATAACGGGAGCATTGTGGTTCCAATGGGTGCATGTACCTAGTCGGGAGAGAGGAAATATCAACCGCATGCATGGTTGAGGAGTAATCGAGGCAGAGAAGAAAGGCAGGAATCAATATTAGCAGTACACCTCCCACTCCTTTGGCTGTCGTGTAGTTCCCATGTTTGATCACCTTCACACAATGTGCAGACAGCACTTAATGATCGTTCAAGAAGTTCAGCGCAAGCTGAGCCTGGACGTCGGTTTGTTACGGCGTAAATCATCCACACACACCACCAAGGCCGCCACCTCAGCCTTCCTCCAATTAGGCACCCGGCCGTAACTTTCGGAATAAGGCACACAAGTCGCATAATCACAATTCTCAATGCAACTCGAAAGCGAAGTCCCCAGGTAGGATCGGTCTTCCCGGTAGCGCCGGAATAGCCGGTAGGCTGGACGCACACCACGTTGGTAGTACCTTAACCACCTACCTTTCCAAGACCCCGATGGATCTCCGGCAGCCTTGCGCTACCATTACCAACCTCCCACCTCTTTCCCAAAAAGCCAACAGCGGACCGTCCAGGCGCAACCATTTGCAAATCACAGCTAAAACAGCCCCCGCTTCACACTCCGTCATCTCGCCGATCCACCGACGACGGCCGGCACATGAGTAACCCTACCGCTAGGGCACATCCCGGCGACGCCGCGAGTTGACCATTATCCTTTCCCAGAGTAGACTAAAACAGGCAACGCCACAAGGAAAATTCCGCCACACAAAATCCCCCGCGGGCCCCCCCCGAAGCAGAAGAACCAAGGCGAAGGCGTCGGAGACGGCGGCGGAGGCTGTGGCGGAAGGCGCCGTGTGGAATTGCATCGTAGCGAAGCGAATTCCTACCCCTACTCTACCTCTACCATATACTAAACATCGCTCTCGCATTTTGTACATCCGCCACGCTACGGTCAGGGTCCAAATCGCCAGGGGGGTAGAAAGCTTAAGCCTGGGCGGAGGAGTCTGGATTTCTCCGCCAATCCCTTTTGGTCGTGTCTTTCAATCATGTCTGCTCTCTCTCTCTCTGTTGATGGACACCAATGCTAAAATTTTCCGCTGTCTTCCATAGAATAAACCCTCTGATGCGTCATCCGCATCATGCTACTGAATCTAGCATGGTGTAGCAGTGACATCTGGAGGTTTAATTCCACTTGTTCAAGCAGATCGAATGAAAAAAACCACCACAGCTGGAAGACCCTTGATCATTTTCTGGCCTCAGGCCCGACGAAGGGATGGAAGACATCACGATTCTAGGCTAGCGTCGCTAAGGGACGGGGTCCAGGCCCGAGCATGATTCCGGCTAGAGATTTGGCCGGAGCAGCTGAAGCAAGGGGGGGAGCCCTGGGTAGGCAATCCTGGCGGGGCAAAGCTCACAATGCTGCAGGGTCTGGGTGCTCGTGGAGGGGTGGTGGGTGGTCACTTTTCACGTTGTTCTGCATGGGTTTGCAATATTGTGGAGGCTGTCGTGGCTGCCTTGAGACTTCAGATTACGTCCTGACACCTCGATCTGCATGTACTGTGGTAGGGGTTAGCGGGATCGGACACGCCGCTTGTGTTTAGCTGCGAACACCCTATTGGTCCACTTCAGCGTTAGATCAGCTACAATGGGAACTTGAGCCTCCTCCCACATGCGACTGGAGTCTTTTCTTCAGCCTTGTGCTTGGCATGAAACATTGATCAGGCAACAGTTAAGCTAATGCCTCAGCCTTATGCTCCACGCGCGCATCCTTTGTCAATATAATTCTTCTGCCACATTTCCCTTTAAGATCACCACGCATGATTCTCGCCTGCAGTCGGTAACATTCTAGGGCAGAGGAACGACAATCCCCGCCGTCAAGCAGGCTACGACAAATTAGCTAATAGGCTGCCTTCCAGACCCATCCTCAAAACATGTGAGTGAAGGCTTTCTTGTCAAATTCGGTACGCCGATGGTATTCAAACAGTACAAACGTTGCGTTGACCGCCCTACTCTTTTCCCTATTTTGGAGGAGTGGCCATGGCTGAGGTGGGGGTCCGAAAGAACAAAGCCGTCACAGGTAACAGAACACGTTTGCTGTTGGACCCTTTAACCACACATGTCGCAACCGTTACCGATTGGAGAACCCGGATCCCAATGCTAAGTGTAAAGTCTATTGTCAAACGTTTCCCCGGCTCCTCGTTAGAGGACTGGCCGGACTCAAAGTGCTTACATATGAGTTGCTACCATTGATTAAAACTCCGAGCCGCTCATTTGATTCTACCTCTATTGCGAAGCAATGCCAAATATCCGCGTACCGAATTTTCCGATGGTGGCAGACCATTAAGCGCATGCTTCAGCCTTAGAGCCAGAAGTCGATGTTTGAAATTCGATCGACCGACATGCGGGACCAAGATTGCACGCTCCACTTAACCTTATTTGTGTGTCGCAAGGCTGAGCACAATTGACAACCGTGCAATTACAGTGGTAAGCGCTAACGGCCTCGTCCGCACTTGTTCCAGCCTCACCAATACAGACAAGCCAGATGGAGATTCTGTCCAGACCAGACAGCGTGGCTGTGAACTCACAGATTAATCACATGGTGGTCCCTGAGTTGAACGTTGAATTTGTAAATTGGTGGAGAACAATACACCGTGGTCATAACGCCTCAGCTACCGAAGTCTGGCCCAGCCCCCACATTGCGCTAGAGTATTCAGAGGTGCCGCGGAGGTGCCATGGTGCCCTGCGGATGGCGGGGATGGCGGCGTTTCCTCTCACGGTCTCGGTCCAGGGCCAATTAACCATCAATTTTGCTACATTTTCACCAACTTTTTGGAAACCGCAATGTGGCTTACGCCGGGAGCCGCTGAGCACTCTTGGATGGCTTTCCGGGATCCTCCCCCCACACATTCCGTCTGTCAAAGGAATGGGTGCCGAAGAAGTCCATCTCAGCTTCCATGAATTGTGTTGCCAGCATTGCTCCGCCCACGTACTTCAGGTACTCCAGAGTTGCACTAAGAGCGGGGACGTAGTTATCCCATTGGATGCTCTTAAGAACAATCTCCTTGAGCGAGCTATAGTTTTTCTGCAAGTCTGATGAGACTTCGTCGATGAGTTTGATGTTCATGATCGGTTCGTGCGCATTCAGCAAGATGGGCTCGAGCATGTCGGCAATATAATCCTCCTGAATGATGCAACCAGCTCTCCAAATCTGGACACATTTGCCAAGGTTGACGTCCCAGCCTTCATCCTTGGATGCACGCGCAATGAGTTCGAGGCCTTGACAGAAAGAGGCGAGGAACGTGGCGTAGATAGCCTTTCGGAGAATTTCGATCAAGGCGTCCTTGTCTTGAATGCCGACCTGTTGGGGCTCGGGAATGCTCATCTTCTCGGCAACTTTCAGTCGCTGGGCTCGGTTCCCGCTAGCCACTCGGAAGAACTGGCCCGCGGCGATGGTGGGCGCCGAGACGTGGCGGTCCGCCGCCTCCATGACACTCCAGTAGAGGGTGCCCTCCGAGTCATCGTCATCTTCTACAACCTTGTCGAGAACTTCATCTAGAACGTAGCCCTCCTCGGCCTTTCCTTCTCCTCTCACGCCACCTCCTGGAGTTTTCCTTCGCTGACAAATCTCAGAACCAATTTGGATGAGGTAGGTATTCTTGAGTTCTCCCTTCGAGTTCCACTTCTCAAATATTTTTCCAATTTCATCATGAGGGAGCCCAAGTGATTTGTGCAAGAAGCTCCAAGCCTCACAGACAGCAGACAGCATAGCGCTCTCAATGCCGTTGTGGACCATTTTGATGTAATGGCCAGCTCCCCGTGGACCTGACTGGATGTAAGCAAGATACGCATAGACCATCAGCAGAAAGGCTTACCCATGTACTGCACACAAGGCCTTCCGGCCTTCCCCGACTTTGCCGAGAGCTTCTCCAGCAGCGGCAGCACAAACTCGACGGCAGCTTTGTCACCGCTAAGAGACATACTCAGCCCGCGTCTCGCCGACTGATAACCCCCGCTCACTCCCATGCCAATCCACTTCACGCCTCTCTGCTCCAGTTCTTTCTGGCGACGCTCCGTGTCGCGGTAGTTCTCGTTGCCGCCGTCGAGGATGATGTCGCCCTCCTTCAGGTCGCCTCTGATCTTCTCCAGAACCAAGTCTGTGGCCCGGCCGTGAGCGATGGAGAAGACAAGGATCTTGCGCGACTGCGTATCTAGGCTCTTGGTGAATTCGCGAATGTCCTTGAAGTGGTCGATTTTGCCCTTGAGCGTCGACTTCGTCTGCTCGGCCATCTTGCGCGCTTGGTCGAGGTTCTGACCTGACGCATCGCACAGAGACACATCCAGCCCATTTTCGCAAAAGCCAAAGGACATCGTAGTGCCCATGTTGCCGGCTCCGACGATGCCGACCCGGGAGATCTTTCCGACTTCGGTATCTGGAATCATTGTGTGATTGGTTTGAGTATTGCAGCCTGAAAGTGTTTGATGCTATGGATTCTTATTGTCAAACAACGCTGACCAGATGAAAAATCCAGAAAATTGATGTGTGCGATAGAGCCTGAGAAGTGAGAAGCGGTTCAGTGTCGAGATCGTGACATTCTTTTTACGTCATTATGCGGAGCTTAAATCTGGGGTACGTATACAAAGTCTCGATGCGCATGCAATCTGACGTAGACATGGCATCAATGATCCCAGTCAGGTGCGGGGTTGGAAGCATTTACTGAGGTAGCTGGATGACATTGTGTTGGCGGTGCTGCAAATGTTGCGCACGTGCAGGTGGCGAATATACAACACCACTGATGCGTAACGACTGAGAATAAAATGGCAAAGTTGCGTTCCATAGAAATGTCCAGGATGATGTAAATGCGTGTTCTGCATTGATTTTGTCGATCCCCCGCCCTGTGTGGCTGCCGCTTAGGGTGTACGGAAGTGTGGCCTGAGCGTTAGGGAGACTCTAGGCAAATCGCACCGATATCTCTCTATGAACATGCACAATCAAAAGATTGGCCTTTCCTAGGCTAATCGAACGTCACATCGGAACAAAAATAGATGATGGTGGCGAGAAATGATTTCCAGATGTACCTACCGCGTCCATTATGGTTACTCCCCTATGACATCACATACTTACGTGGCCCTGACTGTTCAACGTTCAAATATATGCAGTAAGGTCACTATCAGAGCACACCAAGTTTTCTGATCTTCTCTATGCTTTTTGACACCCTTCTCTCAACATGCGCTTCGAGATCATTGCAGTATTTGGCGCAAACGGTCAGATCGGCCAACGTATCCTGGAGAAATTGAGCCACCACCCCACACATAATTTCAACATATTGGCTTTTATTCAGCCTGACGACGATCTTTCTTGCGCCGGAAACGACCACAAGACAGTCATCAAGTCATTTGATCTTGATAACCTATCGCGGGAGAGACTAACAAAAGATCTCCGAGGGGTTGATGCGGTGGTATCTGCTCTCAATGGTAAGGCGCTGGACGCACAGCCTCTGATCCAAGATGCCGCAGCAGATGCTAGTGTGAAGCGATTTTACCCCAGCGAGTATGGCATGCATCATATCTATCGCAAACCAGGCGACCCGTGGGGTTATCTGCACCCGGTATGACAAGCATTATTATCGACTACGAGCATTTTACTGACATATTGTAGGTTTGGAATCAAAAAGAGAGGTGAGAATCACATCAATAATCACCAAAATGACCCTGCTGATCACCTACTGTTAGGTTGAATGAGCTCGTCACCCGACATCCGGCCGTTCTATCCGGAAAGATGACCTACACCATCATCGGCTGCGGCGATTTCTACGATCAGGACCGCGAGCCTGTATGGTGCCCATGGACCCAACATGACGTCTCCGACTACACGTTTCGCCTTATCGGAGATCCGGAAGCGAGAGCTGATTTCACAAATATGGACGATTTCGCCGACTACCTCGCCGCCACTCTCATCGAGCCGGCCAAGGCGGACAACCAATTCCTGAACTTCGTCAGCGCCACCGTATCCCACATGGAGATCGCCGATTCCCTGCGCAAGCAAACGGGCAAGACGGTTAAGATCGATTACTATCCTCACGAGACAATGCACGAGGTCGTCGACGACCCGAAGAAGGCCCCTCAGGAGCTGGGAAAAAGCAATTTCCCTCTGGACTTTTGGTTTTTGGTGAAGGGCATGCAGGGGCAGGGAAGGTTCAGGAGGCCGAGGGGGCAAATCAACAACAACCTCTTCCCCGACGTCCGACCTACGACGTTTGAGAAATACTTTGAACAGAAATTCAAAACCTCATAAGTAATCGGAACGAGAACATGGGATTGGGACGTGCATAGGAGGTCGCATTTGAATAACGTAATGAACTGAATGATTTCTTCTAAGACATGTTGGATTTCTCAATGCTAAAAAAAAAAAAACACTGCGGCTTCTACAATAACAAATGGTGATATTTGAGTGGAAATATTTAACGGACGTGAGTAATGATCTGGCCCAGAAGTGTATAATCCTGCCAGCCATCATGAAGGAAGAAGATATGAAATCAGCAACAGTTTCTTCAGAAGTGACCTCTCGACTCTAGTTTCGCGCTTATGTACCAAGTTCTGCAGACTTCCCCATGCTTTTCATGGCCAATGGGAACCTAAACAAGAAGTCATACAAGTTTTTCTCATCCACATATCGGTCTTCAGGATCCCTAGAAGCTGTCGTATCCCGGCTGTCCGATTTAACCTCTTTAGCAGCCGGATCTGCCTTCTCATCACCCCAATAAGTCTTTCCTGAGATACTCAGGACACTGTCAGCCCTTAAGCAGAGCCCGTCGAGTTCGGGGCCGGCAGATAGAGGTGAATCCACATCCAGTTGGCGAATTCCAGCATTCGCGAGAACATCCTCAACCACCTCAAGGCTGCTGCTGTTTAGAATCTGGGAAAGCAAAGCCTGCGCGCAAGGATCCTGAACCTCAACAAAGTCCAAGAAAGCTTCTGGGAGTTTTTGAAGGAGACAGAGCTCCAATCTACGCTCTTCCACAGGCACCGATATGCGCAGGGAATCGTCAACTACCTCGATGTGACACCAAGCTTCGGCTCGAGCTTTCTTATTGGGATGCATCAATTTCATCTCCGTGAAAATGTGATCTGCTCTTTGAACAGTGACGTTCGAAAGTCTCTGATAGAGGGTTGAAATGTCACACTCGCTTTCAAGATCCTGAAAGTGTGCCACGCAGCTTTTTGTTTTTGTCAGTGTGAGCTCAAATCAATGAGAATATACCAATGTTTTGCTTTACATACCGTGAGATAGCTTCTGCCTTCATCCTTAGGTCTGCAGTTAATTGTGTTTCCTCTCGGAAATCTCTTGCGAAAGTGGTCTTCTCCACTCTTCTGGAAAGAAATCTACTGGATAATCCGAGATACACCAATAGATTCTCGCAGGCTCGTACCTCCCATACGGAAAAATCTAGGACGGTGAGCAGGTTTTTGAACGGCTCTCTGTATTCACTCCGGTCCACGATAAGAAAATCGACCTTTGGGGTCACCAGTCGAGTTTGTCCACAAGGCAGCCTAACCGGGATGATAGGGGAATCGTGGAAGGGCTCGAGATGTTCAGGAAGAATTATTGCGGAAGATATATCCACCAGACATCTCTTGAGACTTGCTACTGAGGCCTTCTGTGTGAGCAGTCTTCGAAGACCCTCCAGCTTTGTGCTGACATCAGGTTTTCGGACGCCAAGGATGCGCGTGAAGAACTTTTCGAGAGAAGAATATGGCGTCAGAATAGATATTTTCCCTTCCGGAGCCCCGTTTTCATCAGGTGCCCACACGCAGACGGTGATCGGAGCCCAGCTGTTTGTCGATGGAACGAAAAGCAACTCTTGGCTTTCCACAGCAAGTCTAACCCATATTTGTCAACGCATGATAAATCTTTTAGGACTATGAAGAGGTCGCTTACCGTAGCTTAGCTCTCTCGTGTCTAGGTTCATCTTCGAATATCCTTGAAAGCAAAGTGTAGATGTCCAGTATCTTTCGGGGATTCTCAGCTCTCCCCTTGCCTTTCGACTTTTGCTTGGACCAACGGTTTTTGATTGACTGTAGCTCATCAATAGCCTTTGACCATTGCATCTTCGGCACTTCTAAGATTTCGCGAAAGAAGTATCGAAGGTTACAATATTCGGGAACCTGTTCAAGTGATTTGTAGGTATTTGGCCATGGAGCAGTCTCCCAGATACACTCGGATGGCAAAACCCATTGGCTGGGGGTTCCTTCGGGCTGAGGATAGTAGATCAAACTATTCTCTGCAAAGTACTTCCTTCGCAATGTCAGCTGCATGGAAGTTGAGTGTCTTGAGGGTTCATACTTGACTTCAGCGGCAGAATCACGCCGAATGCAAAGGTCCATCATTCTGTTATATGCCTTCACTGCCACTTCTAAAACTTGGTGGTGGGGAGAAGATTTTCCTGAGCTGAGGTTCCTCAAAACGGTGGCGTAAAAATTGATATCGTCTTCGAATTGGACGCCAAAATCTTTCAGAAAGCTCCATTGCTCCTCGCAAACATCCCATTCGTGAGGTATTGAGACAAATGGTAGGGTCAAGCTGAGGCCTAGCGGAAAAATTGAAGTCAGCCTTGCCAAAGGGAAGTAGCAACCCTTTAAAGGATGGTCTGTGTCAGCCGAGGTCGGCACTCTTGCTTCCCCTACTATGCCTCGCAGTGTTGGTGTCATCGAGGACTGGTAGAAGCCCTTCCAGTTGCTTGCGAGAAGAGCAAGGAGTTTATCAGGATGCTGTTCAGCAACATATTCCAACGCAGGTGGGCGTATTTTGATGCCAACAATTTCCTTCAACCATGCCTTCCATGTTTTTCCATGACTGACTGCCGTCTCAGGTACAGCTGAAAAGTATCCGGGGTGGAGAACAGCGTCTTTTCCTAGATTTTCTTGCTCCTTTGTAACACTCTCGGTGATTCTGTTGTGCAATTGTCCAAGTGGCGAATCCTCCCCATAGACATCACTCCGGGGATGGACAAGCTGGCCCCGGTCATTGTAGACCAGAATATTTGAGTCCAATACACTCTCAGGATAAAACCAAAAGAGATACTTGAGGTGCAAGAATGACTCATCAAGAGTCGGTTTGACCTGGGTTTGATAACATTGGCCGATGAACTCCATCGTCTTCTTCGGATCAACGTTTTTAACGCCAAGAAGACAGAATAAAAGTCGCCTAGCAACGACAGATGATGCCTTAAGGTCCACGAAATTGACAGCGGGGTCGTTGGGGATGTCATAAGATCCGGGATGCTCGAAATACACCTCAGTGACGAGACATTCCTCTCGGGAAATCCACAATCCATTTTCCAATGGAAGCAAGGGGGTCTGGGCCAGCATTGGAGGGAATTGCGAGCCACCGATCAACCAATCCAGAGCTTTATTAGCCAGGAAAGTAGCGACCCGCATATGCCAGTCATTGTCGGTGGCGGACTTGATCATGGAACGATCCGTTTTCTTAGCGTCGTCATCGACAATTCCAAAGAAGTGATACCACTGTACGGAATCCAGGCCGATAGCATATCTGATGCGCTCCTCATTCCAGATCGCAGCATCCTCAAGTAACTCTTCGCCGGCTAAATCATGAAAGAGCGGCTTTCCAGACCTGTCCTTAAAGGAGGGAGGAACCCAACGCAGCTTCTTGGGTGCGTGTAACAGAGAAGTACCCTCACAATTAAGCATGGGAGCTTCCATGAGTGTGGATCTCAAGACGCGTTTAAATCTCTGCCAATATTCATTGGGCGTGGGTTCAATCGGCAGGTATTTTGCCCAAGAGTACTCATCAACGAACGCGGATTCGCAGGTCAAAACTGCCTGTTGGAAAGTCTCCGCGATAGCTTTGAGAAGGGCTTCGTTCCTTGGGCAGAGTGCAATGGTATCGTCCGTTGCTTGCGTTGCAAAATTTGCTTGAACTGAGAACTGGTAGGTTGTGAGAGATTGAAAAAAAAAAAAAACAAGAGGGAGGGCACGTTGCAGGAAGAAGGCGTCATTTACCTTCAAGTCGGATGCACCTAGGGAATAGTGCGAGTATACGTGCTGCTTTTTGAATATCGGCCTTCGGGTGTTGTCGAGAGGAAACGCTAACGTCACGGTCTCTGGGTCTGGGATTTGTAGTTGGCCTTCGTAAGCCAGACTATCGAATTTCTTGGTGACGCAGAAGTATAAGAACGAATCAGAATGCCAGTCTAAGTGTGGATGTTTGACTCGCTTCTCGAGCTTTCGAAGACCTGACTCTACCAGGCGTTCGATGTTGTATTCAATCTTGTCGCCAGGACTGAAAATTGTATGTATGTTGACCCGGATTTCGCGAAGATTCTCCAAGAATATGAACAATCGTCCAGGGAGTTTGCGGAAACGCTTGAGTAATGAGTCTCCCCAGAATTCCGGACGAAGTCCAAGTGTGATCCTCGTGCGAATTCCTTCTGGCAAAACTTCACAAGGTTCATTCGTTGGTGTGATCATGCCCAAGCCATCTGTGTCTGACAAGATGTCGTAAGTGAATGAGAAAGAGAAATGACGCGATTTGATGGTTGCTTTATTGGCAATCCTGAAGACAGACTTGAAGCCGAAGCTCTTCTGCTCAAGAACCCCTTTCCGGCTGCCATTGATGCTGCAAATGGCTTCGACATCTTCTTCCGTAAAGCCGTCCTCATTTGAGTCAATAGTGATCTCAGTGCCACGGATATTGAAGGTTAGGGAAGGGTGCTTTCCGCAGGCGCGTGCTTTAGTGTATTGATTCTCATCCGCATTTCGAATAAGTTCATAAATGAAACGGTCTTCTTTGGTCAAGCGAACATTTTCGATGTGTCTGGACGCCATTAGTCTATATACTGGATGTAAGAAGAACGAGAAAGTTACGGCTTCAGCTCCGGTTCCAGTTGCTCTCGAATGGCTCGGATCGGCTCCCAGAGCTCTGGGCAGTCTGCTTGTAACACTGCTTTGGCTCTAGCCGAGATCCCCCCATTTTTCCTTCTCATTTTGGCTATTAGAGCTTGAGCCGAAGCTCGGGAAGAGCAGGGCATCTCGATTCAGATGGATTTCAGGCTCGCTGGGACGAGACTCTGTTTGCAGACGCGGTTAATTGGTTGAAAGTAGAAGGATTGCAGGAGAAAACAGAGCTAAGGTTCCTGGGCCCTTTAGTATTGTAGAGGATTGTTGGCCAAACTGTGCTTCGAGTACGATTTGTCGCCCCCGCTGCGGCACAGCAGTGAGCGGTTCAGCCAGCGGCTATGGCGAGTAATCATTGGCTATCATTGCAGATCATCGTAAATATAACCATCTGCAACCAACACAAAATTCACACTGCCAAAAATACTCGTGACTTGAAACAATAGGACGCGAAGGCCGGCGAACGTCAAGTTTTCCCCCGAGAGGATGTCGAAAAGGCTAACAACGCGGAAAATAAACGCGAGCTCACGGCGATGCGACGACGATTGTACGTTCCAATTCATTTGCCTCCAGCCAATCATAATTGGAATCAAGAATATTTTTGGGGGGTGAGAAGGAAAATATGGTTTTGCACCGGAAGTAAAGTGCTGAATTTCGGGGGATTAGTCGAATGTAATCTTTTTGCCCTGCGCCTCCACAATGGCAGCTGATGCTCTTGGTGCATTCGCCAGTGCGGCTCCAGACCTGATGTTACGGGCATCGACCTTGCGAGGTTCCTTCCTGCTCTTTGTGTGTTGCTTTGGAGCATCCACTTCGCCAAACTGCTCGTCGCGAGCACCACCATGGCCTGCCTCCTTCTCTTTGCCAAAACGCTTTCGATACCGCGTTGAAGCATCCTCGGCATATTCAACGCGCAATTCTCTGCCCTCCATCCTGTTGACAAACCACTTGCGCGCCTTCTTCTTCTTCTTTTTCTTCTTCTCCCCAGCACCATCGGCATCCTCATTCTCAGCATCCTCCATTTCCTCATCGCTGTCGTCGTCCGCGGGTATCATAGTGTATCCTGCCACTGCAGCAGCAGCAGCGTCCAGCGTCTCGAACGTAACCCATGCGTAGCCCTTGCACTTTCCAGTATCTTGGAAAGTTGCCATGAACACATCCGCAATCTCTCCACATTTACTGTAATGCGCAATCAAACTCTCCTTGGTGACATCGAAGCTCAAGTTGCCCACAAAAACGCGCTTGTTCGGTTCCTTGCCTCCGCCGGCCTGCACAGCCGCCGTTTTGCTGAACTTCTTGAAGCCGTCCTCTGTCTCGCCCTCGCCCTCCTTCTGTTGTGGCCTGCCTTCAAAGTTGCTCGCGTCCTTGATCAGAACCGCACGGCCGCTCATCAGCGTCTCCGACGCCTCAATGGCGGCCTGCACCGCAGCCGCGTTGTCAAAATCGACGTAAGCGAAGCCCTTGTTGTGCGGCTTGAACCGCATATTCGCAATCGCAGCTTTGTCTGGCAACGGCATGTGGATGCGGGTGATGCGCTCGCCGGTGAGGCCCGCGTGCTTCGCAAAGAACTCGCGGATCGAATCGCGCGTCGCTGACCATGGCAGGTTGCCGATCCAGATGCCGTGCGGAGACTTCTCCTTCTTCTCCTTTTTCTTCTTCTGCTTTGTAGCCCCCTCTCCCTCTTCCTTATCGCTTTCGTCCGAGTCGGATTCGGCGGCGGGCTTGGGCGCTTTGAGGGTTTTTGTGGCGGGATCGAGCTTGCCCTTCTTGGCGAGACGCTGTTCGCGCTTGGACAGCGGCTCGGGCGCTGTGATGTCGACCTCTAGCTCGCCATCTTCGGGGAGTGCGGAGCGCTTGCGCTTCTTGGACGAGGTGTCTTTGGCGGGCTTGGGAGTTTCTTCGGCGGAAGCGGCGGTGGTTGGCTCGTCGGCGGGGGTTTCGGATTCGGTCTTGGACTTCTTGGACTTTTTCTCCTTCTTTTCCTTCTTGTCTTTCTTCTCCTTTTTCTCCTTCTTGGAGATCTCGGTGGAAGTCATTGTGCGGACGAGGAATGTGTAAGCGTAGATTGGGGTTGCGTATGCGAACGATCGTCGGCAACTTTTTTTCGAAAAATTCGGAAGACTCCGGAGTTCAACCGGTCATTCCTTCTGTAGCACCTCCAGTCTTTGTGGCGCGTCGAACTTCTCTCCGCTCAGCCTCGTTCGCGCCTGGGCTGGTAGCTCATCACAGCCTCGAGTAAAGGCCTCTGAGCTCGACATCCGTGAGACGCGCCACGCGTGGACGGCCATTTAACGCGTGGTGACGACCGCATCTCACCCGAGATGGCGGACGACGATTCCCGGACCGCGACCCTGGGTCGCAAGCGCCAGCGCGAACTGCAGGATGACCAGGCCAACGCAAGATTCTCCACTCCGGAAAAGAAAGTGAAACTGGATGAGGATGACGACGACGAGAGTGACTATTCCCCATCGCCGGATCTTCCCCAGCTCGAGTCTTCACGTGAGCACCCAGATTCACCATCTCGGCATGATGGGGGCTTCCCGCACATGTCCGGTGATGAGCAGTCTGCGGCCAAGGCCGCACAGCTCAGCACTGCCCAGGAAAAGGCCGACACTGGGAAGCCAGAGCCGCCGCCGCCTGAAGGAGAGGACTTCATTGCCCTGCTGGCGGATGATGATGACTTCGCCGAGGAGAATGACAATTCCCCCAACCATTCCGGCAGCGAGGCTGGAAGCGAAGCAGGCGAGAAGGGAAAAACCAAAGATGCGACCGTTGAAGGTAGCCAAGCTGCAGGCACGCAGTCCAGCCGCATATCCTTGACGAAGACACAGCGCCAGCTCATCCGCCAATTCGAAGAGGAACGGGCGCTTCGAATCATGAGGACTGGTCTCGGTACCTTCTGGACTGCGAAGAAGGGGTTCCACACCCAGGATGCTGTGGGTGCGGTCATCTCCATGGCAATCCCCCAAGTCCCAGACAAGAAAGACCCAAACAAAATGGTGAGGGGCATTACCAAGGAAGTGATCCGTACCCGCGTGGTCACTGCCATAGGCTCCAACTGTCCCATGGGCCTTTTGGGGATATATCACGACCAAAACCAATCATCCTGGCAGTTCAACGAGCTGGTGGTTTTCCGCACACAGGAGCAGATGGAGGCTGTGAAGAGCTTCTTTGCAGCAACACCTTTAGAGTTCAGTCTCAAAGGTGGCAACAAGAAAGACAAAGAGAAAGAGTTCTTCGTCATGAGCGTTCTACCCGCTAAAGAGAGCAACAAGTTGCAACTTAGCGACAACAAGAAGCTAAATGCGAAGAGGGGTGTTACATCGATTCTAGCCGAGGCTCTCTCACATTACGTGAAGCAAAGTTTGGAATCTGGGCAAATGAGCCCTGGTGACTATGAAGGTTTCAGTCCTAATGAACCTAAGAAGGTTCTTCAAAAAGCAGCGAAACAGGACATCGGTGCTGGCATGATTAAGGCCGACCCCCAGGTTGCCTGGAGTCACCTGGGTAACAAACCTCAGCCGACTTCGAAGGCCGGATCGCAGGCAACGTCAAAACCGACAAGCGTAGCCTCCACCAAACCTTCCACCCCAGCGAGCGAGGCACAGGACACTAACAATAGCTCCGACGAAGAGGGCGAAATCACCCCCGAACCCGTCAACGATTCTCCTCAACTGGAAACACAACAAGACACGGATCAGAACAGCACAGCCACCTCAGTTCCGAACGGCCAAATGCGTACACACTTCACGCAGCTCAGCGAATCGGAGCAGGTGCTCCAAGTGCGCTACTTTGGCGAGCCCGCAGATGGTTTGGTGCGCTGCCTTACTTGTGCCCAGAAAGGTCACATGAAAGAGAGCTGTCCATCCAGAACTTGCCAGCATTGTCAAGCCGTCGATCAACACTTCACGAAGAACTGCCCGACCATCGCCAAATGCGCCAAATGCCGCGAAAGGGGCCATTCCAAGGAGAGCTGTCCGTCCAAGCTAGCGCGCTCATCGGCGGACGGCTTCTCCTGCGACCTGTGTAACGAGAAGGGCCACCCGGAGGAGGAATGCGCCCATCTCTGGTCTTCGTTCGACCCGGACAAGATCCCCAACCTCAACAAGGTGGCAAGAATGACGGTCTCGTGCTACCAGTGCGGATCGCAGCAGCACTGGGGCGACGATTGCCCGATGCGGCCGCGGAAAGTTACCGTCAAAAGTAACCTCTTCTCGGCCAAGGAGGCCAACAAGTACCTCATCGATCCACAGGCCGCCGCCGAGGAGCTCCGCCGGAACGGACCCGGCGATCAAGGCATGTCGATCAGAGGCCGCGCGCAGGGCGGCCAGGGCCAGCACACGTACTTCTCCTCGACCGACGACGAGGGCGACATCGACAACTTCTACCGCAACAAGCGTGGCGGCAACAACAACAACAACAATAACAATCACAACAGCGGCCCCGGCGCGCCTTCGCGCGGCAACATCCGCATCAACACCGGCGCCGGCTTCCGCGGCGGCCGCTTCTCGCAGAAGAACGATCGGGGCCACAATAGCAGCGGCGGCGGCGGCGGCTACGATAGCTATCGCCAGAACGGCGGCAACCAGTTCGAGCCCATCTCATCCGGCTGGCAGCCGCCTCTTCCCAACGAGCCCCCGCCACCGCTCCCGCCGCTGCCTCGCGGTGGCAACGGAGGTGGTCGTGGACGGGGCGGCGGCCGTGGCGGACGCGGGGGCGTGAACCAGATGCCGTTGCCCCCGAGACCCCAGCCTCCGTCCGGCCCCTCCAGGAAGCCTTGGAGGGGCAGGGGCGGGAAGAAGTGAGATCGATGGCTCTGCGAATTGGCTTTTTGCGTGCGTTTCGAGGCCGATTGGATTGGTTTACTCTTGGGGTTTGGTCAACGGTGCTTTAGAGGGTGGGATACCAAAATTATGCATGCATTGGGTGGTGCTTAGTTGGTATGGTGATAGAAGAGGATATTCAACTAAAAAAATACTGCTCAATCAAAGGCATCATGTTCTACAAGCGTCCATATGCTGTTACGCATCTCGATCTATATGTACGCTGCGGCGACAGCTGCTACTTGACGTTGCATGGATAGTCCGAGTCAAGCACTCGGGCTTGCCGACTTACGAAGCATTTCTTGTAGCTGAGCGGTGTGCCTCAGCACGAGAAGACCCCGCTTTTATGTCTCCAAATGAACCATTACTCCGCCTCAGCATGAACATCTCGTATCAGCCAGGCCGTAGTTCTGACTCGAGATAATGTAGAACATGGGAGCCGGTAAGCTGGGCTAGCTTTCCGAACGTGTTGGAGAAGCGGTGTTGCCTGGCCAGGGGTCTGGTCTTCTAGCGTATGACGAAAGTATAAACACACAGCCAAGGACAGCACATTGGACGCCGTAAAGGTTTGAAAGCGCGCAATCATGCTGACTATCTATACGGGAGCCGATTGGCGAAAGCGCACGGCAGATCAGCCGCCATGCCGTGCAACGCAATGTGGCGTCTATATTCACAAACGCAGGCATCTTATCTTGTGCAACCCTACAGAAATGGCATCCGATGACCCAAGCGAAAGGCAAAAACCTGCTGCCAGTGGGATCCGGTGATGTGGTGGTGTTGTACGCCACCATAGCCCTGCCATGACCTTTACATAGCCACTTGTGTCCTTGGCATGATGCCTGCCTCAACCCTACTATTTTATAATAAGTATCCTTGCCGAAACACGACACCACGCAAGCTGTCCAGGAGGTCGAGCAGGGGTCGGAAGCAGGATCGGGGATGCCGGCAGCGTTTCCCCAAAAGCGTCGACATGGCAAGCTAATGGAAGTCGGTTAGTGGATAGTCATCTGAACGGGCGATGACAACATCGGGTTGGGTTAGCCCGGGAGTAGCCAGGACGCATTTGTGAAAAAGTAGTGAGCGTTTTCCAGGAAGAAAGGTATTAGGGACAAGCGGGAGTGGGAATAGTGCCGCGGAAGCTTCCCAGGTCTCTCGATCGGCGACTCCGCACACCTCGGTCGTCTTCCCCGACGTCGACGCGCGGACCGGCCCTTCTCAAGAGGAGAGGAATCCACCGCGGCGCCGAATGTGGCATCGTCTTATCAGTAGACCCCGGCGCCCCGTGTAATTGTTCGCCCCTCGCAGGCTGCGTGTCCTGTTGGCTATTTCGGTTCAGGCCGGACGGCTCGGGGCTCTCGGATCGTGGATTGACGGAGTCATGAACCTGGCTGGAGCGTGTTGTTCAGCTTGCTTCTTGTCCATCTCCCGCCCGTCACAGGGACGGAGGCCTGCGAGCTAACACTTCAGGCACGAGGGGCCTTGCGCGAAATTATGACGTAGGCGGGGGATGCGGCGGGCCTCGAGCTATAGCTGCTGGCGCAGGCCGTTAGCTGCAACACTACACGCTTACTAGTACCTGATACGTAGACGGTGGCTTCTCGAGCTTTGACTTCAAGCAGGGGAGCAGGGTGGCGGCATGAGCATGGCGAGGGGGAGAATGGGAAGGGAGCTCTGGCCACCGGAGCTTTCGTCGCGCACCAACCAACGCGGGCGGAGACGCGAGGACGGACGGACACTTGCCAGCAGCACCAAGCTAGCAGCTCACCCACAAACACACCACGTTGTCGCTCATGAGGCTGTTTCAGCTCACCTGGGGCCTGTGACGGGCTGCCTCGGACACGCCACCGGTCAATGCAGATCTGCTCCGGTTGTGAGATGATTTGTGCTGTGGTGGATCGTCGGTCAATGCAGGGCCTCGCCCAGAAGGCTTGATTCGCGGCGTGGCACTGTCGCTGAAGCTTGACCTTTTCTTGCGTCATGGGGGGCAGACGCGCACGCCAGATCCCTACAAGGTAGCAATCACGAATAGCTAAGGTCGTGCTTGCAAGCTGCGAGCGCCCCCGCCTACTTAAACATGCATCGCCTGCTCCAACTTGCCGCTGGCCTCATCCTCTCTTGCTTCTCACTCTACTTCTTCCAGAATTCAGTCTTCAATATATCCCGTTTGTCTGAAGGCTTGCCACGCATACTCAACACACAGCACCAAACAGCAACCATGGCGACGAGAAACTTCACCCGCATCCCCATCATCACAAACAAGAACTACAAGGCCAACGGCTTGAAGTCGTACGCCTACGCCCTGCACAAGTGTATGTACACTCATTTGAGATCCGATCACCCCACCCGCTTCTCTCCCATCGCTGACATGCACCAGACGGCATCGGTCCCACCAGAGAGGGCCCGTACCTCGTTACCAACAGGATCCACCAGCAGGGCAAGTTCGGCCCAGGCAAGGCGCTTGGCGGACATGCGCGTGTGCAGAAGCACGTTCTGCAGAAGAGGGTCGCCGTCGCCGCCGACTCGGGCAGCACCGAAACGGGTGACGTGCCGGCCGAGGACATCCAGAACGACTCTCTCTACCTGTGTGAGGTGGGCATCGGCACACCAGCCCAGAAGCTGCGCCTCGACTTTGACACCGGCTCGGCCGACCTGTGGGTGTGGTCGACGAGCTTGCCGTCGAACGTGCAGTCGCAGGGCAAGTCATCCAACCACGCCATCTTCGACCCGTCCAAGTCGAGCACCTTCAAGAAGTCCGACGGCAGCACCTGGCAGATTCAGTACGGTGACCAGTCGTCGGCCTCGGGCGATGTCGGCACTGACACCATTGACCTGGGCGGGCTGAAGGTGGAGAACCAGGCCATCGAGCTGGCCAGCAAGCTATCGGACCAGTTCGTTCAGGGCGAGGGCGATGGCCTGCTCGGCCTGGCCTGGGGTAGCATCAACACGGTGAAGCCTGAGGCTGTCAATACGCCCGTCGAGAACATGATCGCACAGGAGGACATCCCCAAGGACGCCGAGCTCTTTACCGCCTACCTGGGCAGCACCAAGGATACCAGCGAGGCCGACAAGGGCGAGTCCTTCTACACATTCGGCTACATCGACCAGGACGTGCTCAAGGCCGCCGGCGTCGACACCCCATTCTACGTCGACATCGACAACTCCCAGGGATTCTGGCAGTTCACCAGCACCTCCGCCTCGGTCAACGGCCAGACCATCCAGCGCTCCGGAAACACGGCCATCGCTGACACGGGCACCACGCTCGCCCTCGTCGCCGATGACGTCGTTGACGCCATCTACAAGGCCATCCCCGGTGCCAAGTACGACAGCCAGAACCAGGGCTACGTCTTCCCCAGCTCTGTCACCGCTGATCAGCTTCCCGAAGTCTCCTTTGCCGTCGGCGAAAAGCTGTTTGTCGTCCAGAAGGAGGATCTGGCCTTTGCCGACGCCGGAAACGGCTTCGTTTACGGAGGCATTCAGAGCAGAGGCGATATGACATTCGATATCCTTGGTGACACCTTCTTGAAGGGCATATATGCTGTAAGTTGCAATACATATCCTGGCCGCATGTGCTGTTTGAGAAGCAACGGCGCAGAAAAAGTAGATTTAAAGTGCTGACGCTCCACTTCGCAGATCTTCGACCAGGGCAACAAGCGATTCGGCGCCGTGCAGCGCAAGGAGAAGGAGCAGAATGTCTCCGTTCCTTCGGGCTCCTCGTAAATTCCGGGTGTTGTAATCGCGCTGTAGGAATAAACTGATGGTATCGACGAACTCCCGATCGTAATGACGAGTGTGGAATGGTAATGATGGTACGAACATAGCGTTACGTCTTTCTGCTATTCAGCATACAATATGATTTTTCAATTCTACCTTTGCACTCAATTTGATACACTTGATGGCTGCCTATGAATCCCAGATTATTACAGCGCATCGTGAGATTCAACCCAATCCGCTTCAAAACTACCCGCAGATTTCCGATCCCATCTCGTGTAGCAAACAAGCAACAAATAAGCTCTAACTTTGAGTTTTCTGTCCACCACACAAATGCAAGAAAGGGAAACTTTGTTCGATCTCTCTATGTACATTCAAGCTTAACTTGGTGCGCCACAAAAAGCCACCACCCGTGTCTAACGTACGCTTCTATTAACGTCATCCCACCCTCACACAGAATCCTCTTCAACAGAAAAAAAAAACATTCTTCGCAGCCATATTCTCACATTCTCCACTAACTTTCCACTCTCGCACATCCTCACTCACTCAGCGGGTATAAACCTCCTCACACACCTCTCCACCCACCCCCGCGGCACCCCCAACGCCACCGCATCCCTCACAGCCTCGTTCATCCTGCCCACATACTCCTCCTTCGCCACGCCCTCGGCCGTCCGCAACCTATCCACGTACACCAGCACGCCCTCGGCGGCGTCGAGCGACTCCTCGTCGGCCGAGGGCGCGGGCGGGAGCGCGTAGACGATACCATAAACAACATCGCTTTCATCATCTTCATCCCCGTCCCCGTCCTTCTCTTTCTCCTGCCCCTCGTGCGCCGTGGCGACGGAAAAGGGGGTGGGGATCTCGACGACGTTGGCGTAGCCGCGCTCGTTGATTACCCAGCGCCAGTGGCTGCCGTTGCCGTTGCTGCGCAAGCGCGCGACGCCCAGGTAGACGGATGAAGGGCAGCGGCGGCGCATCTGCGCGAGCCAGAGGTTGCTGCCGTAGGCGAAGTAGAGAGTCGGTCGTCGCGTGGACGACGTGGGGCCCGCGGTTGCGGTGTCGTCGCCGAGGTCGAGGTCACGTAAGGCTGGCATGGTTGGTTGGCTGTTGCTGTTTTTCGTTATAGGGGTACCGCTGTCCTGGGTCGAATTGCCCCAGCTCTTAATTCCCTCAAATAGAGATCTTGTTGACGTCAATTTAGGTCAAAACACCGTTCCAAGGAAGGAGAGGCAACAAAGGCCCGAAACATAAGTTCCGGCGCTAATCACGTCATCACCACAGCCTAATATCAGATACAAACGCGAGAAAAATAAGTTGCCGTCAGAATCGGCTTTCATATAACGAAATGTTCATCTCTAATTTACAGCAAACATTGCTAAAAGAAACATTAGATGCCTATCATTCACATAGCCCACTCGAAACCCATCTGCCTCTTCGACATCTTCAGCGTTGCATTGGCGCTGGTGAAGTTGAAGTTGTTGCCAAAGTCACCCGACTGCGTGGTGAAATCGCTACGCTCGTTCAGGCTGTCGATGCGACCCAGCAGGAACTCGAGCTGGCGGTAAGCAGCCGAAGGTTGGTATTGCGGGACTAAAGTGTTTGTTAGCATCAAGAGCAACTTTTTCCTGTCTCGGATTTGGAGTGAAACTTACCCATGTGGCCAGACATAGCAACCTCGACCCAAGTCAAGCCACGCTCGGTGTGCGCGGTGCCCATGATGCCCGACGCAGCGAGCGTGCTCAACGAAACCTCCTCATGGTACGGAACGAAGAAAGGCTCGGTGGGGGCGGTCTGGAAGCCCTGAGCGCCGCCCCAGGTCATGTTCTGGATCATCAGCAGGGTGCCGTTGGCGATGAGGATGAAGTCAAGGTTGCCATGGGCGATGATGGAGCGGCCGTTGGTGCGCTCGATGACGCTGGGCAGGATGGAGAGGCCGGAAGGCGGCGAGGTGTCAGTGTCGAGCACACCGTTGGAGCACTCAGCCCACTCCTGGATGGGGGCATTGATGGCCTTCTGGACGTCGGTGCGGTTGAAGTAGACGCCGGTGCCCTCGGGGATGTAGTCGAAGGAGCCGGGGAAGCCGAGCACGTCCCAGAGTAGGGGGCAAGTGGTTGCGACTTGGTAGATGTCGAAACACGGGTTCACGGCGCTGACGGCGTAGTAGATGTCGTCCCACAGGTCGCAGCCGGGACCGACATCGGGCGGAGTGGGCAAAGGACCAGTGGGAGGGAAAGTGAGGTAAGTGTTGAAGAAGTCGGTGTAACCGCACTCATCAGCACGCTCGTGGATGTCATTAGTGAAGGTTTCGTTAAGGTTGAACAGCGGTGCCCAGTAGTCAACGAAGGGAACGGCGGGGATTTGCTGCTGGACAACGTCGTACGAAGTGCTAGGATCGTAGATGAGGAAGGCCTGAGCGTCGTAGTACGTCGAGTCGTTCTTGTTGAGCATAGCATCCTGCAGATAAGGTCAGACAACAAATAATCAAGCAACGAGTGCGGAGATGGTAGCGTACAGTGATGTAGGGAACGTAGTAACCAGCGTACGACTCGCCAGCAATGTACACCTTGCGGCCGTGCAGACCGAAGGTGTCAACGAAGTTCTTCCAGAAACCAAGGAACTGAGCAGCGGCTTCCTCCTCGTTGGTCGCGGTGGGAGTGCCCTGAGTGAAGCCAGTGCCAACTGGTTGCTCAACCCAAACCATGTTGGTCAAGTTGACCCAGGTCCAGGGATTCTTCACAGGCTTGTACGTGCCATATTGCCAGAGAACAGGGCCGTTCTCCTGGAAAAAGCCCTCAAGAGACGAGCATCCGGGGCCGCCTAGACAGATCACGTCAGATCGTTTTTTTTTTTTTGGTCTGTTTTATGTTCAGTCTTACCATTGAGCCAAATGACAATCTCTTCGGTGGCATCGGCGTTCTCAGAGGGGAAGAACCAGAAGTACAGCTCGCTCGTCTCGTTCGCCTTGTCCGAAATCGGGAGCAGGCCAGCGTAAGACTCTCCAACGTCGAAGTCGACCTCAGGAATGGCCGAGCCATTGACCGCAAACTCTAGAGAAAGATGTCAGCGTATGCTAAAGGCTTGGTGCAGCTTTGAGGCGCAGGCTCACTCGTAGTGTTGGCACTCTGAGGAATGATGTAGTCTGCGGCGCGCTTTTCAACGGTAGCCGAGGGCTTCCTCAGCAGATCTCCGCGACGCGGGCGCGGCATCTCAGGCACCCTCTTGCCCGCATACTGCGCAGACCTGGCTTCAACGAGGACCGACGAGGCAGCGAGCGCGCAAGCGCTAAGGAAGGCGGCAACGCGCATGTTTCGAAACAGTCTTGGACACTTTGTGCCAGTTCAACGAGTGACTGAAAACGGCGGTCGCAAACGAAGGTTGCCGAAGTGAGAGGAGTTGCGAAGGTGACGAGAAGAAAAGAAGGCCGTGTCGTGTCGTGCCTGCCTAACCCGCACGGTGCTCCGGTAGAGAAACCACATTATTTACGCAGAGACAAGGATCGTGAAAAAAGCTTAGCCCTCTCGGGCAAGTAGCTTGGAACAGCTTGTCTAAGCCTTCGCCCACCTCAAGCCCGGCGGCGGCCCAATTGGCGGCCGTGGCATGGTTAATCTGTCTCGGAGGTGAGCGGCTCGACTGACGTACAGAAATGACGCGCCTACGCAAAAAGATAAGCTCCCGCATCGTTCTAGAAAACGCAGACGAGCGATCAGCTCATTAGTAGCTCAGGGCAAAAGAGCAGGGCGCTACGCAGCGTTTCGGTTTCAAAGTCCTTGCATAACTAAAGACCCAGCACCCAGGAAACAGAGCAGGCGTCTTGCAAGTACCTAGGCAGAGCGCCGAACGGAAACACGACAGCCAATTTCGTATATTTCATCCGACTCGTGTGCATTCCCGCGCGTTTGCAGGATTCGCCGGCTTCACAGCGTGACACGACCTCCTGCCCGAATTAGCAAATCCAACTACCTGTGCCGTAGATGTGACACGAGAATATCACGAAGAGCGAACGAAAAGTGCACCGACGCGTCTCGCGCCACTCTGCGCCCGCCGGCGGCTACCGCTGCTCCCATCCAATCTGCCAATTCAATCGCGTCTTCCCGGCCGGTCGCCATTGCCACAGCGCGGTCCCTGAGCCTCAGCCGTGTGTCCTTTCTCCACACGAGCGAGTCCGGAGCTCGTTTTGCCCCACACAACGCGGTCCCGATAAGACCATTCCCAAACAAGCAGCTCCAAAGAAACACACACCCATGCGATTCAACCCCAGCACCGAACCGAGGCGACCGTCAGGTACCTGAAAAGTGCTCGCTCTTATCGATGGTTCGCGAGCCCGGAAATCTCCATATTACGCCCCTCGGGCGCGCCGGGGAGGAGGATCGATAGAGGCGAAGAAGCGTGATGATGACGCGCCAGGATGCTCGCAAGAAGTCCAAGCTTTTGACAAGCAAAGAGAAGAACGGCACGTCTGTTTGCCGAGACGCCCGTACCCCGCCACTCACCGCCGCTAACGGCCGGGCTCTGCAGCATGCATGATGTTCGCGTAGGAGCGTGCGCGAAAGCGAGCTGGTAAGCTAACAACGGCGGTACCTGTCTTTCTTGCCCTGCGGCAGAGTTGTTTTTCACAGTGCTCCGCCAATTCCGATAGGATAATCACTCAACGGCAGAAGTGAGCCCAAAACCTCAACATGTGAAATGCAAAGGACGAGGTAGTGTAGATAGCGCTGACAAAATCCTGCGCCTATTGCAAAATGGACGTGCTACATTTCATGACCCACTAACGATTCAATCAAGGCTACGCGCAGTTAGTCTACGGATTCTGGACAATTGAGTCTTCAGTACACAGTAGATTCAAATGGCATTCCAGATGTTTGTCTAGCATGCGTGGGCTAAGGCTTCAATTGAGTGGCGACTTCTTCATCACCCACCCATGCGGATTATTACTTCACTTCACAGCAATGACATTCTCCGAAGATGTAGACAGGATTCATTTCAATTCCTGTCTATAAGAATATTTTGCATCCCTTCATTAACGTCCCTCTGAATGATCGTAACGTCATGAGAAACTGCCCGCCGTCTAGTGCTGGCGGTAGCCACCGTACCTGTTCTGAACTGCAAGCTTGAGCAGACCACCAAAGTCGGGAGTTCCCAGTCCAGTGACGGGATCCCAGCCATCCACTGCGGCCCATCCAGCGCCCTCGACGTAAGGTGCGGGCAGTCCGGAGTACATGTCGGTTCCAGTGCAGCCCGTAGACGTGCCGTCGACGATGTCGGTCAAAGCACTCTTGCCAGTGCTGTACAGCCAGGGGTTGAGCCAGCCGAGAGGAGCTTGGCCAGCTTCGACACGAGCAGAGTTGAGCAGAGCAACGACGGACGAGAAAGTCGGCGCAGACGCAGAGGTGCCACCAATAAGAAGCTCATCTCCAGAGTCAACGATGTGGAAGCGGTAGCCTTGAGCGGCAACGTCGGGGAAGCCACGGCCGTTAGGGTTGTACAGACCGTCCCACTTATCACCCAGGATGCCAAAGTACTTCGTGATAGCATCATCCTGCCAGCTGGGGCGCTCCCAAAGGTCAGAGAAACCACCCGACGAGAAAGAAACAGCTCTCTCAGGCTCGATCTGGTAGGTGCCTCCGACAGACGTGACGTACGGGCAAGCAGCAGGGAAGATTGGGAGGAAGCGGGTCGTGTTCTTGCCGTCGTTGGTCTGGCACGCAGAACCGGGGCCGGTGTCACCAGAAGAGAAGAGGACCGAGACACCACGCGCACCGAGCTGGCCGATCAAGTCGCAGACAGTCTTAGCATAGCTAGCGGGAACGCTTTGCTCATCCTCGCCGTACGACGTGGACAGCGTGGTGGGCAGCTCAGAGTCAGGCTTCTTCAGCAGCTCCGTGAAGTACTCAAGGTAAGGCTCGTTGCTGGAGACGTCTGGCTGGTCGAGATCGGGTACAAGTGGGCCGCGACCAGCAGTGTAGAAGTACGTCACATCGAGCGGGTAAACCAGCGGAACCGTGTACTGGATGTCCAGGTTGGCCTCAGTTGCCTCGTCATTGGTGTTTTGAGGAAGGGTGGAACCATTGATAGAGCCGAACTGAAAGTTCTTGTCTTTGGCGTAAGGTGCATACTTGCTAGTGAACTCGGCGAGGTCATCGTAGCGAGCGTACTGCTCAAGGAAGCCAGAGACGCCGAGGTAGGTCTTGTTAGCCTTAGGCGTGTATCCGTTGATGTTGTAGAGGTCCTTCAGGCAATCAGGAGTGATTGAAGCGTTGCACGACGCAGCAACGTCAACGGCAGCGAGAGTCTTAACGTCAACAAGACGCTCCTTGTCAAGGATTTGGCTCCTCTCAGGACGGATCTGAGCAAAGCGCGTGGTGGGCTGGATCATGTTGATAAACTCGTGCAGCTCGGTGGGAATCGAGTACTCGAGAGTGCGAATCTTCTGGACGTTCTTGCGAATCTCGCTGCGGTAGACGTTGAACTTGGTGTCCATCATCTTCTCGGCCTGCGAAACGGTGGCAACGAAGTTAATCCAGTCGCCGTCATCCTCAATGTCCTCGCTCTCGATGCCGGAGGCCTCGAGCCAAGCAACAATTGAGTCGGTAGCCTTGGCCTCAGGGCGGAGCATGGCCTTGAGCTCATCGCGCTTCAAGTGCTTGCCGTAGTTGGCGGAGCCCGGAGTGGAAATGTCCAGGAGCGTCTGCTCAAAGAGAGCATGGTTGGGCTGGCAATGGCATTAGCGCGTGTCCCTCGAGTGAAGGGTGGCCAGAGTCAAGGAAGTGACGTGAAACTGGCGCAATTCCGCCTGACAATTGACGCAGCCAGCCGAGGTCGCACGGCATATGCCTGGTGCACCGGGTAGGTGAATATGGAAATTTGTTTCACGTACCTGTTTGACCGCAATCATGAAGCGTAGCTTCTGGGCAGCGTCGGGAGAGCCGACTTGGATCCAGTTCTCAGGTACAGCGCGCAGCTTCTCAAAAAGCTCGGCAGTAGAGAAGCTGAGACCGTTGACGGCGCTGGCAACGGACAGCAGTCCGGCGAAGACAGTAGCAGCGCGCATGGTTGCTAATGAGGATCACCACGCAGGTGAGGTAGAACGTGGAATGAGTGGAAAGGGATGGCGGAAGATGCTCCCGCAGCGAAGGACGAGCCGACAGGTGCGCGCAGAGAGTGAGCACGATCGGGTCGGCAATTGACAAGAGGGTGAAAGGTGAGGGCGAGGGTGGAAAGAGCGGACGAAGGTGGGCCAGAAGATATATGTTGATCAAGGGTCCGCACTAAGCTTGGCGCATTCACTCACCGCAGCCGGCAGTCGCTACTCGCGTGACGGCATGCTGGTGTCCTTCCCCTTCGGGCCATGTCGATCACGACTCGACGGCCTGCGCACCCATGCACCCTTGTGCGATCTGGCGGCTCCCGTGCCTCCGTCCCACGCGCGCTCGCACGCCGCAAGGAATGAAAATTGGAGGGGGCTCGGCCTTCCGCGAGCTGGGGATAACGTTTCGCATGATTGGGCGGCTGCTGCGTTGAAGCATTTGCGATTCTGCAAATGGCGTTAGCGCACGTCATTTGCATCAGGGAGCCCCAGCCCTCCCCATTATCGCGCGCTACATCTACCTTTGGGAGGTGCCTGCGTGCCACGCGGGTTCGTTTGTTCGTTCGCATCCCACCCAAGGCTTCTTGTCGGAAGCTTCTGCGCCCGTTTCATCTCTTGGTAGCTAGCCCCTTGCCACTGCTGCATCCCTGCTGGGTACCGTCACCGACTCCACACTTGCTCATTTCTGTTCTCCCGCAGCCCCGTCGCCCAAGGGCCGCAGTGTACCTACAAGGACAGGCATTCGAGTCTCACAAAACCGCAGTGGCAGAATGGTAGACTTTTGCAAAGTTGATGTCACCCCCAAGACGGCCCGCACAGCGCTAAGAGTTCTGCCCAGGACCTATCTTCTTCGCTTTCTTGGCGGGAGCTTAGTAGCCGGCTCGGCGTCGCCGAAATCAAAGACGAACCCGCCGAAATCCACAGGTCCGCTCTCAGGTGCCTGCTGCCTCTTGCTGGAAGAATCGTTGTGTAACCTAGGCTTTCCATCTTGAACAGGTTCCACAGCAGGCAACGTGGGCAGCTGTTCCTTCGCTGCAGCCCTCGGACTCTCCCGCCACCAATCCTCTGCCGCAGCTGCAAACCTACTCTTCGACTTTCCCAACGCTTCGTTTGCAGAGAGCCGTGCCTTGGGGTCCCATTTTAGAATGCTGGCGAGGAACTTCACCGTTCCTTTGGTGGATCGTGAAAGAAACCATCGCTCAAGATTATCGACGCGTCCTCGAGGCATCGAGTCTCGCTGCCATTTGATCAGGTCCGGACAGCCCATGGAAGACAAAGTAACGATGTCTCCAGGAGATGGGCTACCCAGGAGCTTCGCTATTTGAGAGAGTTGTTCTAGCTCAGTGTTCCCATCGAGCACCGGCATCTGAAGCAGCAGCTCCCCGATGAACAGGCCCGCTGACCAGATGTCAATGGAAGATGTGTAGCGAGAGCACCCGAGCAATAGTTCTGGAGCACGGTACCAGATGGTGACAACCCCAGGTGTAAGGGGCCTCGGCGCCCACTCGCGCGCCAAACCAAAGTCGGCTGCCTATTGTCAGCCACTACCACACCGGACGTTGGGCAAAAGTACCTATTTTGAGCAACCCATTCGCAGTGAGGAGCAGGTTCTCCATTTTGATGTCTCTGGAAGAGGTCAGGCTCCAGGCACACAGCCGCAAATGGACACGACACACCTGTGAATGATGTCTTTCCTGTGGAGATACTCGAGACCTTCGAGTAGTTGGCGGGCAAGACATTTTACTAAGACAAGGCGTCAGTCACGGCTCCCCTCACAAGACCAAAGCGGAGTCGGGACGAACCTTCAGCCAAGCTGAACTGGACTTTGTGCACATCGATGAGGCTTGCCAAGTCCTTTAGAACAGCCTGGCAAAAAGCCCCGCCTTACGGCAGAGGCAAAATAAGCCAGAACGATACTATCCCGAGTCCTCAAGTATCCAGCTAGCATGGACTACCAACCTTCTCGCAGTATTCCATAACCATGTATACGTCTTCCAGCACGGCGTCGTCCACAGCGACTTCGAGGACATTGATTACGTTCTGGTGGCGGAGGGATCGAAGGATCGATATTTCGCGCAGCGCCGTAAGCGGAATACCATTGTTGCGCTCGTATTCAAGGATGCGAATTTGCTTCAAAGCGACGACAGAGCCGCTGCGCCTGTCGCGTGCGCGCGACACGATGCCGTAGGCTATGGCTGTTAGCAAACACATTTGCAAAGGCGCGAGTAAGGAGAAGAGAACATACCGCCTTCGCCGATAGCATCGAGGCTCTCGTAAGAGGAGATTGAAGAGCAGTTTCCTACACGCAAGTCAGCTAGGAAAGCAGAGGTAGTGCAAAAGAATATACCCAGGAAACCATGGTCGAGGCTGAGATCGATCTTGTGACCCGTTACCGAGACATGATCGGCGCATTCGGGCGTGTCATCCATGGTTGCAACATTCGTGGGGATCCTGACGCGTCGCGCAGCTGACTGTCGAGGTGTTGGCTCTTGTTCTGCGACAGTGATCCGGATCGTCAGTAGCAGGGTGTCCGGCCGGCGAAACTCCGGCAGAACGCGCCACACCTCTGCGGGAAACGCTCCTTGCAGCAGGACTCATCGCCTCTGTCCTGCGTTCTGTTTTCGTGAAGAGTAGGCTGGAGCCCAAGAACAACCCATCCATTTGACTCCTGTACACATAGTGATATGCCTGGTTGAGGCAGGGTCTCAAAAGCTTTCTGATTCGTCAGCCTAATCGGCCACATTCAAGCTCCAGTCTCAGCTGCTTGAGCTTTATCAGCTTGGAGAGCTACCATATCGTCGCATCTCTTCAAAGCCAAGGTAGAAGAGGATAAGTAGTTGGCTTTGTATGTACTTGGAGGTGATTGCTGAGCTTGGAGAAAATTTAAACCTTATACTTGAGCATTCGTGGAGCATGAGCAGAAGAAGTCGTGTGCTGGGTGAATCAGCTAGACAGCTAAGTTCTGACGAAGCTCCCAGACGTTTGAAGTTATCCACCCCACCAACAATCTGTTTTTGGCGGTTTAACCGACACTAAGCCGCGAACCGAGGTCTTTACAAGAACAGGCTGCAATTGCACAACGACGAGACTAACATTATTGCACCATGATGGACAAACCCTTGACAGGCCATCTGGTTGACACTATTTGTCGTACATTCCACCCTGATCGCGCCTCGACCACTCTTTTAGACCTGCTGCAGTTGCCACAGTGCCGATCTCGCACAAGATTGAAACAACCCCGCTCGGATTTGACATCTGGTTTCGAAATTGCAAGTTTGAAAACACCGAATTATGTAGCTGATCGTACAGTACTATGCTCACGACAGAGCCGCTGGTTTGGTGACATCTTGTGAACTCCGATGGTTGTCGGCCGACCGACCGCCTTATCGGCAGCAGTGGGCAATTGCCGGAGAGATAGGTTATCACTGCCCCCGACGCGGCATCCGCTGCCAAGGCTGGCTCTGTCAAGAACACAAAAAACAGCGCATGTATACCCTTGTAAGAGCGGGGTTTGGCCTCATCGGAATCCCTTGCGAACTCGAGTTGAACAGATGCAACTCCTCTGGGAGTGAATCGAGAATCATCAAGGACCGTCAATGTTCAATTCGCGAGCCCTAGATCTCCCTTACTGCACTGGTCTTAGGGTTCGCGCTTGTCTTGAGTCACGGCTGACACCGACATCAGTTTAGAGGGTCGGGGCATTGACAGGAACAGGAGAAGATCGGATAGGCTATGGAACCCGAGTGCAATGCCCACCCACGCCCAGACATTTGCGGTGTCTGCGGCTGAATGTCCTGCATCCCATTGGACGTCACACTATGACCGACATTAATAATGGTAGTCATAGGCTGCCGTGCTGATGATATGGATGCCGCATTTCGGAGCCCCCGGAAATATAAAGACCAAGCCCTGTACATGTCATCTGCAAGCTGCAAGCACCGTTCCCAATTGCCTGGCGGTCTCCAGCACCTGGCAAACATGGCTTCAACTTTCAGCATGGCGGTCTTCGCTCGCTATTCCGCGCTTCTCGCTGCATTTGTCGCATCAAGCAATGCCGCACTTTCTTCTACTGGCTTCACCGTCAGCCTGGACGATGTTCCTTACTACATTGCACCGAATGCGATTGCTACTATCAACATAACGAAGGGGTTTCCCAGTGGCTCGAAATCCGGCTTCTTTACTCCGATTACGGTCATTAACACTGATGATGTCGGCTTTTCCGGTGCAATCTTCGATTCAGTAGTGTCGAACTGGACGGAGACGGACGACGTTTTCCAAAGCGGGTTTCTGCAAGGTGGGTAGTCCAACTCGCTATAGGAATGACGCTAATATGCAGCAGGGGTTTACGTTCAATATACCGGGCCCTCATATTCTTCTGCGAAGCAAGCACCCAAGCTTAACCTTGGCAATGTTTCTGTCTTGACTGCCCATGTTGCTACAGCCAATGCCGTTCCGGAAGGCCCTTATTTCATATCTTCTTCAGGAGACCTCTATCAGCCATGGCGTCTTTATTCTGACATCATGGGGGCATTTTCGGAGACCACCATACCAAATGCTGACGGAAGCTTCAGCGTGCTTCCTGCAAACATCCAGGGACAATCTCTTGCCGTTGCTGTTCCCTCTCGTCTCTCTTACACCAAGACTCCAGAGAAGCCTCTCGCCGGTGTCCGCCTTGGCGTAAAAGACATTTATGACATTGCCGGAATGAGAACAAGCAATGGTAATCGCGCCTGGTACCACTTCTATCCGGAGGCAAACACGACTGCTTTGGCCGTCCAGAGACTGGTTGATGCCGGTGCCATCATTGTGGGCAAGATGAAGACTTCTCAATTTGCTAACGGCGAGCGCGCGACCGCCGATTGGGTTGACTACCTATCACCTTTCAACCCTCGTGGCGATGGCTACCAGCAGCCTTCGTCCTCCTCTTCAGGACCCGGTGCTGGCGAGGGCGCATACGAATGGCTTGATATCACTCTCGGAAGCGACACCGGTGGCTCCGTCCGCGGCCCCTCCCAGGCCCAAGGTCTCTATGGAAACCGTCCTTCTCATGGCTTGGTTGAACTTACGAATGTTATGCCTCTTGCGCCGGAGCTGGATACTGCCGGTCTTCTCTGCCGCGATCCCTCCATCTGGACGGCTGCAGCCAAGGCTATGTACTCCACCAACATAACTATCTCTTCATCCTACCCGAAGCAGATACTGCTTGCCGACTTTCCCACCGAGACTGGCGAATACGAAAGCGACGCTCTGTTGCTGGACTTCGTGAGCAAGCTCTCCTCCTTCCTCGGTGCCAATGCCACCGCTTTCAACATTACTGAGGCCTGGGCAACCGACAACCCGGACACGACTCCTGTCGAGGAGCTGCTCAACATTACGTACCCACTCCTCATTGCAAAGGAGCAGACCCAGCTTGTGCGCGATCCGTGGTACGCCGAGTATGCTGCGGCCAACGACGGGCGGCTGCCCTTCGTGGACCCGGCACCGCTGGCGCGCTGGGCTTACGGCGACAACTCGTCGGCCACGATTGCTGAGGCGGTGGCCAACAAGACGCAGTTCATGACGTGGTTCAACAGCAGCGTGCTGGCTCCCGACGCTGAGACGTGCTCGAGCAGCCTGCTCCTCTACATCGGCGGCACTGAGGCCGATGTCTCCTACCGCAACTTGTATCTCAGTTCGCCGTCCGTCCCGTTCGGCTTCAGCACGTCGCGGATCTCGGTCTTCTCGGAGGCGCCGGATATGGTCGTGCCGATCGGGCAGGCGAGCTACTTCTCGAGCATCACGAATCATACGGAGGTGCTGCCGGTGACGGTCGATTTCATGGCTGCAAAGGGCTGCGATGGCATGATCTTCTCTCTCGTGGAGGATTTGGTGGCAGAGGGGATTATCAGCGTCAGTAAGGCGGGCAGGTCGACTGTGGATGGCGGGCAAATCTTGCTCAGACGGAGCGAGGTTGTGCAGTGAGGTGATATGTAATCAGTTGGGCGCTTTCGCGAAATATTATGTACTTTAATGACTTCTAAATGATAATGTCGAGCTACAGAATCACAGTCAGCGTTGAATTCTTTGGCGCTGGCGCGGCGACGTGCGTGCCTTCCGTTTTCTTTTGGTAGTTGCCATTGTTGGAAGGCACAACCCACCCAGCTCCTCGCCGAGCTCCAGCTTGTCGTCTTCCTCCGACACACAAGCACCGCTCCCAAACTCTTCACCAACGACACAATCCAGCAAAGCCTTGACGTTCACAGAATCAGCCGTGGGTTCGTGCAGCTGGGGCTTTCTCGTGAGTAGCTCAACTACCATACCTCATCCGCTATCACCTGCTAACCACGGATCAGCACGGAGCGTCCTCAGCTGCTCTCCCACGCTTTCCATCGGCACTTTTCCAAGACCAGCGACACCTCGAAAGCATCGCATCACTACCCCCGACACCTTCAAGAGGCAGGCACCAACCGACCGACCCGTCACTCACGCTCCGCCGCCACGGCAACATAATCACCATGACATGGGCTGAGGCTCACAAGGCGGAAGCTTTCGTTGACCGTTTACGTGACGAGGCGGTTGAAGGAGCCAAACATTTCGCCAATCTCCCTCATCATGCTGGTTCTACGAAGACCGCTCTCGCGCTAACAATCCTAGCTTACACCGCTGGGAAGCGTGATGGCCTGAAGCCTCGAGCCACTGAGCTAGCGGCCATCAACAAAGACTTGAACTGGACAAAGCATGAGCTGGCCAAGAGAGATCTAGAGCAAGAAGAGATCATCAAGAGACTACAGATCGATCTGCGCTGGGCGAGGTTCCAGCTTGGAAAGAAGGAAGACAAGGATAAGGAGCTCGAAGCTCTAAAGGCAGAGCTAGATGCGAGACGCAAGATTGAAGAGCGAATGAAGGAAAACGAAGCACTATCGGCTGGTAGCTTCAATGGTACTACCAAAATCGCCGGATCGCAGGATCATGCGGTTGCAACGGACGACAACGATATGCTCTCTTTGAAGGAACAGCTAAAGCATGAAAGGCTCGAGAAAGAACCCTACAAAGCGCTGCATGAGAACCTCTCTTGCACGATCATCCCGGATGTTCATTCTAGCAACGAGGATTTCCAGGCGAAAGTCGGCGCGTTGCAAGAGACCATTGATCTCATTGAAGAGCATTTCAAGGAGAGGTGCAGCCAGCTTCAGACTCAATTGGCCCAAGCAGAGCAGCAAGTGCATGAGATGAAGCTCAAGCATGCCATCGAAGTAAGGGAAGTCGAGGAGAAATTTATCGTGAAGATCGACTCCTTGCGCTACGAACTGTCCGTCAAAGAGGAAAGGTTGGAACAACAAGCCAATGACCATCATGTGCAGCTTTTACAAGCTCAACAGAGGACTGCAGAGTGCCAGGCGGAAACTCACTTGGTTACCTGGGAGAAGAACAAACTCCTGGAGGAGAAGGACAAGCAGATCGTACAACTGAAACAAGACCAGCAGAAACAGAATGGTTGCACCCCTGATCAGGAACGCCTCACAGATCGAATCAAGTTTCTTATCCAGGAAAAAGAGCTCCAGCGTCAAGAGTGGCAGCAAAAGCTACGCAGTGCGCAGACAAACGACAGCGCCACAACGACTTCCGCATCTTCTCTACAGGCGACTAATGCCTCCTCCATCCTCCTACAGAGCATCCAGAAATTGGAGGAGAAGTTGGCGGTGATCGAATCCAGGGCCAACAAGAATGAGCAGAACTTGACCAAGAAGGTTCAAAAACTAGAAGACAAGCTCGCTCAGCTCGGACCCCTGGAACGGTTCCTCGAAGATCGCGACTTTTCAGATGAGAAGCGGTTGCACTTGACTTGGGACGACATGACATACGCTGTACGTGCTGCTGCTGCTGGCCTCTACCCGCAGACTCGACGAACCCTGGGGCACGGCCACTCCACGTACATCGTTGAGGATGCATTGAGGCATGGATCCAGGGACCTTGTCAGCTTCGCCCTTGACAGTCCCGGCCGTTTTGTCCTTCGGTTCAAATTCTTTGAGGCTGTCGAGAGTATCGTGGACAATATCCTGTGGGAAGCGCAGAAATTCCCAAGTGTGCGCAAGATGCTGAAGGAGGATTCCACAAATGTCAAAATGGCCTTGGTAAGGCATGCTTCCAAATAGAGGGGCGTATGAATGGACCACTGTGACGACTCTTTCCAGGATTCGTACTTTGGTTCATGACTATCGGTCATGCACTTTGTTGGGCTCTTCAGTTCTGCACACAGAAACTGTTCGGGCTTGCAGAAGAGTCAATTATTGCTCATCAGTCTAGCTGATGAATGTCTGGGCGATGTCTATTCTGTTTTTCCTAGCATAATCAGCTGCTTTCGACGGTATTAAGTTGTTCATCGGGTTGCCGGATGGAAGGCATATGAGAGGTGAATCTAGGATCAGCGTCCAAATTAAACTTCGTGGTAGTTTAGCGTGCAGAAGCAAGCTCTGCATCTGCTTGAGGTAGCTTCCCTTGTTAATGACACAGTTTCAGGTTTGTTCAGATCATGTTTACGTATCATCTGATATGTATTTGAGAAGCTTCGTTGGGCCACCTTCAGGAAACTCTTCGTTCGGCTATCAGGGCTGGACTTTGTGCGTCTTCGAATAGATTCTCTCCAACGAGCCGGGCTCACTCACGTATTTTGTAACCAGACTGAAAAAAATATCCCGTTGCACGCGCGGGCCCGCGAAGTACGGCAATCACGTGCAGACGCGCAGCGCGACGGAAGGTGCTCCTGCCGCTCCTGCCGTCTTCTGCTGCCGACCACACTCAAACCTTGGCCACACTCCGCTCGTCACTAAATGCTCGCCGACCATCCTACTCGACGATTGTGCTTTCGTATTCAACGCTCCGCTTGTTATGTCATCCAAGGCATAGCAGGCGGAAAAGCTCGTTCTGCGCATACTTGACCTCGCCTCATTGTATTGACGGATCCGCTTGCACATTGTGCAGCAGACTCTAGGGTAGTTATTTCCCTTCTCACCACACCTATCTCATAGGATTTGCTGACTCGTAAGATAGCGCTGAAATCCATTCTGTGCTTGTCTTGCATCGAACACCCTCAGTGCGGCTTCACGAAGATGCCTAGCATGCTAGAAACTCACCCCACAACCATGTCCACCGACAAGGGACCTCCAAAACGGGAGGCACCTACAGGCAGCACCAACACCGACCACGAGGCTACCCTTCTTGACAAGCTTTGGAACGAGGTCCCGCACAATGACCCGCAGGCGATAAAAGACGGCGTCCTTGCGATCATCCAGCAGCTGAAAGCTGAGCACGAAGCCGAGGTCAACAAGATCAGGGTAGAACACGATCATCAAACCACGTTGGCACGTATCGACCATCTTCAGCTGGTGATTAGCTTGAAGGAAGATATTAGTAAAAAGGAAGTTGCCATCTCGGAGGTCCAGCTGGAGAAAGAGAGCTTAGTGACGCTTCGCGATTTCGAGATTAAGAACCTGAAGAAAGATTACCAGGAGGCGATTCAGGGCTACATTCGAAGAGAGAGGGATTTGGAGGCGGACAAGGCAGCGGCGCTGCAAGATAAGAAGATGGCTTCAAACCTGCAGCACAACAGCCTTGAAGAGTCTAACACACTCAGGAAAGAGGCCGAAAAGTTACGCTCGAAGTGTAACGACCTGCAACAAGCTCTTAGAGATACGAATCAAGAGATTGAAAGGCAGAGCTCCCAGCTCCTCGACATCGGAGAAAAGCGTAACGAAGAAAAAGAGCAACTACAGCGCGCGGAGAGCTGTTTGGAGAGTATGGAACCAATGGAAGTATTCCTAGAGCAGCGCGATTTCCTGTCGGAATCCGACACTCATCGTCCCCTGTCATGGCCGGAGATGGAACGGGCAATCCGCGCGGCCGCCTACGGTGCGTTAAACATCTCAGAGTCAAGTCCGACCACGTCCGGTTCCCTCATCAATAGCAGTCGTCAACTAGTCAAGCTGGCAAAGCAGGACGGAGAAGATTATGAGCATTGGCGCAGCTCAAGCTTCTATGAATGTGCACACGACCTCGTTTCTGAAATCATGGAGACCGCCCAGAACAGTAACCGTTTACGCAAGGTTATGGAAAAGGACGAGCGCTACATTGACCGGATCCTGAACCGGAACTAGGAAGTCAGAGGATCGGACACGTCACCCCTGCTATCGTTTTCTTCAGTTGTAGTCCAGGAGGTAGAAATTTGCTGAAAAGTCGTGGGATGGGTCAATGGGTTTCGGATGTAGTCTCATGGGAATTCACAAATGATGGTATACCAGATAGTTTTTCATATCAGCGATTCAGCATCGAACAATGATTGGTCGCAAAATGACGTTCAGTAGTTCTGGTGCCCTTAAACCTCCTTGCATGGGTTAAAGCGTTCTTGAAATGTGAGAAGCGTAGCTGCAGCTGATGAGGAGTGCCAACTCACAGTAGACAAATCGGAATGTGTGCAGTAAATTTCATATGCAAATTAGAGTTCGCCTGCGTTAGGTGAAGAAAGAAAAGGTTCTTTACCACAGGAATACACAAAAATTTATCTTTAAAGGGTCGAGAACTTCTCTTTCGGAGGTAATGACAGTAAGTACCTGACTAGGCGCAGGTTTCAAACGCATTTAGACCAGGGCTATGGACACCAAGAGAAATAGGCTGTAATTGTATTTGACGAAACATCGAGGCTCGTAGGCACATCAGGGTCCAGCAGTGTCGCGTGCCGACCCCGGGCGACCGCAGCGACCAAATGCGCAGCAAAATCGCGCACAGACCGACAGTTTTCTCTGTCTACAATCAAACTCACGCGCCGCAACCGTCCGACCAACCCTTCTCTCCAGCCAATGCCACAGCGATTCCATCCGTCAACATGAGCAACGCCCTCCTCGCTCGGCCAATGCGGCCTCTCTCCACCTCCATCGCCAGCAGCCTGCGGTGCGGAGCCACCACCACCACCACCACCAGCACAACCGCCTCTTCGACGGCCGCAAAACCCAGCACATCAGCATCAGCATCGCCAATTACGCACACCCAACGCCGGCACGAGTCGACGACCCGCCGGCAGCTCAACCGGCTGCGCTCCGTGCCCGCCGCGCCGAGCGCCGTGCCGTCGGCCTCGCACACGGCCGACCACATCGTCTTCAACCCGCCCTCGTCGGCGCCGTCCGTCTACCACACGCCACTCAAGTTCCTGCCCGCCCACGACCGCCGCCGCGAGCTGTACGCGCTAACGGCGCGCCTGTCGCCCTCGAAAGCCTCGCCCACCGGCACCGCCCTCTCCGCCGGCACCTACACCTCGCCCTCGGTCCTGCCGCCCCACCTGGCCCACAAGCACGCCACCACTGTGACCAAGGCCACGTCTCTCCCGCCGCCCGTCCGCACCCCGTACACCAAGAAATACCACCTGACGGCCGCCGACATCGAGCAGATCCGGGCGCTGCGGAAGGAGGACCCCGCCCACTGGACGCGCGAGCGCCTGGCGCACAAGTTCGAGTGCTCGCAGTTCTTCGTCGGCCTGGTGGCGCCTGCGCCCGACCACGCTGCGCGCAAGGCGGCTGAGATTGAAGAGGTTAAGAAGGGCTGGGGCCGGAAGAAGAGGGAAGCGCGCGAGGACCGCAGGAGAAGGAAGGAGTCGTGGGGCAGGGATGCGTAGAGTGGGACCGAGGAGGGACCACCCTTTGGTTCTGCTTTTGATACGATTATTATAATAGATGCGAGCTGTATAAAACGGATGGCGGTGGAAGGCATGAGGTAAGGCGGGTGGGGAGGCTCAGAAAACGATGGATGGATGGATGGATGTGTGGGCCGACACGGATGGAATGTCGCGACGAGACATAACACGGTTTCCACGCATCTGAGCCAGAGGCATTGACTATCCTTCAAAGACAGTGGCTGAGTGGTTGGAGTGGTCGATAAGAGGCGGATCGGCAGCTGCACAGATTCAAGCACTTGGAAAGGTGTTCTGTTGACAGCCATGAGCTGTGGGTGGGAGCGGAGAGGCGCTCTCATCCTCGGATGTTTCGTATATCAAATGACTTTTTTCGCTGGATGGGTAAAAACAGGGAGTCTGTAGGATATGTGTATTTCAAAAAGAAAAATCCAAAGATAAGACTCAAAATCAACACTCAGACACTTTACAAGGCTGGCTCTTTCACATGATTTCATTCAAACTTCATTGATACATAACTAACGTATCCTAATACCAGATCATTGGCTCAGACTCGATTGAGAGTTCCACAGCCTTTTTTTCCCAATCTCTTTCGTTTCGAAGAACTATGCGTTCATCGGCTCCTCGGCAACGTAGTGCAAGTAAGCACCCAAGAGCTTGATACCCTCGATGTAATTCCTCTTGTCCAGCTTCTCGTTGATGCTGTGCGCGGCATCGGTCGAGCTACCCATGGGCAGCAGGAGGACGTTCTTGCCGGTAGCCTGCTCGAAGGTGAGGGTGACGGGGATGCTGCCGCCCTCACGGGTAAGGTCGGGCTTGACGTTCCAGACGCGCTCGACGGCCTTCGCGGCAGCGGTGAAGTTCCAGTGCTTGGGCGAGGCGACCCACCACTTGCCCGAGTGCTGCTCGATCAGCTTGCACGTGTTCTTGCTGCCGAGGCTGGCAAAGACCTTGTTGACGTGGGCCTCGACGAGCTTGTTGACCTCGGGGATCTCCATGTTGGGGACGGTGCGGATCGAGAACTTGCCGATGACCTTGGCGGGGATGACGGTTTTGGCGCCGGGGGCGCTGAAGGCGCCCTCGATGCCGTGCAGCGAGAGCGAGGGGAAGCGCCAGCGGCCCATCAGCGTGCGCTCCTTGTCGTCGAAGAGGCCGGTCTTGCTGCCGAGCGACTCGTACAGGTTGTCCATGGTGAAGGCGATGTCGCCGTACAGCGACTTCTCCTCCTCGGTCAGAGGCGCAACGAGCTTGTCCAGGCCGTCGATCAGGATCTTGCCCGAGGGGTCGACGAGGGAGCCCATGACGCGGACGAGGTCGGTCATGGGCTCGTGGGCGGTACCGCCGAAGACACCGCTGTGCAGGTCCTGGCCGGGGCCGGAGATCTCGATGCTGTAGTAGTTGCAGCCGCGCAGGCCGTAGGTCAGGCAGGGCTTCTCGGTGCCGAGCCAGTAGTTGTCCGAAATGCAGACGGCGTCAGCGTCGGCGAAGAACTTCTTAGCCTCGGCGTAGATGAAGTCGTCGAGACCCTCGCTGCCGTACTCCTCCATACCCTCAAAGCACATGAGCAGGTTGACGGGGAAGTCAACGCCAGACTTCTGGTGCGCCTCGATGGCGTTCAACCAGCCCAGCACGGGACCCTTGTCATCGGTGGCGCCACGGCCGTACATGCGGCCCTTGTCGTCAATGGTGAGGTTGAAGGGCTCGGTGGCCCAGCCGTCCTCCTTCAGGGCGGGCTGCACATCGTAGTGGCCGTAAACGAGGATGGTGCGCTTGTTCTTGTCGTTGCCGTAGCGGGCGATGACGACGGGGGGAAGGTCGAGGTGCTCCTTGTGGGGCTGCTTGCCCAGAGGCCTCAGGTGGACTTCGGCGCCGAGGTTCTTGAGCTCGCTGGCGAGAAACTCGCCCATCTACGTGTGTGTGAGCAGGATGTTGGCATGGCGGGGTAGCTCGGCGGCGGGGCACACCTTGACGACATCGGGCCTGCGCTCATCGTCGGCCGAGACGGAGGGGATGGCCACGGCCTTGCGCAGACGATCGATGAAGTGGTCCGACAGGGTGTCGACCTGCTTGAAGTAGGGATCCAGTTGCGCAGTCATGCTGTTGTATGGACTGTAGAGATATGGCCAGACAGGCTTGGAGTTGCGAACGGGCGAGGTATAGCTGAAGGTCCTTCGGGACAGACAGCTGGCAGGGGCGAGGGTGCGTGAAGAGAGAGGGAGGCTGAGAGGGCGATGGTGGGGGAGTCGAATGGCCAGGCGGGGCAGCTGCATCTTGGGGCCTGGTGTTGCGCTCGCGTGCGTCGACTGCTGCCGGCTTGCATCGGCTGACGCGCTCTTCTCCGACAATCTGCCCTCCTACCCGCACAAATCAATTACAAAGCATCTCATGAGTCTGTGCAGCAGCATTTTCGCAGGGTCTCTCTGTACCCACAGGTCTATAAACAGGCAATGTTCCTACATGCCTCTGACTGAATCTCGCTCAAGATTCAGCGGCTCAAGCATCGACCTAAGAAAGTGTCCACCAAGCGAGATCTGAATTTTCTTCTCAATGCTCTTCTGATGAACGGGGATCCAAAGAGCCCGTGCCGGAATACGAGAAATAGTCTGTTCGAAAAGAGCAGGTCGGCTGCTTCGTCTATTGCTGGCCCTCTCTGCAAGGTTTCTTCAAGTGACATTTCCATGTGACATGAAACAGCCCAATGCGGATTAGTTGGAAAGGAAGGTTAGCACATGAGTTAGACACGCTTCTTTTGATCTCCAAATGCTCTCATTATTGCTGAAGATATGAAAAATGCTTGATGGTCGAATGCTGTGAAATTTCATGCTACCGTAAACATTTTAAGCCCTGAGATAAATAAACACCATCAAACGGGTATACATCGCGATGAATACTCCGGCTGCTCCTTTTATATGCAATAAGACTTCGTAACCAAAGGGCGACATCAGATCCAGAAACGCCCTCTACAACTCTTCTGCACCCGCTGCGACCAATCTTCTCCTCACCTCTGCGTTACCAACGGCCTGATTCTTGTTCACCACGACTGCCTCCAGCGTCCCCATCTTCATCAGGCTCACGTATCCAGGCACGATGTCAGAAGCCAGGACCTCAACGACTTTCTTGACTTCTTCGGGCCCGATAGGGCTACGAGAGCTGGTCTGAATGTCGCGCACCAGTCGCGGGAAGGGGAATGAGACGCGGGAAGACATAGACGACGAGCCAGACGTCGTGGCCAACAAGCTGAGTGTTGCGAGCACATCTTCACAACGGTGCAGTGCTGCTTTGCGGGCGCGTGCCTCGGGCGTCGGGCCAGCTGGTGCGGCTGCGGCGGCAGCTTGCTTAGCGAGAATGCGGTCGAGGAGAGATGTAGCACGGGAAGGTGCTGGGGCTGAAGCAACTAAAGGCGTTGTGGAAGATGAGGAACGGGTAGACTTGGCGTCATCCGAGGCAGAGGAGATGGTGCTGGAGCTAGCAGCGGTGGATGTGGAAGCAGACTTCTTGTGGCTGGAGATGGCAGCTTTGCTAGCTTTGCTTGAGAGAGGTCTGGTGGCTGCAGGACGAGCGTGCTCGAGCTCCGAGCTGGCAGGATCCACGGACCCGTTGAAGCAATTGCTACCTCCCCGAGAATGCATGGCGCCGGCCTTGAGATCCTCAAGACGCCGTTGACCTTTGGCGAAAAGGGGCGCAACCTTGGCCAGCGAGGCGCACTCCGTGATCTCGGCAAGGGGAAGCTGGCTGATAAAGTATGACACGGATGACGGACTCTTCGAGTTTGGTGAAATCTTGCAGCGATATTCCACCCAGCGCGTGTTAAGCTCACGCTCGAACAAAGCATTCAAGGCCTTCTCGTCAATTGGCTGTGGCATCACGCTGTTGGTGCGCTTTGCGCGCTGCTTCTTGCTCTCTTGCTGCTCAAGGCAGATCTTACCGCGGCCATAGTCGGATAGATAGAATGTGCGGGCCTTGAGGGCTGGTGCTGGCCGGTCAGTTGAGAGACTGCTCTGCATCACGCCCAGAGTCCGCCTAACATCATCCACTGTGACCTTGCGCTTCCTCCAGACCTTGGTGATGGATGGTGCAAGGGTATAGAGGTCCACTGGCGACGAGGTACCGTTATGCGCGTAGTGTAGGGATAGTGCGGAGAGAAATGATGAATTCAGAGAAATAAGATCTTGAATATTTTGCGGCAGGTCGTCGGTGGACTTCTCGTCGCGGAAGCTTGGGGCGCTGGACGAGCAGGGGCTTGTCAGAGGCGTTTCGACAACGGAGGGAGTCGAGTCGGAGACTGATTCGAGCTTGAGCGGTTTGACGGGTGTAGAGAGGTCAAGGTCCGCGAGCAGTGTTCTTGCGCCCTTGGTAGGTGTATCGGTCAGCGCCTCAGAGATGGGTCGCTGTGCAGCACGCGGACGGCGCAGCTTCTTGCACGATGCAAGCTTTGGCGTCACGACATCCTCCTCGACCTCCTGGGTTGAAGCTTTCCTCTTCTTAGAGTCGGCCGGCGATGCTCCGGGCTTGGAAACGCGTGCGAAGGCCTGGATGTCAGACTGCGATCGAGTCGTTCGTTTGTTTACAGGGTCCGCGGTGGGATGCGAGGCCGGCCGCACACGCTTGGTAAGAGGCATGTTTAATCGTGGTTGAAATATGGCGGTGGAATGTCAATGCGGCTTGGTAGGAATTTGAATGCGAATGCGGCTCGGAGTAGAATGGACGGGGTTGTTGTCAGTGGGGAACCTAAGAGATGGAGGCGGGTCGGCAGCAGCAGAGATGACGCGCTTGCGCTCGACACGCGACGGCCACGCGAAAAATCGCGTCTGCGGGAGGGTCCGCTAGGCCCGGCTAGGAAGTGTAAGTGCAGCGACGGTGCCCGCCACCAACCGGGGATGCAGGGATTTCGATCTGAAAAGCTGGCTCCGCACATCAACCTTTGCTATCCTTTCACCACTTCTTTATATCGCGCACTTTTTACTGTGTTATTCTCTCCATGTGGAGCTGAACTTTCAGCGTTGCCATGGGAACTGCGGGGATCTGCCTCTCGCGCTACGCACCACCAGCTCGCCCCATCCACCTTCGGCTGCATGCAGCACTCGCAGCCCCCAACACTCGACCTGCATCAATTCAACGTGCGTATATTGCGGCTTCCCCCCATTGCCGCGGCTTCGTTGGCCGCCATTCCGCCATGCATAGCCTACAGCGCGTATCACGCGACTCAATCCTGCAGCACGCCCAATTTGACTGAAAGCCAAGTAACCTTTCGACTGGATGGCTTCCTGCAGTCGTGAAACAATCCAACATGTAGGAAGCCTCAGGGCGTTTCGCCCGTCGAGCTTACGTGTCGTCAGCCTTACCCTGATCTCATTGGCACCTGCTTCCCGTCCCCTCACGCTTCCTGGGTTTCAATCTTGTCCAGGCCTATCCTTGATCGCGCCCAATGGCCGACCTTCCTACAAATCCTTTGAATAAACATCTCCGATGAAATTGAATGAGCCCTGCAGTGTAGATCGGGTGTTTTGATGCAAACTTGACCAGCCTGTACATCAGCCTCGCGCTGTGTCACGCCAGCTGTTCTTCTAGCATGCCTATACTGTTCGCACTTGAATTCCGCAAAGAAAACTACAGTGCTTGGAATAATATTGTTCTCTCCTACTTTTAGCTGTTTGTCTCCATTTATTTCTTGGTTTTAAGTCATGACTGTGACGGTCGTTCATTCATGCAATTTTTGCCCCAGAAACGCCACCCTTAAGGAAAACAACGCCCTGGACTAACCGATGATCTGATTGAAATCCGGTCCGAGACTTTGGACCACCGGATTGAAGTTCGTCCACGCACAATCTGCCGTGATAGGCACGCTGTCATACTTGGAGTAAGCGATGCGGTGAACGCTGGCACCATAGACCATGACATGTGGGTAGAGGACATCGGTGTCGTTCAAGGGGAAGTCGTCAGGGAATGGCAGCTCGAGAAGCTGAGGGCCGGTCTGATTGACTGTGCTGAAAGTCACCTTGGGCGAGCCAGGACGCATGTCTTGAGACTTCGGCGAGTTTCCGAAGAACACCTCGATCTCGACATGAGCGCGGACCGCCGCCCAAATGAAAACCGAGTCATCGGGGAATTTAGAGTTCTGCACGCATCCTGTCGCCGACGCCTGACCTCCTCGGCACTCAGCATCCTTACGGTGCACTCGGTACCAGTAAATGAGACTGTTGTCCTTGATCTCAGGCTCAGTTCCGGACTTGTAGTACTGTGCGTAGTGCTTTCCCATGGTTTGCCAGGACGTGTGGTTCATCCCGTAGACATAGTTTCCGGGGTCACCAAGGTCGACACAGCCAGGGGCAATACCGTTCTGCTCTGGCACATCGCGCAGGTAGGTAGAGCTGTCCCAGCTGTTCCAGCTCTCGATGTTGATGATGTCAGGCTTAGCGTTGGCAATGACGCTCCGCCAACGGTCGTACCAGAGAGTGTCACTGTACTGAACGAGACTGTCGGCAGGGCTGTTGGTGTTGAGGTTCTTGTAGTACCAAGGTGACACAGCTACAGGCACCGGTCAAACGTGGCGAACATGCAGGTAATAATGGACACACTTACCGGTGATGTAAGGGCCTTTCCTCCCCGCATTCTTCAGGCCATCCTTCAATGCAATGTCGACATCACAGGTGAGATTCTCGCGAACGTTCAGGGGCCAGGCCATAGCTGTTATATGGGTGAGTAGGGCATCAGAATATTTGCGGTGCCGGTTCTCACCATTGTAGAAGCCATCAATGGATGGGTAATCAGAATAGGCGTACTGAGCCTGCTTCTCGGGATCACCGTGCTCATGGGCTGCTTCAACATACGTCTCAATGTAAGGAGCAATGCTGACGTTAATGCCTTGGCGTTCGAGAAGTGATTTCATTTGAGAGAAGTAGTCATCGCCATACAAGCTACCACCGTGCGTGGTTACCAGGACAGCGTCGTTCCAATGGTAGGTAGGCGACTGCTTGCTGGCGTCCGAGATGAGGGTGGATTGGTAGGTCATGTTCCAGGCATTTCCGGTAGGGCAGTTGTCGGTGCGGAAATGGTAGCTCATGTCGAAGGCGGGAATGAGCGTGAAATTGAGAGTGGCTGCAGCCGTGTAGGCATCCTTAATCTTGGCCGTCTGCCAGCTGAGGTCCCGAGTTTGGCAGTTAGGCGGAACGGCAACCAGAGCTGGAAAGCAGGGTGTTAGCGTGCTATTTTGGCGGTAAGACAGAATGGTCTCGGCTCACTGAATCCGTCAATTCCTGCCGCTTTAGCTGAGGCGATATCGGCCTTCCAGGTGTCGACCGTGTAGGTCTCTGCGAAGAGAAGCTACAATGGCTCAGCGTTTGTCCATGTCTTTTTCATGAAGAAGCTTCCTTACCTCAAAGCTGGCAGTTACTAAGGATGCCGAGGAAAGCTGGGCGAAGGCGCCGATGAGCAGCGCAAGAAGAGCGGTGAACTTCATGTTGGCGGGCGACGACTGCAAGATAGGAAGAGATATAGTCGAAGGAGGAGACGGTGAGCGAGCAGAGAATGAATGAAGTCGGTGCAGGACTTTATGCTGACGGAGGTTGGTTACAGCGGTGGGTGTTCAGGTGGCGGCAGCCGAGATAGGAAAGAGCGGAGTAAAGCACTTAGTGGTGGCTGGACTCAAGGTGAGGTGACAGCAACATGGCACATGCGATGCACCGGGGTTTTTGCGAACAAAGGAGCGTGAATACGGATGGTTGCGGTTAGCAGTGAGCCGATCAGAGAGCAGACCCATCGAGCAGCCTTTAAAGGAAGCATAGCGCAGGGATTGGACGACACGGAGGTTTGATTGCGCGTGCACCCACCTCCGCACTTTTCCAGGATTACCGCGGGCGTGGCATCGCGGTACCCATCTGTTCATCCACCCATGTTTCACGGCAAAATCGACCTTCTCGACTTCATCCATGCGCCGGAGTCGTGCAAGGGATACGCGGATTTCAGCAGCCGCGACGCCGGCCGATCCCTCCGCTGCACTTGGGCGAGTGGCAATCACTTTCCATGCATGCTATAGTGCTTTACGTAGCACCGCCAATCGGCGTCTTCCGTGTGCTGTGCCTGGCCAGACGCAACATCGAAACGGGCAGGTCCTTGGCAACCGTCTCCCCAGAAGCGCGTGAAACAGTCGGGCAAAAAGAAGAGAGTTAGATTACGGATGCACTACAGAATCCCCATTACCTCGTCCGACGCCCTCATTAGCCATTACTCGTGCCGTGATGTCATCGCTCATTTGAACCATCCTGAGAGCCAGCTCTTCGACTGGGCTGTCTTGTCCTCGACCGTCTTGTCGAATTTGTCCACCGCCGAGTGCAGCTCCTTGGCCGTCTGCGAAGACACCTCTCCAATCTTCTTGTCGGCCTGGGCGCGGTACGCCTCGAGCTTCTCGTCGATCTTGCTCGTAGTGGCCTTCGCTTCAGCGATCTGCGAGAGGTCAACCGACTGTCGCAACCCACCTGTCGTAACTACTGACCGTCTTATCGATCGCCTCGCCTGCCTCCTCGCCCAACACCTTTGCGCTGGTCTTCGCTTCCTTTTCCTTCCCGGGGAGGTCGCCCTTGATCTTGGAAGACAGGCGCGAGGCATCATCTGCCGAGTGTCAGCTGGCGTCACAAGCCGAAACACAGGTGGGTGAGAGGTACGCTCAAACTCCCTCTCGGCCAGCTTGGGGTCACCGCCGGCCTGATACAGGTAGTATCCAATACCGCCGGCGACGCCTAGGCCGACGGAAAGACCGATGCGCGAACCACCACCACGAGCAGCCATTGTCGCAAGAGTTGAACAGAAGATTCGCGGGTTGAGACCTGTGTAATTGGGGCGATATGAGTGGATCGTCAGCTTTGTGCGCGACGAAAGGACACGAGGAGTGCGGTGGTGTTATCCCATGCCGCAAGCTGGCTGGCAATGACGTATATGCTGCCGCGCTTCACTGGGTACCCCGTCTTCGAAGGCCTGCAACTGGTTTCGGCTTAGCAGCTTCCGCTTTTAGGAAAACTTACGCCCGCCCGCCGTAAACTTCGACGACAGCGCCCCTGTATGACGCGCGAAGCTCCCTCTCCGCACCTTCACGCGCCGTCGCAAGCTTCTGCCGCGCGCCAACTCGTTTGAGCCAGGTAATTTCGTCGTCACCACTTCCAACCCCCGATTGCGCGTTGAACAAGTGCTGCATCCTCCAGAGTGAATTGCTCGTCCGTGCATCGCATCTTTGTTCACCCATCGCGACTGCTGTTGGCCCAGCGCCATGCTTTTCCCCTAGCTTCTCTGCCACTTCAGCTCCGCTGTCAGCTCCACCGCGGGGTTATGCTCGCACCTCGCGAGCTCCGCCATCCTTCTTCCTCGGCTTCTCTCCCTTCATTCCATTATATTTCCTTTTCCATCCAGACTGCTCCACGCAGTGCTTGTGCATGAGCGATGTCCCTCCTCGGCTTGGCATCCTCACGCAATGACGACGCCGACATAGCTGCAAAGTACGACCATCAGATCGAACTCGTGGATCACACCAAGTCAGATAGTGGCGACAAGACGCCAAGCGAACCTTCGTCCGGCACCCAAACCCCCGTTTCGCGCAAGCCCTCCCGCCGACTGAACCGCGCCTCGATTCGAGAAGACCTCGCCAAACGGGGGCTCGCCCGCCAGAAATACGCAAAGTGGCAGCAGGACAGATTTGAATCGGTAGACGAAGGCAATGGATCTGGGAATACGTCATTGGTGCAAATCGACTCCAAGGGGTCTGCTTTACGGTCTGAGGAGATCGACCAGGCCGCCGACACCAGTAGCAAAGACGACGACCCCATTTCGCGGAAGAAGAGCAAGCTCGAACGTGGCAAGAAGCGCGTTAAAGGGCTCGTCAACTCCAAAAAGGTCATAAAACAATCCAAGGAGGAGGATGCTGTCGTGGACGTGATGTTCGAGAACCAGCGCGGCTCCTTTTTCTTTGGTATACCCTTGTTCTCGGCCAAATCGCTGCTCAACTTCGATCCCGCCCCTTGGGTGGATGGCAAGTTCAAGCCGCTGCCCGTCAACATCACAAACGCTGCTGTGCCTGATCCAAGCTGGGAATGGGCGTGGAAGTCGTGGTATGTGGACATGTCCAATGATGTCGACGAGGAAGGTTGGCAGTACTCATTCTCCTTCCGCCATGGCTTCGCGTGGCATGGCACACACCCATGGTTCCACTCGTTCGTGAGGAGACGCCGCTGGCTTAGAAAGCGCGTCCGGAAGCATTCCACGCTCAAATGCCAGCTGGATCCCAAGCACCTTAGCGATGCCCATATGCTCACCTCTGAATACTTCACCATACACCCTCCGAAGAAAAGGTCAAACTATGCGAGTGAAAGCTTAGCTCATGCGAGTTCTTTAACCCGCGTCGACAGTCAAGACGTGCTTGATCAAGAGGATGATATCAGCGACGTTTCAAGGCTGATCAGACGACTGAAAAAGGCAACAATTGACCGTGAAAAAATCGTTCTTGTGCGCCGTTTTCTTGAAGAAGGCGGCGAAGAGCTGTACTATCTTTCTGAGCAGGTACGGCAATTGCTTCATAGTCTTTCAACACTCATCCTAATCTTCTGCAGATGCCAACCATAATGTCTCTTCTCGTATTTCAATCTTCGAGGCGATACCTACTTTCGGTACTGTTCCGACATTTTGAAGCCGCATCGGCGCACCGCGATGCCCACATAGAGCGAGGCCAGCGCGAGTCTTCTCCAGAAGGACGCAAAATCGATAATCTCATGAAGGCGTTGAATGCTGCCGATGACGAGTGTCGCAAGCTCGAGTACTGGAGCGATATCCGCCGTATCGCCCAACGCGGTGAATCTTTGGCTGCTGTCGATGCAAGCCATGGCTGGGGCCATGGCTGGGATGGCTTAGATGACACTGGCCCTGCTGAGGCGGATGAGTCTGGCACGGAGAAATTCAAGGAAAAAGGAACGCCATCCCAAGAGGTTTCTGATAACGAATCAGAAAAGCAGCAAGCGAAAGAAGTGCAAGTTGATGACCAGGAAAACTCTGGTTCGGACGTGAAGGAACGAAAAGACGATGAACATAGTAGTGGTACCAAGGACAAAGGCAAGGGTAAGGCGGAGCCCTAGCCTTCGTGCCGTCGGTCCATCTGTCCACATTACTTTTTTTTTTGTTTCTTGGAAATACGTTTGTCGTAAAAGTATATCTGACTTTGTGCAGAGCGGCTTTCTTCGTCGCCACCTCCTGAACCGCATCCGGAGTCGCCCATACGGCAGTCTTGGTTCGAGCAGGTTTTTTGGTAACAAGCAACACTGTAGTATCGAATTTCTTTTCCAGTACAGCATCAGCATCTTTACACTTTCCCCTACGCACATATTTGTTATCAATCAAGAGCTTGCGATCTTCTACGAACGCAGTTCATTGGATAAAAAGAGGGTATCAAAACATCAAGATAGCCAGCAGCTGGCAGATGTGGAGGTCTTTCTTCCAGGGCAAATGGATGAAAGAGCTGCGGAAGTTCTCAGAGAACGTAACACCTATTCGGTGACCTACATATCTTATCTTCGCGTCCAACACCATTGATCCTATTATGCAACCCCTTATCTAGAACCTCTCTTCGCCGAGAAAAATACCGAAACACCTATTTGGAAGGTCATCAAGACAGACAGTGCCCATTTAGTGAGTGGACGCCGTGACTTTAGTGCATCAACAGCCGAAAAGATGTTTCAAGTTTATACCGAAGCGAGTGATCACGGACACTTGGCAGCCCAGTTACGTTCTTGATGCTCGTATGCACAGACTGGCTTGGCTACCTTCTCGGAATAGGCACGCTTTTTGCCTAATAGCCATCCCATGTTTATGCCGCAAAAGAGATGGACTGAGATAAAGGTGGGTCTGATGAGGGGGCAAAAGGGAGAGAACGTGGAGGTGGCGTATATAAGCTTAAAGGGACCCGTGAAGTGGTAGGAGGCAAGTCTTCTGCACTTTCTTTCCGAGTAAGTCGGCTGATCTTCCGTGGTCTTTTCTGAGGGAAATGGACTCGCTGATTTTATTGTTTTCTACAGCACTCTCGTTCATACCACAATCATGCGCTTCAACACTGTCTTCGGCTTTGTCGCCATCCTTCTGTCTGGCGTTACTGCGCAGACGATGACGTGCCAGGTGCGCATTCTTGTTTTCCTATTGTTTCTATCAATGATAGGCGGAAGGTGATTGCTAACTTTGGCGACAGGAATGCTGCGAGATCTGCCGTCCCTATGACAGCGCATCTATCGAGTACGAGAACTGCACGGGTAACTGTGAGGTTTACGCCTGTTCCGGCGTTGTTCAGCGCTGCGAGGAGTTCTGGGAGTAAGCCACATGACAGGAATGGAAGGAACGTAGCTCAAGTTATGAAAACGAAATATCCGGAGGAAGATAAAGGCTCGGCCTAAATCAGAAATCTACAATTCCTCATGTCCAATTGAGCTTCACCGTTTTGATATATCCTTCCAGCGCACACCGGAGGATGAGAGTGATTATCGTACCTTGATCCAAAATCGGAACCAAAGATACCCCGGATTCTCAACGGTAGCCATGATCTTATCGGGCATTGATGGCATCGATTTCCAGTCGATAATCGTAAGCATGGTAAATTATTCATGTGTGGGGAGAGTGCTCGACATGTGTTGCGCTGTCACTACCCGACGAATTTAGTATGAGGATTGGGTTCCGCACTGCCTTACGATGATTCATTGATGTCATCAGATCCTCTCAGCTTTATTATGCGTTGCACTGCCTACAATTACTACCCAGCCACAAGAGATGTTATGATTTTCGGTCAAAGTCTTTTTGTTGTGTTGGTATTGGCATTCGGCTGAATTCAGACTCCGATAGGATGAGGCCTCGTCATGGTGGCGCGGCAAGGAGATGCTCCGCGACCCGATTTAACTTCAATATGTGCTGTCTGATTGGTTGAATTCTGTCCGTGTTCGGGACCCGCGGAGTGCGGCTGAGCAGAGTAGGGAGCGTGGATCCAATGGCGGCCCTGTATGCACAGCCACAAACACAGCTTACCGGCGTTAGCATTGACAGGCGGCGATAGGATCCGGCGTTAGTAGGGTATTGCGGTCGCCTATTTTCGATGCAATGTATATATGAACGGGTTCTGTTGCTGCCTGGGACAACTATCGAAACACCAACATTCAGCACTTTCACCATGGCAAGAGAACACAGCACAGAGCGCCGCAACGAGGAGGTCAAGGCTCCAGCCGGCGGGAAGTTTAGCACATTGTTTCCGCTCGGCCCGAAGGAGGGTTGGACTCAATGGGTGAGCTTCGTCTACTCCACTAAATCTGTACGAGGTTATTGACTATCGCTAGTGCACAAATTCATCACCTGCGACCACAGAAGAGAAGGTGCTCTCATTCATACCTGGCGTCCAGAAGCCGTCAACCGCCGGATCCGCCACGACCAAGGGTTCATCAAGCTCGCAATCGTCCTTGGCAAGCTCTACTGGCAATTCCGAAACGTCCTCTTCGGGATCTACCCCCTACGAGTCCGGTTCTCGCAGATGGAACTCGCAGCTTGTTCAACTAAGTGGCAAGGACCGCGCCCTCAATGAGTTCTCAATCGAAAGGGTTGGCGAGAAGGTGGAGCATAACCTCGTCATGCTCCATGGCTATGGCGCCGGCCTTGGCTTCTTCTACAAGAACTTTGAAAGCCTCAGCAGACGGCCTGGGTGGAAGCTGTACGCTCTGGATATGCTGGGTATGGGCCGAAGCAGCCGGCCGCCCTTCAAGATCCGGACAAAGGACCATCAGGGCAAAATCACAGAGGCGGAGAACTGGTTCATCGATGCTCTGGAGGAGTGGCGTGTCAAAAGGGGCATTGACCGCATGACCCTTTTGGGCCACAGCATGGGCGGTTATATGGTCACAGCATATGCGCTCAAGTACCCCGGTCGCATCGAAAAGCTCCTCCTCGTCAGCCCTGTGGGCATTCCCGAAGACCCTCTGGCCACGAAGTCCGATCTCCCAGAGGCTCCGACTGACTCGACCGCAACCAATGAATTCCTCCACGACCAAAACATCTCCCTGGACAACAGCACTGCGGACATCAAGCCGTCAGAAACGCAGCAGCCAGGTGAAGAAAAGCCGTTCCAGAAGCCACCGCCGAAGTGGCTCGTCCATCTTTGGGAAGCGAACATCAGTCCTTTCTCCATCATCCGTCTGTCTGGCCCCTTGGGCCCGCGCCTGACCTCCGGCTGGACATCCCGTCGATTCGCACACCTTCCTCAGGAGGAAGCACTCGCATTACATGACTATTCCTACTCCCTTTTCCGGCAGCGGGGTAGCGGCGAATACGCCCTCGCCTATATCCTGGCGCCGGGCGTCTTCGCGAGAGATCCGCTCATCCGCAGGATGCACAAGATTGGCAGGCAGGAAGGCGAGAACGGCGTGCCAATCGTCTTCATGTACGGCGATAATGACTGGATGGATGTCAACGGAGGCCTTGCTGCAGAGAAGAAGATCAAGGCTGAGAACGCAAAGGCGTTGGAGGGGAAGAGTGAGGAAGAGAAGAGGAAGGATAACGGAGACGCAAAGGTAGTAGTGATTGAGAAAGCCGGCCATCACCTGTACCTCGACAACTTCGAGCACTTTAATCGGGTGATGGAAGAGGAGCTGCAGGATGTGGAACGTAGACGGTCGTGATGGAGAGTTCCGGGCTTTTCTGTGCTTCTATCATGCCTTTTTAAGATTTGAATTTTGAGCGTCATTGAGCTCCTTAGGGAGAATCGTAATACCCATCATATAGAATTTCTAGATTTTGATAGAGAGAGACGGTAATAAGATATTCAAATACACTTACAGCTTTTCTTGGTGAACGACACTTCTATTGTGGTACACCTCGCTTGATCGTAAAACGAAGGCCATGAGTACTTCTATCCGCACCATCGCTTTTCCCTATCAGCCGCTCATACGACTTACTTTGAACCCCCTCCCATCTCTAGATGATTTTGCACTTTACAGCAAATGGTGCAATATAAGAGCACACGACCTTTTTGAAAGTGAAAGGGATTTCTCCCACAGAGACGCCCGAATCACACGTCAGAGCTTTTCTCTTCGTGACTCAAATCTACCGCGCTATGCAAAGATGTCGGAATTTCGTATCAAAGCTGCAGTAAGCGCCACCTCTTGACAGCTTCAGAGGTCTGTAAGCTGGATAAAGTCTCGTGGCACGTTTGTGAGGTGTATGTTTTCCGAGCTACACCTAATCTTTAGCGCTGAAAACAACATAAGTTGTATTCCAAATCAGACTACTCTGGTTGGTGAAAGGGACATCCAAGAGAAGTAATAACAATCGAGGAACTGATTTGAATCTTGACCGGAATGTGGTGGCTTGTTGTGAGATGCCAATTCAATACGCGCTCCGTCTTGGCTGTATTGGTGGAGATATGCTTCTCCACATTCAATGGTTGGATACTGAAAACGGCTCACGTCAGATCAACACATCATAAGACACTCTATGAACGCGCTTCAATTTTATTTGCGCAGGTTTCAACATCAAAACTCAATCTGACACACTCCCAGGCATATCACAGACTGGAGCAAAGAGGCAGTTATCAAAGATACAGCTCGAAAGAATCGTTTAAAGGGCTCTGTTACTTGAACCACGGGGAAGTGCTAATCTTTTGTCTACCTGCATCTCAATGACCAAGTTGCGTATTCAAATGACAAATACGTGCTAAATTTGTCTGCTGGTAGGCGTGCGACATTAATTCCTGTTAGTGGAAAATTCCCAGAATCGAAGTGCGCCTCGAAGCTGATGTCAGAGCTGGGCGCTGTTATGCCACGCCTCGAACAGGCATGTGCTTCGCCGTATTCCAAGCTTGAAGCAGCGTATCTGCTGGCCAAGACTGCCATCGTAGTTGATTTGCGGGCATGACCTGGTAGGTAGATCACCCCAGACTAGAAGTCTTAGTGCTTATATCCGATTTAACCGAAACCGCCATGAACACCATAGTGGGGCCAAACGGGCGAGGAAGATTAGATGGCTGGAACGAAAGCGACCAGCAGGTGCAAAAAGGAAGCGCCTCGGAACAGTAGACCCGCACGCCACACGAGCTGCCGAGACGAGGGGCGTCCTAGTGCTTATTCCCGGTCTCACCCACGTAAATTCCCCCTCTTGCAGCTAAAACGGCTACAAGGAAGCTCGGGCTCATTCTAGAGATACTATAGGTCAGCATCATGGTTATCCATGAAAGAGTCACTTCAATCCAGCGGTCGGGCGCGGGCTCTCCCCGTAGCATGGCTTGCATCGCTCCATTCAACCGGCCCGTTCGAATCTTCAGTGTGATTGATACAGGAAGGTTGCATTGCACTTCGATGGCTAGCGTGAGAAATACTTGGAGCTTCTGTGGAATAAAACCCCCGGTGCTCCCTACTTTCTCGACATTCCGCATGGAACATGGCCTCGAAAATGCTTGTTGACGATCCTTCTCTCTCTGCGCTATGCGCTGTCATCGCCGGGGTGTCATTGCACTTGGGTGTTTTCATTCGAGGTGAATGGGAGAAGTACGTTGCTCAGTTGGTGCTGCTCCAGTTGAACGCACCGCTCGCATTGCTCGCGGCACTCGTCGCATTCTTCGATCAGACACTTTACCAAGCCGCAGCAACCACAGCGCTGCTCACTGCAAGCTTCAGCATCGGCCTTTACGGCAGTATTGCGGTTTATCGTTTGTTCTTCCACCCTTTGAGGGGGTTCTGGGGTCCGACAAGCGCGAAAATAACCACTCTCTGGGCCGTCAAGGAGAGCATCCCACATTTGAGGTTCTATCTGAAGCTTCAGCGCCTTCACAAGGAACATGGAGACTGGATTCGCATTCGTATGTCCTCTGTCCGACAAAAGATCAACTTCACTAACGCAGAGTTATCAAGACCCGAGAGCGCTTTCCATCAACAACGCAGAAGCAATTCAGGACATCTACGGCTACACCTCAAAGTGTACCAAGGGCCCCTTCTATGACCTCAATTATCCCGGTCGGTCTCTGCACATGACCAGAGACAGGAAGTTCCATTCGCAACGGAGGAAATTATGGGATCGCGCTTTTACCACGCGAGGTACGTCGAAACTCTTGAAGCAGTGACATCTCCAGCTTACCAACTGCTTTACAGCCTTGAGTGACTACGAAAAGCGCCTTAAGGGACACTTCAAGTTTTTTGACCTGCGGATCTCAGAGTCTATAGGCAAGCCTGTGGATGCGACAGACCTATGCGAATTTTGGGGCTTCGACGTCATGGGTGACCTTATGTTTGGCCGTCCCTTCAACCAGCTAAAAGAGAACAAGGAGCATTTCGCCCTTGCAATGGCCCGGAAGTCCAAGTTCATAGGCGGAGCCACGCTTTATTCGTATTGGATGTTCATGCTTATCCAAAGATTTCCCGTCATCTCTGCTTTGAGGCAGAAATGGCTTGGGTGGTGCCGTAGCCAAATGGAAGAGAGACGGCAGGTAATGATCCCCTCCACCCATTACTTTTTTCAAGCATTCACACATTGCATTAGCACACCCCTGAGGTCTTGGACCTTTTCGCCCATCTCCTCCAGAGCGAAAACGAAAAGGCTGGCGAAGTCATGTCCGCCACGACCGACGTCGACGCCGTCTGTGACGCCGAACTGGCTATTATCGCCGGCAGCGACACCTCAGCTGCCACATTGGCTGCCGTGATGTACCTCTTGGGCAAAAATCCACACATGCAACCCAAGCTCCAACAAGAAGTGGACGATGCCATCGCGTCAACCGAGGGAGACTTCTCCTACAGCGCCCTCATCAACAAGCCTATGCTCGACGGCGTCATCAACGAAGCTCTGCGCCTCTACCCTCCGGTTCCAACCGGCCTCCAGCGCCTGACGCCGCCGGAGGGTTTGATGATTGCGGGCCGCTTCGTTCCTGGTGACACCTTGGTCTCGGTGCCCTGTTGGTCCGCTCATCGCGGTAAGTTTTCGATGCTCTGCCAAGAGTCCAAGGACGTAAGCTGACGCAAATCTCATCCTCCAGACCCGAGAAACTTCCCCAAGCCGGAAGACTTCATCCCAGAGCGTTGGTCGTCCATGCCCGAGCTGGCACTGCACAAGGAGGCGCTCATCCCCTTCTCGGCCGGCACGTACGCTTGCGTCGGCAAGCCGCTGGCGATGATGGAGCTGAGGATGGCGGTCGCCATGGTCGTGAGGAGGTTCGAGATTGCGCTCGCAGACCCAGTCGAGAGCGTCAAGCTGTTCGAGGAGTCGCCGGGATGGCAGGACTCCTTCACGGTTAAGGTACCGCCACTCAAGGTCTGTTTCAAGGAGCGCGAGAAGTAGCCTTGCAGAAACGAAATGCGCCTGGACGATTTCTGTCTATCTGCAGGGGGGTTTGTGGCGAGTTTCACAAGAACCAGAGGCTGCCAACACCGGCCGAAACGTAATACAGGCCAGCAGCGGATAACGAAGGGATTCAAAGGAACTTTCTCTCCACTTTTGATTAGGTTTTCAGCACTGAGTGCTTCCGATGGTTCGGAATGTCAGGAGATTTTCTTAAACTATCGGCCAGTTGACGCAATGAATTGGTGGTGCAAAGATAACATGATGATCCCGAAGACTCCGTGAGCTCCACTCAAACGAGAATCGAGGCGTAAGATGCGAAAAAAGCACAATCAGGTTGAGAAACTTTTGGGCGGCTTAAAGGTGCGGCACAAGTTATATATCTTCGGCCATCGGATGTCGCAGGCAAGTCGCGGATATTCCGGGAGCCACGAGTTCGGAGCCGAACACGGGCTTCGAAGATCGAAGCCTTGTCTCACGACAAAGCGGAAAAATTCGGCTTTGTAGTGTTGCACCGGACTTCATGTGCCTGTTGGAGCATCAAAAGAAGACTGTACATTTTCATTTTGGGGTATTTATAAGGCCAAAGACACTCTACCATGGCGATTTGTACAGACACAGCATTCCAATCGACCAGAACTTGCACAGAACAGGTCAGGAAAAAGAGAGCGCGATGGGTTCTTTGGCCGTGCAGCAGATGCCTCTTGGGCTATACCTCTGGAGGCGGTAAGCGTTATTCACGGGGACCCAGAGTTTCGAAAGTTTCTCATGTCTCAAATTTCAGGATCGCCGGGTTAGGAGTTTCCAGTATTTTCGGAGTTCCGGGAGATATGAATCTGGAACTTCTTGACTACATAAACGAAGTTGACCAACTATCATGGGGTAAGCTTTTCGAGATTCAAGCTTCGATTTTGATTTCCATTGACACTTTGCGTAGTGGGAACAGCAAATGAACTCGGCGCTGCCTACGCCGCCGACGGATACTGCAGGGTGAAGCAATGCCCCGGAGTTGGTACGTATGGCAATTCACCATCAATTGATCAGATCAGTTTACAGTTTCCCTGTAGTTGTCACTACGATGGGCGTGGGAGAGCTCTCTGCCCTCAATGGGGTGGCCGGTGCCTACACTGAGCAGGTCAAAACAATAAATATTGTCGGAACTACCTCAACGGCAGTCCAAAAGAACCGCACCATGATCCACCATTGTCTAGGCCCGAATCCGGACCACAGAGTAATGCTTTCCACCGACCACTCCATCAGTATGTGCTGATGGATTTCAGGTCTACGAGAAAATTTCGAGCCATGTGCGAGCCGCCCACTGCTGGCTTGACGATATCGACGAAGCTACATTCGAAATAGATGTACGTTCCCTCTTCGCAACACACCCAGACCTCCGTTAACCCCGTAGCAAAGAGAGTGCTCCGGACATGCATGGACACCTCTCTACCCGTCTACATCTTCATCCCCATGAACCTCGTCCACCAGCTCGTCGACGCGCCCCTCTCTCTCCACTCTCTAGACCTCCCACCCGCGCCAGCCCCCGAGGCCCTCATCTCCCTGCTCCTCTCCTCCCTCTACGCCTCCCGCAACCCCGTCGTCATCGTCGACGCGCTCGTCTCCCGCCACCGCGCGACGCCGCAGGCCAGGGCGCTCCTCGACCTGCTCCACGTCCCCACCTTCTCCACGCCCATGGGCAAGAGCATCGTCAACGGATCCAGACCGTACTACCGCGGCACGTACATCGGCCAGCTGTCCTCTCCGGACGTGCTCGCGGCCATCGAGTCGGACAGCAGCGACCTGGTGCTCGACCTCGGCCCCATGCACACCGACTCCAACACCGGCGGCCACTCGCGCCGCCTCGCTGCGGACAAGGTCATCGAGGTGCACCCGAAGGAGGTCATCATCCGCGGGAAGGTCTTTCCGAACGAGGCTGGTATCCGCGCGCTGCTTGCAGGCCTTGTCGCTGGCATCGATGTCTCGAGGCTCCCTGTCGTTTCACCGCCGCAGGCCGTCGCAGCTCCGGGGCTTGTTATTGGCGATGATGCTGGGGAGGCAGAGGAGGAGAGAATCACGCAGGCTTGGGTCTGGCCCCGCATCGCGAAGTTTTTGAGGCCTGGAGACGTGCTGGTTGCCGAATCTGGCACAGCACAGTTTGGCTTGAGTGATGTGGTGCTGCCGGACGACGTCACGTACATTACGCAAATGTACTACGCGTCGATTGGCTATGCGCTGCCAGCTTGCCTGGGTGCAGCGGTGGCGAAGAGGGAGTTGGGCCATGGGAAAGAAGGGGGGAGGGTGGTGCTGGTGACAGGAGACGGGAGCGCGCAGCTGACGGTACAAGAGGTTGGGACGATGGTGAAGTTGGGGCTGGATAATGTGCTAATGTGAGTGTTGTCGGGATTTTCGGAGAAGATGGGTTTCGGCTGACTATTGCGTGCAGACTCGTCATAAATAACAACGGGTACACGATCGAAAGGGCTATCCATGGGCCCGAAGAGGGTGAGTAAACGGCATGCGACGTGCGAATGGTACGCTAACGATGCTCTGTAGTGTACAATGACATAGCTGCCTGGGACTGGCAGCTCATGCTCTCCTTTTTTGGTGACAAGAACGGAAGAGCGCGGAGCCGTGAGGCGCATACGAAAGCGGATCTTGAGAGTATCCTGGCATTGTCCCAATATACGGCGCCAGAATCGATACAAGTAAGTTCCTAAATCTTCTCTTGTGGAGCAAATGAGCTGATTCGTGTATCCGAAAGGTTTTGGAAGTTCACATGGGGAAGATGGATGTGCCTCGGCTTTTGAGAGAGTATGTGGAGCTTGTAGCAGCTCGTACGAAAGCCTCCGAAAAGCAGTTGTAGATCCTACACTTTTTCTTGTCTTTTTGTCCTCGGCAATAATCAAATTCGTAAGACGATATGTTGAATACGAGAATCACGTAATTTGCGGAGAAGGGTTGTCGTGCAGATCATTGAATCTGCTTATTGATAGGGCTTTGTCAGGCCGATTCAAGCTGGAATCTCTAAGAGTTCAATCAGGGCTGACAATGATCAGGAAGAATTGCAATGGCTGGTTGAGCGTAAACTTAGAGAAGACTGCAAATTCTGTTTTCCTCTACGATTCCTTTTTCCCTACATTGCTATGTTGGAACGTCCAAATGAGCTCACAGTGTGAGGTAATGACATTCCCTTTGACTGACCCGCTCCGTTCCCCATAAACCCGATCGGCAACTCACCACGTATCTTACATGCATTCTCATCGCTTGATTGTCTTGGCGGAATCTGTTTCCTATCTTGGTTAGATACCCACTTGTATGCCCACGCATTTCGGTTTTGTTCAGTCAGGATTATTATGCGTTTAGATTCTAGCCCCAGTGCAGAATATGACGGATTTCTGAGCATGAAAGAGCTTGTCATTCGGTTTTTATTTTTTTCAAAAAAGGTAGCTCTCAGTGTCGGCCCTTAGGAGGAACAATCCATCGAGTTAAAATAATGATTGATTGTGTAGGATTTTCCCGAGACGCAAACCTCATCTTGAATTGCTCCCCTAGCGCAAGACGGGTGGAATTCCTCCAAAATTAACGGCCCTTTACAGCATGTCATGACCTATGAGCCACATCAAAAAAGGGTGCCCATATTTACTGATTGGATGTAGAAATCTGGCACACATCTGCTTACTTACAGTCAGATATAAAGAACGAGTATTCATAACGCCGGGCTTCTTCCACCAGGCTTCGGAACTGCCTGATAGGTCTTTCAGAGTCGACGATCTTTACTTCCATTTATTCGATCCATCATCCCACCACTTGCGCCATGCAAAGCGGGGTACAGTGCTGCTCCTTTTATCTGCCTGCATGTTCTTATCTTTATCTGGGATAATTTTCCTATTATGGCCACATGCATCTTTCATGATACTTCATGATGTTGTACTGATAACGAGTGCATTTGGCATTTGCCTATGCTTAAAAGCAGTCACTGCTCGGGATTCTCTGCAGCCACAATAATCATATTTCACTCTCTAAAGTATTCCAAGTTACTCCTCACCCTCTAAATGCCTTCACTCGAAACTACAGACTTGATCGTTGACGAGTTCGATGCCTCCTCGGTTACGAAGGACGAGGTGGTTCAGTCTCTAATCCGTAACGGTGGATGCATCATTCGCGGTGTGCTCAGCAAGGAGGACGTTGCTTCTATCGAGAAACAGGTGCGTCCGTACATTGAAGCGGACAGGGCCTGGGATGGTGGCTTCTTTCCCCCTGAAACCCGGCGCGTTATGGGCTTAGCCGGAAAGGCTCCTCAGTTCATCGAACTAATTCCCGGGAACCCTCTCTATCGTAGCGTCTGTGACGAGTTTCTCACCTCACGTTTCGAGTGCTGGTTCGGAAGCCAGAAGGAAGTCTCCGTCTCTGAGCCTCAACTCAACAACACGATCGTCTTCTCCATCAACCCGGGCGCTCGGGCTCAGGAGCTTCACCGCGACGACATGATCCACCACAACTTCCAGCCTGCCATCACATCGGACCAGTATAAGATGGGTCGAGACACGGGAATCGGTTTCTTTGTTGCAGGAAAGCGCACCACCAAAGAGAACGGGGCCACGCGGTTCGTTCCTCGTTCACATCTGCAGGCCACAGACACGCCGCCTAACGAGGCCGATGCCGTGTACGCGGAACTCGAACCTGGAGACGGGTTTATTATGCTAAGCTCCTGCTACCATGGGGGCTCGGCTAACATGACGGAGAACGAAGAGCGCTTGGTCTACAGCTGCTTTATGACGAAAGGCTTTCTCCGACAGGTAAGCTATCGGAACATCTATTCTAAGAGAATTCGTTCGGCATTTTTGACATTCATACTAGGAGGAAAATCAGTACCTCGCGAATCCTATTGAGAAGATGAAGAAGTATCCAGCCGATCTCCAGAAGATGATGGGCTTCAGTATCAGCAAGCCGTTTCTGGGCTGGGTGGACTTACAAGATCCGAGAAAGCAGCTTCTGGATGATCATGAAACTCTCGAAGGACAGGATCTGTTTTAAGTGTCACAATGATGCAAGGTATTGAGCACCGCCAACGAGGTAGCTAATTGGAAACCCATACTCGGGGCTTTGAAAACAATTTGATCAAAATGGGCGGAAGTGATCATATAAATGTGCCTCTACTTATTCTAAAGCTGGTTGGTATGGTATCTGGTGCGGCATTTAATTCTTGAAGACAACAGGCTAGCAGTTTCATTGTACTTGTTCCACATGCTCAGTAGCTCCTCCCGACTTATGGTCAGAGAGTCCAGCGTGGTCCTTTACCTCCTGCGCCACCACATCTCCAATGGTTGTCCGGTACTTGGGGAAATTCGAAACCGAGACATTGTTCAGGAAAAGCTCGTCGATCTCTTCGAGCGTGCGACCCTTGAGTTCGGGCATGCAGAAGAAGAAAAACCCCACGCAAAGGAAGTTTGCAGCTGCCCAAATGTAGCCATACTTTGCACCCTGTGAAATGTTACTCAGCGGATTCGGGCTACTGTCTGGTGGGAGCAAATCAAACTTACCCAATTCGTGTTCTCCGGGTTGATAAAATACGGAGTACAAAACGCCGTCAACCAAGCAAGAAAATACCCCAAACTTGTCGCTGTCCCTACGGTCCACGATCGTAACCTCGTACTCACCAGCTCTGTGGCAACAGGATAGCTTGCTGCGCCCACGCAAGAGTTGTAGCCAAAGAAGAACAGGGCAGTGAAGGCAATCAAGCAATCGCGCAAGACTACCGTACTCGTAGCAGTCGATGCGGCAATCGCCAGGGCCAGCATGCAGAGGCCGCAAAACGTCGCGCCGAACATGAGGATGGTCCTTCGTCCAACCAAGTGCCGCATTGCGTACATGCCGACGTTGACCCCGATGAAGCCAATGCAAGTGTTCATGACTGAGAACTTGAACGCCTCGTCAACCGTCAGGCCGCCGACAATCATGAAGTATGTGGCGTAGCTGATCAAGAACCAGATGCCGGATGCAGTTTGGCAGGCGATCATCCCGTAACAGAGGAGCGTGCGGCGCAGGTCCGTGTCTACACAAATATGGACATGAGATGCTGCAGCGAACAAACAGACAAATTCGACTTACTTCTGAACATGTCAAGCACACCCACAGTGGTTGCCAGGCGCTTCTCTTCCTCGATTCCTTTCACCATCTCCGCCCATTCGAGTTCGAGGTGCTCTGCGCTTAATGAGTCCCCGCGGAGAGTCTCCAGAGCTCTACGCGCTTGTTCCGTTTTGCCTTTATTGAGAAGGTACCGCGGGGATTCAGGGACGAAGAATAGCCCAGCTGACAGGAAGACGGGAACGATGAATAAAGTTCCGATGGGTATCTGGTAGGATGCTTTGTCCAACCTATTTTTGACCGCGTTTGTGATGGCCGCGCCGACGATACTGCCAATGTTCACCCTGCGCAAGTCAGCATCCCGAACGATGGTCTAAATTATCCGCAACCAAAAGCATATGTATCTTTGAAAGCTAGTAGACATACCAGTACGCAAACAGAGCCACCATGATAGCGCGCAGATGCGCCGGCGATGCCTCAGAAGTGTAAATATTGGAAAAGGTGACAAGGAACCCATTGGCAAAGCCGAGTATCAGACGTCCAACATACACGGCCCCTTTATTCTCGGTAGAGATCTGGATGATGCAGGCAACAGCATTGAGCACGCACGCCGTCCAAAGCGCTGTTTTGCGGCCGTAGAAATGCGCAAACACTCCGGCCGTAAGGGAGGATAGAAAAGATCCAAGCGTCAGCAGGCTACTGATGAGTTGCTGAAAAGTTCCCTGTGTCCCGAATTAAGCATACTGTAGTCTTTGTAGAGTTCGCACAAACATACACCAATGGCATACCCGCCAGGACTGGTGGGGTCGGGGTACCCGAAAACAACGAGAAACCCGGGCATTGCCTGTAAACCACCGACGGCCGCTGAGTCAAGGCCGTATTGCATGTTCGCAATAGAAACGATGGTGCAGATGAGTAGGCATTTTCTGTTTGCCCACAGCGAGGTGTGCGGTATCAGCGTGGTATCCGACATGTTGACATGACGCTGCGCCTGTACCAGACCTCAAAGGCCATAGCGCCTTTAAGAATCTTTCGGATCAATATATGCGAAAACATTGGCCTAGAGGCATGGCAAGCCACAACATGGGCACATTGGGGTAGGGTCAGGCTGGGGCCCCGCACTTCGGCAGTGTAAAGTATCACTACCTAGCGTCGTCCGGGGGAGAGTGCGGGGAAGAGCCGATCTTCAACCCCAAAACGGTGGCGCACGCCGATACCTTGTTTGTGTTGTTTTACACTGCAGCCTGGGCTACGTGGGTCGGAAGAGGGGTACCGTAACGCTGGGGGAAAGAAAGTCGAACCGATCAGGCATGATATCGCCTTGAGTAAGTGTTTGCGTGGATGGTGACTGGCGAGATGCCGCTCGTTCTTTCCCAAGCATTTTTATTCCTCTAGCGTACTTTACATATATTGCTGGGCCGTCCCACACCCCTGCGAAGACGCTAGTCAACCCCGGAAATACGACAGAAATCGTCTCCAGGCAGGCATCCGATAGTATGCATCCAGCCGCCGGACTTCTTCCGCTGTCAGAGTATGCCGCCCACTCTTAAGGTCAGCTGTGGCTGGATCCTGTAATTTAGTGCGGTAAATGATTTTGTGGGCGATGGTAAATACGACGACAATGATGGCCCCGATCATGTACTGGAAAAAAGAATAGACAGACGCAGAAGATGATCCCTACTCCGATTAGTATTGTGCATTCGAGCAAATACCGGGCATGACGGAAGGATACTTACGATCGGCATTAGCCCAATGTATATGCAACAGATCAGTAGAAGTACGGTGCAGGTAAACAGCCAAGCTGGAGACAGAGGCCAAGCCCAGCTACGCCATGCGTACAGCTCATTAAAGAGCGGATCCCGCTGTGCCTTCAAAGCTGCACGAAATCTCCAAGATGTGAGGCTGATCACCGCCCAAACGATGAAAAAAGAGGACGAAGTGATGGAACCCAGCCAGGTAAAGACCTCAGCACCGGTGTCTGCGCCTGTCAGCTGCTGCAAGTGCAAGGGAAATCTGGGCTCACTTACTCGACAGATTGATGTAAGTCAGCATTGTTGCAATGGCCAACGTAATGGCCAAACTCCACCTTGGCCGTCCCCTTCTATCGACCTTCGCCAAGAATCTCGGGATGAGCCCTTGCTCTGCCATAGCACGGAGCACTCTCGAAGATATGTAGACACTCTCAACTGCGACACCTCCGATCCCGATCATGATGACAATATTGAAAAAGTCTGGAACTCCGGAAATGCCGGCGTCGTTCATGGCAATGACGAACGGGGACGCCGCCGAGCCTGAGCCGCCGAAGAGGCGTTCGTCATCCATGGGGACCATGAGTGTGCACAATACCACGCTTAACATGTACAAGATGGCGTTGCGGTAGGGAATAAGTTTTGTGGCACGTCCCATTGAAATTCGCGGGGTTTCCGCTTCGCCGGCCAGAATTCCAACGAACACTTGGTCTCCGACGGCCCAAAGCCCCAGGAGAGCGCAGTTCGAGAAGCCCTGCACACAAGTTAGTGGGCTACTCAAAGGAACATCCAATGTGGCATACCTGGAAACCATTCGCAAAAATTGGTAGAGTCCTCCAGTATTCGCCATTGTGGACGCGGCCAGTGGGACCCCCGCCCGCAATGATCACGATGGAAACGATTATGACAATGATCAACCCGAATATCTTGAGCAAGCCTGCGAAGTACTCATAAAAGGCAAAGTACCTATTTGGTAGAAGGAACAGCGCGATAATGAATACCATGAACACCGACACTGGTCAATATCAGCGAAAGTCCTCGAGGTATGAGCATGTCTTGCTTACACCAAACAGCTTCATGCACGGAATCTTCTGCCCAGTAGTTCACAATGACGGTGAAGACGGTTGCTTCGGCAGAAGACACGGCCGTCCATCCTAGGACTGTTAACAAACGAATAGGTTCTCATCCAGCGCGAAACTTACCCAACCACTCCGCGAAACCAGCCGCGAAAGCCAAGGACGGATCAAGCCAGCGTTGCGCATAGTTCACGAAGTTTCCAGAGACAGGAAAAGCTATCGTCATTTCCGCAAGCGTTTGAAGGGCTGCTGCGACGCAAGTACAAAGGAGGCCGTAGCCAAGGACCATGTTACCAGGCCCACCTGGGTGACTTGTCAGCTACGCATACATGCCAAAGGGGGGGCCCAGACCGTACGTACCAGTGTGTAGCGCTTTCCCTGTCGCAACCATCAACCCACTCCCGATGTTACAACCCAAGGATCTGGAAGAACATCAGCACAGCTTGTTGGCGCTGGGGAACCGATCAGGCTTACATGATCTACTCTCCGTTAGTATTCGCCATTTCTCACAGGCCATTGGCTTGGTTTCTTACATGAACCATGTGAGGGGATACATTTCGTTTGAGCTTGTCCCCTTCCTTCACTTCTATCGTGTCGCCAACATCGATGTCACTGTCGACCGGCGCCGGGAGGGTTTTTGCAGATTCTTTATCCGATTTTGTGTCCATTGTGAGAATAAATCAGAGCCACGAGGCAGAAAAGCAATTGAGAGAGGAAAGGCTGCATGGAGTGTGCACGCTCTCAGAAATCAGTGATGGCTCGGACTTTAAATGTGTAAAGCTCTGCCAAGTGGGAGCAATGGTTCCTGATAACAACCCGACCCAATCGGACGCTACCCATTCTGACGAGTAATGGAATGCAAGCTCTGACACAAATGGGCCAGACGTAGAGCTAAAGTTCCAGTTCGAATTCAGACTTCCGGTAATCGAGTGTGCACTATCGTGATAGCAGGGGCATAGCATTGCATCATATCGATAAGAGAAAGTGGGATGCAACCGGGAAGGTTAGCTTACCCGAGCCTGGAAGCCAGCGGATCCGCAGGCGGAAGGCCACCCCGACGAAGCCACTCAGGTACGTCAGCTCAAAGGATCTGGATTTGATACGGATAACACTCTGTAGCCGTGGCTTTTTCTCCTCCGCGTGTGTGGCGTTGCCATTACGAGCATGGATTCTTGACACAGACGCTATCACCTCTGAGGTATTTTCCACACAGAGACGGTTGAATGCTCATGCCTATCTTGCACTGAATCTCGGGGGTTCGTTTCATGATACAGAGCCTTTCTTTCCAGGGCAACACCAAGGTCTATCGGATAAGTGACACACAGAATCCGCCCCAACCGTTCCGCCTCCTTTCCCCTTCCCATAGCGCAACGAGGGCACAAAGATCATCACTGCCCCCGATACATCTCCTCAATAACCTCCCGATGCCCCTCCCCGCTCGCCCTCCTTATAACCGTCCCCTTCGGCGCCCTCACCAAACTCCCCGGCCTAACCACCCTCACCATCCCCCTCCCCACCCTCGCGCACGCCGCCACGCCCTCATTCGCCTTCTCAATCACCGGCCACACCTCCTCCACAAACCTCTTTTCCTTCTCCCCTTCCCCTTCCCCCTCCGCCCCACCGCCGCCACCCGTGCCAACCAACTCCTCCATCGGCTCAACCAACACCCCAGGCCGCGCGCGCCCCGCACCAACAACCATACAATGCGCGACGCGCGGATGGCCCCGCACAGCGGCCTCCCACGGCCCGGGGAAGAATTTCGCGCCGGAGGCCAGCTCGACGGCGTCGTCTACGCGCCCGTAGAAGCGCCACAATCCTTCGCTGGCGCGCGCCGGGTCGGGGTGCGGGACGAAGAGGTCGCGTGAGCGCCATTCCGAGGTCGTGGTGGAGGGGAAGAGCCAGGCGTTGCCGCGGTGGCGGATGGTGGCGGGGTCGGTGGTGGGGGGGAAGATGAGTTCGTGGGGGATGGGGTCGGGGGAGGAGGGGGAGGTTGAGGAGGATGATGAGGAGTGGGAGGAGGATGGGGGAGAGGAGGATGAGGAGGAGGATGAAGAGGGTGGGTTGAGCGGGAGGACGGGCTCGAAGACGGCGCCGACGCAGGGGGCGAATTTGATGTAGGCCCAGTCTTCGGCGTGTGGGGGGATGGTCGGGATGCTGCCGGTTTCGGTGGAGCCGACTTTTGTTGTGGGAGACAAAAGGTTAGTTTGGGGGTTTAGGAGGTAGGTGGTTGAGGCCCTTACAGAATGTCTTGACGGTCGTGTGCTTGCTCAGGTCGTCGCCTACCCACGGTGGCAGCGGTGCTCCCGCAAAGGCTATGAAGTGCATCTCCCTCAACTTTTCGGGGCCGCCGGGTACTTGCATGACTTGCTCAATGGGGAGTGTGCTGCAGAACATGGCTTCGATCTTCTTCTGGTTCATGATGTCTACTAGGACCTTGCCCGACACAGCACCGGGTACTGCGGGAGGTATTACGATGGTTGCTTCGAAGTACACCGGAATGGTCATCATGGTGTAGACGCCTCCAAGATGGAATGGCGGGAAAGGACCGAGGAAGGTTCGGCGCTCGAACCATTTGAGCGAACCGTCTTTGTAGCCTGGAACTGGTGGGACTGGTTCCGAAGTAGTGCTGAAGAATCCAAAGTTCATCGTCATTGGCTTTGGGAGACCTGATTCGTGTTAACCAAGAGGCTGCATCAGGAAGTCAGATCACAAACCAGTTGTTCCTGAGGTATGGATCACAACGACTGGATCCCACTTCGCTTCTTCGAACGTCTTCTCGTAAGGATAAGGCTTGGATTCCGCGGCCAAGCATTCATCCAAAGACGCAATCTGGACAACATCCAGTGTGTCCGAGGTCGCTATGCACTGCAAGTTTTTTGCAATCTGTCCCATAGGCGGAGCGTAGAAGATCCTCTGGCATTTTGTTGCTTCAAGGATGGACTTGCTGGCCTCAAAGCTGTTCAAAGGAGAAATGAATAGCGTCTGGAGCATGTATAAGCAAGTTTAATCGACGCTGCGTGATGATGCATACCTTGTATCCGCACTTGATGGCGGCGAAGAAAAAGATGGCGTAGCGCAAGTCTGACGGTCCAATGTATGCAACAGTACCGAAATCCTCGCTGCGGCCCCATCCATTGTGAAGCCACCAAGCAAAGGCGTCTATGGCTCGGAGAACTCCGCCGACTGTGACATCACGGAAGCCGTCCGAAAGGTCTGGTGAGAGAGCGTATGAGGCATAGATCCTCTCTGGCTCGTCTTGAGCTTGGTTTTGAAGGGTCTCCAGTATTGTCTGCATTTTGGCGGAGTGTACGAGTGCAGAGGAATTCGACGGCATGGCACTCGGTTTTAAAGGAGTCATTAGCATTAACCACTAGAATTACCCGGAAAGGATATTCTGTGTTGGTCAGATCGATTGCGTAGGAATATGACCCTGTTACTAGTGCTTAGGTTATATCGGCCCGCGTGGACGACCTAGTCAGCCTCGCAAGTGTATAACGGCCCCCATTCTTTCGCACGCACCCCGATCATCGATCGAGATGGGCAATGTGGAAATGAGAGGAAACCCATGGTGCGGTAGATGGGATTGTCGATTTTAGAAAGTGAATGACTGCACGGGCCCAGATGCAGGATAGCCTGAGCTGCGATTGTAGGAACGGTACACTATGTTCAGACGGTTGATAAGGGTTAATTGCAAGCGCTTAGCGCGGAGCATCTAAGTGTCACAAGCGGGGGCCGCGGATCATTCCCCGCCGAGGGAGTTGCTGGTGGGGTACGCGGGAATGCAGGGGCACAGGGACCACCTCAACGACAACAACATCACCACATATACAAATCAGATTGCTATAGGTTCTAGCCCCTGGGTATCGACTCACGTAAACTGCCACTGAAGCTCCATCTCTAATCTCAACATCTAGGGAACATGAACAATACGGAATTAAACTCCCAGCTTCTCGCTGGCAAGCTTGACGCCCTTGACACGGCTGGTGATCTTCTGGAAGGCAATGTCCCTAGCAAAGTCGGGCGAGCCGTGCTTGGGCTTCACGTCAATGCTGAAGGGGCTGAAGCCACAGTCATCGGTGGCGCCGAGCTGGTCGACGGGAATGTACTTGGCCGCGTTGATGAGCTGTTCGGCAACCTCTTCGGGCGTCTCGACCTTGGGGTCGAGGGGGTTGATGACGCCGATGAAAGCGACCTATACAACGCCACGGTCAGCCGCCACGCTCCTTAACAGGACTTGTTTGTGAGCTTACCTGCTTGACGCCGTTGGCGTCCTTGCGGATGACCTGGCCGATCTCCTTGTAGACCTTTTCCTTGTCCGTCTCGCTGGCGCACTGGATCAAGAAGTAGCCGGCGTTCATCTGGAACATGCTGGGCAAGAGCTCGTGGTAGTCGACGTCCTTGCTGTGCACGCTGTCGCAGTCACCGCCGGGGCACGTGTGGATGCCGATGTTGGCGCGCTCCTCGGGGGTGAAGCGGTCGAGGACCTTGTTGTTCAGGTCAATGAAGGTCTGGAGGAGGTTGGCGCCAGTCCACGGGTTGCGCGGGTCCTTCTTGGAGGCCAGACGGCCCTCAGTGAAGTCGATGCTGACGCGCTTGGCGCCGGCCTCGAAGCACAGGCGGATGTCCTTCTCGCACTCGTTGACCAGGTCCTCGACGAACTTGTCCTTCGGGTAGCCCTCGATCTCGCCTGGAAAAGAGTATCAGAATGTGAGTCCTTCCAGTTTACCGGCAGCCTACTGACCTTGCAGAGGGTACAGCAGGTACAGCATGCTGGGCGCAATGACGGCCTGCTTCAGGCTGGCCTTCTTGGCGAACGGCTTGCTCTTCTTAAAGTAGTCGGCGGCATAGGTGTTGTACTTCAGCGGGCCCTTGACGAGGCGAGGAAGCTGCCTGTGGTGTCCATCGTCGAAGATGGCGAAGAACTGGCCGTCGGGCGCGAAATTCTCGGACAGGCCCTTGCCGCCAAGCGTGTCAATGATGGGGTAGGTCGCGAACGAGGAAGCCTGGCACAATCGAGGTCAGCTTTCGACACGGCTTTCAAGAAATGTAGGTTCCCGTACCCTCTGCTCGCCGTCAGTCACGAACTCGGCGCCAGTCTCCTCGAAGCGCTGGACCGAGTCGGCTGCAGCCTTGTCCTGCGCCGCAAGCAGCTCCTCCCGCGTGGCCGTGCCCGCGTCATAGGCGGCATACACGTCCTGCAGGTACTTGGGCCTAGGCAGGGATCCAACGGGCTCGGTGGGAATGGGCATTGTGTCTCGGTGTTTCAAATGCTCTATGCGTACCGTGGGACTGGGAGAGGGCGGAGTCTCATATAGTGGGATGCGGGGCAGAAGAGCTGATTCGTGTCAGCAGGTGGAGTCGTACCATTGCGGAACCTCCCGCCCGTTTTGAGGTAAATCGGCGGAGGGCTAAGCCTCCCGCAGTATGGTCAGGTCCATTTTGACAGACCCTGTGGAGCTTATTGAACCGGGAATCCCAGTCAAACTTTTCCGCTCGAAGCTAAACATCTGCAACGCCCGGATATGACGCGCTTTTACCCGCGCTGACCGCCCATTATTCAGGTGGAGTACGTCGATAACTGGCCATTGATATCATTGCAACCTTCTGTCCGAATTTATTGGGTCGGAATCCGCACTCAAAATCTCCCCATTGTCCAATCAACGCCGGCGTTTCAAAAGTGGGGCCAAATGATCAGCAACCACTCCACCATCGTCAGATACCATGCGCTCAAGCTTTTCCCCATCATGCAGTCATGGAAGCGTAAGAAGCTTGTGTGCCATCCGTCAAGATCTCTATCGAATAAACAGTTCAAAGTCGTACTGAAGAAAATAGTACAGCCCACAACGCAATCGGATGAGAGGCATATTACATAAACATTCTCTTCATCCTCGCCTCCTCAATCACAAAGTCTTTTGCATACATAATCTAAATCTAATCATGTTATGGTATCATTGATGGATTAAGCTCACAAAATCACACTCCTCTCATTCTCTACTTCCGAGTGGCTACTACAACTTTCCTGATTCGTAACCAATGCGGGCAACCGGGCTCAGGCGTCTTTGAAATATATCTCGAAACGACCAAAGAACCATATTGACAATTATGTTTTTCACTTCGAGCTCTCGTTTCAGATTTCCAACTGCAAGGAAACTTTTGGTCCAAGAGCTGTGTTCAGGGGGCAAGTATTCTTCCTCAAAATCAGAAAAGAGAAAGGAAAGCAAATAGTTGACTAAGCAGTACATCAGCCACGATCTGGCGCCAGTGTCTTAAACACGATCCATCATGGCGGGGTAGGACGCCACCCCCACAGTGGAGGGTTAAGGCTTACGTCCGGTACCTGAAGTGATGTGATCATTAATCACCACCTCCCTCGGTCTTGCGACGAGAACCACCTCAACGTCTATTACCGGCGACCATTGGACGATGATTTAACCCCGCTTCGGAATGAAATTCATATAGAAAGCAGCTGTAAACCTCCCTGAGGTGGATTTGTTACTGTCTTCTACGTTTTCCAGATCTGCCAAACTACCTTTTCCATCCATAAAAATGGCCGAACTCCGCTCCGCAGTCTACGTCGTCCCTCCCATCCCCTTCCAGAACCCGAGCGACCCGAAAAAGAGCGCGGGCGTCTGGTCGCCGACCTCCTGCACCCTGATCTACTCTTCCACGGCCGCAGTCCTCGTCGACACCCCCATCACCATCAAAGACACCGAAGCCCTGATCACCTGGATCGAGCGGATCGCGCCGGGCCGCAAGCTCGAATACATCTACATCACCCACGGCCACGGCGACCACTGGTTCGGCATCCCCATCCTCCTCAAGCGTTTCCCGGAGGCCACCCCCGTCGCGACGGCGGCCACGATCCGCCATATGGAGCACGACAGCGAGGAGAAGCAGTACAACGCCGTGTGGGAGTCCCGCTTCCCGGGCCAGATCTACCGGCCCTTCACGCTGGCGAAGCCGCTGCCTGTAAGCAATGAGTTCAAGCTGGAGAACCGCTGGGTGATGCGGGCCGTCGAGGTCGGGCACTCGGATACCTACGACACGTCGGTGCTGTGGGTGCCCGACTTGAAGCTGGCCGTGTGCGGCGACGTCGTCTACGGGCAGGTGCATCAGATGCTGTTCGAGGCCAACACCAAGGCGAAGCGGGAGGAGTGGATCCGCGCGGTGGAGAAGGTCGAGGCGCTGGGACCGGCGTACGTGGTGCCGGGCCACAGGCAGGCCGAGGAGATTGACGGCGTGTGGCATCTTGCCAACACCAAGAAATACATCCAGGACTTTGGCAGGGTCTTGGAAAGTAACCCCAAGAATGCGCGGGAGCTGTTCGCGGCTATGAACAAGTTGTATCCTGACCGGTTCAACCCGGCGGCTTTGATTATGAGTAGCATGGGGGCATTCAATGTACCAAGAGAACACCGGATCTAAGCTGTAGTGAAATGAAATTCCTGAGTTCGTTTTGCGCATTGATATGCGTTGCTATATTCAATTGAACTTCAAAAATGTGCAGAATCACCAGTTTCAATTGTTACGGTGTTTTGAATGATCTTTTCCGTGATTGTGTCCATTCTCGCTCCCATGCCCGCTCCCACTCGGAGAGACTTCAGCTTCGGTCGCTACTCCTCCCATGGCTTACAACGGCACAGGAGAGGAGTCTCGCATTTTTCCATCTATTGAATCTTCCCTCATAATTTAAGCCTACCTTGTGCGCATTGGAGTCAGTTTCATATCAGTCCACTAGTGTTGAGCAATGATTAGTGATGGTGCCTGAATTCGGAACTCGGTTCAACTGTATACAAAATAGGCTCTTTCTTTTTGAATAGTAATCCTCCCTATCACTAAACATGCAATTCTATAGTTGTATGTAAATTGCCTGCTAACTGCAAGCAGTTTTGTATCTTCACTCCATTTCCCAACCTTCCACGAAAATCCACTTCCGAAACCATCACCATGCCCCTCTGGCTCTTCACCCACAGTGCTGGCGCTTTCTCTGCTGAAGAGAAAGAGGAGCTCGCAAAGAAAATCACACGACTTTACACCAAGATCGGCCTTCCTGCCTTCTACGTCAATACCCAATTCTTCGAAAGGGGACCATTCGACATCTTTTGTGGTGAAGAGAGCCCCAAAAAGTTCACCACCATCTCCATCTACCACGTCGCCCGCGCTTTCCAAAATGAGGCTCAGCGAGACAAGTTTCTCGAAAAGGTCGACGGCATCCTCAACCCCATGCTGAAGCCAAAGGGCATGAGCTGGGAGTACTTCATCCAGGAATCTCCACGCGAGTACTGGAAGATCAACGGCATAATCCCACCACCGACTGGATCTGAGATGGAGAAGAAGTGGCTTGCGGCCAATAAACCCATCGAAGAGGATTCGGCAGTGCGTTCGAAGCTCTAAATCCGTGGCTGTTTATGGTGAGCTCTTCTATTCCACTTTGAACATAACCTCAGGTTAATGAGGCATACAGCAACGTGTTTTCATTTCCGGGAATTTTGGGTTGCAATACATGAGGCTTATCTTCATATAGCATCAACGATGACCCTCTTTGAAGCGGACAGAGCGGAAGTTATTGTGAAACATATCTGCAAGCAGCACAATATGGGACAACTCTTGTTGCTTAAAATCCCTTTCGTTCAAGGTCTTAGTCCATTTGTACTAGCTGAGTGAGGAGGTCTGACGCGTGTGTTCTTTGTTTCATTCCGGCTTCTAAGTAGCTACAATCTAAACACCGGCTCATCTCGCATGGTGTGGGCCAATTAAATGCAGTATGACCAGTGTCTGCCATGGTAGTGTTCTGCTTGCTTAGTTCTCTCCTTCCCGGGTCCCTAAGAGTTCATTCCGGTCAAGTGGCGCAGCAAGGCCCATGGCTTTTGAAAGAGAACTTGCCCCTTTAAACTTGCTATGCTTATCACCTGAAAGTATTAGATCTTGCAAACATTATGCCTCGCTGCTCAGATCATATGTTCTTGTGAAGAAGAATAAAATATAAATAAATGAAGTACCTGGTATCTAAAACTCTTTTCTTCCCTGATCGTCTATTTTGTTGCGGCGAGAATCTTCCAAGTTCCTCGCCGGTCACCGTCAAAGTCTACACATCATCCTCGGCGGCCTGCTCTCCAGCACTTCGCTCAAATCGCCGTACAGCTCCAACGACCTCCTGATGCGATACTCGTCAAACTTCTCCGGCTGCGAAACCTGCATGATCCACATGGCCGCGTAGATCTCCTCCTCATCGCTCAGCGGCACGTGGCAATCATGCAGCTCGTCATCCTCGATATGCTCCACATCCTCCACCACCTGCACGATGCGACACCGATTCAGCAGCCCCACCGGCGCATCCGTCTCGAACTCGCCATCCTGCGCCGCCACGGAGCGGTAAAAATCCAGGTACCCGATGCCGTACCCTTCGACCGGCCTCCTCGCCAGGCTCTTCCGCAGCGCCGCCTGGACGAACTTGTGGGCGCGCAAGCCGCGCGCGAGGGCCCGCCAGTCGTACTGCACCACGCCCTCCGCCGCAGCGGATCTGTCTTTCTGCCGGCACTTCTCGGCGTCGAGGTCCCAGAGGAAGCTGACGAGGTCGCCGGCGACGAGGCCGTCGCGCCAGAAGGACTGGCGCAGCTCGATGCGGTTGGCGAGAGCTTTGCTGCACCGGCGCAGGCGCAGCGTCGCCGGCGCGGGCAGGAAGGACGTGATGCGGCGCAGCACGTCGATGGGCATGCCGTCCAGCGCCGGCCGCGGGTACTCTCTGGCGTCGTCGTCTACGTGGTATTTCAGCGGCGGCGATGCTGATGATGATGATGCGTCATCCGATACCGGGCGCAGTTGCGTCAGGACCCATTCTGTCAGCTCGGGGATGTTGGCGGGGTCGGCGCAGAGCCACTGTGGGTCTTTGGATCAGCACGGTCGCTTGCAGATGATTTGGTGGATGGTGAAAAACAGGGTGTTTGGTTCGGAGGCAAGAAGAAGAAAGAAAGAAAGGAGAGATGGCGTACCTCCCATCCACGCTCCTGCCCCCAAAAGTTGCGCCAGAACCGCGCGGCGCCGTAGTAGCCGTGCTCCCACCTCACGCTGTGCGACTGGCTGGCGATGCGGTAATGTAACCGCTTGAGAGAGCCGTAGAAGTTCTGCAGGACGGCGTTCGTAGAAGGTTCCGGGTGGGCGCCGCGGAAGAATCTGTAGCGGCGCGCGCGTTCGGCGATGTCCATGCAGGCGCTGTGCATGGCGTATACGGGTCCATCGAGCTCGCTCCCTCTCAGGAATTTGTTGATGGTGCTTTGTCTTGAGCTCTCAATCTGCTCAAAGGCTTGCAAGAGCGAATCAATGCCTTCTACTCTTCTCGGACCCTCATCATCTTCGACGAAGAAAGTGTCCTGGTCGACGGCGTTGCATTGGCGCAACCACTGTAGATGTTAGTGTGAATCAATATCAACGCAATCGAACGTCTTACATCTGTATCTTCGGATGCAAGTACTGAAGAATCATACGAATATGGCGACCCTCTCACATCTGGATCCACGTCCAGGGAGCTGAAAGGGCATCCGCAAATGCAGCAGTACGTGGTGGTTGCGCGACACATGGCGTTCTCTCGGCCTTCTCGAAAGCTGGCAGGGTGCGCACCTTTTGTGGAAGCTACTGTGGGTCCGATAGGGATCCGTCTCTCGAGGGTGGTGTGGTCACACCTGATCTCATGCAGGTCCGCGATCAATGGCCTTCCGAATCTTTTTCGTCGTGTTTCAACTGCACCCTGACAGCTGCATCCATAGCTGCGGAAACGAGCAAGAGGTTACGAATTGCTTGACTGTACTTGGCAATTTCTGTGCTCCTAGCTTATCAAAACCCCACGCCGCTCTTCCGAACCCGATAATGTGCGTGCATCCAAGGGATAGGCCCGAATCCGGCAGTCGTATGTATGAGTCAGCCACGAAAGCCGACCGCAAACTTCTTGATCGTCGGTGTATACATAGGCGACAATTACAGTCAAATATCTGAATGAGTGTAGGGAACCCTGGAAGAGAAATGAATCGCTTCACAGATGAGACACGTCGCAGAGTGGGCTGCTGAATATCGCAACGTAACGGAGCTTGTTTGCAATCATTCTCAATTGTCAAATGAATAGTATGATTTGTACAGTCGGAAAAAGTTCAATATGGACATCGAATAACATCATTCAGTGCTCTCTGTTCAGTGAGTCAGCTGCCACCTTCTTCTGTAGGTGGAGGTGCAATTCGCACAAGCACTCAGCTGCTTAGAGAGTTCCGAAGCCACGGCCTCGTGCACGGGGAAGGTCGGGTGCAAGCTGTTGAGCCAGAAGTACTCGTTCACGGCGGCGCCGCAGGCTGCGATGGTCGTGTTCTGCTCGTCCGTACCGCTGTGAACCCAGGGGTCAGTATATTACAACGTGCAAGTAGATCATAGGAACATACTTCTCGTAGTCGGCGCAGTAACCAGTCGTGTTCTTAAGACCGGCGGTCTGAGTGTAGCTCGAGGGATCATCCAGAATCTGGTTGAAGAGCGTGTGGGCATCGAATTGGAAGACAGTCGCATCGGTGTGCTTTTCCTGAAGGGATGAGGCAAGGTTGGAGATGCGGTCGTTGAAGTCAACGACAGCAGGCTTCTCGAGGTTGATGCTGTCACTGCCTTGGCCAGTGGTAAGAGGCGTGCGCTCAAGAGGTGGTACGTTGAGGAAGAGGAAGTTGCGAGCACCGCTGGTGTAAAGCTGGAACGCTACCGTTAGCTTTGCTCTTCTTAGATGCTTGAGTTGCGCTACTCACCTGGTCAACCAAGCCACTATACTCAGTGAAGATGGCGTCGATCAGGGTGGAATTCTGAGACCAGTAGCTGTTTCCAACATCGTTGATGCCGATCCAGACACTGAAGAGAGTGTTGTCACTCTGCCAGACCTTGCTGGCGCCATCAGCTCCATACTTGGGCAAGTACTCGTCCTGGATTTGCTGCTTGAGCGAGATAACGGTATCCGCATAGGGTGCAACAAGATCGCTGTCAACCGTGGCGCCTCCATACGCAAGGTTGTATGTCTGAAGCAAGGAGGCGTTGTACTTGTAGGTGAGGTATCCGACCCAGTTGGGCCCGCTGTGGCGTGGAGGGTTAGTAGGTGGTTGAAATTTTAGACACAATGACGTACTTGGAGGAAGTCCAGCCGCTATCTCAATGTTAGTAACAGCTCATGGAATGCGGCGTTCTGGGCTTACGGGTATGTTGGGTTGCCAAAGGGATTCTCAGCACTAGGCTGAGTCGAGCTCACGTCAAAACCAGTTTGTGTGTAGCTATCACCGCTGCAGGACTCATCAGTCAGCGCATAGTGGAGATTCGGGTTTCAATACGGGACGCACAATGAGAACCAGTACTGCAGGCCGGCAAAACCCGGCCAGGAAGCATTGGCCTGGCGGGGAGCATGGGGGTAGGCCTGAGCTCCCGAGGCGGACAGCGCAGCTGCAATAAGAGCAGAGATCCTCGTCATGATGAATAAAGTCAAGTGAATGAACGTAACGGGAAACGATATTGAGGGTACCGGACCTTAACGAAAAGAAGCTTGTTGCTAGCGAAGGCTGGGGACTATATAAGAGCGTCTCCCTGACATGGAGCTACTGGTCGGGTAAAATACATGACAGGCTGGTTTGGCGCACGGAGACATCAGGCGTGTTTCTGGTGGTCTGTTTACCATAGCTTCGTGTATAATTGGCGGCAGCGGTGGATGCGGGGAGATGGTGTGGGCAGAAAGTGGCTGCTCCGTGCCTGAAAAAGGAAAGCTCGGCGGAAGGCAGATCCGGCATGAAACAATGAAACGGCATCAGATAGAAAGAAATGGAGAAAAGCTAACTTTCCGCCGGCTGTACGCGCCGAGCTTGCGCCCAACGGCGTCATTGCAAATATAACATCAGGAGTGCTCCCTACCATGCTGCACCTCGATGCATGCCGAAAAACGCCGCCCATATGCAAACCGACGATTGATGCGGCTGAAGCACTGTCAGTGGCGGCGGACAGGGTCGTACCTCAGCGGCTTCCCGCGCGGTGCATGATCGATCGCCCTATCCATGCAATATTAAGTACGTTTCAGGGCGAGGGCGCTGTCGCCTCGCTTGGGTTTCGCCCATCCGGCCGCTCGCTCGTATTTAATGGGCTTGGCGGCGGCTGCGATGTGTGAGTGATGTGGGCTGGTGTTTCCGCAGGGCTGAATGGCGTCTCCTACCCAGCTGCTTTGGGTGTGTGGATAGACTGTGCGGAGAGCCGGGATGAAGTTCGGTGTGCAGAGTGTCGCGCCGCCTGGCCGTCGCGCCGTGGGCTCCACAGCGCCATTCGCACACGTCGCCCGCATCACAACGCCGCTGGCCCGTAGCCGCCCGCCACCATGGAGCTCAGCATTGGCTCTATCTTCAAGTACCTGTTCTACACCATCGTAGGCTACATCTTCGTTGGCTCGCCCATTTTGCGAATCTTCCTGGGTGGCCGGCCGCCGGCGCCAGAGTTTGAAAACTTCGTCAAGAGTGACCGTCTCGTCATCCCCGACGAGAACCTGGTCTGCCCGGACTATGGCTACAATGTGCGTATCCTCAGCAGGGATCCGCTTGTCATCTACATTCCCGACTTCCTGAGCGCTGCAGAAGCAAAGCACATGGTTGCTATCAGGTGAGCTCCGCGCAGACGCGTCTCCATGTATTCCTGCATCCTGATTGCCCTGCAGCGAGGACAAGTTCAAGCCGTCGACCGTATGGACTGGGGAAGAAGAGCGTCTTGACCCGAGCGTGCGCGTATCTGAGAAGGCCGAGATAGAGCGCGACGAGGTGGTGCAGTGCATCGAAGAGCGTGCCCGCCTCTTCCAGGGCTGGCGCCCCTACACCTTCATCGAAAAGCTGTGGACGCAGCGCTACGGACCCGGCGGCCACTACGTCCACCACTTCGACGGGCCTACCAACATCGCCCGAGGCGGCCGCATCTCCAGCTTCATGGTCTACCTGGACGGCAACTGCACCGGCGGCGGCACCAATTTCCCGCGCCTGGAGATGCCCGCCGACAGGCAGTGGTGCGAGCTGCTCGACTGCGACGACACAGAGAACGAGGGCATCACCTTCAAGCCCATCGCCGGCAACGCTGTGTACTGGGAGAACTTCCGGCCGGACGGGTCAGCGTACGAGGAGGCGTGGCATGCCGGACTTCCGGTGCGGACGGGCACCAAGATTGGCCTGAACATCTGGAGCTGGTACCAGCCCGGGTATGACCCGAAAGCTGTCTCGCACGACGAGCAGCCATCCGAGCTGTGATTGCTGCTGAGTGTACAGTACATGCGTCAAGAGGGGTTGCGCCGTTTGAGGGGTCAGCCTGCCGCATTCTGACAGCCCGCCTGCCCTGTTTTGCAGCCGCGCCCGAGCGGGCAATGCGGCCGGCAGCGTTTGCCTCTGCGCGCTGCGCTGGTGGTAGTGGATGCCTGTAGCCGGAGTTGGGGGAGGGTGCAGCCTGGTATCACATGGACACCTGTCCCACCGCGACAAATCATGCCCAGAGCAATGTACTCTTCCAACGGATAGAATAAGCAGAGTGAAGCACAACACGCCTGCCCGCCCGCCAGCTGGCAGCGCCGCAGCGGTGAAGTGCATTGCACGTGACTCTTATCGCGAGTGGGCCTGGCCGCCGACGGGAGGCCCGGCTGCATTGTCCGCAGTACGCGTCCCATGCTCGCGGCTCAAAGACAGCCAGCAAACACCGCGCTGCCCGTTCGCCGCATCTGCGCTGCCATTTTTCACGTGCGCTGGAAGGTCGGCGACATTTGACCGGTTGTGGCACCAGGCTGCCGCTCCATCACCTTGGTTAGCCGCGCGCCCATAGCTCTGCCTAGCCCGGCTCCCTCTCCACGCTCCAACGCTCGCCTCACTACTTACTTCCTCCTCCTCCCCATCGCCTCCATCCTCCGCCAAACCCTCTGCGCTCCAGGCCAGCTCTCGCGCAGCTTCTTCCACACTCTCGTTTCCGACGCCCCGCCGGCGAGGCTCGAAGCAGCTCCGTCCTGTCCCCCTACGTCACCGTACCAGAGTCACCGCCTCCGCCTCAGCTGCTCAAGGCTGCCGTATTCGCATCATGGCGACCACCGTGCCTGTCACCATGGACACGCTCATCACCATCAAGATCTCCATCCAGGGGAGTAACCGGAAGTTCAAGATCCCCATGAGGGACTTGGGCGCCGGCGTCCTGCCTGGCAAGGTGAGTGAGCTTGTGACGCTCGCTGGTCTGGTCCGCCCGAGGCTGGGTCATGGCCAGCTAGCTTCCCATTCGGACAGCTCGGATCATGCCAAACTAACACGTCCGCCTCACTCCAGCTCCGCCAGCTCCTCAACATTCCTTCCAACCAAGACGTCGTCTTCGAGCGCTTCTCCGACAGCGCTGGCGCCTACATCACTCTCGATCCCGAGAATCCTCAAGTATACAAGACGCTTTTCCGCGCTGCAAAGGCCAAGTTGAAGCTTCGCCTGCGCGCCACCATCGTCGAGGACCAGGCCGAGAACAAGCCCGTGGACACGTTCCACTCCATCCTCGAGGCTGGTAAGGCCATGCCTCCCATCCCGCTTCCCGTTCGCACCGCACCCGCACTTCCGCCGCAGCCTCAGCCTCAGGCTCAGCCTCAGGCCACCTCCCCTCCGCCACCCCAGCCTGGCCCCACGAATACCGGCACTATTCCGCTCTACCCGTACGCAAGGCTCCCCGCGTTCCACAAGACGAACATGCGGACTTCGAACACGCCGCCCGTGCCGGCACCTGCACCCACCGAGCCCGAGCGCCCGGTTGACGCCGAAGGCGAGGCACCCGTGCCGAAGCCGTTCTCTGCGCGCGATAGTAAGCGTTGCTCCATGACTTTCAAACCAGGTTCAACTATGCTGACAGCTCCAGCCTTCTTCTCTGAGCTTGCCAACATGTCTCGTGAGCGCGAGTTGGCTCTCCGTATGAAGGAGTCGACCCCGGCGACCCTGTTCTCTTGGTCCGTCTACTGCAATGTCTGTGACAAGCCCATGTCCAACGAGCACTACCACTGCAGCATTTGCGACGAGGGCGACTATGACCTCTGCGAGAACTGCGTTGCCTCTGGCCACCACTGCCCCGGTGAAGGTCACTGGCTGATCAAGCGTTTCATCAAGAATGGCAAGGTCACCAACAGCACCACCGAGAGGGTTGCTCCCAAGCCCACGGAGGAGCCGGAGCCTGAGCCCGTGCCTGAGGTCAAGGTCGAGCCCGAGGAGAAGGAAATGCCCGGTGCTTTCACTACCGAGAAGTTCATGGCCGAGAAGAAGCCTGAGCCCGTGGAGCCGGAGCAACCTACTCGCACCTGCAACTCGTGCGTCAAGGTCTTCCCCGAGCGCAACTTCGTCACCTGTGTCGATTGCGAGGATTACGACCTCTGCATGTCGTGCCACGTCGGCTCTCAGCATGGCCACCACCCGGGTCACGCTTTCAAGCCTGCCGAGGCCGGCACCATTGGACCTCTGGCTGAGTTCCTCTGCGCTCCTGGCCGCAACGTCCGCCACGCTGCTGTTTGCGATGGGTGTGAAAAGTTCATCTACGGCGTCCGCCACAAGTGCCTGAACTGCCCTGACTGGGACTACTGTGCCGAGTGCATCAAGGGTGCCAAGCAAGCTCACCCGATGCACCGCTTCGTCCCCATCTTCGACCCTCTGCCGGAGCCCCGCACCCACTCGGTCCGCCACTTCGGTATCTACTGTGACGGCCCACTTTGCAAGGATAAGATGAACCAGACTTACATTGAGGGCGTCCGTTACAAGTGTGCGGTCTGCTATGACACCGACTTCTGCGCCAACTGCGAAGCTCACCCGAGCAACCGCCACAACCGCACTCACCCCACCATCAAGTTCAAGACTCCGGTGAGGAACGTCAGCGTTACCACCATGGGCGAGGACAAGAACGGCGCCCCTCTTCCCAACCTTGGCGATGTGTCTCCCCGCAGGCCTTCGTCGGTGGCCTCGGCCTCTGCCAATGCCGCCACCCAGGTGCGCACCATTGCCGACCTCAAGCCCAGCGAGGACATTGCTTCCAAGTCTGCCAAGGTCCAGATTAAGGACCTTCTCGCTGAGCCCATTGACGAGAAGATCCAGGTGGAGGACCTTCTTGCGAAGGCTGCGCTCACTCCCAAGTCTCCTGAGCCTGTTCAGGAGAAGGCTGTTGTGACGTCCGACCTCCAGGCCCACTTCATCCGCGACACCATCTGCGATGGCACCAAGATTCCTGGCAACTCCAAGTTCCTCCAGGTCTGGACCCTGCGCAACCCTGGCCCTCATGCTTGGCCTGCTGGCTGCTCGGTTCGCTATGTTGGTGGCGACAACATGCTCAATGTTAACAACGAGCACCCTTGCAGCACCACCGACATTGCGGAGGCCACCGAGAGCAACGTCATCGGCCGTGTTGTCATGCCCGGCGAAGAGATCTCTTTCAGCGTTCTGATGAAGGCTCCGGCTCGTGAGGGCGTTTGCATCTCCTACTGGCGTCTGAAGACGGCTGATGGTACTCCCTTCGGTCACAGGCTGTGGTGCCACATCGAGACCACGAAGCCTATTCCTACTCCTCTCCCTGTTGAATCGCCTCAGTCCACGGATGCTGAGCGCACTCTGGCTCGTCTGAGGGAGCTGCGCGAGCGTCGCCAGTCGAGGGTCCAGGAGACGGAGAACCATCGTGCTCTCCAGCGTGAGGCTATGCAGGCTATGGTCAGCCGCATGCAGAGGCTCCACGAGGCGCAGGAGCAGATGAAGCAGCGCCAGAAGGTCTTTAGGCCCGAGCTTGCGCAGAAGCAGGCCGAGCGTGTCGCCGCGGCCCCTCCCAAGCCGACGGTGGAGGATGCTCCGGAGGCTGACTCTGCGGAGGTCCCGGCCAAGCAGGAGACGGAGGTCAAGCAGGAGGCCGAAGTCAAGCCCGAGGCTTCGTCCTCGGAGGGCAGCCAGATGATCTTCCCTACTCTTGAGAAGGAGTCCCCTGTGAACAGCACTCACGTTTCCAGCCCGCCCGTTGAAGCCGACAAGGCTACGAACGCTCCCTCTTCGGTTCGTGACGAGACCGAGATATTCGAAGACGCCGAGACGGTCGATCTCGTCTCCAGCGATGACGGCTTCCTCACCGACGAGGAGTACGACGTGCTCGATGCCAGTGATTCGGAGTTTCCTGCGTGAAGAAAACGTGAAAACAAACGGACTATGAGGGTGCGTTAGTGCACTTCTTCGACCAACAGCGCGGGGCTACGGTGCTGATACCTTTCCCTTTAACAAGTTTTGCTCTTCTCTCCACTAACTTTGGCGTGTATTTTCTCTGGCTCTGGATGGCTCTGGCGCTTGGCTAACTCGAATGGTATCACACTCTGCACCAGCAATGGTCCGAGTTGCAACCACGTGGACGCTCCTTACGATTGCTTATGGATTAAGGTTATTATGGGCTAGGAATACGGGTACTTTTTTTGACGGTTCACTTTTTTCCTCTCTCGACAGACGTAGTTTTCAAATGAAATTGAGTCTCGGATGAACCAATTGACTGCATGGTGATACTAAGAATCCGATCAAGCAAATCGCCAAATGCAATTGAGAATATCACGCTATCCGTCAATCATCAATGGAAGTCTAACATAGCTTGGTTTAAGGTGCTCTGAGAAGGCCGGCTGGCCCAAAGGAGTAAAGCGCGTTGCGTTCATCTGAGGCTAACATGACGAGGCTTTGGCGTTGGTGGACCTCAAGAGGATCCGCAATCTGAAGCCAACTCACCAATCACACCTGACGGTTGACCGATGATTTGACGATGCGACCACTGCTTTACGCGCACCTCCCTCAAAGGCGCCTTTTATCCTCGCTATCCAAGCTCAACGGTGCATCATCACCTGCTGTTCAGAGCCGGCGCTTCTTCTTCTTCACCCCGCCGTCGAGTCATCACAGCAGACTTTCGTTGCCGGTGCACCGAGTCTTCGCCAGAGCCAACCCCGCCCCCACCTATTTAGTGTCATCTACGACGCCGTCGGTTCCATTGTTGTTGCAGTCAGGAATTCGACGTTTGGGGAATTCGAGCACCATGCAGGCGGATCAGCCCCGCAGGTTCGCGCCGTTGGGTGCGGCGAAGAATGGTGATGCTGGGGCGGAGTTGCCGAGGTTGAAGGGCGTGGTGTTTGATGTGGATGGGACGTTGTGTAAGTGCCATATTTCCTTGATCCTCACTTGACTTTGGTTGTAGGACGCATTTTTCAGCTTGGATGGCGAGTAGTGGCATCGTCTTTAATTTTCGGGTGTGCTTCACTCTGAATGCGTTCCGTTGCACCGAGAAGAAAGCTATACAGAGATCATGGTTTTACTGCAACTTGCATCTATTCAATGACTGACCGCCCGCGGGCAAGAAGGCGAGCCGCAGAATTACATGTTCGGCGAAATGAGGTAACTTCCACAAGCAATACGCTACATAATAATACGCAAATTAACAAATCAATTACCAGAGCCGCTCTAGGCATTGACAAATCCACCGACATCCTCGACCACATCTACGAACTTCCTTCCGAGGAGCAGGACCCCGCCTTCGAGAAGATCCGCGCCATCGAGCGGCGGGCCATGGCGTCGCAGAAGCCGCAAGGAGGTCTGGTCGAGCTGATGGACTACCTCGACGACCGGGGCGTGCCCAAGGGCATCTGCACCAGGAACTTCGAGTACGTTATTTGATAATCCTGGTCCACTCCGCCCTTCTCTTTCTTTCGTTTTTTTCCCCTGTCTACTCCTATCAGAGAAGCATACCAACAATAACTTTCCTCGATTTAAAGCACCCCAGTAACCCACCTCCTCACCCGCTTCCTCGCGGGCCACCACTTCCACCCCATCGTGACGCGCGACTTCCGGCCGCCCAAGCCGGACCCGGCGGGCATCCTGCACATCGCACAGACGTGGGGCCTGACGGGCAGTGATGTCATCATGGTCGGCGACAGCCTCGACGACATGACGGCCGGCCACCGCGCGGGCGCCGCCACGGTGCTGCTGGTCAACGAGCACAACGCCCACCTGGCGACGCACGAGCATACCGATCTTTGTGTGAGAAGGTTAGTCTCTTTTTTTTTTTGTTTTTTGTACTGTCCTGCTGACTTATGATCTTGCAGGCTGGACGAGCTCATTGGTGTCTTGGAGAACGGCTTTGTCGGGCAGATTGGGCAGGGTGATGAGGAGCCAGACACGAGGGCGCAGGCAGAAGAGGCGCTGAAGCGGCCATGATGTTAACTGATAGTTCAAAAAGCTTATACAACATCCACACAAATATACAACCAAACAAGAAGATATACTTGCTAAGTGAGTTCACGACTTGAAGAACCATCAGAGAATCAAAGACTTTAGAAGGTCTGATTGCTGAAAATGATATCGACATGGTTGAGAAGGCTTTGATAGTGAATTTCAGGCTCGAGTGGCAGAGTACATACATCCAAGGTACAGGGCAATCTTAGGATACAGGAAAACACCAATCGTCAAGCGCCCATCACTCTTCGTCGCAAAGTCAATTTACTTCTCTCATCTCCCAAGAATCGATCAAACCATCACTCTTCACTCATAAGGCTCTGGGATACGTGTCTTGCAGGCGGGCGTCTCAAAGTGCTCGTGGAAGGCGCAATCAGGACCCTTCCGCACGTCGGCCAACTCATTCTGATGCAGGCGGGCCAGCGCCTCAGCGAAGTCGACAGCAAGTTCGCCGCCCTTGGCAATGACGCCGCGCATGCTTTCCGACAATGTGGGCTCGCGCTCGCACAGGTAGCGGTAGGCGGCGGTGCTGACGAGGAAGCGGCGCATGTGGTTGGGCCCCGCGGTGCCGCCGTAGACGTATTCGAGGCGGTAGGCGGGCGCCGTCATGCTCGAGCGCCGGTAATAGGCACGCGCCTGGTCCATGACGTCGTTCTTCAGCCGTTCGATGCCGAAGCGTGTCGCCAGGACGTACAGGCACAGGTAGTGCTGCATGCTGTGGAAGTCGGTAGGCCCGCGCAGGTCTGCGCCGTACAGCCATCTGACAAAGAGCGCGAAGGCGAACTCGTCCAGGTCCGGGAAGGAGAGCGGTGGTGAGTTTGGTGAGATCGGCACCGAGAAGCGGTCGGCGAAGTAGGGCGAGCGTGATTTGAGCAGGTCGGTGTGGACTTTGAAGGATTTGCCCGTTTGTCCTGCGAGGAGCTCGGTCACGGCGGTGCCGGGGATGAGCGTACTGTTGATGTGTGTCAGTGTTTGATACTCTGTGCAAAATGTGAAGTGTAATCGGAGCATTCTCAGAGTGGAATCAAGGGGCACTCACTCAGATAGAGCCTTATCTGTTACTGGACCGGCCAGACCAGATCGGAGGTTGTCGCCTGAATGCTGTCTTGGGGTGTTTGGCGGGCGAGCTGGAACAGCCAGGCGATGGGCTGGGGTAGGGAGCTCGGCTTGGGATTCGCGGGCTGAGACAGAAGGACGAACGCTCTCAGTGAAGTGTTCGACAGCAGACTTAACGCTCGTGGCTGATTCGCTGCGAGTATGTCCCGGCCGAGAAGATTTGGGCTGGGGAGGAGCCAGATTGGCAGACTTGGGGACATTGGAGGATGACATTGGGACGGTTGCTGTTTCTGCGGGTGCCGATCGATTGGCATCCACCAGTGCGGACTTCAAGCTGTGTAGAGATAGTGCTCGGGTTCTAACAAATGCTTTGCGCGAAGAAGGCTGCTGGGGGGGAGGAGTGTGGGTTGGAGGTGAAGAGACGTGAGAAACTGAAGAAGAGCGGCGCTTGGAAGAGCCATGCTGGTGGAAGACGGAAGGCAAGCGCATAGAGATGGAAGGCGCCATGAGCACAGCCATTGCAGGGCGATGTAGCTTCCCGCTGTAGAAATGGAGGAAGGAGCCGTCCTGGCCACCTTCGGAGTGCATTCACTGTGGGTTATACGACCAACAACAAAGGAATCCTCCGTGGCGCCCAAAGTCTAGGGAAGTTGAGACACTGAACCCTCGCGCATCCCATGGCCGCTCCCATTGGGGTCTCGACACGGCCAGACCTCTGCTACGACAAAAGAGCCACCGCGCGCCAAGATAAATCGCCTGATATTTTATGAGACAGCTCGTGTGCCTGGTTTCCTGTAACGCCCACCTCCGCATCCAGAAGTCGAGACAACGAGAAGATGGAGCACAACCGCGTGACCCGAAACCTTTGTATAAACTACAGCTACACCTCCAATGCGTCGTTGACTGGCGTAAAGCGCGTCGCGTGTCATTTCTCTAGATAAGATGCTTCGACCTGTGCGGCTGCTGTCAGTAGTTGCGGCAGTGCGAGAAATGAGAGGGCGCACCTGAAGTATGCGCGCAGGTAGACAACCTGCCATGCACCAAGGCCGACCAGCATGCCCATGGTGCCAAAAGCGAACCACTTGACACGCTCGTTGGTGCTCTCGTTGGTGTCGCGCAGCCTCATCTCGCGCGAACGCAGGTACTCCATCTCGCTGACAATCTCGCCGACGACCTCCTCGAGGCGGCGGAGCTCGGCCTCGACGGGCTTGAGCTTCTCGGTGTTCTGGATAGCGTTCCAATCCTTCGCATCGGCACCAATGTCAATGTCGAGCTCGATGTGGCGGACCTTGCCGCCGCCTCCCCCTGTTGTTGCGCGCGCGGTTAGCATGTGCAAGCAATTGGTGTGGTGTGTGACGCACTCTGCTCGAGGACGTTCTCGAAGCACACATCAAAGGCGGAATCGGCGACCGAGGTGAAGGCGTATCTGTTCTCGCCGACGACATCCTTCGGGCGGCCGTAGTCGTTGCCGACGGCGTCCTTGATCTGCACATGCGGGTGAGCTCGAGCTTGTTCAACCGGGTGGGCCGGACGTACATGCATGTTCAGCCTCTGGCCATCACCCTTGTAGCCGTCGGTAATGGTGGTGACGACAACGAGCTGGTCCTTCATGACGAAGTTGCGGACGCATCGCTCTTTGCTGGCCGACTCGTGGCCCGGGTGGGCCTCGATGTCGAACTTGAGGGCGGAAACGAAGGGCAGGCTGACGAGCAGGAGCAGGCAGCTCAGGGCTCTGAGCAGCATCTCCATGGTGGGCGAATTGGGCGTGGTGGGAACGAAGTGCAAGCTGTCGTGCACGCTCAGAAAGCCACACGTTGCTTCGCCAGATGGCGCTCCCTGAGCATCAACCTGGCCCGTGCGCCAATCGCTCGAGCGGTCGCCGGCCAAACGTTTCGCCGCACTTGCCTTTCCTCCGCTTCCACGCCCAGAAAACATCTCCTTCCATTGGTGCACATCGCATAGCCTTGCTCTGCTCGAACGCCGACAGTACCCGACAATAGCCAACAAATACCCCGCAGCCTCCAGACTGCCAACATAAAAGACACATCACAAAGACTTAACCAACCTTGCTGACTCCCAGCTCACTGGAACCCGTCCAATCGACTTCAGTATTTGTCAGTCTCGTGCCTGCGGTCAATATTTCGGACCAAACCCATGAGATAATGGCCGCCAGTCTACTCAATCATGTCCGGCATAGAGAAAGGCTATATCAGCACACTTCTCGGCTGAGTGGACCCGCTCACTTTCTTGAAGCTTTAGCTTTAGCAGGGGCTCAATCGTTCTGAAAGGCTGCTGATATTCGCGCGGCCATGTGTATCCGTACTGTTCTTTCATGCAGTAGCACGCTTAATCAGCATCACTTTTGGACGATCATAACGAGTAAGTGCCTTGGAAAGGCAGACTGCTGGCGTCGAAAGCCCCCAACGGGGTACTTCAAATACATCACCCTTCAGTCCTCGACCGCGGAATGTGTTGCAGATTCAAAAGCACTTCTCCACTTTTACTCACCTGTTCTACCTCCAGATACATGAAGTCCCCTCTTCGCAGCGGGGACAAAAGTGGCCAAGTCATCACACTCAATTTACATCCGGTCATTCATTTGAGTAAGTGGTCCGCATGGATTTTCCGCATTTATTTTCTCTTCTGTCATGTTCTTATGGAAACGTTCAAGATTCAAAGATGCAAAAAGAATTGGTGTGACTCTTGAAATTTTGGTAATACAATTATTTACAGTGTCGTAATACATTCCTCCCCACATTCAATTAAATATTTACATGCCATCAATGACGATGGTAGTCGCGGAGACCTGGGAGCAGACGAAGTCGTTGGGGCCGTTGCCACCAGCGTGGCAGTAGGTGGGAACCTCACCCTCGCCGTAGAAGCCGACACTATTACCCAGGAATGTTAGCAACACGTTCCTATTCGCCATGTCCAAATGGAGGAAAACTTACGCAAGACCCAGCTCGTGGTAGATGCGGAGGGCGAACTCGCTCTCCTGGCCGGAGTACAGGGCGAAGCGGTACTTGGTCTCGCCGCAGGTGATGACCTCGGAGGGCAGGCCGGGGTTGCTGGCGGAGCAGTCGAGGTCCTTGGCGTCCTTGCCGCTCAGCTTGAACGAGACGGACTGGATGCCGTCGTTCTTGCGGACGGTGAAGTCGGCAATGTCGATGTTCTCGTAGGTGTTGGGGTCGGGGGCGCCGGTGCTCTGGGCAGCGGGAGCAGCGGTGGCAATGGCACCGAAGAGGGCGGTAGCGGCGGCGAGAGTGAAGCGCATGGTGATTGGTTTGGTGGGTTGTGGAGGGAGGTTTTGGTTTGTGTGGTTGAGAGTTGTTGTGAAGCTGGCTGATGATGATGCTCTGTTTCTCCAAACATCAGGACGTATATATACCTGCGGGTGACAGTATGGTGACCCCTTTCACAGCACCGAGCTCGACGTCACATGTAGCTATTTTGGAGTGCAGTGGACCCTGCGATGCAACTCCGCGCTTCTAGCAGCTTGGCATTTGTTCACTCAATTCTCCTATGCGGAGTACTGCGGGATTCTAGTTCGCGGATAACACGGAGGAGCAGCCAGAATACGAGGGAAGCCCGACCCGACTTGGCCAGGACGAGCTAGAAGGCGGTGGCAAGCACTTTTGCCGAACGGAAGCCCGTATGGAAGTCGTGGCGAAACGTGCGCCTGGCACTGGCCATCGAGTGAGCCACGACTATTTTGCCGGCCCTTCCTCGTATTGCAGAGCCGCTTCACGCCACTTACGTTGCACAGCCATCAACCGCCGGACTTTCTGGTACTACCTCTACGCCGCACCATGTATTCTTGGCCATCCAGACGGCAAACTAGAATTGGTTCCGCCCGTTGTCACATCGTATGTTGATCATTCTTTCCATTTGGTTAAACCTCTCATTGAGCGACTTCAACAAGGCGAACAATGCACTGAACGGACCATCTTGATGGCTTCGGCTAGAGAACAACTTCACCATACATGTAATAACCCCAATTAATGACAGGCTTCGGACCCCGCCTTCCCGAATTGAGGCGGCTAGTACCATACGATCGTGGAATGCCTTCAACAATCACATCATTGATTTTCTTTTCTAATACCTAATAGATTGACAGTAACTTCCTTAAGAAATATACTATATCCAGTTCGTGCATCGCATGTAAGAGAGCTCGACTTTTTCTCGTCGAAATGCAGCTGTGTTGAAATTGAATGATGTTCTCGAGGGCTCAAAGTGTGGCTGAAGTCCCATCGATCTCGCTCGATCGACGCATGTGCGCGGGTCTTAAGATGCGTCAGGCGTTCCACGACTTTCACGATATGACGTGCAAAATACAAGGCTTGATACGAGCCGCCTTTAATCCGGGGTAAATACGTAAATTGACAAAGTGACGGCCCACCACATCTTGATTGGCACTATGAAGTCATTGCGAGTGTGGTTTGCACACCATTTGCGGAGTAGAAACCTTGGTTCCATTACGATGGTTTTCCGGCGCTGCGAGCGGGTTCGACGATGTTGAAGTCCCCCACAGACGTGACTGTCAAGGCTTTCGCCGCACACACGAGGGACTTCATTGACACTTCAATGAACGTTGTTGTTGCCTGATTCTGGAGGTGCTAAACGAATCAAAGCCTGTAAATAGAAACATTTGAGCCCCACTCACCCAGTGATTAGCAGAACTTCTCGATATTCGGTGGAACGCAGTCAAATCGCTCATGTCTCCATCTGCGATTATTTTACGGTAGGGCTTGGTTCGGAGATGTCACCGGGTCCTGTGAGTGGTATCTTAAAATACACAGCGTGTTCATCGCACGGTGGATATTCCTTACCGCGTATCGTGCTGAAGATCTCCGAGATGTGAAACAGGCCATGAGCTAGGGTTAAATTGAATGATGTCAGAGTCCTCTCTCGTCCACTGCAAGCTCTGTGAGTACAGAGCGAACTCGAATACGCTCATGACTTCAGGGGTGGCGGGCCTGAGGCTAAGGAGGAGGAGCCTTTTCGTCACGAAGCGTTGACTGAGCTAGGAGGCACATCTCGTACTTCGGAGAATTTCATTTTCCAAGATGGCCAGAAACGTATGCAAAATACGACTGGATCATCTGGTTCTGAGCATCTTCTGAGTCTGCAAGGAGTGGAGGTTACTTTCTCGACTCTACACAGGTCAGTCAACACAGATCGTTGAACAAAGGTCTGCAACATTTGGTGTGCCCATGTTGATTTTACAGACCCACTGCCAATTTCGGTATGCTGATTCGGGACGACGTTCATCAAGCGCTATCCGTATAATGGTTCGAATCTCGTCAGGGACAAAGGATGCTTGAAAGATTTCCTGGTGCTGCAACACACGATGGCCATTTTGATGCAATATTTGGTCGCAAAAAAGGACAGGTCTTTCATGACTGGCTTGTGAATGCACTGCTTACGCAAAACTCTATATGCAAATGCGGCTAATATCAAAAACATGTATCAAACGCGGATTGTGAATGCTTAGTATCCAGGCCTCCTTGGCCCGGGAAACCTGAGGCGGCGATGCAGCCTGGACACGATCTCGGTGTAATCGGGCTCATTCTCGGGCGTCAAGATACCGTGCCTGATGAAGAAGTCGAGCATGACGAGGGCGGTGTTGGGCTTGAACTCGCCGCGGGCGAGGGCGGCCTGCACCTCGGCCGTGGTGAGCAGGGCGAAGCCCTCGACCTCGGAGTCGTTCGGGCGCGGCTCGATGGCATCGCTCTCGCGCAGCTCCAGGTCGTAGACGTACTGCGACTCGGGCTGCAGCAGGCCCGTCTCGCCGCCGGCCCTCGCGTCGCGGATCAGAAAGTACGAGACGTTGCCGACGGCCTTTGCGTTCTTGCGCACAAAGTCGGCGGGCAGCGAGGCCTCCTCGGCGGCCTCTCGGGCCAGGGCGTCCATGGGCTTCTCATTGGCCGGCAGGCCGCCGGCAACGGTGTTGTCCAGCAGGCCCGGGTACGTTTGCTTCGACCGCGCCCTCCGCGGGATCCAGAAGCGGAAGCCGTGCACGGGATCGCGCATGTAGACGGTCAGATTGACGCTGCAGACCAGCACGCCGAACAGGGGGCTGGCGGCGCGCTCGATGCGGAACAGCAGCTCGCCGGCGTTGCCGTAGACGGGATACAGCTCGTTGCGCCAGCCCTTGTTGAGCAGCTCAAAGTGGCGCGTCTGGCGCATGGCGGCCGTCGTGGCAGCGACGATCTGGGTGCGCTCCGCCTCGTCGATGCCGGCCACCAAGATCAGCGTCTGCGACTCGGGCGACACGTCCCAGGCGGGCAGGCCCGACAGCGTCTCGGCTACGTGCGGGCGCACGAAGCCGAGCGTGGCGTGGTGGTCGGCGACGTGCAGCGTGTAGAGGCTGGAGATGGCTTCCTCGTAGCGGTCATTGTCGAGGTCGGGGCGCGGGAAGCTGCGTCGGGGTCAGTGACGCTGCCCTCGATTCCTTTGGACCCTGAGCGGATAATGTTCGGGGCGTGAGGGTGTATACTTGTCGCAGTCGTTGACCAAGGCGAGGTTGGACTTGCCGAAAGTCGGCCACTCGTCTTCTGACTCGTTCGGCATCGTGTCTGGGTAGCGTGGCCGCGGTTCGATCAGGTATCCACTTTCGGCCGTCTAAATCCTAGCGATGCAAGTGTGAAAAGGTGAGTGTGCTCCGGCGGCGTCCCAGGGCTGCAGGAAACGTGGCAGTCGCAACCCACTGCCGTGTGAAACGGGGGGCCCAGGATCCTTCCTTGTTACGGCGGGTGCCTTTGGCCGAGCTGGTCCGAGCATCACGAGTGACCTGGTGACCAGAGGCGGCTGCGCCAACCCCGTGGGCATCGTGAGGAGGGAGTGGAAGGGCCGGAGACACGTCACGACGCATGTCGCGATGTGATACTGCGCCATCCTCACCAAGGATGCAGGCTACCCCGGTGCGAGCCGCTGCGGCTGCCGGCAACAGCGTCGCCGAGCTGCAGCGCTAGCCCCACTAACCCCCGCCTCGGAGCCGAGCTCGTCCCTGATCTGGCAGCATCCAGCCCTCAGTTGCAGCTCTGAGATCTCGGTGGGTGCCTGAGGGGACGCGCTCTGTCCTAGAGCGAGATGGCCCAATCACATGGCTCACATATCTGGCGCTGTGCCGCAACATGAGTCGCTATCTGAGATCGATCTAGCAGTGAACAGCCCGAGTCCAATCACGATGGACAGAATCTATAGGCAGAGGACAGAAAAGGGCCGGAACGGACCGTCCCGCGGACATTTCTCCTATGCGGGCGGATCTCCGGAGATGCAAGTGTTTGTTTAGTGTCGACTGCACGGAGAAGAGCCGTCACCTTGCTCCCGCCGTCGTCGACTACATGTCATGCCATGTAAGAACAGATCCTTCTAATTGTACGAGTTTCCCAAATTGGCATTATCCTCTTTTGGCGCACACGATCATAACAGCGTTCAATGCTCCAGCGAATCGGCCCAGTCTTAGGCGCCTCTGTGGGGCAAGGTCCTGTGACTCATGGTGCCATCAAAAAGCAATTCTGTACAGTCTCTTTCGTGTCCAACGGATTTCGCTCTCCTCCACTTGTTGCCGCTGTGATCTATCATGCCCTTCGGCTAACGAGTCAATCGTTTGCGTCATTGCGTGCCAACTGCCGAATCCGAGGTGAAGCTGCTCCCAAGTGGGAAGTACGTGCGACGATGACAAATGAGAGTCCAAAATAGTAGAAACTTCACGGTGTGACAACCAACCTCCTACGCCTATCTATTGGCTGGAAAGGACCGAAGAACTTGACTGCTACCTAATGGCCTCAGGAGTCTGTGCGCTGGTTTCAGGAGCTTTCTCCGAGCCAGCTGATAGAGGCTGCCGAGGTATCTGCGTCAGTGGTTTGCAGAATTTTGTGTGCGTGGGTCGAAATGTCGGACTTGAAGTTAACTGTAGTTCCGCGGAGACCAGGGGCATGTCGAGGCGCAGGGGTCACCAGAGGCCCAATGCAAGTTTGTGGTTCAACATCTTGGGCATGTGCATAGGCTCTTGTTCGGCCAAGTCGTGAAACAAGTCGTGCAGGCCGAGCAGAGCTTAAGACTGTTTAAACATAAATGTGGGTGGCCCTGCAGCGTTCGACATGTTCCTACGTCATACAGTCCGCTTCGGCACCAGGTGGCTAGCGTGGCTGTGCTGTTCTATCAGACGCCTGTCAACTTCCTAGAACAGCAGAAGCCGGGGGACTTGACCTATCACGTCGTCTGCAGGCCTACCGTGCTCACCGCCGGCTACCGGATGCAAGAGTGTACTGCATAACGTTTCTGTTTGTCACAGGCGAAGAAAAATGCAGTTTGAAGAAAAGTATAATGGTATGATATTGTTGCCTTGAAACCACGAGTTCAGGGGGAGTCGGCACAAACACAGATCCCCTTTTGGCACCATATTCCCATCCTGGCTCTTGCAGTGCCCTTTTAAGGATTCTATGCCGGCATCGAAAGTTTGTGGGTGGTGAAGGATCACCATCCATGAACGGGCCAAGCGGTGACACTTTAGTTGTGACAGACGGTGAGGCTGATGATAAGGGTGGCTCAACTGCTGCCGGTCAGCACGTCCGCCGAGTCATTTAAAAGAGCTTTACTGTTGGAGCGCGGGCCGTCTTTAGATCCACGATACCGGGGATAAGATCGGAATGACGTGGTTTAGTGAGTTAAGGTTCGAAGTCGCGGAGATCGCGCTGCCGGTCAGCGACGCGATCTAGGGCTGAGCCAACACCAAAACGACCGTGCAAATCGGCAATGTACATAATAAGTTAGCGGATCGCGAGTCTTGTGACAAGGGCTGGCTGCGGGTGGCTTTCACGGTGGGTCGCCCCCACGCGACAAGAGGGTGATTGGGGCTGAGGGCTTCAAACATGCAGCTGAACGCTGGACACTGGACCCGCTCGCCAGCATCCGAGCCAGCTGAACATATGCCGTCGAGCAGGCCTCTGCGACGGCATTTTTTTTTCTACAACTCCATTCAACCACCACTTCCACATATCCATATTCGCCTCTACGAGCGACATGGCTCTCAGCGGGACTGACAATATGTTAATACACTGCGCCATCTGCGGAGCTCCCACAGCCAAGCATGTACGCATCCATGCCATCATCTCACGTGTCGCCCTTTGTTGACAAACCCACCCCCGCAGCAACCCGCAACGCTTCTCAGCGACCCGGCACGGGAGCTGGAGGTGGTGATAGAGCACTTCGCCACGAAATGGGGGCCCTCCCGATTCACCACCGGCCGCGCCATCGACGAGCTGCGGGTCGCCAATGCCGGCCGCTGCTTCTTCACCACCAACGACGACGACGATGAGGGCCGCAGGGCGACGGCCTACGCCTCCGACGACACGGTCCCGGGCGCCGACCGCTACTACATCCCCGTCCACGACTACTGCCTCAGCCTGACCAAGCGCATCCTGGCCTCCGGCCACGGCCGCGTCCGAACCATGCGCCAGCTGTGGAAAGTCCTCCGTACGAGATGTCTGGCCACCGTCGCCAGTGGCCGGACGGAGCCGCTCGCCGGGACCGACGCTCCCGACGACTACCACCTGCCGCCTCGAGCAGAGGACGAGAGTCGGGAAGACCGCTGGGTATGTACTCCTTGATGATTACATTCCGGATCCGGTAGTGCCGAGGGACTAACGCGAGAACAATCAGTGTACGGCAGATGCATGGGACGTCCCCGACCTCACCGCCGGCGTCCTCGCCCAGATGACGCCTTCTCGGCCCCCTTCTCTGGACGGGCGGCAGGCCGAGTTCCGGGCGCGGTTCGAGCGGCTCCCGCAGGAGATGCAGGACCACATCCTGTCCTTCGTCTTCACCGAACAACACTTCCCGCCGGACTGCACGTACCTGATCCCCCAAGGCGCGTGGATGAACCTGCTGCTGCAGGGCCAGGTCGTGCCGTACCTCTGGGACCTGGACCGCGACGAAGTCGAGAAGAAAGTAGCGGAAGGCCGGGAAAGGGGGGTGGAGTGGGACTTTGAGCTGCTCGTCCGCCGGCTCTGCCAGGCGCGGTCCATGGCCGACGGGGCGCCGCTGGCGAGCATGCCGGCCGGCCTGCGGAACCGCCAGCGCGTGTGGAAGCTCGTCCAAGACATGTACGTGGGAGATTTCCTGCCCGAGACGCCCGCAGCAGCCGCCATCCCGCGGTACTGGGACGAGGATGGGAACCTCCAGTACCCTTTGGTCTGGATACGAAGATAACGAGCGAGGGCCCCAGCCCAACATGGGTATGGCCTCTATAGCCATTGGGCAACACACACAACACATAATCCTTGCACTGCAGGGCCCCAGCCGCGCGGCACGCTAAGCTTATGAGTCTCAACAATGGCGCGCACACCCGTCCGACGACCGCCGCCCCAAACCACACCCCCCAACAGCGGGAAAGTCAAAGGGGTCATCGACCAAAGACCAACAAAAGGAAACGCAGCCACACGCGCGCACAAACACACGCCGCCCCCCTTAAAAAGAAAGAAAAAAACAAAAAGCAAAAAAAAAAAATGAAAGTCCTCCTGGTCGGCGCGACCGGCTTCGTCGGATCGTACGCGCTGCGCGCGCTGCTGGCCGACCCGGCCATCGGCACCGTCGTCACCCTCACGCGCGCGCCGCTCAGCAACTCGGCCTACATCCACTCGCGCCACCTCGAGTCGCCCAAGCTGGTCGAGGTCGTGCACCCGGACTTCCTCTCCTACCCGGACCCGGATGACGACGGACTGCTCGCCCGCCACCTGCGCGGCGTGCGCGCCTGCCTGTGGTGCGTCGGCGGCCGCCACACGCAGCGCTCGCGCTGGCCCACCGACGAGGAATACGTCCGCGTCAGCGTCGACTTCCCCCTCAAGTGCGCCGAGGCGCTGAGGGACCGCTTCGCCGCGGCGAACGAAGGCGCTGATCCGCCGCTGCCGCCGTTTAGGTTCGTATTTTGTAGCGGCCATGCCACCGAGTGGGACCAGGCGAAGAACTTGTGGGTCATGGAGCGCACGCGCAAGGTGAAGGGGATGGCTGAGAAGGCCTTGTTCGCGTTGGCTGAGGAGAGCAAAGGCCGCTTTGAGGCGTACACCGTCAGGCCCTGTGGCATCTATCAGAAGAATCCGAGCTTGAAGGATTTGTTCTTGACGTCGGTCGTGTTGCCGAGTTGCCATGTCGAGGAGCTGGCGGCCGTCATGATCGAGATCGCTAAGAATGGCAGCAAGGACCAAATTGTGGTGCACGAGCGGATCAGGAAGTGGGGAGGCGAGCTGTTGAAAGATGCAGTCGAAAAGTGATGCACTTGGTGAGCAGAGGGCCTTCCAAATTTGATCGGGTGGTTACCTGTGGTTGGGAGAAATTGAGAAGCCCAGTAATGATAATATGATTTTGACGTAGCCCATGATAACTCCCTCAGATAGTTCCAATGAAACTTTTCAAAGTACAGTAACGGCCTCGGGAACGGAGTGGTGTACAGCTTGCAGTACAAATGGAAACGAAGCGTGCCCTTTAGAGAAAATGGATCTGGCCATACTTGTCCTCCGAAGGCCGCACATTTGCGGTGCAAAGATAGCCACGGTCATGTCTGAACTTGAGATCGAAGCCACCGCGCTTGACCCAGATGTCCTCCATCTCCAGCCTAAACTTCGACTTCGGCTTGCCCTCCTTCAGCCTCAGCTTCTCGAAGAAGCAGTAAGCGGCGTAGAAGGTTACGGTCGTGTTACCAGCGTTGGCGCCCTTCTTTCCGCGGAAGTTGGCGAGTTGCGGAGCGGTGATCTTGGTGGGCTTGGTATACATGGCCGACAGATCGCGGCAGAATTGCGCCTGCGTGACGCCAGGTTTCTTCACGTAGGCAGTGATCTTTTTTCTGACCTCGTCACACGTGTCATACACCTTAACTGCATCCTCCTCGCCTGGAAGGTGAATGTCGGCCAGGTCAGCCGCCCCAGTGGCCGTGTCCTTGGATGCATCCTTAGAGCCCGACTCGTCGGCGCCGTCCGTCTTCTGCTTCTTGCTACCACTGTTGGCCGTGGGGAGCTTGATGCCGTTCATTTCGCGGTACTTGAAGTAGGCCCATGCATACTGGTAGCAGTCAGAGTTCAGCCCCTTTTGTCGGGCCGCTCTGCCTGAGGAAATTGTTGTACGATTTGTTAGAGACGCCGAGCTTGTCGCAAAACTCGCCAACCTTCATGCCGCCATTGTCGATGAGACGATGGATCATGCGGCGCACTTGGTCGGGGTTCTTGTCGATGGGCATGTCCTCGACGGCCTCGAGGAAGTTAGAATCATCAAAGTCCTGTGGCTCCTCGACGCGACCGCGTTTCTTGCCCGTGTTTGATTGATTGACAGGCTTGGAGTCATTCTTGGCAGGCGCAGCAGGCGCGATGTTGGTCTGACTGGTCAGATCACTGAGGGCTGGTCTTTCCTATCGGCATCTCAATAAATGCAGCCTCAATACATGCAATCCGGCTTACTTGTGCCATTTTGTTTTGCAGCTCTGGTTCGTGACAAGATGCTTTTGGTCCAGAAAATTGAGCAAGAAAGTGGGCAGGGCGGTCGGAGGGCGGTGCAGGAGCGAGTTTGTCCCTTGAGAAAACGGGCCGGTAACGTTGACGCGTTCTCCTGGACCGCGTTGTTGACATCGACACGACCCTGACTCGAACCCACGTGATTTTTGAAGTTTCCCGAATCGTTCTGACGTCTTACCGCTTGCTTATCGTATGGCCCTTGCATGGCGACCAAGTCCACTCGGATATCAACAGTCCTCTCTACGCGACTTCTACACGCGTTCCCCTTCGATTTGCAAGGCAATGCTGGAAACATGTCGAATTGTGTCGTATAGAGTACACATGCTTTGCCATCGCCAATAGCCCTATTTTACATCTAATCACCCTACGCCCGACCCATGCACGCCCATCTCATGCCTTGACGTTGAAAGTTTGTTTTCTCTTGGACGGAGTCTTGCCCGATTGCACCTGTAGCGGCTCGGGCGTCTCGAAGATGGGGACTGATAAAGACTCGGCAATCACGGCATTTCCATCAATTAGTGTGCCATCTTCCTGTCTCTGCTGGTCGATCTGGAGCCTCTCCTGCCGCCTCTGGTCCAGGTACTTCTTGCGCTCGGGCGTCATGGCCCACTCCTTGGGAAAGTGGTGGAAGACCTTGGGCTTGTGGTGGCGGAAATCGAAGGGCACATCAGCGAAGGTGTCTTTGGGATTTCTGGCCTCGTTGAGCAGGTCGCGAATGACGTCTCCCAAGTAGCGCTTGTTCTGGGCCTGAGTCTCGAAGTGCTCGGCGCTCATCTTGACAACCTGAGTGTCGGGGTTGTAGCGGGGACCGGCCAGCTTGATGAGCTTGTCACGCTGGACCTGGGTAAGGTTGGGGAGATCGGGGACGCTGAACTCGACAACGACCTTGCGCTCTGCGGGATGGTGCTCGCCCATGTATGTGGTGTAGCGGAAGCGGAGGGGGGTTTCGCTGGTCGGGGGCTGGAAGGGCTTTGCGTACTCTACGTCGCAGGGTTAGCAAGAGAAGCAATTGGCAGTGGACGACTCACTCGCTAGCAGCGGCATCTCCCAAGCGGCGATGCGCATGTACTCGCGGATCTCGCGGTGCTGCTCCAGCTCGGCATGACCAGTCGAGGTGATGTCGTCTCCATGCCACTCCTCGTCCTCGCCCATGTCGGGTTCGCCCTCGTTCCAGAAGCCTTCGCGCGGGCGATTCTCTCGTTTCTCGACATGGCCGGCCAGAAGGGCGGGATCGACGCCTTGTAGAATCTGGTGCAGAGCCTGGCCCTTGGTGGGTATATCGTCGCCCAGCACGCGCTTCAGCTCCTCGAATTGGTGATCAACGGCCTCCTCCTTGTCGCCCTCGCCGTCGGCGTCCTCATCCTTCTTGGCGCGCGGAGCTGGGGTGATAGAGAAGTATCGCTGGGGCTGCCACGGCGCGGGCGCATCGCGCTGGCATCGTTGCGATATGCGCAGAGGAGAGGAGCGAGCCGCACGGGCGTGGAAAGCCAGGCGCTTGGCGGCGGAGGCCATGGCAGGGGTGCAATGGGGAGTGTTGGGCGGTGGGTGGGTGGTGGTGCTTCTCCAGAATCTTTGCGGACCACCGAAACTCCCGCGTCTTGGCATTTAAGCTGCCCTTCGCAACCCGCCTTTCCTGCACCTCGTCCGCCAACCCTCACCAGGCCATGTCGCAAAACGGGCAGGAACGCAAGAAGGTCTGCTTCGTCACCATCGGAGCTACCGCCACCTTCGACGAGCTCGTCAGAGCATGCACGCAGCCTGACTTCCTGCGCGCTCTCAGCCAAGAAGGCTATACAGACCTGCTTGTCCAGTACGGCAAGAACAGGAAATTGTGGAAAGAGGTCATCGCCGACAAGGAATCTCTCGACCAACACGGCGTCGACATTTCCGGCTTCAGCTTCCGCGAGAATGGGCTTGCTGCCCAGATGCAGCTTGCCAAAGGCCACCCGACCGATGGTTCTAAAGAGGGCGTCATTGTCAGCCATGCCGGTGCGCCATACTATTCACTTTAATATCGAGCTTTCGCTGATTTCGCCAGGCTCTGGCAGTATCCTCGATGCCCTTCGCCTGAACGTGCCGCTCATAGTAGTCCCCAACCCGTCTCTGCTAGACAATCACCAGCAAGAGCTCGCCGAGGTTCTCGAGCAGCAGGGCTATGTCATTCATGGGAAACTTGAGTATGACTGATATCTTCAAGCCTCGTACGTATCACCTGCTGATAGAAACAAAGCAACCTCGCGCTCTGCATTCCCCAAGCCGAAGAGCTTCGCAAGCGTCAAAGGTCGTGGCCGCCCATCAATAGCGGTCCCCATCGCCGAGCTCCCGGGTTGCAAGGTGTCATGGACGAAGAAATGGGCTTTCTGGACTAGTTCTCTCCGGGAACTACATCTGCGACAAACCAGTCCATGTTTGGGACCAGCTTGGAGACGACATATCCGGACTCTGCATTTACCTCAAAGATACCCACCCGGAGATAAGCACACGGTTGCGCAGCTTCGGCATCTTGTTTTGAGCCTGCGTTTGGATACTTCGATTGAGTCGTGGTCCAAGCACCGCGCTGTATTGCATCAAAAGAGTGTCAATCGGTCCTGGCTCCTTTCCAGCATCGTCCAAGGCCGGCCTCGGATCGATTCGCTCCGCCTGGGTCTGTCGAATTGGAATCAGACCTCGTTCTATCCGTCATCATCCGCGACAGCGAACGGAGGTGCATACATGCTTGCATCTTCCATCGAGAGCTGGGCACCGGGCTTGTCGGCCACTGTAGTGCTTATGCCACTACTTTGATGATTGGCAAAATACCGGCTATCTGACATTGGATATTTTTTTGGCTCAAGGCGAAAACTACCGGAGAATACGCTACTCATCCCTGCATGCTTGTATTACGCAACAGTTTCTCCCTTGACCACTACTGCTGACCGAATACGTATTCAACACGCACGTCGCTCTAAGCTCGGCAAGCCGGATCTCTAGCATGCACTCAACTGATCCTTCAGTATGTGGCGTTGACACTAATGATGCCGGCCGAGCGCATCCCGTGATGCAGTTGAGCGATCTCGAATACCTAGGATATTTTAGCTTACGTCTATTTGAGCCGTCTAGCCGAGCAATCCCAAAACAGCGCAAACTGCATATCTTCCGATACCCGCTTGCCACCTCTTGCACTATTGATTTTTCCGATCAGACGGATAGCGTGAATGATTCATGTGTACATCAAACATCACGGAGCACGATTATCAGTTAGAAGTTTACTGATTGGAGTCCGAGCTTGCTCCCACTTCAGACCATCAGCCTAAAAAGATAACTAACGCTTCCTGGCACAGCCTAACAATAGTAAAGAGTTCACAAGCTTCTGTGCTAAGATGGATGAACGGCGAGGCACAGGCGGCTGGTGATGTAAACTGTTATCCCCTTCTCTGCACGTCCTAAGCCCGATTCAGCCTCCTCCTGTCTTCTCTCCAAACGTTCTCGGTCTGTCTACCATGTTACTGCTCATCCGCAACCCTCCGTATCACAACAATAATGCCTCTCATCCTGTCAGCACAAATGCGTCATCGCGGTTGCTATTATTGACGTTCGTAGCTGTCGACGTCATTCAAATCGGCGAACTTTTGATCAAGGAGACATATTTAAGAAGCGTGTTTAGGCGAGACAGGATGCCTAGAATGAGCGCTAAGGCCTTGCCCCTCCTGCATTGTCGTTATCAATATGACAACCCACAATTTCTTCGCAAGCTTACTAGCAGCAGCTCTCCTGCTGAGCCCCTCGGCTTGTCTTCCTGCTCCACCGCAAGGCTCAGACCCGGGACAGTACAGTAGAAGTGGAGCTACTTCCGGAAGCAGCGGAGCCGATTCCCCGGGTCCTCCAGGAGCAAGCGGATCCCTTCGCGGCCCTGCCGCCCTTCGAGGTTTCAATCCGTCAAGCCCACTCTCATTGCAGTCTACCGTCATACCTCCAGAAGATTTTGAGCTTGGCCCAGGGCAGTCGCTGGATCCAAAGCTTGGTGTCTATATTGATCTCTCCAAGGTGAAGAACCCTCAGCCCATCCGCGGGGGTACCACAGCCTCAACAGATCCTGGTCCACGTGAGTCTCTGTCTTTTCTTTGCTGCAGCTCCACTCTCTTCCAATGCACACTCGCTTGACGCAAGCTAAAGGATTCTCGCAGGAACGGAGGCCTATGATAGGCTCAACTCGGATATCTTTGCTCCCCCTGGAACCGACAGCGGAGATGTTCCCAATGCGAAGTGGCCGCTGGGACTATCACACAATCGTCTCGGTCTGAAGAGCTCGGGATGGGCGCGTCAACAGAACGTCAATCAAATGCCAGTCGCAAAAGCCATGGCTGGTGTTGACATGAGACTCGAGCCTAATGCTTACAGAGAACTCCACTGGCACAAGCAGAATGAATGGGCCCTGGTTCTGAATGGCAGTGTTCGGATTGCTTCCATGGAACAGAACGGGCAGAGTTTCATCGACGATCTGCAAGAAGGAGACGTATGGTTCTTCCCCGCTGGGGAACCACACTCGATCCAAGCGCTTGCGAACGGGTGTGAGTTCCTCTTGATTTTCGATGACGGCACTTTCTCCGAAGACAACACTTTCCTCGTCAGCGAGCTGTTCGAGCGCAACCCCTTGGAGGTCCTCGCGAAGAACTTCCGCACCAACGTGGACGCCTTCAAAAACCTCCCCAAGGGCGAGCTCTACATCTTCCCCGGTACGCCCGCGCCAGCCAACATCAGCGAGCAGAACAGCACCGGCCCCGCTGGCAGCATTCCCATGGAGCAGTCTTACAGCTACCACCTCAGCAAGCAGGAGCCTTACCGTGTCCCAGGCGGTACAGTGAAAATCATCGATCCGAAGAGCTTCCCCATCGCCAAGAACTTCGCCGCTGCCCTCTTCACCGTCGAGCCCGGAGCGATGCGGGAATTGCACTGGCACACCACAAGCGACGAATGGACCTACTTCATCTCCGGCCAGGGCCGCGTCACCGTCTATGATGCGCCCGAGGCGAGTGCCACCTTTGACTTTTCTGCCGGCGACGTCGGCTACGTACCCGTACCTTTCAGTCACTACATTGAGAACACGGGGACGGAACCACTGGTGTACTTGGAGGTTCTACTGGCTGATGCTTACCAAGACGTGAGTGTTGCGCAGTGGCTGGGCTTGACACCAGCGCAGGTTGTTAAAGATCACTTGGGCGTGGATGATGAGTTCATCGCGAAGCTGCCGAAGACGAAGCAGTTCATACTTCCTGGGAACAAGGACTTGTTGGAAACGGACTTCTCAGGTGAGCAGCTGTAGGTTCATAAGTGCATTATTCGGGCATTGATTATAAAGATATACTCACCGCCATGTATGTCTCTGAAATCCTTGCCGGAATTGAACATCAGTGTACATTATGGAATAAACAGATATGACCGATGTGTTGAATTTTCGATATTGCTTTACAATGGTAATTTCTGCGTCATTCGACATCTGCACGAACCCACGATTTTTCTTCCGCCCAGTCACTGTCATTTTCGATCAATGTTGTACCCCCAATTTATATATTTCAATTAGTGCTGTGATGTACATTCTATTTAAAAGTACCAACTCCAAATTTCGTACAAGTCATTAAGAAAAGAGCACAGAACAACTTAATTCAAAACAATCTATCCCATCCGCTTCTCCATAGAGAGGCTCACTCTCCTCCGACGTGCCTCCATCTCCCCTAACCGGCGTGCATACTAACACAGCTCTCATTCACTAGATGACCACACCATTGCCTACTTCCTCTCACGCTCTTGCATAAGGAAGCTACCGCTGCTGGCCTCAACATCATCCTGACCCTTCCTCTTTGGCGGGATCAGGGTGCTCGGATGGTACCAGTTGAAGATGGCCATGGTCAGGAACATCAAAGCCGCATCGAAAACATAGAGGTAAACCTCATTGCTGAGCAGCTCTCCGTCCTCGCCCTGCACGTATTCGATGAGGCGGAAGATAGAACGGACCAGGATGAGCCCATTGGAGACGTAGAGAACGATGAGGTACATCTGCCAGGACACGGGCGTCACGCGGGACGCGTCGGTCGGCGCTTTGCGCAGGCGCCAATTGTAGTGGATGGTCGTGACGATAAAGAGGCCGAAGAAGATCACTTGGACGATCAGGCCGATGGTGATGAACAGCTCACCGCGGTCACGCGCGTCCTTGGAGTCGGCGCCAGCGAGCATGGCACCGCCTGCGGAGCACTTCTGTTAGCTTCCTGCGCCGTGCGATTGAGAAAGGTCCGAGTCGACATACCAACACACTGAACCAGGAACGAGATAACGTCTCCAAAAACGAAGATCTTGGTAAGCCAGTTGACTCGCACAAGAGAGTACGCTTCCCCTCCAGTCAATCTGATTATACGGCCCAGAACCATGTAGATTGATGCTGCAAACAAGGCCGGTCCGAGAAGTAGCAGCAGAGCTTGCAAGATGTATGGTAGCTTCTCGGATTCGGGGTACTGCGTGCTGGCGATAGCGCGGGAGAGGTACCCGATGATTTCAACTATGTCTGGTCAGCGGAAGACACTCAATCATTTGGGAGCCCGGGAACATTTACAGAAACCGCCAATAACAAATGGAATGAAGTACCATGTCCTCCTCTGAACGAGCTGCCAGATATGTAGAAGTGTCGTCAAGGAAAAGAGGGCTGTGAAGATGGCTCCGGCTGCCAGACTGGGCTTATAGTGCTCGTAGTACGGGTCGGTGGCCATGTTGATTGATTTTCGTAGTTTTGTCTCGGGGAGAAATTGGTATGTGAGCTGTGTTTGCGTGAAGAGGGAAGTTCGTGGTGTGGTGATTCAAATTGATGCAGTTCTACAGCACATATTTATTCTAGACATATCGATGTCCAAGAGTTCTGTTCATGCTGCGCCTCGACATGGTTTCTCTATCTCATGTCCTTTGCGACTGTGTACGCAGAGGTCTGCGCCTCTTTGGGCTGGCTTGGCGGTAGCCGTGTTCGGATTCGTGGGCGGGTTCGTAAATGGTCGCTCGCATTCTCTTCTCCGCGTCTCTGATTGGTGTAAGTCCGCAGCTTAGGCCATGCTTACAACTACGAGTAGGGAACTTTAAATCCAGCCACCAGGATTTTAATATGAGATCTCACTTGATCCAATCTTCAGGAGAACACGCATGCGTGTGTTGGTCTAAAGCAATATGAAGTCGGTGTGTTCAGTTAAACGCTGTGTAAACGGCACATCAAAGCCCCATCCTTCCAGTCCACGATACCATCTAACGACACAATTGCAAATCAATTCAGATTGCTATCATCATGGTCGACGTTCAGATACACTATTTTTGGAAGCATTTCACGAGCCAAGAAAGGGGCGCGATAGGGATCGATCGTGCCCACTGGCGACAAAGCGGAGAGCGCACCTTCCAAGGCTGAATCACAGCACCTACACATCAGGCCAAGCCATAATTTATTATGTGCAGATTCTCAGGCGTACAGCCTCAAGTCGACTCGAAGGGTCTGGTTATTACGCCCTCATGAAGTGCCGTCGAAGGCAGCTTCACACCGACCAACGGCCACGAATATTCAGATAATATTCAGACTGAATATACCGACTGCAATATCTAATGAGTTATCAAGCTCACTGGCCTGAATCACTTTATTGGACATGATTTAGATTTGAAACGAGCCGCTGTGGGGTGCCGTGTCTTGAAAAGCGGCCAATTCCAGGCAGCATTCCAAGGCAGACTCGCGGCTGCTTCGCATAGCCCATTTTATGAAGCAAAATCATCTGTCAGGCCATATGGAGAACTGAGAGCAACCTTGAGCCGAGATGTTTTATTTCAAATTATTGGACTAGTACTCCCTCGCGTCTTGCGTCACATGATCATGATGGTCACTGCAAGTTGACTTTAATACCTTATTTCAGAGACAAGTTTTACGAATCGGAAGCCTCTAATTCCCTTGTAAACTACTAGTATCTAATAAGCAACCCACATATATCCATTGCACACCTCCATCGACAGGCAGGTTATGGTATTTATTTTCGGGTACGCCCACCACTAAATGAAAGCGGCAACACCGCATTAATGAGCTACCTGGAACAAAAGAGCATGAAATGAGGACAAATAGCACCTCGGCCTTTTATATGAGGGCTTAAGGCTCAGAGCTTAGGTAATTTTCCAAAATCTCCTTTTTGGTCGATCCGACCCCGCGCGAAAAACGGCGGATGAGTGTCCTTCGCTGAGAGGCTAAGCTTTTCTCTGCTGCCTTGCTTACCTGAATTTGCAACTGACTCGGAGATTCGGGCCCTCGGAATGGCGCCTGTTCCGAATAACATACTTACCCGGCGAGATGGTTGACCCGAGTCACGGGCTCTGGGGTAGGAGGACGCAAATAACCTACAAGCCACCATGTTGCATTAATAATTCTAAGGCAGCAAGATATGTGGATCCCGAAGAGTGAGTGACATATAAGGTAGAGGCTTGGTGCTCACCTAAGTCTTACACAAAGTGCAGCACGCTTCATTCACTGAACCTCAATCACATCCTCATTCAACTCAAACAATCTCTCAAAATGGTCAAAGTCGCTGTTGCTGGAGGCCTTGGCAATGTCGGAAAGACAATCGTCGAGGTTCTGAAGGATGATCCCAAGCACGATGTCATTGTTCTCTCTCGAAAGGTTCGAACGTTGTCAATATTCGATGTCTGACAGCGCTGATGCATACTTGGACAGGCCAGCGACAATGCCGCAGCCCCCGTTGTGGCAGTCGACTACAATAATGTGGACTCCCTGAAGCAGGTCTTGGAGAGCAACAACATTGAAGCGGTCATTTCCGCATTGATGGTGGGCGACGAAGTGGCTTCGCAGTCTCAAATCAACCTCATCAAGGCTGCCGACAAGTCTTCGACGACGAAGAAGATGGTCCTCAGCGAGTGGGGTATTCCTTTCACTGCTGAGTAAATCTCACCTATTAGATACCTTAGACCGAAAAGCTAACAATGTGCCAGAGACGTATCTCCGCTGCCTCATCTGGCGTTCCGTCTTGCTGCGATTGCCGAGGCCCGGAAGACTGGACTTCAATGGACTCGTTTCCAAACCGGTTACTTCATGGACTACTACGGCTTGCCGCACATCAAGAGCTATCAGCAAATGTACATGCCCGTGTTGGATATGGTGAATAAGGTGGCAGCGATTCCTGGTGACGGGAACGCACCAGTGACTTTCACGTACACATTCGATGTTGCGAAGTTTGTCGCCGCGGCACTTGATCTTCCGACATGGGACGAGGAATACCTGATAGTCGGCGACAAGCTGAGCTGGAATGAGTTCTTGAAGCTCGCGGAGGACGTTCGTGGTACGCTGTCCATCCCCCCCCCCCGATTCGAGCCTTCTCACTGACTGCTGAATAGGCTCCAAGTTTGAGGTTCACCATGATGATCTTGACAAGCTCAAGTCCTTCCAAGTCACCGAGCTTCCCCACCACCCTGGGGTTTATCCCTTCTTCCCGAAGGAGATGCTGCAACGATTCTTCTCGGTCTTTGGGCTGTATATGGCCACCGGCAGATTCGACCTTCCGATTGAGAAGGCTTTGAATCAGAAATTTCCGGAGATCAAGCCCATCACGGCGAAGGAATTGCTGGAGCAGGCCTGGAGGGGTAAATAGAGGTGTCATCACGGGCGAAGGCCTTCGTACGAACTCGTATAGTCACTCGTTTTAGCATCGGCTTTCTTTGGCGTGCTTTACTCATGTATTTCCTTTCGAGTTGTCTTCTGCCACTGGCAACTTCTATATATAACCTAATTGAATGTTAGCTAGTGGCTCAACTCGTCCAAATACGTGGGTTTAGAGGATTCAAACATGGTGATTAATCTCCGCAACCAAAAATTTTGATGGGTGCTCCTAGTCTCGATGATATTTGAAGCACCATTCCTAAATGAGTAGCTGTGTCCAAGATATGACAGCGGCGCGTGGGGAAATAGGCCGATTTGTCTCCGCATAAGCCGCGGCGAAGAAGCGGCTCTCCCGAAGGCTGGATGTCGCCAATGGCATAATTGCGCGGTGAGTCAACTTCCCAATTCCCCTGCGCCCGCCAAACCCTTGCCAGTTTCTTCTCTCTTTTCTCGCCATGGCTGATGTCTCCAAGTGCATGCCGCTGTCGCGGGAGTCTGTCGTGGCCGCGCACCAGGCCATCAAACCCCACGTCCATCGCACGCCCGTGCTGACCTGCACAACCCTCTCCAACTTCGTCTCAACCCCGCAGACCGAACATGACCTGAAAGGCACCGAGTACGAGGGGCAGACGCCCGCGCGCCCCAAGATCAATCTCTTCTTCAAGTGCGAAAACTACCAGCGCGTCGGCGCCTTCAAGGCCCGCGGCGCATTCCACGCCCTCTCGCGCCTGACCGACGCCGAGCTCACCAAAGGCGTCGTGACGCACAGCTCCGGTATGCATTCTTCTCCGCGAGAGGACGAGGAAACGACTGCTCGCTGACCACGCGCCTACCCAGGCAACCATGCCGCCGCCCTCGCCCTCGCCGCCAAAACGCGCGGCGTCAAGGCCTACATCGTCATGCCCACCATCAGCACCGCCTCCAAGATCGCCGCCACGCAGGGCCACGGCGCCGAGGTCATCTTCAGCGGCTCCACGTCGCAGGAGCGCGAAGCCGTCGTCCAGGACGTCATCGCCCGCACCGGCGCCATCCTCGTCCCGCCCTACGACCACCCGGACATCATGCTGGGCCAGGGCACCGCCGCCCTGGAGTTCGAGCAGCAGGTCAAGGACCTGGTCGCCGACAAGCCCGCCCTGAGCGTGCGGGCGGACACGGACGCGCTGGATGCTGTGATAACGCCGTGCGGCGGTGGAGGCCTGCTGTCCGGCACTGCCACCGCCTTGAGCGGCACGGGCACCCGTGTCTTTGGCGCTGAGCCCTCGTTCGAGGGCGCCGACGATGCGCGTAGGGGCCTGAAAGAGGGCAAGCGCATTACGAACGTCAAGTCGCTCACGATTGCCGATGGCGTGAGGACCCCCGTGGGAGAGATCCCGTGGTCCGTCATCAGCGACAAGAGCAAGGTGCAGGGCGTATTTGCCGTGACTGAGGATCAGATCAAGTCTGCCATGCGCCTTCTCATGGAGCGCATGAAGGTCTTCATAGAGCCCACTGCGGCCTTGGGCCTGGCTGTGTGTCTCTACAACGAAGAATTCAGGCGTCTGGTTGAGCAGGAAGCTGGAGAGAAGGGTTGGAATGTTGGCATTGTGCTCAGCGGAGGCAACACCACCATGGAGGCCATTGGCAAGCTGTTCGCTGCTTCTTAACCCAAGGCAGAGAGCAGAGAGGGTAGAGACGGAGACTGTTATCGCCGGATAGAGAGAACGGTAGAGCATAAATTTAGAGTATGATACCTCATTACTGCAGCCTTCCACACAGCACCACATCCTCACCTAGAGGACACCACTTGACCTCCTTCAGCCTGGCCGCCGTCACTGGCCTGCCCTCCTCATCCACCCTCCTCGGCGGTGACACCACCACGCCACCCTGCCCCAACCACGTAGGCGCAATAGTGACGATGACCGAGTCCACCAGCTCCACATTCTGCGGCTCCAGCAACTTATTTATCACCCCCGCCCCACCCTCAATCATCACGCTCTCAATCCCCTCCCCAGCCAACCGCCCCAACACATCCCCCCACTCCATCCTCCCATCCTCCCCGGTCCGCACCTCCAAAACCCTCCCCCCACACCCCTCCAACACCTTCCGCCTCTCCCCTCCCACCTTCTCCCCCTCCGCCACAACCACCCATGGCGCCCTCCCCCTCCCCTCCCCCGCCAACCTCAACACCTTCGCCAACGGCTTATTGCTCCCTTCACCACCGCCCCAATCCCACCTCGCCCTCGGATCCACCACCACCGGCCTCGGCTGCCCGCGCAACGGCTCATCGACAGAACCACCATACCCGCCGACGCCCGCGATGCGGCAGTTGAGCGACGGGTCGTCGGCGACGGCGGTGCCCGCGCCGACCAGGATGGCGGCGTGCCGCGAGCGCAGGTGGTGCGTCATGGCCTTGGACGCCGGGCCCGACAGGGCCGTCTGCGTGCCCGGGGCGAGCGAGAGGGCGCTGTCGAGGGAGGTGGCGAAGGTGAGGGTGACGAAGGGACGATGGCGGCGAGGACGATGAGGGTCGGTGGAGGATGAGAGGGACAGTGGTGGAAGGTACGGTTCGAGAGCTGCGGCGTCGGCGGCTGGGAAGTGTAGGGCGTCGCGCACTTTTTGTTGTTGCGGGGGGGCGGCGGCGGCTGACGACATTGTTGGCGGACGATTGATGTTTCTAAGGTTCGGTTGGGGTGTGTGTCTGGAGATAATGGTTGTTAGTTTTTTTGCAAATGGTGGTGGGGTGGGGTGGAAAGATCGACGACGATGCGTCTGCTAGTTGAAGATCATCAGGGCATGCTTGCAGCAGCCTTCAGGTAGATACCTCCGACCGTTGATATTTCAGTCGTCCTTACCGGATAGTGGTTGCCTGAGAAACGGCTTATTTACTTTTTACGACGTCGACCTGGAAATAATTTGTGGCGCGTGGAGTGGCTTGGCAACGTAAGGGACGGCAGCGGGAGCAACCCGTGGGATTAAGCGTTACAAAACAGATAGTACATCCCCCGAGTCAGCAAGGGACCTCTTAAGGCTGAAAACGTGCGTGCTTCTGTGGAGATCGGGTGTGCGTTGCTGAAAGTAGCTTAAATCTACCTTCTAACCACAGATGCTCGTTCCTCTTTTGAGAAGCGATCGGTTGCTGCCATCAGCACTTTTTTCTTCGGTCCCGTTGAATAACGCCATGTGCAGCAATGAAAAGTGCCTGTGACGACATCGTAATAGATTAAAATAATAGTACCATATCCCAGCCATTGACTCTGTTTGAAACGGCAGAGAGCAAGCAGCTGCAAAGAAAGAGCGTCTGGCGCTATGACGTATGCAGGAAGGCTCGCACAAAGCAGTGATCACAATCAAACTCCGGTCAACTTCAAACACAGCAAGGTAAGAGATGCCGGTCTCAGAAGCATGCTCAGGGTTGTTCCCGCCCGGCAACGTCGGCCTCGCTAGCTATCACCCGGTCGCATCGACAGCCATCAACGGCCACCAGCGTCACAGCCTTGTGGGACCAGTCCAAAAAGCCGCTCCCCACGTGCCACATGCTCCTCCTTTTGATGACCAACCGGTCGTCCCGGTCCCCGTCCCGCTCGGTTCAGACGGCACGCCCGTGGGAAGCTTAACGCCCCCGAGCCTTTGCCTTCATCTTACGACATGGCACCCTGGCCCCTCCCTCGGCGGGTCCGCCTGCCGATCACCATCACTTGCGCTTTGAAGTCGACGAAAGACAGGGATATCAAGGACCGCAAATTACCTATGCCAAACAAAAAGCTAAATGCACCACCTGCTACAAAACTGGACCAGAAGGAATTTCGAGGAGAACCGACGGACATTCATCATGGCTAGATTATACAAAGGAGACACCGGCCTGATTCGACTATACGCCCCGTTTTTTTCCAACGTGTATGAGATAACTCGACTGCAGGTCCGGGCCAGCCAGTACGTTATGTGTAACAAGCAAGAGCCCCTGAGATATGCCAGAAATGAGAAAACCAAAACAAGAGGAAGCAGTAAAGAAAACACCCAACACGCCTAGATTCCTCCCTAGGGGCTGATCTGAATTGCACATGGCTATGCATGTACCAGTGCCTGAGATCTTGGACATTGGCACTGCTTCCGAAGAATCTTCGAAATTGCGGGTATCGTTTTGAATGTTGTCGTCTATCTCCTGGCAAAGCAGCACAGGATACCGGTCTTGCCCAGGAACCACAGGCAGCCGAAGAAACGAATCAAAGACATGAAGGCCGTCGTCCACAGCAGGGCCTGGAAGAAGCGTGCCGTACGTTGGGAAGCACCAGACTGCGAATATGTTAGCTTTTGATCTTTGTTTTCGCTCTGCAATCAATGCTTACCGTGAAACCAAACTTATCGAAGTTGTCACTGGTAATGACAACGGCCAGAAGGGCGTTGGAGAAAATCCATGCAGTCGTCAAGTGAGTTCTGAAAGACTTGTACGAATCGTCAAGCGTCTTGGCAGTGTCTTCGACCTCAGGCACGAAGGGCTGCAGAGCACGCTTCACCGTCTGCTCGAACTGACTGTCAATATCCGCCTGAGGAACATCCGGCTCCTCAATGACCGTGTGCTTTCCGTCGTTGTCCGTCTTGGCAGAGGGCAGGACATCAGCCTTGTCGGAACCCTTGGTACCCCAAGAAACATCGTGCCAGTTGGAGAAGGCGTAGACGTTCAGAATGTTGATATACGACGAGGCGATGAGCAGGTACTGCGGGAAAGACGTGAACATGTGCCACGGGTCCAGGTAGAGGAACGAGGCAATGTAGTAGAGACCGAAAGTAGCCGCCAGCGCAATGATAATGATACCGACACCATCCGACGAGAAGAACGACGCAGCGAAGGCAGACGCCGAGGTCGTGTCAAGACCCTGCGAGAGCGGGCTCGTGAACGCCTGGACGACCAGGTACATGGACAGAATGACGACGTAGAGCTGGATCAAACCGAAGACGCAGAACGACACGACATACGAGTAACGCGAACCCTTGGGACGGTTACCGAGCGCGAGAATGAACTGCAGAAGGAGGAATGCCAGGTACGCGTACTTGAGAACCGTGTTGAAGATGGGCGTGACCGTGTTGCCGAAAGGCCAGGCGTTCTTCTGCTGGCCGCTGCTCGACTCATCTGCAGACTCGGGGATACCGACAAGGTCCATGATGACGGTGGTCGTGAGCCAGTAGGAAGCCAGAGCAAACCAGGTAACGAAGAGGGTCGCGAAGTTGTAGACGAGCTGGATGTGCAGGAAAAACATGCGGAGGAAGTTGTGGCCAGATTTGTACATACGGCTGAAGTGCATCAACGCGTAAATACTGGCAGCGAACGAACCGTTAAGCCAACGACGACGCTGACCGATGAATTCGGGCGCACCTTCCGGCACATCGGTTTCACCCTTGGAGGCCTTGACGTAGGTAAGATGCCACTTGGAGCCGGCCTTGGCGACCAGTTCGAAACAGAGAATACGATCCTCGGCCAAGAACATGTTCTTCTTGAAAATGTTCATACCCTCGATACCCTTCTTGCCGAGAATCTTCGACAGGGTGTGGTCACCGTGGAAGTACTGCTCCAGCGGACGACCCATGATAGCACGGAAACGGTAGGCCGAGAAAGCACCAGGCAACACGGAGACGTAACCGAAGGAGGACTCCAGCGGCTTGTCGAGAATGTTACTGATCTTGTACTCGAAGTTCTGCGCGGCGACGAGCGGGTTGACGAGGTTCTTCCAACCCTTACCCAACATGGCGTGAATTTCACCACAAGCACCACCGAGATCCTTGTCGTTGTAGAAAGCCTCCCACAGAGCAAGCAGGGACTTGGGGCCGGGCTTGGTACCGGCATCGATCAGGATGACGACTTCGGGGTTCAGAATGCGGCCGAAAGCAGTGAAGAGCCAACGGTGGGAGTTGATCTTCTTGGTGTTCTTCTGCTTCAGACAGAACATCATCTGGACAGGGGGGAGGGTGCTGGAGCTGTCGTCGTGGGGGCGGATCAGCTGCTGGTTCGGGGTAACCGACAGCTGGGTGGTGTATTCGAAAATGTGTGCAGTCGTCTCCTTTCCGTCGATATCCCTCTTCATGACACCGTCCTGGTAGATACCGATGGTTGCGAGGACGTCGAGCGTGCCCTTGTCGCAAGGATCGATACCATCGAAAACCAAGCAGACGACAATCTTTTGCCAGGCGGGACCACCCTTGTTCCAGAACTCGGACTTCTTCAGGTTGACGATGTCACGGATGTTCTGCATAACACCGTGCAGCGTTCTGGCAGTCAAGACCTTGTCTTCGTTGTAGTAGGTGACGGCGATCAGCAGCTCGGTGTGACGGTTGTACATAGCCGGACGCAGATTGTAACCGTTCTTCAGCGTGAAATCGTTGGGGTCGCAGGTAGCGGCCGTGTCTGGACGCGCGTTAGACATTGGGGGCTGGAAAAAAGTAGGGATCGAGTGGGCTTACAGCGCATGTGGGTGAACTCCTCACTGCCGCTCTCCAGGTCATTGCGGTACTTGGCCTGGATGGCATTCTGAATGGCCGAAGGCACAGGATAATCGGCACTCAGAACGGCACCCTGGACGAGGCGGACCTTACGCGTGGCAGCACGCTTCAGGCCGCCGGCGGCACCGCCGGGCTGCTGGCGCTGGCGCCAGGCCTCGGTGGAGCTCGTCTCGCTCCTGCTGTAGGGCGAGGCAGCGCGGTCCTGGCCTGGGCCGAACTGCTGCGCGGCATCGGTGCCGCCGTAGACATCATCAGCCGCATTGTATCCGTTCTGGTCGTAGCCGTAGGGCGTGCCAGAGCTGGAGCCGTCGGCGTAGGTTTCCGTCAGGCTGTAAGCCGACACGGGGCGCGGCGGGGCTTGCATATGGCCGTCGTGCGAAGGGTCGTCGAAAGGGCCTGCAGACCGGTCAGAAAGCGGTCGGGGGGTGAGTGCGGCGGGATGGGTTACCTTCTCTCGCACCGGTAGGGTTGGGGTGAAGCAAAGAATCACCCTCGTAGGCAGCGTCGGGCTATGGGGAGTTAGCTGAAGGAGGGACTAAGGGTCAGATGGTGTGGACAAACATGGTCACCCGGACGCGACATGTCATTTAGATGGTGGCTCTCGCCGTAGCCATTACCCCCTGCCTGGTGGTAGCTCATGATGTGCGTGCGCGCTTGAGAAAGGGAGACGCGCGGGGATGATCTTTGTGTGATGAGGAGAGGAGCGAGCTTTTTAATAGGGAGGCAGAGGTTAGGGAGAGATTTTGGGCCGGGATCAGCGCGACTCGGTCGGTGTGGAGAAGACCAGAGGAGGAGGCGGGCTGTAGCGACTGCAGGCTCGTTTCAAGCGCACGCTTGTCAGGCAACCAGGGCAACAACGCTTCTTAGAGATGCAGCTGGGCAGCCGCGCGAAACAGGGAAGCAGAGACACCTTCCTGGGCGCGCACGCCACCGCCGCCGCCGTTCTTTAATGCTTTTCTGCCGCTGCCAGCGCGCGCGTTGCTGCAGCAGTGGGCGCATGCCTTTGTCTCCAAGAATAGTACACCCTGCGGCGCATGGATCGGTGTGGTGCGTAAACATTGTCACCCTTAACTTCCAGAAGGACGCACTGGCCGCTCGCCTCTCTCCTTTTCCGCTTCCAGCGTATCGATACCGCGCCCGCCCGAGCGCGCGTGGCTGAGCCCGCTGGCGGACGCGGCGACTACGCTGCCAGCGAACCACACCGCAGCGCGCGCCGGCCTCCCCTGTGTTCTGCGCCGCCGTCGTCGCCCGCCCCGGCCGGCGGCCTTCTCGCGCGCCTGCACGACCGCGCGCTCCACTCCGGCGCGCTGCGCGGCCGCTGGGGCGAGCGTGGCCGCCGCTGTGATTGCGAAGACCGGCGGTGGGGAGCGGAGCCTCTGCCTCGTGTCTGTGATGTAGCACCGGCGTCAATCAGCTTACGCTTCAGCCCCTGCGAGTCTGCCCGCAATTTCATCGCGACAAATACGATCCAGCTCGGCCATTCTGCTGCCGCGTCGCTGAAAATCCCACCGCTGGAACCCTCTCTCCCTGGCCCTCTCGCCGGCCATTGGCCTTCTCCTCACCACTAGCGTTTCGGCCCTGTGGTAGCCCTATCGTATCCGGGAGCGGCGCGCCTATCCTCGCAACGGGGTGATAAGGCAGAGCTGTCTCTGCCCTTTGCACTCTTCGCCTGCCTTTGCGTGTTGCGACGTCGTGCTCTGTTTTGGCGGTGAGCGTCCGGTACGTACAGTCAGCAGTGTGGCTGAACTTCAGCCACGGCGGGTACCAGGAGATCCTTCCAACTCGCCTCTCTCCAATCCAACATCCACTAAGCCCAAGCCCCCGCCTACACATTCGGGTGTGTGTGCAGACCAGAGAGATGCGCTCAAATGACCCGTTCCCCTTTCCAGCCGGCATCCGCTTCCTCAGGAGAATGCTTCAGCTGCCGAAATGCAGCCAAAACATATAATCCAACATCCACTATCCTGTTGAACTGTCGTCCAATGCGGCTGCGCACGTCACCGCAGCACTGGGCGCCCGCTGGCCCCTCTTTTAAACATCCGGCGCGAAGCTTGCCGTTTGCGAAGCTCGGGTGTCGGGGTCCAGGCGTTCGAACCGCCGTATAGATCTGGATCGTAGCCCACGAGCTTCTACGTCAAGGCCAATAATCTACAGCAGACGACGGCTTGCGCGCGTTGTCCTGGGAATGATCTCTACGGAGACCCGATCGGGGATCATTCAAAAATAGTTGCGCGTCGGCAGTTGAAGCATTCATCTTAGACGCATTCAGATCAACATCACCACTTCCCAAAGCAGTTTCCATTCTTCAAGCGCACTTCGACTTTCCCCTTTCGGGCCATGTCCATGTTGTCCGTGCTATATCTATTTCTTGCCGAAGGGTTACTCCTTGCTGACTTGCCTTTGCCGACAGTTAGATATGTGCAGCTTCTCGCTCGCACCCACTCTTCGAGACTGGGCTGACTTTCACCATGGCAGAACTACTTTCAACCCCAAGGTTTCTTCACGGCATCAGTTGGTCGGGAAATGCCGTACACACACCTTGTAGTAGTGGCATGCCACGCTCACTTCCTTGGCGACCCTGAGGCCGACGACTGTGATGTGTACTCCCCGCAGCAGTGGAACTTACAGTCATTCCAGCAACCATGTGGCCATAAACCAGGCGAGCATGAGACATTCCTGGACCACATCCAAGCGGGATTGAAAACTTTATCGTTCGGCGCCACCAAGGATAACAGCATCCTGGTATTTTCCGGGGGCTACACGGCCAGTTCTATTCGCCTCAGCGAGGCCCGAAGTTACTTCAGGGCAGCTGTAGCCCTTACCAAAGCTTCCGGTCATTCTGGATCTTACGGAAATCTGCTTGGATCAAGGATATTCCTGGAGGAGCATGCCACTGACAGCTACCAGAATTTGCTCTTCTCTGTTTTGTGTTTCAAGAAGGCAATCGGCAGATATCCTGAAACAGTCCAAATCATTACGCATGCATTCAAAACTGAAAGGTTTTTGGTGAGACAGCAAACATATCTGGAAAAAGAAACGGTATCTGATGCATGGCAGATGTCTCACGCCAAGGCAATTCGCTGGCCGTCAGACCGCATTAGGGTGCAGGGTATTGATCCAGTCATGTCTGGTGCGTCGCTTCTTATAATGCTCAGCCTCAACTAGACTAACAGAGGCTTAGAGGAGGAATTCAATGACACCAAAAATGGTGAAAAACAACGGGGTTTCCTCCCATGGACACGGGATCTGTACGGGACACGTGATCCATTAAGACAGAAACGAATTCAACGAGGCTGGCAAGACATTACCCTCGACGTGTTAAGCGCTGGATTGGAACAAGAGGTTGGAGAACTTTTGAAATACAACGGTGGGGAAGATGGTCAAACGCTATACTGTGGCAATCTGCCATGGTGTCAAGTATAAAGACAGACTCAAATGCAGCCTCCCATGGGCCAGATGCCGTGGCATAGGCTTTTGGCTGAAGGTGGGAAAACATGACACAGATTGAAACCCCATGAAGACTAAATGTTGGAGCCTTCTCTGAAGCATATGAGACGGTGAACTTGAAATTGCAACAGCATTCATGATGACAAAGGAGCAGTTCAGTTGGTATGAGAGATTTCAAAAAAAAAAAAAAAAAACGAACCAAAGCTTGAACACTCCAAGCGTCCGGGCTGAATGCTTGGCTAAGTCAATTCCACCACAACCATACACAGCCGATTCGATCCAATGATAGGATAATAGTCCAAGATGCTGTTTCATCATCGCCTTTTAAACATTGTCTAGGATGAATTACAACGAATACTTCAAAGGTGCGGGGACAGAACCATACTCTGGGTAATCTCAAACCGTCTCGCTGAAACCGTGTCAGCCATGCAAAGGTCCGTTCGTCTAACGACTGTTGCAGCTAAGTGGGGGGAGCCGAAGCTCTAGTTCGAACGTTCTTGTTGGCCGTCATACGTATCAGACTACATGGACTCTTAAGCGCCTGCCCATCTGACTTCTCATCCTGCTTTACCACCGGGGATATGGGTGCAGGTGTGGGTTGCGGTGCCAGTGCTGCCTGGCCGATTAGGCGGCGACGCGGGAGCCCCTCCATCGGAGCCCTGACGACAGTCTTGGCACCGAAGAGTCTCCAACGCCCGACACAGCGCGTAGAACACCTCCGCCACTTATACCTCCCGCCACACCCTCCTCTCGTACTCACAAGCGCAGTAGTAGTGCGACGCTCTTCGAAACCGCCGCCCACTCTATTCTGCTTCTCTTTGCTGAGCCGCTGCTTTTCCCGATCTTGTCGCACTCCAACTCCGATCTTCGCCGCAACCTCCGCCGCCGCTGCCGACAAGGCACCACCTCGCCCATCATGCTCAAGATATGGTCTATGGTTCGCCGACCATCCAAATCTGCGAGAATACTTGTCTGGCTAGGCTGCTGACAACTTGAGCAGAAGCAGAAGCAGCAGCAAGAGGAGAATGCTGCTGCAGGCCAGAAGAAGAAGAAGGTCACGGCAGCTCAGCTGCGCGTGCAGAAAGGTGCGAGCATTTACGCATGCTAGCGGAGCATAATCTCACTTCTCCCCGCTGCAGACCTCTCGGAGCTCTCACTAGGCTCAACGATGAAGACCGAGTTCCCCAACCCTGACGATATCCTCAACTTTGTCCTCACCATCGAGCCCGACGAGGGCATGTACAAAGGCGGCCGCTTCAACTTCAACTTCGCCATCAACCAGAACTTCCCCCACGACCCGCCGAAGGTCAAGTGCACCCAGAAGATCTACCACCCCAACATTGATCTGGAGGGCAACGTCTGCCTGAATATTCTGCGCGAGGATTGGAAACCGGTGCTCAACCTGAACGCTGTCATTGTCGGCCTGCAGGTGTGTGGGCACAAGTATTGCTGGATTGTGAAGCCCGCGCTAACATGGAATAGTTCCTCTTCCTCGAGCCCAACGCGTCAGACCCGTTGAACAAAGAAGCCGCCGAGGACCTCAAGTCGAACAGAGAAGGCTTCAAGCGCAACGTGCGCGCATCGATGACTGGTGGTCAGGTCAGGGGGCAGACCTTCGACCGCGTGTTGATGAAGTGAGCAGGAGAAGCAATCGTTCTATACACGGTGCGAGCGAGCATTTTGGGCGGGGCGTATCAGGAGCTGGCGTACTTGCATGGGATTGCTGGGCTTCCTACGGCTAGCACCAGCAGCTGGGTGTTACGAATGACTAGAGTACATATACCAATAAGATCCAATGAGAGATGCATCGGCAGCCGAAGACGCCGTTCCTGAGAGTCGCGGGTCGTAGAAATGGCCCACACTGGGCGCGCAACGCCTCACGGTCCACATGGTGCTCAGAATATCAGTTCTCAACAAGGAGCCGCAAGACGAGCCTGCGCAGGCCGGAGTTGGACCGCCTTCGAGCTAATTCCCTTAATTGGCAGGTAGGCATCGCGGCAAAGATGCCGCCGGGCGCTGAGAATGCTCGGCTCTTGATCCACAAGATTGCAAGCGGGCCGCGCCCACAATTATTAACGCCGGGACAAATTGAATTCGGCAGTGCTATCGAGCCTGACTCACAGCTGGCAAATGCGGCGCCTGGTATTGGACGCACGTGACACAGACCCTGGCGCTCCGATGTCGCTGAGCTCGGGCGCACTACGCGAGAGAATTCACAAGTCCCCAGATTATTGCTCATCACCACCTAACCACCACATCCCATCCTCTCCCCTCATCCCCAAGCACTCTCTTAGCTGCTTATTCTCACAATGGCCTCCCGCACCGCTTCCAGGGCCCTCCGCGCCTCCGCCAGGCAATTGGCCGCTCCTGCCGTCCAGCGCCGCACCTTCGTGTCTGCTCTCAATGCTGCCACCAAGGGCGCCGTCGCCGCTGCCCCCCGCGCGGCTGTCTCCATGCCCAAGCAGCAGACCCGTGGCATGAAGACCATTGACTTCGCTGGCACCAAGGAGGTCGTCTACGGTACGCTGCTGCTAAACACGCCTCCCGCCGGCGCCGAAGGCTAACTTGAAGCTTGCAGAGCGTGATGACTGGCCGAGGGAGAAGCTCCACGTAAGGCACTTACATTCCTCAGAGTCAACAAGCTCCTAACCCCCCGTCGCAGGACTACTTCAAGAACGACACCCTCGCCCTCATTGGCTACGGCTCTCAGGGCCACGGTCAGGGTCTCAACCTCCGTGACAACGGCCTGAACGTCATCATTGGTGTTCGCAAGAACGGCGCTTCGTGGAAGGAGGCCCAGCAGGATGGCTGGGTTCCCGGCAAGAACCTCTTCGAGGTCGATGAGGCCATCTCCCGTGGTACCATCATCATGAACCTGCTCTCCGATGCCGCCCAGTCTGAGACCTGGCCCCACATCAAGCCCCAGCTCACCAAGGGCAAGGTAAACTGATCCACATCATGATGGCATGAGCAGCATGAGCTGATGCAAGATTCAGACCCTCTACTTCTCCCACGGCTTCTCTCCCGTCTTCAAGGACCTGACCAAGGTCGAGGTCCCCACCGACATTGATGTCATCCTCGTCGCCCCCAAGGGCTCCGGCCGCACTGTCCGCTCCCTCTTCAAGGAGGGCCGTGGTATCAACTCGTCCGTTGCCGTCTACCAGGACGTGACCGGTAAGGCTGAGGAGAAGGCCGTTGCCCTCGGTGTTGCCGTCGGCTCCGGCTACCTCTACAAGACCACCTTCGAGAAGGAGGTCTACTCTGACCTCTACGGTGAGCGTGGCTGCCTGATGGGCGGTATCCACGGTATGTTCCTCGCCCAGTACGAGGTTCTCCGCGAGCGCGGCCACAGCCCCAGCGAGGCTTTCAACGAGACCGTTGAGGAGGCCACCCAGAGCCTGTACCCGCTCATCGGTGCCAACGGCATGGACTACATGTACGCTGCCTGCTCCACCACCGCCCGCCGTGGTGCTATCGACTGGAGCAAGAGGTTCCAGGAGGCCCTCAAGCCCGTCTTCAACGACCTGTACGACTCCGTTGCCAACGGCAGCGAGACCCAGAGGTCGCTTGACTACAACGGCCGCGCCGACTACCGCGAGCTGTACGAGAAGGAGATGCAGGAGATCCGCGACCTCGAGATCTGGAGGGCTGGCAAGGCCGTCCGGTAAGTGACTTGTACGCACCTTTCACGCAAATCATCGGCTAACAAGACTTCTAGTTCCCTCCGCCCCGAGAACAACTAAGTGGCTCCCAACGAACACGAGGGGATGCATGGCGATAGTGGCTGGACCAACCAAAATGGAAATGTACGACAACGCTGATCCGGGAGCCTTTTGACTATAGTGGGCGCGGCTTTTTGGCAAATTTCTGTATTAGTTTCTCATGGGAATAAAAAGCAAAGTGGATGAGGTTTGGGAATGCGAGGCTTTTCATCTTCAGTACAACTCAGTTGCATTCGTTGACGAGACAAAACCAAGTCGAAGTCTTTGGCAGAACTAACTAACGGAAGTTCTCAAGGGTGTCGACTGCGCCATGTGCTGCCAAATGACGGAGATCGTGACGATAAGCGAGCTGCTGCTGGTCCGGGTCAAGGCAAGCACAAGCAAATCTGCGGAGCCTGCTGGCCTGTTGTCAATCCTCATGATTCGGCACTGGGGCTCAGCCAAGCTACGGGTCACTCTTCAGGCCTCTTGGCGCAGTGCCCCAGCCCAGGTGCAAGGCGCAGATGCATGCAAGTGGCCAGGATGCAATCCATGACGGCGATCGCAGACCTGGCAAGCCCTAGCCTCCACCGCTGGTCAAGTGGTCAGTCGCTATTTTCCCCAGTCTCAACCCACCACCAGGGAGCTACCCCAAAATAAGCCTTCCGGTTTAGCGACACCGTTCCATTCGAGCGCGGGCGGTGTTGTTCGGCCGCAAAGCCTCCCTGTCAGCACGGACGCGCCAGCACGCCATGAGTGGTCAAACTGGATGACTCATGCTCACTAGCGCTGACCGAAAGCCGGCGGAATGCGGAGCGGCGGCCGGGAATGTTAAAAAGTGGCCGGCGATACCTACGACTCGAGGCACAGCCAGCCGGCCACGGTTGGCCGCAGCGGCCCTATGCTCAAAATGGACACCGCGGTGTCGCGGTGTCGCGCGCTTGCTCCGTGCGCAAGGCAGAAGGCCTGGCTTGTAACCGGCAGTCCAGCAACTCCATATCACCCAGCCAGATCCTCAGGCAGAGTAGCTTGCTTCCAATACCCTTTCCCTCCTTCCGCGAGACTTCTGAAGCCTCGTTGCGCCATCGCGACGCGGCCGCCCTCGCACACATCACCGCTGTGCGGACTGACCACCCCATCAGCCGCTCCCCAGCCCATCATCCTCTAACCCCAATTTCCTCATTCGGCACTCTACCGACTCCGCTGGCGTGGAGTCACCAGTAGTAATCACGCAATTCTGTTCCCATCCCGTCCTCATTGAATCCTCTCCTGTCACCATGAAGGCCTTCCGCATCTCACGTGCCCCGGCTGCCGCCGGCGACGCCGCCTTCGACCCCTTCGCAAAACTTGTCTTCGAGCCCGCGCTCGAGTCGGACGAGCTGTTTGACGCCCTCAGGGAGTCCTATCCCGCACTTAAGACGCATACCGAGAGAAAGAAGCAGGCTGTCCTGGACTTCCTGATGGAGGAGCGCCGGGCCATCGAGCAAGAGATTACCGCCTTTGTCCAGCACACGGGCACTCCCGCTCCCCAGCCTGAGGCTTGCTGCTCGGCCAGGCCCTCTCCCGTGTTCTCGACGAGCTCCAGCCTTGATCTGCGCAAGCTCTCGACCTCGAATTCGTCTTCCAGCTCCTCGACCCGTAGTGCAGGATCCAGCCCCGAGACCTTGTCTCTCAAGGACATGACCTCGGTCTGGACAGCCGCCGGCCATGGCAAGCCTAAGATCCACACGCGGAGGTCGATGACCACTAAGGAAAAGGAGGAGTACCGGCGGAGACGGCAGATGAAGGCATGCAAAGAGTGCCGTTCTCGGAAGCGGAAGTGCAACCACGACCCTTCTGATGCCTCATCTGCCGCCTCCTCACGATCTGATGCGAAAGTAAAGAAGCGAACGTCTACAGTCGCCTCATCGCATCCGCCTCCTTCTCAACAATCCTTTCTGAGCCATGAGTTCGACAGCGCCTCGTTTCTCGCCGACTCCACCTTCTCCACCACCGACAGCCCTCTCGACTTCCTCGACTTGTCTCCGGCTACCGGAACTGAGGGGTCCTTCGACGACTTCCTCCTGCTCCCTCAGGACGACTTCTCCTCTATCGACTTCGCCACCGATCCTCTCTTCCAGCCCGTTCCACAGTCGTTCGCCTATGATCCCTTCATTGAGCCACAGCAGTCACAGCAACACTACGCACCCTCAACCGGTTCAAGATCACCAGCTTCCACCTACCAATCATCTGGAATGTCGAGGTCGGGCTCCAACGCACATGCGCTGGACACCTCACAGACTTGGAGCTTTGATCTAGATCCCATAGTAGATATTTCAGGTGGACACGTGCTTGATGCAACATTCTCAACTGGCTCGACTGATGGCAAGCAATCTGGCTTAGCCGCTGGCCTTTCACGGGCCTCGCACTCATCAGCTCCACGCAGGTCGCCAACAGTTCAACCATCCTCGACACAGACATTTACCACCAGACAGTCATCGCACTCACTTGATGGCGAAATAAGTCCTGGTGTGTTTAGCGGCAACCTAGGGACTCCGAATCTCGGAGGAGGCACCTCCGATTCCTTCTTACTCTCAGAAGGAACCCGACGACAAGCTGCTTCAGTCGGCAGAGCGGGCCACGATGCGCTACAACCAACCGCGCACAGCGCGACACCCACACACACGCTCAACGCTCACACCACGACGAATCTACCAGGAGACGTTGGCGTTCTGCCCCATGCATTGCCAGATTGGTTTAACGATGGACGGCGCGACAACGCTCGCCGTGATGACGCTCGCCGTGATGACGCTCGCCGTGATGACGCTCGCCGCGATGGCCTCGTGCTTGGAACTGATCCCAGTGCTGGCTCACGCTTTGGCGAACATGGCCACTCACTTGCTCAGCGCCCTCTTGGTGCCAGCGGAAGAGTTGGCACTACTCAGCACCAAGTGTTACCTCATCCCGTTGGCGATGGCCTGCTAGCCACCCATCTCTCCATGTGGGAATCGCACAACCACGAGACTGAAGCACCGTTGTCGTCAAGGAACCCGACCTCCGTCAACGATCCAAGCTCTTGCCGCTCTGGCAGCCAGATTGCCAGCGGCTTGAGCCCGCGGGTCTCTCCGTCGTCTCAAACCCAAACTCAATCAACCACCAGCGTTTCGAGGAGGCACACGGTTTTCCGTGACGGCCAAGACGGCAAGGATGTCAATGGTGGCATTCCAGGACCGGCTTCGGCAATTGCTGATGCTCGTGCCCGTCGCGTCTCCGACTCCTCTGCTGACCAGGCGCTTGCAGTCGACAGATCATGCAAGGGCGAAGAAGCTAAACGGGGCAATATCGTTGACGAAGCGCGGAAACCCGCGCTAGCCGACGGTGCGAGCAATGAGTTACTATCGCTCGCCCCCGTCCAGACCCAACCTACATCACCTCGGGAGACTGATAGCGCGAGTGTCATCGTCGCCTCTGTCTTCTCGACCTTCGTCCGCACGGTCTTCTCGTCTCTGCTTTGTCTTGCCTCCGCAACGCATGAGCAAGATGCGTCGAGTAGTAGGTCTTGTTCACCGATGGAGTTCAAATCCAGCGTGCCTGTCGATATCGTCAAGGCGAGACAGCACACGGCGAGGCTTTCGGTCACCTGCACGACATCACCGGCCCATTCTGGGCTGCTGCAAGGGGTGCGGCGCAGTCTCGTATTTGTGTAGTGGTTCACTCTCGAACGTTTAGCACCAGGCGTTTTTGTGTTTTATGATCTATACTCCATGGGCTGTTTGTTTTGCTAGCTAGGCGTTTGGTGTTGGGAAACTACGAAAAGAGTCTTGTATGTACATCGACTCCCCTCTGAGAGAATGAGAGGGTTTGAGGACGGTTGGCATGGTATTCGGAATGGATGGGATGCTTAATTCAAATGATTTGTCTGAACATCGCTTATTGCCAACTGTGACCTGAATGTGGTGTTTTGGATATCCTCGAGTCGGCCATCGTTCAGACACAATGGATGATGAGGTAAACCATGATCGTCATTTGTTACAACAAATGGCACCTATTCACAGATCAGGCTGTTCGTCTACTGTGTGTCAAATTAGACCCCGGCCATGGACGGTGGTCGAAAATGAGACCGCTCTGAAGAGACCTGTGTGCTTATGTTGGTTCTTACACTGCCAATGTTTGTGGCCAAAACACCAAGTAATCCTAACTTGGACAACATGATCTCGAAATCTATGAAACCACATCGCACTTTGGCCTGCTTAAACTATGACATACACTTTAACAGGTCAATGGAACGCCAGTGCCGTATGGCACAAGTACCACAAGTTGAAACCACAGTATGATGATCGGTTTCTACATATGATCATCGCATCGTAATCCATTGGTTTTCTCCAAGCTGCCTATCTTCTTAAGACATTGGTTTGACATGGACCTGTACTGTCATCTACGGACATCCTCCCCACGCGTATGGGGGGTCTATCATATCTTCCATCTCTCCGACAAATCAAGGGTATTTCGTCTGGCGCTTCGGTCAGTGCCCTGACTCCATCGAGTCTGAGGCACTGTCGCAGAATTGATGTCTGCAATTGCGCTCCAGCTCACGCGAGTGAGTCTGTCTTAGGAACAAAATCGGTTCGTTTAGAGTCTCCGAACGGCATGTCTATAGGGATGCAGCGGCCTCGACGGCTCCGGCGACCTTAAACGCGGTGGGGCTGGTGATTTGGACCTCGACGGGATATTTCCACTCCATAAATTTGGCCCAACCTACACGATGTGAGGTTAGCCATGACAAAATATAGAGACACGGTCGTGTATCACACACCCCAGTATGCACACTTGCGGCCAAAGTACTTGCCCAGGTAGGGCACGACGACCATGGTCAGGAGAAGCTCGAGCTGCTGCAAGCTCTCGCGCCACTCGCGCTCGGCTTCATTCTCGTCATAGTCGAGGCTGTCGGTGGTAGCTTCGGAGGGGAGTGAGTCGACGTCGTCGTCGGATGAGTTGGACGGCGGGACTACGAAGGAGGAGTCGGCGAAGGACATGGCGGGCGGAGGGCGGGATGCGGGATGTGAGGGGGCTAGCCTGAAGGCACTCGTCGGCCCATCAAGACCGGAGGATCAATGGGCGTGAAGAGGAGCCGGGAGCGAGGGAGGAAGGCACACAGCAGCACAGAACGGGCTGGATCACAGGGTGGTGGTTGACGTAGCGCGGCGCGGCGGGCGCGGGACATCTGCGGTTAAACATGGGCTTGGCGCTCACGTCGGTTTTTGTTCTGAACAGTCATTGTCTGAGCGCGGGTGGTGGGCGACAGGCACGACAAAAGCACTTGCTAGCTCACTCCCTCCCCGCCACACCTGAACTCCACCGCCCGCAGGCCCGTACATCCCCCCAGTAACGCGCCTGTCTCCAGCAACCATGGCGGACACCGAAGTACGTGATGCCCGTCCCTCTCCACAGTGTTCTGAGCTTGCGTGCCCCTCTGCCCGATGACGTCCGCGTCTCTAACACGGAGTGTGTGCGGCACGCAGGTTCAACCGCCCATCGAGGAGCGCAAGCCGCGCAAGTCCGTGGCATTTGCTGACGGCGCCCAGATTGTCGACAGCGATGGCAATGTCAAGGACATCAACGGCACCGGCGAGAAAGACTCCGCCGAGAGCCACGCCAACGAGACGGACAAGGCCGTCGACGAGGTCACGGACATGTTCAAGGACCTGACCAAGAAGAAGAAGAAGAAGTCGTCCAAGACCAAGGAGGGTGGCGACGACGAGGCTCCGGCTGCCGACGGCGAGTTCGACCCGTCGGCGCTCAAGAAAAAGAAGAAGAAGAAGAAGGCCGTCGACGCCGACGACTTCGAGGCCAAGCTGGCCGAGGCTGGCGCCGGCGCGGACAAGGAGGAGGAGCAGAAGGAGGAGGAGGTGCAGGAGGGTGACATGGAGAAGGGAACCGGCATCTTCGCGCACGAGAACACGACGCCCATCAACTACAACCTACTGCTCAACCGCTTCTTCACCATGCTGCACTCGCACCACCCCGACCTGGCCTCGTCCGGCTCCAAGAGCTACAAGATCCCGCCGCCGCAGTGTCTGCGTGAAGGCAACAAGAAGACCATCTTCGCCAACATTGCCGAGATCTGCAAGCGTATGAAGCGTACCGACGAGCACGTCACCCAGTTCCTGTTCGCCGAATTGGGTACCAGCGGCAGTGTCGACGGCAGCCGGCGACTGGTCATCAAGGGTCGTTTCCAGCAGAAGCAGATCGAGAACGTTCTCAGGCGGTACATTGGTAGGAACCCCCAGGCAAGAGGAGCGAGAAGGCGTTGCACTGACACTGTGAACAGTCGAATACGTGACGTGCAAGACGTGCAGGTCGCCCGACACGGAGCTCAACAAGGGCGAGAACCGTCTGTACTTCGTCACCTGCAACTCGTGCGGATCCAGGCGCAGTGTTACGGCCATCAAGACTGGTTTCTCTGCCCAGGTCGGCAAGAGAAGGAGGCAGCAGGGTTAGAGTGGAGGTGTGGTTGCATTTTTGTGTTCTCGGGTTACGACTGCTTGCGTTCTGGTTCCATGGTGACGATTCGATGGGTACTGGGCTACGTAAATGTGGCGAACAAAAAGCATGGCGGTCTACGGATTTCTCATACACGGGCGGGGGAGGTGTACTGTAGCAGATACAAGGCAGAATGCACATGATACACAGCACAGCTTGCTGGCGCCAAGTCTCGGGGCAAGTGTGTAGCGGCCGATAGGCGCCGGGGACCCACAGGATCCATGGTGAGCGCTAAGCGATGGCAGTGATGTTCGTAGGCGCTGAGGATGGCCAATGGAGCGGCGAGCTCCACGCCCCCAGGCCGCGACGCGTCGGAGGACCGAGAGATGATCAGCTTACCCGGTCAGAAACAAAAACGCGCGCGTACAGCCGGCCGGGGCGAAACTTACTCGTCGGCGCTGCTGACATACGACGGGTCCTTTCTGCAACGGGCATGTAGCTGAATTGTAACGAAAGACGGGCGCGCTGGGCTTTGGAGCTTTATATAGAGGCGCCCAACCGCCAGCAAGCGCCCACCATCTTCTCCGCTATTCCTCACAGCCAAGCTTGCCATTGCGCCGTCGCACACGCAGACGCACTGCGGGGTACAGCGCGCATCCGTCCCACGCCTCAGGCTGCATTGCAACTCCCACCTAGCCTACGTCGTCTTGCAACATGTCTGGATATCCGCCGGCAACCAGCCCCCAGGCGCAGTACTTTCCGCGTAAGCCCAGCCAAGCGCCGGCGTGCTGTCTTGCACTGACTTGAGAGACAGCCCCGCCGCAAGGTACCAACAGCTCCGCCGAAGCTCCGCGGCTCCCCGCCAGCTAACCTGCCACCAGACGGCCAGCCGCAGTTCGCGCCTCCGCCTGCTCCGCAACAGCAGCAATACTACCCCCCGCCGCCTGCCCAGAGTCCGCCCGCGACCCAGCAGCACTTTCCGCCGCCACCGCAGCCCCAGCCCCAGCACCAGCAGTATGACCACCACCGCGCCTCCTCGTACCACGGCAGTCCGCCGCCGCAACAGCAATATGTACACCAGGCCACTCCCTCATATCCCCCTCCGCAGTCAGGGAGCCCGTACCCTATAGAAAAGGCGACGCCGCCCCCTCCGCAGCCTGGCCAGTTGCAACAGTCGCACACATTCAATTCCAACACTCCCGCCCAGATGCCCGGCGGCGCTCCCGCAGCTGGTCACTTTGTGGGCGCCGGTGCCACTCAGGACGATGTGGGCACATTCAACGGTGGAAGCTACAGGATCAGCCATCGCGACACCAATACCATTTTGACCGTCCAGCTGGCAATGGGGTGCCCGCTGACCGCGAGGCCTGGTAAGGAAGCGTGTTGCTTGCCAAAGCTGGATTCGCGCTGACTGTAGTCGCAGGTGCCATGTTCGCCATGTCCCCCACCATTACCCTCAAGGGCAGCATAAAATTCTCTCTGAAGAAGTTTGTCGCCGGCGGCGAGCTGTCCACCTCGACCTTCACCGGGCCTGGCGAGCTCCTGCTTGCTCCTCCCTCCCTCGGAGATATTACCAATATCCGCCTCTCCGGCAGTGAGATGTGGAGCGTGAGTAAAGACGGCTTCCTGGCCTGCACTCAGGGCATTGTCAAGGAATACAAGAGCCAGAGTCTGTCCAAAGCCATGTTCTCTGGCGAAGGCCTTTTCGTGTACAAGATATCGGGATCTGGTATCCTGTGGGTCACTAGCATGGGTGCCATTCTAAGGAAGGACGTAAGTATCAGCACATGCTTCTTCCCCCACCGGGTGCTAACTATGTGCAACAGCTTCAGGAAAACGAGAAGTACATTGTGGACAATGGCCATCTGGTTGCCTGGAATTGCAAGTACGTGCTTGAGCGGGTGGCAAGTGGAGGTGTCATCTCCAACTTGTCCTCTGGTGAAGGTCTAGTGTGTAAATTTACGGGTACGTTGACACTAAACACTTTGCAAGCTCCCAGCTCCGTAGAGGGTTTGGCTAATGGATCATCTCGACAGGGCCCGGCACCATCTTTATCCAGACAAGGAACCCCACGGCTATGGCTCAATGGATTGGAGCGCACAGCGGCGCAGCGTAGTCACGATTCTCACGATTCTTTTGCCTTTCATCGCCCTATCAATTCGCCTTGAGCTTTTCTTGTAATTTTTTCGAGCGAGAAAAAAATTGAGATATCCCCACACCAATGGTTCTACTCCGCACGCTAAGGACCTGTTCCGCCGCTATTGAAACTGATGAGCCCAGAGTGTCAACCTAAGATAAGGAAAAACCACGCGTATTTGAAATCGCACTTCTCATGTTCAAGTTGTAAAGTTTGTTAACAGAAGGGATTGAATCCAGTCCCTCCAGGATACTTCGCTACGCGGGGTCCTCGTTATTGGGAATCTCGGCAGCCGTCCGCCTTCCACCATTCACTTATCAATACAAGGACAAGCTCTATTAAAGACCCATTCCATCGCATGCCAGTTGGGGTTAGTGCTCAATTCAACGTGTTCGGTACGGGCCGGCCCCAGAGAAAGCGTGTGAACCCGCTTCGCTTATCGCACCCATCCAGTAAGGAATCACAGGGTGGCATGTGTAGTCGCACAACAATTAGACTACTTGGCTGAAGCGTAGGTATGGACACGAATGTGGAATCACGGTTCGGACAGCCATGTCCGTACCAGGAGTTCAACGCCCCCTATGCGTTCAAACGTGGTGTATAAGCCGTGGAGTATCTGGCCTGTTAAGCGGTAGATATCTAAATAAAGGTGTTCTAGACTTGTCTTTATACGGTTCCACAGATGAATAACAGGTTGCTTCTGCGGGCCCGGCTACATTTCAGTGCCCCTCGTGTCCCTCGTTTGAGGCGTCCTCAGTCTCCCTTCCTTCGCTCAAACTCCCCACAAAATGTCGATTTCTCCGCTTCTCTCTCTCAAATTTTCGACTTTCGTTGTCTCTCTGTGATAAGTTTGATCCTTGTTTCTTCATACTTCCTAGATGATCAAGAAATGCCTTACCTTGGAGGATCTCTTACTCAAGCCTCAGCCGAGTCTCTCGGTACTCAGTTATACAAATCTCTTCAACCCAAGTCCCGAAGTTGTAGCCATGCACCCAGCAACTGGACTGACGAGCCTCCTGCACCGACGGAACCAAACGGTGAGCCCGAACTCAAGCGTGAGATGCTTCCCCGCCACTTGCAGATGATCTCGGTCGCCGGTGCTTTTGGAACCGGCCTGATTATCTCTTCTGGCACAGCACTCCTTCGTGGCGGTCCTGCGTCACTGCTGATCGCCTATGTGCTTATGGGGGCCAACGTATACATCGTCATGACCGCACTGGCAGAAATGGCTACCTACGCGAAGATGGACAAAGGGTTCCCGGGCTATGCAACAAGATTCGCAGACCCGGCTCTGGGGTGAGAACTCGCTCACTCACTCCTGAAGTTGCCATGCTGGTTCGCGCACAATGCACTGACAACTGCGTTAGTTTCGCAACGGGCTACAATTACTTCTGCAAGTACGTTGTCGTTCTCGCCAACAACCTCACAGCCGCAGGCATCATCATCCAGTACTGGCGCCCAGAGCTCAACGTCGGTATCTGGATCACCATCTTTGCGTTCCCGGTGATCATCATCAACCTCTTCCATGTCCGTGTCTTTGGAGAGAGCCAGTACATTGCTGGCGTGGTCAAGCTGGTAGTCATGACCATGCTTATCATCTCCTGTCTTGTGGCATCTCTCAAGCCCGTCAAAGGCCGCGGCATGGTCGGTTTCCGCTATTGGAAGGACCCAGGATCTTTCGGCGAGTACCTTGCGCACGGCGTTCTCGGACGTTTTCTTGGATTTTGGGCCGCGTTCGTCCAGGCTGGCTTTGCTTACATCGGGACCGAGGTCGTGGGTGCGGCCTTTGGTGAAACACCAAACGTGAAAAAAGAAGTTCCGCGGGCTATCTTTTGGACTTTTTGGAGGATAGTGTTCTTTTACATTGGTGGCGTTGTGGTGTTGGGCATGTCTTGCCCGTATCGGAATGACATGCTGATTGGAGCTAGTCATTCAAAAGCAAGTGCTGGTATGTTCACTGGAAGGATAATGGTTGGCGGTTGCTGAATTACTCTTGTGACCTAGCCGCTTCTCCGTTTGTCATCGCTGTCAAACTTGCCGGATTCGAGGTACTTCCGGACATCATCAACGCAACTCTGCTCGTGTTTGTGCTTAGTGCCGCATGCTCCGGTAAGTCGCTCTTCATATCCCATCATTTTCATTGCTAGAGCAGCTTTCATGCTCATGTTGATGGGACATTGCAGTGCTCGCTTCCTCCCCAGACTTAGCTGACGATCTCCGTTCACATAGACATATATGTCGCCTCGCGCACCCTATACGCCTTATCTAAAGATCACCAAGCGCCTAAAATCTTTAAGCGGACCATCAGCAAACGATCCCCAACGCTTCGTAGTGGATTGACTGTGAAAGACCGACTATTAAATATGTGCGTTGGCGTACCGCTAGCCTCGGTGCTGTTCTCCTCCTCATTCTTTCTCCTCGGATACTTGAACGTTTCAAAGTCTTCTTCTACTGTATTTGGGTATTTTGTGTCACTTGTTACTGTCTTTGGAGCCTTGAATTGGGTCAGCATTCTTATCTCGTATATCTGCTTTAGCCACGGCCTGCGGGCTCAAGGCTTTCGGCGAGAAAATATGCCGTATCGGGGCTTTCTACAGCCATACGCCTCTTACGTATCTCTCGTCCTTACTACTCTACTCATCCTCTTCAACGGTAAGCTCTTCACCACGTCTTGAGAAGGCATATCTGAACGCTAATGTAGGCTTTGATGCTTTCCTCCCCCAATTTGACGCTGCCAAATTTATAACATCATATGTTGGGATCCTGATCTTTGTGGGAAACTACTGTGGCTGGAAACTATTCGCAAAGACGGAGTGGATAAAGGCACACGAGATGGATCTGATTAATAATTGCAACGTCAAAGCAGCCACTGAACACCTCTTAGTAGTTCGGCCAACCGCTGAACTGGTTCGTTAGTAAAGAATAAGGCGCCGCACTTGTGTTATCAAACCATTAGTTTCAAGTAAGTTTTAGGTCCAATGTCTCAATTTAATTTTCTCAACTACCGCTTACGAAACACTCTTCAAAGACAGACGAGAAATCAACATGCTCAGAGAAGATGTGCCTTGAGCTGTTCCAGCGCATACTTGAAGCCCTTGGCTTCCTCTGGAGAAATTCCCAGCTCCTCCTTGCTCACGTACAAATCCCCCAGGTGAGCATGCCAATCACTAACATGTTCGCCGAACTTCAGCTGATCAGCAATCTCACGTCCAGCCACGCCCCAGAGCTGTTCGTATCCCTCGACCGAGATCTCAGCGAACACGGCAGGCTTTCCGGTAACCTCGCTCCAGTCCCGGGCCATCTTCTCGAAACTTATGACTTCCGTGTGCACGCTGGCGTACTTCCCAAGCGTTTTCCCGGGGTTCGCGAGCACTTGACGCACCCACAAGCCCACCGTCACAGAGACATCGCCGGTGATGGGAATGGTGGCGGATGGCTTCGTAGGGAGGGCGAGGACATACTTGCCGCTTCCCGGCTACAGTTTTCGATCAGCTTCCTATCCCCATTTGTAGGGCTTATTATCACCTACAACTTCGAAGGGTTTGATGTTAGGAATGAAGGCCAAGTTCGAAGAATAGAAGCCAACGTAGAGAAACGTGGTCTTCACAGCCAAGTCCGGGAGCTCGGAACGGATTCGTTGGTCGATCTTCGCTTTGTGGTCCAAGTGCGGAACGGGGTATCGGCCACCAGTCAGGTCACTCGCCGGTGGAATTGTACTCCAGATGTAATGCTCCAGCGTTTTCGTCTGCGATGCAGCCCTCGCCAAAAGCAGCGCCTGCTGTTCTTCGATCTCGCCAGCCTCAGATTGTGATTTCCCGGAGAAGAGATGCTCCCAAAAGTTTGTCACCGCATATACGGCGTGGGCACCCTGCCAGCATTCAGTTTCGCTTCTGATGGTTTCCACCCGAGTGTTTGGAGAAATGGTTCAGTTGCCGTGGCGAAACCAGGAGAGAAATATTGGCTTCCACTCGAATGCTTTTCATCTGGAAATGCTATCATGTAAACACTTTGCTCACCTCAAAAGCTTTCACCAATGATCCTTCATCATTAAAATCCGCAGCAACAACTTCAGCTCCCTGAGCAGCGAGAGCTTGAGCGGCCTCGCCTTTCGGGTTGCGTGTGACCGCTCGGACCTTCCAATTACCGCTTTGCAGGAGCACGCGAGCAACGGACCCTCCCTGTGTTCCAGTAGCACCAGTGACTGCGATCGTTTTCGTCATATCGTGAACTTTGCTTTATATCGGTGGATATCTACTATACAGCGAGCAACACGACCAGAATATATAAGTATGCCAGCCTCATGCTTAATCCGAACCCTTGCGCATAACTATTCTGCCAAGCCTTGATGAGTGGGACTGATTGGAAATCCATTGGAAATCAACCATCACGTCAACGACCGACGCCTGGAATGCGGGGTTGCGGCCATCGCGGAGCCGCCAAGCGGAGAATCATGCGATTCCACATGATCATGTATTGCGATGCACCTCGAAAACTACGCTTCCTACAAGAAGCTGTTTCCTGATCGAGCTGTATTAGAACACTCTTTGAACAGCAACGCCCACAAAAATACTTTGGCTTTACCTGATAGTACATATGTACACGGGAAAAGCATAACTTCGAGATTAGGTATGACACGGAATGGTGACGTCTTTCGGGGGCAAACCGCATCTTCGAATTCTAGCTCAGATGGTGTTCCTCCAAATAGGGTGGATGAACCGTCGGCCGAGCAGCTTACATACGCGCTAGCATTCTACCTTGCAACGCTCACAGATATCAGATTACTTCTGGGCTTTTGTATTGACTGCAGTCATCCAGCCAAGCTCTTGGCTCTAATTAAGTGCATAAGGAACAAAATTCACATACGACTGATCCATTCACAGAGGCAACGGCATCCCGCCGAGGCTGAAATAATATTGCTCGCGCTTCGGGGTATATTATATTATCTCCGACACTAGCCTCTGCGAGCTTCTGGAAGCATATATCACTCGGCTCTCGGGGTTCCGTCTGGTCCGGTGGCTGTTGAGGTGTCCCGCAATATGGGTATCAGAGCCGAAGGCTAGCGGGAGCGAATGACAGGGCCTTGGAACATGGGGTAACTATAGCCTTCCAGAAGAGGTAATACCTCGCATTAATTACGAGACATAGCCCTCGACTGATGTAGACGGCGCAGGCTATCGTCTAGACGCAAATGTGTAGCCCTTGATTTAATCATGACGATTGCTTTAACCACCCATCACAGGAGCTCAAACGGGCGTCGGTCACCCATCCTACAATCTTTGATGCCAGCGGCGAGACTCGATTATCTTGCTTGTGCTTAGATATTAGTGAGCATGCCAGCTTGGTCAAGGTTTAGTAAGGGAAGGCGTCGAAAGTAAACCAAGAAGCTACATTCAATGATATCTATATTTTCTTCGTTAAACAGACATTAGATTTTGCGGCCCGCGCCACTTCATATCCTCTCGCCCTCCAGGATGGGCTTCGCCTCGGCACTCTTCCACCAGCTGACGCCGTCCTTGCCGGGGAACTCGAACTGGTCCATGCTCTCCGCCTTCATCTCCACACTGTAACCAGGCGAGGTAGGAGTAACGTAGTAGCCGTTCTTGATCTCGCTGGGGTGGAGGAAGTGCTCGTGCAGGTGGTCGACGTACTCCAGGACACTGAGCTTGCCGCTGACGGCAACGTAGTCGATGGTGCTAAGGTGCTGAGTGTACTCGGGTAAGCCGACACCGCCCGAGTGCGGAACGATGGGCACGTTGAACTTCTTGGCCATCAGCAGAACGGCAAGCACCTCGTTGACACCTCCCATGCGGCAGGCATCGATCTGGCAAATGTCAATAGCACCCTGCTGGAGCAGTTGCTTGAAGATGACGCGGTTCTGGCACATTTCGCCGGTGGCGACACCAATGCCATAGGGCTTGAGAGCCTCGCGGATGGCCTTGTGACCAAAGACATCATCGGGCGAAGTGGGCTCCTCGATGAACCAGGGCTTGAAGTCTGCAAGCTGCTTCATGTACTCAATGGCCTCGGGCACGGACCAGACCTGGTTGGCATCGACCATGAGGATGTTGCCCTTGTCGAAGCCGATGACTTCGCGCGCAATACCCAAACGGGTGCGGTCCTCGTCAATCGAAGTGCCGACCTTGAGCTTGAAGTGCTTGTATCCTGCCTTCAGCGTCTCCTCCAACAGCCCCTTCATCTTTTCCCGACCATAGCCGAGCCAGCCGGCACTGGTGGTGTATGCAGGCACAGCGCGGTTGGCCTCGGCATCTTTGAAACGCTGCTCCTTGCCCTGCTGGGCGTCGGTAAGGATCTGGATGGCCTCTTCGGGGGTGATGGCGTCGGTGATGTAGCGGAAATCGATGCACTTGACGAATTCCTCGGGCGACATTTCGGAGACGATGCGCCAGACGGGCTTGTTGAGCGTCTTCGCCCACAGATCCCAGATGGCGTTCACGACAGCACCGAGAGCGAGGTGGATGACACCCTTTTCAGGGCCAATCCAGCGTAGCTGGCTGTCGGCAACCAGATACCTCCACGTCTTGCCCCAGTTCTCGACGAGGCTCTCGAGGGACTTGCCCTGCACGCGCTGGGCGAGCTGGCTGATTGCCTGGCACACAATCTCATTGCCACGGCCGATTGTGAAGGTCTGGGGAAGTTAGCATGCTTCAAAGCCAGAGAAGAGGTGGAGCTACCATGCCATGGCCTTCAAACTGGCCGTCGGTGTGCAGGATGCAGTAGGCGGCCGAGTAGTCGCCGGCAGCATTCATGGCATCGGAGCCAGTCTTGTCAAGAGACGTCTGGACGAGAGTCAGTCGAGGGCGCGTGACGGGCGTTAGCGGGCAGATTAGCGCACCGGAAAGCGCACATCGCGCGTGGTTGCGTGTGTGATGGTAACCATGGCTGGTGAGTGAAAGGTCGGAGTAGAGGAGAAGGAGGAGAGGAGGATTAGCAAGGCCAATGGCGGGGAACAATGGCGGATATAAATGAGGTGCGGCGTTCATGAGCGCGCCGGAAGAATGCTGGACCCCACGGCGGGGCTCTGTGCGGGCTGATAGGTGGGAAAACTTGGCGTGGGGAAAGCCGTCGCGGTCGCGGGGGACAACAATTCTGCGACAGCATGGCGGCTTCTAGCTCGGGCAAGCGTTCGGCGAGTGCTCCCTGCAGCAGCAGCAAATGCTTGACTGGCGATCCGCTCGAGTTGCACGAGCTTGTCGCTCCCCCACGCCGCCGATCCACCTCGGGCCCAGCCGGCTGAATAAGGCCGTTCCGTCGGCATCTGCCCTCCGTAAAACGGCTAGCTGTATGCTCATGCGCGCAGCCTCCCAAGCCGCCGGCAGGTCTAGAATGCGTCGCGGTCCATGTAGCGATCTCGGAGCCGGCGGTGCATGTGCTCTCAAGGCGGAGAAATAGCGGTCACTAGGCCATTGAAGTAGCGCCAGAGCGACGAGGCGGCAGTAGACGGCGACGCAGGCAGTCAGAGAATTACCCGAAGCGGCAAGAAAGAGAGTGAAGTGCCGACGCGCCTGCAGCCACAGCAGCCCTGTGCGGCTGAGGTCGGCGTCCCACTGTCATCGGCTGTCGTGTGTGAGACTGCGCTGTTGGCGCGCTGTTGGTCCCGTTGGATGGCTCGGTGGGTCCGGTTTGGCTCAAACAGACTTGGCTGGTGATGCGGCAGGGGTCTGACTTCCGCGCTCTGACGACACTTGGTCCGCCCTACACCGCGCCCGCTTTCAGACCTTCTCGCCCACGTCGACCGCCATCAACCGCGCTTGAGCAACTGACATCGCGCTCTGCTCTCTGGTCGTCCGCCCTATTTCCCCGCCACGCGCCCCCGCTTCCCCCGTCTCGGAATCGCGCCGAATCGCCGCCTCTACCCATGTCGGACGGCGGCAGCACCCTCAACATCCCGCAGCTGCTCGTCATAATTGTCGTCAGCTTCCTCATATTCCGCTGGTACAACTCGCCATCCTCTGCACAGGGCCAGCAACGCCCAGCAGGGAGCCGAAATGCCGCCCCGCGCGTGAACCCCGCCGCCGTCGAGCAGATATCCCAGATGTTCCCCCAGCTCGATCGCCGCCAGATCATGTGGGATCTGTCGCGCAATGGCAACAACGTCGCTGCCACTACGGAGCGCGTTTTGAGCGGAAGGGGCTTGGAAACGGTATGCCGCTATTTTCTCGCCTCTACCCAACGAACGACTGACTGACAATCTACAAAAGCCGCCTCCGTCTTTCCAGCCGCCTATGCCCCCGCAAGCCCAAGCTCGCCCCGCCCAGCGTGAACCCGTCGTGACGCCCTCCCAGCCTGACCTGATAACAAGATACAAGCTTGCGTCCAAGATCCAAGACGAGGATGCAGCGCCGCTAGAGGAAGCCAAGAAGCCCTCGTGGTCGCAGAACAAGGCAGAGCGCCAGCGGAATCTGCAGCGCCGCCGTGAAGAGATGATCTTGGCTGCACGGAGGAAGATGTTGGAGAAGGATAAGGCCAAGGCAGCACAATCATAACTACTATAGTACGGAGCGTGTCAAATAGCAGCAAAAATAGATACATTGGTTCTCACGGCAAGAGCGCCGAACATCTGATCGTGGAACTACGCTTGTGAGAGGCTGATTCCCCGGTGTTGGTCAAAGAGATTCACCAACGGCAAGAAGAGTTTCGGAGCCTCGTCCCCTGCCGATTTGAATTTCTCTGCCATGGTCCGTAACTCTTCCCAGTCTACCCATTTCCACATCTCACACTTCTCTGGTTCGAGGTTCTGCAAGTACTTGTTAGTGCAGTCCAAGAAATGGTGCCTAATGAGATCACCTCGGGTTCCGTCTTCTCGCCGCTTATCCTTGCCGTCATAAAAATCGTTACGTAGTGAGCCCCAATGTCCGTGAAGACGCTGTTGGTTGCCGTGAAAAAGCGCACGTCCGTCGTCTCCAGCCCAGTCTCTTCCATCGTCTCCCTTGCAGCACACTCTTCAAAACCCTCACCGAATTCGAGATGACCGCCTGGAAGTGCCCAGGTACCTGTACAGGGATCAGCCTGATGCAATCTTCGTGTGATAGGTATGGCTTTGTCTGGGGGGAAAAAAAGCGCGGTTGCTTGGCGGGCTGACCGCGCAGAGGTACCTGACGCCGTGATAACTTGATAATGGAGGACTCAAACCTACCGGCGCCGTGGCTGCCTTTACGTTTGCCAATAATGAACTGATTCTTATCGTTGAGAATGAAAACTCCCACGCCAACGCGGGCGTTCTTAGCAGCTGGCGGCGACATGGTTGGGGATGGTTTGTGTTAAAATTGAAATGCCCAATGTTGCGAATGTTTGGTATAAATGTGAGATGCGGCGACTGGATGACTCATGTACCTAAACACAGCCTCGTGCAATACAAGGCAGCAAACGCCAGAGTATGGGAGTTGGGGGCACGACTCGTCCAATGTCATGTACATACCCAAAGTGAGCCTTGTGCAATACTAGGCAGCAAACACCAGAGCATGTAGGTTGGCGGCACGGCTCATCTAATGCTATGTGGCGGTGAGCTAAGCCTCACCCTCCACCCATTCCTGGGTAACAAAATTTCCCCGCATAGCAGCAAGCGCCCAAAAACCCCTTCGGAGCGAGATTAAACGATCTACGATAAGATAAGAAGAGGGCGGGTGTTCCAAGCTGATGTTGCAGCCTTCTCTGGTCACTCCCTCCGTCTGTCTATCTATGCCACTGCTGAATAGTTTGTAGAAGGTAAACCGAAGCGCCAGAGACCGTTTAAAGAAAGCCTTTTGAAAGAAAAACAAAAAGGAGGGGAACAACGCACTGTCCCAGTCTGCCACGCTCCAAGTTGCAACACCATAGGAGCCAACCGTGTTGTCAGGAAGCTTTTGGGCCTCCGTTCTCACTTACTGGACGCAGAGAGGCCTGGTGTCAATTGCCCTAGCCGCTTGGTAGCAAAAGAGGACCAAAAAGGCAAAAAAGAAGCTCACCCGAAGGTCAACCCCTGCTACGACCAGCACGGGACTCGAACCCGCAACCTTGCGCTTGCTAGTCCTATTTAGGAGGCGCACGCGCTACCATTGCGCCAACCGGCCGTTGTTGAGGTGGCATCGGCGCAAAAACAATATGAGGTGTAAGTTTTGGGCCCCCGCCTCCACTTGACAGCCGCCGAACGTCCCCAGACCTCGCATACTGGCCACCACTCTCCGGTAGGCCGTTGCTAGCGCAAAAAGCCTTGGCTTTAGAGTCCGGGATGTCCATAACGGTCTATCGGCTCGGCAACACATACCGTTCAAGCTCTGGTATACTGCGGGACACTTACCGTGGTGGAACTGCCGTGTTCCTCCGTTTGAACGCATGAAGCCCTTGATCAACATCGCTTCCATGAAAGACGCTAATGCCGGTCACCTTTAGTGTAACGGCCACGCAGTGTGGCGGCCATCCACAGCGGGAAGGATTCGCATAGTAGAAAGCAGCATTAGACAAGATCCTTGTGGGGTAACGGTTTAGGGGCCCTTGTCTTCTCGCCTTGCCTCTTTTCAAAATATTCTAACATCTCCATGGGGAGTTGAAGTAGACGTTCAGACGCAGATGTAAAATCAAGAATTGCACCAGAGCATCCCGATAGGGGCTTAACCGCTCATAGCAGTAGGGCAATATCTGTTGTAAGACAGGTCTGGGTCGGCTAGGTCCCGCTATTCTCTGAAGTCAAGACGGGAGAGCTACCAGCTGCTGGAAGGCGACGTGGCCGGAGTTCTGGAGCAGGAGACAGCTGATCGGCACCTGTCCGGTGGGGCTAGGGGTCTAAACTTTACACATTATGTCGCTTTGGTTATAAGGACCCCTCAATAATGGCTGGTTGGCGGTGTAGTCATCCTCACGCTACCGATCCGCTTTTGGCCCTTGCTACGGCCCTGGCACTTCAACATCAAAGACGCCAGAGAGTAGCGGAAAGTCGGAAGTATGCAACAAGATGCAGTACTCTCTCACCACAGGCTCTAGAATGATGTTCAAGGGAATAGAAGGTTAGCGCGATAGCAGGGTTCGTATCTTAGCGGGTCGCATCTACCGACAATGGACCGACGGTGCGATCTGCCAGTGCCGGGTGCCGCCTTCAGAGAGCTGGTCCTTGTGCAGGCGTCAGCCACTCGTCTTGTCCGGTGCGTTCCTTCCGTCTCGTATGGGGCGCCTTTCCCTGAGCTTGTGACAGCAGCCCTACAAGAGGCCCCTCGATTTCCCTGCACAGTGCCCCACCACAGGTCGCACCCCACCTTCATTTCGGCGAGAAACTCCTCAACTCCAACCCTGCAACCGACTCGACCATGCCATTCTCCCACCACAGCCATTCGGGGCAGTTCTGCGCCCATGCCAAGGGCACGCTTGAGGAGATGGTCCAGGCAGCCATCGCCAAAGGATTCCACACGTTTGCGCTGACGGAGCACATTCCGCGCGGCGATGGAGATCTCTACCCAGAGGAAGTGCGTACGTCTGGTTCGCGGAGATGCGGGCAGCGGTGAGGCTGACACGGGGAATTGGGCTAGACCTTGGACTCGGCGGGGCTCACGCAGCTCTTCGACGATTACTACCGCGAAGCGGTGCGGCTGCGCGAGGCGTACCGGTCGCAGATCCAGATCCTCATCGGCATGGAAACAGAGTGGATACGGGAGCCCGAGTCGCGGCAGTGGATCACGAAGCTGCAGGACAAGTATGCGTTCGACCTGTTCATCGGCTCGGTGCACCACATGCACACGGTGCCCATCGACTTCGACAAGGCCATGTACAGCGAGGCGCGCACGCGAGCCGGGGGCACGGACGAGCGGCTGTTCGAGGACTACTTCGACGCGCAGCTCGAGATGCTGCAGGCGCTGCGGCCGCCAATCGTCGGGCATTTCGACCTGGTGCGGCTGCTGAGCGATGAGCCAAACCGGAAGCTCCGGCAGTGGGCAGGAGTCTGGCGCAGGATACAGCGCAATCTGGAATTCATCGCCGCTTACGGCGGCTTGCTGGAATTGAACACGGCCGGGCTGCGCAAGGGCTTGCTGGAGCCGTACCCGACCAGCGAGATCTGCGAGGTACGTATGAGGCAGGATATTCGTCTAGAGGGGCCTAACCCTTGTCAGGTATTCCTGGGGCTCGGCGGACGGTTTACTCTGTCCGACGACAGCCACCAGGTCGAGCACGTCGCCACCAACTACGCGCGGCTGCCCGAGTTCCTCGAGCGCACCGGCATCCGCGAGCTGTTCTTCCTCCAGGCGGGGCGCGAGGGCGGCGACGCGCGCTTCCCCGGCATCGCGCTGGCGAGGGTGAGTGCGGCAGAGGTGGCAGGGCGGCTCGACGCGTGAACTCGACTGCGGCGGCGGGGGGAATTGCAGGCCGGGGGGTGGTGGAATGCGGCACGCGCAGGGCTTAGCTTCCGCGTGGGTAATGAACCAGATGGGGCAAATGTACGGTGGGAGCTGGTGGGTGGACGAATGACAGTGGTTGGCATCCCGGCAGACAGAGGGGGGCGAGTACGGCAAGGCCCGCAGCGAAGCCACGCGCATGGTAGGAGCATTTTCAGTGATTGGGCGACCCGGCCATTGGATGACCCGTACCGCAGCGCTGGGTTGCCCCGAGAGCGGGGTGCTGCCTCCGGAGAGTTGAGTGTGATGGGGCGCGGCGGCGTGCGTGCACCCCAGCGGTTGATAAGAGCGGTTGGCAGGACCAGCCGCGAGACAGCAGCTCTGCCACTGTCCGCACGTGGGCTGCGAGCGGTGCGCTGGGCTGTGGTCGATCTCGCCCGCAGATCGCAGGGTGGCCGGCGTGTTCTCTCAGGCGGGCGCGCACTGCGCCGCCAGAGCTCCGACGTCTCCAATTGCAGAGCGTCGTTGCCGTTACACAAGCGGCGCCCGCTTTTCGCTCGTCAACCGCGCTTCGATGAAAAAGCACACAGCTCACCAGAGCTCCGCCTGTCGCCATTCGGCCGCCCGCGTCCAGCAAGCTGCTCTGCGCGCCGCCGCCCGCCAAGCGCCCCCATTCGGCCGCCACGCGAGCGCGGGCACCAGAACTCACGACTCGCCTCTACGTGATGGTACCATTGCACCGCAGCCTCCTGACGTGATGCTCCAAGTCCAATGCCCCAGGGCCCCAGTGCCCCAGCTGCCCAAAGTGCCGTCGTCCCAATATAAAAGAGCCGCCGCCTCCCCGCCCTCGCCGCCGCACCTCGCTCCAACCACAACCACACAACCACCGCAACCATGACTGTCACCAAACACACTCTGGCTCCCGGTAACGGCGTCGACAGGCCGCGCGCCGGCGACGACGTCACCATTGAGTACACCGGCTACCTCTTCGACGCCAACGCCCCCGACACCAAGGGCAAGAAGTGAGAGCCCCGCCATGCGTCCGCCTCCTCAGTCAGGGCTGATGCCAATTGCCACCAGGTTCGACTCGTCCATCGGCCGCGGCGACTTCAACGTCAAGATCGGAATTGGCCGCGTCATCAGAGGTCCGTCTCCTGCGAAGCGGCCCCCTTGCGCCGCGAGCACACACGCTGACCCAATTGGATCCAGGCTGGGACGACGGCATCATCGGCGCGGGCGGCAGCGAGGGCATGTCGTTAGGCGAGAAGGCCACCCTGACCATCTCGAGGTATGTTCCTGGCCCGAGCAGACGCCCCATGACGCAGCTAACCAGACACCAGCGACTATGGATATGGTGCCAAGTGCGTTTTCCTCCCATCTTCAGTCCAGCCTTCCCTGTCCCCCCTGTGCGAATTCAGGAACGCGCGGGTTGTCGGCTCCCAATCCGCACCCGCGGCCCTTCTTACGGCCTGCTGATGCCCCAAGCTTCTCCCGATCGTTGCAACCAGAGTGGCGGTGCTGACAACCCATTTCTTCCTTAGCGGCTTTCCCGGCCACATTCCGCCCAACGCCGATCTCGTCTTGTACGTTCCCTGTCCTGCGCAAGCTCCCCCGATATTTTTTTCTCTCTAACGCCCTGGCAGCGATGTCGAGCTCAAGGCCATCAACGGCAAGCGTGCTTAGGCTCCCGCGCGTATCCCTACATATCCCTATCCCACACTAGCATTCCAGGAGCTTCGGGTGGAGGCTATAGCGTGCTCTTCGCTTGCTCCTTTCTGCCTTCGGCGGCGGAAATGGAACATGATTGATACGTAAAAAAGAAAAAAAAAACCTTTTTGCATCCACGATTTGCTCCCGCGGCGCGCGCCAACTGCGGCTCTCAACACCTTGTCATTTGCGTGATGTGCGTGTGCGATGCCTGCTTCACTCCGTTCGCCTATACGTGTAGCATTATTTGCACTCACCCATGCACACCGCATCTTTGGACTGACGTCATGGTCGGTCTGCGCCAGGCATTCTGACATGGTTGGAGGGATGCGCTCGATTGCAAGGAGTGGGTTGCGGCGAGTAGGAAAACACCACCTGATAGCTCGCTCTTATTGATTGTGGAGATTGGGATGACCATGCGACGACTCCATAAAAGCTTATACTGGCAATCTCTTGCCGGACAAGGCATCACGACACGCCGTCGGGAATGTTTCACGGGAACGTTTCCGGATTGCCTGAGCCAGGTACGCTTGGGCTGATCATAGCGGAGTGGCGCCTTATGAAACTCACCGGCTGACGCACCTTGACGACCAAGTACCCAGCCAGAACGCAGAGAGCAGCAGGTACGGCACGCAACAACCCTGCGTCGACCGACACTACTGTTGATGATTTGTTGCTTTCTAAAAGTCAGAATGCAGAAAAGCTACATGTCGTACAGCGAGAAAAAGTCACGCAATCAACCTATCGGCGTGTGGAGCCAGCCCGCCGTCCCCCGAGATTTCCGATTCGCACTATGCATGGATGGCAGTTGTGGATTGTTCCTTTTTTTTTCTGCCTGCTACCCGCTGTAGCCGCAGCAGGAGTCCAGAACGCTGGCGAGCGCCCAGCCTTTACCAGAGGGACCATCCCCGCCGCGGAACCGGGCTGGTATCGCTTGTCAGAGCAAAACAAAACCTGGACTTGAACTGGGGGTACCCACTAAGCCCATGCTTGACCGAGAACACCCGTTTGCGGTTAACGTAGGTTTATCACAACTGCTCTCGCAGTTCGCGTTTCTGGGCTTCGCGGCTGCCGAGGGCAAAAAGAAAAAGAAAAGAAGAGACATGTCATATCTCAATACGAGCTGGAAAAAGCAATGTTTCTATCCCCTAGTACCGTTTGAAAGAGGAAATAAAGTGGACTTCATGGGCCTATCGCCGTATGATACCTTAGGTCATCCACGAATGTTTTTTTCTCCAGGCGGATGACATATCCACCGCACGTGTTGCTTCTTGTCCCTATCTGAAGTAGCTCGGGCACCGACAGCGTGGTCAAACACATCACTGCCACCTTCGTAGCCCGAGGCGGTATAGATTGCACAGACCCAGCCCCATCCTTGCGGGGCGGAACAACGAGGAACTAGCGGCGGACTACTAGAAGGGAATAGTCCTACAGGGAGCGTGGCATTCTCGGCTGGCGGTGCCGCAGCTGTTCGGGTGGAGAAAAGAAGGCATTCGTCCGGGTCGCCGTCTGGTGGAGATCGACAACTCTCGTTGCCCGAGATCTTCTCTCCACCCCCAACGGCCTTTTTTTTTTCTTGAGTTCATCCATCCTGGATGATGGATGTCGAGAGATAGTTGCTGCATGCGTCTGGGAGCTCACGCCATCGCAGTGGTCGTCGTCGCACAGCAGCAGTTCGACCCGTGGGGCCAAGCCCTGAAGAAAAGTAAAAAGCGATGGCCATCGGGAAGAGCAGCGTGCAACTTTTGGCGGGTGCGCGAGCGGACGGGCGACGCGGCCTGGTGTCACAGCATCCGCACCACGAAAAAGACTGAAGGTCCTTGAAACTCGAAGGGGCGCGAAGGGTTCGGTGGGGACCGGGTGCCACTCCGGAGAGCAACAGTGTCCGCGTGAGACCGCGTTTCGCTAGGAGCTGGGAGGATGGGCGCCCATGTACGTTGCAGATCGTTGGAGCTTGCGTGCCGCTGTTCTGATAGTGCAACCGCCTCATCCGCGATACGCATGAGGCTTCTCTGCGTCAAAAGGTGATGGACCGTTGCACTCCCGATCCGCGCGCACTGCCACAGCCAATAGTGCAGCGTAGTGCTTGATCTCCAAGCACCAAGATCCGAGATGCGACTAGTTTCGACCTAGCTTAACGCTATAAGCCAGCTTTACCGGCCTGGTGGCGTCGAATCAGCCCATGTGCTCTTGGAAAACTCATGCTATAATTAAAGCCTGCCACTCGGAAGGCACTGTGCTTGCAGGGTCTTCAGGGATTCTTGCTGAAATTCCAATTTGATTTGTGTGGATGTTGCTACCGGTCACCTTGGTACTTACTTACCCGGGCTCACGCATGCATCTGCAACATGCCAACTGACCGTCACTGCTTGGCACTAGACGCACGTCTTCTCAGCTCTATACACGGTTTACACTATGCAGGCTCTAGAACACGGGGCTTCGCACAGATGGAAATGTAGTTAGAGTATTGGCTGGCTCCAAGGCTTTGACCACTCCAAAGAGCGAATGACGGGAGCAATCACAAGAGCACCGGCATTAGGTCGGTATTCTGCTTTCATGTACGTGCTTGTGTACCGTCTTACGGCATTAAAGATGAGCCATATCGATAAAGGCTTGAAACGGCTCTCCGTAGTTTTGACGCCTAAAGCTGTGTAGACGGCAACCTGCATGATGTTGTGATGGGGGACTGCAGCGTGTGCACCTCTTGACCTCTACCTTAAATCTCTCAGTAATCAATGCATGCCATCAATGATGCGGCAGGGTGGACAAGAAACCGGTGAATTTATGGGTAGGGGAGACGTTGGGATTGCGCTACTTGGTTACGCATACTAAAGTAGGGCGCGAGATCCCATAAGCTTGGCGGTGATTCCTGGTTTGTACCCATAATAAGTACCAGCAGTAGATTTGTCCACGTGATGGACGGGATGGCTCGGAATGCCTGATATGGACAGATGCGTTCTGGTGCTTCATTGGCTTCTGTATCTGCTCGATCATCATCTGCATACTATCATGTGTTTCGCTCCCATGATACACAGGTATTTCGAAGGCTAGCGGGAAGAGTACCAGGGCCTAAGAATAAAGTGTTACTATGCTTCAGAGATATTCTCACAACATATGGGCAGTTGAAGCTATCATCTGGACGAGGATGTCGAATTAAAAATTCTACATACATTTCTGGACGATAGCTTCAACTACCCATGACATTAGCCAAAAAAACAAACCCACGAGAGCCTTCGGCTACATATGTGATAGCTAGGCAGAAGCATGACACTCGTTCTTGAATGCAAAGGACAAGGCTACAAAGAGCGAATGTTACACTTGTGACTCATATAGATGTTGAGCTAAGTGTTAGGGAAAGGTGGGTCCTCGGAGCCTCACAAAACGTTCACTGCCGGATTCAAAGAGCATACTTCATAAATTCCTGCAATAACAACTAAGTACTCGAGACAGTGCGATCAGAAACACTCTAGAGAGATCTTAACGCAGGTTAGTTCATTGATATTATGTCATGAAGTCGTTCACGCATTCTGCCAGCCTTTGCCCAAGGTCTCGGCAACTTTGCTGTCGCTCCAGTACCAGAGATTCTTCTGCAGATCCTTGTCATTTGCAACAGTGCTGGTCTCCTCTTCCTGTCCGATGGGGACAAAATATTTTCCCTTCAGGCCCTTGGACACGACATCCGGGCTTGCGGCCAGGTACATGGCCGTGGCTGCGGCATCTTCGGGCGTGTGGCTAACGTGCTGGAGGACGCTCTTGGCTGTTGTACCGACCAAAGTGCCGAATAGGTCTTTCCAAGAATCCCACGCGTCGGTGGGGATGTTACCCGGGAAGAATGAGTTCACGTAAACGTTGGAGAGACCCATGTTATCGAGGCGGCGGGCCAGCTCACGGGTGAAGAGGATGTTCGCAAGCTTGGTGCGTGCATACCTCCAGAAACTGTCCAGGGCGGCAGGAGACTTGGTAGGAGTGGGGGATGTGAGGAGCGGCAGGCTCAGTTCCTGGCATGCAAGATGCAGCGATGACGAGACGGTCAGGATGCGGGCTTGGCCATGCTCGGAGGCAGTTTTTTCAACGAGCGGGAGAAGCAGATTGGTCAGGACAAAATGGCCGAGGTGGTTGGCAGCGAATTGAAGCTCGACGCCCTGGGGCGAGAGCTGGTAGTCGGGTGACAGAGGAAGGGCGGCTGAGCGGCATTAGTCGCGGTGTGCTGACTGCATGCAGACAGAAGAAATAAAAACAGCAGGTACCATTCAGGATGAGGATGTCGAGCCTATCGAGGCGCTCCGACAGCGAGCGGGCAGCGCGCTGCACGGCCTCCACGTCAGTCAGGTCGCAGCGAATGAAGTCGACGCGCCCAGCCAGGTCGCTATCGGCCAGGGCGTGCTTCTGCGACCACTCGGCCCTGGCCTCGGCAAACCTGGATTCGGAGCGGGCGAGGACATATATCTTGGCGACGCCGTGCAGAAGCAGCTGAGCGCAGAACTCGCGGCCGATGCCAGCGGAGCCGCCGGTGACCACGACAACTCTGCCGGCGAGATCGGGCGTCTCGGAGAGGCTGAAGGCGTGGGACGTCATGGCACCGGCCATCCGAAGTAGGGCCAGCGGGTTGAAGGTGGGGAGGTGGGCGACGGGGTTGAAGAGCATGGTGGTGGCTTGTCCCGCCGGAGCTGGCGCCCAGTGATGTCACTGCCGCTCACGTGCAGCCAATGCCGCAGCCTTGCCGCACCGCTGTTCAACGCCATGCATCTCAACACCCGCACCATCCCCGCGACAACGTCGCGCGATGCATGTCTCGCGCTGATTGGCACGCCTGCTGTTTCTTACGGCGCACCTGGCTGTTTCAACCAAGATGCCGTGCCATGCGAGCGCACCTCATCCCGTCTCATGATCTCTGGCCTTCTGCCCGCCACCCATGCAGCCTCTCCTCGCCTTCCAGCGTCGGCAAATGGACCCAAAGACCGCTTCTGGACCCGGGGGTTTCTCAGCTTGGCCGGCGTCGTGGGCGTGGGTCTGATCGGGCCTTGCCGAACCAAGGACGGCCCTGGTGAAAAGTCTGCGTTGTTCTCTCCCGCCGAGAGGGCGAATCGGATCTCTGTGCCTGGCAGAACTGGCACGAATCGATGCGCCGCGCCGTTGGAGCTGCCGGTAGCCTTGGCCGGCTTGTCGTCCGCTGCCGCCAGCCCTGCCGCTCCACCAAACTCTGTCTCCAGATTTGCAGATACATGACAAGATTACCCTATCGATACCCAGCCGCCAATGGAACCGCTGTCCGTCGGAACATGCTCCACCCTTATTGCCTTCGAGATGCAGCCCCATCACATCCACGTCGTCGCCGCGCCGGAGCTGCACCGCACCCGCCCCGGGCCGATGCTCTTGTCAGCTGCCAGCGTCGCACCGCCGGCGCTGACTGCATCCTATTCGTACTGCGCTGTGGCTTTGCTGCGCTGGCCGCGCGGTGTGAGAAGCGCCAGCTCGCGCTCCTGGGCGCGGGCCAGCGGTGCCTGTCGATCGTCAGGCCTCGGCGGAGAGCCGTTGCGTCTTGGGATGCTGGGCGCACGCATGGGGCGGGACGATCGCGTGGGCGCTGGGCTCAGGCATACGCACGCATTGCGGCAGCGTAGGCACCAGCTGCTCTTGGGCTGGCCGAGGCCGCGCAGGCCTTTGCAAAAATGCTGAAATGAGGCCTCCTCACAGACCGGGCGCTTGTCAGGGGGCCCAGTCAGCGTGCAGCTCGAACAAGAAGCCCGAGCGGCGCTCCAGGCACGCATGCGCCCCCATTGGCCCGCGCCCGCCACCAGACCTCCACCCATGGCCGTCGGCGATGCTCAATTTTGAGCCTGCCCGCTAGCCCGCGTTATTCGCCGGCGCCGCTCGACCCCTATGCTAGCGCAAAGACGTCCGCTTCCTTGTTATTTCATAAACCGCGCACCGCCCATCTCTCACTCGGCCCTCACCCGTCTCCACGTTGCTGTCTTTTTGCTCCAAGCTGGGTCTTGCACACACTCTTTTGGCTCTCTAGCTACTTTCCAAGGCTCCCGGCAACACATTCCCTCAAAGACGCAGCCACCTTAACTTTCAATCTTTCACCACTTCGGTCCAATTTAACAACCTAACCATGCAGAAGTCCGTCTCTGTCTCTGCGGCCCTGCTCGCCGCCCTCCCTTCGGTCATGGCCGTTGGCAAGGCCATCGTCATCAACAACTGCGACAGCGCCGTCAATGTCTGGACTGCCGATACCGAGCGTGGCCAGCTCGGCCCCGATTCCCTCAAGGCTGGTGGCCAGTGGTCTGAGGAGTACCACATGGTCGGCGACGGCAGCGCCAGCAATGGTGGTGTTTCGATCAAGCTCAGCACCACCGACTCGTGCGAGGGTGCCATCACCCAGTACGAGTACACTTACAGCTCCTCGGGTGAGCCTGACCTCTGGTACGACATCTCCAACGTCAACTGCAAGGGCGAGGCCTGCCCCTTCTACGTCGGCGGCTTCTACCTCGAGGCCGATACCCCGGTCGACTGCGGTCCCCTGACGGCCCTTTGCGACGCCGTCTACAACCTGTGGAACGATGACAAGGCCACCCACGGCACCGAGTCCTCCAAGGACACCACCCTCTACCTCTGCGGCAAGGATGGCTCGTCCTCGTCCGTCGAGATTTCGACCGAAGAGTCTTCCTCGACCGCCTTCACTTCGTACTCGTCCACCAGCTTCGAGGTCACGCCCACCCCGACCTACGCCGCTTCGTCGACCCAGATTCCCACGACTCTCGTCACGTCGACCCCCGTTGCGCAGGTTCAGGCTGAGAGCTTTGTCGGCGACGTCAAGGCCGCGGCTGTTGAGGAGGAGGAGAACATCATCACCGAGGTCGTCACCGAGTACGCCACTGCCGTCGTCACCCAGTGGGCCAAGCGCTCGCCCGAGCCTCACGCGCACCACAGGCGCGAGCACCGTCACCACGGCCACCCCCACTACCGCAAGTAAATTTAGGAGGGGATTTGGTTGTGTGGATTAGTTCAATTGCATTTTTCTGTGGATTCAATTCTCGCTCTCACCCGTCCCGGGACGCGCGACACGGTTTTACGGGCTGGTGGAGCAAAACAATTCGCATTCTTGACTCCGGACCGGGATCGGGGCGCGGAGCTTCACATGTTGTCAATAGAGGCCATTTAACTGGGTAGAAGCGTTTGCGGAACAATGGGAGGCGATATCACTTCATCTTCTTCTGTCACGATGCCATGACTCTTTTTCTTCTCTTCGAAAGCTGATATACCTGTTATTTGGGCACGGCGGGAAGTGCCAGGCTTGGTAGTAGTTACAGCCGCAGCGTGCCTGCGGTCAATAGCATTCATTTCACCGTGCGTCTTATCGTGCAATCGGCACGTCTATCTGCAGTGGATCTGATCCGCGGTGGCGGCTCTCGTCAAGCCATTCGTACGACGCACGCTCGTTGCCGTCTTGGCAGGTGTAGTAGAGACGTAGGCTGCTGACGACTGCACTCCACCCGTTCTCATCTGGTGGCGCGGCGGCGACGTCGCACCGTCGGCGGCACCGAAGCTGACTGTGCTGGTCAGCAGACGGTGATGGCGACGATGGTGTTTCTGTTTGTTTGTGGTTGCTCGTGTTTCACGACGCGCCTGGCGAGACAAGCCTCGCGGCAGGCGGCAGACCGCCGGGCAACCTTAATCTGGCGGCCGTGATGCTTCGCGCGTCGCATCATCACACGTTCTGCGTGCAAATTAAACACCGGCGATCGCCCTCGCATTGAGCCGCGCGAGTCATCCCGCGGCGTCCCAAAGGGGGAAGTGCATTGTGGTCGCGCGAGGCCCGCGCGCCTTCTATCAATCTCCGCGTCCAACAGCGCGTGCGCGCGGCTCAAAATCCACCCATCGCTCCGGTCGCTCAGCTGCTAATTATGGCCCGGGATTCGGCATGCCGCCCACGGTGGGCAGAGAGCCTTGCCATCAACGGGCTGCTCTGCTCTGCTCTCCCGCACACGCCTTCCCTCTTGGCAGTCGGCGACGTTACGAGGCCACGGTTCGGTGTCGAGCACGAGTGCCCGCGGCGTCGAGCCCGCGCGCCATCCACATCACTCCCATCCGCCCTCCTGGCCCGCCACCTCATCAGCGCCCCCGTCCACTCACAGCCTCCCGCCATCCCGCAAGCTGCAGGCCAGCTTGCCTTCTCCGGCCTGGCAGCAAGCGCCATGCCATCCGTCCTGGGGATTGGATGATGGCGAGCATGGATCTGAGCACGCTATTTAAAGGATGGACCAAGGTGGACCAAGCGCGCGCACCACTCCTACGCCTGCGCTGCCCTGCGCTCGGCACGTCGCCTGATGCGTCCCGCGTGGCTACGAGAAAGGGGACCGCCCTTTTTTCCCCCGCGAACCGCTGTTGCTTGTGACGTCGATCGCTGAGCATCGCGCCGTGGGGTCTCTCTGTGCGAGTTGATCGCAATGCTTCAACCAGTGCTACGGGTTACCGTCTTGCGGCTCAGGGGCTGCACACTTGCGGAGGACGTGTTCCCCATACCACGCCCTCCTCTGACCGCTTAGCTCGGCATCACCTACCGCACAGCCACAGGGAGCAAGGACGTCTGCCAAGGCTCTCTTCCGCCTTCTTCGACGCCGTCGATATTCCTTCTTGTGGGGCCTTGACAGGAACTCGCCTCCACCCCCTTCTACTGACTCCCGTGCGCCGACACTTGCAGGTAGCAGAACAAACCGGCTTCGACCCATTTGGACCGACGTGCCGGTCAGGCAAGCATCGCATACGTTTCAGGCTGAGGCGACTTCCGTGCTCTGCCTCGCTTCGCGGCTCTTTCGAACTATAACGTGCACGACTCGGAGCCCGCTGCGCCGCTTTGCCGGCCTACGCTCCTCCTCCCAGCATTACTCCTGTATCAGAACCCTACTCGAACCTCTTGGCTTGCGGCTGCCTCATTGTCAGGAGCCCGCCCCTTGTCTTCTCGGCCCGGTCGAGACTGCGGTTAAGCCTCCGCTTAGCAGAGTGCTCATTTGGGCTGCCATGTGGACGGGGACATCCGCTGAACGCATCTTAGCATGCGTACGCGTTACTGATGAATCTACAATCTTGCTTTGTAAATCTTGGCGAGGCCTCCACTATAGCTGTCGATAATGGGTCCACTCTAATTAAAGTTCACAGCTTTGCCGGGTACGAGGAGTGTCGCCATGCCAAGGAAAATTGATGAGCCGCGTACGATGTATGCTTGAATGTAATTTTGACAACTCAGCTCGCTGTAATTTTGAACGAGCCCATGTTTACCTCGAAATCATACACAGCGTTCGATATCAAAAAAAAATCAAGAGATGATCGAATTGAATCCGAATACTTCCCGACAAATTTTTATTATTAAAATCTCATGATTGAGGCTCTCATTAAAGCTTCACCTGAGATAAGTCGGTCGCCTAAACGGCTGTTGTGGTAGCTATTTGGTAAATCATCAACACAGATTTGGATCGTCAACACCAAGGTTAGATCCCGATTTGACGTGATGAGATCGTCAAAGGTTCTTCAGTGTTCTAGCCACCGTCGGGAGCTTGAGCAGCATCTACCCCATGCTTTCGGCTTCTACCTCCATTGTAACGGTGCTGCGTCCGTCATCAAAATCTGGAGGACGGCACGCAAATCCGGGGGCATGCTATGGGGTTCGCTTGAAAGCTTCGAGACGATCAGATGAAGTCTTACAAGGCGGAGAGCAAGAACTTACCTCCAGGGTCAAGCGCAGCTGCATACATCACTAGAGTAATGGGCGCAAGGTCTGCGGATGCATTGGCATTGCCCGCTGCCTCGTCTTTCGGTTCAGGAACAACACCCGCATCTTCCCAGATCGCGATTATCTTTTCAGCCTCCCTCTCCCAACCCGGCTCCTGTTGGAGTGCACAGCGAATGCCCAGAACCGTTCCGAATTCCCGGAAAGCCAGCCTCCTCTTGATGCCAGCTTCGAAATAGCCACAGTCGACGAGCACCTTCAAATCCTTCTTCGCCTTGTCCGCGAACGCCGTGGCCCACTGCTCTTTGCCCGCATAATGATGCGCCGTCCACAGCGTCATGCCCAGATCCAGCGGATCGGTGCTGGCGTAGTTCTTCCACTTGGTCGCCACGATCTTCTCGTAGTCGCGCATCTCGTCCCGCAGCACGTCATCTTCGCCCTCAAACTCCCTCAGCAATTTGCACACCACCAGCCCGTCCACCGGATCCAGGTTCCCCTCTGACAAGACCAGCGGCCTCTTCAGGTCGACGCTCACTTTCCAGTACATGCGCGGCCGCCCGCTCGCCCTGTCGTGCACGAAGGCCGGGTGTATCACCTGCATCAGCCTGACCGCGTAGCCGTTCCACCTGCGCGCCTCCTTCTCCTTCTCCTCCTGCCCGCCCTGCTCCTCCGCCCCGCGCCACGCCACGGCCAGCCGGTTCAGCGCGTACATCCAGAGCGTCAGGTAGTGGTGGTACTGGCCGTCGCCGTCCGCGCCGTCCGCCTCTTCCTTGCCGATGCGCAGCCCGCCGCCCGTCGGGTCCGCGTCCGTCGCGCCCGGCAGCCGCGCCGAGCCGTCGCGCGTGCGGCCGAGCGTGTCGTGTACGGTTTGCGCGAGCGCGGTGGCGTAGCTGAGGTAGGGCGCCGTCTTCGTTGTCGTCGTGGCGGCCCCATTTCCGCTGTCGGTGTTGGTGTTGGCGTGGTGTTGGTGGTGGTGGTGCAAAGTCAGAAAGTTGAGCACCCCGAAGGCGTCGGTCCAGAGGTAGCGGCCGCGGTGGCCTGCCGAGGCCGGGGGTGGTGTCCATGGAGTTGTTGCCGGGGCGGTGGCATCGGGGACCGGGTACCTGTAGACGCGCTGCATGGCCGTGGTGATCTTGGCCAGGTCGTTGGCGTGGATTGTTGGTCTCGCCATTTTTGTGTTCTCTCCTTTTCCGATGTGAATTGTGTTGTGTTGGATTGGGTGATGTTAGATGCTTTCAGCAATGCAACCCGGCTGTAAGCTGAATGGTGTTGGTTGTGTCTTCCGTTGGTGAGGTTAAATGTGGTTATACTTGCGTCACTGTGCGTCAAGCCAACGTCAGCCAGCGACTTTGTTCGAGAAAATGAAGTAGGGGCCCAATGAGCACCGAACCCTCCGAGCTGTGAATATGGTAGTGTCTGGCGTTGCTCCTTGGCACGTGCAGCTCATGATCATGAATAGAGGAGCCTTGAGCTGGTAGACTCTCGCAGCAAGCAATAAACTTAACCACACGATCATGTCTCATCGATAATATTCACGTGCTGAACGATCTGGGCATTTCCCGGGATCGCGGCCATGAAGACTCCTGCAGAAGACGTCCCGCTTTACCTCTCCATACAAGATGATTCAGCAACCAAACATTGTACAAACATGGAAAGCGTATATGTAATGAAAGAAATGCTCTTCTCCATCATTACGCCCTAGGTCGGCAGGGTTTAAATATATGCAGAAGAAGCACCAAGAAAAAGAGACAATAAAGTAAAACACCGGCCCAACCTCCGAGTCCCGGTTTCGGCTCGTAGCCGAGCAAAACTTGCCGAAAAAGGCAAGTATGAAGAGCCAGGTCAGCCCTGCTCGGCTGTAAGTGGATGAACAGTTACCACGATGAAATGTGCAAAGAGCAGTGGCTTACGAATTTGGAGATGACTGGACTTTGACCGATCTCCGATCAACGAACTCTTGTTACTAGATATCCATGCACCAAACCCAGCTGAACGCGACCCAAACTCCAAACCGCAGATGAAATGCAACAGCGACCGCAACCGGGTATCATGAAGCGCCAGAGGAGTGACAACGCGGTGCCGACCATCAAGCTGCACGGCCTTTGCCCCTTCCCATGCCGCTGCCGGTTCGCCGCATACCGACGCCGCCTATCGAGCTACCATTGCCGTGCCTGCTCATCGGTACGCCACCCATGCCGCTATCACTGTTTGCCGCGCTGATCGACACACCGCTGAGGTCCATGTGTGGCGCAAGCGCGCCTATGCCGTTTACGCTGTGATCGTTGCGCAGATTGCTTGGCTGATATTGATACTCTCTGGCTTGGAGTGGACCGCACGCAGTTTGCAGAAGTTTCTCGTTGATATCATCGTTGCCGTCAGATGGTCGGGCCATGATGATGAAGTCGCTGTCAACCTCTGCATTCGAAAGACCGGGAGGAGTCGGCGCTGATGCATTGGCCTTGCTGCCAACGTTGGCTGGCAGAATAACCGGGGCGACACTGGCAAATGGAAGAGTGCCAGTCCGTTCGGCAGCCAGGGCGAGGTCTGCCAGCGGGTTGTTGCGCGTCGATCCACGAGTCGCATGATGTGACTGGGTGCGCTCCATCTCGGGTGCAGCGGGCGTCGCTGTGTCCTCATCTCCCTCAGCCTCGCCCTCGTTGGCCGTGGGAGTGCCCGAGTCATCGCCGCCATCAGTCCCGCCATGGTGTGCACCGTTAGCACCGTTGGCCGAGCCATTGTGATTGTTTTGCTCCTGCACCCTTAGCTTGTTAAAGAAGTGCGTCGTAGCGACCGCCGCGGTATTCATGGTCATGGCGAGCTCCTTATCCGTGAATAGGCGGTCGATCGAGTAGGCCGGCGCCTCGAACTGCGTATGCATCGTCTTCGCCTTCGCATCACGAAATGGAGATGCGAAACCTAGGTCAGCATTCCGTCCCGAGGGACCAGGTGAGCCGCTGTCAGCATCCTCGAAGGCAGCTTTCCTCTTGCGCGACTTCTCGGTTGCCATAGCAGTGCTGACCATGTCGTCCGGATCGCCGACGCGATGACGAGTATGCCGAGTCTTTCGGTTGCTAGCTGGACCTCCGGGAGACGCAGGATTTGTGATGCTGAACTGGTTGGGGTGTAGTAGCAGAGCATTGCTGTCCGCGATATCCAGTTGTTCCTTTTCCTTAAGCAGCCGTGCTTGCCGCTGCTTCACGCTTGCGACCAGTCGCTCACGAAGTGTGTTTGCGAGATGGCGGTGTTCTTCTTGGGCGAGTCGAACCTTGTAAGAATGCGATTGCTCGAGCTCGCGCATACTGGCCTGGTACTTGTTCTACATCAAATGTCAGCGAGTTGCTACAGGCAGCGTGCGAAAATGGCGTACCCAGAGCATGGTCAGGGCGATATCGCGCGTCTCCAGGGCATCATTTGCATCGTTGACAAACTTGCTGTAGAAGCGACCAACCTGAGCGACGTAGTCGCCAGTGGCAGTTCCGGGTTGAGGCGGCTGGGAGCCAGTTGTGCCATGGATGGCATCAGCCACCTCGTCTCCAGTATCATCCAGCGGCTTGTTTTGGTATGGGTCGGCACGCATGATCAAGGCCATGTCAGTCTGCACGGCCTGGATCTGCGCGCGATAGTGCTGGTCGCGGTTCTCTGAAAAGGACGTGAACATGTCGTTGAGCTTTTCCGATAGCATGGTGCGTCGTTTGTCGCGCTTCGAAAGCGGCAACGGAGGAGGAGAGGTCGCCGAATGTCCAAACGGAATATCGCCAGGCGGCGACATGCTACGGGTTCGTGCCATGGCGCGCTGAGGTTTGTATGAACTTGGCCGTCGAGGTCAGGCGCAAAGGGCGCCGTAGTAAGCTGTGCTTGTTATTGACCGAGGCGGCACTGTGTTGCACAGTAGAAGGAGGAAATACGCGAGCGCGCAGAGGGGCGCGGAAGCAAAACAGATAGGCTGCGGTCGAGAGGCAGCGCAATTGAACAAGGGGACAAGGGCCGTCAGGGCGGTCTGCACAAGGGCAGCGGATGGAGATGGAGATGGAGCAGCAGCACGAGGCACAAACCCGCGGAAGATGCCGCATTCGGCGCGACCGGCCCGACCTTAAGTCCGTTCGAGCATTCTCTCATGCAGCTTTAACTTCACTTCAGACAGCAGATTCTAGAAAGAGCATCGTGAATTTCTGGAGCTAAAATCTCTTGCTCGGAGAAAGGAAATGATTGTAACCGCTCGTCTCGGTCCCGGCCGTGTCTCGTTTTCCAGCAACGCCACTCTGTAGTCTCCTGACCCGCAGAACTCCAATGAACGAACCTATAGCCATGCCTTCTGAAAGCGCAAAGTCCTCCGTCTACTCGCTGTCATCGTCATCGAAGTCATCCTCGCTGGCTTCGCTGGCCTCCGAGCCATCCTCATCCTCATCATCGTCCTCCTCGATCGTGTACTTCTTGGTAGCCGCGGCCCTGGCCGGACGTCCCCTAGCATACGCCTTTGCAGCCGGGCTCAGCGTCTTGGGCTTCTCAGCAGCCTTCGGCGCCGTCTTGGGCGCCGCTTTCACAGCACTGGCCTTCGGCTTCGCCGCCGTGTTCTTGCTTCCCACAGGCCTACCACGCGGCTTAGTCGTAGGCCTCGCTGGGGTTTCATCTTCCGCATCGACTTCGTCGTCCGAGAGGATTGTCTCGTTGGCAGTGCGTGGAATCTGTCTCTGCGGCGACATCTGCGGCGCAAGAAGCGTGTAGTCGGTCTGAGATTCGTCATGGTCGGAATCTTCGAGAGAGGGTCTAGTCCTGCCAACTGCAACAGTGGAAAGGCCAGGACCCTTGCTCCGCGCCTTCGATGCAGAGAAGAGCTGACGGCTAGAAGCTCCTGACGGTCCTCCGATACCCTTGACCAAGTTGCTGACATCGCCAAGACCATCGTCGGCCATCTCTTCGTCGCTATCCGAGTCTGACAGGACGTACGTAGCCTTCTTTGCCGCTGCAGCGCGGGGCTTGCGCGTTGCCTCCGCCTTCGTCTCCTTGGCTACGGCTGCAAAGACGTCTTCATCGTCACTATCGTCGCTGACAACTGTCTTCTTGGCTTTTGAGGGAGCCTTCGAGCTCGCTGTAGCCTTGGACTTTGGCTTGGCTGGAGCCACATCCAGGTCATCATCATCACTCTCTTCGCTGACCGCCGTCTTCTTAGCCTTTCCGGCAGGCTTCGCGGTAGTGGCAGCCTTAGCCTTCGGCTTCGGAGGCGGCTCATCAAACTCGTCTTCTTCGTCCTCACTAAGGACGACGGTCTTCTTAGACTTAGCAGCAGGCTTCGAAGCTTTTGCTACAGGCTTCGAGGGAGCGTCCGTGAAAATTTCATCTTCGCTGTCGTCTTCGGAGCTCTTCGCCTTCTTTGCTTTGGCTGCAGCCTTCGTGCCAGTCGCAGCCTTGTTCTTGGATGCCGCTGAAACAGTCTGTGGCAATGTTAGTGTCCCCTCTCCTGCATCGAGGCTCTGTGGTGAATGACGTACCGTTGCTTGGTCCTCCGATCTGTCTCCATCCGCAGCACTTGGAGTGTCATCAATATCCATGGCTGCATCCAAGTCGTCCTTGTCGCTGGCTTTTCCATGCTTGGCCATGTAGCTCGAAAGAAGATTCGTCTTCTTCGGCTGCGCTGCCTTGGCTTTCGGCTCGGTGGCCTTTTCCTTCTCGGAGTCCTTGGCCTTGTTCGTTGCGTTGTCAGTGTACTTTGAGAAGTAACTCGTAAAGACACTGTTCTGCTTCGGCGCAGCCTTCTTCTTCGGCTTGACCTCGAAATCCTCGTCGCTCATTGCATCGCTATCGTCGGCCTTGCGCTTCTTAGCGCCTTTGCCTGCGCCGATGCGGAGCTTAGCCGACGCACGGCGCCCCTTGGTGTTGCGGGCTTTCTTCTCCTCGCTCGCTTCGTAGGCAAGGAGGTTGTCATACTCCTCGACGAAAGCATCCAGGTCTTCATTCCAGAGGTCCTTGGGTGACTTTTTGATGAGAACATCGATCTCCAGTTCCTTGTCGCCGATTTGTCTGAGGAGCTTCTCGACACGTTCCTGCGTGAGAGACCAGATAGCCATTCCTAGCAAATAATCGTAATCGTTTGCGCCGGGCTCGTCGGACTCTTCATCCTCTTCCAAGAACTCCTCCTCCTCGCCCTGCCTCTTCGCCTCGTTCTTAGGAATAGGCTTGAAGCCTAGCTTCTTGAGCTCCGCAACCAGAGCGATCTTCTTCTTCTTCGCCACCACCAGCTTACCATCGATGATCATCTTGATGAATCGCGATTGGTTGCTCAGCTTCTCAAGCTCCCTCTGCATCTCATCGAGCAAGTTCTGCTTGCGCTTCTCATAGTATTTGAGTCGATGAATGTAGAACTCCTCCAATATGTCCAGCTCGGTGGCGTACTTGTGGATGCGGCCTTCGTGATCGAATGCAACGAGGTTAGTGGTCGCCATGGTCTTGTAGAGTTTGAAACGCTCCTCCAGACCCATCTCAAGAGCCGTGGCCATCGTCTTCTGGTCCGACATTTTAATGACGAAACGGACCTTTGTCAGCGTGTGGTACTCGTTGTAGTCCTTGATGAAAGACGGCGACTTTTCACCCTTGATGATCTCCTCGAGCTTGTCCTTGAAATCTTGGGTCCAGACACGAATCGGCAGTTCCGAAATCTCCACTTCGAGGTCGCCCGTCTGCAGGATTTTTCCCGTGAATTTGTAGCGGTCGCCTCCCATGTCCTCGATCACACCATCCCAGTTCTTGAACCAAGGCTTCATGCGCTCCATGTCGTCCTTGCAGCTTCCCGTCATCCTGCGCTTCAGGTTCTCGACAATCTCCTTGGGATTGTAGTTGGGAATTGAAGAACTCCAACCCGTGCCGATACCATCTGCACCGTTGACAAGAATCATTGGAAGGATTGGCACATACATGGTCGGCTCGATCGGCTTTCCATCATCCTGATCATGCTCGAGGAGCGGCTCGTCCGCCACATGGAAGATGCGGCGAGCGATAGGAGACAGTCTCGTGTAAATGTAACGAGCGCTGGCAGCATCATTACCACCCTGGATGCGAGAACCGAAGTTGCCGCTGGGCTCCAGGAGGTTGATGTTGTTGGAACCGACAAAGTTCTGTGCGAGGCCAACGATCGTTTGCTGAAGGGAGGCATCGCCATACGCGTAGTTCGTCAATCCTCCTACGAAACCTGCGAGTTCGTTGACCTTCATGTCCCTTTTAAGGTTCCTCTTGAAACAAGTATACAGGACTTTGCGTTGACCGGGCTTGAAACCGTCGATGACCGAGGGAATGGACCGAAGATTGTCAACCATGCTGAAGAGAATCAACTCCTTGTTGACGAAGTCCTCGTACGAGATCTTAGAAGCCGTCATGTCCAGGTAAGTTCCAGGGACGAAGTTACGCAACCATTCCTTCCGAGCATCGGCCTTCTTCTTTGAGAAAGCAAGATCGATGAGTTCCGCCTCTTGGTCCTTCATTGTGTGGAATTCCTTCAAGTGTTTGTCCAGGTCCTGGAAGTACTCGACAGCATCTTCAGGCTTGCTAGTACCCAAACCCTTGAAGTACTTGTGATCCCAACCCTTCTGGTGCGCGGGGTCCTTCTTCCACTCTTCGTACTCTGGCATCGTGAAGAAGGACTTGAGCTGTTTCGGATGCTTGGGGTCGCCCTTCCAGACCTTGACGATTGGGGTGATGAACTCCAGTAGGAAACCTTCGATCTTGAGCAGACTGGGGAACTGAACCTGCAGGAAGTTGATGAGCAGACCCTTAATGTGACTGCCATCATGATCCTGATCGGTCATGATCATGATGTGTCCATAACGAAGGCTCTTAGTATCGGTGTACTCTTTCTTGTGTTGCAGACCGATAAACTTCTTGATGTTTTGGATCTCCTGGTTCTTGGAAATCTGGTCAATCGAAGCGTCACGGACGTTGAGCATCTTTCCTCGAAGCGGGAAAACTCCGAACAAGTCTGGGTCGACAGTTGCACGTCCAGCCAACGCGAGCAAACTGGCCGAGTCACCTTCTGTCAGAATCAGGGTGCACTTGTAGCCATCCTTTGTGCCAGCCCTGTTCGCATCCGTCAACTTGGAGTGGTTCATGCGCATCCTCTTTCCTCCGTCCGACTTTTTCAACACTTGGTCCGCTTTCTGCTGGGCAAAATGCAGAATGTTGTTCACAACCTCGGTCTTGGCGATGGCCTTCAAGAAATTGTCCGAAACCGTGCACTTGCTTCCGAATTGGCTGACCTTTGTGGTCATCTGCTCCTTCGTTTGCGAGGTAAAGGCCGGATTGACAATCTGACAGTTGACGAAGAGGAAGATGTGGTTTTTCAGATGCTGGGGCTTCAACTGGAAACCGCCCTTATTCTTCTTCTTGATGATGTCCGTAAGCTTGTTGACGATTTGATCTGCGATGTAGCCAACGTGTGTACCACCGGACGTCGTCGCAATGGAGTTTACGAACGAAACTTGCTGGAACGAACCGTCGGACACAGCGAAGCCGATTTCCCATCTCTCGTCTGGATTATCAGTGAGGATGACCTCCTTCTCCGCCTCGCTACCGGCGCCGCTGGCGACCTGTTCAGACTTGATCGCTTTGGTGTACATCTTCATGTAGTCCTTGAAGGTTCGGAGCTTGATACGCTCGCCGTTGAGAAATACTTTGATGCCCTTGCACGTGCCCGCAAGATCGTAGACACGGCGCTTAGCCAGAGCCTCAAAGTCATCGTCGATCCCGTCCATACCAAACTTGGCGAAGTCGGGCTTGAAGGTAACCATGGTATAGTCGTCCCCCTTGTGTGACGTGATCTTAGCCTTGCCACACTTTCCCATGTTGTCCGTCCATGTTTGCCTGTATTTCTTCCCAACGCGAGAATCGGCCGTTTCCAGGGAGAACTCTGTGCTGAAAATGTTGCAAAGCTTCGCTCCATAACCGTTTCGTCCACCTGTGACCTTCTGCTGGTTGTCATCGTAGTTGGACGACGTGAGCAGGTGACCGAAAATCAGCTCCGGGATGTAGATGCCCTCTTTCTGTATGGGGCGTCAGTAAATGCCGCATCATGGTACGTGGAGGATACATACGCTGTGGACCTCGATAGGGATACCCTTGCCGTTGTTTCTGACGCTGATTTCCCCCGAGACGCGGTCGATCCTGACCTTGATCTCGCTCATGTTCTTATCGTTCTGCTTGTTGTCGGCGGCATTGACGAGAATCTCGTCGAAGATCTTATAGAGACCGGGCACGAAACTGACTTCGCGCATTTCCATGGACTCAGTTGCGGTGTTGAAAACCCACATGTGCTTCGTGTCCCGCTCTACGGAGCCAATGTAGGTGTCCGGGCGTTTGATGATGTGCTCAAGCTGAGTGAGTTTTTGGTACTTGTCGGTCGAGCTGCCTGGCGCGGCCTTGGGCGCCTTCGCCGGCGGTGGCGATGCGTCGCTCATGATGGTGTCTTCGTCATGGCGGATGAAGCTATCGTTGTGGACGGGTTGTAGCGGCTCGTTCTTCTTCTTCGCCGCGCGTTTCGGAGCCGCAGCTTTCTTGGTGGTTGCCGGCTTCGCGGCTGCCTTCTTCGTGACTGGCTCAGCCTCGAAGTCGGAGCCGTCGGAGACTTCAAAGGCCGACTCGTCTTCGGAAGACATTGTGTGATAATCACAAGGGGTATCTGGAGAAGAAAGGGAAAAGAAAAAGGATCTCTGCGACCGCGAACTGAGGGTGTCGCGCCGCAAACACCCTGGTGTGCTGCCAACCTCACCGCAATGAAGATGAGAGCGCGAAGGACTGAATGAGCGGCGAAAGTGAGGCGAAGCGTACGGTATCTAAGGCTGGCGCCTGGGGGTTTGCAGAGCTGCAAGGTGAGACAGTGTGTCGCGACCGGGACACGCTCGTTCTGTTTGTTTACAGGCAGCGGCAGAAACTCACCGCCTGACCTCCGCGCACTGACGCTTTGTGCCTTAGTGCCTAAGGCGCCCAATAAGCAGAACGCCTCCAAAACTATGGACTACAGTGTCTTGTGGATGAAAACCATTGGCAACGTGTGGTTTCAATGAATATTTGATGCATGTTTCTATACATCACTTCAGGCAGGATTGTCAATGCCCTTTGGCGGCGGGTTGCTCTATGGTGGATCCAGTATGTCGTCAACTATCGATAATCCCTCTCACCTAGTACTTCTGCGTGAAAAATTTCTTCTTGTAAGCCTTACCTTGGTCAGTGGCAACCAGCAAATTATTAATTAAGTTTCCTGTTCAGAAAAGCGTAGCAGTTCAACAAAAAAATTCTATTCTTTCTACTAGTCATCAACCGCGAGGGGCAATTGAGCTTGGACACGTTTCTCTTTGATCCCATTAGCGCGAAAGCCTACACGTGGGAGCCCCCAATGGTGACCATTGTCATTGGTCCGCTGTTTTATCTCGTGGCTAAGAATCGACGTGCGAGAACGGAACAAGGCCGGCTTGGGCTATCACCCCGCATATCAGCACAATGCTTATCGGTTGGATGAGCCTCTGCAGGAGTCTGCAGCTGACGAATTTTGTGTCATCCGGTCAGATGAGACACCGACTATAGCTTTCATTCGTGGACAGGACCATGGTCATGAGACGGTATGTAACTGATAGTGGGTGTTGAAACGCCAGCACACCCAGGGCGCTTCTCGGCCGACCAATAATGCTTTCTGCTGCGAGACATGCGGTTGTGTTAATATTGATCAGTGTGAGTGGGGTCCCCCACTGCCCGATTCACTGTATTTGATATCCAGAGTTTGAACCTGCGAGAAAGGAACGGAAACCTAGCAATAGGTCCAGCCCTTTTCTGTGTTGCAAGGGAGCAGGGGTATATTCAGTCATCCTCAATTCCCAAAATTTGAATTGCCCCCTCGCTCAGACAACCACCACAGGCCTTGGCAAGCTGAAATAATTCTTTGGCCTTACTTATGTGCTCTTCTCTGTCGGCATCGTCGTGCATCTCGGAGTCATCTTCAGAGGGTCTATGGCCATCTATTATCCTTTCGGACTGATGAATTTGAGCGATGAGGTCACCGTTCCAAACGGCAATCATGCCGCGTAGATGCAGAAGTTCGGGACGCTTGTCAAAATGTGGAGATGACAGCAGATCATCGAGCCGAGCCGCGATCTCTCGGGCACGGCGAAGTTCGTCGGTTCTAATGGCCAAAATCCGGGTCTCGCGTGCTGAGGCGTGCCGCTTTGGAGATCCAGAGTCCGACGTCACTTCAGATCCAGTGTCTTCATCATCCGAGTCGGACTTTTCAGCTGCAGCCATTGCAACTCGGGAAGCCTGAGATATCTCGTAAAGCCACAGGCTGAACATTGCCGGATAAAATGTAAGAGCGCTGGTGGCCTTCGGGTTACTCTGTTGAAATGGATGGTCAAGGATCAGTCGTTCATAATAGAGACGGGCGGCCTTGAAGCCTTCTTCCGTGAAGGTCGCATCATCTATAGTCGCGGAGGGAATCTCTGACTGACTATCGTCACTGGCTTTCGGGGTATTTAGATGCATCTCAGCTGTAATACCCCATCTTGCGTAGACCCTTTCGTCCACCTTCATAGCACCTCGTCCAGTTTGCAATATCACCTTCCACACGAGACCTGCACGGTGGTAGTCACCCTGCAAAAGACATCGATGCATGATGGCGAGTTTCTCATGGACTAGGCGATGTCGCCAATGATTGCCTTCATCCGATTCCAACTCGGGGAGACGAGGCTCCGACGGGCTGGGTCCTCGAGAGCGGCGTTTGGCGCGAGTCTGGGGGAGACGTGCAGCGGAAGAGAGGTGCGAGGCGTACAGTGGAGGGTTGAGCGCGGCCAACTCGCGGTGTAGCTCGGCGGGCGTAAATTTGTCCTCGTGGCTTGCGTTTTTGCTCAATGGGCGCTGGTGCTCACCGTGGCGAGTTTGCTTGACCGAAGCCGGCGCATGCGGGAAGGGCGGTTTGGGGAGAGGGAGCTCGGGGTCATGGCCAGCAACGCGGAACTGATGGGCTTGTGCAGCGGTGAGAGTGTTGATGGCGGAGGAGGGCGGCCTTGTCGAAGGAGCATCGTTTCCGGCGGGAGAGCTTGCGTGGTCGGAAACGTCTTCTGGCTCGTCAGCGTCGTCACGCTTGCGCTTGCGGGTCTGGCCATGCTGGCGAGCGCGCAGGCTCTGATGGCGGGCGTCCCGCTTGCGCGGGCCAGCAAATGGGGGCGCTTGCGGCATGGCGGATTCGTGGAGTGGTAGGTGCCAGCAGCAGCTTCGTCACTCGCCTCGCCTCGCCGCTACGCCCGGGCCCGGCGGCCACGCTGACAGATTGGCATGCCGCTGTCACGGGAAGTCATGGCCGACGCCAGCCAGCTAGTCATCACCGCCGCATGCTTGAACCCACCCAGCTGCGTCTCTCCACGAGCCTTGCCTTCGTTTCCGACACAACCCCGACCTCCCGCTCCACCACCACCCATCCCTCGCCCGCTCCCAGCGATCGGGCCTCCGCGTCTCCCGCACCACCATGGGCCAGAGCAGCTCGCGCGGTGTGTCCGCTCCCGCCGAGCGGCGGCGGAGCAGTCAGCACTCACCGACACCGCGCCGTATCTCCCACGTCGCCGATGGCTCCTCAACACCCGAATCGCAGCCCACCTCTCGCTCTTCCGCCCACAATTTTCTGTCCTTCACCCGCCTCCGCTCCGGCCGCCCAGATGCTGGCTCGTCTCAAGCGCCCGAAGCTGTATTGCGCCGCCGCTCCAGGCTGAGCCGCGCTCAGTCGTCGATATCAAGTATCCTCAGCCGCCCACGCTCGTCCTCCCGCTCCCGCGACCGTCCCGCACGCACGAACACCCGCCGCTTGTCCGCGCCTTTCGCGCCTTTCTGGTCGCCTGCACAGCCTTCGTCCTCGACATCGGATTCTCCAGGCTCGCCACTTCCCCGTTTGCAGATGCCCGAGCTTGCCGGTGCTCTCAATATCGATGACCTAGCCCCCGAGTCCCCTGAGACGGACTCATTGTTGCAAAGCCCACTACAGTCGCGGGAGCAGGATGTGGAGCCCGAGCGTCCGACAAGTCTTCAGCACTCGAACAGCATCCTTGATCGAGTAGCCGGCAGCGTGGTGCCAGAAAGAAGTAGCAGAAACGTGAGAAACTCGCTGCGGCGGCGGAGGTCCCCCCTAAACCAGAACGAGGACAACGCGGCCATGCTGTCTCGTCTTCTATCCGTAGCGGCAGCCGCCACCGCAGCCACTCTCATGGGCGAAGACCACCGAGCTGGTGCCGAGGCTCGCAACTTCGTGGGCGGGGACGAGGATGGCACGTTTGATGGTTTTCTTCAGTCCCTCCAGAATGGCCGGATAGCCTCTGCCCTCCGTGGTCACACGGCGGGCATGGACGTGGATCCGGATGAGTCCGGACCGCCAGCGCCATTGAACTTTTTCCGCATGTTTAGGTTCGGCTCTTCCACGGCTACGAGGCGCGAAACCACCGCACCCATGTCTCAGGGCAGTCAGGATGACTCGGATGAAGCTTCTGGTGCGCAGCGCGCAGACGAGGATGGCTCGGAGAGCCGTATGGTCCCTATCATTATAGTTGGCATTCGCTCTATCAATCCCAACACCGCTGGAGCTGCCCAGCATGACGACAACATTCCCCCATTCTTAGATGCTCTTTCGAGTTTCCCTGCTCCGGTCGCTTCCGGTTCTGAACCTAGCATTGATGGCATCCTACGACAACCTCAGAATGGAACTAGATTTAGCCATCGACGCCGTGCCTCAATGGGAGGCATCAACACGTTCCCATCAGCCTACGACAACCAGCGACATCACCGTATTTCGCCATCGGAACGTCCACGCCCATATTCAACCCTTTCAGATTCGACCCTTGGTCCTCGACCTCCACCGTCCACCCCCGCAGGCATGTCTGCCTTTTCATCTGGGAGGACGACGCCCACGTTTACTCCACCTTCAGACGCTTCGGCATTGCCCTTTGCAGAATCGTCAAGACGTGGGAGTTTTGTGCGGTCTCCTATCAGAGGAAGCTCCGGGCTGGAGTCTCCTGCCGAAGAACCGCGGTCTCTTCACCAGCTGAGAACCGCTCGTCAGCGTCGATTGAGCGAGTCTGACCATACAAGGTTCGGCGCTGGCTCTGCTCGGCGTAACGGCGTTGTAGAACCCGATCATGCGCCTGGCGAGGGGCCTCGTAGCTGGATTATCTACGTGCTGGGTGGCAGCTATCCGGAAAACCATCCTATCCTTACCACGCCGAGTCTCTTCACTGACACTCCTACTTACGAAGACATGATGTTACTTTCAACGCTTCTCGGGCCTGCCAAACCTCCGGTTGCTAGTGAATCGGACGTTTCGTCTGCAGGTGGTCTCTACATAGTCCGTGAGGCTGCTCAGGCTGATGTAGAGTCCGGTGGGCTGATCGCGGCTGCTGTTGAAGGCGAGGAGATTATTGCCATCACAGCGGATCAGCGCTGCCTCGTCTGCCTAAGTGAATATCAAGAAAGCGAGGAGGCTCGCAAATTGATAAAATGCGGACACCTTTTTCACCGGGAGTGCATTGATCAGGTAAGTGCCAACAGCTCTACACACGTATAAATACTAATTCTGATGAACAGTGGCTTACAACTGGACGGAATTCGTGCCCGCTCTGTAGAGGGCAGGGTGTAGAGGAGCATGAAAAACGAACGGCCACCCCTGCGACACCCGAAATGCCCGCAGTCGCATGATCTTCCAGTGACCTACTGTACCCACGCTGAAAAGCATCAAAGAGTAACAGCAGGTGCATTCGATGGGAAGACCTCATAACGTAACTTTTTCTCACGTTGACGCTTTATCAGATCTGGAATGGCCATCCATTGTTGGTCTTGAAATCCAGGTATGCTCATTCTTGTTCGGATTGCAAGGCGTGCAGGCGTATTCAGTGCATTTATGCATTGATTGATGGAGAGGCTATCTGTTTCCCCTTTTCCTCCTTTGAATTTTGTCCTCCGTTTTCTCTCACTCAGGATTTTTCTCAAGCACGGCGCTTCAGGCATATTGGTTTGGTCGTCACAGGAAACACTCGTTCAGTCTACACAGCAGGCGAAGCACAGCGCGCGCACACAGGGTCGGGAACTAATAGTTGTTGATCACATGTCATAGCGATCGCTCAGGAGTTGGCGCATTTTCATGTCGAAGGGCCCCCGTCATCATTATCACTGCTATTAACGTCACGGCTGGTTTTTGGTTTATTGTGGTCAGGCAGCCGCAGAAGTCATCTTTCTGCGCCATTTACCCCGTCTCCTTGCTTCTTCTTTTTTGTGGATGATTTGATGACTTCTCTTACTTTTCTTTAATTTCTTATTGCCGAGTTGGCAGGCAAGGTCAAACGACAAGTCGTAGCGGATGTGCGATCTAAGACCCTCGAGATTCGCACGGAAAAAAATAAAAGGGAGAACAGCTGCAACAGCGAGCGGCCAGGGGAGATTTTTAGAGCATTCGTGCCGGTTGGCTTGACGTCATGTCATATTCGTCGCCTCTGGACAAGTGTTTTAAGGTTCTCCTTCTGTTCCGGCTCCTGTTGCGAGGCTGTACGAGTGTATCTCTCCAGTTGAGTGCCCCTGGATTAGGTCTGCCCACCTTACGATTCACACTAGTTAGTACAAAGGAGCAGAGGTTTTTAATATCACACGGGTTCCCTCGAAGGGGAAGCATGAACGGCGTAAAAGCTCCGGTCTCAAATGATGATGCTTCGGCTTGTGACGTGTTCAAACATATGAGAATGACGTCGCGGACACAAAACACCGGACGAAACTGGATCGTTCGACGAGGTTGTCTTACCTAGCATTCTCATTACGTCGTTTTGCCCTGGACAGAGACGCTTTGGACTGAAGGCGTGCCACCGAGCTCGTATGATGTTGGCCTTTCGTCTTTTGTCGCCGAAACAGGCAACAAGCACAGACCATGGCGCATGGTACAACGCACCACTATAGATTGATTGTTGCCTGCCTGGAAAGGTGAAGACATATGAGCCCCGTATCCGCTATCGACTTTAGGAAAATCGATATCGCGGTCGGGGCTCTTGGAAGGGGGCGCTGCACACTCCGGACAATACGTGCTGCTCTCGTGCGCTCGATGCCCAACGGCAGTCGTGGAACGAAGGATCACGGCAAGAGTCAGTCAAGTCTTCAGCTGGGCTGGCACATGCCGTGTCCCCCATCTCCGAAGCAATGAGACCCAAACGGGAAAGTGCACCGCCACGGATACCGTCGGAGAGTAGAGGCACGAGGGCTGCATCAGAAATTTAGAGTGTGCCTGAAGCAGCCGGTCATATTGCATCGGAGGGCGCCGTAAGGGGCTCAAGGTTTTCTCCCCCACCATGATGCAATGAGGCTTCCGGGAGAAATTCTTCAGCCTTCTTTCAGCGGGGCTGGGTCGGTGGCGGGCGGCCGGAGGCTCCGTTGGCTCATCTCGGAGAATTTGTTTCAGAGAGCGAGGCGGAGTGTGTGGAGGTGCTGTTGTGAGAACGGCGGTCGCGCTACGGGGCCTAGGCAGGGTTGGGGCTGCAAAGGAGGCTGAAGGATGTTAGAAGGCCGCTAAGACTAGGGGACAGTAGTAGGTTGGAGATGGCGTCCGGAGAAACGTGCAGCGCAAGCCACCAGGGCGATAGCCAGCCGCTAGCGGAGGGAGCCAAGAACGTCATTGCGAGTCGGCAGCGAAGGGTGATGCACGCTGCAGGCACGGGATATACAAGCCCCGCTGAGGCGTGCTTGATCCCTCCCGAGAGAACGGCACGTCAGAAGGCGCTCGGGCGCTCAGGCTGCTCATAGAGATCGTCAGGCTCCGGGCGTGCTAGTGCTTCTGATACGTACGCAGCGGGTTGGGTCCTGGCTAGCAGTGCTAGCAGAACGTGATCTCCGATGGCTCGAGGCCCGAGCGTGGGCGGGAAGGATGCGACTAAAAAAGAACAGAAGCCATCGGTACCGGCACTTTCGCCTTGCGACTGGCTTGCGTGCCCGCGCCGGGCTCGAGCTCGCTCTGCTCGCTGCAGTGGGGCCCAGATCTGGGAACACACCGGTGCGCGGACGCTACCGTTGTGACAGGTGCCTGCGTGCGGAGGAGCAGGTGAGGTCGTATGGGTGGCTGGCTGGCTGGTGACCGGCATTAGGCGGAGATGCGCAACGGCAGACGGCTCTGCGACCCCCGGTCCGTCTGCCCACTGCTGCCACGATGCCTAGTTCGACGGGCCGGCTTACCAACCTCGCGCAGCAGGCCCAAATCCGATGGCAGACAGAAAAACTACCTACCCAGCCCGCGCGGCAACAGCCGCAGGGCCAGTGCTTGCCCCGTTCCTGGCGCTTTCCCTCAAGTGGCAATCGCACAGTGTGCGCCATTTGGATTTGCCGCGGCACTCTTTGATTTTTTAGCTGTCGCTGAGTCGCGCGCCCGCCTGCGTCTCAGCGCACACGTCTGAACACGCGCGCGCTTCAGCGAGTCGCCGCGTTTTGGATGTAGCGCAGCTACCACGGAGCACGTTGGTCCGCGTAGGTTTAAGTTTTCGTGCATGCCGGGTCATGGGGCTATGCATTTTCCGCAATTTCTTCAGCGTCGTCGACGCATCCTGGCTGACGGGCGCGCGGGCTGCGAGATGGTTGGTCGCCAGCCTCCCGTTGAAGACGACTGATGACGCGGAAACAACCGGCGTGCCGGTTCCTGGGTGCGAGCAATATGATCAGTCCTGAATTGCCAGCCTGCTTGCGTTGCGCAACACATGACAACATTGCGGCGTGGTCCGCTGCTTCCCCGATCAGGCAAAAGAGGGGGTGGGGGACCGCCGGGGGGCAGCATAAACACCGCAATCTTCGCTGCCCCTGGCATCCCTCCTCATCATCGTGCCCGGACCACGCTGCGCAGAAATCCAACAACATGGCAATGCGACGGGACGGAAACGCCAACTTCTGCGCCCGCACGAGCCGTGGACTGTCCCTGGGTTGATTGGGTCAGTCAGTCAGGTTGTTGGGCCCGATGCGGTATACACGGGCAGCGCAAAACTGCCGGCCGTTTTGCATGTGAAAGGCGGCTTGGGGCGCGCTATGACTGCGAAAGCGCAACTAGAAGGCATGCCACCAGGAAAGCATTTCCACGCTCAGCAATGGATGCGACATTAGATTTCCGTCCGCCGTTGGATCTTCCCCGGCTGGGCCTTCCGCCACGGCTGGCTTTCCTGTTCAGAACCGTCTTTTGTCAAGTCTTCGAGTTAGCTGGCAGTCTTTTTTTCGTTTTCGCCTTCCCCGAACCCGAATCCGAAATATCCGACAACGGGTCTTGCTTGATATATTAATTCCGAGTCCCCGACAACAGAAGAATCGCAAAGTCCATCTCATCTTGCTGTGGACGGGCGGCCGCGTCGAACGAGGCTTAGAGGTGGTGATGGTGGTTCTAGTGACACGTAACGTCGTTCGCATAACGTTGGGTTATATTGATCATCTTTGCTTCCGCTCGTCCATCCGAGCGCGCATCGTCCTCACCCCCCTTTGGCTTGGCTCCCGCGAGCTAAGAGCGAAAGCCAGCTCGGACCGGCGGCCGGCTCTCCTGACAGCAACTCCAGAAGGTAAACAGGCGGTGACAGCCAATCTCGCCGGGCAGAGAGCATCGTGAAGCGTCAATGCTCCTCAGGACTTTTGCCGAGCGGGGGTATTACGTCCAGGACCTCGCCGAGCATGGAGCATTTGTGTCAGTCCTGCAGCGTCGGCGTCAAGCGACACTGAGGCGGGCAGAGATGTGATGCATCTCAATGATGTGCAGGTACACTCGCCTCCCCGTCGGGGGCGTCAGTGCGGCGGGAAAGACGTTTGTTTGGACCACCTTGGTTCTTCTAGACGAAGCGCAGAGAAATATTTAGAGCAGCACGAGCCATGTGGAACAAGAAGCAGGGTCGGTGTGGCGGCGGCGAAGGGCCGCAGCGCTGGAGCTTGGCGGGATTGCGGTGGCATGATCGGGGGGATCCTTCAGTGGGGAAGACTGCAGCAAGCCCGAGAGCACGCGGACCGGGGGGCTTGGCGGACTGGAGGAAAAAGTCGTCGTGCGTGTGTTTGCAAAGGAGAAATTTAGGGGCACGATGGAGATCGGTGGCCGCAGGGGGCGCTCTGGCGTCAGCGGCCTGTTCCCGCTGACGAGCGAGAATCGGCGACGAGGTTCCCCCTGTCGAGCATTTGCTTCTTGCTTGCTTGTGCTCGGGAGCGGGAAGAACAAAGCTCCATCAATCATATTCCATCCAGGAGACGGGCTAGCGGCCTATGGGCGGCTTGCGAAAGCGCTGACGCCGCGAATCTGGCGACGTGTGCGGTCTGATCAGCGGGCCGTGATCGGGCAATCGAGGAGTGGCAGTGGGCCAGCGGATCAACGTCGCGTTGGTCCTCTTTGGCGCGTGTCCCGCCTAGGGTTTCATGAGGCCGCGGGCCTGCGTCGTCGTGAAGCCGTCTGCTGACGAGCGGGCGGCTGATGCTGCAGGCGGAGACCTTCCGCATGGGGCGGGCTGGAGGATTGCGGACGACGCTGGTGGTGCAATAATGTGACAGGCGCGCGCGTCCCGGACGGGCAAGCGGCTGGAGGAGCAGTGTTGCGCCAGGCGGGGGGTGCTCGCGGCGCGCCATTCGCCAGCCGACTCCTGTCGGTCGGGACGGGCAGCAGGCAGTAGTCTCGCCGTATTGCTTCCGTTTAGCTCTGCTCACATGCAGGGCATCTGTGCGGATGGCAGCGGAAGGCGTGCGTGCTGCTGCGGCTTGGTCCCAGGCGCGCGGTCAGGCGGGCGCAAGTATTGGCTGCCAGATTGTGGTGGAGAGAACTCGTTAAGAGTAGCCGGATGCGGCAGGCTGTCGGCCCATGGTGAGCGCTGAACCCTGCGATCCGGCGTGGTGGTGCGGGAGTGATGGCAGGCTGGCGGTGGATCTGTGGTGGGGATCTGGGAGGTGCCTGGAGGCCTTCGCCGGGCTCCCGACATCTCCGGCCGCTGAACGTTGCGCGCACGTCTCTCAATATTGGCCGAGTCAGCAGCATTAAGGTTGTTCCCTATACAAATCCCTGGGCCGCGCGATCTTAGACGCCCAGGTATAGCCCCCAGCCTCCGCAGGGGACCCCGAGCCAGGCATTTGCCGGCCGCGCGACTCGTCTGCTAATTGCAGGGAGAAGCCTGCGCCCGCACGTGGTCGAGCAAGGAGCCCGTCTCCAGCGCGGCGCCCGGATGCAGTTGCGTGCAGCCGTCATGGATCTGACTGCTGAAACGCAGATCCGCGACAGCGTTTGACCGTTGGCTGCAGAACCCACGCACGCCGTCTCCGCCCACGCCGGCCCAGCACACCGCGCCTACCGCCTGCAGCGCGCCCGCCGGAGCACGCTGAGCGCGCGCGCGCGAACGCGCATGTACGTACCGGCACGCCGGCCAGGAGCACGGCGCGGGCGGCGAGGAGGCTTCCATGCTGCAGATCTGCGCTGCATTGACTGAATCTCCGAGCAATTCGAGATTGTCCGGCCCTTTGGCATGATATCACCGGGCAGCGAGAGCAGCCGTCGTCGAAACATGGTTCGTCTTGGCTTTGGGCGGAGCCCCTGCCTGAGCCCCTGCCCGCACATCCACCGGCCTCAAGCCTCAGCAGCACCTCTCCACGCCGCCGCCTCGTGGCCGTGGCCCGCGCGCGCCGTTCACCGCACGCCGGCAGCCCGCGTCGCCGTCAGGCGCCCGCCAGCCCGCAACGGCCGGCCGTCAGCGGCCCTGCAGCGCGCTGCGAGGCGGGCGTCCTGGCCGCAGCGATGATGATAATGCTCTGGTTCCGCCCTGGCTGCGCTGCTCCAGAAGCTCGCGCGCTGGCACGCTACCGCTGGTGGCCTCGGCGCATTTGCTCTTCACGGCCGTCGGCGCTGTTTATGCAGCGGGCTCGCTGCCGAATCGGTGCAGCCAGAGCCCGCCCGGGCGCCTGCTGGCCCGCCCGCCTCCCAGATTTGCCGCCGTCCAGCACTGCACCCTTCATCCGCCGCCTGTCTCGACTTGATGGCGCCGCGATAGAGCAACGATACGCCAGCAGCCCGGGTCAGGGCACGTCCGCCGCGCCGCCTGCGAGCTGCCCAGCTGCCCAGCTGCCCTGCCTGCCCAGCCCCGGGGCCTGCGTCGGTGCCCGCGCTGCTGTCTGCGTCTGTGCCCGCGCCGCCGAGGCCGCTCTGGCGGCCCCGCGGCGGTGGTGGAGGTGGTGATCCTGCAGCGGGGGCGCGCTCAGCAGAGGCGGGCAGCGCAGAGGGCGGAGGGCAGGAGCAAGTGCCGGCCCCTAGCTGCGATGCGCGCCCAGGGTGCCGGGCGTTGACGCATGAGAACGGCGAAAAAAGGCGAGGGCGTGGGCTGGGGCCGTTCTCGAAGCCTGGCAAGGCGGGGCGGCGCTGCTGTCAACGCCAGAGTGCTGAACGGCTCCAAGGATTTGCAGGCCTCGCGCGGAAACGGCAACGCCCGGCCTCTGTCCGAAGTGCCCTCCCCTGCACCACAATATCCAATATCCACCCAAGGCTCCCAGCGCGTGCAGGGCCCACGCCCGCTGCTCAGGTACGAGTACGGACGGCTGCTCATCATCAGAGCGCGCATCAACGCTTACGGCCGTGGTCGAGCTGGCTACTGCTGCAGGGCTGCAGTGCCAGCCCGCCCGCCAGTACTGATTGCCCGTCCGTCCCTGGCCCTCACTAATCTTAGCTCTACACGCCTTGCCGGTACATAATTACGTCCCGCGATCCAACACTGGAGGGGTCTGGCAAGGAACCGCTCTCTTCCATCCACCACGACACTTCCACAGCATCGCCAACATCTCGCCCACCGCCGACTACTCTGCGCCGGATGCCGCTGGTCACGTTGTGACGACAATCCCCCGCCATCACTTCACGGTCCCTCGCTCTCCATCTCCATCTTCGCCCTCCATCTCTCGAGCCATGGCCAACCACTTCAACAACATGCCCGGCATGCCGCCATACTTCGCCATGAATCCCCAGCGGCCGATGATGCATATGGAAAACAGCTATCCTCCGCCCAGCTTCGCCCACGGCCTGCAGCCTTTCCAGACGCTTTCATCCGAAAACCTCCGCCAGAACTACGCCGACCTTGACGACCCCAGCCGGACAATGCTACCAGCCCAGGGCTCCTCCAGAGCCCGCCGGAGGCCCGCGCCTGGCGCCGAGCATGTGAAACACCGCAGGACTCGGAGCGGTTGCTACACTTGCAGAAACAGACGAGTCAAGGTAGGACTTCAAAACCCATTTCATTTTCATCGTCCGAGATGGCTGACATGCGGGCTGCGCCAGTGTGATGAGACTCACCCAATTTGTGAAAGTATGCATCTTCCGCCCCGTTTGGTGGCGCCCTGCTAATGACGCCCGCCCATGCAGGATGCCGCAAAGGAAACCGAGAGTGCGTCTATCCGGAGCCCGCCGTAGCAAATAAGTCCAGCCGTAGCAAGACCAAGGGCTCCTCGCCCCAGAGCAATTCGTCCGCCGATGACGATGATGCCGAAGGAAAGGCGCCGTTGCCTTCGATTCCCGATGAGGATGAGCCCGGTGATGGAGCCAGCCACCAGACCAGTGTTTCGAACGCAAGCCGTCTCAGTCGAGAGCCGTCCAATACGCCCTCGCTGACACACGGCAAGAGTCCGTCTCCCTCTACGGAAGGATCAAGCACAATTCCCCATGCCCAGCCACGGCCTGTGCCATCCCGGACATCGAGTCGATCAAACCTGCGCAAGTCCCCCATGGAACGCACCTGGGCTGAACTCCCGTCCGACGTCCGCTACTATCTCGACTGGTTCCGAAACAACATCACATGCCACCACTACTGCCTGAAGTATGACGGTGCCGATTTCATGCGCACGACTTTGCTCGAGATTGCCGTGCATAATGACCACCTTCTCTACGCCGTTGTCGGATTCGCCGCGTACCACCACACGTTGGCAAGACCGAATGGGAGGATTGCGGACTTTCTGAGCTACTACAACCGGTCCGTCCAGCTGCTCCGCATGTCGCTGCAACGCAACCAGAGGCGGACGCCTGCCACTCTTCTGACCATTCTGCAGCTGGCAACAATCGAGGTTTGCATTCCCTGATCCCACTCCCACCTTTTTTTACTCACCGAAACGTATAGGAATACCTGGGCGATTGGGTGAGCCTTATTGGTCATCAAAGAGCCGCGTACGAAATCATCACGTCCATGTACACGCCTCAAACAATTATGCAAAACGAGACCCTCCGCAGGATCATCACCTGGTATCAACGCTTCGACCTCATGGGCGGCATCCTGTCCGGATATGAAACAGTACTCGCACGCGATTGGTTTCTAGCCTGCACCGACTATTATACCCAACAGACACGCGACAAGCCTCACGATGTGGGTTGCAAGTTTGACGAGAGGTTATCTTTGTGCAGGTTATTCGCCAATGACTCATCGTCTTTGTTCTCCAGGAAGGCGAAGGGCCAGATTAGCGATGAGGCTTTCGCTGCCGAGTGCATGGTTTTGGACAAGAGAATCGACGAGTGGCTCGAGCAGCTTGATCCCGCCCTCACTGACGCAACAAAACACATTACAAGTTTCGACGGTTCCTCCCCACGCGATGCCGACGATGTTGTTGATCCGTACGATCCTCAGTTCATGTACGGCGACGAGCTGTTCCCCATGAACATCGTTTTCATCGACTATTGGGCCATCGCTCTCATGTTCAAGATGCAGCTATGCAACGTCTTCGAAAGGGAGCCCACTCCGGAGGTGCAGAAGATGGCTTATGATATCTGCAAGATGTTTGAGTCGCTCGAGATGTACCCCAACAGCCCGCCCGGAATTATCATCGAGGCCAGTGCCGCCCTCGGGATGGGCGTCGTCCATCTTCCTAGGGACGAAAGGCACATTACGTGGGGCAGGCGCAAGTTCGCCAAGGTGGAGTCCCAAGGATACATCTACCCATCGAGCATGCGTGCGGGCTTGGGCCAGGCCTGGAATGTGGATGTGTCATACTGGTGGCTGCCAAACAACGAAGGCATGCCAGAAATCGTCTCCCAGATCCGTGGCTTCATCGAGGAACGCGCCACCTTTCCAAAGGACCAGAACAGACAGGATCTCCGTGAGATGCGCGGAATCTTTGAAAACCTCAGCGTCAAGGACCGCAAAGGCAGCAGCGCCAGCCATGATTCAGCATCTGTCGCGGCTGCGACTGCCTCTTTCAACCTCGGCGCTACTGGCGAGGAGCTTGCCAGCATGGACTTCGGTGCCGGCGATGCCATGATCTACGAGAATAGTCCGGACTACGGGTGGAGCTACAGCCCTCAGGGCACTCAATTCTCGGACCACTGAGTGTGGGATCAATACCCAGCAATCCAAGCTTGCGAGGAGGGGGGCGTTGCACCAAGGCTGCAAGAGTCCCCAATCGGCTAGTCACGGCCCTAGTCGGTGACCCTTTTACCACCCTCCGATCGCAGCTCGTGTCAAGATAAGCTCTTGACGAAAAATATCCATAAGACCGGCGTTACATGTGGGTCAAGAACGGAAGAAATGAGGCAACTCCACCACGTGCGAGTCGCTTTTTCTTCGGATGACCTTCCTACTGGAAAAACAAAGTTGGGTCCTGACCTGAGAACGACCCACTTTGCGATTCGAGAAATAGCCGGCGGCACAATCATCGTACCTTCCAAATTTGGACTGGACCAACGATATTGGATATTGATCCTACGGGCTGTGCCGCGCACGCCACCCTTGATACTGATGAGTGATGGCTCTCCTAGAGTTACCATTTTTCTTATCAACTTCAGCCTTCTCTTTTTCGATGTAACATGGTCAATATCCTTTTGTAAACTTTTGTCCTTTCTCCAACCCGCCTCGTTATCATTACTCTTGTCTAATTCGCGTATATGCTTCGATTTACTTCTTCTTCTGAGTATTTTTGGAGTTCAGCGGATCAGGAGTTCTTCAGCTTTTTTCCTTTGTGTTGGCAAAAAAGAAAAGAAGCGAGCAGGCACTTATTCACACGGCCGAAAAGAATGGGGGCTTTGGAGTTACGCAATTGGGGCAACCAATTATGGCGCATGCAATCCTAAAAGGACATTTGGGATTCGGACCAAGGCGTTTTGTTTGGTTCAGTCTTGGGAGGAAAAACACGCGAGCAAAAATTCTCGACAACTGTATTACTAAAACCATTTAACATTTCCTTGGGTTATTTCATTTGTAGCTCAGACTTCAAAGAATCAAAACTGCGCAATCATGAACAAGCGCTTTATGAACAAATGTCTCTGCCAGTTTTTTCCTCAGCGTGATTGGTCAAATGCAAGAAAAAAAAAGCACGTCGCCTGAACAGTCTGTTTCCTTGATTCCAGGGCACTGGTTACTTGTCGATCTTGAGAGCTACATTGCTTCGAGATTGCCTACGCATCGATGTTCAAACCCTCTTCTCCAGACCAAAAAAACGTGGTCGAGCGGAAAAGCCGCTGCAAGCCGACGGGCCGATCGTTCCTTCGTATCCCCTCAAAGGCAGTAAAATTGAACAGTTTAGCCTCATGCTATCGCGTTAGCAGTTAAATGGCTGTATGTCGATCCGCAGCTTTGTGTGCGAAATGGGTATACTATACAGGCAGATATGAAGGGCAACGAAGAGCGAGACGCGGTATACGGCCCCTGAACGCACCGGGGGGGGAAGAAAGTGAAAAAAAAGGGAAAAGGGTTGCACATCGTTCAGCTAGAGGCATAACGGCGGAAGAGCACGGATATGTTTGACCTGACGTCAGGGACACCTATCTCCATTTAGGTTGCGGGATGTGGTGCCTCCGGTGCGCCTTGCACGGGGGGCAGTGGAGGGACGCACACTCGCACGTCCTACCACGCGTCGATCTTATTTCGTTGTGCTATTTTGGTCTCCTAAGCCCCCCTCCTCCGCAGTAAAGCCACGGTGATGACCACTCCTTATTTCGCTGTTTCCAAAACCAGGCGCATTGAGCACACAGACGCTGCTCCCGAATGATTGGTACGTGTGGAGGAAGGGCATGCTGTTTGATGAGGATCTGTCGATGTGGTCTTGTCATGCCCGCCGAACGAGCAGCGGGAGGTTGAATTAAGCACGCCTTGTCTGTGCGGTTGCACATCGATCAAATTTTAAGTGATGGGCCAACGTGGTCGGATTTGCTAAAGGAGGATTGTGCTATCTGGCCGAACACGAATACGCGTATATCATATCCGAGATCAAGAAGAACACACGAGTGTCACGCAACCATCAAAGTGCAGGCGTCAGGTCAGCAAAGGTTCAGTTTTCGATCGCTGTCCACTGATGAAGTGAAAAACAACGCTATACAAAAAATGATGAACGTGTCGCCTAGCGGGGGTATCTGCTCAGAAGCATGGTCTCCCCTTCCATCACGCCAGCGACCATTCCAGAACGTATCCGGGTTTCCTTCCGCTGAGGCCAGTCTAGCGGGTGAAGAATCTATCCAGTTCTGAGCGGTTGTAGAGCGGAAAGGCTCAATCCAACCTGAAAGCAATCGGAGGAGCAAGCCTATCGATTGCTTCACGCACCCTCGCGGCTCTTGCGGTAGCTTGCCTATTAGTCACGATCTGAGGTTAGATTTGTGGACTCGGAAAGCTGCAGTGAAGTAGGAACAGAGCATATGTACGAGTCAAAGCGCGATCAATCGCGGGGACGCACCTCCTGCTCGACCTGCAACTGATCAACCACGGGAGCCAGCTCGCTCAAAATTTCATAGGCCCTCTTGTGGTACTCCAACTGGGCGGCGATAAGGTCGGCAAGGTTACGGAGAGGCTCGGGCGTATCCAGTACCTGCAAATCAGGGAATCCTCGTCAGCACAGCCATGCTTTCAATCAAGATAATTCAAACCTCACGTTTTTCATAACGCCCACGGCCTCCTCGGTCTGACCAACAAACTCATCCTCGGCCTGCTCGATCTGGGCGCGGGCCTCCTCCGAAATGTGCTCCTCATCACCGTCCTTCTTTACGCCGGGCAGAGGGAATGCACCGCCCTTGGCCTTGGCCTTGGTGGCATCCAGGCTCAGACGGGCATTCTCAACAGCCTTGCGGGCACGGGTAGCAAACATAATGTTCGTGTTGAGGGTCGTGCTCCAGCCGGCGAGGAAGCGGCTCTGGATCTGGGCGTCCTGGGCGAGACGGGCCTCGCCGACCTTCTCCATAGAAACGGCATACTTCTCGAGAGCGGTAGCGAGCGGATCGTCGGATGAGTTGCCGTGGTCCTGGCTCAGGAGGGTGGAGCTGTTGAGCGAGGCGCGAGCGATTGCGTGGCTGAAGGTCTTGGGCTGCGGCTTGGCCGAGGGCGGGGCGGTCAGGGCAGCCTGGGCCTCGGCAGGAGAGGTGGCAGAAGAGAGCAAGGTGACCTTCTCAGACACAGTGCGGCCAAGATCGTTGAAGGACTCGCGGATGTTGGTGGGATAATCGTAAGCCTCGTTGGTGTACTGGGAGCTGGTGGGGGTCAGCGGAGCAGCGAGGGCGGAACGTCAGACGTACGTGACCTGCAGCATCTTCTGGTGGACCTGCTTCAGAGCATCGACGCGCTTCTCGAGCTCAATGTAGTCGGGGGGAAGCTGGGTCTGCGAAGGGCGGCGCGGGTCAGCGAATTTGCGCGGCGTCGGAGCGCGGCGGAGGCGGTTACCTTGTCCTCAGCCTGGCCCAATTGCTCCTTGACATACTGCTGGGTGCGAGCAGCAAAGGGAGTGAACGAGGCACTGCGATGGTCAGCGGAGAGTGGGCGGATAGGCAGCGGCGCAACGCGAGGGTGGATAGGCCGGGGCGCGGTCGGGCAGAGACTGCGGGCGGGAAAGGACGTACGAAAAGTTCTTGCCAAAGGCCTGAAACTTGTCCATGGCTGCGGTGGATGACGGAGTGGCTTGGGAGAAATGGAGGGTTGCTAGCGGAGTGTTTGAGGGACGTTGCGATTGCCTACGCATGTGAGTCGGGCTGTTGCTTGACCCTGGAAGAGGCAAGGTCGCATCTGCCCCCGCAGGCCCGAGCTTCCAAACACCACTCTCTTTACCTGACACCCTGTCCTCCACCCGTGTGTCACCGCCCTGCCGCCTCTGAAATCCACCGGGACACTCTCCAAATCCGCCTGCCCCCGCCGCCTGAGTTTTGTCCCGCTTCTTCTCCAGAAAATGCGACGGTGCGCCAGTCTGCTAGATCCACGACGGGCTTGCCGACCATGTTTGTCCCCCGGACCTCGTTGGATCCACACCTTAATGCGCCCCGGACCCCCAATCGCTCGAGGACCATTTTTCCACGCGCGGCGGCATGTTTCTCAATGGCGCATACCGCGACTACCCGTTTGTACGGACATGAACAGTAAGTAACTTTGAAGAGGATGCAGACTGGCCGTATTTCTGGGCCTTCAATCCACATCACTGTTTACGCCGGCCATTGCTGCAATCAAATACGACGCGTGCCACGTCACCCGAGAAAGCCTTCAGTGTCGTCTTTAATCCAGAAATGTCCGCCATTCGTAAGCCTGGCTGGCAATTTCGCCAAGAAGGAAAGCCTGGACTTGCTCACCGCTGGACGATTGTCTCCTTCGGTCGCGTCATCCCTAAGCATGCTTCACGCGGCACTGCTCTTTATTCAAGAGAAAGAGTACCGGATACCATTATTCCGCATTTCATCTTCGATCTCTTTCCAACGGACCACCCGCACAGCGGCTCGCAAAACGAATGGACCTTCCCAAACCTACCACACCTTGAGTTAAGGGGTAGCTAACTCTAATGTTCGGATGTATTTGTAGGGGGTTGAACCTCGCGTTCACGTCCGGATACCTGCTTCAACTGACCACGTAGGAAGACCGCAGTGTCCTTGGCGGTGCGGGTAGTTCAGGTTCAGGTCTTCTCAACCCACTGTACCAGGCTGCTCGGATCCCAAGAAGAACTTATCCGAAGACTACACAGTATAACAGCAACCTGCCACCCTCGAGGAAAGAGACTTGCAGTAAGGTTGACAGTCGGTGCTTGCTGGACTTCGAGTTTGAGCATATGCGTTTACGCTAATCCTCGAATCAACCCCACCTTATCGCGACCTGGACAAACTAACTGCATACTTCGAAGCCAACTGAAAACGTCCCCCAAATCTGCAAACGGTAGTCCACCAGGCACTAGCTGTCACGGTCCGATCTCGATTCCTCGACTGGTGCCGGTACTTTCTCGGCTCGAAAAATTTCAGCGAGAGCCCGGATCCATCGCCACGCCCACACCGACAACACCCTCGAGTGTTCTTTTTCAAGACCCACCGGTTTCCCGCTGGAAATGAATACATAAGTTCCAAGTGCACTTTCCTCTCCAACAACCACCAAGCAAAGCAGCTCGGTTGGTTCCTGAACAGCTCAGTTTCTGAGTTGTATAGGCCGCATGGCCCAATGGCAAGGCGCTTGACTACGAATCAAGAGATTCCAGGTTCGACCCCTGGTGTGGTCATTTCTTTTTGCTGTTGTCCCTTGCGCCTCTGTGCATGGGGCACGGCCATTCTCTTTTGCTCAGAGTCTGTCAACTCCAGCCATGCAGGTTTGGGGCTAGTTGAACCCTCGAGCCAGGACCTTCACCCGAAAACGCCTGGCGCAGGAAATAGTCGTTTCCTGACACCACGAGGCTCTGCAGTTTTACACGGGTCTTGTGTGTTCACGCCGTAGGAACACTATTTGGAAAGAGACTGTTCACTGAACTATTTTCGTTCACAAGAGGGGCTCAGTCCATGTGGAGATTGGTTCTCTCGCGGATGTTCTGCTTGAATGACGAGGCATACATCTGCTTTACACTCACAGCGGCCTTGGAGATCTATCCACAGGAAATGGAAACTTTAACACTAACAACTATAGCGACTAAGGACTCGCACGTTGCCGGGAAATATTTCCTCTCATATTGTTTGATTGCAGCCCTTTATACTCCTACTATGCAGATCTTCATCACCAATTTTGAAGTCTTGATACCATTTCATGGCTTCAGCGAGTGCTCTGCTGCCGCCCTGGCTCCGAGTCCAACCATCTTGAGAAGATGCTGATATCTTGCAGAAATCAAGGCAACGATGTTGAATGGTAAGCAGTAAAGATAGAGTTGTGACGTACACCAGGGCAAATCTACTCCGACCTCTTTCACGATTACGTCTTGATGGAAATCTCTAATGTCTGACCGTAATGACCCTACATCCGGTCAATCTACAGATGAGTGTTGGAGCTGAAGGCTAGTGGGAAGAACAGTAGGGCCCGAGAACAAGGGTAACTATTCCCCAGCGATTCCCTTTACGGAAAATACAACGTGTGTGAGCAGTCGAAGCTATCGTTTGGATGTCAATGTAGAGTTTTCAATTCCCCATTTACGTCCCGATAATCGCTTCAACTACCCATGGCAGAATGCACAGCAGTCCGGCCTCGTCCGTTGTTCAGTTTGCCACGTCCTCGAAACGAGGATCCGCACAGGGTTCGAAGTGGATATGCCGATTTCAGAACCAGATAAGATCTAAGTGATGGCGATAAAGGCTACCAGTTGAACCCAGTGGTCATGGGCTATATGCATGCAAGTTGTAAGTTCACTCAAGTGCAAACGAGATACTTGCAAGGACATGAACTTTGACATTCGACCCGGCAATAACTGTCGGACTGTCCGTAGCAGCAACCGAATTTCGGAAGCACGGGCATTGGTGAGGATAGCGCCACGTCTTTTTTGAAGGTCCGTGTGCTGTTGAAAGAGCGGCGAAGAGAAGACGCATTGACCGGAGCAGAGCCAGGAGAGACAACGCTTCAACCTTTGATGGTGTCAAAGATGCATCCAGGCCCCTCTAAGACGGAAGACTTCGGCCAAGTGGTGCTTTACAGCTACACCGCCACACGGACCATCACGCCACCCGTCATACCCGCAGTGCCCTTCCATGCTCTGCAGAGAATTTTACTTTCAAGCTTTGTTCGTGCATGTGGCTGGCCAAGGAATCGAGCGGACGAACCAGAGGCTGGCAGGAAGCAACAAAGCCACCTCGCTGCTCATCTTACTTTTTGCAATTCATTCATATCCAACAAAGCGATCCCACCTTTGATGTAATATTTTAGGTCAATGACTTTAATATCGCCACCGCGAAAAGGCATAAGTCCGGAGGGGACTAATCGAAGCCAATTGGTCGTCGGAATGATGATACTGACGCAAATCACAGTGGCCCGTAAAGATCTCGTCGAAAGAGAAGCTCCTTTTCGCACAGGGTCTTGGTATGGTGGAGTTTTCTGAGAAAGGCCATGTCATTCGATGTGCTGATAGGCTGCTGCATCGACGTTATGACAGGTGACAGAGTGTCAAGCGAGCATTGAAGCGTGCAAAGCGACGCCTCATTTGTCCGTCGAGCAAGCAAAAATTACTCAAACAGGAAGGGTGCACGCACAAGACAAGGGCCATCGGCGCCACCTCGGGGGGCGGACCTCAGCCACGGCGGAAGACAAAGCTAGATCGCTGCCGGAGAGCGATTAATGGTACGTTGACGTAACCGAAACACTCTGAACGGGCGATGTTCAGGGTAGTAGTCAAGCGTGGGAGGCATCGACGAGCGAGTTGCTGGAGCTGGTAGAAAGAGCCGACAGCATAGCATCCCATCGGATCACCCGCATTCTGGGCAAAACAATGAGGGGTTGACAGTGAGGGGTCGGACGCCCTACTGTCTCCGATACAGCAAATCCGACGTTTCCGACAACATGTCACAGTGCAGCGGTCCATGGCGCACGTATAGCGACAGCATCAGGTGGAGCCGAACCGTGCGACCTTACAGTGCCCAGCTTGCTCGCCGAGTCATGCCCCACCGAGAAAAAGGAGGCGACTGAAAAGTGTTTCTGGTACCACTGGGAATTGGAGCCTTACATGTCTCCAGAGGGACAGGATCCGCGGCGCAATAATAACAATGCCATACGCTGCTTGCCAATGCCTTCTCACGACAACCAATTGCCTCAAGACGGCTTTCCATGCATTGGACAATCAGTCAACGGCGCATCAAAAGTCGTGCCGAAAGGTCGTGCCGCGCGGTTCTACCCGTTCGCCGTTCGCGCAACGCGCACTCTTACTCTTAAGATCTTCGTCGGTCCCCATTTCTGCTCAGTGCAGGTGCCCCACACCGCCCCCATCTCCCCAGACACCGGCCTGGGGTTCCGGCCATCGTTGCGCCTTATAAAACCACCTAGTCATGGCACTCTGGGACCCAGGCTTCTTGCTCCTTTCCTCCGCCTCCGCGACTCTTTTCCATCATGGGCTCTGATTCTGGCGCCCAAAGCTCCATTGAACATGAGCTCTCCGCCGTCCTTCCGAAAAACAACCGGCCATGGTGGAAACAACGTCACTTGCTAAAGCTCAATCTCAGCATTGGCTCCATCTTGATGTTTTGTACGCCAAAGCATTCGATCTTCTTTTTCTGTCCGACTAAACCTCTGTAGCATCGGCCAACGGCTTCGACGGCACGTTAATGAACAGTCTCCAAGCCCTGACACAATGGAATGAATTCATGAGCCATCCGACTGGAGCCTGGCTTGGCTTTATAAACGCCATCTACTGGCTGGGCGTCGGTGTTTGCTTCCCAGCAGCTGCCTTTGTCGCCAACAAATACGGTCGCAAGCCCGGCGTCTATGCTGGAGTCTTGTTTCTCATCCTGGGAACCGTTCTTCAAGCCGCGGCTCACAACACCGCTGCCTTTGTTGCCGCTCGCTTCTTCATCGGCGTAGCAGGTTCTTGGTTCGGCGCTTGCATTCCCGTCCTCATCAACGAAATCGCTTATCCCACCCACCGCGGCATTGTCAACGCCCTCTACAACTGCGGCTGGCATGCTGGTAGCATCGTTGCTGCCTGGGTTTGCTTCGGTACTCGAACCATGGATTCCTCCTGGAGTTGGCGCCTTCCCTCACTGCTCCAGATTGCGCTCCCCGCTCTGGCAACACCTGGTCTGATTGCTGTTCCCGAAAGCCCCAGGTGGTTGATCTCGATGGGCAGAACCGACGAGGCTAGGAGCATTCTGACGGCCTGCCACGGCGGCGGGGACGAGTCGTCTCCTCTCGTTGCCCATGAACTCGCCTCGATCGAAGAAGCGCTCAAGAGCGAGCAACAAGCCCTAGACACGTCGTCTTACGCAGATATGATCAAGACGCCAGGAAACCGCCACCGCTTGTTCATCAGCATCACTCTGGGCATCTTTGCGCAATGGTCGGGTAACGGCGTCGTCTCATACTACCTGGCCTTGGTGCTCTCGGCCTCGGGTATAAAGGACTCTACAGACCAGCTCCTCATCTCCGGATGCATGCAGATCTGGAATTTGCTCTTTTCAGTGCTTGCCGCCGTTTCCATTGATCGCGTGGGTAGACGATCGCTCTTCTTATCCTCGGCTGGTATCATGCTTGTCGCATACATTGTCATCACCGGCCTCTCGGCAGCATTCGAAAAAACAGGCACGGGATCAATCGGCCTCGCAAATGTCTGCTTCCTGTTTGTCTTCTACGCAGGGTGAGTAATCAATTTTCTGGAGACCAAATCCGCATGCTGACAGGATCAGGTACGATATCGCGTTGACACCCCTACTCACCTCATATCCCACCGAGTGTTGGGGCTTTGCGCTGCGAGCGAGAGGAAATGCCGTCACTTGGTACGCGACCGTCATTGCAATCTTCTTCAACACTTTCGTGAACCCAATCGCGCTCGATGCAATCGGATGGCGATACTACATCGTCTTCGTGGTCGTGCTCGTCCTCTACGGAATAACGGCATATTTCTGTTATCCGGAGACCAAGGGCATGACACTTGAGCGCATTGCGTTGATTTTTGATGGGGACAATGAGGTTCCTGAGACCTTGTCTGAAAGGAGCGTGGCGGTGGACAAAGGTGGTGCGCAGAATCAAGTCGAGGTAGTAGAGAGTAGAGAGAGCTAGGGATCGGTAAAAGTAATAATGTTCAGTGTTTGACCCTTCCACCGTCGAACAGTTCCGCTATCATTCAGCATCGTGACTTTTGACGGGACCAGTGATGTTCTACGATTAATCGAACTCATTGCCTCACCAAAACCATTGGAAGCGAGAGGCGCTGACTGGTAAAAGCTGGTGAAAGAAAAAGAAAAATGGCCTGACTACAAAGGAATATTGCAGCCAAAAGCTAGCGTGATTTTTCCCCCCTCACTCATGTTATGAGCGGTTGAAGCTATCGCCTGGACGTGAATGTAGAACTGTTAACTCCAAATTTACCCCCGGACAATAGCCTCCACTGTCCACATGTGTTGTTCTTTTGGTAAGGTATAGTGTCTGTATGGACTAATAGACTAATGCAGAAAATAGTGCGGAGTTAGCAGTTCCACACGGAGTTAGGAACCCCAGGCGGAGTTAGTGGATTCTGCTCCACAACAGCTGTGCCGCTGTGCTTACGCGCTAGAGCGGAATGTTTGCTATGAAAGATCAAGCTCGTCAGCGGCGGAAATGGTGCGAAAGACCGAGTCCACGAATTGGCCGAACACCGGGCTTAAGACAAGCCGAATGCGTCACAATGGTTTTGATGAAGTATAAAAGCCCCTTGATACCATTGTACAAAAACGACACTTCCAAACAATCCAAGACATTTACTCCAAACAACATTCATCATGTCTACTCACCTTGCTGCTGTTCTTCCTGGCAAGGGCTCCGCCATCAAGGTCGAGAGCCGTCCCACACCCACGCCCGGTCCCTCGGACCTCTTGATCGACGTGAAATCGATCGCAATGAACCCATTGGACTGGAAGCAGCAGCTCTCCGGCTTTATGCTCAGCAACGGCTACCCAACCGTGCTCGGGTCCGACGTCTCTGGCACCGTCATCGCCGCCGGCTCTGCAGTCACCTCCGACGCCCCCCAGCCTGGAACACGCATCGCCGCCTTCGCCCCTTGCTTCTTCACGCAGGGCCTCGCCGACTACGGCGCGTTCCAAACGCGCGTCCTCGTGCCGGCCGCCAACGCCGTCGCGCTGCCGGACCACGTCAGCTTCGACGAGGGCAGCACGCTGCCTATGGCCGTGGCGACCGCTTGGTGCGGCATGTACACCCTCGGCGTGCCGCGCGACACGGCCTACAAACCCGCCGACAAGCAGGCCCTCCTGATCTGGGGCGGGGCGAGCAGCATCGGCACCGCCATGATTCAGCTCGCGAACATGATGGGGTTCGCCGTCTACACCACGGCTAGCGCAAAGCACCACGAGTACCTGAAGACGCTGGGAGCGAAGAGGCTGTTCGATTACCGCGATGATGCGGTGGTGGAGAAGATCATCAAGGCGGTGAAGGAAGATGGTGTTACCCTCGAGCTCGGCATCGACGCTGTTGGAGCGCTCGACAGCTGCCTGCGGATCCTGAAGGAGTTGAATCCCAACGGAGCGAAGCTCGCGTCCGCACCGCCCCTCACTCCCGAGTCGCCCAAGATGGAGGGGGTGGAGCTCAAATTCGTTATGGGGCCAGACGATACCGACAAGCTGTCGGACTTCTTCCATTTCGCCTTTAACGTCTGGCTCAAGAAGAAGCTGGAGGCTAAGGAGTTCGTCCCGAGTCCTAAGGTCAAGGTTGTTGAAGGGGGGTTGAACTCCGTGCAGGCTGCGTTGGACGAATTGAAGGCTGGTGTGAGTGGTGTGAAGCTGGTACTTCAGGTTTGATGATGAGTGTGCTTAGAAGTCCTTCATGACTTACGATGTGCGTAATGTTGAGTCATGGTTCATGACGTTGGCTCTTTTCTTTTTTTAATAAAAAAGCATTCTCCCATAAGATTACCGATGTCATCGTGTGCAGAGAGCGAGGCTGGGCGACGATGCTCATATTGCTTGGAGTGAGCATCGACGTAAGCGAATTTCCGTACTTGGGTAGTCCGACTCGCTTGCTGCCATGTCCACGAAACTACACACCGAAGGCCAGCCACGAGGCATGGCAAAACAATGAGGATGTCAGCACGACTTGACAGTACAGGTGCTGAGTATGAGTAGAAGAAGAAAAAAAGAAAGCTTAATGGGTCTTGCCGCGGATCTGGGGAGCTGTTAGTTGTTGATACTGGAATTTGGATTCGAACAGATGAACTTACCGAACGCGGGGCCTCTCGCAAGCTACTCAGGGTTCGCCCTAAGCGAGAATCATACCACTAGACCACAAGACCTTGTGCTTTTGTGATGGAGAGGGCGCTGGAGTGAAGGGATTATGTCTGTGTGCGCGTAGCGAGAAGGGCCGGACGCCGGGCCAGATCCGTGCCCACTGCCCCACTACACTTTCCTCCCCACCGGATTGCGTTGACAGAAGTGAATTTTGGTTTAGAGTAGCCGCAGTTGCAAGGTCAAAGTCCGGTGCGTCCTCTCTAGGCTGTGATCCAAGACACCAAGCATATCCCGTGCTCTTCAAGAGAGTACCATATCAGTCGCCGAAGGAAGGTAATCTCGTTCTATCGTATTCTTCAGATCTTCTAGTCGTGTAATGCCATCATTTCCGCCTTGAGGCCAGTCTCTTACAGTCGGTCTTCTAGCCATCTTCGTCAAGCAAAGACCTCTTCATGTAGCCACTTTGCGACCTCTGCATGCATTTGCTCCGTCCGCCTCTTTGCAACTCTCTTGGTCTCCCCGAAATTCACAAACTGATTGAACCCATGCGGCTGTCTCAGCACTTTCTCCCATCTAATATTCTTGGTGCGCCAACCGGCCTCTCCCTCAGCCCTCTTCACACCCTCGCCCTCTTCAGCAGCCAATTTCTCGGCCATCCGCTCGGCCTCATCGCAGAGCATATCCAGCTCGCAGCCAATCAGACAGATCTTCTTAGGCAACTTGGATCTAGGGGCAAACGTGGGGCTGATCAAGGGATCGCGCAAGTCCTGACCCTCACGCACGTAACTCCAGCGCACCCATCCGAAATTCTGGTTGGGCGCATTTCTGGCTATGGACTGTGCACGTGCCACCCTGTCGGCATGGTCCAGCGAGAAGTCGGTAACGGGATAGAAGGACACGGCTCCCTTGATGCGGCCAGTCTCGGCCAGACCTCGCAGCTGGCAGGCGGCGAGACACAGGTTCCCGCCCGCCGAGTAGCCGGAGATGGCGACGCGGGAGCGGTCGACGGGCAGAGCTTGGTCGTCCAGGATCGCTTCGACCAGGGCGACGACGTCGTGGACCTGGTTGGGGAAGCGGGAGCGCGGGGCGAGGCGGTAGCCGATGTTGGCCACGGCGATGCGGTGATGGCGGGCGTAGTGCAGAGCGTCGGAGTCATCGACGACGGGAGCGCACAGGGCGAAGCCGCCGCCGTGGACCGAGATCAGGAGAGGAGGGGGTGATGAGCCATGGGCGGAAGGAGAGGGTGGGAGGAAGATGCGGACAGGGGAGTGCGGGGCGCATGGATAGGTTTTGGTAAGCGACGGGCGTGGTCGTAAGCCCAGGAAGGACAGCAGATGGAGCAGGGTGGTGTAGACGCGCACGATGGCCTTCAGGGTCCAGGTGGCGCAGAAGTCGGCCAGGTTTCGGGGGAAGCGGATCGGCGGCGACGGCAGGGGGTTGGGCGAGAGCAGCGGTTGGGATGCATCGTCAGCGTCGGGCATGGCTGATTGTCTGATGATGCGGACTCGGGTTCGGGGTTGGGTGGTGATTAAGGTGGCGCGGATGTGCGTGATGATCGGAGATTGACCAGGCTCAAAGTCGGACTTGTCGCACCGCAACAACGTCCTACTTGTCCGTCCCGAAAGACATGGTTGTTAGGCTATTTACATGCTTTTAGGTATGCAGCAGGAAATTGACGATGAAAATAGGAATATTAATTAATCGTCTAGAAACGCTATGGTACGTTTCGAAACTGGTGGCGCTGCCTGCCAATTTGAGGGCGACTCTCTCAATACGCGAAGCAATTCATACATCCGTTCGTCGAGTGACCGCATGAATTACACCAGTTGGAAGGACTGCCGCCGTCCCAGGTCGAGTCGCAGCTACAGCACACCCACGGCATCTTGATGCAGGCGGGCGGGCTGTTGAGGGGATTGAGCACGCTTTGGTTATCTTGGTAGGCTTCTTCTGCGGGGCTGAAAGCGCCAGGTATTGTGGGGAGCTGCGGACCAGATGTCCATTGTCGGACGACAGGCGACGTCTTTGTATACCTGACCGACAGCGACATGTGTCTCTCTATGTGTGTGACCACGGTGGATCTGCACGCCAGCAGAAAGTCGTTAGCGCACGAAGGGAACAAAGCGCCATCCAAAGTGTTGGTGATCCAGTTGAGCCATCGGCTCTGGCTTGTGACACGTACATGTTGGCACTAGAGCAAAAAGACGGAGCCTGGAGATAGCGGATGACGTTCTGTGGAATACGTGGCTGGGAAATGGAAAGGTCGTTGAAGCTGCGGGTCAGAACAAGGGAAAGCTGCAAGGAGATGGGTATACAAAAGGCACGCAGAAAGTCCAGAAGAGGGAACCGACGCCAAAAGAGCAGATGTAGAGACTGATAGAGACCGAGGAACAGCAGGGTTTGGAGTTTAATAGTCATTTGAGGGCACGAGAGCGAGAGATTCGAAACAGGGTCCTATGATGATCAGCAATCTAGTAATCAACGTTGGTCGAGGGCGCATGTAGTGACGGTGCAAGCCGGGGCTCGAGAAGGAGCCAGGACCATGCCCAGCACGTGGAGGGGCACCTGAGCGTTGCGCGTGGCAGTGGGCCGCCGGAAGGGGCGATCAAAGGGGCTGTGAGGCTCGGCCGCGACTTTGTCCGTGCGAGAAATGATCTCATCTGCCGCTGCCCGTCTTCCCGCCCAAAACACCACGCTCCCCCAAGTCCGCGTCATGCCGCCCGCACGCCCCATCCTGCACGCCATTGGCAGTCCCGCCTTCATCTACGGCACCGCCTGGAAAAAGGATGCCTCGGCGAAGCTTGTCGCCGACGCTTTGGCCGCGGGTTTCGTGGCCGTCGACACGGCTGCCCAGCCGCGCCACTATCAAGAGCATCTCGTCGGCGCCGGCATCCGCGATGCCCTCAAGGCGAATGGCCTCGCACGAGACCAGATCTATGTATGCGCTTAGAGCCAGGGAGCCCGAGTTGACACACCTAATGCAGCCCACAAGGTTCAAACAAAATTTACATCGCCAGCCGGCCAGGACCTGAACAACATGCCCTACTCGCCCGAGGATCCCATCGCCACCCAGGTGCACACCTCGGTCAAGTCGTCACTGCTGAATCTGCGCCCGACTGACGACGAGAGCGGCTCCGGAGCTTCGTACATCGACTGCCTGCTGCTCCACTCTCCGCTGCCCAACATCCGCCAGACGCTTGAAGCGTGGAGGACGCTGGAGACGTACGTGCCGCACAAGATCCGCCATCTAGGTATTTCGAACGTGTCGCAACCCATCCTCGAGGTGCTCTATCGGAGCTCGACGGTCAAGCCTGCTGTGGTGCAGAACCGCTTCTACGCCGCCACCAGCTACGATGTGTCTCTCCGCGAATTCTGTCGCGAGAACGGCATCGTCTATGAGAGCTTCTGGACGCTGACGGGCAATCCCCAGCTGCTGCAGTCGACTCCTGTATTCATGCTAGCTCAATTTGCCGGCGTCAGTGCTGAGGTTGCACTGTATGCCCTGGTCATGGCCGTGGATGTCGTCGTCTTGAACGGCACCACCAACGCCGATAGGATGAAGGAAGACCTGGAGGGCATCAAGAAGGTCCAGGAGTGGACTAAGACGAAAGATGACACCTGGAATACTATTCTAGGGGACTTCAAGCACATGATTGGAGACGGCGAGGATATGGACGAGTAAAAGGGAAAATATGGAAGTTGGGAAATGCCAAAGCTATCCAATCACGCCCATTACCTCTTATTCCCGGGTCGAGCATTGTCATAGATTGTAGCCGTCGTGCTAGGTAAGACAGCGTTATGCACGGCCCGAAGAAGCAAAAGACATGCTAGGCATTCAAATCGATCTTCATTTTCTACCGCATTGATGACGTGACGGCAGATCAAGTAATCTTGGGCGAAAGGAAAAGAAAAAAAGACAAGTTCGAGAGAACGGTGGTCGCCCAACAAGTAGGATGGGTGAAATCAGTCCATCTATATCGGTGAAACACAGAGACATCTGTTCTATGCAGTGTCAAGTGAAGACTGGAGTAGTTTTTGGCGAGCGTCGGATGCATTCCCAAAACTGGTATGGCGGCTTTACGGGTTCTGCCACCGCCTCCGGGCTGCGCGTTCCAAAAGTTTCTCGAGCGGCCACGACCTGAGCCGCCGTCGTCAACCGCCGTGCAACTTGCCAAAATGCCGTCCATTCACAACAGAGACAAGCCATGGGATACCGATGACATTGACAAGTGGAAGGTACGCCCCCCATGCTATTTCTAGTCCGCCCGCGCCCTCTGACATTGCGCGCAGATCGAGGAGTTCAAACCTGAGGACAATGTCGGCGGCACCTTCGCCGAAGAATCCTCTTTCGCAACCCTCTTCCCCAAATACCGCGAAGTCTACTTGCGCGAAGCATGGCCCGTCGTTACGCGCGCCCTCGAGAAGCAGGGCATCGCCTGCACCCTTGATCTCGTCGAAGGTTCCATGACCGTCAAGACCACCCGCAAGACCTACGACCCGGCCGCCATTCTCAAGGCTCGCGACCTGATAAAACTTCTCGCCCGTAGCGTTCCCGCGCCCCAGGCTCTCAAGATTCTCGAGGATGGCCAGGCCTGCGACATCATCAAGATCCGCAATTTGGTTCGCAACAAGGAGCGCTTCGTCAAGCGTCGCCAGCGCATCCTCGGCCCCGACGGTAGCACCCTCAAGGCTCTCGAGCTGCTCACCGGATGCTACATTCTGGTCCAGGGAAACACCGTCTCGGCCATGGGCGGCTACAAGGGCCTGAAGGAAGTGCGCCGTGTCGTGTTGGACTGCATGGCCAACATCCACCCCATCTACCACATCAAGGAGCTCATGATCAAGCGTGAGCTCGCAAAGGACCCGACCTTGGTCAACGAGAGCTGGGATCGCTTCCTGCCCAACTTCAAGAAGCGCCACACGTCCAAGCGTCGCGTTCCGCACAAGGTCACGGACAAGAGCAAGAAGGTCTACACTCCCTTCCCGCCGCCCCAGGAGAAGAGCAAGGTCGACCTCCAGATCGAGAGCGGCGAGTACTTCCTCGGAAAGCAGGCCAAGGAGCGCAAGGAGAAGGAGAGGAGAGAAGAGGCCATGCGGGAGAAGATGGAGGAGAAGCGGAAGGCCCGTGCCAAGGAGTTCGAGGCTCCCAAGGAGGATGTGGGCGGCAAGGAGAAGAAGCGCAAGAGGAAAGAGGAAGACGGCGAAAAGAAGAAGAAGAAAAAGAAGAAGGCATCGGATGAGAGTGATGATTAAGTCCTGGCGTTGTCGCTGCGAAAAAAAATGGGCATTTGCATTGGCGTTTGGGGATATCCAGGTGCTCAGTAGGTATTTTTTTCTGCGAATTTTCCGCAACCGATCAAGGATGGGTCAATCATTTCATTGTTCTTTGCGCAATTGCCCATTCAATGAACCATGAGCATTGGACTTGTAGAAAAGGCCGCAATAAACCAGAGTTTGTCTTCTCTGGATTCTGCTACGGAACCGAGTTGCAAAAATTTATGCTTTCTAAGCAACCTCACTACTAACGAAATCGCCCAACCAACAACTGTCACAGGACGGATCTGGATGCCTGAGGTTCTAGATACCTGAGGGTTCAGATACCTCAGGCAGATAGTTAGTCTCCTCCATCATTCATGCATTCGACCACGACGGATCCCGTTCCATCATATCGTAATCCTGTGTATATCAACAACGCATTTACTACTAGTTCTCGAGGTTGGAGAGTCAAATTTGCGGAAGTCATGTCGGAATGCATTTGTACACATCTACGTCCAAATATTTACTTCAACTCCCTGCGTAAAGGAAAGATCAAAGCCTCGCTAAAACACATCAAACCAACTGCATCTCGAACGACTCAACGAGCACAGAGCCACCGAGAGCCTGGGTAGCGAAGTTGAAGATGCCAAAGCGGTAGCCGATGAAGTACTGCCAGGCCGTGTTCATGGTGAAGACGGGGCCCAGAGTAGTGAAGGTTTCGCCGTCGGTGCTGTACGAGAAGACGCCCTGCTTGGTGCCGGCGGGAGCGATGTCGGCCTCGACTCTCAGGTAGACCTTGGTGCCGGAGATGTCGGCGGTCGCGACCTCGGAGCCGGTGCTGTTGGTGTTCCAGCTAGAGTCCATGGTGATGTCGTCCCACACGGCCAGCCTGGTGGCACCGGCGTCCTTGACGATGCCGATCCAGGCCGACTGGTCGCGGAAGAGGGACAGGCCGGCGCGGTCGCCGTCGGCCATGGACGAGAAGTCCAGGACGATGGTGCCGGAGGACGCGGGACCGATGATCCTGTGCGTCAGCGTGTTGCGGGCGGCGTACAGGTCGTCGGTTACAGTGGCCGTCTGCAGCCGCAAGCCTCCGTCAAGGGACCACTTGGTGTTGTCCGGGTTGTGGTTCCACTCCCACTGGTGGCTCAGCGACGAACCCGAGAAGGTGTCGATGCCGACCGGAGACTCGACTTCCCGCGGCGGCGTAGGCACGTTGGGAGATGGGTACGTCTCGCCCCAGGCGCCGTTGACGAGCTCGACCGTCGGCCAGCCCTCGTCGTCGAAGGTGATGGGCGCGAGGACGGGCATGCGGCCGCCCGGGTACGCGTCGATGAAGGACATGTAATACCAGTCTCCGTTGGGCGTGTCGACGATTCCTCCCTGGTGCGGAGCCCCGGCGCTGGCTACGGGGGCGCCGACGCGGTCCACCAGATACCTCCCCTCGTAGGGACCGAACGGCCCATCATTGGACATCAACACATACTCTGCGTCCGGAGGCCGAGTTAGGAAGATATAATGGCGCCCATTAATCTTGTACATTCGTGATCCTTCAATGTAGCCCGGGTTCGAGGGTGACTCGTAGACGACCTGGTTGCTGACTTGGGTGGTGCCATCCGCCGACAACTGGGCGACGTTGATGTTTGTGCTTCCGTACGCAACATACATCGTATCGTCATCGGGATCAATGAAAAGGCCGGCGTCATAGTAGCAGTTGTCAATGACGGCGTGCTTGCTCCATTCCCCGGATGGGTCCGAAGCTGTGTAGATGTGGGTCTTGAGGTCCGACCGGATGCAACCACCCCAGTAGAACAGCTTATTCGAGGGCCGATAGTTGCAGAACGACGCCCAAATGCCCTGCACGTATGCTTGGCCGCCGTTGAGATCGTACGCGTCTCCGAAATCCAGCGTGGGGACGCTGTGGCCGATGAACTCCCAGTTGGCGAGATCGTACGAACGCAGGATCGGCGCGCCAGGCGAATACGCCATCGTCGAAGCCGAGTAGTAGAATGTATCGTCTACCCGGAAGATGTCGAGGTCCGCAAGATCCTCCCAGAGGACCGGGTTAGTGAAGTCGGCCACGGCCACGGCCGCGGCGCCGCCCAGGATCATGACGGCCCTCTTGGTGAAACTTCTGGATGCCATGACGATTGTTACCGGTAGGATGAGCCAGGTGCTGGGTGCTGCAAGGTACCGCAATCTCCACAATATATATGCTGGGGCCAAGACATGATGGACTTCTCAAGTACGAACGAGGTCACATTACCCCATTAACCGGCGCCTTTTTACATTAACGAACATCGGCAATAAGACCGATCCACCGCGACAGAGTATTCGGGGCATAGGAATTGCCGAGAGCGGAAGGCCAGAGCGAAGGTGCCAAGGCGTACCTTTTTCCCCTGTGGAACCCACCAATAGGACCGCGAGGCCGTGTATATGGTCCGGTGGGAGACTTGCGGACATCCCACACGCATTAAACTTCACCGACCAGGTGTGGGACTGACCGGAACAGGTTTTTATTGTCTCACAAGTCTACCCCGCACCAAGGTTTATTTTTAGCCGTCTTGGGTCTGAGCTTTCCGCCCAACTTGGTTCCCCTTCACCCAAACCCACCAGGTTGCCTATGCTTCATACGTAGGCTATATCTATACACGTACAAGAAACACACATACACTTGGGAAAGAAACCCGCAAGGCAAAATTGTACAGGCCCTCTTCCAAGCATGTTTCGTTTGAAGAAACCAGTACAGAGAGAAACAAGATCGCGTAAACAAACTCGAGACATCCTTAAAATAAATATAAATGTTATTCTCTAGAAAGGTATTGCGGAATTTCCATCCGTAGCCTACTCGCGTCCACAAGGACAAGGGTCATATTTACAGTTAAACGACCTCGGATCTACGAAGTTTCCGTACCGACATAAGTATATTGAAAGCCCGACTATACAGAGGGATATTACAGCCAAAGGCTAGCGCGAAGGATAGCAGGGCCCGTAGAAAAAGAGGCCACTATGTCTCAGCAATTGACATATGTGGGTAGTTGAGGCTATCGTCCGGATGTGAATGTATAATTGTTAATTCGACATTCGCGTCCGGATGATAGCTTCAACTGCCTACGGCATGAGCAAAATATCAAGTAACACTAGCCTTAAGCTACAGTAGCTTTCTATACTGTGTATACGTGCAACGACCCCATGCATGATTGGCCAATCAGTGTGTAAGCGCCGCATCCTTGCGTGCCTCGATGATCTTCTACCCCGCTCCCGTCAGCCTCGCCTTTTTAATGACACGACACGAAACCATCAAAGATCAAACGCCCCTTCAGAATCCAAACGAAGAGCCGTCTTTGACTTCTTGCATCATCCTTCGGTCGCTGAAAGACGCCGGTGCCGCCGCCTTTGCGGGAAAAGGAACGAGGCGAGGAACGCGCCAAATGAGATACAAGGCGGAGCTGATGTTACCACCGCAAAACCGCTTAACCCTGGATGCTGTTGTGCTGACAGTAGCATAGCGGAGAACCCTGCAAGCAGTAAAGTTGCCAGTATATACCTGCAGATGTTACTACTGAGAAAAGAAAAGAAAGAGCTCAACAGGGCACTTACAGTTTAGCGTGTGAAAGTCGAATGCAATACATGATCATGTATAGCATCGTCAGAACAGCCCACTGACTGAAGAAGCTATGGGGGTCGTAGGTTAGTATGGATGAGGCCATCCTATGCAGAAGCAACACTCAGTACTCACAACCAGCAGAGGCGAACGGAAATTGTCGCCTCGTTTCTCAACGCAACCCACACCACGCTAGTCATGGCCATGAGGGCCCCAACTAGTGAAGTCGCCGCATAACGCACAATTTCGGCTACCAAATTCAGAAACGAACCGTTCGTGGGGCGTCTATGAACGGCCTCCATCTTCGGAGACGTATGCACGAACGAGAGAGAGTCTTGGGGGGGACAGTTGAAAATAACGAGCACTGTGTTTATCATGAAATCCAGCGACCATACGCTAGACGGAGAAAGACTGAAAGGATATTGCTTGGGTGACGCAATATTTTAAGAGAGCTACCGGTGTGCCCTGCGTTACCATGGCATAGCCCGCAATTCCTCGGATTGACTCCCCTAAAGCCAGTTGAACCAACCACCAGCATCGAATACTGCCTTGCTGCGCCCATTTTCTTCTTCACTTCTTCCAGGCTGATACTGACAGTCCGCACAATTTGGTGGCGCAGTGTTTGCACGACCAGGCTGAATGCCAGCCTTTCCCCCCTTCCTTTTCTTTCCTTCAAAAAAGAAACCCCTCATTGAAAACTGCCTCGTCTGACGGGCTCTGTCTGCCTTGTCACTTATCTTCCTCTCCTTCACGCCACAATAGGGTCTGCCTTGCCGCTGGCGGTGTTGGCCCTCGACGCCTGGGCTTGGGGGCGGCCTTCGAAAACCAACACCGCCTCGCACAGTCACACCCGCTAAGGCAGCGCCGCCTGTTGGAATGCACATTGACTTTTTCGCTCGAAGCCTTCCTGGCCATGGCTGTCAGACTGAGGTCTGAACCTGAGTTATAAAGCCATCCTTCTCCCACAAACTGCCGCTATCCCTACCACCCAAACAATTCACCAACCGGTTCGCATCCTTAAAGCTACCGTTCAACACTTTCCAACATACACCAGCAAGCCTCATCTGAGGTTCTTGGAACTCAAGTCCATCAACGTGCCTTTTCCACACAACAACTCCGAAATACTTCATCTCGCACCCAACGCTTTCTATGGTTCTACGGTTGTAAGTACCTCGTTCCCCAATGCTGCGTTGACTGTGGCGGCTAACGCAAGATCGATTCCAACATTCCAGCAGACCATGAATGATGAAGATGAACATCTGGAGCCTCTCAAACGCCAGCGTACACACTCAAACAACGCCATTCTCCGAGTTTGTACAGCAATATTGATGCTGCTCTCGAGCTTGACAGTTGCAGTGTCCGAATTTGAGAGGATGCCTACTATGCCCAATGTGCTCCACACGCATTCTTCCGATGCGGCTACTGCATCATTGGTCGCCCATGCCAAATGGCCTGCGGGAGTCATTTACATGGTTACGGCAACTTTTCTTCACTATCTGAATTGGCACATCCCGTGGCGCGACCATCTCCTGGCGGTTGCGTTGATTGTGAGCGCATTATCAGGCCTCTTTCTTGGCTTTGATTTGCAAACAATCCTTTTCGTTCCTCTCCAACTTGGAGTGATGGTTTGCCTCGGTTGCAGCACTGCTTGGTCTTGCTGCTACTGCAAATATGGGCCAAAACCTTGGTGGGCGACGGCAGAAATTCACTTGCACCGGGAACAACAAACTGGGAACACTGGGGAGCTTCCGAGCCTTGCGGGTTGGGTGTCGCATGTTGAAAATGCTGTTGCATGTGCACACCCGAGTGCCGACCTCACTCAAAAATCATTCGCCAATGATGGAGAGGCAGTCAGTGCCGAGAAAAGAGGGTGGGCAACATGATAGTTTAGCCTTCCTTTCTCCGTATCCCTTCCCCCCTCCCTTCTCTTCATCCTGAGGGCCTTTCACTGTGCTACGGGACAGGTGGTGCAGGTGAGAAATTGTTGAAAGCTTGGTGTAGACACCAGAGTTGGTACATAAGTAGATTAAACGACGTGAATCGATTTTCTACCATGAAAGTGCAATAAGGCCTCTCTAGAATTGTCCTCCTCGCACTTGAATCCCAGCTGCAACTCTTTGCAAACCACTTCGATCTCTCATTGCAAAATGCAAGCGTTTCCTTCAAGCCCAATGAGTATTGAGCAGGAAACCATGTCGCTTTCATGATGAAGAAAGATCAGAACAAGGTTCGCAAGTCTTTGAGGAGACTCATTTATACAGCTGAAGCAGGCAAGTCCGCCTGGTCCGCCTCAACCTTGCAAATTACTAGGCTACAGCCTGTCTACTTTGGGCTCACCGAACATTGTCTTGCAGCCTCGCATGTGTCGTGCATAGCCCAATTTGGATGCATGTTCCAATTCAGCCGCGCGAGTCAAAGTGCGCCTTGCCAAAGTGATGATGCATTGTCGCTGCGCGCCCTGCTGGGCTCAATGGCAGAAACAGCGCACCGCTCGGCGGTGGTTGATCCAAGAATTTTTAGAAATTCCTGTTTCAAACCAGTTTCTCGACCATGTTGCTCACACATCAGGTGTTGGTCGCTGAAGGGCTGATCAGCCGAGCCAAGGGACTTGGGTCCGGGCTGGGGCTTGTCGCGCCTTATCAACTCCGAAGCTCAATGGAGAAATACGAATTCCCCGGACCAACAGCTTCCCCAGATGCTGCGGTGCGACTGGTCAGAGGGAACTGTCATGATTCAAAGTCGAGGATCATTTGGCTTTCGCACAGCAGCACAATCACGGTGTGCTCGTATATAACCTTAAACTATCGATGTGCACGGTGGTTCGACCAAGCCGGCGCACGAGTATGTAGGGGTCAGCCTGATCAGCCATCCCGAGTCGGGCCGCATATACGGAACGCCGCTCTGCCGCCCATGTCCCGATTAGGAAGGAGTTGCACGTCTCGAAGCTGTGCCACTGACGAGAGGCTGTCATGAGGCTGAAGCACTGTGCCGCCGGTCGACGTCATGAGATTGTAGGGCGACGGAGTCATGAAAGCTTGGCGTGGTGTTGAGGCCAAGAGCACTAATGTTTCGAGCCGTCCGCGTCATGTCATTGGCTCATCTGATGTGTAGCTGCAGGTATTCATAGATAGCGAAACACATTACATGTAGCTGTTAAGTGTCTGAGCCGTGCACAGGCTTCACGATAGATATCAAGTAGCTGCAAACCACAGGACCGCCAAGATGGAACAAATTAAAGGCCTCTGGTCACGTCATTAACTCGGCTAGCTTCCATCACAGCAACAATTTGTTAATGAGACCCACGTGCTCTATCTATGTTGCAGTTTTGTGAGAGTTTACGCTACAGTCAGACCAACACTGAGTCTTCCAATCAGCTTGGCGGAAACGAGTTTAATGTAGTGTAGGGCTTTCTTTCGATGCTAACCACGCTTGTTCAAGCGAATGGCACGAGCCGCATCATGAAATCCTTGGCGGGCTTCTATGACACTTGCCACCGGAGTTTCCCAAAGAGCTTCGGTGAAATCATGGTAACCGCCGAGAGAGCCAATACCACAGAAGATAACGGAACTTGAAGAAATGCCACGAGAGACTGGCGTACATACGTAGTAATTTCGTAGATTCCTTTGGGCGGGAAGATTTCTAGGCGCGGCTTCTTGAGCTAGTATTCCCCGTCTTTGCGTCCGTATAACCATTGCCCTTCAGAACGCCTCGTAAAGAGCCCGGAGCCATACAAGAACAAGCTCCCAACGGTTTGGTCCCTTTGAAACGCAGGTTCCGGCAGTTCGCGGTAGTCGAACCTGGAGCACCCCACAGTGGAAAACGCCGCCAGTTGTACCTCATTTACATCAACACGAACCGTGCGCTGGGGATACGATGCGTCAGTGCTTCACCAGCTGTTCAGTAGCATCTTGGCGATAGCGACGGACTATGAACACCAAGCGCTAAGGAGCCCTCGTGTCATCAAACGTCTCTCCCATGACACGCACCGCCGACTCGCGTGGGCGGCATTGCAGCTGTAGTCACATCTCCTGACTGTGTGGAAGGCCTTCTGGATGATATATAAAGCTCGACCAGCAGTAGGCTACAGGAACCATCAACAGCATCTCCAATCTTCCAATCCTCCACCACAACCTACACTATCAACCACCCGGTTACCCACACAATCCAGCAAAATGAAGTTCAACACCGCCATGGTTGCCCTCGTCGCCGGCCTTGCTGCCGCAGCTCCGGCCCCCAAGAACGACGAGCACGCCGCCCTCGAGAAGCGCATTGACCCTATCACTGCTGGTATCATCAGCGGTGCCGTCGTGACTGCCATTGTTGGCACCGCGTCCGGTGTGGCTGTCGGTTCCATCAACAACATCCTGCCTGCCCTCAGCACCTGGGAGCAAGTGCGTGAGCAGTTCACCAAGAAGACCGTCGCCGAAATGTGGGCTCGCAGGCCCAACAACAGGGTCGCTGCCATCTGCTACGTAAGTAACCCCTTACTCTCTGATCTCAGCACACAACTGACGATACGCAGAACATGGGCTACTCCGTCTCCAAGCCGAAGCAGGTCACTGAGCTGGCGTCTGTGAAGATCTCTTCTGGTCTTCTCAACACTGACTACGATTGCTTCTTCATGCAAGGGTTAGTTCACCGTTCGCCATGCTGGAAATTGTAAATACTGACGGATGTGCAGCCCCGATGCCCGCTTCAAGCCCCAGGGCGATGGTGGCTACATCAACTTCGCTGCTATGCACAACAACGCCCACTGCACCTACAACAAGGGTGAGATCTACTGCAAATAGGTGCGCTGCAAGCCTTTGCAGGCTAGGTCGCCTAGGATGGGTTCGAGGTTTCCGTACAGATTGGAGAACAGAGGCGCCTTTCAACGGCTTTGTACATGAACGTTACTTGTAGATATTTTCATCTTCTGCAATTGAAATATTCTTAAATTTGATAGTACTGGTGAAATTAAAGGGTAGTATTACCATATAAAATTGGAGTTGCAGAGGAGCATCACAGCCGAACGCTAGCATTGCCATGGGTGGTTGAGTGTCACATACAAGTCCAGGCGATAGCTTCAGCTACCCACATATGGTGTTTCTCTTGGGGGGAAAAAAAAGGAAGAGAGGAAAAAGAAAGGGCTGAGTCAGATTTATGCCTGAGGAAGAGTTATTCTTTACATCAGCTTTCGGCTGCAGTACCCCTGAGTGGTGATGTTGCAGTAGTGTCGCCAAGAAATGGGTCAGTATCTGCACAACACTTGCGGAAAACGTTGCTCTAACCCACGGTTACCAATCAGAAGTGAAATTTATGACTGATTTACACAATGCGGCTAGCGTTATTCGGAATTGCACATCTCAGCACGCAAGTCTCGGCATTCCCGAGGGTTGATCGCCTGGACGTGCGCCATTCCCGGAGCTGCACATCTACCAGAGCTTTAACGGGAATAAACTTTAGACATGACGCTCGGGATAGCCGAGTAAGTCCATTTATAGGGACTAGATAATGTAAATCCTGGCCAAAGCTGAAATGCGGGGGACCTGGTGATGCGGCCCTGACACAACAGGCAAGGGCTGTGAGGCTTGACGAAGGCTTGACAAGTGCCATCCTCAACCCTGCGATTGCGTAATCATCCTGTCTCAGATCAGACATGGGCCCCAAAGCTCCAAATCCGGACCCTTTCTCCAGTAGTTAGCTGCCCTCTTGCAGGGGGGTTAACAAAAGAATTTGACATCTCCCAAACTTTTCCGCTCGAGATAGATATCCACTCACGTAGGCAGTTGAATCCAAATGTCTGGATGAACAATGCACATTTACATATACTCTCCAACTGCCCACGTATGAAAAGTGTAGCGTCCTTTGCGATCTTCTGTAACCAATTGTACTCCCAGCGCCCGGCTCAGCACTCCTCGCTCAATTACAGATCCAGTACCAACACCAATCTAACACCAAGTCGCCAACAATACCTTCTACCTGAATATCCATGTGTGAAGAAAACCATACAAAAGAACAACCCAAAAAAAGTGCTACTACAGCCTCCACCTGAACGCAGGATGGCGCCAGTCCAAGTCCTGAATAGTCTTCTGATCCAGACCAGCCAGCTCAGCATCAACATCACGTTTGTCCCGCTTCTTATTGTCTGCAACCATCCAGAGTAGCAAGAGAATCGAGAGGATGAAAATGGTGCTGGAAGTTGCGAGGTTGAGGCCATTTCCAATATGATAATCGGGCCCGTCGAATGGCAGAAAGCTCCAAGTTGCCACCAATCCGCCAATATTTCCGCTCATAACATTGGTTCCAATTGCGGCAGAGCGTGCGGAATCAGAGACGACGTTGGCCGAGACCTGGGCATTGCAGAGAGCGCCAAAAGCAAAGGCACCGCTGGCGATTAGGAAGGTGGCACCGTAGCGAACCTTTGCGGTATCAGTGGCCAGGAACATCATATAACCGACCATCATGAAGGGGGCGGAGACGATGAAGAAGGCATTGCGCTTGTCGAAGCGCCAGCTCAGATAAGGAAAAAGGAGGGTGAAGAAGGCGCCGACAATGTAGGGCGGGACAGTGTGAAGCTGCTGGGAAATAACCGTGTCGGAGGGATAGATGGTCTTGACGATGGTGGGAAGGAAGAAGGCCAATCCCGAGACGGTGATGTTGTTGAGCAGGAAGATGAAGGAGGTCGATATGGTAACGGGACTGAAGATGCCACGGAGGATTTTTGTAGTATCCATCTTGTCGAGCACCTCGGTAGCACCCACGCGCTCCGACTTGACGCGTGCAATGGCCAGGTCTTTCTCCTCCTGAGTGAGCCACCTGGCAGTTTCTGGGCGATCGGTGAGGGTGAAGAAGGAGATCAAAGCCAAGCCGATGGTGATGATTCCTTCGATGGCAAAGATCATACGCCATTGGTGGAGACCGCCGAAGTGATCAAGCTTGAGGATGGCGGAAGCCAACAGGCCTCCGAAGGCACCGGCCAGAGGAGCCATGACGATGTACTGGACCAATGTCAGCGAAGTGAGAGACTGCGGACGTGGGCTTGGCATACCAGAGACAAGCGAAAAGCCAACTCGCTGCGACGGTACCATCGAGACAGATAGTAGGCGATGCCCGGCAGCATTCCGGATTCAAAAGCACCCAACAAGAAGCGTACGCCGGAGGCGCTGTGGATGTCGTGGACAAAAGCAGTGCAAACGGAGCAAATGCCAAAGCCGAGCGAGATGGAAGGAATGAACCAACCGGGGCCAAGCCACTTGCAGCACACGTTGGAGGGAAGCTCAAAGACGATGTAGGAAATGTAGAAGACGGTCAAGAGGAGGTTGTAGTCGTAGCCCTCGAGGCCAAGGTCCTTCTCAAGCCCGGCCAGGCGCGCATTGCTGGAATAAAGTCAGATCACATGCGTCTCTGCCGCCGGGTGAGGGGCCGTTACCCTATGTTGGCGCGGTCGATGAAGCAGAAAAGATACAGGAACGCGACGGTCGGAATGATGTAGAGGTCGAGTTTCCATCTCAAGCGGGACTCGGCCTTGGGATCGAAGGTGATGATGGCGTTGCCGTATCTGATTGGCGGTTAGCAGGCAACGGATAGGCGCGGATTGGGAGGACGCACCTGTCGGTGGCCAAATGACCGCGCTCGGCGGCTTCGGGGAAGCCCTCATCTTTCAGGGTCTCGTGGTGCTCGACAGCGGGCTTGTCGTCGAGGGCGGCCATTGCGAAGCTTGGGTAGAGACATTAGGGGCGCGGGTGCTGTTCTTGTAGCAGCAGCGCCGAGACTCGCCCAGACGCGAAAGTAGAAGAGAAGCTCGGCGGACGTGCGTTGGTGCGCCTTCCGACCGGGCGGTAGTTGGGTACGGCGGACAGGTGTGCGACCTACCCCACGGGGAAGGCAGCCATCCCCATCTGTGCTCGGAAATGCCGATCCACTCGCTGCCATGCGGCGTCGCAACTCGCCTCCACTACGACCCACTCGATTAGCCCAATGACATTGAAGATGATAACGCTCCGAGCATGGGATGTGTACATCGAATTCGATTACCTCCGCCCATGACGTCGCCCCAACGCATGTCTGAGCGTTGATATCCTTTCACCGTTATTTGCGACCGCTTGCGCGTCGGCTGCGTCCATGGTCTGCCCAGCCGGATTTTGCCTTTACCTGCCAGCCATAGTCTTTCGTGGCTTGCTACCCGCCGAACCCCTCTTTGCCGTCCCCAACATCTCCGCCGGATTGCTTGCCGCATTTCGCTTCCGCCGAGGACAGAGCCTCGGTCTCCGAGCATCGCCTTGATATCCTGCTTCTCCCAGACCGTCCGCTCTCCGCTGTTCCCCACAAATGCCCATCAACGATGGCTTGGCATCTGCATCTGAGTTTCGGCCCCATCGGGACATGGGGCGGCTGGAGCATCCGTGCAGACGTAATTGTCTCAAATCATTCCGACCAGACCCATGGCGCGCACAAGCTCAGAAAAAATCCTTGCAGAGATGTTTGGCCGTGACGACCAAACCTTATTGATCCCTGAGATCTGCACCGCCAAAAATTTGAAGGATATATTTTTCAAGCTCGATTTGATTACTCATAATCAACCGTCTCCGTTATGGTCTAGGGGTTAGGATTCTCCGCTTTCATGTATCTAGTACACTTCACGAGCCGGAGCGGCCCGGGTTCGATTCCCGGTAACGGAATACGCATTTCTTTTTGTTTTTGTCCATCCTTCATGGCTTTTTGCTGATGTGGAGGTGCCGGAGGTGACTAACAATGGTTTTAGTGGGACATGGTGCGTGCTGGCACTAAGTTACTAAGCGGCCAAATCTTTTCCGACTAACAAGGCAACTCCAGAGACATTGATAGCCCCTAAAAATCCTTATTTTCACATCGCCTGGAGCCCGAAGAAGTCGAAAGCGTCGAGTTACAGCAGCGCATATCCTTTTTGCGCAAGGTCTCTACCGCGACAAAGCCTGCTGTAGCATTGCTGTGGAGCATTCTTACTGGTCGCAGAGCTTAATAATGTCCAACTTACTAACAACATAGCTGCAACATTTTCACCTTTCGCTGGCTGCTTTGGATTGATGGTGACATCTTATGGGCTGTACAAATTGGAAACTGCACGTGAATAGTTGGAGACAACTAACAGTGATCGAACATGGACTTCAATCACTGCGGGCAATCCCTCTTGGAGAGGGGGGGAGGCCTGTTCCCATGAAAGAAGAAGGCTTGCAGAGATCCGGCCGGGCCCGGAGAGGATGATGAGGCGCAACGTGGGCTGAGGATGCTTCCATTTTCAATGGCTCCTACAGCCACGTGCGCCTCGTCCAAGGAATTCCCCGAGCGCGGAGAAACAATCCTACAGATCTTCCTTTACCTCGGGCAGCGGTGAGCTGAGTTCCGGGCTGGCCTCGGTGAAAGGGCGATTAGGAGCGATTAGAAAATGCGGTTGTGTATTCAGCTGGAGCGGCTAGCGGAGCGGAAGGTAGTCATTTGACTGGACGCCCTAACGCCAGCCAATTTCCTCTCCGCAGCCTTGGCGAACGGCACACCTCTTCAGCTACGCCTTCGTTCTCCACACCAAGCGCCTCTGGCACCGCAAATCTCCCGTAGCCATCGTAGTCTATCGACATCGGATCATGCCTTTCTTCAGCATCGTTTTCCGGTGGGCGCCGATGATCGCGGCCATCAATAAACTAACAGCCTCCGTCGTTTCCATCGGATGTCGTCTACGGAGGTTTTTAGCAAAATTCCCGTCCGACGATCGCTGCCAAGCTGCTCGCCAGGGCGAAGGCGACTTTTGGTACGAATTTCCGTATTTGAGTGATCTTCGATCGCGTTAACTTTTGTCTTTGGACCTGTCACATACTTGCTGTGCAAGATAGAAAAAGATGGGGGTAAAGCACATCAAGTAGTCCACAGGAAAGACTCGGGTGCCGCTCCCAAGGTCAAATAGTGATCATATGTATAGTAGTTCGGCACGGCAAGAAGCACACTGTGCTTTAGTGCATCTGAGCATTGACCGTGGAGTCGATTGCATACGACAAATACGAGGTTGATCGACCCACGCTGAGACAACAAGGCTGAATTGGCTAAGTTAGCCCTAGGCTCACCGTGAGCGTCAATGCGGATGGGGCCAGTTCACCTATTACTGTGAGAAATATAGGGCAATAGCCGAGTAGTAGTCGTCAGCTCTTGACTACTACGTAGAAGATAAAGTGCTACTTACGTGAGCAACTAGATCAAATGACTTGGTGCACTTTTACACTTGCATCTACGTGCACATGTCTACGTGCGTAGGGCGCGTCGATCAGCATGTAAAGTACCCCCGCTCGCAGTGCAGCACTAGGCGAACCGGCTTCATAGTAGTGCAGATAATCCCATCGGATTTACTTGTGCATCTGAACCCACTGTTTTTTGACGCCGGTCGCAAGTGTGACGTTGGGGTGACGAAGTTTGAAGTGATTGTTTGCGGTCGGCCCTCGTATCTGTCCACGGTAGCGCGATGTTGTTGAAGGACCAACGGAGTACGATCTGGATTATTTTTGAACGAAGCTCACGCCAAGCTGCTGTGGCGGTTACACAATGTCTCGCTGCGAAGCTCTAGGCCAAGCTTTCGAGATCCGCTGAAATACGGGAAAGGGCACCAGAAAGCCGGTGCGAAAGCCGAGACTACGGGAAAGGGGGCATTGACCACCAGGGTCCAGTGAAAAGGAGCCACGGAGCTTGAGCGAAAGGCTTTTTTTTCTGCACGCTATCACAGTTAATTACAGAACCGGCGTCGGCAAATGAAGCAGCCCGGCTTGCATGTACCGTAGGGCTGCGTTAACGGCGGATCGCAATAGACAAGCGTGCTGGATCTAACCACGGACGGGGATGCCGACAGTGCGCATGCTTTATTGACCCCGAGGAATAACAAGCTTCTGGGGGCCCAAGGCAAAGAGCCAGCGAATCCTTTCGGTTACATCTGGCGGTTTCCTGTCATCGCGGACCACGGGCAAATCCTGCGGTCAGGATTGGCGGGCGGCGCGTCAGGCGAGAGCTTGTGTGAAGTCAGCCGCAGGAACAGCCGATGGCATGGTCTCGGGCGGAGAAAGATCGGGAAGTGATGGTCGTCGTACAGTACTCCGCTCCGGCTGTATCGCATCGCATCGCATCACACGCGGATGAGACGGTGGGAGGCTACGATGGCCAGAAACAGCGGCATTACACGGGGCAGACTGGCAAAGCGGCCGGTTGCTTGGCAACACCTGGTTGGAGCTCCGCAGCAAGCCTCCAGAAGGCCGCGGCGGGGGTCTAAAGCATCTAAAAATACTGCGGCGCAGGTCACGGCGCAAAAGCGTTGGATTCGAAATTGCCGTGTGGAGAGGGCGCGCTACTGTCGACTATGCGAGTCGCGCATGGAGCTGCCTGATCTGACGTTTGATCTCACTAGATCCGGATGTGTCAGCGCGCGGGCCGCCGCTGGCGAGCAGCAGATCGGGGCACGGCAGTATCGAGTCGTGTCGCGTCGTGTCGCGCAGGTGAAAAGTGTCGCAGTGTTGGGTGGGCGGGGAGCTCGCACGTCAGCCGGCGCGAAGTTGGCGCAAAAGACGTGGGTGTCCGGGCGGCGTCGCGACTACCGCATGCGGTAAAAAAGGGGGTGCGTGCGGGCAGGCTCGTATAAGCTTGTCGGGCGCGGCGGGCAGTTGTGCTGCGCCCAGCCACGGCGCCGCCCACTGGAATGATGAACTTTCCACTGCGCCCTCGTATGCCTGGGCCCTGCGGAGACACCGTGACGGTAAGCCCCAAAGCTCGGCGCCGCCCTGGCTCAGCATGTATAACCCTCGCCTAAGACCACCAAGCACGTTGTTCGTCCATTCCACTCCGCTCTCTTCCCCCACCTTGGAAATTCAAAACACGCTCCACCATGGCTGCTGAGAAGCATATCCAACTGCCCACCGTCCTCGACGAAAAGAGGATGGAGGAGGCCCGCTGCTGCCAGCCCGCCGCCGAATATCCCACGCCCGCCCTTTCGACTCACTCTTTCCAGCACGTTCTGATCTTTGCCCTCTTTTGCTCCAACATTTTCTTCGCCTCTCTGGCCGTCTTCTTCTACACCAACGCCCAATGTCCCGTGGTGCCGCGCCGCCTGGACCCTTTCTCCATATCAGCCTCATCACGCGACGCCCGCGCCCACATTCGCTACGAGCAGCGCAACTTCACCGGCGCTCTGAAGTACAACACCACGGCCGGCGAGTTGTACCGCGTTGCCACCATCAACTCGTCTGAGCCCTCGTACGTCGGCGACCCGCGCACCACTTCCGGCCTCGACCGCGCCTGGAAGAACCTTCTCAGCGGCTCCAAGTTCCCGCTCTCCAACGAAGAAGCCACCCCTTACCTCCACGCCTCTCAGCCCACCACCAAGTCCTCCGTCGTCGGCACTCTCTACGGCGAACTCAGCGTCTTCCACAACCTGGAGTGCCTCAATGCCATCCGTCTGGCCCTCGACGACGACTTCTACCGTGAGCACGGCCCCCAAGATGGTCTCGGATGGCAGAAGGCCACGCGGTCCGACCGCGCCTCATTGGGTATGTTTTGCTGGACCTCATCTTTAAACAAACCGCTGACCTCAACAGACCACTGCATCGACCACTTGCGTCAAGAGCTCCAGTGCTCCGCTGACCTCACCGTCGTGCCTGTACTTCCTCGCACCACCACCACTACCACAGAGCTTGCCGTCCAGCCTCGGACGTGCCGTCGGTGGGACGATGTGCGCAGCTGGCTGGACCGCAGGCACGAGCGCTCGCGCTTCAGCAGCCACCGCCAGGACCAGCAGACCTACGCCGGCGCTTGATCCATCCATCGTTCGAATCTTCTGATCCACCATCTTTTTCAGACCTTTTCTTTTCCTCCTAGATTCCAAGAGTACCCTCGGCTGAGAAGAGGCCACCCAGGAGCACGTATTCCACAGTGTTTCCCGCCCTCACATGTCGAGCGGTATTTTGTTGGTGGCTGCGGTGATCCGCACGTCACACCGACTCAACTTTGCACCACCGGCGATCAAACGTGGGAGAAAGACCCGAGCGTTCCACGGCATGCTCCGTCCGGCTCAGAGCCACTGAGAGCGCTGGGAAAGAGTGCAAGAGGGGGGGATGTTGGTAGGGACGAAAACTCGCCCATCAACACCAAGCGGCCAGTCAGCTCGATCTCCCCGAATCATCATGCAGCTGGCACCTTCCGTCCGTCGAGGACAGTGGCACCGTGGCACAAGAGAAGGTCTGGGAACGGTCGCTCCCGAATCCCTGCCGTCAGCCGCCATGTCTGACCAACGCGCATCCTCATCCATTGTTGGCGAGCAAAGGTGCTTACAGGCACGGCTATAGAAGCCTTCTTGATTTCTGGTTCTAGATGTTGTTGTGCGGATGATATGCCATTTAGCGTAGAGCCAGCGCTGCGAAAGACCTTGGTTGTTTGGTTCAGCAATAATTAGGTAGTCTGCACTTTGAGCAGAAACGGAATAGAAAGTTATCTCACTTGCCTACTACTGTCCATCTCAGCCTTGCTGCCTGCTTTCGGTCCCTCTGGAAAGTACCCAGCGTCCGCCCGTCTAGGCCCAACATCCGCGAAAGCAGCCGGGTCCCAAACGACAAACACCGTCACCGTAAATCCTCCGCCGTGCCGAGAGAGGAGTCGAAGGCTGTCGGTCAGGCCGCAAATGTGTGATGGCAATAAATTGTCCTTGGCGTTTGGGCGGTAGCTTCAACAGGCCCCCCCAATTGGCACTTTAGCCCCGTTTGGCAGCGATACCGCGATGGTACCACACGATCTTCGACGCTCCACACCCCCTCCCCCTTTGACACGCGAAAAGCTCCTCGAGAGCAGGCTATTGAAGAAAGCGGCTTTTAGCCCGCCTTTTGCCAAGGACCGCAAACGAAAAAAAAAAACCGATAGGTGCCTAGTGTGACGGGTTAACAGCCCAATCTAAAAACGCACGAGCAGATTATTATTATTATTATTGCAGCGGCAGCAGCAAGCAAGCAGAAGGAGCAAGCAACAACGGCGCGCTAGCTCCTCTCGAACACAGCCTCGACCCTGACGCACGGGCAAAGCAGGCCCGGCCGGAGCTTGGAACGTTTTTCGCCGCCGCCGCCGCCGATGATGCCCTGCCCCCCTCCCGAGGCGGGAGCGGAAACGTTGGGGCTGGGCTGTGTGTGCTTTGACTTTCAGCCTCTCAGCCCTGCGGGAGCTTCCGAAAAATCAAATGACACCGCCACACATGTTTGACGTTGTGGTGCAAGAAAATTGACAGCTGCAGAATCTAGACAGATCGCTGGTTTTTTTTCCTGGAAGGAGACAGAACACAGGTCGAATGAAGGACAAGGACAAGGATGAGACTTTGCTATGAAACTCAGATCATGAAGAGACCCGCTGAAAAAGTAAGACATATACTTAGCTCAGGATGACAGAAACCGCATCTGCAGAGGGATGTTGCAGCAGGACGCTAATGTGAATCTGTTTTCTGCATGTCAGCCGCATGTCTTAGCTAGCGTGATGGGTAGCTGAAGCAATTACCCGGACGAGACTGTAGATTTGATGGGTACACACTCACGTCTAGACGATTCCTTGTAAAGTATTCGTGCGGGCATAGTCTGCCCTATTCTAAGGCCGTGCTATCCTTTGGCTCTGTAGGCTGATCCTACATTAATTGGTAGTGAATGACGCGGAGGATATGGTAACGCTTGGCAAAATTTCCAGCCAGAGATGAGCGCAAGCTAGTTCGAAATTAATCAGAAGCCGCGGTCAGTCTATGACGGGTGGGCGTTGAAGAAAGCGGAGCAATCCGTGATCACAGTTGGCGCGCCGAGATCGCCGAGTTGTTAGAAGTAAACCGCTGCACGAACGGCTATTACTGACCGAACAGGTCACAGAGGATTCCAAGACCTCGCCCTTCTCGATCCTGGAGTGATATCCTACAAGCGTGGGTAGATGAAAGTCGTGTCTCAATGCTTCATTGTGGTTTTACAACACACACATCTACATCTTGACCTTTCTCTTTACCTGCCCACGCTTGTCTGGTAGACATCCTTCGCGGAACACGGAAGGGTAGAGCCGTATGCAATCTACTGACATGTTCGTCCAACCAGATGAACGAATATCAGTCAGCATGCAGCGATCACATGTGTAAGAGCAGCGATTGGCCAGTGGTGATAGGGATAATATTTAAAAGTCGAAATCACCCCTACCTGGAGAATCGACGGCAATCCCAGCCTTATTAAAAGAGATCCCAAATGCGATGCAGCGAAACGAAGCGCTGCCCTTTTTAACGCCACTATGCCCAACCCAGGTAACCCAATTCCAATCTCTTGCTTGCAAACAACAACCGATAAAGCGCTCACATGATGCTGTTGACGATGTTGGAACCGAAGGTAGCACCGGCACCAAAGACGGCGGCATTGCCCAGCTTCTTGCCAATCTTCTTGCCCATCTCTTGGCCCTTGCTCGGCTGGCCGCTCTGCTGGCCCTGGTCGCCGCCCTGGGACACGGCCATGGGCATGTTGCCGTAGCCCATGCTCTGCTGGGCAGGCGTGGGGCCGCCGGCGGGCATCTTGGAGTCCTCGACGCGCACGTACGAGCGAGGGAAGATGCCCTCCTCGCCGGTGCGCTCGCTGCGGCCCTTCCACCATTCGGCTGCGAAGCTCGTTAGCTGGCGCTCTCCTCCGGCGCAGTGTGGATGGGTGTGGGATCATACCGTTCATGTACTCGGTGACGTGGACGCGGTCATTGGCCTGGAGAGCCAGGTCGCCGGCATCAGTGGGGCTGTAGGCGTACAGGGCCGTGGCGGTGCAGAGAGCGGCGGGCGCGGGCGGAGCGGCGGCGTATGCGGGCGGCGGCGGGGTGGGGTTGTTGGCGTAGTAGCCGACCTTCTCGTTGTGGGCGGGCGGCGGCTGGACAGGGGCGGCGCTCGCGGGAGTGCTGTTGCGGATGGGCAGAGAGGGCGTCGGGGCGACGGCGGCGATGGGCTGAGGCGAGGCAACGGGTGCGACGGACGCGGCGCGGCTGGGGGCGGCGTCGGGCAGTTGCGACACGATGGTGTTGAACTGGGCGGGAGTGAGGTGGCCGGCTTCGCAGAGGAACTCGAGTTCCTGGAGAAAGTCAGCTTAGGCGGAGCGGCGCGGGCGGAGGTGTAGGTACCGTCTTGATGTTCCGCACGGCGCGGTTCGTCATGGCAACGCTGAACTGCTCCATGGTTGGCGGTGGTGGGGCGCGATGCGGGGGTGTCAGAGCTTCAGTATGCGTAAGATCGCCGGGTCTGATCAGCTTGCGGGCGAGGGGAGAGCGAGTGAAGAGTTGTTGAAGTTGGGCTTGCGCATCGAGGGAGAGGCAGGCGGTTTCAATGCGCCCAGTTGGGGCTGTGCACATGCAACTTCCGGGCCCGCAGCACGCGCCAGCCCGTAATTCCGATCATTTTGCGTCACTTCTCAAGAATCTCCCTTTTGGGGCATACATGTGTTACATTTGTTCGCTATCGATCAGTGGGCGTAGAAGCCCTTGAGCAGCCCTGCCATGCGCTGGTTGGTCGACAAAAAGTCCTTCTGGCGTTCCTGCTCCCAGCTGTCGAAGCTCGCCTTCGCCGTGCCCACGGCAATCTGCTCCTTGCCCTCCTCGAATCCCTGCCACGTCTCGGCGATGAAGTCGGCCAGCGGCAGGCCCAGCTGACGTCCGTTCTCGATGTACGGCTGCTTGTCGGCGTCGTGCAGCTCCGTCTGCACCGCCGGCGGGAAGACCTCGATGACCTTGAGCTTGTCGAAGCCGCCGTCCTTCATCTGCTCACGCAGCACCAGCACAAAGTGGTGCAGCGCCGCCTTGGTCGCGCAGTAGTTGGGGCAGAAGTTGATGGGCGCCAGCGCCAGCCCGGACGTCGTGTAGATGATGCTGGTCGGGTTGCTCTGCTTCTGCAGGAAGGGCAGCAGGTACGTCGTCAGGTGGACGAAGGACGTGTAGTTGGTCGTCACCTCGACGTCGAACGTCTTCAGGTCGACCTTCTCCGCCTTGGTGAAGTTCATGCCACGCTGGATTCCCGAGTTCAAGAAGACGCTGTCAATGTCCGGGTGCGCCGCCGTCACTTCGTCGACGAACTTGGGGATACCCGCGAGATCCGTGATGTCGAAAACCACCGACGCCGCCTTCTCGCTGCCGTGCTTCGCTACGAAAGCATCGAGGTTCTCCTTCCTGCGCCCAACCGCCACCACCTTGACGCCCTCTTGCACGAACTTGTCGCCAAGCCCAGCGCCAATGCCAGAAGTGGCGCCGATGAGGAGCACCTTCTTGTATCCGAATCCCATGGTCGAGTCTTGAAGAGGTCGATGTGTTGATGTGTTGAAGAACAAGCTGACGTGGATAGCTTGGGCCCTTTATATCGATGAAGTCATAGAAGATTCGGCGTCTGCAAACGGACTTAACGGCGCCTTTTTCCCATCATTTGTAATCTGCAACGAAAATGGTTTTGGAGGTTAGACGAAAATGGTGTTGGAGGTTAGTCGGAATGCTGTCGGCCTATTGCAATGACGGCTTTGGCCGACCCCGACCGATAAGTCCGCAGGCCACCATTTTACGCCGCCTGGTTACTTGAGTGGTTAGCATTGACTGGCGCCTGATGGAACCACCGGCTACTTGTGATGGGTTCCAATGGTTGGGGTTGGTGTGGTACATGGAGCTGGTAGGATGAAGGCTGACGGGCATGACGACTCGCTACCATGTCCGAGCCTCCTCGGCTTTAACCTCCCTCTAACCCGAACAGGATCAACCCATAACAATTGCAAGGCAAGCAGAACACCTTATTCTCACGTCAGTTGCAACCTCACTTACAAATCAACTGGCCGAATCTTCAACAGCGTCCGTGAGTCTGCGCTCTCGAGCCTACGAGCACTGCACCACCCACACCTATCCCTCTCTTTACCTGCGCACCAATCATGTCGCTACCATGCATTGCAAGAACCCTGCTTGCGACGAGATAGGAAAGAAATGACATGCAGGAGCATAGTACCGGAGAAATCATGCAACCAACTGTATACAGAGGGGTATTGCAGCCGAAAGCTACCGCGAAGAATATTGCGGATAACCATGTCTCATCAATTTTCCTGACGAAAGACAACATGTATGGGTAGTTGAAGCGATTGACTAGACGCAAATGTCGAATTAAAAATTATACAATCGCGTCCAGATGATGGCTTCAACTACCCATGAGATGGGCAAAGAACAAATTCACGCTGCGACACCCATCTGCACATCTTCTTGCCTTGTTTGTGCAGCAGCGGGAATAGACGCCGCTCGCTCTCGGCCCTTTCTCTCCCGCAATCACCTGCCGCGTTCGCAAGCCACCTCCACACGAGCACACCGCAGGCGAGCAGAATTTCGCAATCGCCGCCTCGGCATCCCTTGCCGTAACCCGCATCTATTATCAATCCTTCCCTCTCCCCGCTTTCTTAAAAATGCCCTTACCCAGACTTTCGCGTCTGCCCCACAAGTATGTCCGTGACCCGAGCCTCATCGCTGCGTAGCGATATCGAGGTTGCAAGCGTCGTTAGTGGCAACGATGCTGCCGTCGATGAAAAGAAGCGCCAAGCGACCACCAACGCGCGAGAGGACGATACGGTGCCGAGCAGCGACAGCGATATCGGCGATGAAGAGCAAGGTCCGCCCACACCTGCTCAACACAACTGGCCGCAGTACTCCAAGCTCCGGCTACTGTCTTTAGTCTTGACTGTCACTGGCTCCGCTTTTCTCAATGTGCGTGTACAGTAATAACTAACAGAGAAACTTTCTACTGACCGATTGACCAGACGGTCGGAGTACAGGCTGCTGTCATTGTTCTGCCCACCATCGGTCGAGATCTAAATATTCCAGACAGTCGCCAGCAGTGGATTGTTTCAGCCTATTCACTCACCTTTGGCTGCTTTCTGCTATTATGGGGAAGATTAGCTGGTAATATCCGGATTAACTGCCCTCTCATTTGCCATTTCTGACCAGTCGCAGATGTCTATGGCAAGCGCCTGATATTCATCTGGGGCTCTGTTTGGTTGACCGTTATAACCACTGTCCTGCCATTCGTCAAGAATGAGATCGGCTTCGATGTACTTCGAGGTTTGCAAGGACTTGGTGCAGCTGCCAATGTCCCTACTGCTATCGGCATTCTTGGAGTGACGTTTCCTCCTGGAAGGGCAAAAAACTATGCCTTCTCGTGCTATGGTGCTGGTGCTCCTCTCGGTTCGGTTTTCGGAAACATCATGGTATGCGCCCCCTTTCATCTACGAAGCACCTCTCTGATGTCGCTAGGGTGGTGTAATTGGAGAGTATGCTTCATGGAAATGGGTCTTCTGGATCCTGGCCATCATTGCCGCTTTCGTGACCCTTGCAGGCATCTTTATCATTCCTCCGCCTCCCGTCACCAATCCCGACAATATGGCTGCCAAGTCAGCCGTCGACTGGATAGGCGGCATGCTCGTCACCGTTGGCCTGATGGTTCTTATGTTCGCATTGACCGAAGGCAACGTTGTGGGCTGGGCGACGCCCTGGGTTCCTACTCTGATCGTCGCCTCCGTCATTATCCTCATGCTCTTCGTCCTTTGGCAGCGCTACCTCGAAAAGCACACCACTCGACGCCCTCTCATGAAAGTCTCCATCTTCGCCAACAGGCGCTTCTCTGCCGCCATGGTTATCATGCTTCTCTTCTTCGCTGCCTTCAACAACTACCTCATCTTCGCAACATACTTCTTCCAAGACTACCTTGGCCTCTCCGTCATCCAGACCACCCTTCGCTTCATCCCCACCGGCGTCTCCGGCGTGATCATTGCCTTCGCAACCGGCTTCTTCTTGTCCCGAGTTCCGGGCAATTACATCCTCATGTTCGGCACCCTCTGCGTCTCCGGCTCCGCCCTCCTCTTCGCCACACCGATTCCCCCGCACACCACCTACTGGGCCTACGGCTTCCCCGCCATGGTTCTCTCAGTCCTCGGCGCCGACACTCTCTACCCCTGCCTCACCCTCTTTACGGCCAAGTCCCTGCCGCATGAGGACCAGGCTCTAGGCGGCGCCCTGATCAATGCCGTCGGCCAGATAGGGCGCGCCATCGGACTCGCAATCGCCACCGCCGTTGAGACGGCTGTCATCGCTGCCGAGAAGGGGGTTGCTGTCGATGCCATCGGTGGCTCCGACATTGGTACCGGCGATCGTGCCCTGCTCTCGGGTCTGAGAGCTGCCGAGTGGTTTACCTTCGCCATGTCTATGACCGCCTTTTTCCTGGCAGCTGTAGTATTTAGAGGTGCTGGCTATATTGGCAAGAAACATTGAGTGCGCGAGAAATATAAAAGTGGCTACGGTACTTACGAATAGAAAGACTAGCATCACAAGAGGATACGATCTCTGACGATACTGTATCTAAAAACATGGAAGGTTTGAGGAGAACATGGTGGATTGAATATATCTGGGCGTTTGTGCTCCACGAAGATCCTTAGTGGGTTGTTGGAGCAGACATGCAGATGTAAATGTACATTTCAAAGCTGTGATAATACCTCTGGATAGGGGACTCACTTCACTACATACGGTACAATCGCAACGATCACACATTGAACCCACTGCTACGCAAGTTAAGAGACTCTTGAGAATACGGTTCAGGCTCCAACTTTCGCAAAATGTCGCACCATCTCGTCAACACACATATCATGGTAAGCGTCGAACGAGCGGAGGAAACGATCCGCATACATATTCCTCCGCTTCGGCCGTAAGAATCTAGTCCTGGGCAAGGTTAACCAGGTGCATTTCAACTGGCCAATTAACTGCGAGAATGCAACGGTTGAGTGATGATGATGTCACAACCTTATCGATCCTCCTAGCCAAAGACTCAAAAATACGACTGAACATGTGCAGTCTCCATGCAGCGACATACTGTCAGATGGTCTCTGGTTTAGAGTAAATTGAGCTCTTCCCAACTTATGCGCTGTCTACTTTACTACTCGGGTCCATACGGAGGGCTGCCCTGCATGCATTAGAAAACCCAAGCGGCGTTGACCGCAACCTTTGTGTCACTTGAAAATCTCACGCCACAACTAGGTGTTACAGCATCGCGGAAGCTCAGCCGCAGCCGCCATCCACCGTCGTGGAACGCGGCTAGAAGCCGGGCACACTTTCGTCCGACAACGTATGGCCAGATTCCACTGCCCATGAACGGACACGACACTCACCGAAAGACTATCCGAGAAAGGCTCGATACATCTTCCTTGATCGATGCCCTTACTATTACCGATGCCTCGAGCGCAATTTACTTCCCGTTCTAGGGAGACGGAGGGACTGTTGGCCTATGAAAATTCGTGGCGTATCGCGATGATGCTACCACTTTCAAGCGGCGGCGGATGCCTTGGACGCCAAGCGTAGAGCGGGCTTGAAGGAGCAGACGCCTCCTACACATGGCATGGGCAGTGCAAAACGTTTTGCTGGAGCAACATCTCTCCGCCGCGACTTGGCTAAGGTCGGGCTTAGGAATGCTGCGTCCCTAAGGTCCTGTATATAGAGGAGGACATGAAGCCATATGGATACCTTTCGAGTTCATCACCAGAAGCCCTACGAGCACTCCACACTTCTTCAAAACTTCTACTACATTCGGAGCACCTTTTCCTTTCAATTAGTCGGTGTTGACTATATCCCCTTGGTACGGCTCAACACCTGTAGTCTTCACTCAAGACTCTACCTGCCAAGAGATCCTTAATATCAAGTGATCGCCATAAGATACCCATACTTAGCACGGCCCACAGCAAGAGGCTACCATGGACTGCACACAAGAGACCTGCCCGGTCAGTGCATCCATCTATGGCTACCGACCCAACATCCCAGCCAATGCCTTCTTCGTCGCCATCTTCGGCATTGCCTTCATTGTGCAACTTATTCAAGGCATTCGATACCGCACATGGACGTACACCCTTGCCATGATGTGCGGCTGCTTCACCGAAAGCATAGGACACGCAGGCCGCATCATGCTGCACAACGATCCGTTCGGAGAGGCCGGCTTCAACCTACAAATCTGCACCCTCACACTCGCACCGGCCTTCCTGGCCGCGGCCGTGTACCTTATGCTCAAGCACCTGTAAGCAATCTTCATTCTTTACAGCATGCAGACAAGTATCAGAGCCGAAGGCTAGCCACGACGAATAGTAGCCCCAAGGAGGAAACAATATTCGACCTGACCACTTCGCAACATGAGCTGATCGAAAACCTCTATCCACAGTGTCCTCGCAACCAGCCCATCGCTGTCCCGCTTCCCGGCCCGCTACTACACCTACATCTTCATCACCTGCGACCTGATCTCGCTGGTCCTGCAGGCGGCCGGCGGCGGCACCGCCGCGACGGCCGACGGCAGCATGTCGCAGCTGGACGTCGGCGACCACATGATGATGGCCGGGCTGGCCTTCCAAGTCTTCACTCTCCTCGTATTCGGCGCATTGTCGCTCGAGTTCGCCTTCCGTGTGTGGCGTGCGCGCGACGACGTCCCCAGCGTGCTGAGGGAGGAGGAAGAGACGCGGGAGCTACGAGCGAGCCTGCGGTTCAGGGCGTTCGTGGTCGGCCTGGCCGCGGCGTTTGTGGCCATCCTGGCCCGGTGCGTCTACCGCATCGTCGAGATGGCGGGCGGGTGGAGGAACCCGGTCATGCAGGACGAGGTTGCCTTCGTTGTGCTGGATTCGACGTGAGTTCTTTTCTCCCTTTCCCGCACGCTCTCGTCGCCCCCATTACGCAAGCACTTCCGCCGCAACAGTGACTTGCAAACGTCCCTACCCTTGAAATGTATTCACTTCTCTCCTCCGTGGGTAGTCGAAACAGGCGTCCGGACATGATTGTGAATTCAAAAATTCACGCATTCACATCCAGACGGATCCTTCGGCTATCCATGGGTAGAGAGTGTAAGATCACTGAGAAGACAAATCCGAGGAGAAGAGCGGAAATTTTTGGCAAACCAAATGACGGGAAAGGGACAAGTACAAGCTAACCAACGGATTCCCAATAGTCTCATTGCCCTCGCCGTCGTCATCCTCACCGTCATGCATCCGGGCTACTGTTTCAACTATCGTGCCGTCAATCGCGACGAACTCCTCCTTGAGAAACAGCGTCGAATGAGCAAGAGGGCCGGAAAACGTTCCGAGAAGGACCAACAGGTTGACCCTGGCAAGATCGTCGTCATCGTGGCCGGCAGCTCCGACGACAACAGCGAGGCCGAGCTCGGTAGGGCATGCTAGCACCCGACGGCCCAGCTTTTCAATAGTTTCAACCTGCAGGGAAGGAGAATGCCGGTCCAGTACCTGACCGGTGACCTCTTTTTGGGATGGGTTCCTTTTTTAGATGCGCAAGCGAGCGATGGCGCTTTGCTGTTACATACGAGATATCTTGGCATCGCCGGAGCACGCTCTGCTCCAGGCCTTCATGTGTTAGACCTATACGCACCTGTATCAATTTCATTGAGACGAGAGAGAGTTGGTGATCTCGGCAACGCCGTCGGTATTGGGATCGGCAGTGAGGCGGACGAAACGTGAAGCGAATTTCTTCTCATTCACGAGAAGTACCACGAACGGCATCGGCTGCATTAGTGTTGCAACGCCCCAGGGGAACCGAACCGGTGCGAACCTACTACACATGAATGCAAAGTGAAACCGGCCTGGATGACAACGCGTGCGGACACATTGGAAACAGAATTTTCGTACCAGCTAAACATTTCATTTTCCTTGCTACCCTTAACAAATCTAACTCAGAGCGTCTGAGCTCTCCTTCTCTGGCAAGAAGCCCAGCCCACCAGATGCATCTGCGCGACAGTCTTCGTTAGGTTCCCACTTCCACCCCCAAAGTGCATCAATCTGTCTGTCCGAGGAAAGAAAGAGAGACGATTGAGGAAACAAGCAGAAACTCAATGTCCAGGAAGATTTTCGCCGATGAAGAAAAGAAAAAAACCAGACGGCGACTTTCCCTTCTTTGTCTTGTCATAAAGCTTTCGTTCTCAGAACTCGTAGCAGTGTTTTCCGCCATATCAACACGCGCCGCTCTATAATGCTTTCTTCTCTTTTGCAAGGAAACAATGGAAACTTTGTGCAACAACTGAAAAATGGAGTAATTGGAGACGTGAGAATAGAGAAACAGCTCCATGCATGCAGCACAAGACGTTGCGCAATTCCACACACCTCAACTCCTGTTGCAAGGAAGAAGACAGATCCGTGAAAAAACGCCCGTCCAAAGTGCGATGGAAAGAGAAAATCCGCCTACGCCGCTGAAGATGCTGAATAACCATGAAGAGGGACTGGGCCCAACGTGGCCCATCCCTGTCTATGAACTTTTTTGATTTTCGGAAAGGAAAGAATAACAGGAAGAAGTGAAGATTTTTCAAAGGGTCCAGGGAACATCTGGAAAGTGGCTAAACAAATAACGCCGGTCTCTTCTATAGTGTTGGTCTTCAAATGCAATATGCGGTCGTGATGCTTGTTGGTCTACAGGCAGGTTTTCTCGCGTGTTCGTGATCATTGTCGTAGCTGTCGCATCGAGCGACAAAGAATCTTGTCATCAGAAGCTTGCACGGTTGGGCGCACTACCGTTCGTGATCATTCCGTGTGGTGACGTCGTGCTTTCCTTGTCGACAGGCGCAAACAGGAGTTTCATGTCTGAGAGTAGGTCCTCCAGACCGTAGTTGTTGTCCATGTCGCTTACCGCGCCTGGTTCCTGGCCCATCTTGTATTGCTCCGAGTAGACCCAGTTCTTGATCTGCTTGAGCACGTGGATCGTGTGCTGGAATCGCTGATCTGCATTCATCTTGAGCCAGTCATTGCTCCGACGACGCAAGATTGTGTTGGCGAGCCAGTAGTAGTGGATGCCATCTCTGCAATAACCTCTTCGTGCGGGCGAGTTTGGACCATATTGCTGCTCCATGTCGATCTCCCAACTGCGCTTCCATTTCTCGAGAGCATTGCTAACGATCTTGAGAGCCTGCTGAGCGTTCTGCGCAGCCATGCTATCGACAGGAGTGACGGTGCCGCTAACGCTGACGCTGCTGCTTCTAGAATCGAGACCACTGAACTCAGACTGGGACGGAGTGCTGGAGCCGCTGGAAGGAAGGCTGTTCATCAGAATGGTCGAGGGAGGAGTGGCGTGCTGGGCAGCTTGGCGGAGAGCACTCCACATGTGAACATGCAGAGCGTGAATGAGGATAAACTTCGAGTAGATGTTGGTGGAGCGAGCCGATAGTTCGCTGTTTGATTGCACCAGTACCCTCAGGACCTCTCCAATGTTGGGCTGCTTGAGCTGGCGGCTGCCTGTGATGTTTTTCTGTTCCTGCACAGCGCGACCGTGCAGACCCAGCGCACTAGCACACTCGCTCGCGTTACGAGCCTCCCAAGCAGCATCATCGGATGGCAATGGAAGTCGAATCTCGACAACGTCGAACTGAGCGCGAGAGTTGCAGAACATGACCAGAGCGGAGTCGAGGAGGAAAGCCATGTACATGACTCTCGACCTCTTCTCCTGCATGATCCAAGATTCCCACTTCCACTGCTGCAGGTGGCCAGGTTCGGCCTCAGCACCAACATGATGCAAGATGCTGAAGCCTTCTTGACCTTGCTTGACAGGAACGAGCAGTTCGAGCTGGCGCATGGCAAGCGCTACCTTGGGAAACTCTTCTCTGGCTTTCTGGCGCTGCTCTGGGTTTCCGTGCCACAGACACGCCATGGTGAGCAATACAAGAGCCTGAAGTTCCTCGATGTCGGTCGTCGCGTTCGGGGGGAGGGAGGCGTTTTGATTCGGGCCATCGACAAGGCTCCAAACACGGAAAGATCGTTGAATGGCAGACTTAACCAACTCCATGAGCGCCCTAACCTGCAAAATGTTTTGATCCTTTGAGTAAACCGCGCCTATGCAAATGATTGTGAGAAGAAGACCGTTGCCGGCCTCGACCGGATTGAAGGTCGGCATGTGAATGAGCGGCCAATGTTCCTGAAAGTTCTTGAACCCTTCCAAAAAGGACTTCATGTTCTCCAGCGTTGAGGCTTTCCTCAGGACGTCTAGCGCTTGTGCCTCATTCGGTTGAAGGAGGGTCGTCCCGCCGGGGAAGCAGAAAGCGATCAAAGCTTCAGCCTTATTCTGCAGAGGATCAGAAGAGCTCAAGTCCCAAGATTCAAACACGGTATCTGTGTTGGGGAAAGCCGACGCACTGGAATAAAGGTTGCTGAACATGCCGTCCGGCGTGGGTTCACCGGAGCCGTGGTTGAAGGTGTTCTGGTTCATGTCTGTCTCGGCTTTTATAGCAACAGGGTCCTGAGCGATGCTAGTCGAGATGCCGAATGCGTCCTGTTGTCCATTTTGCTGGTAAGGATTATCCCAACCCATGCCGTTTCCCTGGCCGTTCTGAGTGTTGTTCATGTCAGTCATGCTGTTGCGGTTGAACATGGCTGTGTTGTCGTCAGCAGCAGCCTTCATCGGCATATTCGGGTGCATGTTAGCGCTCGACACAGCTTGGTAGTTGTTGAACTGGTGGTTCAGCTGCTCGTTGTGGTTCATCGTGTAACCGGGCATCTGCCCGGGGATCGAACCGGGGACGCTGTTTGTCCTGAAATCGTGAGCGTTCGCGTCAAAGCTCATGCGGTTGCTGTTGGTGTTGTTGATGAGATCGATGTGCGAAATGCTCCTGCGCTGAGGGTCGTGAATGCCGTTCAGACCGTTCACGCCGCCGTTGCTCTGCGGCTGCATGAGACTGTTGGCACGCGAGGTGCGAGCCGACATGGAGGGCAGGCTCTCAGCATAGCTGCCCGGCGACTCGGTTGTGAAGCCCGAGTTGCCGACCATGCTGTTGGTGTAGCCGCCGTTCGAGTATGCAGGCGCATGTGCATTCACGGCTGTGAGGTGACTGTAGTCACCTGACCCCTGAGCGGAGCGATTCTTCCTCAGGTGAGCCTGGGAGTTCGCCAGATGGTTCTGACCAGTCGGGTTGCCGCGGCGTATCGAGCACTTCTGGAAGTGGCGCTTGAGAATGTCACTTCGCGAGAACGTATCCTTGCAAAGATGGCATTGGTAAGGCCGCTCGCCAGTGTCTTGAACGAGGTTAGCAGGGGTCGAGAATGCAGCAGTGAGTGGCACTTACGGCGGAGAAGATGGCGCTTGAGATGCTTGAGATGCAGATACGTCTTGTTGCAGTGCGGGCACTCGTACTTGTTGTCGGCATTCTTGGTCAGATTCTGGGTCGCCTTGGCGCTACCAGGAGCCGGTCGACCGTTGGCGGTAGGAAGAACGCCACGCCGACCCTGCTGACCCACGACATGGATCGGCTCGGGTTCCTGGTTGGGCAAGATCGGGGGCTGCGAGAGAAGATGCGACGAATTGTAGGGCAGACCGATACCACCTGCGGGCATGGGGCGAATGTCTTGCAGCGAGGCCGTCATGTTCGACGGGGCAATGGCATGTGGGTTGCTTGCGTGCGCGCTCGAGGAGATGCCACCCAGGGTCTGACCGTTGGACAGGGCAGTCGAGTGCGGCAGGAAGTAGGAGCTCGAGGTGCTGGTGTGCAGCGGCGGGTGTGGCGCAATGGTCGGCAGCGAACGGTTGTGCGTGAGAGATGGGGCTGACGTCGCTGGGGTTTGCGGAGTCAGCGGAGTCTGGGGGGCGCTCCCGTAGGTGTTTGTGGAGAACTGGGTCGCGTTGCCGAGTGGAGGCAGTGGGGGTAGCTGATGCGTGGAAGCCGACTGCGCGCGATAACGTTGTGGCGGCAGGGTCGCCGACTGGTGCGGCGTCAACGGCTGGGAGTGCGTCCCAGACGGCGTTGGGATTCCATGCAAATAGCTTGCGGTAGAGTGAAAGGGATCGTCCATGATATGGTGGATCAGGGACGAATGGTCGAAGTGCGCACTGTCGGAGGCCGACCCTCAGTCCACATCCGTCGGGGGCGGGAGGCTAAATTGCAGCTCGGCGTCGATCGAGCTTAGACTAAGGCGCGCGCGGAGGGAGGGAGCTTGTGAAATGAAAAAAGAGGTGGGAGGCGGCCGTGGTGGAGATGGTGGGAAGTTTGCGCGGATGGATGGTGGGGGTTTCGGGTTTTGCGCTGGGCGGGACGAGTCGAGGTGGGATGATACTCGCTCGGCGCGCAGACCGAGAGAAATTTTCGGGAGTCGGATTTGGCGAGCGCGGGCGGCGCGGGAGCGAGCAGCGGGCAGCGGACCGCGGGCAGTAGAGCTCAAGCGGGCAGCGCAAACACGCGGTGCTGGAGAGGTCCTGCGCACGGCTCTGGGCGCGTTGGTCGAGTCGCGGGCGCGACGGGTCTCTGCTGGCTCTGCGGGCGTTATGGTTCAACGCCTACGGGAAGGGATTGCGTGCAGATCAAGGACCCACTTCCGAAGAGCCTCTCTCAGCCTCAGCCTCAGCCGCGGCAGAAGGGTGGAGCTGGTGAGCTGGCCGACGGGAGCACTGGCTGGGGGGCGCGGGCGGAGGGGAATCGAGGGGTCTGTGGAGACCTGGGACTGCGGGCTTGGGAGGGTCGATGGAGACGTGCTTGCGCCAGAGGGAGGATGGCGAGCTTTGCAGCGCGGGCGAGGGCGAAAAAGGATTGCAGCAGTTGGTCTGGGTGACGTCCTCGCGCCGATTGCGCTAAGGTGTGCCGCCGAGTCCGCGTCGAAGTGCCGCGGCGGGAAGGCCACTGGTGAGATCAGGGAGCCCCGGCGTGCGCTGGGTGCGTGCTGCGGCAGGGGAGGCGCTGGATCTGAAGAGATGCGATGAGATGCGGGCGAAGGTGGGAACTGCGTAGTGAGGCGCGTCGCCCGCGAAAAAATAACACACGCACCGCGCCGCGGACGCAGGAAACGAGCGCCTCGAATCAATCACAACTGACCGCCACGTGATCGCCGTGCAGCGAGCGTTTTATTCACGCCGTGCGCATGCTGTGCAGCAGCTTGGGGCCCTTGGCTGCTGCGCACACAGACCCAGCGCGGCGGCTACCTGGTGCTGTTGCTGCTCTGCCTGAGGCACCCATGCAGACGCGCACCTGGCGCTCATGCACGCCTCGGGACGTGGCTGCCGATCCGGGCCAACCAGCGCAGACCAGCGCCGGCCCAGCGCGGCCAGCCTGCGCCGCCGCTGACCCTCAGCCTGCCCACGCCCCCCAACCCACCGCTGCGCTGATGAACCTTTTTTTTTTGTTGAAGAGTCCGCCCGCTTATGCCCGCTTATCGATTGTGCGCGCAGCCACCATCGCCAAGGCCGGCCTCGCAGGCTGACGCTGACCGGCCCCGGCGCGCAGGCGCCGCCCACGCCCGTCGCTCACCGCGCGAGCAGCGGCGCCGGTCGCAACGGGCAAGGCGCTCCTCTGCGCGCATTTATCTCCGACGGGCGCCGGGCGAGCGAGCCTCTCCGTGCGTCGGCGGGCGCCGCGCGCGGCCGCCGGATATTGGCCTCGCGCGCCGTGATTGCGACGCTGCAGCGGCTGCGCCAGGCGCGCCGAACATCAACCGCCGAGCAGCCCAGCGCGGGCGTAACGTCGCGAGAAACACGGAAAGTTCACCGAGCTGGACGACCTGCCTGCCCTGGCCCCCTGTCGCATCGGATGCCGGCAAGGCATCCTCGCTGGCGCCCGTGCACCCGCCCAGGTGCCAGCCCATCATCCATGCCATCCCTTCGCGCAAGCACCGTGCTCTGTGCAGGCGGGAGAGGCCACTTCCCATCCGCAACCTTCTTCGCGCGCTGCACGTGTAGATGCTGCGCAGCGGTCACGGCCCAAGGCATTCCGCGTGCGCCGCCGCAGCAACGGCAGCAGCGGCAGCGGCAGCGGAAGCAGCGACCGACGGAGTTGCCGCCGGCGTGTCTCGATTCGTGGCGCCAAACACACGTGTTCCGCGTGCCTGGGAGGACAAGGACCCTTCGCTCTGTCTCATCAGACCGCCAATGGCGATCCGCCGAGCGGCCTCGCAGCGCAGTGACGTCGGCACGCGCAGGCCAAGCGGCGGGACGCTGCGAACAATGAGCAGCGGCGACAAGCATGGGCTGCATGCGACGTGGTTGGCGCCTGCGGCCGGCGCACTCGCAGACTGGCGGCCCGCTGGCGACCGCCCAGAGCGCGCGCTGCTGCTGCGACCGTAATACAGGGCCGTGGCCGGTCTGGTTGTCGCGCGTTTGCAGCAGCGCTATTGGGTGATCAGCTATAATGCCGGCCGTCGTTGTGCTACCGCATCACACGAGCCTTTCCTATTCCAAGCTCTTTCGCGGCCCATCAGCGCCCATCCCGCCCATCACGTCCATCAACCTTTCTTATTCCCTATCGTCGCCGTCCAGCGCCAAATTCTAGAAGTGCCCTCTCGTCCGAGCGGCCGCGCTCACGCCATTTGAAAACCCATTATGTAATCCCCGCAGGCGCCTGCTGTTGGCTGGTCTCGACGCCTCGCTTGCATGCTGCGTCTCCTGCTGGCCAGCGCGGACGTGCGCCAAGGGCCCTACACAATGCCATTACCAAAACGAGCCTGGACGGTCGACGACGTGGCGAGCGACGCTCCTCTCGGCTTCCCGCCGGCGATACTCCAGGCGGCTCGCCCCTTCTCGCCTGCAGCAATTGTCCGGAAGAGCAAAGTCCAGCGAAGGGTCCCGGTTGCCATGCATCTCAAACGAGAAACGCTTCCGACGAGCCTTGCCCAACCCTCGACTCCCGCATCCGCACGCGGCAACAGCTTCGTCCAGTCTGGTGCCCAGAGCACCGCAACTCAATGGCTCGTCGGCTACGAGCGTGCACACGCCAACGACCCCGGCATCTCCGACATGGTCCGCCGTACGCAGAGCGTGCGCCTCTTCTGCTTGCTCGCCTCGATCGCAGCGCGCCGGAAAGCGCATTTCGCCGGTGCTAGCTGGGTAGGCGCGCTACTGTAGCGGCTGCGGTACGCGCCCGCCCGCTGTGTGGGCAGCGACAGCGAGAAACTGTGGTGGGCGAGAAAGCTTGACCATGCCGACACCGCCCATCCAGGGCCCTTGGCCGCTGGCAAGCGCGCTGAGCGGACCCGCACCAGATCTCGTGCGACTCGAATCACCGCCTACCCGGTTCCGCGGGATGCGCAGCCCGATTTGGGAGGGGGGGACGTACGTGAAGAAGGGCAGCCAAAAAAGAAGTGTAGGCGAAGCAGCTGCAGCACCAGCACACTCCAGGGAAAAAAGCGCCGAGCTGGGGGCTCTGGCGGGCTGGGTAGCGCCGAGGTGGCTCAGGCTCATGCAGGGCACTCGAGAGACGCACAACACATCCGTCCGCAGCGGGCAAACATGCGTTCGCGCTTTCCGACTCTCAAACTGACCATCGACGTGGCCGCGTGCTAGACAGGGCCCTGCGTCCAGGGTACGCGACGCGGAACGTGAGTCCAGATGAGCGGATGAGCAATCGGCGCCCTGCTTCCTCACGACGCTGGCCTGGCACGCGAGCTAGTTAGCCTGCAGGCAGCAGCAGGTGGCGCCGAGAGGTGACCGCCATCGGAGCACAGCAGAGCTTGGGGCGCGTGTCGTGTCCATGATGCGACATCGTCTGCATCCTTCCAACTTCACGACGCCCATATTGGGGTAGGTGTAGCCGCGGGTGCGGCCTTACTTGGCGAAGATGGGATTGTTGGCATCCGGTGAGTCTCGAGGAGATTGCCATGCGTTGGCGGAGGCACCAGCTCGACGGCCTCGTGGGCGTGTAGCGTATTCTGGCGCGAGAATGTGCCGCTCTGGATCGGGTTATGCGGTGCGCGCTACCCTCTCTTACCCAGCCGCTTTGCCCACCCTCTCTGTCCAGGTCGCAGAAGGGTTGTTCTCAGCGACTGTGCGGCTGCCATGCCCGTTGCTGAAACTTGTTCTGTTTTGCGTGACCATCCAAGAAGGCGAGTTGAGCCGACAGGGCTGCCACTGATCTCGACGTCGAGACGCGTAGTGCTTAGCCTGACTGTGCCGTCCGCACGCCACACCTTCCTTCCTCCTTCAGCAACGATGGTCAACAAAGCTCTTCGGGGGCGAAGCCTTGGAATATGCCGCTAGTGTGTCAATTGGATGCCGAGCTCGCATTCCTCGTTCGAGTGAAGGCGTTCGGATAGCGCGGGCAAAAATAGCACATTTAGAAGCAACCACAGCTAGGCAAGAAGAGCGGTATGTGTTGGCACACGTTGAATCTTCAGCTGTATTAGGGTTGTCGTAGAAATGTGATAGCGAGCCCAAGGCCTTGTCCTGATGACGCGTAGAAAGCGTGGCAGAGTGGACGCGTCGAAGTCCGGCGGATCGCCACCCAACAGGTGGTTGATATCCATGACCACAAGCATTGTTACTAGGGTCTGCTGCTAGGTGACGCGCCAGTCGATGTGCTGATGGCGCGTATGCTGAGTCGTGGTTGTGGCGAATGAACCTGCGCCGTGATGGATCCATCCACACCGTGCTCCAGACGGATTTGAGGTACCAGGAGCTTTCCATCTGACCTCTGCTGAGCGACAATCGTGATATCACAATCTCCAGTGGCTCTTTCGCTCCCCCCAGCGCAAAGCTTTCCGGAGCACAGTTTCACTCACGCCAACACCTATGCCCCGCCTTCACCCCGCCCTCGGGGCCCCTCCATCGCCCTTCTAACGCGCATCCAGTACGATCCCCTAGACCTCCCGTTACCGATCCATCAAACCTTTGCGCGCCTTAATATCCATACTCCCAGATATCCTTCTTGTATCCCTCCGTGACCGTCTCGTCCATGCCGTACCTGCGCGCAAAAGTCAGCCCCTCAGCCCCTCCACCCTACACTCACAATAACACCCCAAATGCCCCGTACAACCACGCCCAAGAAGAGTTATAGCAAGGGAGTTACTCACTTCTCCTGCCATCTCACGAAACCCCCCTCCAGCACGCAAACATCCTGCCCCTCGCCATCGCCGTCGTCGCCCAGCAGCCTCGCCCTCTCCCTCAGGTAGCGCAGCGCCGCGCTGGGGCCCCTCTGCTGGCTCAGCGCGCAGTGGAACACGACCGTCGGCGTACCCTTCAGCTGCCTCACCAGCTCCGGCAGCTTGTAGTCGAGCGCCGACGTGGGCACGTTGGTGCAGCCGCGGATGTGCCCGCCGAAGAAGTCCGAGTCGCGCACGTCGATGACGGCGACGGATGCGCTGGGCGATGGCGAGCTCGTCGTCGTCGTCGTCGCAGCGGACTCGGCGTCTGAGCGCACGTTGGTGGGCGGCTCGGCGACCGACGCGGACGAGGACGCGAAGAGCGGTTTGGCGGGCGCTTGCTTGAGCAGAGCGTACAGCGCGTCGGCGTCGATGCGCTTGAGGGAGGCGATGGTGGCCGACGACATGTTGTCGGGTGAGTGGGCGAGTGGTGTGGTGACGAGGCCTTCGACGTCGCTCCGGCACGGGTTCGTTCTGATAGGCGTGGATGCGATGCAAGATACTGCAGCAAACAAAAACCCCGCGAAGCAAGGGCCAAGGCAGGTGCTCCCTCCGATGCAGGAACAGCGCACGCGGCAGGCGTATGTACGACGTATCTACGCCCGGCGGGCCGCCAGCAAGCAGCACGTAAGATTAGAATTGTGGGGTTCCCGTCTCGCGCAAGCGCAAGGCTGTCCAGTGCAGACCAAAAGGTGGAAAATAAGTATGGGTCCCGGTCCGCAGTAAGCAGCAAGTCGCCCGGCGGGGTCCGCTTCTGCACGAGTGGGCCGTGGGGTATGACGAAGGAGGGGTAGAAGATATCTAAGTAAGGGACGGTCAAAAGCCAAGATTCAACCAACTGGATGCCTGAAGTGCTATCTCTGTCGTTACATTCCCCACACAAATCCCCTACCTCGGCAGACGGCCCCAGACGGCTCCAGCCCGCCCAGTTCGGCGGGGCTTAGTTTCAAGATTGGACTGTCGAGTCAATCGCATTTAATGAAAGCTTTGATTCCTGAGCATTGCCTTGACTCATCTGCTATGTGTCACTCACTGCAACCACACCGTGGGCACAATAGGCCGCGAAGGCCACCTTTTCCCCATATTCAGCAAGGACGACAAGTATGTAGCTATCCCCATGCTGGGATCGTCTTGACAGAAACACATTCGGAGATACTACCGTTAACCCATTCCACTCACATTAATCAACTCCGTGCAACCAGCTCATCTTGAATCAGTCACTTAAAGTTTTAACAGCTTCCGTCTTCCTCTTTTGCACTCTGATACCATCTTCTTCTCATAAAGCTATAGACGTAGATAAGCAGCTAAAGAGGAGTGTATAGAGCATATGAGGACCAAAATGGAACACTGAAATAGTAAGACGCGACGGCCGATTCCTATATTCTTCGATCTACTGATCGTACACAATACATCAACAATATTTAAAACATGCAATAGATATTATAAAGCAAACTCTGGCTTCATGGGTTGTTCCTTGACACTCGAACTGATATATCGACTCGCTTTTTATGATTTTGGAAGGGTTTCAAGATTGATAGCTATTACTTTTTTGTTCAGATAAGCGGTAACTACAACAACAATCACTTCTACGCTACGGCCATTGTCCATAAAATTCTTGCGACCCCGATAAGTTTTTTAATGCCAAGCACGGAGCACAATACCGATATTCAGTATCCAAGTCATGGCCTGGGTTGGAATGACGTTTCCTTCGTACTTATGTGCACCATTTAGAGGGTTCAGAAATGCAGGAAGCGATACCGCTGGTGCACTACTGACATCAGTCGCGAAAACGGCTGAATCGGGTGCCAGATACTGCTGTTTTAGTGCTGTGCCACTGTAAGTCGCACAAAAATATGCCCTTGTATTCCCTGCGAAAGACACCAAATTCCTAAATGGGGCGGTGAAAGTAAAGGTTCGGATGCAGATGCAGGTTTAATATCACACAGAGGGATTTAGACATGGCTTTCAACAAAAATGAAAAATTCTAACATTCACGCCCAGATGATAGCTTCTACTGCCCACATAAATCGAGTGTTGGTCTTCGTAGAGAAGATTACGAAGGATCATATCTTCTGGAGCCTACAATGGTAGACATAGATCCTAATCCTTGTATTCATGGGTACTTGAAAACGATCACTTTCATCATTGACTCTTTCACACTGATATCTAAACAGACTTATGTTAAAAGACAGGAAAAACAGAAAAAAAGAAGAGAGCTCCAAAACAACACCCGATTCAAGAGCAAACAGAACGCCAGACGCAAAACCAGCAACTTCCTTGAGGGCATGATACCTCCTACCCTTCAGTACCAGACCAAAGATGAAACACAAAGTATATGCTACAGGACTCTCCGTAAGTCCTCAACTCAGATCACATCCCCTCTCCTCGCATTAATTGCATGGTCTTTCATCAATCCGTTTTAGCGCCACCTCCATTGACTGCGCCCAAGATCCCATCCTTCTCGTTGCCTGTCGGCAGTTGGAAGAAGCCAGCGCTGGACCCGAATGGCTTTCCGCGCCTAAAGCGGCCACGGCCGAAGTAGGTCGCAGCGACGACAACGCCAAGAGTGAGGCCAACGGACAGGAAGGGATGGCCGGTCAAGAACTGCTTGATCGTAAAGAAGAACATCGAGATAGCGCCAATGGTGGACTTCGGAGTGAGAGCCGGCGGATCACGAGTGACCTTTGAAAGCGTCTCAAGAATGGAAGTGCGGGAGGGAACGATTGGGTTTCCGGTAAACGTCTGGTCCCAGTAGCGGCGGTTCTGTAGAACAAATGGTTAGTAAAACGCCCATTTCTCACGAGAACCATTTACTCACGTCTTCATCATTGATGATGACCTTCTCACCATCCTTCACATCAATGCCGTAGGTAGTCCTGATCCAGCGCTCCCAGAAGATGCCATCAACCCAGGCGAAAGCAACCTCCTTGTGCTCTATCTCATCCATATTGATGCGGATGCTCTTGGCGGCGCGAAGAGCACGTTGGTCGTTACGGTCCTCGGCTTCCTCGATTCGCAGCTGCTTCGCATCGCGAAGCTCCTGTCTCTCGAGCTGGAACTGCTGAGTCTGCTTGTCTATCCATTCGATGGCCGCATTCTTGATTTCACGCTTCGCGCTCTCAAACTCGTCCGTCCTCTCCCGGTTCAGTATACCAAGGACAACAAGCTTGCCGTCCATGATCTCCTGGGCGTTAGAAGAAGTGAGCTCCGGAACAATGGGCAGCCAGACGGACTTCATCCAGCCCAAGACTTTTCTGTAGTCGCGCATCTCCCTGGGCGCGATCGGGGTGTAGTAGCTCGGCTTTCCATCCCGGCTCACTAGCAGCCTGGGCCACGTGGAAATCTTGAACCTTTCATGCAGCTTGGGGTCCTTAGTCTTGACTAGCTTTGCATGTCCAATCAGGCTGAGCGTCAATCTTTCCAGTGCTGCGAAGTCTTCGCTGGTAGTAGCGTGGTCGTAGTTGTAGAGGAAGATGACCTCCTCCTTCTTCTCCATCTCAGCAAAAGATTCGGCGTCGACATCGGGAACACCGTCGCTGCTCTCGTAAGCACCGTTGGCGTAGCTGATCAGATCACCGACGCCCCGAAGACCATCATACTCGACGCGCTCGCCTCCGCGGAAGAACAGAATGGTGGGATAGCCCCTCACGTGTGCGTCTTTGCAGAGCCTCTTCTCAGCATCGCAGTTAACCTCGCCGACATTGAGTTTGCCCTTCATCTCGCGAGCCATACTCGCCCAATTCGGCTGCATGGCCTGGCAATGGTGGCACCAGGGCGCGTAGAACTTGACGAACCATGGATCCTCCGTCATAGTGACCAGCTTCTGGAAGCTCTCGGCGGTAAGCGGGATGGAGGTGCCTTGAGGGTTGTGTTCCGGCTTGTGCTTTGTCTTGGTACCGGTTTCCTTGGTACTAGCAGCATCTGCGGTCTGGCTCGCTACTTCATTGTGCTTGCTTGCTGCGGCGGCACCTCCAGCAGGGTTCTTGTCCTTGTTGGCGGGCGTATCGGGCTTCGCGTTGGACTCGACGCTCTTTGCGCCAACCTCGGGCAGCTTTAGCCCATCCTTAGGCCGAGAACCAGGCCTAATAGTTTCCAGAGACTCCTCAATCCAATCCGCGAAGAACTTAATCTTGTCGGCACCAACGTGCCTTTTGACTTCCTTGCCGTCCTTGAAAAACACAATGCTGGGGTACGAGTGGATTTCCTTGGCGGCGCAGCCGTCACTGTAAGCGGCACAGTTAAGCTGTGCAAAATTAAAATCGTAGTAGCGCGAGAAGGTGTTCAGGTGGTCGCCGTCCTTCGAATCGGAGCCGGGAAGTGGGTCTTGGGTGTAGTAGAACTCGTAGAGAGTTTGCCAAGTGGGAGCGAATGCCTTGCAGTGATGGCAATAGGGCGAGAAGAATTCCACGAGCCTGATAAATATGTAAGCAGCGGCATACAGCACCAATGCGATAGAAAGACCAACCAGTTGCCTTTGGAAATCTTGGAGTCGATATTATCGGTAGTCAGCTGGGTCATGGGCGGCACCTCCTTGCCGTTGAAAACGGTAGCCTCCTTCTCATCGCTGAGCTCTTTCGGGTCTTTGGTGGGAGGCGATGCGAGGGCGGAGGAGAGCAGAGCGAGCGACAGGAATGAAGAAAGTAGGCGCATGGTGGGCAACTGCGGAGAATGACAGGTAGCTGGATTGGCGAGGCCGCGGGGGGCCGATGGAGGCGGGTCGTCAGGTCGAGAACAGGGCGCGCATCTACGGTCGCAGTGGTCGAGGGAGGGAACGGGCGGCCAGCTGGAGCGTGGTGTGCCGCGGTCGACACGGTGGTACGTGGATGGTCGCGAAAGGGAGGCCGCTGCGCAGCGGGAGCTCAGGGCGGCGTTCAGCCGCCAGATCGACAACGGGCACCGCCCGGACCGACGCCAAGACCCGTCGGGGCGCATTACACTTACAACACCTCTCACTGGTCCGCCGCCAATTGCGTCCCCATCACACCCCAATCCGCCATCACACACGCCCGCCATGAGGCCAGCCCTGCGTCTCCTTGCCGCCGTCAAGCCCGTCGGGCGCGTCCTCGAACCCGGCGCTCCCACCGGCCTTTGCGGCCTGCTCACCCACCCTGCGCCGCGCTCGACCCTCGTCTACCTGTACAGCAGGACCCTCGACAAGCTCAAGCAGTTCCCCGAGTCGTCCGTCTACCGCCAGTCTACCGAGGCTCTGACCCGCCACCGCCTGAGCATCATTGAGCGCATTGAGCCTGCCGGCCTCAAGGAGTGGGAGGAGCGCGTCCAGAAGCAGGTCGAGGCGAATCCGGACGCCTTCGAGAAGCACGGTGTTGCTGTCAGGCGGACTGCCGACGGCAGGGCTTTTATCGTCGTCCGCCAGAAGGGCGAGGTCGACGAACGTGAGGAGGAATGGGACGGCGAGATTACCAGCGACCCCGAGCCCGAGGGTGTCCGCTCGTCCGCTGAGAGGCTGGGTCAGAAGGAAGCATTTGGCCATGGCAGACCCGACAATCTTGAGAAGGCGCAGGATTTCGAGATTGAAAAGGAGCCCAGCTTGACCTTTGAGCAGTATGTTGTCTCTCCGAAAAAAGCGTTCTGGACACACAGAGGCTGACATGGATCGAAAATAGGATTTCCACTGCTGAGAAGGAGATTGGCGCTGGTTTGATCGAGGAGGTCATCCAGGTTGCTGAGGGCGAGCTCAGGCTTGCTCGCGAGATGCTGGAGAACAAGGTGTACGTTGTTGCGATCTCCCAAGTTACATTTGCTCAAGTACTGACTTCATATTAGGTGGGAAGAGCTATGCGAGAAGCCCGCGGAGGGTCAATGGTCTTACTTCGAGAGGAAGCAGTAAGCCAGCCCTGTATACCAAATGTACATTTCACCTAGAGCAATGGTAGTTCTGAGCGTATGTGGTGCTGAGGTGCAACCGTAATCCATGCATTGCTGGAGTGAAGCGTGGCCGTAGATGAGCAATTAACTCATGGTCTGATATTCGAATGCGCTCTTGATTGGACACAGAAAAGTTCTCCAGTCTTCGCACGAATAGTGAGCGGGAAGAGGACTTTTCTGTATTTGTGCTGAAGCGTACAGTATGAAAGTCAACCACTTGGCTCACTTTCAACAAAAAAAAAAAAATAACGTTATAGCACAAAGCAAGCCATAATTTTAGTGGTTATATGGCTCTTACAACCTCACATTTATTTGGCATCGATTCTTTTCTTTCAATAGACATCAAGTCAACCGTTTCTATCAGGATTGCTTGTTACAACTGATGGTAAGGGGATGACACCACAAGTTTTCACATCCCAGCAGTCGATGAAGATTCAGGGGAAGTCTCAACAATCCCTAGAGCTCGATATCTGAAGCTCTAAATGAGTACCGCAATGATGCAGTGTTCCAACCTCAGTCACAATCCGGGCCTGACAATTGACGAGAGGTACATGCCAAGTCTCAAACTCGCCAGACGCCACCTACGAATCATCTTGAAATAAGTGATAGGTGATGGAGCGAACTTCTTCGGTCCGCACATTCAGCTACCTAACTATACATTGACAATGGCGCAATACGCGACATTGAGTTCGTCTCTCGCCTCTCGTTTCACCTACCCGTCCATTCAGATCGTTTGTATAGATGCAGACACTTCGTGTCAATAGGAATGACAAGAAAAAGGGAAAGATAAACCGCTCATTTCCCGTAAATCAAACTTTCTTTTTCGCAAAGAAGAAAACTGAAACGTGGAACTGCGCACGCATCAAGAAGGGTGTCGCGTGTGTAGAAGGCAACAGAGTGGAATAGGTGAAAAGAGGGGGCAGAAACCCTGGCCATCTAATCCGTCATGGAAGGCGAACAACCAGGTCGGTTTGTGCGAACTAAAGGATGGGGATACCAGAATCCCTACGCCGTCACTAATCCGCTAAAAACCCCTACATGCGAACTCAGGAGGAAGGTAATAGATGATAATCCTGTCGTCCAGCCGTCCATACCTAAGCGTGTTCTCCAGAAATGTCAAACCCCTTTGACCCCGTAAACCCCCAAACCGTGCTACCCGTAAGAACCGTTGCAATCGTACAATAGTAAAGGCGAGCGAAAAAGAAAAGAAATATTTTCGGCTACCACCGAATAAAGCCCCTAAAGCCGCCCGCGGTGGTCTTGGAAAAACAAAAGACCCGACTTGAAAGGTATCAGAAAAGAAATAATGGGTATCCTCATGCGCCTTCGCCAACCTTGGCCTCCGAAGTCTCTTCCTTTTTGTCTGAACTACTGGGTGGTCGGTCGTCGTCGTCTCTAACGTCTCCTTCAGTGGATGCATCCTTGTCCTTGTCCTTCTCGTCCCCTTTGTCGCCATCATGGCTCTTCGCCTCAAGTTTAGCTTTCCGCTTCGCAGTCCAGTCGCTCAAGCTCATTTTGGCTTTGCGTTGTACCGGGCTAGGGGTAACCACGGTCGAAGGCGGTGCCATGTCAACGGGAGATGATAGAGATATTGTAGGAGCGGATGGAGTGGGGACGGCGATATTTTCGGTGACGAGAGACAATGGTGCAGGAGCATCGGCGGTAGACGGGGGAGGAGGTGTTGTGGCGGAAGCGCGAGGCGTCTCAAGTGTTGGTGCGGGTTGGAGCTCAACTCGCAAGCCGGGCGAAGTGGCCTTCGATTCCATGGTTGGTGCGCTTGAGGATGCTGGTGTGCTACTTGGCGATACTTCCTCGGGCGGGACTGCAGATTGAGGGGGCTGCGACGGGGGTCTTGCAGGTTGATCTGCAGCAGGCGCATCCGTCCGCGGTGAGACGGGTTCATTTTCCTGCTTTGGGACTTCGGCCGGTGCAACTGCGATTGCATCCTGCATTTCCACGTCCTCCTCTGCTTTGAGTGGAGGCGAGGCCGCCTTTGGTGGCGCCGTCGCGGAATCGGTGGTAGAATGCGGTTTCGCAGCCAATGCAGCAGCCGATGACGCAGGCTCGTCCACATCCATCCTGTCGTCTGGTAAATGCGACGCAGATGGGCTGCATTGTACGGATTCCGATCGTTCCCTGTGCACTCTGACGTCGTGCGTGCGGTGCAAAAGCGATCGCAAAAAGGAACCCTTTGGTTTCCGGCGCGCGGCGGCACAAGGCACCAGCGACGGAAACTCCTTGTCCGGCTCGGTCTGCACGCTTGAATCCTTGTATTCCAGTTTCTTAGGCGCTACAGCCTCTTTTGGCGCACGTGCGCCAGCCCGACGTTGATGCGACGAGTTATTCGATCGACGGCCGTTCATGTTCTGCGAGCGAGAGTTCGGGTCTGCAGCCCGAGATTTGGACGCAACAGCCGGGGAGGGGAAGGATGACTCTGAATGGCCAAGTTGCTTCTGAGACGCGGGTTAGCCTTTCTCTGACTAGCTAAAAACGGCGTGCTTACTGAAGTTGCCACACTGGGGGTATTGAGGGCCGATCCAGCGCTGTTCCTTTTCCTCTTCCTCTGGGCATGTTGCTCATCGTGCTCGAGTTGCTCGAAGAGCTTCTCCTGCTGCATCAACTTCCTCTTCTCTCGGTCCGACATCTCCACGCCCAGCCCGACGGCATTCTCGTTTGAGACATGGGTCATCGGGGTGATGTCTCGGCTGGTCGGTTTGCTACGGGATGAGCCGGATACCGAGCGACTGTCAGCATTCTCGTCGTCGTGGTCGGGGCGGTTTCGTGCTTCGCTGCCCGCCCGACTGTTTGTTGCCTGGCCGGTGCTGAGAGGAGAGTTCTGATTGCCGTTTCGCCTGGGTTTCTTGGACTTGAGCGGTTGTGCGTTTGACGAGGCGAGTATGGCGGGTGCGTTGCGTCGGTCGGCAAGGGCGAGAGGGCACTCCATAATCGGCAATTTGCACGCGCATCCACCGAAATTGGAGAGCACGCCGGCGACCCAGTGCGACACTCCCTCGACCTCTTGGATACCTCGCTCGTGGATGTTGCCGTTCTGAAGGGACGCCTCGAGTGCGTTTTTGACGTCCTTGTCGATGTCCCAGCCGATACTGATTTCCTCGCCTGCGTAAATGTTTTCAAGCGCGATGAAGCAGAAATGGTACTCGGACTCGCCGGTAATCAGGATCTGCATGCGCACGTTAGGTCTGCAGCTGCGTCGAATGTACCTCAGGAGAGTCCCTTCGTGCCTGGTGTCGATATACAGCGGAAGGAAGGGAGCGAAGAAGACGAATGGTGTAGGGTGCCGGAGGGATCCCCAGCGATTTTCCGGATTCGAGCAGTACTCTTCTTTCCTTCCGATCTGGCCTTTGAGTTCGCCGACGAATCCACCGTACGGAACTTCAGACTCGACGGTAATCCACTTGAAGGTAGGGTGAGGGCCTTGTGCGGTTGCAATAGCGCCGATACCGGTATTCTCCTTCAGGACGGGGCCGTGTTCCTCTAGTGATTTCATGGTGCCTTCGTGCCGCTGGAAGATCTGCTCGCGGGCCTTTCCTCCGGAAGCTTGCTTCGTCGCCTCGGGATCCCAGAGCCAAGTCTGCAGGCTGTTGGTCACCGCCAGATCGCTGAACGAGTTCGCTTCGATCTGGGTGTATTCGGGATGCTTGTAGAGTTGCAGGAACTCGTCCGAGAAGTAATCAGGCGCATAGCCGGTCGGGATGGGAGGGCCAGGCGACTTGACCGGGCTGTGGACGGGCTGCGCGGTAGACGCAGCTCGCTTCCGTGACCCGGCAGCCGGCTGATTGAGAGACGAAATGGATCCTGAGGTTTTGTGGTTGGTCTTTGGCCGCTTCGACGGAGGCTGGTGGTCTTTGGGGCTCCCGCTTTTGCGGTCCAGGGCAGCAAGAGTGTCGTCGGCGTGTCCGTTGGTGAGCGCGACGGCGGCGTTGACGTCCTTCAACTTCTTCTTGTGGCTCTTGGCGGCCGGACGCTTCGGCTTCCTCTCGATCATGTAGGTCATATTCTTGAAGGCCTTCTGACGCTCCTTGATACGTGCTTGGTCGAGGGCTCGCGGCTGGCAGTCGGCGCATTCGTGGACTCGAGGGATCTGGTCTTCGTCATCGTAGTAACAGAGAACGTGCTGCCATGTTCTGCACACTTCGCACAGGACGCTGCTACCATCATCGGCCTCGTAGCCGCAGATGCACTTGATTGTGTCGGAAACGGGCTCTTCGTCGGGCTGAGGAGCGTCCGCCACCGGTCGGCCATTGGGAACTGGGTAAGGAACGGGCGCGAAAGGAGCCCTGGGGCTTAGCTGAGGAACAGCATGCGTCTGCAGCAAGGGGATTTCTGTCATAATCCGCCAGGTGTTAGGTGGAGATGGAGGCGGCTCAGTCTCTTCGTGCGTTGAATTGCATGACGGCCGTCGCGGCAGCGCAGGGACGTCAAGCAAGACCTCGGGCGAGTCTGCAGGCTCCCTGGATCGCTCTACGAGCCTCCTTTGAGCGAGGGCAGGCTTTGTACGATCGTGGCGGGAGTCAAAGGCTGGCACGAGTCGACGCGACGAGGACGGCTGCGACGGGAGGGGAGGCGGAGGACAGCAGCAGCAGCGACAGCGCAGGCGAGCACTCGATCAGCGGCGCATGCGACGTTGGCGTCTCCGGCAATGGATGGGCTCTCGAGGGCGTGGTGGGCGAGCGAGTGCGTCCGAGGGCTAAGCGTGGGTCGGGTGGGCGGTGATGATGCGCGCGAGCGGCGGTGGGGATGTGAGACGTGGGCGATTGGGATGCGGTGGGCTGGAAGAGGGAGGAGCGAGGCACAGAGGTGGAAGAGCCAGGAGAAGGCAGCGGTGCGCGAGGAGAGGCGGGTTAGGACAGAGTAGTGAAGACCGGAAGGGCGAGCGAACAGCGAATGGAACGGGACAGACGAGACGAGCGATGGCCAAGAAACGAGGGGGTAGATTGACGTTATTTATTCTGAATGGAGTTTAGCTGTTATGGTTACTAAGCCGAGCCCGCGGGCCTGGCGGCATCGTCGCTCGAGGCAGCCCACAGGGGGCGTCAGGCCTGCTGGGGGAGAGCTCGCGCTGGTGGGCTGGCGGGTAGCTGGTGGGTGACGGCGGGCGGGCGACTTGCGCGATCGCGCCGCCGGCGAGGGGCGAGAGCGGCAGAAGAGGAGTGCGACGACACAGGATTTGGGAGAGCAGACGGGGCTTCGCTGAGGGCAAAAATAGAACCGCGGGTCTCAACCTGTTATCGCGCGTGGTGCCTGCCACTGCCCGCCACTCGCGACATCGCTGTGGGCCCCCCGACGCTGCAGCGCCCAGGGGCTCTGAAACGCCGGCCGCCCACGCGGCGAGGCCGCACCCCCCAGCCCGCCCAGCACCCAGCAAGCCGCGCACAGCTCTTTTCCATGGCTGACTGAATCGCCAGCCTTTGCCCGACCCGCTGCCGATCACGCTCCCCGAGCCCCTCACCGGCCGCGTTTACGGCCTGCCCCGCGGATAATGTACAACGTCATGCGGTCATTGTACGTTTCTTCATTTATACTTCGCCTTTTGCATTCACCCGGCCTCTGACTCCGGAGCACGTCTTTCCTTCTCTCCGGCTGTGTCAAAGCGAGCCATTCGTAGTCTCCGTATATCAGTCCCCGTCTCTCCGCCCATGAACAATGGCCTGCTCTGTGGGATTCGTGCATTCTCCTCTCACTTTTCTTTCCTGGCTTTCGAGCCATGCGTTTTCCCCATTGGCTCGCCCCTGGCATATCTGCAGTGGTCTTACTGCCCGCTGCCCAAGCCGTCCCAAGTCCCGGGTCCATTGGTTCAGATCTCGCTATCCTGGTCCACAATGATTTATCGGGTATGCTTTGTGACTGGACGACGTTGTTTTTTACCGCTCATATCACCGCCTTTAATCTGGCTCAAGTAGGGCTCCGGGGCGGGTCCCGCGCTCGCCCTATGCCCTCTTCTGCTTGCAATGATCTGCGCGTAGATCTAATCTGAGCACAGGCAACCTGAGCCCCCATAACGCAGCAGCCATCTTGCTAAGCACGCCCCAGACACTAGAGAAAGCTCGGTCGAGCTGTGCCGCACTTGGGGAACAGCTCTGGGACCCACCTGGAAATGTCTCAGCCCTACCGCTGCGTCATCTTGGCCTCACGGATTTCTGGATTGATCGAGGAAGCATTGATCAGACTGGAACTGTCTCAGCCCAGCGCCACCAGGCGAAATTGCCCGCGCTTTGCACGCAGTCTGCTCCGCTCTCTACGGCCAGCATTTCCAACACCTCGGTGCAATGGCAGACCGCTGTGAGCTTGGGAAATCTTGAAGTGACCGGCTATCGAGTAGGATCCACATAGACAACCTGGTGCTCGTTTCTAACACGCCCCTTTTTAGGACAGATTGACTTTCCGCTTTGAAGGTCTTCGCTATGCCCCTAAGCCAGAGCGTTTCACGTACTCAACCCTATACGATGGCGCTGGAAATGTCTCGGCACTCGCTCCGGGACCTCAGTGCTTCTCCTCGGGTTGTGCTTCTGCGGCTAGTCAGAGCGAGGATTGCCTTTTCTTGAATGTCTGGACTTCGTATCTGCCCAAAGACTCATTTTCTACGCCAAAGCAAGAGTTGAAGCCCGTTATGCTCTGGATTCATGGTGGAGCCTTCACCGGCGGCACGGGCAGTGATTCAACCTTCGATGGCGGAAACATGGCGTCTCGTGGAGATGTGGTGGTTGTAACAATAAACTACCGCCTTTCCACTCTCGGCTTCTTGGCTCTGGATGACGGTGAGCTAAACGGTAATTACGGCCTGGCAGACCAAATTACCGCACTGGATTGGGTGCACGCGCACATCTCCGACTTTGGCGGTGACCCTGAGCGCATCACCATTTTCGGTCAAAGCGCTGGTGCAGCCAGCGTCAGAGCGCTTCTTGCGTCACCCAAAGCTATTGGAAAGTTTAGAGCAGCAATTCCCCAAAGCAATTTGGCCGGCATTAACTACGGGACCACATACTCCCAATACTACACCATCGAACAAGAAGTGGCAGTAGCAGCAGCCCCGATTCTGAATGAAACCGGGTGCGTCAATACCAGTGATCGCGCTGAATGCCTTCGCAGCTATGATGCGTGCCAGCTGGTGCGACTTCCGGATGTCGCTCGGTAAGTTCTGCTCGCCACGCGAGGCCAAAGTAGCACAACACTGCACGAGATCCTCACAAAGTCCAACAGCTATCTCGTCGTCGACGGCACCTACCTCACCACCCCTAACCTCCCCCTCAATGGGAACGGCCCGGCGGCCCCCGTACCCCTCCTGATGGGCGTCATGCGTGACGACGGCGCAGCATTCCTCTCCTACCCCTCCGCCAACCAATCGTTCCAGTCCTTCCTCGCCGCTTCAGGCTTCCCCTCGGACCCCAACGTAACCTCTCTCTTCCCCATCCCGCACGCCCTCACCCCAACCAACACCTCCTTGGCTGTCTTCAACGCCTCGGCGCGCCTGGCCACGGACGCCGAACTGCGCTGCCTCGACTACGCCACCGCCTACTCGGGCGTCAGGAACGGCGTCTTCCCCAAAGTCTTCTTCTACGAGTTCGACCGCTCTTACCAGATCCCCGGCTACAGCCCGAATTACCCGACGTGCGAGGCGCCTTCGACGGCCGAGCACCCCGGCGGCGACCCGAGCCTCGAGTACTTCAAGTGCCACTCGGGCGAGCTGCTCTACGTCTTCGGCAACATCGTGCGCGAGGGGCTGCCGCCGCGCGATGACGGTGACATCGCCTTTGCGCAGATGGTGCTGGACGCGTGGACGGCGTTCGCGCGGAATCTGGACCCCAGCCCGGATGTAGCGTACCTATTGAGTCGAGGCTACGGCGACGGGCTAAAAGCAGCTACGGGGAGGAGTGGTGGTGGTGGTGGTAGTGCGCGGTGGGAGTCGGTGGTTCCGGAGGCGCCGGTTTACCGGGCGTTGAGCTGGCCGGTTAGTGTCGACGAGGGGTTTAGGGATGCGGCGCAGTGCGATGCGTTGGGGCTCCCATTGGACTACTATGAGATTGGGTCCAGGTAGGATAGTGATGTAGTTAATGGAGAACTTCTGAGGGAAATTTGCGTGATTGGATCTCATTGACTTCTAGGTACTTCCTTCGGTCTCAACAACTTCTAGGTCTCGTTATAATCCAAGATAATGTGCCTAAACAGTAGAGGTCAAAAAAGAATCCACCCAAGACACGTTACGGCTTTTCAGCCGTTCCACCAAGACCCTAGACTTACAGCTTCGCGCTCTCGTGGATATTTCTGCCCGTCTGTGTCGCGCCAACCGCGCGCAGTTCGTTCCACACGCCTGTGCCCTCATCCCACATGCTGTCCTCCCAGATGGTGAGCTTACCTTGCGGATCCACCATCCGCACCTGCCTCGGGCCGCTCGTACCCCACTCCCGCCTCAGCTCGTCCAGCTCGCCCTTGACAAAGCGAACGTATGGTCCGGTAAGAGCCGTCCAGGCCAGCTCTTTCTCCTCGTCCATCAGCTCCATCCCATTACCCCACCACCAGATTGGCTTGTCGGCAGTGTGCGTCACGCCCCAGCCAGGCGGCAAGAAGCGGTCGCAGCAGTGCAGCCGCCACTCGACGCGATAGCGGTATACGAGATCACCCGCGCCGCCGGCATGCAGCTTCTCGACGAAGCCGCGCTCCAGGTGGTGCACCTGCATGTCCGCGTATACCCTGCCGAACGCGTCGCGCCAGTCGCTCACACCAGCCGGCAGCTGGCCCTGCGGGTAGTAGTGCTGGATGATGACGTCGACGGCGGAGGAGGGGTACTCTGCGCACAGGCGCGTGCGTAGTGACTCGAGGTTGTTAGCCGGCGGGTACCACGTGCCGTACAAGTTGTGCTCGTCGCGGCACTCGCCCGTCATGAGGGCCACGCCGCGCGCCCGCATGCGCCGGGCGAAGTCTCCCGTGTCGATGTCGACGTAGAGGTTCTTTCGAACGAACACGCCGTCGACGACGGCGCGGAACTGGTGGCGTTGCATCCTCGGAATGGCGGAAAGCAGGCGGCGCGGCGGCAATGCTTTCAGGCGCTCGACCTTCTCGTGGGCCGGGAGAGACAGTGGAATGTCAAGTACGGTGAGCAGCTCGTCAAACTGTTCCTGCGCGGCGTCCAGCGACTTCGGCTGCATGCCCGGCCCATTGGACCACATGATGGCGCGGCGGATCACAGCTTTGTCATCAGGCAGGTAGAGGTCGTAGGCAAGCTGCTTGAAGGTGCTGTGCGACCCAGCGCTGTAGCCGGCCACGGTGATGTTGCCAGCGTCGCCGCCGAAGTAGCTGATGTTCTTGTGCGTCCATTCCAGGGCTAGACGCTGGTCCCAGAAACCCAGGTTTCCAACGGCCTCGCCGCCCGATGCGGCCTGAAGCTCGCGTGATGCAAGGAAGCCGAGGAGGTTGAGGCGGTAAGCAGGCAGCACGATGATGAAGCGTGCGGGTGTCTCGGATAGCAGCGGAACTGGATTGTAGTCATTAGGGTTTCCAACCTGCAGGAAGCCGCCATGGATGTAGAACAGTACGGGCCAGCCACCTGCGGGGGGCTCGCCAGCAGGAACCCAGATATTGAGCTGCAGGCAGTCTTCATCCCAGAGGTTACTGGTGTCCGGGGCATTCTCTACCCAAGATGGAAGACCCTGTGGGCACATGCTCGTGTTTCCTGTAAAGCGGCCGGGATTGGCGCGGGTACCGTATCGATAGCATGGCGGGAGGGGGCGCGGCAGGCGCCACCTGTATGGTCCAATTGGCGGAAGGCCATATGGCAGACCGCCAAAGTAGTGAGCAAGCTCTCTTCCCGAGCTCTTGTCCTTGATGGTGCTGCCTTCGATGAAGCCGCGAAAGTGCAGGTCCCTGAGATAGGGTTCTCTGATGGTTTCAGGCATCGTTGACGGACAAAGGAGCAGACTGTAAGAAAATTTAGATGGTGATGAGACAACGGCTGTTGAAAGTGAGATAAATGAAGTTGAGCTCTCGGGTTGATCGGTCCACAGATCTGGAGCCGAGCTCGTCAGTTGTGGGTCATAGCGGGTGATGCAATGAGGGCAGAGCGGACCGCTGAGGGCACTCCGGGCCTGAGATAGAGTCCAAAGTCTCTGGCGGATTGATACCTTTAAATGATGGAGCCGAGCGGCATGGTAGGAAGGAGTGCGAACAGGGGACAAGGCCGAGGTTGGCGGGAAGAGAACAGGACCGACCGCACCCGCTTGATTGGTCGGCGTCCGTGCTCTTGAGCCTTCCTGTGACGCCACCTCCACAACCCTTCTCCTCTATCCCACTTTTGCATAAGTGCAACCCGCCCACATGTTACAGTCGGAGCTGATGCGCTCATACGGAGAACCACCAAAATCCAGCGCTGGTCGAGATTTGTGACCTGTGCGGCCACTACTTAACTGGGCATCCTAGCAGACGCTGTTGTGCCCAACGAAAGAACATTCCATATCTGTACAATTTTCAAACTCACGCCTGCGTCCAGGCATTTACTTCAACTGCTCACTTACGAAGAGCGCACCGCCGTTGCATCGTTCGCTTTCGGAATCTTCAAGCCAAATTGCTGACCAGAGCTCAGAAATAATGGTCTTGACATGTTTGCGTCACTCTCCTCTACACTTCTCCACGCTTCAAGGCGCGGCAAACATTTTCCCTTTCTTTGGTCTCATGGCTTTATACTTACCACTGCTTCTCTCGCATTGTTACAGGCGCAGAATATTCGTTGTGTTGTCATTCACGCACAGGGAGCACGCCGCATCAAATCTGGCCCCGTGGCAGGCTCTGATTGTTCCCCAACTGCAATGATATCTTATCACGCGCTGCGCCCTTCAAACCTTTTCGCAAACTCCTCTGCTACAAAGTATTCTCTTCTCAATACTTCACTTACAACCCTACTTGGGCCATACCTTTAAACTGACATTCCTGCCGTGGACAACACAGACTCCCGCGGTCTCAAGTTAACCATTCCTACTTCACCCGATACGGCTAGGCTTTACAGTGACTCCAAGGAGCCTTGGGCGCTGCAGCGGTTGACATCGTACCATACATATCAGCGCGACCTCAACCCAAGCGAGAACAGTGGTGCCCAGAAAGAGATCAATAAACCACGGCCACATACCATCTTCTCCTGCGTCCATCTTGGTTGTCCTTCCGTACGCCACTATCAACCTTTGACCAACCCAGGAAGGAGATGGTCCACGGTCAACGCGAATATCACTCGGCCATGAGCACCCCCGAACGTCTTCCTTCTATGCCACCGCTGTCCTATCAGGGCATGCCGGACAAGGATACCAAGAATCTAGAGATGCATACAATCCCTTTGGATGAGCCTAGTGAGTGTTGGCCTCCTAGAGACAACTCTGCGACTGTCTCAGCGCCGCGGGAGCTGCCACCTCGCCCTTCCGAACCCGCTCGCGACGGCGGATCTCTTGCATGGAGACAAGTGGTTGCCGCTTTCCTTGTTGCATTCAACTGCTTTGGTCTACCCTTGGCCTTCGGCACAGTCGTGCCTCATTACCAACCGTACTATCGCTCACGGATTGGCGAAAAAAGCGCCCCACTGCTTGCCTGGATCGGATCCACTCAATTGTCTTTACCGTTCATCTGTGCGCCACTCTTCGGTCGAATGTACGATCGCTCATTTGGATGCACTTTTTATGGGGGAACGTTCGCATTGCTGTTGGCGACGCTACTAACGTACTTTTCAGCAAATTTGGCAGTAACCTTTGTCCTGCAGGGCTTGGTAACAGGTATGACACTGGGTTTACTTTGCTGCACGTATAACAGAGTCCTTTGCAGCTGGTTCCAGAAGAACCTGGAATTGGCTTTGGGGGTAATTTCTGTTGGCGCCTGTGCGGGAGGCATCACCTACTCTTCGATCATACCTGTTTTGCTGCACAAAAAGGAGACCGGGATCCAGCAGGCATTCTCACATCGCCTTTTCATCATGTTTCCGACCCTGTTGCTCGCCAATACCATGTTGCGCCCCTGGCCGGGTAAGCAGAAGAAAAGAGAGAGGAAAACGAAAGCCAGCAATTTCTCCATAAAGAATCGTCTGGACATAAGTTTCTGGCTGGCGCTCGTGGGCTTGTTCTTCTCATTCCTCGTACTTCCGATTCCATACTTCTACGTAACATTCCGTTATCTCATACGTGGGTCACAAGATGCTAACAGTTCCCCAGATCACGGAGTATGCCACAAGAGCCCTTGATCTGCCCCCTTCACCAATCCAAAGAACCAGCTTCCTTCTTGTAATGATCGCCAGTGCGCTCGTCGGCCGCATCACCTCGGCAATCATCGCTCGCCGTCTCCTCGGCCCGCTCACATCACTCGTTCCCTTTGCCTTCACAGGCTCCTGCGGAGCTTTTCTCTGGATCAACGCCCATAGCGCAGCAACGTTCTACATCATTGCCTTAGTCTACGGGATTTCCAGCGCCGGCATACTCACACTACACGTGCCCACTGTTGAGAGGATTACACGCCGGCCAGTGGCCGACTTCGTACTTGTCTCGCAAGAGGACCCCGACGGCGTGGCCCTGGATTGTCCTTCGACAAGCTTGGTAATGCTGATAGTTGTTTTGCTTGGGTTCGCACTGATGGCGAGCGGACCTCTGGCTGGGACATGCCTGATGTTGAATGAGCGGGCTTACGGAGACAGTGCGGACAGTTTCGTGGGTATGGCAGCATGGACGGGTTCGTGTCTGGCAGCTGCAGGGATGTGTTTTGCGGCAAGCAGGCTTTCAAAGGTAGGATTTAAGGCTCAGAAGATTTAAAAGAGGCCTTTTGGGCTGTGCTTGGACATCGGGTCTAGGCTGATGGAACTGAAAGCTTGAAGATGGGCCGAGCTGGTGAAGCTGAGAGGTGGAAACTTAAGTTTGCAGTTGAGGCTGGGGTTGAAAGGCAAGGTTATGAGCTAGAGCTTCGACCTGGAGGCCGGGGCTGGTTGCTGGTAGGATTGGCAAGAGTGCCTCAGGATTTGCCATGTATCTGGGTCACTGGGTGGCGGAGGAGTGTCCCGACACCAGCTCAAGTAGTCTCCGGGCGGCATCAAGATTATTCGATTGTCCGATGAGCATATTCCCAGGCGGTGGGCCTGGTGATATATATTCTCATGTTGAACGACAGGGTCTCTAGGTCGTTCCTGCCTGACCTGCACTCTGGATCACATGCACCAAACTTATGGATGCACCATGCATGTGAGCCATCAAGGTGCCTGCACTAAGCGAGCCGCAGTGCTACCGATATAAAGCTCGCTGCGCGTCTTCGTCCTCTTCTTCTTTTCCTCTCCACCCTCGACCGTCTCGGCACTCCACATGAGCGCCCGGTCGTTGGTCCGTTTGGCGGTATCGTAAACCGCCTGGTGCTTGCACCATGTGTCTACCTCGGTAGATCACTTACCAGCGGCGTTCAAAACAGCTGGTGATCCCTAAGGAACGCAACGGTACGCTCTAGCGTATCGCCTGGATAGTGTCCTAGTGGCGCTTCCCATTCAGATACCATTGAAAATTAGGCATTCTTGCGCTAAAAACAAAACAAAAAGAGCTTCATAGCCTACTCCGTCTTCCTGCATCAACGGCAAGTAGGAGCAAACCGACCTTTCAACCAGACCGCTCCTCACCTGTTCACTTCAACGGACCTTCTGGATTATTGTTTACGCCCCCCTCGGTGTACCTCCTTCAACCGCACTACCTCCTCTCGAAAGTCCCCCGACAGCCGCAAAGCGCGGCACGAACCACCGCTCTTTTGAGCAACCCGGTTACGACCTTCGGGTTACCAAAAAGTCAAATGTCCACATCTCAATACCTACTCTTCAACTACAATCACGGCAAAACTTCCCATTTCCGCTTTCACATGGATTCAAGAACTTTTTCTATCGACTGGTCAGCGCCATCAACTTCTCTTTGTTTCACAAATGGAGAGCTATGGCCAGGTAGTCATGGATAAAACAGATGGAAGATGCCGGGGTGCTTCAGAAGGGATAGACCTGCTGTGGGTAGTTCATCAATTGACAACCCTGTCAAAATTTCTCCATTGGCATAACAAGACTTGCGAAGTACGGTGTACTTGAGGCTCGACAGCGGCTAAAGCAATGACGTCGGTGAGCGCTTTCCAAAAGCCAAAGTAGGAAACAGCCACGGACCCGTGTACGCGCTGTGAACACCTAGTACCTTGCCAATCAGCAAGGCCCATGCTAATGAGCGAACTTTAACAACACTGCCAACCTCATCCCAAACTGTCGTGGTCCATTCATCTACTATACAACTTATTCAATAACAGCCAAACACCATGGCCTCAAACAGCAAAGAAAACGCCTCACCACGTCTACCAGCCGCGATGGCAGCGTGGGAACTTTCACCCGCCACTCATATTCCAGCCCACGCTGATGGATTGTCTGCGCAGGCTCTTTAACTCACCTCAGTACTCCGACCTGAAGATCAGCAGCGGCGACGGCACAGTCTATCATGTACACAAGAGCATCGTCTGTACCCAGAGCGAGTTCTTCGCGAATGCATGCAATCTAGAACCCGGCTTCAAGGTGAGAGAGCAGTTCCGCAAGATTTTCCACTACTTGAAACGCGGAAGACTTACACGCACATAGGAATCTCAAGATGGCGTTATTGACCTCACTCACGAGGATCCACGCATGGTCGAAGTCGTCCTCACCTTCTTTTACCATCACGACTACTATCGCTCCTCCGAATGGACCCCTCTTTTCCATACCCAAGTATCAGCCGCGGGTGATTTATACCAAGTGGCCGGCTTGACGGAATTGGCTCAGTGGCGCTTAGAGCTGGCGCTGCTTGACAGCAGCTTGAAAGATGGTACATTCTCAGCGACAGTGGCAGCTATCTACGCACTTCCGCCCGTGAAAAACCAAAAACTTCGAGAGATCGCCGCAAAAGTGGCTGCGAGGAATTATAGCAAGCTGAAAAAGGCCAAGGTGTTCACGAAGATGGCCTGGGAGATAGAGGATATCAGCATGGATGTGGCCGTGGCGTTGCAAGATGTCGAGGACGCGGGCAAGGAAGCTAGAGTGGAGAAAGTGGAGAGAAGACTGGTACTGCGGGAGGCTCCCCTCAGCGAGAGTGTTTAGGGTTGTTTGGGCCTCTATTTCTCGTACACGTTAGCAACAGACCCCCCATAGTTGAAAAGATCGCATGGTGATTGTATTCAGCTAACTAGCCGGTCTTTTATAGACCTGGTTGACTGATTGCTAGCATGTTTGCTAGGAATCTACTGGAAGTTGCCTGTGCCCGGCTTATTTTCCAGTCCCATAGCTAGAATAATGCATGCTTGATGACTCCCCTAATGCTTATAGTACGTGCCGGTTACAGCAACAAGGATGAGTGACTCTGCAGTTGCGAGCACGAAATGGCTTTCTTACTCTTGTGGGATGTGTCCTATCTTCGCTGCAAGTATTGTGAACTACTCATATGGGTAGCAGCTGGAAAATGCGGTAGAGTCAACTCGAGTACGGACGGGGCTGGCGTAAATTTGCTTTCGCTCGTGTCATGGGTAGCTGAAGCCATTGTGTGAATGCACATGTAAAATTAACAATTCTACATTTATGTCCAGACGATAGCTTCTACTGCCAGCTCCTTCATGACGAAGACTGCAGAGTCATATCTGCCCTTTGTTCCAGGCCCCTGCTAGTCCTTGCGTTAGCCTTCGGCTGTGATATCCTGCTGTATGTCTAGGTCACAAACAAGCCGCGGCCCACTACGCGATTGTCTTGAGAGACTATTATTTCTCTTTCTTGCCTAATTATCAAGTGACAGAATGTTATCTCTCACTCCACAAGCATTCTTTCCTCGCCCGCTCACCAGGAACGAGCACTGTCCACAATACCTACATACTACTACTATAGAGATGCAATAACTTGAAGAAAGGCCTTTCTTCCTTGCAATTCCCATAATGCCGCTCCTCTATCTAATTTTACCACGGCTATCGAAGAAGTAAGAGGGAAATAGAAGATGCGACGAACGCCGACCCAATGGATAGCAAGCCTCTGATGCGTGGCTCTAAATGGACGTGACACCGAGACTCCACCTCGCCCGAACAAAAGAAAAAGCACGACGCTCGAAGTTCTTGAAGATTAACGCCTGTGTCCAAACCAAACAATTGTGCCAGGAAGTGACATGACGGAGGAAAAGGAAGGAAAATGAGAGGGAGAGTAAAGCTTTGTAGAAACGGTGGACAACTATGCGATCGAAGAGCAAGTTGAGTAGGTGAGGCTCACTTCAACCCGAATCCTTCACTTTCCACAACCGCCCGCCATAGTTTGTCCACTAACTTCTGCCTGCTCTTGTATTTGTAAAGTTGCAGCATGTTGAAGCACGTGCGTGCGACTGGGAATCTGTCGCTGTCATCACCAAGGCAGCCAATTTTGATCACCAGATTCGTCGCCCCGACAGCTGGAATGCGGTCGGAGCCAGTGATGAAAGAAAGTATTTTGCGCTGATCAATAGGATTTGCTTCCGCGAACCAATCCCAGAACCAGCGCAGAACGAGGATCTGCTCACCGGGTCGGTCAACCTTGCGGCCACCGTGGGCCGGGTCACTCCACCCATCGTACACGGCAACAGCACGGAGCGAAGAAACATCAAGCGGCTCGTCAGAGCCACGGACCATGAGCTCGATTTCCTCGGAGCGGAAGAGGCTGAGTGCGTTACCGCCACAGACGGTGAAGAAACCGCGACGGAATGGATCGAACTGGCGAGCAACGGCGGTATCGAGGAAATACCGCACATACAAATCGACGAATTCCTTGCGATTGGCGTTGGTCACAGGGCGATTCTCGCCATTTTTACAAAGGGGGACTTGTTGCACCACGCCGTAACGCTCAACTTCAGCAACGAAATCGCGACAGAAAGTAGCTTCGACGTCGCCATCGAATTCCAGTAGCTGCCGCAAGCCCTTAGCAAGGCGTGGGCGGAATTCCGCCAGGTCGTCTAGCGTGTAGTCAATCCGGTTGCGCGATGCCGGCGCCACACCATTCTTTGTAGGAGCAGATGCGAGGAGCTTCTTGAATGCAAAAGGAGGTAACGCAACATCCAAGATGGTTGAGTTGTAGAGAGCAAGGCCGAGAACTGCGCCAACGAGGAAGAATTGATCCGACTGCTCGAAAGTGTTGGGGTTGAAATAACAGAATTGGGAGTCCTCATCGTATACAAACATTCCTGCATCCTGTTACGAAATGATTTCAAAGCTGCATAGGTCCACGCTGGACAGGAACAATTCGCACATGGAAGTACTTACCGTGATTGGGGTCAAAGAGCTCTCTGACCAGCATAAGGAACCATTCTTTCCGAAGGCCACCAGCATCAATGCCCTCTTCACCGACAAATTGGACTCGCAGTCCTTTTTTGATCTCCTCACCACCCCCACCGACAACCTCACTGATTCTGCGTAGACTGTCTTCCGCCAAACATTCTCTCCTGACGCGGAGATGGAAGTATTGCTCCAAGTTCTTGTTGCTAAGAATGCTGTCGAAGAAAGCCTCTCGAGCCTTATTCTCCATCTGTCGTCTGGCATCGTGCTCCATGATCTTGATCTTTGCGCCGATAGAAAGGAAGAACGGATATTGGCAAAAGGAAAACTTCCCCGTGCGTTTCTCCCACGCTTCAAAATCAGCGATAAGATCATGGAAGTCCAACACCGTGTTGTAGAAGTCGGAGGTAGGGAGGAGTTGTCCGTGCGCTCTGGCTCGCTCGCGTGCTGCCAGTCCAGCGCTAGCTTGACCAGCTACCGACGGGGAGTGGTTGACAGGGTCTGTCTTGCGGTTGTGGTACGTGTTATTCGCTGCAAATAGCAAAGCCATAACCTTGGCGGCAGCTTTGACTTGCCAGTCATCACTGTACAAGGCATCCCCTGCACGATCTTCAGACTTGGATCCAGAACCTGACAGGCCTAGCGCGGCATGAAGCTGGGCCGAGGTTGCACCCTGTGCTCCAAACTCGGGGATCAGCCCTGCTGTGGGATTTCCGCTGTTGCTCCGCTTCCTTGGTTGTCTGGTGAGACGATAGGTGATGAATTTGCCCACTAAATCAACCATGCGTCGGAAATGATCCTCAGCCAATCGGGAAAACCAAGTGGTGAGGTAGCGGTGGCACTCGTTATCCAGGTTAGCGAGCAGACCCAATATCCTCTTGATGATCCCCGAATGTTGACTAGGGTCTCTCTTTGCATTGCTAGCAGATCGCATGGGCTTTGGTGACGGCGGTTGATTCAAAGGTGGTCTTCCAAGCGGAGGCGGCGGTCCTAGTGCTGGAGGTTGATTTGGATTGGAACCTTGCCTCGGGCGGGTTGGTGGCGGCCGTCGCATTGGTGGCGATCTGGATCCAGAAGGCGCATGTAGAAGCGGATTGTAAAGAATGATCAGAAGGAAACGGAGGTCCTCGGGATCTTCTAAAGGACGTCCTGGGCGCTTCAGCAGATTCTCTGTTATTTTCAACAAAGTTCGCTGTACGTGAACTCGTGCGTCTCGAATTTCTTCGTCCGCCTCTTGAATCAACGGCTCCGGGAAATCCAGGTTCGGCATTTCTTCCAGCCGTGCCCGCCAATTAGTTCCGGCTCCATTGACAGTATCGTACCAATGCTGTACTTCCGTCCAGTTGATGAGCGGTGATTTGTGATTCACGATTATCACGTCAGAGCTTGACCGTCCGACATTCGACGGGGGAGCCTGCTTCGGTGATTCCTTTTCAGGTCGGCCAGGCCACCACGAAGCATTTTCACCAATATCTCCGATCATCAGCATCCTTGCGTCAGCCTCAAGAAAGAGATCCGAGTCAGCAGCTGGCGGCGGTGCCGCCTGGGGCGTCTGAATCGGCCTTTCGTTAGCCATGGCCCCTTCACTCCGAGTTCTCGGGGTATGGCGCGCTCTTCCTAGCATGAAAGCGGTATTCAGGCAGTCAAAGTTTCCGTAGCTGGCAATAAGATGATCTTCCAATGGCCGGAAGATTGTCTTCATTTGCTCGTAGCGCCGCCTCTCAGCAATTTCTGTCGGCGAAATTGGCGGCACTCCAGGAGCGGGTAGAGAGCCTGCATGGGGAGGGATTTCCCTTGGGGAGCCACGGCCTGCATATGGGCCGGGCGGTCCGGGCGGTGGAGGAGGCGGATGTACAGGCGGTGGAGGGGGCCTGCGGTTGGGTGGGCTGGGAACTGTGCCAGACCGTGGCGGGTGTCTGAGGGTTGGCGGAGGAGCAAAGATCTCTTCGGGAGTAGGAGGTCCCCGAGGGCCGTTTGGTCGGGGAGGCGTCCTGCCGTTCTTGAGCATGTCGGCACCGTTTGGCTTCTCCGCGGCTGACGGCGGAGAGACAGAGATCATCGGTCGGCTTGCGCTCTGCGCCCGCTGCCGGATCGGTATCGGCGCAAGACGAGCGTCTCCCGGTTTGCCTGCATCCAGACTCCCCCGTGGTCGGAATGCACTGTCCTGACTTCCTCTCGGCCGATCATCACTGTCTTGGCTGCTCCTGCTGCGCCGCTCTACCATGTTTTGCAGATATGTCTCCAGGCAACGATCTATGATGTGCTTCGCTCGATCCACCGTCAAGGGCATGGGTCTCTTTGGTTGGCCTGGGCTGCGGTCGGGCTTGTCCTGGCTCACGGGGACCAGGTCGTTGACCATCAAACATGCTGAGCAGCGGAATGTTGTGAGACCGCGGGGATAGCGGACCTTGGAGTCGCAGGTCAGACAGTTGGCAGTCTCCTCGTCGCGTCGGTCAAAGACGGGTGGGCCCCTCGCGGCGCCCATGGCGCCGTAGCTCGCAGGCGGCATGTAGCGGTCGGACTCGGGGAGGAAATCGCCATTCGGGGGCGCGTGGGGTCTGGGTTTCTTGCCGCCGCCGAAGATGGAGGGAAACGGGTGGCTGAGGGATCTGCTATGCTGTTTGTTGCCGAGGGACGGCATCTGGAGTCATGGAGGGGGTTCGCGGTAGGGGATGAAGAATAGCGTAGCACTAACGAGTCTTGCAGGCGGGTTAGCGATGTTGCGAGAGGCGAGCGTCGCGAGGGGGAGTTGGCGGGTGCAGCTCGAGGTAACGGGTGCGCGTGGAGCTCCTTCAACGACGTACCGTGCGCCGCTTCCTGCGCGTGTACGTGGGGCGTGAACGGGGCGGCACCTGCTGACTCGAGGTGGGCGCGCGGTGGCAGGCTGGGAGTGCTTGGAGGCACGGGAAAGAGGCTTGGTGGCTGACGAAAGCGGCGGTGGTCGTGATGGCGGGCGCTCGTATGCACGGGGAGCTAGCAGAAGCAGTCTTCACGAATGCTCATGTCGTGAAGTCTGGGGGGACTAGCGGGGCGCGCCGGGGCATGGCAAGCCCGGTGTTGTCAATAGTGTTTCAAGGTGATCTTCTCCGTGGTGGGAAATTCCCTGCAGGTACAAGAGGCCAGGCACGCAGCTGGAGGCGGGCTGAAGGGCTTGGGACGACGGGCGTACATCAAGGGTCTGGCCAGCATAACGTCAGCACGTAACTATTAACAAGCTAATTAACTCCGCATATGCCTGTCCGCGCGTCGCCCAGCAACCAAGCTGGCAGAGGCCCCGCTGCGATCGAGCGCCCCTCTTGGCCATCGGCTCGACGGCACGCCCAAGGCATCGCAATTCTATGCGCGTCTCGAGCCGGAAGCAGACAGCCATCACGCCTCGCATCCGGGGGGGCCATGGCTCCACCCGCCCACCGCACGCAGCCGCAGCCGCAGCGTCAAAGCGCAACCGTTCCCGCCGCCCAGCCTTGCCATCTGCTTGGCCTTGCACATCGCAGAGCACGCAAGGCATCGAGTCATTGTCTTGCACGAGCGCTGTCTCTCTCCTCTCTGGCCGCCAGCTCTGAACCGGACGGCCTGTCCCGCAGGGCACGTCGTTCGGACTAGCTTTCCGTCAAGCTTCTACGAACCAACGTCACCATCGCAGGGGAATTTTCCCGCGCTTTGCCCAGAGTGGCTGGTTCCGACCCAGCGGCTTCGCGCGGATCCGGAACGCTACGGGCGAGCATCATCGCGCTCCATTTTTGGGAGCCTTATCGGCGCCAATCGCCTGGCTGCCGACCCCCATGTCTGCCGCGGTGGGGCACCGTTGTGACACCATCATCGCCCGTGATTCTGCCTCGTCACTGCCGCCGAGATTCAAGGGTGTTGGCGGTGGCTTCTGTTGCGTGTACAAGAGCTGATCCTCTCTGCCAAGGCAGTGACAGCGCTGATCTGTGGGTATCTGCGTTTGATTTGGTCTCACCACTGCGAAATCCACTGCTGAGTGACTTTCTTGGAACCAACGCCCCGCTGTGCGGTGTTGAAGGCCCTGTTTCTTGTTTTGTCATCACCAACAACGCACAGTTCATGTCCATCTTAGTGTGATGCATTGTTCACCGCGGATCTAGGCTGCCGGAAGATCTATGGGCGTTCGACATGAGCCAGAGCCAACATCATGGTCGTATACGAGCAGGAAAGCGACTATGGTGGGGCACAGGACGTCAATTATTTACTTCGCGAGAGAGCATGAGCCAGATCGTGGATTACGGCGTTGGTTCGGATAACCGGGTTAGACATCACGAAATATTCGGAAATTTTAGCATACGGGGTGGAGAACTGGTAACTCCAAACTAATAGCAAAGATCAAGCACCTTGCTTTTCTTAATTGGTCGTTATGCGCCCACCCTTTACCGTGGTTCTCATGTTCCCAGGATCGTATATTGCTTCCGCCACGCTCTTCCTGCTTCTCCACCCAACACTAGCACCGTCGAAAATCACAAGGTCGGCAGGATCACCCGGTTTCAAAGAGAGCGATGGAGCGTTAAGACCAATAGCTGCTTTCGCCCTGTTTGAGACGCATTCCTGCAGGCAGTTAGTATGCAGCACACAGCAAAACGAACGCCGAACTCACATATAAGACTTCTGCATCCTTCCTGGTCGCAGCTTGATAAACACCAACACCCATGCTGGCGACTGCAAGTGGATCGCAATTGCCTTGCGGTGTGAAGGCGTTGCCGACATTGTTAACAGCGATGGCAGCCTGCAGACCATGCTCCTGGATCATCTTCGGCACATGAAGAGTGCCTCGCACGTTCTCCGTGGTTCTCATCATGAATAGGTCGCTTGTCGGCAGTCCCACAAAAGACACTGGGAGGTTGCCGATGGCCGCCTTCAGCTTCTTCCAGTCATCCGCCTGGAAGTAGGTCAAGCGCGTGCAGTGACCCATGGTGATGAGTTTTCCCTTTCTGTTCTCCCAACATCTTTCTTTGATGAGCTCCAAAGCGGTCCAGATGAAAGGCTTGGTGGATTTGTCCAGGTTGTAGTCCATATGGAAGTCCAAGAACTTGTCCTGAGCGAGAGCAAGAGAGCTGATCCAGCGCACGTTCATCTTCATCTTGATCTCATCCGACTCCACATACGGCGTGCTTCCCAGCACATCGACGCCACGCGTCTTGGCGGCAGCCATCATCAGCTTGCGGACAACCTCTCCGCCATCAACTCCAGAGAACAGCGGTAACTGGGCAAAGGCGCAGATCTGCACATCGCACTTGTTGGCAAATTCCTCCTTCAGCCGCAGACCAGCATCCAGGCACTTGAACTCAACATCAGCGTCGACCTCGACGAAGGCACGCATCGCAGTGACTCCGTGCTGTATGCTCTCTTTGATCAGCTGCCGTCCGCGGCGCAGAAGATCCTTTTCCTCGAAACGAGACTTGGCCCGGCTGGTCAGGTCCATGGCTTCTTGGAAGCTTCCGTCCACGATCTCGAGATCGCTGTATTTGGGATCCTGCAGAAGGAAGCATTTGTCCAGGTGGATGTGAGCATGGCAAAGAGAGGGAGCGACCAGACGTTCTTGTGCATCCAGCACGCTGGGTACATGACTGAGGCGGGGAGCATGCGGGTCGTGCTTCTCTACAGACGAAATGCGGCCATCCGCGATGCTGACATCCCACAGTTCAGAGGCTGGCAGGCCTGGCAGACGAGCAGCAGTGATCCTCGAGATGGTCTTAGGGGCGAAGACGTCAGAGTAGCGCGGTGGCGGCTGGTGAGATTTCGAATGCGGTGCCTTTGCGTCTGTGCTGGCAATTCCGTGGTCGGCCGACTTCTCATCGCTGAATTGGATCTTGGCCATCTCGGCGTCGAGATCGATGCCGAGCGAGGCGAGGTAGGCTCCGGCCATGGTGGTTGGTTCGTGAGGACGAAATATGTACGAGAGAAAGGCCGTCCAAGCGGCGATGTGGGAAAAAGACGAAGGGTATCGAGCAGCGCTAGCAAGCAGGAAGGAAAATGGACTGAAGGGACAGGAGCAGGCGTAGTAGGCGCTACTTATCGCGGGGCCGAAAATAAAGTGGAGGAGGAGACATCAGTTTTACATGGCTGGGCCGAGACTGGAAGCGTGTCATAGTTTGTTCGGCAAGCATCATCGTCAACCGTAACAGCTAAAGCGGCTGCAGCCGCCAGAGACAGCCTGTGGGACGCGTTAGGCCGTGAAGTAGAGCGAGCGGCTTGCCGGTGCAGTTGACCCCGCCCCCCCTAGCGGCGCAGCGAATGAAAAAGCATCGTGCTCTGCCTGCGCCCTTGTCTGAACGCGTCGCCCCAGTGCCACTGCATCAGCGCGCCGCACACTCCCGCCTCCACACCACACCTCCGTCGCCGAGTTCGCCCTCTCCATCATCGTCTATCCATTGCCTGCTGCTGTGTCGCGCCCATGATGCAGGCTCAGTACCGGAACTACCCGCCGCAGGCCGGCCAGCGAGCGTCGCCGCACGCCGCTGTGCAGAGACGTGGTCCAGGTAAGGTCGCTGCCAAACACGCGCCTTCTTAGCCTAAGCCGCAGCAAGCAGCGGCAAGGCTGCGCGCTCTCCTCCCCCAATGTCCCGCCCGCAGCCCCACGCTGCCAATCGCCCCATGATCCGCTTTACTGACCTGAGCACCACCATGCGCCACGGCATAGGCCCCATGGTATCGGCCGCCCACCCGCCGCCCATGACGCCCCAGCAACTGCAGGCCCAGCAGCAGGCCGATATGCAGAAACGCGAGCTGGCCAAGCGCCAGTCACGCAAGCCCACCGACAGGAACATGCCCGACGGAATTGAGGACCTGGTCGTTGGCGATGGTGTCCAGCGCTACCGCCAGCTGCGCGAGGCTGAACGCAAGCTCGACGCCGTCATGATGCGCAAGCGCCTCGACATCAACGAGAGCAGCGCCCGTAACTTCACCCGCTACCGCACCTTGCGCGTCTGGATCAGCAATACTGCCGACAACCAGCCCTGGCAGAACACGAGCATGGATCCCGACGCTTTTGATTTCGGCAGCGAGAGCCAGGCCACCTACCGCGTCAAGATCGAGGGTCGTCTGCTCGACGATGACGAGGACCCGGAGGCGGATAAGGAACAGGTTGAAGAGCAGAAGGACGCAGATGCCATGGAGCAGGATGGCGGCGATGCGGCGAAGAAGGCTAAGCCGGGGAAGCCTGCGGGAACCCGGCGCACCAAGCTGTCGCATTTCTTCAAACAGATCACCATCAACTTCGACCGCTCGCAGTCCCTCCAGCCTGATGGCTACACAGCAATCGAGTGGAAGAAGCCCGAGAATTCGGCCAATGCCAACGACTCGGCCGCCAATTTCGACACGCTGGAGTTCGAGCGCAAGAGCGACGAGAACATAAATGTCACCGTCAATCTTTTCCGCGACGAGAGTCCTGAGCGCTATAAGCTCAGCCCGCCTCTGGCCGAGCTGCTTGGCACCGAGGAGGATGACCGCGGTGGAATTCTTATGGGTATCTGGATCTATGTCAAAGCCAACGGTCTGCAGGAGGATGAGGACAGCCGCAAGATTCGTTGCGATGCTCAATTGAAGGCAGTACGTATCTATGCACACAGCCATGGAAATTTCAATGACACTAACGCAACCCAGCTCTTCGAGAACAGGGATTTCATACCATTTCCGCAGATCCCCAATTTGATCATCCACCACCTCTCCCCGCTGCCTCCTTACCAACTACCCTATACCATTCGCGTCGACAAATCCTACATCGCTCCCGACGACGGCACTCCTGCCTCGCAACCAACCATCTACGACGTTCGCGTCCCGCTCGACGATCCGCTCCGTATCGCAATGAGCCGCATCACCACGAACCCGCAAATGCTCAATCAAATTGCCGCGGCGGATGAGTCTTTGGCGCTCGCGGTGCAGGCAATCCAGCATTCGAAGGCCAAGCACGCCTTCTACACAGCTTTCAGCACAGATCCAGTCAATTTCGTCAAGCGCTGGATCAGCTCCCAGCAGCGCGACCTCGACGTCATTCTCGGTGATGCGACACGTGGTGGCAACGAGGATGTTGCGAGCGAGGAGTTCAGGCGTGGCGGAAAAGAAGGAGTCTGGGGCGGAGACCGTGCCTTGGAGAGTGTGGGGCTGTGGCTTGCAAAGGCTGGCAAGACGCATTAAACGTTTTCTCTTCGTTGGAGGCGAGAGTGGATTATTTCGTACCTGTACGATTGAATGGCTTGGAGCAAAAACGGATCAGGCAGGATTGGACGGTTGGTGAGCAATGGCGTTCTCATCACATTTTGTTTTCAAACTTTCAGGAGAGATGGAAAAGCGTCCCATGGTGTTGCTATTAGAAAGATAATCAGGCGTTGAGTGCCGGTGGGCATTTTTACGTTCGTCCGGGATACCAAAGTCTTCAAAGTTCTGGAGGTATAGATTAGCATGAATCAATGGAGACGGTGGACTGTATTGAGGGATTACGCTACGATTGTCAGTGGTGATTCTATGTAACCATGAATAAAGGACAAGACTTTCGGGATATGTCTGTCTTGGAATATGGATAATCACGGTGACTGAGCCTCTTACCGATTGACAGATCTACCCCGGAAAATTGGGGGTCGCCACACCCGAGCTTCTTATCGATTAGACAGATCTGCCTTGGAGAACAGGAGCATTTACTTTGAAAAATGGGTGGTCACCGAACTAAAAAAAATGTCCCCAGGTGGTCAGAGCGCTAATTTCTCACCACCGGCATGTGCGACCTGTGCTGCATCAATATCAATACTAAAGAGAAGTAGAGAAGATTCCCTTCGCAGTCTTGATAGATTTCAACCAAATCACTCTCCAGATCTCGCTCCTACTCATCAGCAACATTATCAGATCGTTGTTCGTGTTCTTATTGGATTTGCATCATTGGCGAACTCCCTCTCTACGTCGGGCTTGAGCCTTCCATATCGTGCGGCGTCCACATTCACTTCAGTTTGATACAGTGGGCCTATCAATAAGCGATATTATTGCAGTCGCTGGAGTGGCTCTTGTATTTGCGACTGGGGTCGCAGCAATTGCTATTGCTTTCAAATCTTGGCGCGACCAAAGATGCTGGCAATCCAAAGGTGATTTGTCGGAGCTGGATCAATCTCGAGAACGGTACTGACCATGAGCAGATAAAGAACGTCAAAGTCATGGCCTCGAATTGAGCATCTGGGTTGGCTACAAACACGGTTGATTTTACGACTATTTGACACAGTCTATTCCGGGAACTTGTTTCTCACATTAGCGCCCTTATCCACCCGTTAAGTTAGCAAGCTGCACTGCCGGATTGAAGTTACAGAAGCCATTTCAGAAATGTAGACGTAGACTTCTAAATTATGTCCATGGCATAAAATTAGAACCGCAAACTTCATCGTCGAATTCCTTCACACTGAGGTGCTCGGGAGATCTACCATGAAGTGAGTCGTTCATAGGCATTAGACGAGCTGTTCTCTAATGACCGCTAATTGTTGCACCTCAAAGACTCATGAAGACACCGTCAAGGCCAAACAACCTGGATGGACCATGAGTACGGGCGGGTTATTCAAAGTTTCAAGTGGTATCAAGTCATTAATTTTTCTCGCCGTCAAAGCGATCCCGTGATGGAAACGTCCATTCATTTCTACCTGATGGACAACCACCGAGCTGACGACGAGCGCAAGCAGCGGTAACCAGCCGGTCCATACCCGAGAAATCTGCCGATGATAGTGAAGACGCTTTTTTGAAATAGCCCAGCAACCATCCCCATGAACTCCTGCCTCAGCGACGCGACATTTACCTGTAGCGCCAGAGGGACAGGGTGTTGTGACGCTTCCAGGTCTTGCGGCGACCAGCGGTGGTCTTGTTGTACTTGTGGCCCTTGTTGATACCACGGCTCTTCTTGCCGGTGGCGGTAAGACCACGAGCCTCGCGGTGCTGAAATGACGATTAGTATCACAATCACTCCTCCCTGATTCATTTGTCGAGCATACCTTGTGGACGGGCTTGACGATCCAGTTGATGCGGGGATCGCGGCGGATCGCCTTGTGCTGGGGGTCGACAAGGATGACCTCGTAGTACTTGTAGGTCGAGTCCTGGTTGATCCAGTAGGAGTTGAGGACGCGCAGGTTGGCGCAGCGGCGGCCAACACGCTCCTCAGCAGTGGAGCGGAGGGAGCGCTGGTACTTCAGCTGGTTGACACCCTGGTTGGTGGGCTTGCCTATAAATCCAAACTCATCAGCAACGCTGCCCAAATAACCAATTGCTCCCAATTTCGTCGTTCTTGAATGTTCCCTCCCCTCACTTCGGTTGTGAACGTACCGTAGGTGGCACCCTTGGGGACGGGCCTCTTGCGGCCACCGCGGCGGACGCGGACGCGGTAGATGACATAGCCCTGCTTGGCCTTGTATCCGAGGCGGCGAGCCTTGTCGGGGCGGGAGGGGCGCGAGGCGCGGTGGATGACGTTCAGCTGGCGGAGCTAGATTGATGCACTCTCAGCAAAGTTCAACGAGTGACACCAGGATTTTCGCTCGTCCTCGCTCTCGACAGGCGAGAGCCAGGCATGGCGAAGGAAGCTTCTCATACCTCCCAGCAGCGAACGCGGAGCAGGAAGCGCAGCACATCGGACTGCTTCTTCTTCTGAAGTTCCTCAACGTACTTAAGCGCACCCATCTGTTTGTGAAGTCGTTAGCCTGAATGTCCGAAAATTTCGTCCGACCGATGCAATCTTGACGAAGCCGTAGATAATTCGCATTCACTCGGTCGCATCTTGTCGTTGGGCGTCGCTACGCACCTTGGCTGTTTCCCGGCGTTGGTCGTCGGTGTGTCGTCTTCGGGGTCGTCAAGTCGCTTTGCGAGGAAAATCGAAGTTGTGGGTTGCGCGGACGGCGCTTCGCTTATGCCGCTGACTAACGGCGTCGGGTGGCCCGAGCGCTGCCGCTGTGCGATTGGAATCTGAGGAGGTGAACGAGTGATGTACGGAGCTACCCGAAAGAAAGCACTAAATACCCCCCTTGACCATCGCGCCTGCCTTCTACCATCTCAGGTGGGTGCCGGCCGCGCCTTCTATTCGCTGTCGTGTGGGGGACGAACTGCCGCCACTGAAATCTGGGCACGAGCGTTCGCTGCTCAGAAACACAAAGCCCTACTCTATGGAAATCAGATCGATTCTGTTGAAGAGGCGATTCTTACGCAATACATTTTCGGATACCTGATTCGCAACAGATATAATCAATGAAGCCATGGCCGGCAAGAGGTGTGTAGCACAGAAAAATATCTGAAGATGTCTGACCCAGTACTTGGGCCTTTTAATTGTACCTCCAGACCCTGGCCTTTCTTCTGAAAGGCTATCATCATAGTTTTGCTTTTTCATAATACGCAGTTCGCACGTTTTCCACCGCCGAGTTTAGTAGGAAAAAATTATGTCTTCAGGTGCTTTGGCCAGCCTGGATGTGACCAACGACTACGCCCCCGCCAACCTATAATTACAAAACCGAATAAGAAGTAGAACTAGCCGTATGTCTCATCAGTGGGAAATACAAGGGTATCCGCCGGGAGGAGACCGTCCATCAAAAGCTCCGTGAAAGGATCACAAAAACCATCTTCCGGGAAAACGCCAATAAAATGCACCTGCTTCACAAAGTAGGCAAATAATACAAGGATCTTGGGCTGCGATTCACCTCAACCCGTCACCAGTCGTAAACCCAACCGGAATTCTTCTCGAAGAACTCGTTGCACGCCTCCCGTAATGCGATGTTGGGTCGCAAGTCTTCGATCTTCAACGGTTCGCGAGTCAGAGGGTCAGTCGGGCTCCGCTTCAAATGCTCGATGAGAGTCGCTCTCTCATAGGAATGACCGTTCTTCGTAATAACAGCTGTTCTTTCATTAGCACATTGGACAATGATCGCACGCAATGGCCCACTCAGCTGATACTCACGGTCATGCATGATCTCGAACGAGATGTTGTCAATGAGGTGGTCCGGCACTTCCCGCTTGGCCATGTTGTTCGGGTCTGCAATGGCAAAGATGGACCTCAGATCCTCAATCTTTTGCTGCGTAGCCTTGGCTAGGGCAGTGCGCTCCTCAACCGCCTCCACCGCGCCCATTTCACCCCTGCTCGCCTTATCATTGATTATGACCTGCTCCTGGTTTGCCGATGCTTCAATCTTATCCTCTAGCTCCGCCAACAGTGGGTTTTTTCTTCTCAATCTTTCCCGCTCCCTGCCCTCCCATTTACTCTTCTTGCACTGCAACACCAGCGCTGAGATGGTTTGCGCATCGCGCGTCGGCGTCGACGACTTTATGCAGAGATCGTATGCGACCAAGGCGGAGGAGAGCGCTTCGTTCGGGTGGTTCAAGGCAAGCTGTGACTTTGCTACAAAGGAAGCATTGCGACGTTAGCCAAAACGTCTCCGTCTGACCATGCTTCGCGGATCTGAAGTAATGCACAGCAGCCGCAGCTGCAAAGGCAACACATGTTCTGGCATAACCGCTGCAGGGCGGCTCAATTCTGAAACCGCATAGCCAAAGCGCGCGTAGATCCAGTCATGATTATTTGCGCAGCGCCGCAAGGCTCCCCGCACTCTTCAATCACATGCGCCTACGTACCCAGGAAAGTATACGCCTTCATATTATTCCTCATGAGCTCTATGCTCTTCAGGCAGTCGTCGATAGCATCCTCAAAGTGGCCGAGCTTCATGCGAGCATTTGCACGGTTGGTGAAAATGAGCGGGTTGGCTGGGTTGCGTTGAATGGCCTGAGTGTACAGGGACTCTGCGCTAACGTAGTCGCCGTTCTTGAAGTGCTGGTTGCCGCGGTCCTTCAGCTGCTCGGCGACGTGAGCCATGGTGCTGGCTGCTGCTGCGGTGGTCGTCAGACCGGCCGCTGTGGCTGAGGGGACTGAGTGGGCACGAGTGGTTGACACGTCGGAGGCGGAAAGCGAGCGAGGGGAGGGGCGGCGGCGCGCGGAGGGGTGTTCGGAGGAGAGTGATCCGCTGCCGCCGCCGCCGCCGGGGAACCTCAGCCGTTTGTATGCTCTCCGAAGCCCGCGGATGGAAGATTCTGGCATTATTGTTGTAAATCGCAGTTGCATTTGTCACACGTCTCGCACTAAAAGGTGACCCTCCATGACGGACGTGCAGCAAAGGTGTCAACTTTGGTGGGAGCTGCGACCCTGAATTTAGGGCCCTTTGAGCAGGCTTCCCCAGAAGCAGGCGCTCTCGAGGGTCTTCCCGCCAGCACTGCGCGCCGGAGACTCGGCACCTCCTTCACGTCATCCGCACCCCCCTTCGTGCCACCGGCTATGACACCGAAATGACTTGATCGACTTGATGTGCGCGGGCCGCAATAAGATGCAAGGTTAATTATGATTTTCGCTATTTTTGTCCCGTCCTTTTTCCACCAGCTCAACCACTAGTCTCTGTTTTGTCTGGGATAACCAATAACACCAAATGAGACAACGACCACTGCCAAGGCCCCAAGCACCAAAGCACCAAAGCCGCCCAAGTCGCGGCAACATTCATCCAACCTCAGAAGTGATGCCGTCCTAGTGCTGGAAAAGCTCCCGCTCGATCCTACCGAGGCTAGGGGGTGTTCTGTCAAGCCTTCCGTCGTTCGTCTGCTCTACATATCTCCTCCTCTCCTGTATCTCCGCCATTACTTGCATCCGCTCCGCCCGACCCGAGTTCTCTTGCTCATCCTGCCACGCCGGAAGAAGCCGTGCTGAAATCGACCTGTACCTGCGCAGTCGCTGCTGCCCGCCCACCGTGTTGCGACGCGACTCCATCGGATCCTCACCGCCCCCACGGCCACGGGACCAATGATGCGTTCCCTGTTGAGTGTTCCGCGCAACCTGGGCCGGGGCGTGGCCGTGACCGGAAGTTCCTCGCCGAGAAGGACGCGAAGCTGGAAGCGAGGGCATGGATGTTGCTCCCTGATCGGTGCCGGCTCCGCGGCGTCGACCAGTAGTCACGCTGCCAGGGTACCGGTCGATGAATGTTCCAGGCTGGAGACTCGGCGGTGAGTATTCGAAAGACGGTAGTAGGTCAAACGATGTGGAAAATGGAGCGTTTGGTGCTTCCGCAAAGGTAGGGGCATTCCGGTATCGAGCGGCGCGCCTCTGGTGCGGAGAAGGTCGCTCCGGCGACTCGAATGTGGGCATCCGCAATTCTCCTAGCGCTGGTGACTGCGATCGCGATGGTGCCGCCGCAGCCGACCCAAACCGGGCCGATGGTGCATGAGGCATCTGCGATCTGGTTTCCTGCTCGAGACGCTCAAGAGGCGATGAGTTCTGGCGGATCAGCTCCAACATTGCTGCACTGCTTGTGGGAGAATTATCCGCGGAAACAGCGCCGCTTGCATGCCGGCTGCTCGTGGAAGGGGCACTTGTAGGACTGAGGAGCGGACGCAGTAAGTCGGGGGTGGATGCCGTCCTGAGATGAGAGAACGTCTGCGAGATATTGCGGCTGCTGTGCTCAGATGCTTGACTGACGCTTGTTGAACGCGACACACATCTCACAGGAGACAGCGTCGTCAGAGTAGGCAGAGAATGGTACTTCTTGTCCGAGTCTGAAGAACTGTGCGTAGATGTGGGCGAAGGAAGGCGAATAGAAGGGACAGCGTCATGCATGGCCGGTATGTCCTTCTCCAGAGTCTCCTTCATTTGCGTCATGTCGAAGATACCATCCATGACAGAGTCTCTGGGGTGGCTCTTGACTTCCTTGGCGTTGTACCATACCGGCAGACCTCGGTGCGTTCCAGTGGAGGTAGCTATATAGCCCTGGAAGGGGGACCCACGAATTGGGCGATCAGAGCGATCATGGTCGCCTCGGGTGTCAAGATGCAACAGTGGATCTGAAGAGCGAGATTGGTGCGAGGACACGCTCGGCTGGGTCGCCTTTCCCGCAGCGAAACGAGCGCTCGGATCCTGGACTCGTTGCTCAGGGACCACGTCCGTCAGGAAAGGGTTGAGGGTTGCATTTCGCGCTTTCTCAGGGGACGCTAGCCTGCGGCCAGAGGGATCAGAAGGACCATCGAGTTGAAGCAGTCGCTGGCTGGAGTTAGTTGGGGTATGGTGGTGTTTTTTGGGTGAGAGCGAAGTTCGCTTGAGGACCCGCTGATCGACGTATCCAAGAGGAACAGGCTTCCCTGCAAGCTCGGGCTCCGAGGTATACGAAATGTCATCTGCCGCACTCGTGCTGGCTAGAAGCGGGGCTTTGTCATGCAGTGCCGGAGACTGCTTTTCGGTGCCGACGGCTGACTCGAGAGAAGCGCTGAACTGAGCGGCATGGCTGGCGTCTGTATATACAATTGACTCGTCACGCGAACGCTCGGGTCCTCGACGGAGTCGTGGGCCTGTGCCTGTGGGGCCTGGAAGCTGGCATATGGTGTTGGCTGCAGCCCGCCGCGATGCCAGGCGCTTCGAGGCCTCGTCGACGTCCTGAGAGGTCAGGCGGATTTCAGTTGCTCGATAGCGGAGCATCTCAACCAAGGCGGGTCCAAGCTGCGCGGAGGGTTGCAGAGACAGAGTTTGAGACACGGATGGAATGAGCTCATTGGAAATACGACCAGCAACTCATGGATGGAAGGCATGTTGCACAGAGAGGAAAGTAGGAGCAAACGAAGGTTGGGCTTCATGGTCGCAGGTCAAGAACAATGGCGGAATGGAGGTAAGAACCGTGGTACCACGAGGCTGCTGCGTTATTCCACGGCGGCAGCTAAGCAGAGATAGCGGCTCTGGCTTCCCGCAAACGAACCCTGGGTGTCGCTCCTTCCCGAGAAAACGTCCGTTTTGGCGGAACATGCCGACCGTCACCCTTTGCGTCGCCAATAACGACGGCAGGGGCAGCTTTCTTGGGGAATGGAGTCGAGTGACTTCGGGTGCAAGAGCCCAATCGACGGGCCGTTGGCGCGTCTCGTCCGATCTCGAGATGGAGCACACCCGATGGAGCGTGTGGGGGAGGCGGGCGCTATATCAAATACTGGCCTGGGCCCACGCGATTCGCCAGGGCTGCATGGTGTTGTGCGTGCAGAGACGCGTGAACAAGGTGGCATGATGGGCGCAGGACGGCACAGCAGGCCGAGGAATGTGCGTGCCTTGTCCTGCGCACGCGAGAATCGCCAGCGTGAGCAGCCTATGGGAACCCGGCGCGGCGGTATCTGGGACTGCAGAGCCGTGGTGGAGTGGCGTGTCCGAACGACAGAGGGCCTTGGCCGGCAGAAAGGGTTTCGAAGGCCGCGCGCACTTCTGAGCGCTGCGACAACAGGACGGCGGGCGTGGACGGTGGGCCGCAGGCCGTTAGTCGCCTGGCTCGCCAATGGTGGCGGGCAGGTAACGGCGCACAGCAGGCCGAGCGTGGAAAAGGGCGAAGCCGCGGGCGGATGAGCAGCAGCGGGAGCCCTTGGGCAGGCGGAGCGGAGCGGTTAGTCGGGGCCCAACAGGCGCACGCACGCGCATACGTAGGCTGGCAGTCAGGGGGCTGAGGCCTCCCAAACGACGAGCGGACCTCGCACGTAAGATCGCTCTGGGCACGCCAAGCTTGGCTGCGACAACCTACACCCAGAGCCAGGCACACCGGCTCCAGTCCACATCTCTCTCCGCTGGTCGCGCCCAGCTCCAACGGCCCGCCTGCTCCCCCCGAGCAGCACCCGCGCCTGGATGTCGCCGCCATACGAGACGTAGCCACCACCGAGCCCACACACCCACCCTGTCCCGCGTCCGCGACCAGCGCCGTCACCTCCCAGCCCCGGCTGCCCGCAGTCCTCATTGTCCCCATTCCCGCTCTCCAGCCCCCTCGCGGCGACACCCAACGGCCCACCATGAGCGGCGACATCAGTCTGTCCCAGTCGCTGGGCGGCCTGCGCATCGCCAACCCGGACGATGACGGTACCCCTTCTCCGCCGCCCGCCCCGGTCCAAGGCGAAGCCTCTCCCGCGCCAGCAGACCCGCTGCCCTCCTCCTCCGCCTCGTCCGCCCACACCGTCACTGCTCCCGACGAGCCCCACGAGCCCTCGCACCTCCTCCAGCCCGTGCCGACCGAGTCTTCGACCTCCACCCTAGACTTCAACCCGAGCGCCTTCTCGACCAGTCAGACATCGCTCACCCTCCCCAAGAGCGCCACACCTCCCGTCCCCGACGACCACTCGCAATCCTCCGCCCGCCTGAACCACCGTCTGTCCATGCAAAACATGCCAATCGCTCAACAGCCACAACCACAACCAACCCAGTACTCCACCTCCGGCCCGCCGAACCTCTCCCAGCCGTCCCGCAACTATCCCCCGCCCGCCGCGTCGTCGCGGCCCGCTTCGACCCTCTACAGCCATCCCAATGCCTCCGCAAGCTCTGGTGTGTCCATGCAGGGCTCGTACCGCTACAACGACGTGGGTCTGATACAACCCTCTGTTCCGGGCATCAGCAGGAGTAGCTCAAGAGCGGCCGCAGCCGCAATGCAGGCAGCAGGACTTCCCACACGAGAACCCAGCAGGTCCTATCGGCAACCACATCAGCCAATGGGCGGCAACGGACCTCTTCCTCCACGCCGCGCCTCAAGAAGAAGCCCCATGGGCCCTGGCACTGCATACGGACTTGAAGCATCCATACCGCAGAGCAGTGAAGAGTGGAAGGAAAAGGGTGCAGCAGTCGGGGTACGGCAAGAAATGGACGCCAACGGGAAGCCAATCTCACGGGTGGTCAAGAAGGGCGTGAAAGACTTCAACTTCGGGAGAACATTGGGAGAAGGTTCATACAGCACGGTGTTGGCCGCGACAGATCGACAGACACTTCGAGAATACGCCATCAAGGTTCTGGACAAGCGGCATATCATCAAGGAGAAGAAGGTCAAATATGTCAATATCGAAAAGGACACGCTAAACCGGCTGACGGAGCATCCCGGCATCGTCCGGCTCTACTACACATTTCAAGATGAGCGGTCTTTGTACTTTGTGTTGGATCTGGCCACTGGAGGCGAGCTTTTGGGATTCTTGAAGAAGATGGGCACGTTCGACGAGGAGTGCGCAAGGTACTACGGCGCACAAATTCTGGACGCGATCGACTACATGCATTCACGCGGCATCATCCACAGAGACCTCAAGCCTGAGAACGTTCTCCTGGATGACCAGATGCACGTTAAGATCACCGACTTCGGTACCGCCAAGATTCTGAATGCAAAGACACAGACCGCCGAAGGGCCCCTTGGAGATCCTCTCGAAGGGGTGGAAAGTGATCGGGCAGAGTCCTTCGTCGGTACGGCAGAATACGTCAGCCCTGAACTTCTGACGGACAAAAACGCCTGCAAAGCCAGTGATCTGTGGGCATTCGGCTGCATAGTATACCAACTCCTGTCAGGACGGCCGCCGTTCAAGGCTGGGAACGAGTACCAAACGTTCCAGAAGATCGTTAACCTCGAATACTCGTTTCCGGACTACTTTCCAGAGGCAGCCCGGGACCTCGTCGAGAGGTTACTTGTCCTGGACCCGGCCAAGCGACTTCCCATCGAGCATATCAAGACGCACCAATTCTTTGACGGCATTCAGTGGGGGCGCGGGCTGTGGAAACAGAAGGCGCCCAGGCTAAAGCCGTACCAACCTCCGCCTCCTGGACCTATCAAGCTCAACGGACACGCAAGCTCACTCCCTCCGCACATGGCGGTGCTTGGTGCCCCTCGCCCAATCCCCTCGTCAAGCAACAACCCACCCCCACCCAGACCCTCTGCCCGTGTCATCACAGAACTTCCACCCCCAAGCCAGCTTGACATCGACTGGTCTCCTGTACTAACCCGGAATAACGAGCGAATATTGAAGCTTGGAAATCTCATGGTCACGTCCGCGCCAGCACCCCACAGCCCGCATGGAGAATCTTCAGAGGCGCCGAAGAAATTTTCGCGATTCTTTGGCGGCAATACGACCAAGAAGCGCCAACGGCTCGTCATGATCACGTCGGCTGCTAGACTTATTCTCGCCACTGCTGGTGGCGAAGAGAAGAAGGCGAAGATGGATCTGTCCCTCTTGGGTGAAGGAACCGCCTGGAGGAGCTACAAGGATTCCAAGGGCATCACTGCCTGGTGTATCGACACGGTAAGCGTATCGAGCGTTCCTTTTTTCCAGTAGCTGTCGAGGACTGACCCACGTGCAGAAGGACAAGCACCTCATCTTTGAGGATCCCAAGGCGACCCCTAGTGACCCCGAAGGAAGCAAGTACACGGCGCAGGAATGGCTCGATGCTTTGGAACAAGCGAAAGACTTTGCGAATTCTCAGAGTATGGCAAGTTCCTATTCTGGCGACTCGGCATTCAACGAACTGAGCTCAACAATTTCAAGCCCATCAAGCACTCTAGGTGGCGATTCTGCGCTTGATGGAGTAAATATTCCGACGTCTAGACATCTCCGTAAGGGCGATCATGATGACAGCGGCTCGATCAAAGGCAGAAAGAGATTTAGCAAGCGACACTCGAAGAACGGCTTAGCTGCCGTCTTTTGAATGAAGCGAAGCGTAGCCCACCGGGAGCAAGCAGAAATATTCGTTGATCCGTTGCCCATCAGACTTGCATCCTTCGCTCTCTAGGCCAGGGACCTCGACTGTTGCCTCTTGGAACCATAACTAATCAGCACTCCTCTGTGACACGACCGTCATCTCACTCACACACACACCCATTCTTCTACTCCAAGCATTGCAACAGTCGGGGTCGGCTTGCACATTGGCTTTCCCAATTTTGTTGTTCTCATGACATACCACCAACGCAGCGATGTTTTGACTCCCACACATCACCGTATCACACCATTGGTTATTATTCCCTATGTCAATCCATTTCCACTTCTTGTTCCCCAAATCGCATCAATCATCCACTAAGCAGCGCACGGCGTTTGAGGCGTTGGAAATAAGTCACCTGCTCTTCACCTCTCTTTTGTGGTCATTGTGGGCGCTCATCCCCCCTTTTTTTCTTTCTGCTTACTGCAAAGATTTGCTTTTTCTTTTTCAGGGGAATGTTTCTTTGTTAACTGTTTTCCTTGAAGTTCGTTCTTGGGTTGCACGGCAATGGGAAACTGGTCTGTCTCTTTCGTCACTTTCCTTTTCTTTCCTTTCTCTCTCTTATACTTTCCCGGGCTCCTTGAACAAGGAAGAAAGCGTTGATAGCGAATGGTGGTCCCGTTGGTAGTTCGAGCAATTAGTTGCAAAGTACAGGGAAGGCAAAAAAACAGAAGCGAGCAAACAAAGCGTTGTTGCTGTCGTGTCCTTGATATTTTTCCTCGATCCCGGTCTTCTCTTGCTTCTTTCCTTAGCTTGTTTGCGCTGTTTTGTGAAAGATGATTTTTTAAAAAGCGAAGCTGAGGTGAGATTTACCTTAACTTTTTTGTTTCCCTTGATCCGTTTCTGTGGCGGAAAGAATATAGCATGAAACGGGTCGTGAGATTTCTATTAAATTTCCTCTAGTTTTTTTCATCTCTTTCCTTTCTGTCTCCTTTTCTCTATGGCTTTTTGTTTGGCGGGAAAAGGCATTAACTGTAGATGATTCTTGTTTCTCTTTGTTCTCTTGGGGATATCTCCTAACTCCTTTTTTTCTTCTCCTTCTCCTTTATAAGTACTCCGCCCGGATTATAAAACTCCATTAGCTCTCATCCTTGCTTGCCTCCTTTTCCTCGAAACCAGAGAACACGGTGGACGAACGACAACGTACGCGTCCACCTGGATCACCCACTCGCATCGCTTTCCGATTCGGTGCACAATCCTATCCATGCCGGATAGGCTGTGCTGAAGAAGACCGTATGCGGGCGTCGATAGGTTGGTCAGATCTGACTGCTTACGACGGTCCGAACACGTCATGGACCGGCTCCGAAACGTCAGTATCTTATTTTTAGTGTGAAGGGTGTGGCAGCAGCCGTCATCCACAACTCAACAACGGGATCCAAAATTGGATGTGTGAATGCCGTTTATGCAGTGTTGGTCTTGTCGCGTGTGTTTCCATGGGCCTTTCCGCCTGGTGCATACCCTTTTTCGTTAGCGGACCCGGGAACCAAGGTCTGCGACAAGCCACACTTCTTGTTAGTGTTGTGCTTTCCTTTTTTTGCCGCCAAGATCTGACGTGATACGTACTCGGGTCATCTTATAAAGTTTTGGAGAACCTAAACAATCAAACTACGGTTAATCTAACAGCCGCGAGTAGCTGAAGCCAAAATCCGCAAGCATGAGTTCGTGGTATCAACGGGACATAGCGAAACAGACGCGTCTGGACTGATGGATTCAGTTGCGGATAGACTATCTTCGCAATGAGTGCTCGATCTCACAACGCCAAGGGAAACTGGTTACCGTCTAGATACGAGCTTCAATAGCAATTGATCCTTTGAAATGTCTGGAGAAATGCTCCAACAATAGGCAACGTTGGGATTTAACCCAGCTGTTACATGAATCCTGAGCTATAAGAATGTCTCAAGCAGCAGTCAAAATATCACTGAGGAATGAGTAGCTCAGCAAGTAAACAGGTGTGATTGTTTGGATTGACGGGTATAGTAAGAGCAAAGCCGAAAAGAGTGGCCATCGTGATGATGCCGAAAAAGAAAAGTAAACCCGTGAGAGGAGAGCCGTCGTCGCCATCGCTGTCGCTGGGGCCTAAAACAGCAAGCAAGCCGAGATAGGAAGCCGGAGGGACCGAAAACGCCGACACTGGCCAGAAAGAGGGGGGAGAGGCATGCCGCTGTCGTTGTTGCTGCTGCTACTTCTGCTGCTGGTGCTGGTGCTGCTGGGAGGTCTACTCCAGCTCCTCCATCTCCCGCTCAAACGCGGCCAATTCATCTGTAGGCTAGTGTAGGAGGCGCATTATCCACATTCTCACAAAACAATTTTACTGGGAAAAGGGAAGGAAAATCCAGTTTGCACAGAACTTACCGTCCAGAGCCTCATTCTTCTTCTTTTCCCAGTTGGCCTGCTGCTGAACAAGCAGCCGCACCTCATAGTGCCGGGCGTAGTAGTCGTGCGACATCTCCGGGCCGGCACCGGAGGCCATCCTCGCCCACACGTCCGCCACGTCGTGGCCGTCGACGCGGGAGCGGCTCTTCAGCCAGCGCAGCGTCACGGCTACGCCCTGCTCGTGCAGGCGGCCAGCCAGATACTTCATCTGGACGAGGATAGGCTCGTCCGGCCCGGCCGCGGCGCCCTCCACCCAGGACTTCACCAGGGTCAGCGCAGCGAACGAGTCCGTCAGCACGAAGACGGTGTCGACGGCGTCAGGGCGCCACATCAAGACGTTGTTGAGGCCCGTCTTCAGGCCGCGCAGCTCCGCCTCGCGAATCAGGCTGTGGTGCGTCCGCCCGCTCCTGGCGCCTTCGACGACGACGCTGCCCTCGTCGTGGGCCCAGTGCTCGGGCATGGGCGCAACCAAATCTTTCCAAACCGCGGCCCACCCGAGCTTGCGCGCTTCGCCGGGCTTGCCTTCGTTGTATGACCCGTCTGCGTAGACGGTCATGACAGAGGCCGGCTGCGCGGCCTGTGCGAACTCGATGGATGCGTCATTGTCCATCTTGTTTCCTTCAAGCCGGTCGATATGCACCTTGAGGGGCATGTCTGCTGCTTGGTAGGTAGGCACTGGAGAGTGATCATTGCTTGCTCATTTTCTGTGAATTGGTATGAACCTACTGTTGGTGAATGTGAGTCTCGTCGATTTTGAGGAAATGGAGGATTTGTGCGCGGTCGACTGGAGGATGATGTGATGGTGGTGGTGGTGGTCGATATGGGAGCAGTGTCGGCGGCGCAAAGAGAAGAGCAAGAAGCTTTGCCTGGACGAAGATATTTAAAAGCAAACCGGCAGCATTCCGGCATTCCAGGCACGAGGCTAATGCAGGTGGTGGTAGAAGAGGAAGTCACGGGCCCGCATGTGGTAGAATAGGAAGGCGCGATGCTTGGCATTGTGTCAAAGTGAAGTGAAGTGAAGCCCAAAAAACATTAACAGTGAAGTGAACACCATCTACCAAAAAGGAAATAACGCCAATCATGCATCCGAGCCTGTTAGTCATGAAAAAGAAGCCAAGATCTAACGTCTAGCAGCCGCTGCTCTACGCCAGTCTTTCGGTCATCTCCTCGTCAATTTGCCTCAGCACGTCGTCCATACTCTCCACTTGGTCTTTCTCGGCGCCCTTGATCTCGTCCCACACCTCTCCGACGAAATCCAGCAGGTCGTCATCATTATCTTCTCCTTTGTCCGAGGGCTTGTTGTTTTCCTTCTCCCCCTTCACCAGATCCCCATCAGCGTCCACGACTTCCGGTTCCGGTCCAGGCTGGACGACCTTGCCCTCCCCGGTACCGCTCCCATCGCCACCATCGATAGGCCCTTCGAACGCCCCGCCGCCAATCCTGTCCATCTCCGCCGGGGGAATTATCTCGCCCTCATCCTCCTCATCGTCTCCCACAACCTCTACAGGCACCGCCTCGCCTGCTGGATTGCTAGCCTCGCCCAACCATACGCCCTTGCTATCGCCGAAGACCTCCTCCTCGAACCCGACGCACACATCCCCCCACGCGAGCCACTCGCCCGTCTCGGTCCACACGCCGCCGTGCCCTCCACGCTGATCGCTGCGCCACCACCGCGCGTGCGCCGCCTCCTCAACATCGTCGGCCTCGTCCTCGTACGCTTTGACGGTGCTCTGTCGCATGTACCGCCGCAGGAGCGCGCGAGAATTCGGAAAGAACCACAGGCTGGACCACAGCTGGTCGCGCGGGTCGCGGAATTGCAGCGAGTCTCCCGAGTCGCCCGAGTCGGTCGTCTCGCTGCTGTTGTCGTTGGCCGCCCGCGCGAAGCGTGCACCTCCGCTGGAGATGGAGGCGAATGACGGGAAATGCAGAGTCGCGGGTACGGAGCGCGCCCGCATGTTGTGGGCGAGCGGAAGCTCGCTCCATGGGGTTTTCTTGGCCGGGGGCAGGCTGTCCAGGTCGGGGGTTATGGTCAGGGCCGTGTTCATGTTCGCAGGGATCGCGGCTGCGTTAGCATCCTTCTCCGGGAGAGTGTATGGGGAGGGTTGGTCGAGGAGGGCATCTGGTAGGGAGATGGGGTCCTTCTGGCTCGGGTTGGAGGAGTAGGAAGTGCGCAAGCCAGTCTTCGGGTTAACCGTCGTATAGGAGGAATCGTAGGTGTCACGCGGCTGGGAGTCGGACTTGATGAAGTCAATGTCGCCGTTGAACGAGTGGGGCGGAGACATGGATTGAAAGAGTGTGCTGTTGTAATCGAGGCCCATGGAATATTCGTAGCTCTTTCCTGGAGCGATGGTGATGTTGGTCCTACGGAGTGGCTTCTCGCTCGGATTGAGGCCATACCACCATTCCCGCATGCGGCCCGATACACCTAGGTTGTAGCGGCGGATCAATTCACGTGCCTGCTCTTGCTCGCTGTAGAGCGTCTGAAGTGTGTGTTGGAGGTCCAAGTGTCCGTAAGGCGTAGCGGATTTGTGCATCAACGCCTTGAAAATGGCACGGAGGTCCTTGGCAGGTCCGATGACGGTTCCGGAATTGACAAACTTGGGGTTATACGCGGAGGCTTCTTCCGAGGCATTGGCATAGGGGCTCTGGTCCCAGAAGAACGGCGACTCCGGAACAGCCGAGCAGGCGACGTCTCCCTTCAACACCGGCCAACAATGCTCATCCGCAGCCCACAGCACCGTCTGCCGGAACATTTGTCGCGGCTCCCGGTTCCCACTCAATGGCTGAACAGTTCCGTACTTCCTCCTGAGCCTATCGTTGGCATCCTCTAAAGCGGCCTCATACTGCTGCACCAGTACCGATGCAGGAAGCTGGAACCAGGCGCGGTAGCCATCGACAATGAGCACTAGGTCCTCATCCTTGATGGCGTCGGTGTGCTGCAGGTGGTCATTAACGACTTCGATAATGGAACTCTCCTCGCCGCGGGAGTAGCCAAGAATCGTAGGCGGTGGGTACTCCAACAGCATGGCACTAAGGATGGTTCGGCAGAAATTCGAGTCCGCATCGGTGGCTGGAATTAATAGATGGAAAGTGGGTCCGGTCTTGGTCTTCAACGGGGGTAGTGCCGACGACGTCGATGTTGGCAGGGCATCGTCCTCACTGGTTTCATTAATCGAGCTCGCCTCTTGCACCACGTCGTCCGCGGAGCCGGATTCCGGATGTCTCCATGACCCCGGCTTATCTGAGTAGGTATGTGTTTCATTGCTGTTCTGTGGCTTCAGTTAGCATAAATCAAGCATTGACGCATGACAACCGGGGTAGAAGCTTATGCATCTTGGAGCAAGCAGTAGACGACATCATAGAGAGAAGGCAACAATGTCCAAGACAGGCAGGCTCACGGAAGGTCAACCAGGGAGAAATCGTACCTTGGCAGCGTTATCGAAAAGTAAGTAAATGGATAGTACGGCCAGGAAGAGGCCAAGAATGAGTGTCCTTCCCCTTCGTCCCTTTAGCACCAGCAGCAGGCGCTGGGGAAGCGGGGCTTGCTGTCTCTCGTTGAACAGCATGACGACAGCGGGGGATGAAGCCAAGCGGATGGGATATTAGGTGGCGCTGGCCTAGGCCATGGGTATGGGATGACGGCGGTGGAAAAGACGGATGGAAGGGAGTGCAAAGGGTGACGACAGCGTTGAAAAGAAGAAGGGAGAGAAGGTTGTGAGATTGACGTTGCGGCAGCGATAGGTGTGGAGCCCTTTGTTTCGTCGCGGGCAGGGTGGCCAGGCAGGCGAATTGGGATGCTCACCGGAAGCTATCCCTTACGTGCTGAAAAGGGTAACAGAACAGACGAGCAAAGGAGAGAGAGGGCAGATAGATGAAAGTGCAAAGAATCGAGGGTGTAGAGTCAGGAGAGGCGCGGTTGAGCAAGCTGACGGCGGTTGCTCCAACTACAGCGTCTCGCCAGGCCTGGAAGCGGACCGCATTGCGCGTCGAAGACAGGCTCCCCCCGCCCGGTCGCATGCCATCCCTGCTGCACATCGCCCATCAAGCCACTGAGAGCTGCGCGAACGCGCCACCGCGCCGGCTGATCCTGCCTGCTGCCGGCCGCGCTTTCCATTCGCTGCCGTGTGGGGGACGAACTGCCGCCACTGAAATCTGGGCACGAGCGTTGGCTGGCACACAACGCGTTTGATGCGCGTCCTTATCGTTCGTGGTGCCCAGCGTCATCATGTGCCGCCTGGCCGGACACCACCCTCCTCAATGGCCTCTTCGCTGGGCGCGCATCGACGTCGGTGCTGATTGTCAGGAGATGAGGCCTACGTTGGCCCTGACGACTCGCTTGCGTGTGGCTGGTGGGCCTTGCGCAATGCCGGAATCGATAAAAACCCCACAAGAAATTAGCCTCGCGCCGTTTACAGGGCCGCAGAACATGGGGTAAATATTTTCTCACGACGTGGAAGCTGTCGTCCGGACGAGCATGCATCATCGTTAATGCCACTTACGTCCAGATCATTGCCCGAACCGCCCATTGCATGAGCAAAAAACAAGTTCACGCTAGCCTTCGGCTGCGATACCCTTCTTTATCGTTTCTATTTCCGTCTACCCGCTCGCTTCTGCTACCTTATTGCTTGCTTATTGTACCTACAGACCGGGGGGAGGGCCACAACCTGTCGCCCGCTGCGCAGCCTTATCCAGGCCGGCTGCTGCTCCGAGATAAACTATTGCTTCTCGAGGCCAGATACCGAAAACAGCGCCAAGTCGCCCCTGCATTTCCCCTGCCACCTGCTTTTCTTTTTGATGCTGGGCGGCTGCCAAATCGTCGATCCTGCTGTTGACCGGCCTACCCAAAAAAAGACGCAAAAGCAACAACACGAAGAAAAGAGTAGAAAGGGGGTATTCAAGGTTGAAGAAACCAGAACAACCACCGTCGGAGACTCCTGCCTCAAAATCGCGCCCGGTCCACAAAAGAAGAAAGGCCGTCGTCGTCCGAGATTTTTTCCTTTTCGTGACAATCAAGTCGTGGATAGTCGTTGCATCGTAGGCTCAAATGAGCTGCCGTCCAATATTACTGCAGCCCTCTCCGCCAGCTCCCGCAACTTCCGCTGTGCTTTTCTGTTCTCACGCCGCAAGGCCGCCTTTCATCACTCGAGCCCTCATTCCCTCGAACAATTCCATCGCGTCTCTGTGCTTCTCCCATCCGACCATCCAGTGCTCCCGCGCCCTCTCATCTTCCTTGATGCCGCGCATGTAGCTGCCAAAACCTCCCGTCGCCGTCAAATCGCCCGCCGCACCCAGCCAGTTTACCGGCGCACCCATCGCATCTGTCTCATGCTGACGCGCAGCAAAGTGTTGAAGCATGTGCGAGTCCCACTGCTGGAACGCCTTTACGTAAGCCGCCATCTTGGGCAGCTGCTCTCTCCAGACACTCATGGTCAATTGCTTCGGCACCTCTGGAGCCTTGGGCAGCTGCGGAAGCTGAAGCGCAGTGGGCTCCGCAGGCTGAGTCGGGTGCGATGCGGCCGGACGAGAGTCGAACGGAAGGTTCTGCGTAAGATCATTCAAGTTCTTCAGTCCCTCTTGCGAAGTCGCCGTGAATGGCGCAACGTTTGCAAACTCCTTGAAACGAAGCGAGTCGTCGGCTTCCTGTGGTTTAGCTTGAGCCTGCTCTTTCTGCGCAGCGCGAGCCTGAGAGATTGGCGTAGGAACTATCTTGGGGCGCTGAGCCCCGTTAGTCTGAGGTGCAGGTGGTGTGGGGTCAATATCCATCGCACTGCTATCCGTCGCTGCCGTATCATTGGTGCTTTCGGCACCCTCGCTGTTATCGTCAGTATCGGCTACACTAGCTGACTTTGGCTTGACGTTAGCTCCAGCGGGGCGTGTCCTTGACTGTTTCCTGCCTCGCATCGGCGCCGGTCCCTTGACCGGGGATGCCGCTTTGGGTGGTTCCGTGGGCAGCACGAAGCTTGGGTCCTTAAATGTCTTTGCCCACTGATCCGGCGAAAACCTGACCGGACCAGGCTCTCCGCCCGGAGTTTGGGCAGCAGGCGGGGGCGCAGCGGCAGACGACTCAGCCTGCGGTGGCGTTGGCTGAGGCATCTGGGCCGCAGCTGCAGATGCGAAGTTCTGCATACTATTCGTTCTCGAGCTCGGCGGTCTCGTGGGCGATTTCTTCGCACGGCTTCCGTTGGGAGGTACTGGGTGAGCGAAATAGTCCGGCTTGCCTTCAAACTTTCCATGCCAATCTTGAGGGGAAAATTTCGTATTGATGTTTTCCGTGCTGTCGCTCTTGGCTTGTTCGCCGTTCGTCTGAACGAAGGTATCCGTGTCGATAGGGAAGCTGAAGCTGGTGTTTCTGTTAGCATGTTCCGAGCTGCGATACCGACGAGAAGGATGATGGAGAGGAGAATTATCACTCGTGGCAGTGCGCTTTCTGGCATTTCCCACGAACGTTTTAGGAGTCTTATGAGAAGGGCTTCGTGGAGGCAAGCTAGACGGCACTGCCCAGTAGGGCCATTGCATAGGCTTCATCTTGATGTTGGGGATTGCGGGGTTGTTTGTTTTGCGCGTGTTGTGAGGGAAGAAGTGGTCGTACATTGATGACTTGCTCTTCTGGCCCATGCCGCCGTTGGTTTCATTGGCATTGAAACCATTGCTTTGGGGCTGGTAATTGGCGTCCATGCTTCCTGTCCTATGCTGCTGAGATGTCTTTGGAGGAGGCCTCACCGGCTCGTCCTCTTCACTGGAGCTGTACATGGCAAAGGGGCGAGTGGCATTTCCCTTGCGCCTGGGGGGACTGGAGCTGTGGTGACGGGTAGCAGATGCCCCACCTGCACTGGCATGGGCTGATCCGGGTCCTCTTTGGGGAGAGCTTCGTTGACTGGCAGAGCGTCTCACAGGATCAACGAATATCTTCTCTCCGCCGGCTGAACCATATGGAGTTCTCGTCCGCATGCCCTCAGGATAGGCCGCCTCCTGTTGGAACTGGTCTTTGAACTGCTTCAACGGATCCACTGACGGCTGCTGGGGTTGCGCTGTGCCAGGGTCCCGAGGCGGTGGCGGAGGCGGAGGGACGGGTCTGCCATAGTTGGAAGTCGTGAAGTATGACGAGGTGCTTGCGGCCGGAGGCTCGTCCGCACCGGGCGTTGTAGGATCGAAACCGCCTCTCTTAGGCATCCTTGTACTCTGACTCCGGCTTACCCCAGGCTTGTAGGATTCCTGTGTATGTTCCCACGCCGACTTGGCTCTCTGATGCGACGACTCTGCCTGGGAAGTATGCGTACTCGTTTTCGGCTTCATGTTCTGCCACGCGTTAAACACGTTTGCCTTCTGGTGGTCGGCGTCCTTCCTCTGCGTCGGAGGAGGTTTCGGGAAACTCGAGAAGCGGTTGGCACCGCTCGAGGCCGACGCGTTGGTGGCGCCAGGCCGTTGCGGACCAGTGCGGCGGGGCGGCGGAGGGAAGTTGGACTGAGCCTGGTAGGGATTGCCGCGAGGAGCAGGTTGTCTCTGCGTGTAGAGGCCGGGGCCGCCGCCTCTCTTCCTGCGCTCGAGGTCATATCGCGTGCGCTCAGCAGGATCACCGAGAATTTCGTTTGCGGCCTGGATGGCCTGGAACTTGGGCACGCATTCCGCCTCCCTGCCTGGGTTTCGGTCGGGGTGCCACTTGAGGGCGAGCTTGCGGAACTGCTTGCGGATCTCTTCTGCGTCGGCGTCAGGCGCGACCTCGAGGTCGGCGTAGTAGTTGCGCTTCGGATCGGCCTTCACCATGGCGGCGCGAGTACTGGGCGCGTGTGCTTACCCAGCGGTGAGCGTCGTGGAGTCGGGTGGAACGAGGCTGACCAGCGCGCTTGGGCAGCAGGTGTGTGGTTGAGCGAACCGTTGCTAGGAAAAAAGCAGGGCCGGTAGCATGGCGCGACGGACGGTGAACAGCTCCAAGCGACGACGTAGAGCGGCGAGCTTGGAAGGAGCGAAGGGGCAGAGCGCGCGGGCAGTGCAGCTGGGGGATGACGGTGGCAGGTGTTCGTGATCTGCCGGTGCTTGCGCAGGTGCGGGTGGCTTTGAATGGTGCGTTGGGCTGGTGTAAACACGATTGGTTGCTGCGTTGCTGAGGCCAGGCTCCGCGCGGAATAGGGCTAGCCGGCGCGCGGGCACTTGCAGCCTCAAGAACAGCGGTCATGCAGCAAAATGCGGCCTGCGCTGTACGTTTTTGGGCTTTCGCTCTCAGCGTATCATCGCGTCGCGACGGCAGCCATGACGTATCCACTGCTCTCTTCCTCCAGCCGCACCGCCACACCCCGGCATGAAACAACCGTGTCAGCCTTGCAAAAATCCATCGAGCTCGGTAATAGCGTGATTGTCATAACCGTAAACTAGCAAGAAAAAGCGATCGTCGCCGCGGACCCTGCCTATCATCCTATCATTGTCGTGTCCCTGAACCCTTCCGCCACAATGTGCACCCTATTCCAGCAGCTCTGACTCTGGCTCCCACGGCAGGCTCTCGCTCAGCTTACGCACGCCCCTCGACGCCTCGCATAGCGACTGCGCCACATTGAACTGCTCCCTCTCCTGTTGCTTCTCCCGGTCAGCTCCGAAGAAGACATCCGCCTTCTCCTTCTCCTGCGCATCCATCTTGGCTCTGTCGTCGGTCCCGTCGTCATCACCAGCGCCTTGCAAGACCTTGACCACGTCATCCTGCGCCGTCCTGTATCCAATATCCAACAGGCCGCGCAGATTCTCGATGTCTTTCGGCCAGTTATCACCGAGCCGACCGCCAGCATCTTTAAGCCTGTCGCCCCCCGCATCGATCGCTTTGACCGCTTCCTCGTAGGACGCTAGTAGTTGTTTCGAGAGTTGTAGGATTCGCGCACCGGACGACGCCACTGGGCAAGCGGCCACGGCAGGCCCTGATGCTGCTGCTGCTCGTGGCCCTTCATTGGCCTTCGGTTGTGCTGTATTGCCTTTTGCAGAAGTAGCAGTAATGCGCGGGCGGAGAGCGTCTGCGATTGGAGGACGGATTTGGCGGCGGAAAGAGGCATCCGCGTTGATTCTGCGGAGCATAAGTAACGAGAGGACTGTCATTTCCCTGGAAAGCAGTGGGCTTACGCATCTTGTTGTCGCTTCTGAATGGTCTTCAAAAGCTTGCGCTTGTCTGTGTCAAGGTCCTTCTTGAACTGCGTGAAGAACGGATCTTCGTCCGAAGAGGCGTCGAATGCTTTCGCTACACGTCGAAAACTTCTATGGGAAGGGTGTAAAGTGTCAGCGTGGCTTCACCTTGCGCCGCTCTGCTTAAGTGATCCACTCACTGGCTATCTGTGGCGGAAACATCCTCACTAGGCCCCACGGCGAACTCGCTGCTGTCCTTGCGAGGGCGGGGGCCTCTTTCAGCTTTGACCAGAACTGCGTTAGCGAGATGCTGGGAAAGGGTCAATCGCTAAGTGTGTTACCTCGAGGCCTCTTTTTGGTGCTTAGCTGCATGACGCAAGGAACAGACCGTCGAAAGACACGTAGGCGGCGGTGACGGTGCGAAATGAGCGATTGCGAAAGGGTTCTTGTGAAGGTGGGTGCACGTTGATCTGTTTAGAGTGATGACCGGGGGAAGGCGTGGACTACGGTGACTTCCTGATTCGGCTACAGACCGACAGCGGCAAACCCACGTCGCTCTTTCCAGATACAGCCCCCTCTTGCAGCAGATGGGTAGCGCGAAGAAAAGCAGTACTTTAGATTGGAAAAATGACACATGTGGGTAGCTGAAGCCATCGTCCGGATGTGTATGTAGAATTTTAATTCCGCATTCTCGTCCGGACGATAGCTTCAGCTACCATTGACATGAGCAAAAAACAAATCCACGCTAGCCATCGGCTGCAAGAGGGGAGGGAATGTAGATTCGGGACCCACACTTAATAGATGTTTCGGTTCTGTGTTCAATCACTCAATATGTGCGCGCTGCGGCTATCAAGAATGAAGCATTCGTTCCAGGCTACTCTTTGCAAAACTAAATTATATGAATTTATGAAGACGCAACATTACACTAATATCAGACAATCTCATTCTTGTCTCTCTGACCAGACCTCTACGACCGCCATCTTCACATAGTACCAACACACCAGCAAGAGGCTTAGGACGCCCGGATGTGGATTAGCCAGCTAAGCTACATGAGAGGTAGGAAAGATACCGACCTGCAGGTGCATTTCCTTCCGTACAAACCTTTTAATAGCCAGGGCCTCTTTAAGTGAAAGATTGAAAAGGAACATCAGAACCACAAAAGAAAAAAAAAGGCTCTCCCATCATTTGCCCATCAGCCAGTTTCAAAAAGAGTGAAAGTATTCACTTTTTTGTTTCCCTACTTTTTCCGATTGTAGATAGTCATCAGCAGTACGACCGGAGGGAAAGGAAAGAGCACCAACTCTCCGAGCGAATAGGTCAAAATGGAACTCTGAATGATGAAACAGCACTAGAGGAATAGGAAATGTTTAAATCACTTTTCCTGCCGAAGGAAATATCTCAAGAACCCATTCTTTGATGGAGAAGCCAGAAAACACCCGCCGTGGATTGAGCCATCCGTCATCCAATCGCCGTACTCGTTTCCTGTCCGCAGATTGACCCTGCCATGTTCCGACTTGCAGAAATGGGACAAGTTGTAATGTGTACTGATGAGGGAAATATGCAAAGTGAAATAGAAATCGGACCATAAGGAGCGCAAGAAAGAGAATAGAGCAGGAAGAAAGAAGTGAGCATGCAATGAACTCAAAAACCGATGACTACCTATAAGGCAATAGCCTGCAGCAATACCTTCGCCGATCGCAAGATTTGGTGTTGAAATTGAAAGAAAAAAAAAAGCCTTCAACATGCAATGAGTCGTGGTCATGTCTCAGTCGTGCCGTTCTTTGGCTCTCTCGTCTCACATCACTTTCCAAGGTTCTTCGGCCGTCAAGTCTGTATGCTCCAAAATCAATCTCTGTTCTGATGGATAGGACGGCTGTGTTCTATGACCTTCGATCCATTAGGAACCGGCACGTTGATTGAGTGAAAGGCTCTGCGCGAGCACACGGTTGATATCCTGCTCATCATTTTGAGAGTGTTCGCCTGCGCGAGAACCTCCAACTTCCTGACCAGGGAATGGGGAGTAATTGCCGGGGTAACCGCCTCCAGGTCCACCACCATATCCATACTGATACGGCATGTAACGGTTCATTGGGGGATTCTGCACCCAAGTTGGCGCGTAAGCCGGTGCGACAGGGTTGAATCCACCAAAGGCTGGAGATGGAGCGTAGTGGTAGACTGGGCGTCCTTGCGGTTCCTGGTAGTCTTGTTGAGCGTCGGTAGAATTTACTTCAAGGCCTCCGGGGGTACGAGGTGCTGGGTTGGCGTTAGCGATCAGTGGTAAGTTCTGGGGTGATGGTTGAGATATACCACTAAAAGCGCCCCGTCCGTAACTGGGTCCTATCGTCATCGTTGTCGGAAATCCGTTTCCATTGGCATTGGCATTGGAAGTGGCGCCTGGACCAAGGCTGGATGGCGGAGGAAGCTGTGTGAGAGCATTGGATGGAGTCGCAAACGAGGCAGGGTTAACCGCTGACATCCAGATGCGTGCTTTGTACACCTTGAAGAGATCGGTCACAAGGTGGTTGAAGTTGATGTAGCAGTCAGCATAGTAGAAGAAGGTGAGCTTCTTGTAGTCGAGCTGATACTCGGCATCAAGGATCTCCATGGTAAGACCATGCTCAATAGCTTTTTGTTGGCAGACCCGCTTGGCCTTGGCCTCTGCGCCTTCTTTGTCGCGGAGCACCTGGATCTCGTGTCCCTGGGCAAGACGCTTGAGCATCTTTGGCCGGATGTCGTCAACAATTGGCGCCTGGAGGGGAGGTCTTGGGCCCATGCCGCCTTCTCTACCGTACTGTTCGCCATTAGAGGCAGCAAGCATGCCATTGGGGTTCACCAGTCCACTGTTGCCATTCTGAACATGGCGCGAGAACATCATCAACCAACGGAAGTGCTGCTCCGATGCCTCTTTGAGGTTCTGCCTGGCGTCTTCCAGCGTGACGTCGCAGTGTGTGACCTGACCGAGATCCTGTCCACGGTCACCCTCGACAATAACCATGTCTCCGGCCTTGACCTCCAGACCCACGTTCTCAGGAATGTAGTAGACGTCGGACCTGGAGCATTTGAAGGTGACGATGTACAAATGCTTCGTCGGACGGGCGACATTCGGTGGCGCGTACGGGTTTACCATGCTGGGAGCCGTGGCAGAGATGCCGGGCACGGTTGTGTGAGCGCTGCGCATAGCCGGACCAACTCCCGAGAAGTATGACTGCGCGAAGGCACGGTCGTGAGCCTGGCCTAGCTCGATTGCTGATTCTTCATCGCCCGAGTTCGACCTGAAATGATCGTATTCCCGTTCCTGGTGATAGTTCTGAGACCGCATCTGGGATGATGGTGAATGCATGTTCCGCGCAATGTCAGGTTGACTGTTCTGGGATATGCGCGAGGCGCTCAGCTCGTCTTCAATGTTGCCGTCACTTGAGAAGAATGAGTTGTTCAGGCGCGTATGGGAGTGAGGAGTGACGACAGCGAATGAATGGCGTCTGCTCTGTGAGCCCTCGTCGATGGGGTCGAAGCCGGGTGAGTTCCACGCAAATCTTTGAGAACCGTCGTTCATGCGAGAAAAGTCGGTTCTCAGCGGTGACATTTCACTAAAACGCCTGTCGGCGAGCCCTCTGCCAAGCATGCCAACGGATTGATGACCACCTGATTCCGATTCGTTGTCATCTGCTTCGTCAATAGCATAGTCGGATTCTGAGAAGGTCTGTGAGCGTTGCGGCGACCACGTGCCGGCGTTGACACTTGTGCTTGAGGCACGATGACGCACACCGAGTGCTTGCTTAAGCAGGGCAGAAGAAGGAGGACCGGGTGCCGCCTTGCTCACTGGTATTACGCCTTGGTTGTTGCTCACTTCCTCTTCGTGAAGGTCGCCAAGGATTGCTGGGCGAGGCTGATGCAGTGCTTGGAAACTAGCACGTACGCGGTTCGGCGCATTTGGAACCGGACCATCCTCGCTTTGCCCCACTGAGTATGACTGAGACCTCATCGTCTTCCTGAAGTGAAGGGATTCTTCCGAAGGCAGCTCGTAGCCGGGCGAACGGAGCTCATCTCCGAAGCCGAGCGCCGAATGGAAGTAGTTTGATGGCGATTGGGGTAACTCTGTAAGGCGGGAGGGTGGTTCACGTCTTGCATCGGAGGTCCAAGGATTACTGTAGGACACCGTCCCAGCGGAGGATTTATGCGCCAAAGTGTTCCAAGACCCATGCTCTCCGGGGGTAGACGGCTGCGAATTATTGGATGTGATGGAAACGCCCCCTTGAGATGCTCTTCGGGCCGCCATTGGGCCTGATTGAACTTCTGATAGCCATGATCCACGCCGAAGGGGTGGGAGTCCTGGAGCACCTTTGATAGAAGCAGCACCGGCTGGCTTTTTCACAACAATGTCCTTCTCATCCTCGGAAGAAGCCACAGCCTCGGAATGCGGGCTTCCTCCCCGAGGCGCCTGTCCAAGTGGTTTTTCAAGGTAAAATGGCGACCCATTCTTGTGTGGCAGCGCAGCCTTGGAGCTGAGCGGACCGCGAGTTGATGGTATCGAAGTCATGGCTAGTTGACTGATATTCGCTTTAGCTTCTGATTCAACAGACTGGAGGACCGGCCGTGTTGCCAGCCTGGCGAGCTATCAGCAATGCAACAAACAAGGATGCTCTTCACTTACAAAAAGGACGGTCAACCCCCAGATATATTTGCTGATCAATCAACGATTGTGTGAATTCGTCTTTTCGGGCAACCAGATACTACGAAAATCAACGGTTCGCGTTGATTTTTCTATTTAAGAATTAGTAAATTGTATTTTGGGAAAGGGAATTCTTGGTGTAACAGAAGGACGCGAGAAAGCAAGTCATGGCGAGTGGAGAAGGCAGAGAAGCCCATTTTAAAGGAGCGATGCGCATGTCCAACAGAAGGCGAAACCTGATGGCGTCAAGCCATACCACTGGTGGTAAAGGCGCAGCAGTGAGGTAAGACGGATACTGGAGTACGTCGCAATCGCTGACGTGGTGCTCGAATTTGACAATCCAGCCATTTAGGCGAAGCCCCAAAGCATGATCGAGGTACGGGCGCACCACGACCATGGAGGGGAGGAGAGAATAATATGCACTTGCATGAACAAAACTGAAAAAAGTAGGCATACCTCTGATTCAAACAGACAAAAGAATGTCGTGATGGGCAGTAAAGCCGTAGAGCAGGTCGAGTGTTGCGAAAGGGCTGTATGTAACGGTGCGGTCGAAGTCTGATGCTGGGGCGCGCGGATATGTTGGGAATTGGATGTCGCGGGATCTCGTGACCGGTTCTCGTAGTTAAGTCGCGCGTTGCGCGTGCGATTACTATATGCATCCATGTCAATGTCCTGCCATTTTGGGCTGATAAATGAAGTCGTAGGAAGGAAAAAGAGTGGAATCCTTCGTGAGAAATATAGGGGGAAGAAAGCGCCGCAGCCAGTGCCGGAGTAAAGGAAAACTTCGCGCAAGGACCGAATGCCCACCACCCTCCAGCATGGTGCGAGCCAGGGAACCTGGAGCCGATAGCTGCTGTAGCTCGTGTTGCGATGGCCACTTCGCAAGTTCCAAAAAATCAAAGTCGCGTCGTCGAGGACAGTACGCCACGCTGAGAGCGCAGTATGTTCGTTCGCGTTACCTACGAGCGGCGCGGGCAGGCTGTAGACAGGCGCGCCTCAAGCCTTGCCTGGAAGGGAGACGGCAATCCAAGAACAGCATGCGTATCGACCAGGTGGTAGCTCGAATGGGAGGATGGCGACGGACGAGTGGCGAGGTTGGGACGAAAGGGTGGCAAGGTGTGCGCGCAGCGACATGATGGGAACGAAGGCGCTTACCTAGTGTACAGAAATACTGGAAACAATTACAGGCGAGGAGAGGGGGGACGCGACAGTGCCTCTATGTCTATATTTCAACAAAATCACTACTGTGCCATCAGCGCTAGAGCGAGCCGCTGAAGGGTGCAGCACCGCTTCGATCCGCGGGGGCGTCAGGGCGGCAACTTACCAGAAAGAGAGCTCTATCGCCACTCTGGTCGCGTAGTCCTCGGGTCTTTGCGAGGTTGAAAGCTGCAGTGCTTGGGCGGTCAGCTGGCGGGCGTCAGGCCGCGGGCAAACAGCGGGCGTACCTGTCTTTGCACGGGCAACCTCAATGCGCCAAACTTTTGTACCGGTCTATCCCAAATCTCTTCGAGGGGTGCGTGTGTCGCGATGTGGTGCGGTGGTTGGAGGAGTGTCGGGGCGGAGTCGTGGCATGAGAGACGCAGGCTGGCGGCATGCGACGGTATACCGGGGGAGAATGTGGGGAAGGCGCGCCACGCTTTGCCTCGTTCGAGCCGCAAGTGTCCGGGCGATCAGGCAGAGCAGTTCGTGGCGGTCGCGCGCGATCAGCGGAGGCACATTGTCTCGTTGCAATGGGGAGAGGTGGGCGCGCGCGCAGGGACGGCGAGGCGAGGCGTGAGGTGGAGGTGTCTCGGGAGGCGACGCGCTGCAGCTGGTGGACTGACAATCGAGTCCCTGGAGCTGGGGTGGGCCGAGTGCTCGCTTCGCGCCGTTGCTCCCCGGCGATCTGTCGTGGCGGCCGCGGGGACTCGGGGGCTCGGGGCCTGGGGCGCGGGCGCGGCGCAGGTCGCAGGCGTGGAGATTGGGCGGGGCCGCGCAACGGGGGTGGGCTGGGCGCGACAGCGACGTCTTGGAGCGACGCGAGAGACTTTGCAGAGCAGGAGATCGCCTCGGGCGCGGTGGCAGGCACCGCACAACGCCTCTACTCTTGTATGTAGCGCGCGCACTGGCCATGCGGGGAAGCAGGCTAGCCTGCTTGGGGCGCTCCAAAGACTGCTCTGCGCCGAGACAAACCTGCAGCTCAGCACTACTGGCAGCCGGTGATCGGCATGGCGGTTGCATCGCCAGAAGCCCGTCATCACCCCAGGGCTTGCGGTCCGCTCGGAGTGCTGCAGCCTTCCCCGGCCAGCGCAGCCGGGGTGCACGCTGCGCCTGGCCACGCGCCCCCTCCTGCGCACGCAACCGCCTTCCGCCCCGCGACTGAAAGGTCCTCTCCAGACCCGGGTCCGAGGCGCGCCGGGACGGCGCTCTCCAGCCTGCCGCAACGATGGGGCCGCAAGGGGCAGTCACGCGGCCACAAGTTCTGGTCTAGCCTTCGTGTGCCGCGCTGCTAACCAAACCGACCCATTCCAAACACGCGTCGGCAGCCCAAAAGAGGGGCTTCTCGAATGCAAGCTTTGTCCGCCGCCAGTAGTCAGGCTTGCTGGAGCTACCCCGCAGACCGCGCTGCCTCGACGGGTCTGAAGGAGCTGCGCACAAGGGTTCCGTATTATTACCAGCTGTCGTGAGATTAATTGCGCCCTGCCGGATTGGCCGGCGTGTCCCACATGCCTCGTCATGGCTAGCAGTCGCAGCCGGCGCGCCGCTCAAAGAAAAAATCCTTTCTGCCCGCTGCTTCGGGTGCGCATATTTCCTGACGATGCCGCGGCTCCCATAAGCATAAGTGGCGCCACCATGGCTGCAGTTCCAGCCTTTTGCAAATGCGACGCTTGCTGTGTCTGCTCCGGCCAGTGTCAATGCAACCGAAGAAAAAGCAACCAATTTTCCAGATCCGCTGCGCCTGAAGTCGATCTGACGCGCCGCTGGCGAGATTCTGCCGCCCCCCGGCAGCCTTTTGAGCTCTGAGGATCCAGGCTCTTGCTCACCACACAGGCGCCACTTCCTTTGTGCTGCTCGTACGAGTCGGCAGGAGACTCGGGACATGTTCCGCCTGCAGTCCCGGCCCTCAGAGTGGCGCCCGCGCGTCGACTTTATAATTGTCGCCTTCCAAGTCGAGGCGTGGTCGGGTATTGTTGAGCATGTGCTAACCCGGAAGTGTAGGTCTCCCGCGATCGCCGTTGTATAACGGGTCGGTCTGCCCCTATAGGCTGGGCTCGCTAGAATCAATCGGGATTCACACGCACCGGGACCGATCGTTTTCAGGGACCGCTCCCGTCGTCGTGTGTCATGGTCACTGGTGCTACTGGGAGCTTAGCGCTCTGCGGCTAGGCGAGCAGCGAGCTGGATATATGATCATCAACCTGCTGCAGAAATATTGCGCGCGGTTATAGCCTTTCACGTCCTGCGAGGTGTCCTCGAGGAGAGCCCTTATGTTGACAAATTGCGCCAAAGCTACAGCCGACGGCATATTGTGGAGAGCCAAGGCTGTGAAAGAGAGGTACCCCAATAATGCGAGGCGGAACTAGCCGCCCTGCAGGTGTTGGGAAGGCCGGAGCTGATCGATGGGGCCGTGAAGAGCGAAGTTAACAAGATGAAGTCCACGATAGTCGTCGCCTGCCGTTTGCACACTCGGAGGTGATTATCCGAGACATGCATAGCATCCGAAAACACACCGCTGCGTGTGCCAGACACCACCATTCTGTACTCTACAGCATGGTGTTTGGCTTGGCGGTGACTAACGTGAAGGCGGTTCGGTGGGTCTCGAAAAGCAGCTCCTGAAGGTACCGCAAGGCTTGTGGCCATCGAGGAATCAACGAGCCGATCCGCACATATGGCAGACATCTCGATATCTCCAAGGAAACCTCATCGGAACGGACTTTTGATTTCTGTTAGCCACCACGGACGTCATGCTTGCGCATTCGCAGCCTTCCACTTGTCCTCGTCATTCGGCGATCAGCCCATTTGGTGCGATCATAGATGAGAGTCCACCCAGCGCCGGTATTGGCTGCCGAATTCACGTCTGAGGAGAGAGGCGTTCGGAACCCTGGCAGTGCTTTGTCGGCTGGTCTTCCTTTCCAAGTAGTAGCTCTCCAAGATCTGCATCGACGTTAACCTCTCATTATTATTGACAACACAGGCTTGTTTGCAGCAACGTGTAGATCTTGCTGAGCTTATTGGTAAGAGAAGCTTGGGTGCGGTTTTTACTGGACCGTCGCCCACAACAGGACAACAAATACCGCAACTTGCCGGGCCTCGTTTCATCAAGCAAGACCATCCACCCAGGTGGCTGCCATCCCCCCTCAGCCTTCTCTGAGATGCCACACGTTGCCAGCACACTTCATCGGCGCAGATGGGCCTCCAACTTTGATGGTTGTATTGCAAGGTCGGGTGTGGACGATCAAACTCAATTACCCCGCGACAGTGTTGCCTAAGAAACAGGGACCAGCATTGATGCAGATCGCTGATCCGTCTGCTCAACCGCGCTCAACCGCCCAGCAGAGCGCGGCAAAACGCTTCTGGACAGGCGCATGGCTGCGAGAAGGGTGGAGGCCGTATCAGGTCTGTCGCAGCAGCGCAGACTCCCAATTATCTCGCAGCACAGTGTTGCCTGATGTCAGCAACTGTCCCTCACGTGCTATGTGCTGCTTTTTCACCGCCCCAGTGAAGGGCTGCAAGGGTCGTAGGGGAATCCGGGACGCGAAGCAAGGAAGACGAAAAACGGCGATGGGCGAGGGCCAATTGGAGGGTCGGCAGGCACGCAAGAGACGCGGGAAGTGTCAGGCCCGGTGGGGTGAGAGGCGGCTGCAGGTGACTTCACGAGCCACAGCACCAAGCATCACGGCTCCTCGGCTGGCGCAGGGCTACGGCGGGCGGCCTTAGGCTAGAGCGATAGCGCCTTGGAGATCGCCGCCCCTTCCGTCACAGGGTCTGCTGTGCTGCTGTGTCGCGGGCGCGGCCAGGACGCGTTCGACGGCGGCCTGGGAGGCCGACAGCTCCCGGCGGCGAGCAGCGGGCGGCAATGCGCGGAAGGTAGACGCACGCTGAATGGTCGCGGTGGTGAGCGGCATGGCGGTGACATCCTTGCTGTTAGCTCTTCTTAGGCGTTGCTCGAGCGACCTGCGAACACATCACTTGCAGCCAGCAACACTTAAGAAGCCAAAACGCTGTCAGAGCGTCTTGGTGTATTCAATCTGCGGCATCATCATCCACCCACCACGTTCACCGGCCTGTCGCACGCGTCGGACAAAGAGCTTGTAGGTCGGTCGGAAGAGCGGGAACACTGGCGCCATTCTCGACGTCATCGCCCAGACGTCATTGAAGCAGCACAAAAACAGTCTCCTGCATTATTCTCCCAGCCTCTCTCATAAACCCACTGATCTCCGACCGCACGAGCCGCAATAATCCTCAAACGCGCATCCGTCGCCCGTGCAGCCTCCCAACTTTCTCCAAAATGGCGTCCAAGGCGCTTCACACCGTTTTCAGAGGGCTTGAGGTGTGCAATCCCCGTCACCCGAGCGCGTGCGCGTTGCTAATCCTGCGATGCTGTAGTTCCTTTGGGCTCTGCTAGTCATGGCCCTCATCGGCAACATGATTGCAACCGCCTACGCCGGCAACCCAAGCATCGTGAACTATTCCATGTTTGTCGCCGTCTTCTCCATGCTCAGTTTATTCTACTTGATCCCTGCGACAATCAAGGACGGTCTCGGCGTTCCCATCGCCGTGATCGCCCTCGATCTGCTCAATGTGATTTTCTACTTCTGTGCCGCTGTCGCACTGGCCGCCTATCTCGGTGCTCACAGCTGCAGCAACTCGGTGCGTACCTGTCCCGCCAGTCCCGGTCCTTTTGATGCTAACACTCTGGTTAGAGCTATACGCACAGCAACTCCATCACCAACGGTTCTCGAGACACCGAGAAGCGCTGCCGTGAGGCGCAGGCTTCCACCGCCTTCCTCTGGTTTGGTTTCGCTTGCTTTTGTGCTACTGCCTTCTTCTCGTGGCAGCAGAGCCGCGGAAGCGTCAACATGCGCAGTAGCCGCGGTGCTCCGTCCATGAGCCAGGTCTAAATGACGTGGATGCGGGTGTGGCGCAGTCAACGCAGGGGGTACCGCCGCACCGACGTGAGACATAGTGATGCGCCAACGGAGTCAAACGTCGCGTGGCTGCTGTACTGTTGTCTTGCCTTGCGAACGGACCTCCTGTAGAAACACGTGTGGTTCGGCTGGTATCGATAAGTAGGACATCGGACCGAAAGGGGAAATGCATGTGGCCCATGGGCCACAGCTCTGTACATGATGACGAGATCACGGTGTTACGATATACAAGCAAGAGGTACATATAGCGGCGGATTGTTTGCATGCGGCTGGTTTAACGGGGTTCGAAAGACTATGGCCCTGAATACACAGAATTGCGTTTTCTCGAAACAATTGTTGTGCAGTTTGACTCGCAGCCTGTCCGTTTTTCGCGCCGATTCTCCGGCGCATCCGCTGAGCCTCGCCGTCTTTTCTGCGCCTTCACCAACCCTCCACCCCTCCTTTCGCACGATCTGCCTCACTCCCTATTTCAGCCAATCATATCCCGTGTGTCGTTTCTCCTTGTTCCGACTGCCGTCCACGCCTCCTTGCCGAACTACGGACTGCCGACCTTAGCGCAAGCAAGCCCCTCGAGGTTTCGCCTTTCGGAAGCAATTCCCCCTTTTTCAACGTGTTCTTCTCGGTCATTTCTGTTCGGCGTCTGCAAAGTCATCATCCCCTGTTACACCACCCGAGTGCAGTCCCCAGGAGCCAGCCGACATCTCTTCCCAGGCGCCATCCCCACGTGCCAAAGCCCGGTCTTACTTCTGTCAAGAGAATAAAATAAAAAATAATAATAAAACCAGAGAAAGCTCCTTGAGCTTCAGGAGCCTCGCGCACGGCTCTCGCTTCGATCAGATTCAGGCACATACAGCGCATCCTCATCCGAACTTCTTCACCTTCACCAAGTGGTCAACCCAACACGCGAATCACCAGGGCTGAAGCACTCACCGTCAAACCCCTCTCTCACCGCCATTCCGTCACTAGCAGTCAGCCACCACAAACAAAACCTCAAGACAACCCAAAAACCCTCACCCACCCTCGCACCACCACCACCACTACCACCATGCCCAGCCCACCCATCTCGCCCACCTCCCTATCGCCGTCCGGCAAAATGGCCAGCCTAGCAAGCATCCTCCACCACGGCAGCACGCCCATCACGACCCAGTCCACGTCCTCAAAATCCACGCCGGCGCCATCATCCGCCTTCCGGCAAGCCGCATCGCCGCCGCCGCCTCACCACCACCACCATTCCTTCGGCCAGCAGCAGCGGTCCCAGGCCACCTCCCCTCCCCCCGGCTTCGGCAACAGCAACGGTAACAACTTCATCACCCCGCTCTCGCCCACCACCATCGCCTCGGCCGGCCACCGCATCGCCCCCGTCCAGGAAGACCTGCCCTTCTACCACCAGCTCGAGCAGGTCCAGCGCGTGCGCGAGGGCAAGTACGGCGCCGCTGCCGCTGCCGCTGCCGGCGGTGGCACCGCGCCGTCGCCCCTGCCGCCCTCCGGCTTTTCGTCCTCGTCCGGCGCCGGGGCTACGCCCGCCTCGGCCGCGGCGGCTGCCGTTGCCGCGTACGCGTACTCGACCGACGCGTCGTCCGCCGGCGGCGGCAAGAACGGCTTCTTCCCGAGCGCGACGTTCGAGCGGCAGATGGCCGAGGTGGAGGAGGCGAAGGAGGTGCTGAGGAAGGCGGGCGTGTTGAATGTCGGTGCTACAGGCGCTCCTAGTGCCGCTGCGGCCGCAGCGTGGGGTTCAAGCGGTGGTGTTTCGCAGCAGCGGGGCAGCATTGCCGCCAGCGCTTTCCGTGGCTCGATCGCAAGCGGCGGGGGTCACAGGGGCTCCGAGGCGCACCTTAAGGTCCAGGTCCAGGGGGATGGAAATGCGATGGTCAGGGTAATGGGATCGGCAGAGGAAGCGGACAGGGATGAGGGCGTGAGGGCTATGTGAGGATTATTTCTGATTGTTTTTTCCTAGGGAGAGGCGTGGGATTACGAATGAGTTTGAACTGCTTTGGGGTTTGGGTGGCATCGAGTGGGAGTTATTTTTTGGAAGGCGGTGACGGGGAAGAGAGGTTGGCTAGGTACTAGGGAAAGAAACGGAAATACTCAAGGGAAAAGCATGGGTGCGCGGACCTTCTTTTGAGACGGGGTGTTCGGGATTGCTGGGGACGCTTGCAGCTTGAGAATCGAAGAGGATTCCTCTTGGGGGATAATCTTCTAAAAGTTTAGGGTGCATGGCGGGGTTCTCCGGAAAACTGGATTTGAAGGCGATGAGGTCGGGTCTCGGACGGAAAGGAACTATGGAGGAAGGATATGTAGGTGGGAACATATAGAGTATCGAGCTTCTTGTACATAATACGGTCGACAACAGCTCCCAACACCTATGGATACCCCTGCCGCTATCTCGTAATTAAACTTTGTTGTCTCCTTGGTGTCAGATTCTTAAAATTCTCCTGTCGATATGCATATCATACGGGCGTTCGAACCGTGGTGAAGTTCGCAGGCCAATAGGCCAATAGACATGCATGCTCCTTCCAGATTACGGAGATCTTCTCCTTGGCGATTCATTGGACTCCCTTTCCAGGTTCCGAACACTTACTATCCAGGGCTTTAGAAAAGCGAGTGACTATGGCTCTCAATGAGATATGGTTTTTCACAACATTTACGAGGAATTGTTTTACTTATGTGGACAGTTGAAGCTAACATCCGGACATGAATGTATTATTTTTAATTCGACATTTGCGTCTGGACAGCAGCCTCGACTACCCATAATATGAACGAAAAAACCAACCTTCACTAACTTTTGGCTGCATTACCCTGTTCTAGCTGTTGCTGCGTAATAGTGGAAAAATCGCCGCAGCCAATGCTAGGGACAGTAATTCTGAGGATTATACATTCCCTTCTCGCAGCCGATGGCTAGCGTGGATTTTTTTTTTTTGCTCATGTCATGGGTAGTTGAAGCTATCGTCCGGGCGTGTATGTAGAATTTTTAATTCCACATTATCGTCCGGACGATAGCTTCAGCTACCCACATATGTCATTTTTCCAAGGCAGAGCTGGGGCACCCCTGTAAGGAATGCCACTCACCATATTCTAGTTCTGTTCACTTGGGGTATGAAAGCATGAATTTGCGTGTGCATCACGCAAAAATAGATTATTGAGTAACAAATATTATAAACCATTGAATACTAATGTCTCATCAAGAGAGCCCACAACTGCCCCCTTGAAATTCTACTCCGCCAGCGGAGAATAATGGGGGACCTTAAACAAATTCAACGCCATTGATCATCCTGTTCCCTTCGCCGGCCCTTTTTGCAGACGCAAAATCCACCGTGTCAGACCCGCTACGCACCAACGCATGGTCTGATCTTCCCTCACTGCTTGATTTCCCAGGAATCTCCTCCATCGGAGCTACCAAGCCATCAGCCATAGAATCTTTCCCTTGCGCTTCGGGTACGCCGTTGACTTTGACGCTCGTCAGAGCGGAGGCGGACTCTTCCCTCTCTTTGTTCAGCTCAACTTCTGGCTTCTTCACTTCTTCACCCGTACGCCTGCGCGGCGGCGGCTGCCTTTTCTTCAAGGTTGACCTTCGTCTCGGGACAGGCCGCTCCAGCTCCTTCATCGGCGTCTTATCATCGCCTTTATCTTTCTTCTCCCTCTTCTCCCTCGACTTCTGTCCAGCCCCTCCACTTGGGGCGTTCGCCTCCTCGAACCTCTTATCCCAAACGCGCAAAACCCTCTCCTCAACCTCCCTCCTCGCCTCCTCATCACCCCCAAACCTCCTCATCTCCCTCCTCCCCTGCATCATCCTCACCCTCCTCACAAACGGCACCCACCCATCCTCCTTCCCCCTCCACCTCCTAACCTCCCTATGCAACCCCTTCGCACAGTACCCCACGGGCCCCACCACCGCACTCACATTCTTCAACACCACGCCCCCCACACCCAATCCCACGCCTTTCACCGCGCCCACCGCCCGCCCCTCGCGCCAGCCGCGGGCGGGCTGCCTCCACAGGCCCGTCCAGCCGTCGTATACGCCGTACACGAACTCCTGCCGCGACGCGCGCAGGCCGGAGCGCCAGCCTGTGATGCGCACCGGCCGCCGCACCGTGTCGTCGCCGTACAGGCGCGGCGCGTTGTGGAAGCCCTGGGCCAGCGCGAGCGCCAGGTCGACGGGGGCGCGGGCGAGCGCCGAGGCCGACTGGTGCAGGCCGTGGCCGGCGGTGCGCCAGAGCTCGGTGGGGAGGGGGTTGGAGGGGGTGGTGGATGCACGGGTTGGAGGGCTGGGGCGGTGGTGGTGGTGATGCTCGTCGCCGGGGGAAGCCTTGAGGGAGGAGGAGGAGGGATCGTTCTGCCGACTTTCTTGTTGGGATTGGGAGTCGATGGTGTTGCTGCTGCTATCTGTGGCCTCGACGGGTTCACCTGCGAAGTAGTCCTGATACGGCAAATCCCGGGCAGCTTCTTCCTGGATGATCCTTTCCCTCTTCTCCTTCGCCCGCTTCCATTTTCTCTTCTCGTGTTGGCCGTGCTTCTTCACGCTCCTCATGGCCCTCGCCGGCACCGAGCCGACGCCTTGTGCGGCTGCCACCACAGTCCCGGTCACAGCGCCGCCGACGCCTGAGATGGGTTCGCCGGGTCCGTCGAAGTCATTCCAGTCGTAAGTCCTTGACAGCCGCAAGTCGCTCCACTCCAGTTTGCCCCGCTCTGTCAGCACCTCGGCCGCCAGAGGGCTCAGCTTGAGAACTTCGCCGCCGTCGCCGCTGCCATTCTTCCTCTTTCCGTGCTTCTTTTCCTTCAGCTGCCACACCGCGACCCTGTCTTCCAAAACACTGCACCGCATCGAGTGCTCCATCTCGCCTCCTCCATCCCCCTGTCTTTCCCGAACGCGCAACGGCAAGCTCGCATGAAACGAGCTCACCGCATTCTCCGCGCCATCGCCCTCCGCCGCAATACTATCCGCCAAGCGCGCCGCATTCCGCCCCGCCTCCCCCTCCTCCTCATCCAGGCACTGCCTGATGCCCTCTGCCAGCTTCTCCGCCGTCAACTTCCTGTACGGCACGCACTCGTGCGCACCGGCCCGCGCCTTCGCGACCATGGCGCCCCAGAAGGGCTGGTCGCCGAAGAAGGGCACGATCATGGTGGGGCGGCCGCACTTGAGGCCGATGGCCGTCGTGCCCGCGCCGCCGTGGTGCACGACGCACGCGACGCGCGGGAAGAGCCAGTCGTGGGGCGTGTTGTCGAGGAGGAAGATGTTGTCCGGGAGAGAGGAGGAGGAGTTGCTCTGCTGCTTACTACTGCTGCCACCTATGCCACCCCAGCCTTTGCTGACGAGGGCGCGGACGCCGGCGAGGGAGACGGCGCGGAAGATCATCTGCGTGAAGGCGTCTGGGTCGTCGACTACGATGGAGCCGAAGCCGATGTAGACGGGTGGTGGCCCTGCGTCGAGGAATTTGACGAGCGCATCGGGTGGCGTGAAAGTGGATGCGAGGTCGAGGAAGGTGAAGCCTGCGACGTTGATTTCTGGACCCCAATCTGTAGGTTTGGGGATAAGTGTCGGAGACCACTGCTTCTGTTCAGTATCTAATGCCAACGGAATGGCCTGCAGGACTTACGAGATATGTATAGGGTACTTTCAGTCGATACAGCTGGCCAGGAGCCCATAATGTGCTCACAGGTTCCAGACCCAAAGTCTTAACCCTGAACTTATTCACGAGATCGCCGAGACCCTGCCAGGTCATCATTTCAACGAGTGGATAACTCATGAAGTTGGTATAACTCTCGTCAATATTGCTCTGTTTTACGTTTGCCAGAGGGTGCGGGAACTGCGTGGTTGGAGTATACGGAAATGTGAACATCATGTGCAAAGGGACTCCTAGTCGTTCTGCGATATGGACATGAGCGAAACTGGGAGGATTAGCAATGATGGCGTCCGCAATGAAGGGATGTTTTTCTCCCACTAGATTTTCGTTAGCGTTGTTCAATGGGAAGAGGCCTTAGCTCCTCTGAGGGCTTCTTGTTTGTGGAAGCGCTTTATGGCGAGAACTTACTCATCTTCAGATTCTCTTGATCATTTTCGTCATCTGTGGTGTTGATACAAGCTCTCCACATTCCATTGAACATTTCGTACATCGATTTCCGCCTCCTACCGATCTCACCCGCCTTCACCGTCTCGACTGAGGGAATCAATCCTGGATTCTTGACCATGAAGGCCATGAGCTCCGACGGATCACCACCGACAGAAAAGAATTCCAGCCCGGAATCCTTCTCCACAAACTCTTTGAAAGCCGGATGCGTGGCAATGCGAACACGGTGACCATGTTCGCTCTTCAAGATCTTGCCAATCTTCAGAAAAGGCTGGATATCCCCTCGAGAGCCAATGACGATGATGACGATGTTCAGTTTCGGGATCTGTTTCGGAGCGGTCTGGACGATTTCTCTCCCTTTTGTGAGCTTTTCCTTCTGCCTGGTCGTTTCCAGGGAATCCGCGATCACCTGTTGCTCATGCTTCCCATCGTGGCCTTGCCAATTGCTTTCGGATTCCTCATCCTCCTCCCCTTGCATAAGGCCTAGGTGAGACCTAATGCCAGAGCCGAGCGCCTTTGCCAACCATCCGCTATTAGCAGTCTCATTGACCGATATCTTCAGCCGGCCATCCAACTTCGATACTTTCCCCTTCGTCTTGAAGTATTTGTTTTCTATCGAGAAGCGCGAGTAGCGTCTGGCGGACGTGCCTAAGCTGTCTCCACTGCTGTCCTCACATTTCTGAGCCCCTCCTTTTCCGAAGCTCTTGTCGGTGCCGCGGCGTTGAAGTCTTTTCCGGACTGCTGGTTCGGGCGGGTGCTGTTTTTGAGTGAATTCATCGTCGTAGTCGGAAGAAGAGGTGGTTGAAGTGGTGTCACTCTCAGACGGCGAGTAGTCATCGAAGTCGTAGAAAAATGGACGATTGCCCGCCATCATGCGCGGCGATAAAGGCGAAGAGAACGGCATCCCTGACGTTGCAGCTCTTTTTATGGGCAAGGGAATATTAAGAAGCGGGCGTCGCTGGCCTTCGGAGGCTGAGCGCGCAATAGATTTGCGTTGGTGTGCAGATTCTGGCGCAGACTGCGAATGCAGATGCGCAGCACTTTTTGGAGTTGATAAGGAAATGTCTGGAGTGCTGCAGGATGAAGGAGTGGAACGTTCGGCGTTGGAACGTAAATGCGGAGGCGAAACAGGAGCGATGACGGGCGTAGCAGCATTCAAGGTCGAGATGTTATCAAGTTTCCTGTGATGCCAGGGTGCAATAAGCTCTGGCATCCCGGTAGTTTCAGGTGGGATAGCCGATGGGAAAATTGGACGACCTTGCTCATCGGCGATGACAGGGCTGCTCTGCTGGTGCTGGTCGGCCATAGTGCTGATTTGCAGCCCGGTTGCTTGCGCGCAGCAAAGCTTCAGGAAACTTCGTTGATAACATAGTGGCGGAAGTGGTGAGCTTGCCGCTCATACTTAGCAGGAACGAATCAACGCGATGATGTCTTCCAAGACCGCGACGCGGAGACGCGAAGCTGGGCGGCTGTGCAAAGTAAGTCGAGAACTATGGGTTGCCACAGCCAAATAGCAGGCCTCGGCGCGGTCTTGGAGAAGTAATCGCCTTGATTTGGTGGCTGGGCTCTTCTGGGAAGTTTGTGTTCAGTTGCCGTTGGCAGGCATATGCCCGCGCTAATGCGTGATGACGCATTCTATTGTGGCAGCCATGATTGCCCCTTCTCGTTTCATCTCGCCCAAGTCAGTCATCCGCCAGGTACAGCGGGATATTGCAGCCGAAGGCTAGCGTGAGAATAGTAGGGCCCTAGGCACAACTGGGCCTCAGCCTATTCTTAAACAACATATGTGGATAGCTGACGCTATCGTCGGGACGTGTATGTAGAATTTAGAATTCCACATTCTTGTCCGGACGATAGCTCTAACTACCCATGACATGAGCGAGAACCAAATCCACGCTAGCCCTCGGCTGCACAACCCCTCTGCACCACCAATACTTCCGCAGACGACGGGATCTTGGTGGTTGGAACGACCCCAGATAGTGTAATGCATACAAGCCTGTACACAATGGTCAAGTGTCATTAATTTGTAAGACCTTCTAGGCGGTGTTAATGTTTACCTTGTCCAGTTTATGGATGATGAGGGGAAACATGTCCATTTCTACTTTTATACTCTTCACATTATGGCCTGCTTTCAACTCCACTCGGCTGTTCATGATAACTCTACTGAAAGGAGCCCTTTTCCTATTGAATGCGACAGATAATGCTCAACCTCCCTCGGCCGAGGTGGTAATAATCGTGGTATCAAAATACTTTTTAGAGTGAAGTCGAATTCGAAAAGAGATCCATCAGCGCCCTACAAGGCAATCCCTATGAATCAGTCGACATAAGACATAGCGCAATGCGCTAAGCAAGGAAACCAATCACCCACGTCTTGATTCGCTGCCTACCGCAGCAGCTCCTCCTGCTCCGACTTTGAGAAGCCCAGAAGGTACAGCACATCGAGCAAGCTCTCAGAGTTCAGACGGGCGGGAGCTTCCATTTGAACCCGGGCCTTCGCATTGTAGGCAATTCCAAGGCCTGCGATGCCCATCATGGGGAGATCGTTCGCGCCGTCGCCGACGACAAGGACCTGCTCGAGCAAGATACCCTCCTTCTCGGCGATCTCGCGCACATGCTGCCTCTTCCTTTCCGCATGCACGATCTCACCGGTCAGCTCGCCGGTCAGCGTCTTGCCATCCTCGCTGACAACCAAATGGTTCGCAAACGCATAATCCAGTCCCAGCTGCTGTGCAAACCAGCCAGTCACAGGGGTAAACCCGCCACTCAGCACCGCCGTCTTGTACCCCAGTCTCTTCAGCGCCTTGACCAACTCTACCGCGCCGGGAGTCGGGGTGATGAGCTTGCGGATGTTCTCCCAGACCTCGACGGGCACGCCCTTGAGCAGGGCGCAGCGGCGGCGCAGCGACTGTTCGAAGTCAAGCTCGCCATTCATGGCGGCGGCGGTGATGGCCGAGACTTGCGCCTCGACGCCGATGTGGCGCGCCACCTCGTCGATGACCTCCTGTTGGATGAGAGTCGAGTCCATGTCAAACACGGCCAGCCGCTTGTGGGTGCGGAATACGCTCGCGCCTTGCCAGATGGCCTCGACGTTCCACTCGCGCTCGAAGCGCGAGATGGTCTCATCCTGGCGCAGCGACTTGAGTGTGTCCGCAATGCTGGCACTCGAGCCAGCGGGAATCTCCAGTGAGACTTCGACAACGCGAGGCCATCGGATCGAGTCAAGCACGCGGTGCGCGGCCGTCTTGTCCTGGAAGCCCGGTAGCACGACGTCGAGGGTGCGGAAGAAGTCGGTGAGGCAGCTCTGCGAGATGTAGGCGCCGAACAGGTTGTCGAGCGGGTTGGGGCCCGGCGTCGGAGGTTCGAGCGGGTACTGGTTCAGGTCGTTGGTGGGCACAACGCCACCAGCCAGCGACTCGAGAGACGCGCGGGTTAGGGTGTCGCTCGGGGTGTGGTGGGCTGCGTCCGGATGCGGCTGCGGTGAGCGCGGGGTCGTGGCTTTGTAGAAGAGCGTGCAGACGACGCGGGTGGGTGCGCCTGAGGTGGCGATGGGGGCGGGTGGTGCGGCGGCCATTGGGAGGGTGGTTGTATGCGTTCGAAGAGGGAAGAGACGGGGCGGATATGCAGGGTGCAGCAGGGAAAGGGAAAAACGTAAATAGGAAACAATTTCTGGGACACTTTTTTTTGAGCGTTGCGGGGTCTACTCTACTGGCTCCCGCGATCGGCGGCGCTAAGTACCTAGGCAGAGCTTGGGCCACTGGTTGAGGACAGGCTGCTCTCAGCTCTTCCTGCTCCTCCGTGTCACCTCCGTCCCCTTTCCGGTCCGCTTCCGATCCGTTTCATTGTCTCCTTGCCGTATACAGACACTATGGCTGCCCAATTGAACCCCACTCAAGTCAGGATGAAACAATCGCCCCCGATTGACATCACTAAGCCATGTAGCGATTCATGGGTCAAGGGCAGGCACATCCTGATCACCGGCGGCGTTGGCGGGTTCGGGGCCGGGTTTGCAGCGAGATGGGCCGCTGCCGGGGCGTCGATCGTGGTTGGCGACATCAATGTTGCAAAGGGTGAGGAGTTCGTCAACAGCCTTCGCGAAGAACTCGGTAATCCGAACATCCACTTTGTCCGCTGCAATGTCACCGGTAAGCGTCCTCACAGTGGGCTGCAAAGGAATCTGCTCTTCCAAAATCTGGCATGTTAGCTCTTTGCTTATGTGGGCAGTTGAAGCTTCCATCTGAATATTAATGTTGACTTTGAACATCTACATTTACATCCGGATATCTGCTTTAACTGTCCATGTAAGGAGAGTGCATAGCTCTTCGCCGGACACGAAAGAGTAGATTCCGCTACATCCTAAAGGATCCTACCGTTCATTCTACAAATACTCACTCCCTTTCAGAGTGGGACTCTCAAGTTGCCTTCTTCAAAGAGTCCCTGAAACTCTCCCCACACGGCGGTATCGATGCCGTCGTTGCCAACGCAGGCATAGCAAAACCAGATGACCTCGCAAATCCCTATGATCTCGGCCTCGACGAGCCGCGACGCCCGGATCTCAGTGTCACGGACGTGAACCTGTACGGAGTGCTCTACACCGTGCATCTAGCCATGTTCTACCTTCCGAAGAACCCGGGTTCCGTGCCCTCATCGCCTGACCGCGATCCCAGCGGCACCACGCGGGATCGCCACATCCTGCTCGTCGGCTCGATGGCCTCTCTAGCTCCCATCGCCGTCCAGCCGCAGTACGGCGCCGCGAAGCATGGCGTGCTCGGCCTCTTCCGCTCCCTGCGGTCGACCACCTTCGTCCACGGCGTGCGCATCAACATGATCTGCCCTTACTTCGTCGAGACGTCCATAGTCACCCGTCCAGCGCGTGTGCTGCTCGCCGGCACCGGCTTGGGCCAGGTCGGCGACGTCGTCGAGGCCGCTACAAGGCTCACCGCAGACGCGAGCATTTGCGGGCGTGCCCTCTGCATCGGACCGCCTGCCAAGTCCATGAGGGATGCTAACGGTATCTTGATCCCTGCCGTTCGCGAAGATGCAGAGGGTGCCGATGGCCCGGAGACCGGTATCTGGGAATGCTATGCTGAGGACTTCCAGCTGGTTGAGACGTGGACGAGGAGGTGGGTCATAATATTCAGTTACATCGAGGCTGCTAGGGGCTGGGCAGGTTGGGGGAGAGACGTCGTCAGGGCTGTGTTCGGAGTGTAAGTTTTGCCCACGATATAGGACTTTGTGACGAATGGATGTCTCGAAATGTACTGGTACCGATTAGAAATATGCCATCAATAAAGGTGTCTTGCCGCAAAGGATTTTACTCTCGCCCCTCTCTCGTGAAAGATGTTGTACTCTTCTGCTACGTCGGTATTTTGGAAATTTATATTCGTCCTTCAATGTTTGTTTCAGTTGCCTCTGGAGGAAGTTTTTAAGCGACCCTGTAGAAACAACGAAAGACAAAATCTTCTGAGCTAACTTGTAGACTTACAAGGAGTTTAATCTAGATGCGGCTCAAGATGCAACAGAATTTCCTACTACCTACTTCCTAAAGTTTAATAGCTGTGGCGCTCCCTACCCCTTCTCCCATTTCCTCGTTGAAAGACTGTGTGAACGGGTGCAGAAGCTTTCTACTACTTTGACGGACTACTATTCTCACGAGACAATCTTTCGCCGGAATTTTTAGTTATTGGACCTGGGAAAGTCTGCAGCGGTGTAGAAGTGGATTACGGGCACCCATGGGAATGTAGTGGTAGTAATGATAGTAGAGATGAAGGGAAGGAAATGTCTTATTCTGACATAACTGGTAGCATAGATACCACGTAGTCATTATCCAAGTGTGCAAGGGATTAATAACTAAATATATCCTAATATAGCCTCCGCGGGGACTACGGGGACGAAGCGTAGTGTCAGAATTAAGATAGAGGCGTTCACACACCTTATGTGTGATATGTACGTAGTTATTAATTTTTTTATTGCTGATTCAGCGTTTAATAGTGTTAACCAACACATTTATTTCTACTTGTAGCTTGCTCTGGGATTTACGGAACATAATTGTCATAATTATTTCGCAAGATTGCACTCCACTTACGTAGGTCGTTGAAGTTGGAAATTCCGGCCGTTCACAACACAGCCTCATTTGTGCCGTGCAGCGCACGAGTCGCAGCCGTGCCAATCGGAAGGAGTATGGTATTATAACTTATGCATCCTGTCTTACTAACATCTTTGAAATATTTTCAGGGAATCAGTACATCTTGACAACTTCGTGGACCAAATTGAGCGACAGAGGCTCGCTGCTCTAATGAGCGACACAACAAATGCAGCCCGATTGTCCTTACAGCATCTGAATAGATTGAGCTAGAGATGTGTAATTAGTACATTATCTCGACGGTTGAAGTAAAGCCTCATGTCATGGCAATGAGGGAGGATGGCGGTGACCGGCAGCATACCAAACAGTGCATACAAAAGCAGCACATTGCCTCGATCTCAGCTCTCCTTTCCTCAGCCTCTTCAGTTGAGCCCGACAAGTGCTCTCTGAGATCATCCGTTGCGGCTCATCTCGAAAGGAACCCTGCATTCTACAACGCCCATTCACCTTCTCTTACTCCGCGCACGCAGCAACGGTGCGGTCCAAGAATCTTCTGACTGCGTTCAGACATGGCCCCGACCGGAAGCTCTCGGATCCTGTCACCCGGCGATACGATCAACGTGGTTGGTGTTGCGATTTCGCTCGTTGCGGCCATCATTACTAGCACGCTGGCGTACGTGACCTGGCGCGCGCACGTACGAGCGCAACGCAGAGGTAATCTCCCTCAAAATCCTGTCCCGACAGTAGCTGATACCGAGAGAGAAACAGCGCAAGATTTGGAACTGCAAAGAGCGAGAGAGTGGTATTTCGCTTTCGGTCGTCGTCCTTGAGTCTCTGGCACCGCAAGCCTGGCATCTTCATAACTGGACTTTAGCTCGCGAACTTTCTCTAAATTTTGGTGTTCGTGATGCGAGGCCTTGGTGTTTCTTTTCGCGAGGCGTTTTTCGTCATCGTTAACTCCACCAACGTTGTTGTTCCATCTCTTCGCATCGCTCACAACCCATGCAGTCCATGCGACAACACAACACGCGAGCCTCGCATTTGCTGGAAGCACCAGCCCTCGGTCGCAAATAGATTTTGCTTTTATTTAATCAGTGAAATATGAATTTGGCATCTGGAGTTCGTCCAAAACCTCTGAATAGTGTGCGTAGAACTTTGTCAACGCGTGTGGTGGTGGGTGGTGGGTGGTGGATGTCGAATGGTAGCTGTACGTGTTATGTCATGCCACCTAAAAAGTCAAGAATCAAAGGCCGCCACACAACAGAGTCCGTGCACATTTAAAGTCGTTGCCGCTGACTAATATCCAAGACTGCCGTGCTACTGCTTCTTGAAAGTCTAGAGTCTGGTTTCCTGTAGTAACAGAGGCTCTGTATCCGTAGCCGCAGTTAAAGTATCATCTAGACGCCGTTACTGAAGCTTTGTTCCGAATACTGCCTTCTCATGATACCGGCCCGCTGGCTCAAATTCGAAGCATAGGCCATGAGATTTTTTGCACTAATGCAATCTAAGAACGTGATTGGGCAGCTTTCGTTTGATGTCAGACTTAAGTCGATACTTACGCATTGCGCATCAAATCGAGCCCCAGCTATCGAAAGAAGCTTGTACCATTTCCAATGCTCCACGAATTAGTATCCAGCTCTTTATACACTTAACGACCGAAACAACCTCCGCACGACACTCGCGTCATACACCATTACACGCGTAAACACGCCTACGAGTTTTTGAGGAAATGGCGATACCTCGACATACAAACATCATGCGCCAAGTAGCTACAGAACGTCGATCAGTCCATGCACGCACTATCTACCAAAGCTTGCCTTCCACGTATGCCATTCCACATCGAGGACTTATATTTCGACGTCACGACAAGTGGAAGCAGTTAGATCACTCACACAATCATTCCAGCCAGTCCGAACCAGCGGACAACGAGGTGACCTTGATGTACAAATAACCTATCGTACGTCTGGAAGATCAAAAACCAAGGGCAGAGGGCTAGAACATGGAGTTGAATCCGACATGTACGTGTTTCTTTTCTCACGCTCATTCCTCGTTTCCTTGTGCAACCCAACCAGGCAACGCCCTGTACGCCAAGATCGTGGCGTCATGAACGCATCCGGAAGCCAGGTTGAAAACCGGGTGAGCGCCTAATCAGCGGAAACGGTGGCGAACAGGGTCAGTCATCGACAGAGGTGGTATGTACCGGGTTTCTGTTGCCGTGGCGGATGTGGCAGTATTTTCCGTCTGGATCAAGACTGTGACTGACGGAACTGGCTACTTTGTGATACGATGTTCAGTCCCCTGCTCAAAATGCAGGGATCTGGTTATCTTGTCTGATCGTGGAGAACCAAGCGCGAGATGGCCAAATCGACGGCAAAAGCAACTACAGTGCTTTAACGCTCCTGCGAAAGGGGGAACATCTACTTCGGGCGCCAATAATGAACATGTTGTTAGCGCGTCAAAGTGGCGTTACTTATCAGATTTTTGGTAACCAAGAAGTTGGTGCGCCTTTTCGCCATGTGTGACATGATTACGGCCAGAGGTACAGTCGGGAGTACCACGTATGCCATCGAGAGGCAAGCCGGGAGAAAAATCCTTCTTGCGTCATATGGATCGCCATCCAATCCTGATTGAGGACATTGCAAACGTCGAGGACGAAATCGCATCCCGAGTGAATAGCAGTCTTGCTACATGGTGAACCACAGCGCTGGAAAGTCTTCCTGCGAGGCGGAATAGCCCGGGTCGGGATCTAAAATAGCGGCCTTTGACGAACGATACTGGCGGCTCTCCACGTGGCGATCATCAGTCCCTGCTGCTGGAACAAGTCGTGGCTGATGCTCGTTCATTAAGAGAAATATTCCATCAACCATCACTTCGAGAGACACCTGCCCGAGCGTAGGTTTCCAGCTAGTGGCTGCATCCAATGATTTCTTGAAAATTAGTTCCTGGTATGACAGTCTCCTCAACACTGCTGATGGCCTCGTACGATGCGCTGATCTTTTACTTTTCCCTAGTTGCCTCCCCCGACACCGCTATCCTTGCAGAAGACGGATTCGGGCCGTGTGCAAGAGGGATGGCCCGATACTCCGCGAAAATCCTGGAACAAGCCGCCTGCCAATCACTAGTGACGCCCTTCAGCCTGGTGCATGAGGTTCACGCACAGATCAGCGTTCAATTGTTTGAGACCCCGCACGGCGGTACCTTCTCTCGTGAGGCATGACCGCCGAGCTTACTGGCGCGGGTAACGGAGTACGGGATGCTCCTCCCGAATGCAAGCGTGAGAGGCGCTTGCCGGGCATTTGGCGCAGGGTGCGATAGGCCAGGCACAAAAAAGTGGACTCGTTTGAGCACACTGCGTTAGAGGTTGATCATGGCTCTTCCGCATGTCTGTAGCTTCTGGACCAATGGCGAGGTCCGAGCTGGCCTCTCAGAGCGTTGGATCCGTAATTCACTGCAGGATGCATGGTTTCAACCAGGGCTGAGTGGCCGTGGGAGCTTCTCCGAGGTGGAGTGCAGCTCACGTGTGCCTATGAGGCGTAGACAAGACGGACCATGGGACTGGATCAAACATGCACGCGCGGATGGTCGGTTGGGCGCCGCACGGGAGTAGCCTGGGGTCGTGCAGCATGCAAAAGGAACTTTACTTGATCCGCTGCCTACGCCGTCGACTACACCTCAGGGCTCGCCCCCTGATCAAGGCCTTGCTAAACAGCATGACAGCCCCGGCACAAGCCGCTGTAGACCAGGAGCGCGTGCTTACACGGCCGCGAGGCGAGCGGAAGGCAAGGGCCCGGAACGAGGTGCGCCTGCGGACTCACAGCGGAAGAGGGATCCTCGGTTTCAATGCTGTGTCCGGCCACGGGATTACGGCATTCGTTGCGGGCACGGCTTCGGTTGCCACTGCTGGGCCGGGCATAGGACCTTGATGCCGGTTTGGCGTCTGCAGGCGCAAAGGGTCTGGTCTTGCCCGTGGGGGTCGCAGTCAAGGGATGCCATGCGGTCAGGGGGGCAACCAGTGGAGCGCGCCGTTGAAGAAGCGGGAGAGCGGCAGGTCTAACGCAGCATGTCGGCGCTTCAGGCCTGGGGAGGAGACGCAGGGCGCGGGCGCGGAAGCGGGAAGATGGTGGCCGTGTGGGTCACACGCAGCGTCGAGGCGTCTATCCAAAGCAATCAGCTACGTGCTCACTGCGATATACAGGCTTTCTTGCCACAAACGGGGCTCTACCAAGCGTCTTACCGCCACGCCTCACGGTTCCAGACCCGCCGAGCACGCTGCAATGCATGCTGCCGTGCCCCGGAGGCCCTGGAGTCGCGGTTGGCAGGCCGTGTACGGATGTGCGCCGACAATCCGCGGCGAAGCTGGGCTTGTGGGGCTTGTGAACCCCGGATGACGCTGCAAGACGGGCGGAAATTGGAAAACCAAGGGGTCTGACGCGTGCAGCTCGTCGCAGCGACCGTTTTGCGCAGGTTTGCGAGGCCGGTAGGGTGGGATTATGGGGCGGAGCGTTGGTGAAGGACGTATGGGAGGTCTCTGATCTCGAGGTCCTTTGGCGATTTTAACGAGGGTCTGGAGATCGGGATTTTTGAGGCTTAAAGAAGCAGTGACGGCGGCAGCCGGGGTCCGCGACATCCCTGGCAATCGAGATTCCTTGCACTCTGAGCTCTGCTGCTGGGCCCCCGACGAGCTCTGGGCCAGGGCTGGCGATGGACCAATCAGCGCGCGTCGGCGCCTGGAGACTTCCGCGCGCCGTCCGAGGTCAGAGTGATGTGAGCCAGCATGGCGAGCCATGAGCCAAAGATGACGCAGCGCGCGCGCGAAGATCAGGTACACGAGCGTTGACGCCGGCGACGCCAGACCCTTAGGTTGGACGCGGTCCGCCAACGTCGGGACGAGAGCGCTGTGTGTACGAGAGGGTGGCCCCGGCGCATACGAAGGCGTCGTGGGGCGCACGCCCCAAGAGACGGGGGGCGCTGTCGTTTGCACGGCGGCACGTGTCGAGGGCATCGCAGGATCGGCAGCGCGGGCACAGCAGCCTTGTCTCGCTTCGCGCAGCACACCGCGACACCTCTTCAGCTGCATGCAGGTCTGTCGCGCAGGCTCAGGCCGGCTGCGCACCGTCCCGGCTGCTGATGGCCGCCCTCGCGCATGTGTGCGGTTACGCGAGACCCTGGCCGGTCGAAGTAGCTGCTGATGGTGCGGCATCCTAGCTTGTCTCTTGCTGTTTTGTCCCGATGACGCTCCTCTGCGCCTTCCCCCGCTGAGATATAGTCCGCCAGCGCCCAACGCTCCTTCTCAGCTGTACGCCTCTTTCGCAGCTCTCTTCCTCTCCCCAGCTAGCCTCCCGCTAGCGCCGGCCTGCTCGCTCGCAGCTGCCGCTTCTAAACTGCCCACCGCGCCCACACGCCTCTCCCGTTGCCCAAGCAAGCTCCACGCCTCTGCCGCCTTGACACGGCCCACCACCGCCCCCCAAGCTCCGTGCTGTCCCCATTGGCCTTCTCCACATCTTTGCTCCGCCATTGCGTACTGCCGCCTGACTTCCGTGTCTGCCATTTATCTTGCCTCCCGCCAGCAGCATTGCGCCGAGCTTTCCTACACACCTCAGTCTTCCTCACAGCCTGAGAAGCTCACGGCGTTCCAGTCACACTCCGAATCACCCAGACCTTCCGGTCCATTGGCTGCTATTAGGCATTGCCCCATTGATTCGGAGGGAGTGATTGTCATCCACCTGCCGCGTCCCGCTACCAATCAGGTTGCACCATTTTACCGCACCAATGGAGACTACCTTCATTACCATTCACGGTGAGCGCTGCCCCCCGGCACCACGTTTGGACTCGAAGCTGACCCCCTCCGCCTCACAGACCTCTCCCGCGAGGCCCGCGTTCTTTACTCGTCTGACTCCATCGTCGATATTCTCGGTCACACTCCCGATGAGGTTGTCGGCAAGTCTTGCTGGGACTTTTTCCACCCGGACGAGATTCCCTTTGCGAAGGACTTCCACAGCCGCGGCGTCAAACTTGACAAGGCTGCCGTCCTGGCTTATTGCCAGATCAGGAACCGCGATGGTGCCTGGGTCGGCTGCGAGTGCTGTTTCTCCGTCGTCTACGATGTGATGGTGTGCTGTACCAGTGTCTATCGTCGGGGCATGACCAGTCAGAGTGCGAACCCTTCTTCCGGTACTGCTCGATTTTGCTAACCAACCCTCCAGAGCGCGCAGTTGAGGCGCCAATCGTCCGCAAGCTGTTCTCCTCTTCGCCAAAGGACCCGAGGTACCACATGTTGTCTCACCTGTCGGCCAAGTTCAACCTTGGTCCGAAGCAGCAGACCCACGAGCCGCGTGCTGCTCTTTTCCTCAACCGCTTTACCCGCACTTTGACCATCATGTATGCCACCAGTGGCATTGAGCAGGTCATCGGTATCTCCTCGGAGGAGATGAAGGGTAAAAGCTTCTACTACTGCATCCAGGAGAATTGCTTGGAGGATGCTGTGCGTGTGCTGGAAACAGCCAAGGGCAACGACTCTATCGCATATCTCCGCTTCCATTTCCGTGATCCCCGTGTTCGTCCGAACCGCGGCGCGCGGAGCGCATCGGAGGATGAAAACACCGACGAGACCATGACGGATGTCACTGAAGACGAGGATGAGGGCGGCGTGGATGTCGGAGGGACCCCTCCGCCTCTCGCGACTCAGACGTCTGCGAGCACGTCGGGAGTGGACACCGACAACCCAAGCACGTCCAACGACGAGGGACGTACCTCTTCGAATGACAGCAGTGCGCGTAGGGCCAACAGCGGCCCTCTTCCTCAGTCGTACGCCTCGTCGCGAGCACCGACCTCGCCATCCACCAACGGTCATGACAATCTGATCGAACTTGAGGCTGTTGTCTCTTGCACTTCGGATGGACTTGTTGTCTGCCTCCGTCGTGCTCGCCCGATGATGCCACCATCTGCACAGCCTCCACGGGCCGATCAGCCTGCTTATGCTCACGGCATCTTTGCGGCCCCTTGGGCCCCAGAGCCTGTCTTTCTACCCCCGCTTCCCAACGCGTACGCCAATGCTGCACGGATGGGTCTCATGGCTCCACCGCAGCAGACCACCGCTGTAGGTGGCCCGGACGGCGTTTCGACTTACGGCGGACCTGCGCCGAACGACTTCATGCAGAGTATCCGCGATGTCGCGGTTTTCGCATGGGCCCTGACGGGCATCAACGGCAGCCTTGCCGACTACTCACGCGGAAACCCCATGGGAGAGTCCCAGCCGCCGGATGGTTTCCCTATCTGGAGCCCTCATGGCAATGGAGACGGTATCGGAAGCAGCGGAAGCTCGATGAGTGGTATCGCCAAGGACCCCTTTGGCGACCCGGGCCTTGATGGAAAGCGCTTCGGTGCTTAATGTGGCGAACTCGTCCCGCCTCGCACTGTGTATGAATGGGATTGATTGTGTGAGGATATGGAAAGCGCAAGCTGGGAAGCCTATTGGCTGATGATCCCTTTCACTACGGCCGGTAATTTGACGAAGATAATTGGCTGAAAAAAGCTGGCTCAATCTTCGCCTTTTTCCCTTGTTTCTTTGTTTCTTTTCAAATCTAAGGTATCGAAGCAACAGCGCCTCTTGCGTTCAGCGAACAGGAAAAGCGAGAGCTCATGTTACTGTCGGGTACCTACACGTTTCCTCTTTCTCCTTGCACAACTGAGAAATAACCAAATTAGTCTAGCTTCTTCTTTTAGGAAGAAGACAATAGCTATCGCTTGCTCTTCGCTTCTCACTAAACATTATTCCGTCATGCCGCGTAATGCGATCCAGCTAATGGTTTGGGTGTCTTTTTCTGACGCTGCCCAACGGCAGACTTACCTGGATGTGGGAAGACGAACGGAACGGGATGACTTCGGGTGATGACTGAGTAGGGATGGCCTTGCTGTACGAACACATCTCACTAATGGATGGCATGTGTCAGCGGTGAGTCTTTAGAGGCATTGAGCTCCCTGAAGCTCGACAAATGCGTATTTCCCCACCAAATGGTACTTTATCCAATGGTACTACATTTATCGAGTGGCAACTAGCAACTAGGAATGCACGGAACACCTTTTTGGAAAGTACACCGTGTGGGCGCATATGTCTGACCGGTGACCGGGCTGGCGGGTAGCAGTGGAAGTTGGTGTGGTTGGGTGCCGTGTACTTCGTATTTGTATGTACCTGATCCCTTTTTTCCCGGTGGGGTGTGTATGTACATGCTGGGAGCTCATCATGTAAGGTGCGGTTTGCTGTTTTGGTTGGTTGACTAGATGCTTGGTACGCAGAAGCGAGGAGGCGAAAATGCGGTGCCGTTTTGCTTGTGGGTGGCTTGAATGAGGTGGAAAGCGGGGTGTGGAGACATGGCAAGGGTCGATACTAGGGACTTGATTGGGGAGAAGAGAGGATTTTTTGATCGTCATTGGCAGCGGACCAAGGTCCGGGAGGTAGGGATTCTCAGGGTCGTCTGGAGTATTTCTTCCATTCCCCTTAATCTAATTTTTCTCGTTGCTTTTTGGGGCGTTCGTGACAAAGCGGGTACTTGATGGAGGGGACATTTGTCTTTGGTGTAGTTGAATTCATAAGTGATTCTCTGTGGGATTTGAAAGTGGTCAGGTTAAGGAGGTGATTACAGCACGCACTACCGAAAATGGAATAGCCATGAAGTACTTCAACTCGGGCACTCAGTTCAACGGGCCCTTGACTGTTTCTGATCAGTGATGCTATTAACGATCAAAAAATATTTTTATACAGCAAAATGAGTCACACAACTGTCAAGTAATATGTATGGGGTATACCTGCAGCTTCAGCTGCAAAGGGGCTTCGATTGATACCCGTAGACTGCGTCAACCGTAACCTGGCACCAATCGCGTACATGTAGAATCGGAGGCTGTTGACAGCTACGAGTACCGACTTGACCGCATGCGCGCCGTATTTACTGTACGACCAAGCATGTATTGTGCAACAGCAGGCCGGATACTGCATTTCGTCCTATTCGCGTAGCGTCTGCAGCGCAGCGCAGTGCAGAACGCATTGCATTTATGCGCAGAGAATTTAGGTGCAGTGAAGCCACGCAGGTGAAAAGAAGAATGGAAAAGTAGGTTGATGAGTAAGTGAGCAATGACGCAGGGCCAAGACTGGGATTTGCGGTAATCTTCTATGTTGTGTGCTCTACACTTTTAGTCCATCTATGCCAAAAGAAAATGACCGAGGAGACAGGCGAGAAAGAGGAGATGCACTGCGACCGATCGAAGGAGTACCCTTTCGACCTCGAAGTTCACAATTCCCCGATTGGCTGCTCTTGTCGGCGTACGTGAGGCTGCGACGCCTTGCTGATCGTATTTTCCCCCACCTGTGCTCAAGTCCTGCGGAGGTACTGACCCTCTCCGTAGTAAGCTCCACACCAAAGTCTACCGTGCGAACGGCTACGCATTGTGACCTGATTTTCCAGAAACATTTTGATAAGCGATTGCGTAGATGGCGCTTTGCTCCGCAGCTGGCGGCACGGCCCCTTCGTGCCGTTTACCGCGTCTTACATAAAGGGCGATAAGATGCAGATCTCGAGCGTTCTGGCCACGCTTAAATCAGTGGAATGCGGCGGTGGCAGGTAGAGCGCCCGGCAGAGGTGTGCTGATCATTGACCCGCCAACCGGTTTCTCTTCTGTCTTCCCAGCTCCGTATGGAGCGGTTGCCTCGTTTCTTTTGTTGCCTTGTTGCATACATCATTCGATCATCTAAAATTTGGCCATGATCAGCTACGCACTCCCTTATCGCCACCGGCCCCCTTCAACAAATAGAAGTAATTTTAGGAAAGGGACCCCGAGACACGTGAGGATAGAGTGGTCCAGTCGGCTGCCGCGCCGATAACGGCTGTCCTTTGCTAGAGAGTTTGGTTTGTACATCATTGCACAAACCCAGCTTTCTATCTACGCTACTTTGAGGTCGGTTCGTTTAATGTTGCAACATGCTATGTAGGGCGCTCATGAGCATGTAGATGTGAAATACTAGTGGTTAGTTAACAAACCTCGATAGAAGCTTCGACTCCCCGCACTATCTTAAAAAAAAACAATCCGGAAATGGGTAAGCGGGCGATCAAGACCTGTAGCATGCCGTCCGTCGGTGAGTAGCATCATGCATGAGGTCGAAGTAACCTTTTGTATTTGGCGAGGGGGAAACTTTGAATCATAATGAGTCGCAAAAGACTTGGTCATAGGTATTACGCCCTACTTATAGCGTTAGTTGAATCATACCTGGACACGATGTGCAATCTCAAGCCTCACTATTTACTGCAACGGCCCACGCATCAAAGGTGTTCAACGCCGCATCTTTACCCGGATGCTTGCTTCACATCCCCACCGTAGGACACAGGATAACAAAAGCTTGTCCAATCCGCCGTGAAGCCAAAAGTGAATACAAGCAGCAGGGCACGGTGAGACTGTACGATGACCCTCTTCCAGGTATCTGTTTGCCCTTCGCTTTTCTGTGTCGACGCACGGAGGAGAGCCCGCGAGCATGGAATGGTCATGTTCCTGTAACATGCTCACTACTGCAAGTATACGCACATATTGTGCAAGCTTGATTCAAGACGGGAGTAGAAAGGAGGGGACATCCCGCTGTGTGTTGCTCCCCAACCGCACCATCGTCACAATACGTAACACAAAGTGAGCCGACCGTTGTGGCCATTGTTGACGGTTACGGCCGTTTGTGCGTTACGAAGAAACGGCAATCAAAAACGGTTGGTAGCCGTGGATGCGGGGACATGTTGTTGGGGAGGGGATGACACTGGTGCGACGGTGGACGACGGCGGTACCAGCGGCCGACGGGAAAGAGGTAGAGACGGGTAACCCGAGCTGGCGGTAGGACTTATTGTTGCACATACGTGCAGAGATGTACGCTTTGGGTAAGCCGGGGGCGTCATACGGAGGGCTGGGGCTGCTGTCTCAAGGAGAAAGCTGCTACGGAGAAGGGCGCAGCGCGAGAGGAGACAAATATGCAGGATGCCACTGGCTTTGAGGCAGGATGGGGGCAGTTTGAGCTCCGACGGGCAGTAAGAGCGAACTCGCCTAATGAGGATCAGAGGAAGATGGTTGGAGAATTGGAACAGGTACGGAGACGAGGATGCAGCTCTCCCACACAAACGCCACGGGGACACGCCTCTCACGCAAAGATTCTCGAAACGAGGAATATCTTCCTGCGGATGGACTCGCAGTGTGCTGTACAACGTGCTACAAGAGCGCAGGAAATCGACGATCGCCTCCAACCACCCGTCGTACAAAGTGGCCCGCTTACTAGCGAATGGGAAAACAGCTTTACGCCGAGACGCCTCCCGCCTTACGGAGAGCTGATCGGTACATGGCGCTGTCTTGGGTGAAAGTACGTAAAAGCGGATTCATTGAGTGACAGAGGCCAAGCCTTGGGAGAGAGTTCGGGTGCCATCGCAATAGTGAACGCAATTGCCCGAAAATGATAGAGATCTAGATGTGAATGTATGATAGACCTGTAAATAAGAGCCTCTGGTCAACACCTTCATTCCCCAGGCTGTGTTGCAATAATTAGTATTAAGCGAACCGAGCTCGTACGAAAAGTGGGCGATGCAAAGCCGAACAGAGGTAAATGCTCCTGAAACCCCGCATGAGCTGCAATGGTACCCCGGCCGTCTTGAACATCGGAAGCATCTCCATGGATGTGTGCATCCAATGTGTGGCCGAAGGGGACCTTTTGGACCCCCATCTCTTCACACATTCAACCCTTACCACGTGGTTGGAGTGCATGATTTTTATCAATAATAAGTTTATGTTTGATGATCAAGCGGGTGAAGAAGGAAGCAAGACCAACAAACTTGCTACTGAGTGACAAGGTTCACTTCGGCGCTAACCAGCAAGCTGTATTGTGGCAAGCATGCACCCTATACAATTTGCACTAAGGTCGAATTTCAGCTCCGTTCGCCATTGCCGCTGACGTCTCGTGAGGAGCCGAGAACAGTCGGCCTCGACCAAGTATTTTTTGACATGGATGAGGGCAAAATGGTTGTGAAGGATTTGAGCCATCCATGTCCCGCTAATCTCCCTACGTTAGTAGTATAAGCGAACATCCGGATGTAGGTATGAGGTTTAAAAAATCGTACAAATATTTCCAGAAATTGGATTCGACAGCCCACGAGAATTCCCGGTGTAACAGGTTCGTGATGGTCAATTTCTTTTTGCAATTAGGTATGAGAGTGCTATTGCGCGAGCCTTCCAGGGCGTGTCGGAGTTGACGAGGCTAAGAAAAAAGAAAAGTTAAAAGGAGACAGCTCACATGCGCGTGTATTAGCGATGATCGCCTGCAGGGCCCCAAAACGGGAAGTGATGCCGACGCTGAAGGCGAGCGGGTGTCATTTCAGCTGGGAAGGGACCAATGTGGCAAACATCATAGTGCCCCTTCATGCGCGGTAGTCGGATTTAGCCCTTGGGATTTTCTGCAAGCCTCCTTCGCACCCGACTGCTTATGCTGCCAGTTTCATGCGAATAACGAGCGTCGTTTGTCACCAACAGCCCTTCCGAACTTTCCCCTGGAATTTCCGACCCGCACCATCCTCAGTCCCATCGTCGGAATAAGCAGACCATCCCGTGATCTCCCACTGCAACCGCCCACTCGCCGCCAACACTCCAGGCGACTTGTCTCGAGCAGAAAGTCATTTTGGGGATTACAATGCTCTTGTGCGAAGGCACAGGCACGAATGGATCCGAGATGGTCCACGACTTCTTAGCTTTTCCATTAGAATTGTTGGAATGGACAGAAGATGAGCCTGTGCCTGTTGAAATGATGCCACTTGATGCGTTGGACGCAATGCTTTCTTCGCGCGATAGCAGGCCGCCTCGGCCCGCACCCATAGCCGGACCGTCGCGCTCTGCACGCTTACGTTTGTTGGGGATGCGAAACGTGTTCTCGCTCCTGAAGCCCTCCTCGCCGCCATCCGTGCCCTCTTCCAGCCGTTGGAGGTCCCACCACATGAACTTGCTCTTCTCGTTGCCGATTACTAGAATCGGATGCTTGTTCGGCATGTGGAATAAGCCGAAACGGTTGTAGAAAAGCGGGGTCATGGGCGCGTCAAACGAGAGAAGTCGTTGGAAACGCTTTCCGAAGGCAGAGGCGGTGCTGCCGTAAGCATCGGTACTCTCGTCCGGATTGCCAATTCCGTATGCTTCGTTGTGACCTGCGGTTGAAGACGGTGGAGGAGGGCTGTTGCTGTTGAAGCCATCAATCTTCCAGAGCAGGATCTGATTTTCCTTGGCGGATCTCGAAAGCACAAGGTCGCCGTAGAAGAGGACGCAATCTACCATATCTGAGTGCACTTCAGTGGTAGAAAAGTGAGGGTAGTGGATAATGTTGACTTTGTCTGTGCCGGTATTTGCGTCTGGAAGCTCTGGCACAACCCACTGGACACAATGTTAGCGTCGAAAGGGCAGACGGTCTGGAATCTATTCACAATCTTGATAGCAGAGTCCATGGCACCCGAGATCAGATATCTGCCAGTAGCGTGAAAGGACTATAATGAATTAGCGGAGACAGAATGAAGCGTGAAGGAGATTGCGTACGACTGAAAGGACTCTGTCACGGTGGCCTTCTGCGCCGCTGCAGATTACTGGACAAGGCTGCTTGATATACATGGGATCAAGGTGCCATATCCTGATGGAATGATCCTCGGAGGCTGAGGCCAGGATAGCTGGTGAGAGGGGGGAGACAGCGAGGTCATTGATGGCCTGGGTCGGATTAGTAGAGGTCGATGCGATATGACAACACTGCTTACCGCGCCATGGCCAGCGAGAGACTACAGGACGGTCAGCAGATAGATTTCCTATTGCATCATGTAAAGTACCTACCCTGGTGTGTTTACCAGTGCGTACGTTGAGAATCCTGATGACGGATGACGGGCTTCCGGCGACGCAAAGAAGAGGATCACCGTTGTTGACGTCTTGAGACCATACGAGGCTGTTGAGTTCTAAGTCCTGGGATACTTTAGTGGGAACATTCTCCAAAACAATTGGTGATTTACCTTGTCCTCATCTCTGAACTCTCGAATAATCTCAACGGCGCTGTCCTTGTCAAGCGTCGGGCGGCATACAAAGGTCTGAATGGTTAGAGAGGCTTTCAGCGGGGAAAGTGCGAGGAAAACTCACCTGCTGGCCGCCGGTAGCAGCAAAGACAGGATCTTTACCTGGTGGAGTGTAGGGATAGAATTGAACGTCGTAAAGGCGAGCAGCGACCTGAGCTAAAGAGAGTCAGACATGGATAGGCGACTGAGATGAAAAACGTCCTCACCTCGGTCATTGGCGGTGCTTATTCTGCCCTTGAAGACTTTTGTTAGACAGTGATGGAAAAAGCGAGATGAAGGCACGTACATCGACGCGCAGGGTGGCCCTCAGGTAAGGAAGGTCGCTAGCTGAGGGCATTTTTGACGGCGGGAAGGGTGGGCCGGTAAGGCGATGCGCAATCGCGTTCCAGGTCTAATTTGGGGTGTCTGCTTGTTTATCTGCGACCATGATGCCAGTTACAAGTTTGATATGGCGCGTCGCGGGTGTCATAGGTTGGTGACTTGCGCTTGTTTGTCGCGGTCGATGAACGCCAAGTTTAAGCGAGGCCTTGCCGGCTAGAGCTGCCCGAACCCCGAATGCACCTTCCTCCGTTTATTACCCTCTTCGGATAATAACAAGAGAACTGTGAGTGACTAATATTATCCCCCATTAATTTCGATCCTTTATAACATCGACTACAGGCGCCGCTCTGTATTCCTTCCACGTGTAACAACAACATGCGGAGGCAAGCAAGACTGTACCAGATCATAGCTGGCTGCCCATCGTCACAGGCACATTTGACGCGAATCCGCTCAGAACTCTGTCTCTCCATCTCGTAGACTTTGGGACATGATTATGCCATACTACAAGACCGACTTATCCCCCTCAGTCGGGAGAGAAGGAAGAGCAAAAAGGGAGCAGCAAGCGAAGGAGAAGAAGGCGTAGAAAATGAAGAGGGAGCTCACGAATGAGAAGTGTCAAGGCGTCTACGATGCATAGTGTTGAAAAGCAGCAGCAAAGGCGGGGGCAGGTGGTGAGGTAGAGAAGAGAAGATGGATGCAAGCAGCTGGATCGAAAGAGATTCGAAGTTGCTGGTTATTTTCCACACCACAATTTCCTTCAGTCGACGGGAATGTCAACTGTCTTGACTCTTTGTCCCGTGTTCCCATTCGCTGTGGTCAAGAGCGCATGAACCAACTTCATCCAAGACAAATCTGTGCATATTTTCCATCAATTCGATGCCGTGTCTCTCGCGAGTAGCCGTCATTTTACCATCAACTATATCAAACATCTGCATTATACGGCCTGAAACCCGTCCATCCTTTGCAAAGTCTATCAAAACAAATACAACCTGAACCACCTTAGCCCCCATGTGTACGGGCTCGACCCAGCAGTCCCGACCAACAAGGAGGAAAGGAAATAAAAGAAAACAAAAACATAGCCCTTGCGCTTTTGAGAAAGAAAGCGGACAAGGAAGTGTGAGTAGAAGATAAAAAGGGGGATTCCTTGAAAGATGAAAAAAATATGATTCCCATAATTTGACCACCAATGCGACACAACTCCTCTTTCAATTGTTGCTGAGCCTTCCCGAGCTGCCGGAACAAGTCAATCCGACACTACGACCACCGTCCCGCCAAACACCGTTTATGGTGACCAACTGATTTTTGCTGACAAAACACATGTCGAGAACCGAATTTCGAGGGTGAAACGGAAAGAGTTGCACGCGTCTTCATGGAGTGCGGGTAATCTAGCTGTTGAGGTAGTTGCGGATGGCACCTGTTAAAGTGGGTATGTATGAGTAAACCAGTAAAGAGGAAAGTGTTGTACTGTAGGGACTCACCTTGCAACCTCGTTGCGCCCTCGCCCAGCAAGTTCGACAGGTTGTCCAAGTCGTCGCCAGCAGTGATTCCGAACTTCCGCACGAAATCCTTAGCCGCACTCTCGAGGTCACCGTAGTCATCACCAGCGGGACCGTCGTCCTCAGGCCGTCCAAAGTATGCGTTGCTGCTGATGGAAGTTGCACCCTCGAAGCCCTGAAGGCGGGTCTTGGCCTCGTTCTGTGCAGAGGGGTCGAAGCTGCCACGGCCGAAAAACTCGTCGGACGAAATGCCCTTCTGCGTGCCAAACTTTTCACGAGCGTAGCGCTCCGAGTCTGTAGCCACAGTAAATCGTTAGCACATGCTCCTTACAAGCTCAAACCCCCCCCCCCCTGCACCAACCCCCCCCCGCCACACCCGCGGCCGCTCCAGCTCGTACAACACCTCCGGCACCTCCTCCCG